GCGACCGCAGTCTGAGTGCTTGGCGATGTTCTTTAACGTTAAGGCAGCAGTTAGTCGTATGTGTTTGGTCACTGGTCCCTCTTTCTCATCCTGGGAGAGAAAAACAGCACAGGTCAATTCATCGATTTCACTTTGAGAGAGAAGGTGGACGTTTAGTCAGAGCCGGACATGAGAACAGGTAAGAGAAATGCCAATGCATGGGTATTTATTTATTTTTCTCAGATTTTAACTTAATGGATATCAGTCAATACTTCCTCGGGTCTTCTGCGACCTGGGTTTGAACCCTGACGTGGGGGAAACAGTGGGATTTAAAAAGCTTAAGAGCTGCTTAGGTCCACCTCGGCCACAAAAAGCTTTGTAAGTCATTCAAATCTGAGTGCGTTTCTAATTCTGCGCGCATGTTTCAAAAATATCAGCGGGGAGCGAGATAATCTTGTACTCACAGTGAAGTCCCTGAAGACCAGGTTTCGAGAGCCTCTTCGTAGGGCCATGAGAGCTGCGCTCGGATGATTCACGATTGCTTTTGGTGCTCGTGGTGGCGGACTGCCTGCTGCTGGCGGAGTCCTGACACATCGAGCAAACACACAGTATGTCAGATTTCATGTGTGAGACACGACAGTTTAGGGATTGTCGGTCCTGGATGTCAGGTTTAGGAGACAAAGAGAAAGGTGATCTTACTGGGAAGAAGTCTGATTGGGACTCTGCGCCTGCTGCTCCTCTAGTTTGAGTCCAGCCAGCAAAGCTTCTCGAGAACAGTGCTTATCCTGGAGAAGATGACAGAATCATGACGATGTCTATCCTGGTCATAACGAGTATCAAACAACAAGTCAGATCAGAGGGAGCCTCACCTGTAGATGTGTGATGAAGGACAGTCTCTGCCTGGGAAAAGGTTCACATCCCTCCCACTGACAGTGGCCTCCATACACACCTTTCCCACCGTGTTGCGTCGCCGCGTGGTAAAACACCTGAGACGGCGTTTCGAACCACCTGAAGAGCAAAACGTAAACAAATCAGAAGAAGCTCGACGGCTTGAGACGATAGTGATCCCACAAAGCGACGGTTTGATCTTCGTTTCGTACCGTTTACAGGACTGCCACAGACACTTGAAGTTCTGCCCCGCTTTCCGGCTCTGCTCTGACGCTGCTGCTGCTGCAGGGGTCTGCTGTGCTGAGAGGTGAGGACTGTGGTTGCCCACTGACGCAGGCTGGGACGACGGGGGCGGGGATGGGGTGACGGTAGGCTGTGGTTGAGGTAAGACGACAAAGAGGAGCAAATGAATATCAAATAAAGTAAACACTGAGACGAACAGAAGAGCTGACTCTGTTCTAACTTGAAAGTGAACATCTCTAAGCTTTTTATGTGGCAAATAACAAACCAGGTGCACAGATTGAGACCCCTTCGAGGAAGACTTTGTTCCTCAAGATCACAAAGAGCAGCAAACCCTTCGACGTGTAGAATATGTTGACGTGACAGGCTTACAAACTAGAACTGCCTCACGCCTCATATTAAAGGATTAGCAGGGAATTTTGTCGGCTGAGATGTAACCGCGGCCCGTCTACTGGCAGGAGTTGTTCTCTCAGCTGCTTTTCTGTAGGAGGTGGGTATCAGTGAGAGCCACATGGTCTTAACTGGTCTCACCTTCTTAACCTCCGAGTCCTAACACCAACGTGCACACAGTCTGTATCATCATTTTTAGAAAGAATGACTTTAACTTCAGATCCACACGAGCAGAACGACCTTAAAACACGAGTTTTTGTCTGTTGCACATCTGGAACAAAAAATATACCGCTTTAATCCAGTTACATAACCGTTTATGCAGAAACAAAAGCAGTGAGGTTCAGAGGGCTGTATCTTTTCACGATCATGTTTTAATTGAACCGTCTTCCCTCCTTCCTGCCGTGAAAATGAAAACCTCCGACAGAGAAGGCGGTGCTTTTCATGACTAATGGCTGACCGGTCGAGGGAAGAGAAAAGACGTCAAGAGGGATGTTGAAGCGCACAGCAGGCTGATGTTAGAACTCTAAACTGAATAAAAAATCTCAGGTTTATTGTTAATTCAACCAGCAAGTGGGCTGATAAATTGCAGCTGCCGTGGAAGTGCAACCAGCAGTTGAATGTGTGTGTCTGGACTTTTATCTACGTGCACAAATCCTTTTGGAAATCACTGAAATCGTCTTTAAACCAAAGTGTCAGCTTGTTTGGACCTGAAATTGGCGGCCAAGGAACAAGTCGGATAAAGTACGATCCTGACAGGGTGAGAAAGTGCGAGGGTGAGCGTTAACTACCTGCTCTCTATACATGATGCCGCAGATACGGAAGCAGAATGAAGAATGAAACATCTATGAGATCCTTTCATGAGTCGACTGAGAGGTCAGCTGCTCTGTAAACAAACATCTGCTGTTTCCTGATGAAGAGCTTAAATAAACACGCTGTGTAAAATGAAAATGCCACCGGGTTACACTTTCACTAAAACATGGAGTCGGAGAAAAACGAGGAACCTCCCTGACACGGATATCAGTTTTCACTGTCGTGGGTTTTTGACAGACAGGCAGAGCATATTTGGAGGCAGATGTGACACGGAGTCACACAACCAAAAAAACAGCGTGGAGAAATGAGGCGTGCTGTTAGACTAACCGTACGATGACTCACCGTTGAGCCAGCTGCCTGTGTGGGCGAGCAGTTCCTCTGCTGAGTGGCGTTCTCTATTGCTACTTTGGCTACTGTGCTTGGGTCTGTTCCTGCTGGCACCGCCACCATGGTGGCGCTGCTGCCGGCGTTGTTGGGGTCGCTGATGGTGATGATCCGCACGCCCACTTTGTTGGGGATCCCGGAGGACACTGCGGCTGTGCTGCGGTCCTCGCTCTCGGCCGGTCTTTTGAGACCTCGAGCCTCTGAGGCCACTCCGTTTGCAGGAGGGGCGGCAGGACTCTGGGAGGTAAGAGTAACAGTGGGGGGGAGGGTGGAGTTGGGGAGCAGTTGCTGTCTTAGCACAGGCGTAGCGTGGCCCGGCCCCAAAGGTCCATTGGTTAGTTCCGAGGGTGGCTTGTTGCCTACCAGCTGGGGTCCGTTGGCCAGGCGTTCAGCCTGCTGGGCTTTGGCAGTGTCCTGCTGTGGGGGAGGAGGACTGGGGAGAGGAGGGTCCGACCCGTGACTCCTCTCAGAGGGGCCCACCTCCCCGTTCCCCAGGTACTGTTTGGAAGCAATGTGATTTGGAATGTTTTTGTTGAAGTTGCCGCCACTCTCACCCCGATCAAAGTCACACACTCCGTTGACCAGAGTCTTTTTGGGGTCGGGGCTTCCCTCCAAAGGGGTGTTCGGTCCTGGGGAGAGGGCCTGCTTCCCATTAGCAGGATGACTCTCCGTAGCCGGGCCGTTGAGCGCCCCCTGGCTGTTCCCTGAGTGGTATGGAGGTAGATTAGACTCCATGCACTTCTGACCGTTTAGCAGCTTTGCACCCGCCGCCACATCGCCATTACTGGTTTTCCCGTTGGATGAGTCTCCTTCCGCTAAGGAGGAGTTCTCCATCACCTCGATCTTCCTCTCGTGGATGTGCAGCCCCGTGGCGTCCTTGGCCTCCTCTTCCTTTTGACAGATGATCTTGTCTCCTCTGAGGGGAGCTGGCAGTGGTGGCGGTGTGGGTGGTGTTGGTGGTGGGGGAGCTGCTGGAGCGTGGTGGGGCGCTGTTCCCGTAGAGAATGGAGGCGGGGCGACCCCGGGAGCCACAGTGCCCTGGCTGACAGCAGCGACAGCAGCAGTTGAGGTGGTGAAGCCAGTGTTGGGGACCACGGTGAATGTGACTTGTCCGGCCGCTGTGGGGCCCTGGATGATGGTGGCGGCCCCTGGGCTACTTGTGGAAATGAGCTGGCCTGGCAGGAGCTGGACTGTCTGGAGGGCCGGAGCTCCTGCAGCAGGTAGCTGACCAGGGACCAGCTGGACATTGAGCTGCTGGGGTTGAGGAGAGGGGTTCTGGGGGGTGTAGTTTGTCTGGTAGATGACCTGTGGACTGGAGGCTATCGTGCTGTTAGGGAGGGGCACCTGTGGAGCAGGAAGGATGAGTTTCCCCCCTGGAGTTGAAGGCCCTCGCTTTGGAAGCAGTAGCTGTTTGATCAAGCTGGACTCGGTGGAGGTAGGCTGAGAAGGTGGAGGTTGGGAAATGATTTGGAGCGGGGCCTGCTGCTGTTGGTGCTGCTGCTGTTGGTGCCGCTTAATGGACAGAGCGTGGCTGGCGCTTTGACTGGACTGGACCTGGGTGCTGGAGAGAGAAGCGGGAGGCGAACAGGGGCTGGATGCTGTTCCGGGCTGCCCGCCTATCTGGATAGTCTGGGCACCGGGAATGGCGGAGGGGTTGGCAAGAACGATCTGGTGTATGGCAGGGGTGTAGGCGGGGTTCTGTTGGGGGTTGGGACTGACGATGACGACACTCTGCGCCTGCTGCTGAGGCTGAGGCTGCTGGTTGGGAGGGGCTATCGTGGCTGCTGGTCCACCTGACTGGTTTGGCGCCGGTTTGGGTGCGATATTCTGAAACGTGACCCGTGACGCCTGGGAATTTGGAACAGCTGCAATGCTCAACGCCTGACCGCCTCCCACCTGGATGGAGGAGGAAGGCGTCGATGCTGCAGCAGCACACTGAGGGTCCGTCTGGGGTGGGGTTTGAGGCAGGGGTGGGTGCTGAGTGATGGGAGGGCACACTCCCTGTACCCTGGCGGTGAGGATGTGGCCCTGCGGTACCTGCTGAAATAGCGTGACAGGCGTACCCGTGGGGAGCATGGGGGAGTGTTGCTGCTGTTGGGGGGCTGGTGGGGCTGCAGGGTTCTGGGGGCTGTGGTTCTGGGTGGCTGGTGCTGACGATGGAATCTGGACTACTGGAGCAGGTCGGACCTGCTGCTGCTGCGCTGCTGCCAGAGGATTTGGTGGAGACACCTGCGGGGGCACCTGATGGCGGGGAAGAGTCGGGTGGTTTGCATGTGAAGGGTCCTGTGCAGGTAAGGCTGTGGATGGGGCAACACCAGTAGGGTTGACGCTCTGGCCCGGGGTCCTGACAAACTGGGGTCCAGGACTGAGATGCCCCGGAGGTAAGCCTGTAAACACACAAACAGAACTGTTTCAGTCCAGATGGATTTATTGACTAGTCCCGTGTTGATCTGGCAAAAAGTAAAAAGGGGTTTCTGATTGGTCTACAAGTGCCTCCTTTGATTGTGCGAGTTCACAAGAACCAGACTCTACCTGAAGGTGGGGCCTGAGGGTCTCCAGGAGCATCATGTCGGGCTGCTGGAGGTGGAGGAGCTGCTGCGGGGCTTTGCTGATGTTGCTGCTGCTGCGGCTGCTGGTAGTACAGCTGGATGGGCAGAGGGATCGCCCTTCTCCTTAGCCCCACCAGGAGGATCTGGATCTGACCGTTGGCTTTGGCCTCGTCTTGCCGCCGCATCCTGTGGTTAGGAAACACAGTCCTGTGATTGGAGGAGGAAAGGAGGGGATAAGGATTTTCAGAGGCTGTCCAATTAGATTTAAGAAACAGAAACTTGGAGCGTTACATATTCCCATTAAAGGGGGCCGCAATGAAAGACAGGGACTCAACCTTCATTCAGATAAAAGTTTGTCCATGTAGAGTGTTTGCATCTTTTCAATTAACAGTCGACTGTATGATAGGACGGTGAACAAAAAGCTGTCTTTGTATCATAAAGGTTTCAGAGGAAGATCTCAAAAGTACCCTCCAGAATAACAAACAATAACATGTTAGGATCCTATAGAAAACTGAATAATAAAGGCTGAAGGTTGACCTTCTGCTCTGTGTGTGTCAAAGACAAAAACCGAAGATTTCCTCGTGGTAATTTTAATCGGTTTTACAAACAATCAAGTTTTAGTGAGTTATCTTGTTTTGTGGAGCTTTGTTCTTATCTTTCTTTAAGTTTAAAATGTTTTTATCTTCTTATTCTGAAAGTTTGGGTTGACCTTGACAATCAGTGCACCTGCAAACACTTCCATCTCCTCTCTCTGGTTCACTGGGATCTCTGTTTTGTTAAAGCTGCTCTATAAAAAGCAAAGAGCAGTATCTGCTGTGTAAACAATCTGGATCGGGACACGGACATTATTCAGGCCTCTGTGTTGTTTAAACAGAGAAGGATCGGACCGGGGAGGACTTACCGCAAACATTTGAGGAAGCCGGTGGAGTTTAAAATGTTGCTCCGTCCCATTTTACTGCATGTGGACAAGTACTCGGAGTACATTTCCGACCGAGACACCGAGCCCTCGCTGTGCGTCTCAAAGTGTGCGTTGAGCCTGTTAGAGGAACAGAGTGAATTTAAGAAGGTTTACGTTCAAACATCAGAAATTTGGATTCTGTCTGAGCCAAACGATCAGAGTTCTTGGATCTTACCACTGCAGCGTAAATTTCTCCCCGTCTAACTCGACAATTCCAGGCGGCGGTTGGGCGGGCTGGACTGGGACCCTCGTGACTGAAAACACAAAGAGACAAACTCAGCGTCTCAGAAAACAGTTCAATGTTCGACTCCTGAGTCAGCTGGAGAGCAGAAGAGTTTCTCCGTTACTAAATCAACTCCACAAATTTAAAAAAGAAAAAAAAAACACTTCACAGGCTGCCCACTAGATGTCAGCAAACCCTGACAGCAGAGAAATGACACTTCCCAAGGTTAGGTGTGTTTTAATTCCCACCAGGGTTCAACTGTTAATTCATGTAAGTCATGGTGCTCTTGGAAAGCTGCTTTTAAATCTGCGTTTTCCTTTTCTGTCTCGTAGAAAATCCTGAGCTGAGCAGTTAGCAAACAAAATCAAAAATACATGATTACACGCTTCAGATTTGACAGATTCAGACTTCTGTCAGCAAGGGCAGATGATAGTAAATGTGCAGAGGTTGCTTCCTATTTCAATTTTTAATATATTCTGTTTTCCAAATACAAAAGTAAACTCTCTAAGAAGAAGAGAAAAGCAGAAATATTAGACTCCGTTCAGCTCTGGCGACTCTATTTTGACGAGCTTATGAAATTAAAGAATCAAGCAGGTGAGCTGCCAACATCTGTCTGAATAAAATTCTCGGTTTAAACGAAGCAGCGACAACCAGCAGAGATCTCAAAATCAAGCCGGACTTGTAAACAGTTTGTTAAAAAGGATTCAGCAGCAGCAGCAGGTGTAGTTCAATTAATAACCAGTGATTTAAGAGAAACGCTGACATCACTGAAGTGCTTCTTTCCCTGAAAACTAGTCGAGTTTGTTTTGTGTTAAATCTGACACAAACTTTTACCCGACCTCTCGTCATGTTTACTGCGGTGAGTCTGGGATCTGTAAAACCTCGGCTGACTCACACACAGTGGGACTCTGTGGTCACGTTCGCTTTGTACGCCAGCTCACAGTATTTGTTGGTTTGTGTCAAACTGTGGTCGTTTCTGACCGAATTACATCTGCAAAGAAATCAGTCAAGTGAAGAGAAGCGATTTTAAAATTGACCGAGAATGTAGAAATTTGGAGAAACTGCATTTTTAAACCACCTCAGTAAAGGTTAAAAAGCTTCTGGTGACCCGAATCGACAAAAACATTCGTATTTTATTTACAGTCAGATGACGTCACTGTTCGCTATCTGAAAATGTGACCTCTGAACTCTGACAGTAATATTTCTGTGGTTGCATGTGCTGTTCCTGTGAGCTGTGGCAGAGCAGTCCTGCACACGCTCCTCTTATTTCCCTGAGTAACAGTTCAGGAGCAAAAGATTGAAGATTGAAGGACTTTGTGACTCTGAAAAGTTTAAGGCGCTGAAGTTTATGAGTCAAAAACAGCCAGTCAGAGTTAGCGTACACGCCCACGCCGTCCTGAGAAACACCAGAGTTTTCAGATTTCATCACTGGTTAAAGCTGAGATCATTCTCTTTGTAATCATGAGATCATTTCCTGCTGAGTGGAATCACTTCTTCACTTCATTTTCGCACATTTCAGTCTGCTGGTTACTTTCCTGTTTTCGTATCACGCAGCTGAGACCAAGTGATCGTCACAGATTTCTAATGTAGCAGCACATGTTTAAACAAACTCCTCAGAGAGCGATGAATGGATCCAAAAACTCACCGGGTGCCGGCGCTCCTTGCACCGCTGCAGGGACCTGCTCCACCAGCTGTGGTCGGACCTCTGCCGCCTGGTCGGCGTTCGCCTGATGCTCTATCAACCGCACCGCCGTAAGCGCGTCAGGTCCGAACGTGTGAAGGTCTACAGACACTAACCGTACTAACAAGTCTGATGGGAGATGAGAGGAAACATGTAAGGATCGGATCAAAGATGCACCGAATTCAGCAGATAAGACTTTTTTATTATTATGAGAAACAAAAGAAAGCAGAAGCTTCAGGATTTCAACAATACAAGGAAAATATACACATCTCCCTGGGGCCAAAAATTCATAACAATCCAACGAGATAAAACTTGGCAGGAAGTATTTCTGCTACAAATCTACGAGGTAAGATTAGATTTCAAGACCTGCATAAACCAAAGATTAAAAGTTGGGCAAAGTAAATAAAGAAGAACATGTCAGCTGCTCGGTTAAAGTTCATGTTTCAGTTAAATGTAAGAATGATTCGTACCTATGCTGTGGTCGACTGAGGCAATCTTGCTGCAGGTAATCTCTCCGAGCTGAGCCAGCAGGTAGAGCACCTCCAACGAGGCCATGAGGAGCATGAGGTCAGGTATGGTGAGGAGCATCATCACCTCCTTGTATGAGTCCTGGTCCACGTACTCACAGATCAGCACCCCGTTGTCCTCTGCCTTGCTGAGGTTGCCCAGGATTTCCATGGCTGGAAGACAAAAACAGAGACACATTAAACTTGATGCACTACGGGGAGGGCCGAGGGGGAGTCTGGACCAAATGAGGTCAGCGCCGAAACACAACAAGACGACTCACCTCTCATTTTGAGAAACCGGTCCCTGGACATCAAGCATTTGGTGATAGTGTGAAAGATCAGATGAGTCGTCCGAAAGTCAACAGGATCCAGCTGGAGCTGTAAGAAGTCAGGCAAAGAGGTTTTCAGAGTCTCCACTAGGATCCAGTGAGTCAGTAAGACACAACTGCAACATTCATCATGAATACTCTGAGCTCCTGACTGTGACCGCGAAAAGAACATCCTGACAGGAGCAGGACTCACTTCAGGACTACGACACATTTAAAAGGTAGGTGTTCAAAATCTACTCTGGCTCAGACTTGTCTCAAACTTTTGTCTGTGTGTGTCGGTTTCACCTCTCTGTGGGGTTACAGCGTTTTTAGAAACCCTAAAAGAAGTTTCTTTAAGTTGTTATATATGCAAGCGGAGAAGCGAGTCTACTATTTACTTTTCAAACTGCAGGTTCGCTGTTAAATATTTACGCCCCTGTAACATTTTGCTGTTAATAAGAATGTCACAGAGGCGTGACGGTGAGTCCAAGTGGGCTGGATGTGTCAAAACTGGACACAGATGACTGATTTATGTGGCGCTTTCTCTCCACACATTTTGGCTGATTGGAACTTGATCTTGATAAAAGCTAACATAAACCAGACTCAGAGTTATAGTCGCCTCTCTCTGCGGCTTGGTTAAGTTGTGACTCCTGTGACTGCTGGTCTTGCAGAACTCTCACCCACGACAGACATCTGTGTGTAAATGCTTTTTTACCTCTTTCTAAAACATGTTCTGACTTCATTTAAAAAAAAAAACTGAATATATTCAAACATGGAATATTCTGTGTTGAGCTTTTATGCTTCTGCGACATTTTAGCCACGCACTTGGACACCGAGTTCACGCTGCTGCAGGATCAATACAAAAGTATAAAAGCACGATGACAGGCGAGCTGCTTTGTGGAGCTGAATAAGAAGGCCTTGAGACACAGTAAAGTACATTTTTTTACTGTTTTTTTTTAGTTACATGACTCAGGGAGAAGGTGTTTGAATAAGATCAGATTAATGTTGGAAAAGGCTGTGCAGTTGGTTCTTAAACTGAGTCGATAAAGTACCTGTTTCACCGATGAAATCACAGCACCATACAATCATTTGTTACTGGTAGGTTAGCGAAACATAAAATCATCCATTTAAAAAAGACGATAATCTGCAATGCTAATGCGAAAGCTTGGAGGAACCATGTTACACAGAGGTGGGAGAAAATCGATTCACTTAAGTATCGCAATTTTTCTTGTTTTACAATTTTTAAACAGATTTTTATGTTCAAAAATAGATTTTTTTTTACAAATTTAAGAATAAATCTTAAAAACTGACTGACATGTGACGTGTATTTTTTGAGGAAACATGGTTCCTGGAATAGTCAGCAGACAATCGTGATCATTCAACTGTTTTACTGGTGTTAGAAACTTACACTAAAAATCGAGAAAATCATACACAATATCGTAGAGTCAATTTAAATTGAATCGGCATCCAAAACATCATAGAAGAATCGAATCTGGAGAAAAGCATTTCGTCCCAACCCTAATGTTACATCTAGTGGTATCCAAGTTCAACTTTTTTACAACACCGATTTTGTAGCCTTCTATATCAGCTGATACTGATATTGATCCGGCACAAACTAGTGCATGACAAGTTTTGCACTCAGCTGCAACGTCTTTTTCAGACTTAAACAAAGAAAACTGCCACACAGCCGACATCACTCCTACTCCTTGCTACTTTGTTTGTACCTTAAACACTGATGTGATCTGATATTTGTTTTTTGGCTGATATCAGACTGATATTCGATATCAATATCGTATCATATCGGGACAGCCCTTGTTACATCAATGCTGTAAAATGAATTAAAATAACAAGTAGTATCATGTTCGTTCATCCAAACATCGAGCCATTGTACTGCAGAGAGAGACGAAACATTGATCAACCATAGATGAGAACTAAGCAGCAAGTTAAAACGTACCACCACCTGTCAGAGAACAAGCTGTAGTCCTTACATAATTACTTTCAAAACCAAGAAGGTATCCTGACAGTGTATTCACACGATTCAAACTGACTGATAATACAGACAGAGCTGAGCAGTATCAAATCTATCAGAAGGATTTCTTCAGTGCCAGAAAACCCAGAAATCCAATTAATAGCATCAAAGGCTGTAACTGATTCTATCAGGGACCCGATGCCTACACTTTCCAAAAATAGAAATGTGCTCATTTACATGCATCCAAACTAATAAACGTTATAATGAAATGAAGTGGACCCATGTGATGTATTGACTCGGATTTCTTCTAACACTCCTAACTTCTACATTTATTTCTGTACTGGTGTGGAAACGTGGTAGAACTGCACCTGCTCGACAATGTGATTCTTCACCTTTGCCAAAATCAGTATGATAAAATTATTCGGAGAAACAGACTGCTTGGAAGTGACAAGAGAGCGCACCATCTGGCAAACTATTGTCCTCATTTCTTAGGGAACTCGGAGCACAGTGGATTGTTTTTAACGAGATAATATCTGCTGCAGGAAATCCCTCCAAAATCACACACCTAAATATGTTTGAAAGAAGTCATGGTGATGTAAAATATTGATCTCTTGACTCTAACATGAGCACGCTGTATCTGACACCCTCTTAAAGCGTTTCGGTAAACTTTTCAATAACGCCGACTCTGATCATAACAGAAACCCATTTTTGACTCTGACTCTTCTATTACAGCCTGCACGGCCGGCTCATTACCGCCATTACACCTCTGTGACATTTCTATCCACAACAAGGAGGAGCGGTCCCGTCTAAAACAGGCGTCCTGATCCTGTTTTTGTCAAGCGCTTGGCTCACAAAGCGTGAAAAGCACAAACACGGCAGCTTTACCTCAAAGAATAATAAGAACCTGTCCTCAGATGACTGCTTCTCATCTAAGAGGACCTTTTCATTTATGCTAAATGTATACTGCGAAAGACAGAATCACTCTATTACCACATTAGGTAGCGAGCTAGCCTTCCTGCTGACATTAAATCCGATTCTTCACTCTTTGGCTCCGATTTTATTCGTTTTAAAAACTCAAAAATCCTGAAATACTTAACATCCCCTAAGTCTGACACACTCGAACATGTGTAGGAACGTGAAGCTTGACAGATCCGCTGTGCCTAGTAACTGTTGCTATGCTATAAAAACCGCTGAGAGAAAACGGCTCAGACAGCAGCGCTGAATAGAAGTGAACAGCTACAAGTTTTTTTTCTTTCCTTCTTTCTCTTGAGCTCCAATTCAGGCTGTTCTGGAGTAGAGATGATGCCTCGAGACAAGACGCTTTGCCGTGTCACACTAACCTACATTCAGGAACAGAATCTTCCACATCTCTCGCTTCTCTCTACCAGAATCTGTAACATCAGGTTTTTTTGTTTGGAAAAAAAAAGCGCTGCTCTTTCTGAAGGCATGCTGGTTTTCTCTGGCAGGATTTCCTGGCATTGCAGAGTTCTGAACCTGCACCAAACAGAAACACCGGACCTACCTCGGCAGCCACGTTGCCCAACGTGTCAAGTCCAAGCTGTCGGAGTGAGATGAGGTTACAGTGAGCACAGAGTAAAAGGAAGCGCAGGCACGTTCGGTTGGCCGCCAGCAGCTTGACGTTGGCCTCCTCAAAGGAGAGGTTTCGGAGGATAACGGCAACCTGAAGCACCCGCTGGGCCTCCATGTCACCGATACCCGGGTTCCGCGGCGGGTGGAAGAGGCTCTGCCAGCGCTCCTCACACGACGTACCATCTGCAGAGAGAACGGAGCGGGGACAACTTAGAGCTCTGTGCCAGATGAGGCTGTGAGAACATATTGTTCAACAGGAATGAAAATAGTCACTAAAATTCAGCTTTTAGTTTCTCATCCTCTACTTTCCAACGAGTCCATTTATTATTTATCAGTCCCGGGGTACCTGTGAAAGAATCAATATCATCTTTTCCTTCAGAAACAGTTTTAAATGTTTCGAAAAAAGGTAGAGGGAACATGTAGAAAGAGGATTTAAAAAAACAACTAAATACGTCCTTATTTCCACTCATGGGGTTTCCACATCAGAGCAAACAAAGCGTGCCTTCTTGAGCATGTCACAGCTTTCAAAATGTCAATAAAAACACTGAGCGTGTGCAGCGGAGGAGACTTTTATTGTTCCGTGTCGTTCAGAGCTCTGTGTGTTTACCTTGTGCTGGGCTGCTCTTGTCCCAGATCAGCTCCCTGACTTCAGTGTCCTCCACAACCTCTTTCCAGAACTGCAGAGGAAGAGCAGCTGTTAGGAGAGCACTCGAAACAAGACGAGGGAAAAACTGCACCCGTCACAGACCTGAACCGCTTGACTTCTCTATCTCGGGTTACTTTATTAAATCACATTAAATAACAGAGACAGAGGCAGATTGATTCATTCACAACATTGACTACTTACAGCTCTAAAGATACCAGGAGGAATTACCCACTAAACCATAAGACAGCACCAGTTTGGTCATGGTTCGAGTGTGTTATGTCAAATCTAGTGATGCACGATATGAAAAATTTCAACCGATACCGATAACCGATAATTTTCTTCTTCTCATGGCCGATACCGATAACCGATAAATTCATATTTTTACATTTATTATAATCTTCATATAATCTGCAGTTTGTGCAGGATGCAGCGATTGAAAACTGATGTTTTTGTTGCTCTGGCCTATCTAGAACAACAAACTAAAGTTTTTGGCTCTTCAAATGTGGTCATTAGCTATAAATAACAATAACAGAGCAAAAAGCAGAACTTCATTTGATCCCCTGAACTGTTCAACAGAACTGTAAACTGTAAAGGAGCTATTATGAGACGTTAGGATTAGCATGCTGACCGGACTAACATCTGACGTCCATATGTCTGTGGTAAAACTCACGTGTAGTCCGTTCTTGTCGATCAGGTTGTGAATGTATGTGGCGACAATATCATAGAGTGCAGGAAGAGACACATCCGAGAAGAAGCGGCGGCTTGGGAGAGTGTAACGTGGCTCCAAGTGTGCTATTAACTTACGAAAACCCGGGTTCTCAACGACGGAAAAAGGCTGGTCGTCGACCGCTATGAACTCCATCACTTTGTCGTTAATGGCTTTAGCCTTTTCGCTGTCTCTTGAGAAGCTTTTGCAGTTTTTAAACGCCTGCTGAATGGGGACATCGATCCTCCGTAGTGTTGTTGTCTTAGCTTTAGTACCGCTAGCAGCTTCGGCGGCTGTCTCATATTCTTTTACTACCGCTTCGCCGCGATGGCGACTTTTCAGATGAGCTATCAGATTCGTTGTGTTAATACTTGACGTCTTCTTTCCTCCTCTCGGAATCCTCGCTGAACAGGTTTTGCATATAGCAATGCTGTTGTCATCTTCTGCCACTGAGAGAAACGACCATGCTGGTGAAGACATTTTATTATCTGTCAGGTAGTGACGGGGTCAGGCTTGGGACCTGCGAGTAAGGCGCGATAGATGACGTAACCAGCGCGTCTCGGACGGGCGGCTACGCCGCCTGCAAACTTTACTCGTAATTTCATTAATATATCGGATCTTTCTATCGGAAAAATGCACCTATCGGACCGATAAAAAATGACGTAATTTCCCCCCAAATCGGCCGATATTTTATCGGTCCGATAAATATCGTGCATCCCTAGTCAAATCTGTTATTAACAGTATAGAGTTGCTGTGTTGGCTGCTGCATCAGAGCAACAAACTCTGATTTAAAGAGGAGGGATGAGTGTCCACCTTAACTCCTGCAGTCTTGACCCTACAGCGGTTCTTAAAGGAAAAGACTCAAACAACAAAATGATTCGCAGCTCTAGTATCAGCTGATAGGGATCAGGGCCAAGAGCTGATCGGGCAAACTCTATTGACAGTCAAACTCACTCTTCTATGTACTTGGTATCATCTCTATTTGAGCACTTACACGTTTTCTACTTACACCACGATCCTCGATCAATATGAGCAGAAGCCCGCAGACTAAAGCCCTTTGAATTTGATATAATGAGTCTTTTAGCCGTCTCTGACCTCTCTTAGGACAAGTAGCTTTGATTATGCCCCCATGACAGAGGATATATTCAATGCTACATTATTTTGGAGTCATGACTTAACTCCAGTGTGAGCCTCTTAGCATGAATGAGATCAAAGTAAATTGACCTCCATCCTGCTTCAGAAGAAGCTTCAGAGAAAACCACCCTGGGGGGGTCGTCTTCGAGGAGTAACCGCTGGATTTTCTGCCCGTCTTCACACTCTATAGATTTTACATGAACTTTTAAATGATGTGAGCGGCCATGTAAATAAAGACTTGTTTAAAACTTTACCCTAACAAAGTCCCGCGAGGTTTTCTCCTTCCAGTCCGACCCAAATACCCCGGAGAAGCTGCCTAGCGCTGCAAAAATAAAGGAGGAGGGTTAGAGTGGAGCGCCAGTTTCAGATCAGTACAACCGCTCCCTATTCCCATGCTCTTATATTCTTCTTTGATAAGTTATACTTCAATAGGACATGTTCAGAAACTTTGATTTTCAAATAAAGAGGGAAGCTAAGAGGCAGTAAACTGAGGAAGATTAGATTTCTTAGAGTCAAAACATGAACCTCTAAAATCAAATTACACACAAAATAAATATAAATGTTGAAAAATTAGGAATAAAACAGGCAGATATTGGTTATGATGCTTGTCTTCAAAAGTTTATAGTGTCTTTTTTTCTCACAAAAAAAATCACAGTCAAGTTTTAGGAACTTACAGTCATCGAAGACGCCGGTGTGGGCCAGCAGCAACGTGACCAGTTTGGGGTCCTTGTCCAGCTGCATGGCGTGCTTGCTCTCGTTTGAAAGCAGAGTGCAAACGTTAACAGCAAAGTCCACTTCATTGGGAAGGCCCGAGAGGAGAGACAGCACCAGTTTGTTGTAGTCGCACGGCGGAACGAAATCCGTAGACAGTCCATAGCTTTGGCGGAGATAGTCTAAAGGAAGTAGAAGGGAAAAGTGTGTGAGCGGCGGTTTAGAAACATTGATTCAGTCGATGTGTCAGAGTGAAAGTGAATATAGTGAAACAGCTGTCGGGGGTTTCAGCTGTCGTTTAATCCTGCAGGTAAATGGGACTTTTTCGCCTTTGATAGATGGACACAGAAGCTTTTACAGGCAAATTTTAAACAAAGCAGCACGACCAGAGAGGGGAAACACTGCAGCGGAGGTTACTGCATGTTAAACAGCTCGTTCACACACGTCCATGCAAACAAGCAACACACACAGAACTGCACTGAGTTTCACAGCGCTAAATTTAAATATAGGAAAGTTTGGACATATTTGGGACGGAGCTTTCACTGATGTAATAATGTAAGAGTTAAACCAGAGAGATAGTTTCAATGTCAGCATAAGTCAAACCTTAAATCTTACACCTCGCTCTGTGATGGTGCACCGTTTTAACAAATAAGGAGAAGAGAGTTTTAGAAAGCTGTATTGTAGGGCTGGGCGATATGACCTCAAATCAATATCAGGATATATTGATCAGTTCACCTCAATAATGATAAATGGATGATAACTACTCCACAAGCTGCTCACCCCCTCCAACATTAACTTCGTCTACTTCAGCTGCTACAACTTTTGAACCGTCCTCTTTTTCAAACTGGATGGGGTGGAGTCGCGTCTCTGATGTAGGACAGCGTCTTAAAGGACATGAGACCATAGCCTACCTACACACATCTAAAACCAATTTTTATTGATTTATTTTTTTGACACAGAATATATTGATGTGGGCAAAATGACGTCAGTTATTGTTGTAAATTTCGGTATCGGTAAATTTTCGGTTTATCGCCCAGCCCTATTTAGTATACGTTGCATCTGTTTAATCATACAGTACTGTTTCACTAACATGTAATGCAGTCAGTGATTTCACCACTCAGTGTCACTGCTGCATATAAATACTTTCCAACTCATACTGAACTCACACTTTACATTGCTGTTGCTACATTAAAGCGAGTTAACAGCAGTCATTTTGGCCGTTATCCTGTTCAGAGAGAATCAGGCATCAGAGTCAGCAGATTGTTTTCAGAGAACAGCTCTGCACTGATTGACCAAATGGAGTGAAAAACTCATTTCTCACCCTCTACTACTTCAGAGGAGTCCACCGAGCAATGAAACAACTTATGTCACAAAATAACGAGTTCCAATGTAGTTTAGTGTTGTTGTTGTTGTTGCTGCTGCACCCTTACTTAAGACTCAACTTATACAAAGCAGTTGCAACCAGCCGCTGATCTTTCTCTTACCTGTGATCTTGTTAACAAAGTGGATCGGCCAAATTAAAGTCAGGATTAGAATCTAAACCAAAAGGCCTGAAAGTGAAGTGGGAAAAAGCCTCAGTGCTGACCCTCTAACTCACTCTGGTTCACATGAGGCTGAGTGAATAGTTGTGGTGGAGGGACATAAATTTACAGACTGTTTCACTGCATGCAAAATTAGTTTGCATCCCCCCGTCCCCTCATGTCATCAGCAGTATTTCACAAAATACGTGCACCTGAACCAAACTTAAACGTTTCTCTAGATTCTTTGAGGTATTCAAACGCCGTCCGCCGTAACTAAAGTAAACACAAATGACTGCTGTGAAGTGCTAATAGTGCTAGTGAAGCAGAAAGTGCTGTCGTAGCATTCGACCCTGAGAAGTTTGTCTCTGGAGGAGCTGCAGAAGAAGAAGAGAAGTGCGGTGTGATGAAACAAACACTGTAAAAGCTATCATTACTACACTAGGCAAAAGCAGAGCAGAGCGAGAGGAGAGAGCTTTCCTCTTCAATCCTCTCCTTCTTCTGCACACCTTCAGCCACTTTAACTCTGATTTATTTTTCATTTAACCGAGTTAAAGCAAACCAAATGGGCCGAGGAGCTGCTCAGTGGAAGCAGTTTTTAGTTCCAATTAGCCTGATGAGCCGTGTCTTGTCTGACTGAGGAACATGAATGTTCTCTTAACTTTTAATTGTGTTTGTCTGTGAGAGTCAGTCAACCTCCATGATGGGCTTTTCATAATTAAAAACTCCTTTAATCCTGGAGAACCCCGTGTGTGCAGGAGTAGGCAGAACCATGACTTCATCATTCAGCAGCTCGAAAATGACCAAAGATCCAGACTGTCAAGTGAAGTCCTTTCGCCGACAGAGACCCGAGTCTCCTCCCGTGCCACAGTTTGATTTTCTGCCATCAATCATTTTGTGTGCATAGGTGTCATTTTTCTATACAGTGGGCATTTCAATTTGGTGCAGGATCTTTGTGGCCTGCTGCCTCTGGAAACCAATCATAAAGCAGAAAGGAGTCCCGCTGAGTGAATTTGATTTCCATGCTGAAAAGGTTTGTGCAGGCAAATGTAATTCAGCCCAGTTTCTCTTTGAGTGGCCGGGGCTCCTGTGTCTGCTTGTCCTGCAGCTAGCCTTGCACTGCACAAACTACTGATGTAAAACAACCCCTTCAACAAAGAAAGCCGTACATGCAGACGGAATCAAAAGTGGTCGTGGGGCCGCGACATGACGAGACAAGAGGGCGGATCAAAGCTCACGGAGAAACCTCTGTCCAAACACTAACTGTCAACCATTCTGCCAGGCTAACGCAGCACCATGTCAGCCCGCCTGCTCTATTATATTACAGTTAAATTTCAATTCAGAGCCTGGGGGACAGACAGAGTTCAGCTATGAAAGGTCTGTAGTAGAGCTACACTAATAAATCAAGCAGACAGATATATCAGGGTGGGTAAGCTCTAAAGTAACAAGAAAATGTAGCTCAGAGATGCCAAACTGAGTTTTGGGCTGAGTCAAAGAACTGTCCGCAAACAAAGAGCAGAAACAGAACCGCTCATTATCCGTGTCAGGCTTTTCTTTGTCGTTACTAATAAAGAAGGAGTGGATATTATAATAGGACTGAATCATTCTGTGTCGGAGATGTTAGTGAGGGGCGGAGAAATCAGTCAGTATTATCATATTTTTCTGATCGTTGGAGGTCATACTCTTGTAGGGCTGCACGATTGATCTATTTTAAATTGTAATCAGATTATTTGATTATGACAATGTTAAAAAAATAAAAATCCCCAAATCCATTTTCCTCTCTCATTTTCATCATGGAGGTTGACTTTCCATCATGTCTCACGCCTCCAGGCCACCGTAGGCTTCCCCTTTCCTGCAGGAGCAATCCCAAGTTCCCACACACACCAGTGTAAACAAACATGGCGTTCGCAAAAGAAGGCGATAATTTTGGGGCTAAATAGGAAAAGAGCGAGTCAGTCATGTTGAATTGGTACGGCGTCACAGTTTCGGATGAAGAGTAAACCACTCCCCGCTGCAAAGTCTGTCTGAAGGCGGAATCAACCCGTCACCATGGAAACTAATTCAAGAGTAAACGCAAAAGTTTTCTGACATATCACCGTTTCAGGTGACTGTACACAATACTTTTTAAAAATAGCGCATAAATCTGTAAACAACGACCATTTCATCTCCGTGTGGATGTCTATCTGCATCTCTGGAAACGATCATGTGACACACGGCGTAACTATTTAATGGCGGCTGCATGTGTCTGGCTAAAACAACCTTTATACACATGCTCTGTACTCTTCTTCTGTCTTTTGTGCATTTCCTGTGCAGCGTTACAGCGCCACTTACTGGATTGGCACATGCACTACATCATTTTCAGTGGTTTCATTTTTGAGATGACAGAAAAACTTTTTATTTTTGAAGTGAAGTTTGGTGAAGTTGTCAGAGAAAAAACTCAGGATTTTATTTTTAGCCAAAATCGTACAGCCCTATAATCCTGATTGAAATGTGATTTATCGCCCAGAAGAGAATTGTAAAGTGAAAACTCAAGGTATGTTTAAAGCTGAGAGCAACCCCAGGAAGAGATGTTCAGTATACTCGTCATGACTGTGTCGGTTTTATAGTCCGAGAATGAAGATGTACTCGCACAGCTGGGCAGAAATCTCAATCCTCTGCAGCACTACAGGTTACAAATCATTACTCAAAATAAACTTAACAAGCTTGACAAACAGCAGAGCTGCACAACCGACTGAATATCACTGTGTCCTTTCCTGTCTGACTCATCTCAGGAGTTAAAGACGGAGTTCAGAACTGCTCTTGGTGTTTCTTTTCCAACCCTGGTCATGTTTTTGAGTCAATTAGCTCCAAAGGTGGAAGGCTGACTGTTAATGATAAGAGCCTGCGACTAAAATGCTGCAGGCTCTGATCTAAACTGGGCTGGAGGGAAAACCAACAAGTGCTTCCTCCTTCCTTTCATGAAAAAAAAAAAAAAAAAAAGCTGCTGTCAGCGGAGCAATTATCTCCGAGAGCAGCTTGTGGTCAACACTACAACACTGCGAGGGTAATGGACAGCGTGCGTTCAATCAAAGTGTGCGGGGACCGGGTGGTACGGAAGAGAGGTTGTAGAGAAAAATTGGGTTTGAAATAAAATGTGGTTCCATCATGAAAGCAGCAGCGTGCTGGGGTTTGAAACGATTATTAGTCAGCGATGTTGAGGTGTGTGTGGGCCATGTCGAAAAAGAAAAAAGGTACCAACAGTTACTGCGAACACACACTCGGTAGCCTTGGTTCAAACACTGTGTTGTTGAGCAAGGTGAGGAGCGAAGTAAATGAGTCACCGAGTCATGAAAAGGATGGATGTGTAGTACGACAAAACGACTTATTAGCTGGTTAAAAAAGCTCAATGAGGAACTCTGACAGGGAAAGGTTCCTTCAAACTCGGCACTGATAAAAAGATTTACTCGTTCCTCTATGATTCGCTGTAAATAAGAGCTCTGATAATCACAGCGTGTGCGTCAACAGAAGAAAAATCACCATGGGGATTGTGTGCCATCACACTCAGTTATGCACAATAATAAAAAAAAACAACCTTTTGGAAACTGGAAAGAACAGGACAACCCGACCACAAACAGTAAAAATAAACGACGGACCAGAGGATGACGAAAATCTGATGGGACATTTCTGACCAGAGTTTAAATTGACGGCTATTCTGAATTCAGCAGGAAGTCCTGGGATGAAAACATTTGTTATATTTACTCAAACTAACTTGACTTTTTTTTTTAACCCTCTTTGGTTTGAAAGAATTTAAACTAAAAGTATTAAAGTGAAGTTCAGTCAGTAAAAAGATTATATATTTAGTCTTATTCACGTCTCTCTTTACATTAATTCATTTAGCTGATCATGAAAAGGTGCAATAAATGCAGTGGGGCTTTAATAGGGCTGGGCGATACGGTCTCAAATCAATGTCACGATAATATTGAGCAGTTCACCTCCATAACAATAAATGGACGATAACTACTCCACAAGCTGCTCACCCCCTCCCACATTAACTTCGTCTACTTCAGCCGCTACAACTTTTGAACCGTCCTCCATCTCCTCACCCGTCTTTCCCTCTTTGTTACGGGCTGGATGGGGTGGAGTCACATCTCTGACACAGGACAGCGTCTTAAAGCGACACGAGACCATAGCCTACCTACACTCATCCAAAACCAACTTTTATTTATTTTTTTTTTAAGTTTATTGCCCAGCCCTAGGCTTTGTTGCATTTTTACATCCGAGGTGACAGGAGTGCTGGACAGACATTACTTCAGCGGCTCTCAGCTTTATCGTCTCTTTCAGTGGTTTGAATTTTATCAAATGTCTGTAAAACATCCTCCTAGCTCAGTATGCCCTCGGACATATCACCAAACTAGGTTTTGAAATAAGACTATCAGCAGCAATAATAAAAAAACAGCAACCTCAAGTACTAATCTGACGTCACCTGGCTTTGTCGCCGACATTCAGCAGGAAAAAACAACTATGATATGACAGACGAAATAAAAATGCACAGAGGCTGAGAGAATGTCTACTTGCAGCATACTTGTTGCAGCAAATGTGACAAAACTGCACCTTGACTAATTCAAGCTATTACAGGAACAGACTGCTTGTATTTTGACAGACAGATTGGGCACACGGTGTCATTATTCCATGCAAACTAATGTACACGGTTATCAGAGCTGGTAACATGTTTTAGATGGACTCTTGATGATACATGAAGTTGTAAAATACTTTGGGTTGTTATTCATTAGGTTTGAGAGCATGAGTGATATTCATGTCAGGTGTGGTAATAAACAGTAAGATTATAACAGCATTTATATCAAACACAAACCAGCGTTAGACTTGATGATATGCTCTCCTTTAGCAGTGACAAGACGGGTATCAATCTATCTCACTTTGAATGTCAGACGTTTTACTGCGAAAAACAAATCAAGCAATCGCCACGAGTTCTCATCATCAGTCATCTTCATTTTTAGCTCATCCTCTCCTCGTCTCCATAACAGAGAGAAAAGGTCGTCACAATCACCGTCAGACAGATTTACATCCTTTGTTGTGTGGGGTTTTCACATGAAACTGCTCACTGACTACAGGTGCAGTGAGTATTTATGCACTATTGTAAAATGCAGTTCAAATTTACAGCTTTCCGAAATGCATGAAAATTTAGTAATCACTCATTATCAAAAAAACTCGAGCTACAAACTCGGATATTTTTCAAACATTCTGCTGCAGTCAGACTGATGTATGTTAACCTGCTACCTTAGGAACAGTAACTGCAAAACCCTCCTCCTGAGGCAACCTACGCAACATACATCCACAAGTGTGTAAACAAACGATTCCTCTGATCAGTCTCAGGTGTATAAAGGGGATTAATCGGAGTCTTTTACTAACTAAGGAATAGGGCTGGGCGATATGGCCTCAAATCAATATCATGATTCATTGATCAGTTCACCTCGATAACCATAAATAGACGATAACTACTCCACAAGCTGCTCACCCGCGCCCACATTAGCTTCATCTACTTCAGCTGCTACAACTTTTGAACCGTCCTCCATCTCCTCACCTGTCTTTCCCTCTTTGTTACAGACTGTATGGGGTGGAGTCACGTCTCTGATGTAGGACAGCGGGGACATGAGACCGTAGCCTACCTACACTCATCCAAAACCAACTTTGATTTATTTATTATTTTGACACTGCATATACCATATCGGTTTATCGCCCAGCCCTACAAGGAAAAGTTCAACATTCGAGGGAATATGATTGGGAACTTTCTTCCCAAGAGTTAAGTGGAAAACAGGAACAATTCCCACCACATCAATTAAAGATAAAGATAAATTCATCTACTCAGATCCTCTCAAGCTCACTGGTCAACATTTTATATTTCAACAGCTTCAGTAAGGCAGAAAACTTTGGTCAAACATCATCGAGTCCCTGATGCCTCACAAATCTCCAAGCAAGAATGCAGTGTGGGACACGGCCCCTCTGAAAAGTATGGACTGGTGTTTCACAGCTTTTTGTGCAGAAGTAAGCCGACCAGCTGAAGAAGACGACTGATCAGGACAGGATTGAATCTGTCCTTTCTTAACTCCCCAGCATGGTAACAAACAGACTTCCCACCAAACTTTGAAATGCATGTTCAAATAAAGGCGCTGGTTCACACAGCTGAACTTTCCAAAAATCAAAAACACAATCTCAACCTCTGTGTCGCTTTCTTTCTTTTGACATCATGTTCCTTTGAAGCAATTTCAACCCACTCAAGAGTCCTTGGAACAGAACAGCTTTTGTCGTGGCACATTTTTCTGCATGTTTGACCTGTGGGCTGACCGGCTACACATGCACCTCACACACAGCGGAGTGACGCTCTGCGCTGTGGGAGCTTTACGGGTTTGATTTGTGGAGGGAGAGAGAGACGGGATGAAGAGTGGGAAAAATGAGAAACTGGCTGAAACAGAAAGTAAAAGAAAAAAACATGGAAAGGATCCATGAACCTGATGCAGATGTGACGAGAGAGAGGAGAGGAGAGGAGAGGAGAGGAAAGAGTGAAAAACCCACATCAGCTCTGCTTACCTGATACACTGTGTTGCTGGTAGTTATAAGAGTTGGGAATTGCACCGACTGGAAGAAAGGTTTTGGGATTCCCCGGCTGCGCTTCTTCATCATCCTCGCCAAAGTGGTGGACTTTCTCATACTTCTCCAAGTATCTGCAGGGGAAGGAAAATAAAAACATGAGTGAAGACTGGCATGGAGGGATATTGGGCTTTACTTTCTTAAAACTTCAGGGACTAAAGATTTTCTTTCTTGGGTTAGAACTTTTCATTCTTTTTTTTGGATTAAAAGTCTTTGCAGCATTCTGTCGCTGAGATTACTGAACTACAAACTATTAACTAGCAGTGTCCTTGTGTTTTGATAATGAAAGTTGGACCAGTTTACAGCAAAGAATCAGGACCAATGATTTTGGCATGTCTTACAGAAAAAGGCAAAAATGATTCAAAATACAAAAGAGTGAATAAAAATCATATTATTTAAGCATGCGTTTTGTTTTTGCAAAAAAACATCCTGCACCCAGTCCTCCTCCATACATCCCCATGATATGGTATAACCATTCAGGTCTTTGTATCCTCATGGATTGTGTTTTTGAGAGCACTGGAAACAGTAAAGTTAGCTAGAGAGTGGATAATCACACGTCTGAGGTTTCAGCGGTACAATTCGAAACTACAAATCGAGCTTACAAAGCCCGGTTTAAGGTCATTATTCTATCACACATGGACTAACAGTCATCACACAAACCTAAACACAACTGTTGAGATGAAAGGCTAAAAGCAAACGCGCCATCTAGTGGTGTTGTCCTGCGACATGCTGCACGATACACCTTAAAGTTGTATTCACCGTTTCAACTGTTCTGTTTTCTCATGATCATGTCAGCCTCCTCTGGATAAGACATACAGCATAGTGTCGAGGCCGGGACTCGAACCACCAACAGCCTTACTGCGTGGGGCGCCTAAACCACTTTGTCACCAATGCCACTCATATTGGTTTTAAAGCGGAGGCTAGTGCTGTGGAAGCTAGTCCAGGCTTGCGAGACCAACCATGAGCCTTTGCACCTTCCTTTGAAAACAGACAAACTTTGAAGCTGAACAGGATAAAACAGATGAATGATGTGTACACAGTAGGAGCGGGATGAGACACCTTCTCTAAAGGCGACTCGTCTTCAAATATAGATGTACGTACATGCATCTGCAGACAGTCTGAGTGTAAAGGTCTTTTACTGTTTCCAAAAGGGTGACGCCATGATTTTAACGCGCTCGTTCTCAGTGTTTTCTAATCTGATTACTTAAGTTTAAAATGTGCTCCTGGCAGCTCTTCTGGTTTTTGCAGAAGGTTCAAAAGTTTAAAAGGAAGCCTATCACACTCAGAAAGCCATGGCTCAAAAAAAAAAAAAAAACAGTAATGCATGACGTGAGATAAGAGGGCCGTCTTTTGTATTATCCAGTGGTATGACTGTGTAAGCAAAAACGTCTTTAAAGAATGATCTACACCCTCAAAAGAAGCACAGCAGGTTTTTACACTTTTTTAAAACTTTTTCCTGATGCAGAATATTCTTCTCTCCACAACACGGTTACAACAGGTGGTGCAAAAACTTTCAAATCCATCAAAAATACCAAACATCTTATTTCCTGTTGGCTTATCAGTGAGGAGCAGAAGTTGGTTCAGATAAAACAACAACAAATATGTGTATATATGAGGTTATGTGAATAAAAAGACCGCCTGGAGTTCAAACAAGTGAGCTGGCTGCATCACAAACAGCTGTGAGTCGACATCGAGCGAACACTTCATCTTCGGCTGGAATCATTCTCACATTCTTGAGAAGTTCTGGACGGAGATATTTCCACGAGCACGCAACAAATGTTCGTTTGAGCCTCCCTGAATTCGACGAACATCCTATGTTAATGCCGAGAGACCCGCCAGACGAACAAACAAACACACTCACGCGCCGCAAAATACCTCAGCTGTGATAACGTGGTGAACCCAGCCTGTGCGGCTGTGAGTCACCGTGCGAGTGCCCGTTTCTGAATGAGGCCCTGCTTGTTCATCGTGGCCAAGGTAATCCCCCGTCCGCTGGCTGCTGGGTGACACGCTGGACTATAAATACACTCAGCCTTCATTTGTAGAGCGAGTGAGAAAGAGAGAGGGAGGGAGGGAGGAGTGTGAGAGCGGGAGAGAGAGGCCCCCAGTCCCCCCGACTGCAGCGTCATCAACCGCTGTCTGGGCACAGGCAAGGAAGAGGCTGAGGGTAAAAACGGGTGGGGGTTTGAGGCTGAGAGAGCAGGAGGGAGGGGAGGTACGGAGGGGAGGGGGAACTGCAGCTGCTCATGTCTTCCCCTTTTTTCATACATGCATGATAAGAGGAACACAGATCCCCTCCTACTTGATTAAAGCCACAGGGTGAGTAAAAACCACAGGGCTTCCATCAGTCACAACCAAACGTGCATGATCACTTTCAGTGAGGTGCGTATTCCCTTCAAAATCAGAGCGAGAGGTGGGAAACTAACCGGGAACGAGGGCTGATAGCCAGAAATAGGAGCTGCAAATAGCTGCTGTCATGATTATCATGTTATTTACGGTCTTGTGTGCAGATACTCCTGTCTTCAATTACTCCCTGAAAATGCCCTCCTGTGCGTGTCAGTGTGTTGGAGTTGATTGCCCCCTGCTGGACTTGGACAAAGACATGCAAACACACCCAAACAGAGATGTTTGCAGGGTTTTTTAATGCAGCCGGCTGTCTGACACAGGCTGAGGAAGGGTTTGCTTTGTCAATAATCACAGGACCGTTAAACGATGGCAGCAGAGCCCACTCAGAAATGACTCGAAAAGCTGGATCGCTTTCAAAATGGATTGTTTGTTGCCCAAAAGCAAACCTAAACCCACCACAGACTGCAGCGTGAAGCGTCTACACTGAAAACACGGCTGATTCTTACTGACCTTGTGCTTTCTCATCCTGCACAACTCGAAATAAAGCATGGCTAGTTACTTTATCAGTCTGTTAATCTCGATTGTGTGGTCACTTCGTTGTTAGCAGCACTTCCTGGGTTCAGACCAGGCTTTCACAGTCAAAGTCAGAACCACCAACACGTGACACTCGTCAAGAAAAAGCCGCTTTTCTCAGGCCAGATCGCTCTTTGAAATATTGCTTGACACTGTGAAGGTACAGAGTCTCCTCAGAAAAAAATACTTCACAATCACTCAAGAATATTTTACCTTGAAGTCTGGAGGTGGAAAATGGTCAAAATAAAATCCTCAGAGCGAGGTTTGCACCGGGTCTTTCATTCAATTTGAGTCCTGAATGCTTGTAAGGGCTGAACGATGCGACAGTTTAATTCTTTGTGTTTCTATGTGTGTGTGAATGTCCACAGAAGTTAGAACAACAACTTTGAATTAAAATCAAACATCAATTAAAACTTTGTCTTCAACATCAGACAGGAAAGCAGGATAATAACCTCCCCTGACCCTCCATAAACAAATCTGTATCACCAATTTTTACACCAACAACGACAATAAGCCTATAAATGAGATCCCTTCATCATTTCTGATGCAAACCCCGACAAACAGCGCAGTCGATTCAATAAAGAAATGATCTTTTGATGTTTGAACGTAATCCAGATTTTAATCGACTCGGGGCTGATGGAGAGAAAAAGAGAGGGAGCGAGGAAAAGAGGGAGCGTGCAGCTGGTTACTAAGAGCAGCACACAAGGAGTTAATCAGGATCTATCTACTGAGTCGGGGATCTCAGTCAATATTAAGGTTTTACCCATGTTGTGATCGATGCATGCGCTCCCTAACTTGTTGTTGCAGAATATTAAAATAAAGGCTGGGAAGATTTAGAAATGATCCATCACGCAGTTGAACTTGCAGGATGTACTCCATGTCTCTAACCAACAACACTCGCGGCACTGTCTGCAGCTGATTTAGAAGTAAAGCACAGCTGAGCAGGCGGTGTTGTTCCCTAAATCTGTCTGCCAACATCTCATATTTTCTCTTGTATCAATTCACATAGAGAAACATGACCTTCTAGACAAAAAGAGCGCTGTATCGACAGCTATATTATCTAAAATAAGACCCTCTAAAACCAGTCTCAAAATATACAGTAAGTTGGGCATAAGTTATAACTCCAGGTAAGGCCTGGAACAGGGTGGTAAATCAGCTCTGAAGATGCAGATGATCTGATAACCGAGATCTCGGTCGTTCACCTCTCAGTGTTCAGATTCTGAACAAGGATGGGTGTATAGAGGCGGTGTCTTGTCAACTGGACCTGAGGACAGCTGCAGGAGAGACTAAAAGCTTATCTGCAGGTTTACGTATTTTAGGAGGGGGGAGTTCCTCACCTTTAGGCTAATTGGCTGGTTAGTAACTCCTAAACATGCCTGCTAAACACTCACACAGTGGTACCTGTCAGTGGAAACATACAAGTTATCATAGTGTTAAGGGCCTATGCCCACTGAGGGCTTTTTTTCCACTAGCAGGGCCTATTTTCACTACAATCCCATGCAGTTCAGAGTTTTCAGAGTACTGATCGAAAAAACACCCTCTGTGTCGGCATCAATCTGTTACTCAATCACAGCAACTCAACCTGTCACTCAAATACTTCTTTAAACCACATATAGAACTTTTAATGGACACAGGCCCCAAGTGTTCGACTTTATCAGACTGAAAGAATCTTCCGTGTAAAAGTTTGTGTTAATAAAAGGCAGATTTACAAATGGATCCAAACTGCCTGTGCCAAGACTTATGATTGTAAATGATTATAATATCATTATCTGCCAGCAGTCTCCAACTATCTGCTCTCAAAGTGAAATGAATCTGGGCTCTACTTAGCCAATAGCGTCTGAAACTGAAAGTCCACAGCTGTAAAGGATAACTTGTATTTTTTTAGTTTGCATAACTGTAACTTTCTGGCCAAAGGTGCAGGTCTGTCATTGATATATTCATTCATGATATGCAAAATTAAAATTGACTGAGAACAAAGCTGATGTGCCCTCACAAATACAAGATTCTTCTTGTAAAAATGACAGGCACACTCCTGGACTTCCTCTGAGTAATAACCTGATTTGTATTACAGCTCCAGTTATGTGTAAAATCCACTTACCAAGTAGAGCCTTTCTACTTCTACTAAAGAGCTGCAGCCTCTGAAACACCCAGAGCAAACGTTTGAACCGCATCATCTGTCTAATGAATCGGAAAAGCCAAATTCTAGGTTCACTGTCAAGTACAAGGCAGATCTGTCCATCTGCTAGTTAGCATGGAGACTGAGAAAAAGAGATTAGGCTATCAGCAGTGGCCAACAGTGCTGGAGGGCAGGTCAAATTACAGACAGGCAAAAAAACACAAAGTCTCAAGAGCGTTCAGATGGCATTTGTGATAGCGAGTTAGCCTCACTGCTCTTTTATTACTCTGTATCACAAAAAAAAAGGCAGGCAAAGACAGTCCACTCCACACACAGTCTGGAGCATCTCTACAGTCTGAGCAGCAGCTAGGGTGAGGCGGGGGGAATACAAACACGGCTAATGCAAGCCAGATCAAAGGCCACTCCATCCAGATGTTTCAGATGAGCGGCGGAGTCTATCAGCAGACACAGGAAGCAGAGCAGGACCAACAAGAGCGTTCCCCAGAATAATCTCATAACCAGGTGTTAAGATTAGCGCCGGCCGAGCAGAAACAGGTAGTGAGAAGTGTTTGTGTGCAGTGAAAGGCCGGGCAGTTGTTGAATCATTTGTTTCTTTTTTTTTTTTTTTTTTAATTCGAGTAGAAAAAAAAAGAGATCACATTTTGTTCTTTACTCAGATGCCTGATGTTTGCCGTGAACTACAGACTTTGAAAAGACTTGTGAAGAGACTCTTGACACTTCCTTGCATCTATAAATAAAGTAGTCACAGGCTGGGAGATTTAGCAAAGACTGAGCTCTTCTCTTAGTCACTTTCTCAAAACTACAACTATTATCATACTGGTATTATTTCCCTTTGTGCTCTGAGTACAAATACACAAGAAAAACACTAAGGAGGGAAACAGTTCTTGGCCACAGCTGCTCTAGTGTGTGCACGGTCTTGGGTTGTGCTCTACTCTGTGATTGAGTTTGTAACTGTACCTGGGTGAGCACTAAGAGCTAACATGTTGCCAGCTTTCACTCGAGCTCGCCCCTGCAGCACTGACCACACCACCTTATCCTCACAGCTAGATGGTGTGCAACTATGTCAGAAGATCAAATCAGGACAAGGGAACAGCAACTCTCATGTGTGGGGAGTCCAAGTTTGCTGCTTCCTGTGTGGTGTTGGAGAGCTTACTCGGTTGTGCCAATGTTCATGTGACAAGACCAGAATCTTCTCATTTTGTTACATAACTGATTACATTACATGTAATCAGTTAACGCTGGCTAGACGGCTTAGGACGAGGTTTATGATGGCGTAAAGAAAATGATAGCGACTACAGGAACAGAATCCATATCAAGCCGATTCTGACCTACAATGATGCGTTGCCTCAGGCTTCTATCAGCTGTCTGAGGATGCAAATGCACGTTGGCTTCCCTTTAATTCAAGAGATTAAAGCCACATAGGGACCATGTAATACCACCTAAAACAAATAACACAAAACCTCAGCCTCAAGGTAAACCCTGTTCAAGAGGAGAGAAGGTTAGTTCAACCTGAGGACAAAGTTTGAGGCTGGAGTCCAAATAATGCTGTTTGGGAGGAGATCTTTGCAGGAGAAGCTGAGAGTTAAAGAGCTTGAACCTGACCCTCACCCTGAATGCATCTCGCACATCCAGTTGTACGCCGCTTTGAGTAGTAATGTGTAAATACAAAAGGCGTAGGAAGAGACTTGAGATTCAACAGCTTTCTGACCACAGAGGGAGAATTTGCACATGCTAACGCTTTACTTTGCTTACCCCGCCTCCTTTTTTTTTTTAATTAAACATGAAAGTCAGATCAAACATGTATTCAAAGTCCATCAAGGCCTTCATAATAGTTCAACCTGAGGACAAAGTTTGAGGCTGGAGTCCAAATGATGATGTTTGGGAGGAGATTTTTGCAGGAGAAGCTGAGAGTTAAAGAGCTTGAACCTGATCCTAACCCAATATGCTTCTTGCACATCCAGTTGTATGCTGCTTTGAGTAGTAATGTGTCAATACAAAATGCGTAGGAAGAGACTTGAGATTCAACAGCTTTCTGACCACAGAGGGAGAATTTGCACATGCTAACGCTTTACTTTGCTTACCCCGCCTCCTTTTTTTAAAAAAACATGAAAGTCAGATCAGACATGGATTCAAAGTCCATCAAGGCCTTTATAAAGTAACAAGTCTCCTGGTGTTTCATGTCATGTTCATTCAGCTTATAGACGGCGGATTGTGTAATAGTGCCCCCCAGGTAAACAACGCATCAGTCGCCTAAATCCTGATTGTCATCTTCGGTTTATATCAATGTGTGATTAATTAATGTCTGCTTGTATCAGACCACTACTTTAGGTCATGATCATTTTCTCCATACAGGTGATCGTGTAAACAGCCACCTGAAGGACTGTCAGACCTTCCCGGCTTGTTGACAAAGATCTGCCATCACCACACCTCTGTTCATTTACAGTGAACCCCCCCAGCAGCGTTATAGTGATGTCCAAGAGCATTATTTCACATCATGTTGCGGTTTCATGTCTTGCAGTCTGATATACACACACACAGCACTGTGAAGCCCTGCCGGCTTGGATGCTTAGTAACAGAGGCGTAGCAGTGTCACTCTATGTCTAATACTATCTCAGCAGCCAAGAGACTCCCCCCCTTCACTCCAGCTCTGAGCATTACCTGTCAGAAAAAGGCAAAACAGTCCTGTCTGAAACATCAATGGAAAGAAGCTTCAGATTGAGAAACCTGCTCTGCACAAAGAGGCACAAGATAGGTTTAAACTCAGAGTAACATGATATTTTTAATGCTTAAGTGGGGTTTGAATACTGTTGATTGTAATCCATTTGCAGTTGGCTGCAAATAAAGGGAAAAAAATGCACCATACCATTCACATGACTACTACATTACAGTCTAATTGCTGAGGTCATGAGAATTCAGGGCCCTCAGAGTGGCCTCACGAGTAAGAGTAACAGTTGAGAAACACGTTGTAGTAAAATGAGGATTCTTATTAAAACGCGAAACATTCAAATATCAACTGAAATGAGTAAATCTGATTGCACCTGCTTCTCTAACCACAGACAGTTAAGGTGACAGATGACAGTGTGGCGTAATAATTTCACTGAGCAGGAAGCAGCGTGTTCAACTCTGGAATAGAGCGATTACTTAGTGGAGGATTCAGCAGAAACAGATAGATTCAAGAGCTGGTTTCTGTTCTTGTAATCACTGAGGACAGCAGAGCTAAGCCGAACCTGCTTATTATACAGCATGAGTCCAAAAGAGAAGACTGATCCGGATCTTACAGGTACAAAAACCCACTAATGAATCAAACATATCCAACAAATTACCACTTGCAATATGCAGGGTTTGTGTTAATATGTCTCAAATTCATTCTCCGCTAATTGCGCATGTTTAACCGCATGGAACAACAGAGCAGGTCTGGACAACAGGTTACAGATTTACGCAGAATAAAGGGAGCTGTTCCTGGATGTCAGTGCCTCCTGGGCCTGATTTCCTCTCAGTGGGGATGCAGCCGAGAGGTCAAAAAAAGGTTGAACAAGGGTATCTGTCACCTGACTTGGCGTCTGTGCCCAGGGAGCTGCAGTTTGGGAAGTCATGGGCTGTAGCTAAACACCAGAGGCTTTATTTCCACACGCCTTTCATTCACTCTCAAATTACAGTGAGCCAAGACAGTTCGAATGGCGTTTGAGTGAAAAGTCAGGACTCCTTCAGTCCCGTGTGGAAAGAGATCCTGATACAAACTGCCCTCAAATCATGTGAAGGTACTAATGGAAGAGGAAAGGCGTGGGGATGGGGAGCAGTATTGACTGAGAGTTATCCAAATCAGTGTGGCCACAGGGAAACTGGAAGCACTCATAAGTAACACAGATGTCTCTTGTAAACTCTATGTGGCAATAAGGAAGTTTAAAAGTGGAAGAATGGGTTTATTCTGTTCAATCATTTCATTATCCTCAAGAACATCAGGACGAGGTTTATGATTTTATTTCGCACTCGCCCTTTCTACCAGCAGGTCTGTTTGGCAACATCCTACTGTACGTCTCAACCAATCAATAACTCTCCCACTCTCACGCCTGAAGACTTCATTCAAAATTCCACATTTTTCCCCTCAATCTTATTAATGGAGCCAAAAAACAGAGCCGCTGTGCCCTCGGTATGTCAGTGTGATTCGGTGCCAGAGCTTTCATCCAGAGTTTGAATCTCTCCTCCTTCTAAAGCCCAAACAAAATCAACGCCATCGGTAGGACTGATGTCAAAGCGGCGCTTCAACAAGTTGAAAACGAGCTGGAAAACTGTTCCTGGCCGGCGTCGCTCACTTATTACCGAGTGGCATTCAGATATCAAACACACAGCAGCAGGAGCTGTTGGTGAACTTTCAGCGCTGCTTATTACTCTGCTCTGAGTGGAGAGTGCTGACCAGAGAGACACAGCACAGCCGATTGTTTCATTCAGACAGAGGAGCTCGGTCAACAGAGAGGCTGTCCTGTATCAGAAAAGACACAGGTCTGATTGCTGCAGATACGAGGTCTTCAGTGATTCACTTTAAAAGAAAAGGGATCGGGACTTGAACCCTGGAGCCATCAACTCAAAGTTGGGCTTATGAACTTGGATCTCTGCAGTACAATTTAACCGATGTGTGTGTGTATAATGGTCTTTTTGCCTGTTATGTCACTCCTTGGTTAATTTCCAAATACTTCTTATCCTTTGAATCTGTCCGCCTTAAGCTGAAGGTTTGGTGAGTCAGAGAACCATAATAATTTCTATAATTTAAAACAAATATGACATTGCATAAAGCTTGCATAAATTCAAACTGTGTCTATCTGTTTTGTGATATGATTATTTCAGGCAGATCGAGTAAATAGACTAAATGGGACATATCCAGCTGTATCAAGCAGTCAGACTGTAGGTTAAAAACTCTCTTGCTAGTGAAGCGATGGTGACCTTTAAGGAGAAGAAGCCCCTTTGACGCATGATACATATGATCTCCAGTTTTCAAGTTTTTACCACCAAATCTGTTTATCAATGCAGACTCTTTTAATTCAAACACTGCATTGTTTCTTGTTTTCCAACAGGTGTATTTCTGGCAGCACTAAAAACAAAAAATACCAGTATGCAACTTGTCTGTGCTTCAGTAGAAGTAAGATGAACAAAAGTGTTCCTCCTTAGAAGGAACTCTGCTTCTTTTGTGAAGTTAAAGCTCTCATGAGGAGTTTTAGGTTTGTGTCAGTTATGGCGCCCCCCGATGGACAGAACAGTCTTTGCTTATCTTGTCCTCTACATGCTTGTGTTGTGACAAAGAAATCTCCTCCTGCTCACATCTGACTTTCTAATATTAAGATTTTAAAATACTTCTAAACACAATATCCTGATACTTCCAACTACTCTGCTACAAGATTATTACAAGTTCCATACTTCAAGAATCAATACAACTTCAAAGTTATGAAAGTTTCTTGCATTTCAAACTCCAGCAGAGTTTTTGTAAAAGAGCACAATATTTTAAAAAGGGATGAAATGACCAGATCACTTAAAGGTCATGGCAACATCAACAAAATACAGACGCAAAAGAGTTTGGTATTAGTTTTTCAATAAAGTCTGCTCTGTAAATCATCCCCTACAAAACCCAGATCTGTCCATCATTTCATTTGTGAGTACATAAAAGGACAATGTCCTTAAACAGCACAAACAGCCTAGAAATCCCAAGGCATTGAGAGGTTACAGTTGGACATTTAACTGGATAATAAAGCTTAACACCTGATATTAGCAAACATCCACCAGGCTTAAGTGTCCTTGAGCGAGACGCTGAACCCGAACCAGCTCCAGTGAGTGCATGGCCACTGTGTTACTGGCTATGACCCTTGAACTCCCCCGCATGAGGGCAACACCAACATTTCCCTCCACGGTGATCACATTATAAACTCCCTGCTGCATAGAAAAACATCCAATTATTGCTATAATACTCTGTCAGCATAAAAAAAAGAGCAGCAGAAGTGGAGGCAGGGTAGTCTCTCTATCTGGTCGAGGCGAGACAAGTCTGCCTGCCTGCTGCCTCTGACATCCACTACACTGAACTGCCTTAGATAAACTTTACAGAGCAGCTCCAACGGCTGTTGCAGCAGGAAAGAGATAGTCAGCACATCCACTCTGCTTATGGGCCTCCTTTGCTCATCCACAGGTGAAGATTTCAGAGAAGCAGTCTTTTCCTCGAGTAAGAAATTACATTAACAACTTAGACTGCCTCATAGCAGAATACTGTATCATCCACCTGCTGGTTTTTTATGAACCACTTTCTGGCACAAATGATTAAACCACACACTCAGCTGAGAATCTGTCGCGTGTAAGTCTCATGGAGGTTTAACAAATCAGATCATGAGTTCTCTTTCTGTGGCAGATATTTCTGGTAATGTCAAATGTAAGCCTATTAAGATGGGCATTAAGAAACAAATTTGCTTTACCTGTGTGGAGGAGAAGTCCCAAAATGAATAAGAACACAGAAAACTCAACACAACTTAGATACTATGACTGGAAGAAGTGATCTAAACAAGTGTCATCATGACTTCCAAGAAGACTATTTCATCAAACTGGAGATCTACTGCCTCAGAGAAAAGGCTGTACAAAAGTCTGAAATATGAAGCTGGATAGAAGCTGTGTGTAGCCGGTATGATAATCAGAAAGACCTCAATTGACTTCAGCAGCACAACAAAGCCTACACATGCTCAGGTGCTTCCTACTGCAGCAGAAGTGACCCTGGTTATCCCGGGACAAGCCTCAGGAATCTAACTACCTGCACTGAAAGTAAACTTTGTGAATTGCGCAAATAATTTCCAGCCGTCGCCTGTTCTAGAAAACAGGACCTACACTACAATTTCAATGATAATGTCCAACCATTCCTATGCTGCAGAGGTGTAATCCTCTGTAAGCAGGTGCTAGTTGTGAAAACAATCGTTGCATGATGTGGTGAGGGAGATGAAAAAGGCACAAACAACCAAAAACCACAAGTGCCAGCTGTTAGGGAGAGTTGCGCTCGCACCAGACTCCCATCACTGGCAGCTGACTGTGTTGAGACTTGGAGGCTGAATGCTGAACACATTTCAGCACCCAGAGCGGCTAAATTATTAGAGCTAAATCAAAACTCAACACCCTGTGGCTCTATCATTTAGAGACCGTTGTTAGTTTGTGGCCTGAGGACATTTCAGACAAAATGCTCAAGTGTAGTTCTACAAAACTATGGAAGATAATTCTCTTTTATGAAGGCAGATCAGTGTGTTTAATCCTTCAAAAAGAGGGTGAATGAGTCCATATCTACCACATCTTGGCAAATGTAAATACTCAAGACCTTGCTCTGGCTTGTCATAATATTGTACTAGTGCTGCTTCCTCACAGAGGGGAGCACAGATCCTGCTGACTGCATCTTAACGTTTGTAAACACTTCCCACATGCTACCTGAGAGGCAGAGAGCTGCATGGCCGTGCTACTTACCGAAGGTAGTACTGTTTTAAAGCAAATGCAGCGTTGGAACAACTCCTTGGAAAGTGAAACTCTTCCCCAAGTTCGATCCATTGGTTTTTGTCTGAGACCTGAAAAAGGAGGAGAGGAGGAGATGGTCAGGAGATAAACACTGACAACAAGAAAAAGAGCGGTAACACTTGGAACCATCTGGTCTGCTACAGGTTCCTTCAATGAGGCAAAACCAGCACTCCTTATCAATAACTCCCATAAACTACTGATTAAAACTCTAAAAGGGAGTAAACATCGAAGCTCCTGCTAACACTTCAAGTCAAACTGCTTTAATTTGCAACTTAATGAAGTCTGTTTTGCGAACATATTTACATTTGACACATCAGTGAGTACAACTGCTTGACTCCCTTCAGGATACTATCGTTACTGTTAAAGGCTAGTTAGCACTCTTGCTAACGAGCTAACTTGGCTTTTCTATATTGGTGTTAAAAGCTAACGAGGCTAACGGTCCGCCAACGGTCCAATCCGTCAAAATTCGAACGCTTCAGTTCGCAGCGAGCCGTTTGAATTCGGAGTATGTTTAGGTACCGTTTACAGTATACACTACATGGGCCTTATGAGGCCTACATTTTGTGACCAGCCATGAAGCCGAAAGAAAGATGGCTATGGCGAGAATGAGAAACGAAGCGTCCCCCTCCTGCGTTAAAACTGCCGGTAAAAAGCCCGGGCGAGACGCTATGTCCTCCGCGGTGTGTCTCCAGGCCGGGCTCCGTGCCGATAATCGATGTTAAACGTGCCCGCTAATTTTGAGTCGCTCCAACTGCACTCTGACTCCGAGCGGCTGGACACTCAATTCAAAGCACACAACAACACAAGCCACCACATTGCATAGAGATACATGGCACAACTAGCACAAGGCCAACACCGACCCACTAAACGCTGTTCTGGAGGATTACACTTGTCCCGGGGAACCCACACGGAGTTGTGTAGTGGTCCACGGTGGAGTCCACACACGGCAGAGTGTGGAGGAAAAACACTTTTAGTTCCCACTCACCTTAGCAAATCCACCTAAAGAGACGACTCTGATATAGAGCGCATTGAGATCCAGCTCTTTCCCACCCACGAAAGGAATCGTCTTGAACGGCGATCTGAGGGGATAACACAAGAAATAGATGCACATATGTTTAAATAACACTTCTGGTTAACTCGCAGTCACATGCAATGAAGATTTAAAGTTACATTTCTTGGGAATAAAGACGCCCGAATCTCACCCTCTGCTTTGGTGAAATTGCCGCAGCTCGTCCAGGAAAGCCTGTCCTTTCCTTCGCTGATCTGGTAGATTTTTCCCCGTCGAATTTGCCATTGTTTTTGCATGCAAAAACGGTTAAACCCCACTTCAGTCGCTTCTTAAGACACCAAGGATCCCATACTCCGCCGGCGCTCAGTCATTCGCGAAGCTGAGTGTTTAAAAAGTTAAAGAAATAGCTGATAGCAAGAAGAGCGGCAGCTCGCTAATAAAGACTGATGCACACAGAAAGCAAGCCCGATTCAACCCCGGACTAAGTTCCAACGAACAGTCACAAATACGACCGATTTACCGGCAGATTAGAAACGCCATGGCAGGATGTGTAGAATAAATGCTTTTGGTCGCGGTTGTATTCGTTTGGAGTGGTTTGACAGTGTGTTACGGACGCAGCTCCGAGGCTATCGCACACACTGTAGAGCGGCAGAGGGATCCAGTTCTCAGACAAAAAGATGTGAAGGCCGCGGAGCCCGGCCTGCCATGCGTGCAGCGCCCTCTATGGCCAAAAGGAGCACTGCACCGTCCAGAGCAGAGCGGGTGCTGGAACAATAGAGACTGTTTTCTTTTTTAGGGACCGTCTGACAACTTGTCTCTGTTTGGAAAACGGGTCAGGAGGTAGTTGGAAATGTCCCGTGGGGGAGGGGATAACACCAATTAACATAGTTCCCTTGTTGTCCTAACAGGAGTATGGAGGGCAACCACACTTTTTATACTTTAACACTATATTTTGGGACCCTAAATGAACGATTGGGAAACATTAAAAACTATTACAACAGTTTCTGCTCAGACCTGATAGGGTATTTCCAACAAAACTCTTCCTGAATTAATCCTGTTATTTTAACAGTATTTTAAACACAACTTTTGAACCACTCATCAATACATTTTTTTGTCTATAACTTAATCTTTCATGAGTGTCAAGACCAACTATTTGTAATAATTAATTCTACTGGGCTTAATAGTAAGAAATGCATATAATTTGTTATAAAGCAAACTTTTATTTCAGATCTTTTTTTCCCCTCTTTTATATTTTTCTTATACTTGTCTTTTTATACTGTTCTTCCCTTGTAGCCTACTACTCTTTCTTTCTTTTGTTTTAACTATAGTTCTTTATCTTGTTTATATGAAAGTGTATGTTGTGTGTACCGCTGCTGTTAACTTAATTTTCCCACTGAGGGATGACGAAAGGAAAATCTAATCTAATCTTTCTTCATTTTATGTCATTATGTCTTATCTCTCATAAAGAATGAATAGCTGAAAGTTTTAAGGAAATATTTTTTGAGAGCATCACACAAATCTAAGTGCAGGTGGAGCTTAATTTATCATGGCTTGACACAAAATAAACGTTTTGATGGGGATTTTAGATGATTAATAGTTTTGAAAAAATATGTGAATACATTGTAGACTTAAATGATAACTGCTCGACCTATTTTTTGACTTTGAGAATAATTTCTACATTTTTTGAGATATTATTCTGATGATAAATCGTTGCTATGAGCTTGTCTATGCTTTAGTAAGCAGCCCCTATCCCTTGCCTCCCACTTCAAACCGACTTTTATCTCACGGGCTGGTTGAAAATTACTCCTGATCCCTTCTCCCTGTAACTGCCAAGCGGATATCTTCTTGATGGGGTTACATTCAACCATTACACGTACCCCTTTGCTCAATGAAAAACCTGTCACAAAATGGCGGAGACGTACGTTAGCAGACCCCATTTTGAGGAATTGACACTAGACAGCGGAAAAGTGCGTGTCCTTGCGTGTGGTTTTCCAAAAAAGTGCTCTTTTTGGGGAACAAACGGCAGCACACCCGAGTTCACCTCCCGCCTGTTTGGACTCCCCAACCGTCATCCGAATTCTGGGCTAACTGACGGTCGCGCTCTAGCTCGGCCAGCGTACGTTAGCATGCTTAGCTGAATTACAACGTAGATGTTTGAGCAGTTTTTGCTTTATTAACAACTAACCTAACTTGTCGACAAGGCATTTTACCGCTGTTTCAAGCCGGATTTTAACAACTTTTTCGCCGGCTAACCGGAAAAATATAGTTATAGGTGACTCGCGTGAGTGCTAACGTTAGCAACACCAGCGTCTTGCATCAGACTACAACTCCGCTCAGAGACGGCTTATAATGTCAACTACTTTACAATACAAACAGCTCACCTTCAAGCGGATAAGATGCTTTCGTCTGTTATGATACGTCTAATTTAGCACCACACACTCGGTAATTTTATCACAAATGAACCGCAAGCGTATATCGGTTGCTGTGTCATTCGTTTAAAACACGCTATTTGCTTTCGAAACCGTTAGCCATTGTTCAAGATAACTATTCTACTTAACTTATTCTAATGTGATAGTTAACATTGTTTGGTGCTCATTTAATCAGATATACTTATGTCTTTTACAACGATGTTGGCGCCGAGGGAGTTAATAATACTAGTTAGTGTATGATGGCAGAAGACCATCTTTGAATCAGCAACGACGCCTGATCGTGTTAGTACTATTACAGTAATGTACCATCATATTATCTTTCCCCTCTTAATTTCGGCGGTAATTTGCCGTTTTTGATTACAACGTACTAGATAACCACTGCGATTTCTGTTGTAGTTCCTCGATAAGGATAACACCGACCAGCCATAACAGTGTTAGCACCTGGTAAACCATGTAATCCATAAAATAATCTCTACCTCAAGATCTGCTCTATAAAAACATCTAAATTACTTCATTCAAAAAAAGGAAATTCGTATGACAGGTAAAAGTTGCTCATCAGCGGTGATGCATGCATTATAGCTGTAGGTGTTCCTAATATTTTGCACCACGTATGTTTGTTGAATGAACCGGACAAAATATAAGGAACACCTCTCTGTATGAGACACAGTGAGTAGTACACGGTTGTCAATCACTGCATCTTCAATATTAAAGTAGGCCTACAACAAGCACCTGTCTTATATCACCAAAAGATTTAGAAGCTTCTTGAAAGTAGGCTTTGTCGTAGGGCTGGATTGCATAATATTGCCCAGGCTGTGTTTACAATGTTATGGCTAGTAGGTGTATTTTGTTTTTTACAGTAAGTGCTTGAAAAGAAGGATATAAGTTTGATTTGTTAAATTAGATTTGAATAGTGAAATCATCAAGGAAATCCCTGTAGTATTATGCAGGCTTTCTGAAACAATGGCCCAGCCTACCTATTGGGTTTACATTAAGGGATTTTTATTTATTTATTTGTGGCGTTTATTCAGCTTGTGGTTTCATAACTCACTGTATGATATTCAGTTTGCTTGGAAACGGTAGTTGTGTTGCTTTATTTTATGGCTGAAAAATTTAATCCCCCCAAAAGCCATTTGTAATCACACGATGAGTCATTTTCTAAATGCATATTAGTGTCTCTCTGAACTTGTGTTATTTACTCCTAGTCTTAAATGGATGCTTGTAACACAAGATTCAATGTGCATCTTCAAGGCTGTGACTTTACTTATTTTAATGATTTTGAAAAACAATGTAAAACAGAAATTGTACTAACCTTTGTGTTAAGGACATTGTCCAAAAATGTATGAACTGACTTCAAGTAGATTATATCATTGAGCACTAGAGGCACCAAATATGTCTTTTACTGCCTTCCAGTAATGCACTTATCCCAACAAGATTACAAGCTTCATTTGACAGGCATAAGATTATTGCATGTATTAATACTCCAAAAGGTGTGCATTAAGGGAACTGTAAGGTTAAATTGTATAAATACGTAAAACCAGATTGAACGCTAGCTTAATCCTGATTATTTTTATAGCCGTTTCAACAGTATTTACAGTGTGATGAAAGCTGCGCAGTGGCTGTAAATGTACACTTGGAGGAAACTGCTTGGTCAGTTATGCCATCACACAGAGGTCCTCATCTGATGTGACAGCCAGGCCTCCTATGGCATATGGTGCAAATGGGGCCAGTAAGCCCAAGCTGCCCCCAAGTCCCCAGACAAAAGATCCCAGTGGGAAGCTAACTGCTTGTAACGTCCTTACACCTCCCCACTCCCTGTGGCCTCCTCACCCTCGGTTCAGCCTCTGTGTCGCTGAAGTAATGTTGAGTCATTTGGTGGAAAGTGGCTCCATCTTCTGGCAGCCATGCATCTCGTCTAAATGGGCGGATGGATTCACCTCATTGCGTTGGGAACATATTGTACTTGGAAGGATCAGTTGAGAGATTTTAAAGTGGATACAGTCACAGTCGGAGGGTGATGCATGCTGGGAGATTAGGGGAGGGAGCAGTGGCATGATAGTGATACTAATGCAGCCGGAAGTAATGCGGCAGACCTCCAGCACACTTGGTACTGCAGTTTAGAGGACTTGTTTTAGTTCATATTATTTATCATGGTTCTCATTAATTTATTGAACATAGATAATTAGACTAAATTGTCTAATTTTCCACAAGTTTGTTAATTTTGGCCTCTTATTAAGTTCAGATAAGGACATTTGACCAAATATGCAAATAACCACAAACTTACTGATATAAACTAGTTTGCAGCTCATTTCATTCACAAGACTAAACAAGAGCCTTTTGAAAATAAAAGAATATTTCAGCCGTGCTTCAAAATTAGTGATATTGAAGAGTAATATGGTATCTGAGGTTTTGCTGCAGGTCCAATGCAAATGAGAATTAACATTTTAGACCCAAACCTTATAGGATTAGTCTAAAATTATCATCAAATCTGAAGTAAGTTGAACAACTTCAGGTGACAATAGCCTAAACTGTTAGTTTCCAACATCATCTAGTGTGGAAAATTCAGCAACTCATCCCAAACCCAAATTTACATCGTCATTTATGATGTATTTATAATGTCTCGATTTATTTTCTGTCTTATTTGAGCATTAATCTGTGTAATGAAGTTTGAATTTTGCTCCGAGCGCAGCAATAATGTGTTTACAGTTATCCAGTGTAAGTGAAAATGTGAAATGATCTGGCTGTTCTGGATAGAAATAGTCAACTTGATATCACATAAAGCTTCTATAGAGATCCCCCTTGAGGCAAAGTTCTGCACATACTGGACATTCATCATGATTGCTTTGCACCTGCAGCACTCTTGATGAATATGTTTTTACATCAAGAAGACTGATTGTGCTGAACTGGGAAAGTACGGACCGCTCTCTTGCAATACCGAACTTTATATTCATTACTTTTTATAAAGAAACAAGATGGAATTCAAGTCGAAGGAAATATGAGAAATTTTATATATATTGGAAGAAATGTGGCCATGATAACTGAGAGAAAGAAAAAAAAATAACAGCACATTAACAAGTTTGGCTAATTATGAAAGTACTATGAAATAAATAAGGAGATAAAAATGAAAAGTTGATCAAATTAGTGTTTTTTTCTTTTTTGTAGCCCTGCACTACATTATGTTTTTGTAACCAAACTTCCTCATAAATAAAAGATTGCAAATTTCTCAATGTTTTCTTCTATTTTTGAGTTTTTTTTATATTTGTTTGTATCCTAATCAGTGTTGGATACTGTGGGAAAGGTGAGAGGAGTGTCACGACTGAATTTGTGGTGCCAAAAAACAAATGATAAAATGTGATTAAAACAAAGCTCCATGTCCATGAAATACTCACGAGCACCACATCAAAAATGATTGAACATGCTGTTTAATATGATATATAAGTAACCAACACCCAGAATAAAACACTTCCTGTGCGAATAATGTCGACTCTTAAATCATATTTTGATTATTTTGTTTTTTATTCTTCCACGTAAAATCCGCCCTCTTCGCTCTTTAACTGTATCAGTATGAAACTATGCAGCTGTTCCCATGTTATTACTGTGAGACAGTTTATTTTCAATCATCTACCTCATACCTACACCATTATTCATATATCTCATACAAATTGTACCAATGTTTAATTAACATACCCATTTTTGTATTTGCCTTGGTATCCTTAGACAGCTTATACTTCCCTACTCTCCTGTGCTGATGCAGACTGAGTCTGATTTTTGCCATATCAGAATCCAGCTGAAATAATTAAAAAATACACTGTAAAAATCTGTAAATTATGAGATTTAATTCACTGTTAGTGCCACTTGAGTCAAACTTAAATGGTCCCACTACTTATTAAAGCCATAATTTTACAATATGAAAGTTTGAATGAAGATGAATAAAGGATGAATAATTGAAATATGAATATTTTGCATATTTATAGACTGTTTAGGTGGACTTTGGAGAAAGAATTTTGATTTTCTGGTAGTTGAATTTGTCTAAAGTGATAACTGACTCAGACTATCCTTTAAAGTTTTGTGGTATTATGAGGGTCAGCTGCAGACTGCAGTTGGCTCTGGATCCAGTATAACTGTACGGGAGGGTGCTGGTCTGTCCTGGCTGTGTTTAATCTCTCCAATCATCACTTTTGTGGAAACTTTGAAGGATACTTTTTACAGATTTTTTAATTAGAGGACACAGTAGGGAGCCAAGATGACTATGAATGGTGAATTTAATGCTTTGACAAGTGTGAGATACTGAGCCCTCCATAAACACCTTCAGACTGAACTCTTTGAAACACTTTTCCTCACCAACCCTGTCTTGCTCTGATGAATTGCAGAAATATAGTTGCAAACCTTCTTCTTTACGCTGCAGTAGCAAACTGCATTGGTGCATAACCAGCATCTTTTGGTCCGTCATGATTACTGCAACGGCTCACAGATAAATGCATATTAAAGCTCCTGTGAGAAACTTCTGGTTTACATACATTTTAAAGACCCCTTTTAGACAAAACAGTCTTTCCTTCAAGCTGTTTCCTCAGCTGCTCGGCTGACACCTAATGTTTAAGAAAAAAGCAAGTCTTTTCTCTGAAGGACTTGTTTGATTTTTTATGTCATGACAAGAAATTAGTATGAGGTTCAGTCTGTTTCATATGCACCAATTAAGTCCTCATAGGAGCTTTAAGGTTCCACTAACACTAAATCTCTCTCTCTCTCTTGCTGCCTGACTGTTAGTTATTTAACCCTGTGTGTTCTAATCTCAATCTCCAAACATTTGTCTCCTTTCCTATTTCTGATTCTCTCCCTTTGTTTCTGCTAATATCCTCCTTATCATTGCTTAGGCTTCTGTTTTACCAAGTGTCAACTGATACGTCTGACTCAAATGCTTGTTTTGCACATTTATCTGCAAGTTCATTTCCTTTTAGTCCCACATGTGCTGAAATAAACCTATCATGTGAACCAACATTTATAACCCAAAATGATCACAGTGCATGAGAAAGATCTCCCTCATTCAGGCCTTCAGAAACAGACACAGTGTCTGTGTTTCTCTGTTTCCGTCAGTAGGGGGCAGATTTGTTTCAAGCTTTGGAACAGGATCACATCAGGGCTGCTCTAAGCTCTGCTGTGTGAGTCACTTACAATATTAAAACATGTGATAGGAACTGCTGCAGTGGCTTGGAGGTATTTGACCTTTATTCTCATGTTTCATAAATCTTTCCGCTTTATACAGAATTCCCATAATGCATCATGAAAACACAGAGCATCATTGTTCCACAGAAAAGATTGTTTTAGAGACTCTGATGGCAGATGATGATTTAAAGCTAATGACACAGATAGAAAGAGGATGGAGAATAGAGGGAAAGGTGCTCAGTGTGTCCCCCCTACAGCATAACGAAGAGCTGCTCCAGGTCTGAACCAGCTCAAACAAAGAGGAAAGTCTGGAGCCTACTTTTAAAGGTAGAGAGGGTGTCTGACCTCTGCACCTCGACTGGTCGATGATTCCAGAGGAGAAAGGCCTGATAACTTTGAGAGACGATGAGCAGACCACAATGTTCTGGGTAATAGGGGATTCAGAAAACTCCACAAAAGGTGACCAGCTCTGTGTCATGATGTGGAGTCTCACTATATGACTGAAGTAAGAAGAAAAGGCAGACAGTAAAACTCCTCTGCGATCATAAACCAAACCCTGTTCAAGCCCTGGCTGTAGAGTTCCTCCATCTAAAGAAATACTTCATCAAAAGACACGTACAACTTTTTATTTCTAGTTTAAACACGAAGCCTACAAACACAGTATTAACATGAAGTCTGAACCATCAAATGTGTTAATATACAAACCTTTTGTCTCCCTGTAAACAGCTTTAAGTACTCAGGTATCACATTTTTAAGAAGACTGAAACTTTGAGCTCAGTAAACATTATTATGCAGTGATTTATAAGAAGTCTACGATAGTAAAAAAGCATGAATTAATTCTATATATACATGTTTAGATTATTAACTGCATATTTGGGTTATCAGCTGCCTTTTTGTTTGAGTTTTTGTGAAGATATGACCCTAAATCTGTTGTTTGCAGATTGACTTTGTGTTTTTTTGTCTGTTTTTATCAGACACACTGTTACTGATTAGCAGCTTATCAGGTCTGTGGGTTTGCGGAGGTCGAACGCTGTGTTTGCAGAAGAGGAGCTGCAGGTCCCTAAACTCCCACACACAGAGCAAATGTTTAATCTGCCCACCGATGCAGCAATTCAATAATGTAGAACCAGGAAAATTCAGCGAGAAGCGGTTCAAGTTTCTATTCTTTCACATTTACAGTCTCAGTAAAATGTCACCTGCTCTCATTGTGAGTTTTCTATAGTCGACACCAGAACAAGATCCAGTTTCAGGAGCTTAAAGGGGGTCAGCTGGCAGGAGGAGAGCCCGGCAGCTGGAAGACTGGCTGTTTCCTGAAGTATTTATAACAAAAAGAGACTGAAGAGGAGAGAGGCTGCCATGGTTTCAGTCCACAATGGTGAGGGTGCGGCTGAAACTCAACACAGACCTGTGCTCCTTCCCCCTCATGAGCTGAAAACCCCCCAGAGAGGAAAGAACTGGATCTCATCCAACTTTGTGTTTGTTATTAGCAGAGTATTTTGTACAATATTGTTATACTTAAGAGTCTTAAAGTGCAAATAAGCCTATGTAAAACCATTTATTATTTGGCCCCCACATTGTAAGCCTTTGTATATTGTTTTAATATTCAACCCTGCTCAACATTTTCCATCTTTCATGTTTCTTCTCCGTTTGCTCTCAGTGGATGTAACCACTGACCTGCATCACTCTGCATTCATCACTATCAACAACACCCCAACGGCAGTGAAAGTGGGCGCTTACATCCTCACACAAACTGAACATTTGATTCAGGTCATGAAATTCAGGAAAGAATACAAAATATGTCCATTACTCTGAAAGGTGACATCAGTAAATCGATGTTATATGGGGAATCTTCCTACATGGACACACACAGTATGGTGTGAAAAAGCAAAACGGAACAATTGAGCTTCATTCACAACATTAAACTTTATAAACGTTCTCACTCTGTAGATTTTTTAGAAAATGCTTGTACAAGAGAGACATTTTACTTCTTAGCAATTCAATTCTTTCAGAATTCACACAAAAATTGTATGCATATAAAAGATCCTGCAAGAATGACTACAGAAAAACGTGTTTTGTACCACTTTTGGATTGTTGAGGGGTTTCAAAAATAGGATTTGAAAAATGGGGGGAAAAGTATGGAAAATTTCAGCATACTAAAGACATTAAAATACTGTATATACACACATATGTAAATGAATAAAATAGTTAAAAATTTTTTAATAAAAACAAAAATAAATATATAAATAAATAAAAACACAAGACAAAAACAACAATAAAAACAACTACAAACAAACAAAGCAGAAAAAAAATTCATCAGCATATACATATCTTTATCATTTACCTCTGGGTATCATTTTTAATCTTCATAATCTACCTCCATTGGTAGATGGAGGGAGTGGGAGAACAGGTTTTAAAGGAAGTTTTTAAAGAAGCTTGGGAAAATTATGCTGCAAAAAGAAGAGAAAAAACACAAAGAAGTTGATGTAACAACTTAGAGTCAATTTTCCAACCTGATTCACTCATTTAAACTGTCGTAATGGTTTAATGTCTGAATTTCTATGAATGGAAGTTTTTATTCAGTGAAATAACTCTCAGGTGTGTCTCTGGCCCCGCCCCCAGCTCCTCGAACGCTCTGATTGGCTGGTTCGAACAGCGCAGCCCACAAACACACAGCAGCGGAGAACATGAGTAACTCTGCTGCTGCTGCTGCAAACCGGGACGTTCACCAACTGAACATTTCCCACAAGGAACAACGGTCCCACTTCATCGCAAACCACCTGGATTTTCTTCTTGAAGACTCTTCTCGCTCCTGTGCTGCTGGTGAGTCACAAACTTTAACTTTATACGTGGATTTAAAAGAAAAAATGAAAGTTTTTCCTGAAAGTTTTCGCTTGAGTCGCTTAAAAGTTCCTCCACTCACCCCAAAATCCATGAGGGAGCCTCGTGGACGCTGTTAAATGGGAATGAGATCGAAAATGAAACTAAGACGTTTATTTTAATATTCATATGACGTTTAAAATCTCATTATTGTAGCGATAAAGTCAGGTAAAATGCAGAGAGTTGGAAAATAACGCGATGTTTCAAGTTATGTTTGAGAGTTTCACATTTATTTCGCCTAACTTATCCATAGAGGATGCTAAAACTTTCATTTGGTGTATTTAAATGCTCATTATTTTTATTTTTTGCCTTATTTTATGTGTTACTGTTTTCCCCTTCAACACCTGTAATCTGCAGCACAATAACATCCCAGTTTGTATATCCATTTATCTATTAATGCTTTGTTTATACTTACCTGTTAAACAGATCTCTCACTTTACTTTCCCAATGAGCTACAATTACATTTAAATGAAGCTGCTCCTTAAACCAATTACCACCCCTGCTGTGTGCAGATTTCACTCTTACATAATGACACTGACTGACCTGAGCGTGTTTGTGTTGATTGTGAGACAACAGTGTGTACTATGAGCACATTTATCCTTGATTGGCAGGTGGACATTAATAGGTAAGAGGATCAGCGGTGTAGTTGTGCATATCTAAGTTAGGAGACAGTGTTTCCTGCAGAGTCGCATGAGGATGGTGTAGGATAAAGTGGATGTTGTGTTTGTTTTTGAGGCAATACAGTATAATACAGTCCTCAATGCAGTTTCAGTCATTAAAGTGATATTCCGGCGTAAAATCAATTTAGGATCAAACACAAACATCAATCATACCGAGACGCTAAGGCAGAAGAACTACGTCTGCAGAGCAAAATGATAAATATGGTGATTATTACTTCAAAGAAACGATAAAGAAATTATCATAAATGTTCTTCCTTGAGCTGCGTCACCCCGCTGTAGTCCGTAATGGACTGGCCTGAGGTTTCGCTACAAACAAACGGCTGCTGGAAGAGAGTAGGTGAGTTGTGTTTAGTCTCTTTGCTAAAGAAATTAGGGAAAGTAAAAAAGATGTTTGGTGGCTAGTACTATGGCTGGGACCCTGTACTGTTGATGAAGTTAGGTGCTGTTCTGAGCATTATTTGTGGCTATAGAGTGGCATTTTGGTTGAGGTTTGTTTATGGCTCCTGAAACCACTGTGTATTGCTATCGTACAGTCGTTACTGAAGTTGGTAAAACTAGAGAAGCACGCGGTCGGGTGTCTAACTCGTTGTTACGGTGTGTTTGACCCTAAATTGATTTACACTGGAATATCGCTTTAAAGCTCCTGTGAGGTACTGTTGTTTGAGTTGGTTTTGGCGCCCCCTGCAGACAGGGTTCATGTCAAGGTGGCACTTCCTAACAAAATAAATGTGGAACTGCTTTCTTCTACGGGTCAGGGGTATTGCACACTGTAAGTTTTCGCCTTTTTAGAGGATACAAAAATGTGCTTCTTTAAGAGCTCGTCCTCAGAGGTAGCTGTGCTAATAGGGGTGAGCAAGGGAGCCTCTAAACTCCGATCTGACGGCTAAATCATTAAATATTGATATTCCAACACACTGAACCTTTGCTACTGGTGCCAGAGTCCTCCGTATCTGTCAAGACTCAATTTTTTGTGAGACTAATTTGAGATTATTTCAGATTATTATGCGTTATTCACCTATTCAAGTGCAGGTTGAAGGCTGTGATCGTTGCTAATGATGAAATTACAGCACCCTCTACTGGACAAACAATGTTGTGACACAATATAAATCTTGTGAAACATTCTGTATATGCCAATACCAGTCTAAAATTAGGGCCCATTATGCTCTGAGGCTCGTGTTCCCATTGTGCCAGAATAATTGAGAAGGGTGCATAAATTTGAAGTCCTGATATGCGACAGTCCTGGTTTCCTTAGAGAGGAAACTATGATGAAGTAAAGCCGGGGCAGGTGCTTCCACACACCAGGAAAAGACCAGTTCACACACTTCACCTCAGACCCTGGTGGTTCGGTTTATTTTTGTCCTCACAACAACAATAACAAGTTTAATGTGTTCGACCTTGTGTTGGAGTCTTTTCCTTTTTTTCCCTCATTCATACGAGTCTAACGTGAAGCCGTGGTTTAGAGTGAATGACTCTTTCCACTTTAAAATCTAGTGCATGTCATTGCTATTTTATGTTACTACTATTACACACGGAGTTCATGAAATTTTAAACTCAGTATTTGAAAAAGGGGAAGAGGCTGAATGAGAGCAGGCGTGTTGCTGTTATTCATCCTCACATGCTGCTCATGGAATATTAACTATTTCCTTTTTTAGTTATATATCTCATGAGGATCACATCCAGAGACTTTCACCCTCTGAATCTATCCAAACATTATTCTGCTCATTGGTTTAGTTTGTCCTTATATGAAACTGTTAAAATAAGAGTCAGAGATGAAGTACACAAAACCAATCTAGACTTTGGTCGTATTCTTTAGGGTTTGTTTGCCTTGAGAACAAAAATACACTCTCAGAATTTTAAGTTTTAAAAGTTTTACCCTCTTTTCCCCCCAAAATTTTTATTCCTAGATGACAGCGATTTGTTTTTCAGCTGGGAAAACCAACAAGAATGAATGATAAAGTAAATCAATGAGCTGAAATTAGTTTTTTAAGTATAATTTTTGGGCCTTTTGTCTTAATTTTTTAGGACAGCTTCAAGAAAAAGACAGGAAACATGAAGATAGCGAGGGTCAATGACGTGCGTCAAATCATGTTGTAGCCAGGATTCAGGAATCAATCCTCGGACTGTAGCTCTGTGCATGTGGCACCTGCTCAAATGAGCCAAACCAGCACCCTTTAGTAACCTTTTCAGAGCTGATCTTGCACTAATATAACATGCAAAGGCACGTCTTCTGCATTGGAAGGTTTGTAAAATAAGGCTTGAGTACAGAACCTGTCTGCCAGCACTGAGGCGTCTCTGATTGGTTCATAAAAGTTGGTTTATCTGCAGTTTAGTTTGACCAGGAAGTAAATAAAACAGAGTTTAATGGTCACTGTATACCTGACTGAATACAGAGAGTATCTGGGTGTGTTAATTGGCAGAGTTATTACGTGAAAAAAGTTTAAAAAACAGCTGTTTTCACTGTTACTTTAAAGCTGCAGTAAGGAAGTTTTTTTGTTGACATTGGCGCCCCCTGTAGACTAAGAGAAACCTCTTCTCTCTTGTCCTGTACATATGAAAGCTGAGTTTTCAGACCTAATCCTGTTTTCTTTATTCATTATTATTATCATTTTAAGTTAAAACAAGTTTATCCACCAGCTTGTAAACTTTATGTCACTCGTGGCTCTAAGTTCACCGGGTCAAAGTGAAGGTGTCACAGTAACGTTGTTGTCCCCTGTCAGCCTGTATAACGATCCGTCACCAGACCAGCAGAAAAACAATACACCAGTGTGTTGGAGACAAAGCTGTCAGTGAATGAGGAGCGGCCCTAATTCCAACTATCTTCATAATCACCATCTGCTTGATGTTTGGCATCAGGCCTCACAGCTCGAGCCTGCCAGGGTCCCGAAAGTTAAGACCGGGGCTCTCTCACAAACACACACAGCAGATGAGACAAAGAGGGCTTAATGAGTTAAAAATGCACGTGGGCACATATGGGCTGTGATGCTGCGTGTGTGGACACAAAAGAGATGATAATGAAATCTTGGATTAGCCCTCATGTATTTAGGGTACGGCTTTGAGGAGGGGCTGGTGAGAGGTGGGCGTGGCTGCCTGTGGTTAAGTGTGTGTGCGTGTTTTAAATGGTTGTTTGGTTTTGTAGTGGATCATGCATTATAAAATGGTTTGGATTAGCATCATTTGGACGCTGTGAGATAAAGGAGCGATCACTGATTTATTTCTGAGTGCTTCAGGTCTTCTCAAGAACTTTTTATCCCATTTGATAAGTGAGGTTGTTGGTCAGTAATATTTGTAACAGGACAGAGAAGTGGAATAGTGTGTTTTTACTAACGCTAATGTTTTGGTTAGACTTTTCGCTCTTGCTCTTCAGCTGGTTAATACTGTGTCCAAACTGACCACTCGTCACCTGAATAAGTCAATATTACTCAAAACGTGGTTGGAAACCGATCACCTGAAGCCATTTTGGTCTAAACAAACCATAAACATGAATAAACCAACTCATTTATCCCCTCAGTGATCAGGCAGCTAAATGCTGAGAAGTAGCGGATTGGTGGCCTGTGTTGGATTTTAGGGTGTTGAAACTGGGTCTCAGGATTGTTTGAGTTCTTATTTTACTCCTTTTTATTGCATTATTTCTTGTTGCATTTTGATTATTCCACTGTTGAACATATTGCACATGTATTTATTATCTAGTTATTGATTTATTGCTGATTTGTGGTGCTGACTGGAGAACGTTTGGGCCGTATGCTGCTGTGAATGTTTGGTATTTGTCTGTTCCTTGACCGTTTAATAACAAAGCGGGTTACTGTGAAGTGAATTGCCCTTCTGGTCTTAATAAAGTCATCTAAATCTGAATAAAAAGTCGTTTATTTATTAGTTTGATCGTTGTAACCTAAAAGCTTTCTTTCCCAATTCAGTTTGGACTTTGAAAAGAGCACTGCTCAACTTCCAGTGAACACGGTGGTGAGCTCCATCCTTCGGGGGTGAAAGAGAAGAATTGTAGTCCAGTATTTTGCTCAGAGTGGCATAATTCAGTATTTAGGATTGAATCGTTTTATATGCAGAAGAAGTCAGGTGGAAAAGTATAAAGAGCTCAGAGGTTCACTCCAGGTTGTGGTTGGGGGGTAAAGTCCTTAACTCTGCACAACGAGGACAAATTTCCATCAATAATTAAGATTTAATGATCCCAGTGTCGTCTGTTAGAAAATCTAATCTAAGAGGAAATATTTCCTTTTTCTTCTGTTTCATGTTTCTCTTGTTCGGTGACACTTTTAATCACTTTATCGCCATGACGCCATCAGGAAGCAGATTTCTCCCACCATGTCTAAGTTGTGGTGAGGCTGATTAAGGTGAAAGGTGCCCCAGTTTTCAAATCCTATCCTCATCCCAACACACACACTCACACACACACTCACACACACGCTCTAACAAGGATTATTTTATGACAAACAAAGGTGGCTAATTAGGCTGAGCTCCGCGACCCTTGACCCCTCAGGTCTCCTTGGCTCGACCTTCTGTGAATGGCTTTGGAAGGGGAGACGGGGCTTATCTGAAGTGACCCTGATGAAGCCTGTTACACGGCGGAGAAAATAGGCCGTGATTATTGGCAGAAATCTGAGGCGTCATGAAACTAAATGAATGTTGTAAATCAGTCGGTTTCTGCAGCTGCCAAAGGTAACTGAACTAATGATGAGGCGCACTTCTGTTCACGATGAGATGTCAGTTTCTCATAACTGATCAGCTGTGTGTGAGTGTGTGTGTGTGTGTGTGTGTTAGGTGTGTGTGTTTAGGTTCTTCAAACTGCCGCTTCTGACACTGCAGTTAGTCCACCGCTGTGTGAATGTGTGTGAGATCAGCAGAAACCTCTAAAGCAGGCGTCCTGCCAGGTCTGCTGCAGCTTAAAGGGCGCAGCGCCTCTGTGGCGGTCACTGCAGATCGCCTCTGTTAAACCGAGCGCTGACGTCACGCAGAAAGAAGATGACTCTTAGGAAAAAAACAAAAAAAAACAAAGGATAAATCTCTAAATGTGTGTTACTCGGACAAAGTGAGCTGTATGTTTGCAAACCAAACGGGGACATATGATGTGTCATCTGACTTCATGCACACACTCAGTCCATTCATTCAAGTGTAACCGTCGGGCTCGGAGACTCTGCTCGCCTGAATGAGGATCTCTTTTGAGGAAGCGTAGTTTAGATATCCGCTCAGTTTGTCCTCGAAGCGTGCTCATGGTTTCATATCTGTTGTTCAGAGCATCTGTCATCGTTATAGTGAGGATTTCTACAGATAAGGGAAGTCAGGGAGACGGAGTGAATGGGATTTTTTTTCCCCCACTGACTAGTCTAAAGATAAGCGAACATGAGCGAAATCTCCAGCCTTCAGTCTGGACTGATCAGACACAGACTTCCTAAAACTTCGTCTTCAGATCGTAGATCAGCTAAACTGTCCTTAGAGATGTCATCAATTATCTGTGCCTGCTTACATCCAGGCAGTCGAGCGTTATTACAGTATGGTACAGCTCTGACATATGACCAGCAAATCAGAGAATATCACTTCTTTAACCACAGGTACCAATATCGATGATCTATCAGTTAGGCGGTGAGGCAGCACGGCAATGAAGAATATGATGATGATGATGATGGTATACCTGCTGCTCGGGTTTATGGACTGGAGGAAAAAGAAGAATCGCAAATAAGGCTGCAAGCTCGATTTTGATTCTTGCAAAGGAGTCATTCTCACAACTCCTCCAGTGACGTCAGCCTTTGGCCAATCAGTAACCTGCGGTCTGATGACATCCTATTTTCAGCTCGACTTACCTGGGATTTCCGCCGCATTAGGAACGGCTCCGATCTGGAACGGCGCGATTTTCGCTGTACACCAATTCCTACAAGATCTGTTTGTGAGGCGAATTTCGTGGTGGATTACAGACAGAAGGAGAACTCACAAGAACCCGCGGATTCACGTGTAAAGCCACATAGGCTAACCATATAAGCAGTAGACTGTGTCCTTCCAGAGGAGGAAATCTACTTCTAGACTTCTAGAATCAGCATCTCCTCATCCATGGTGTCATTAGGGTGAAATGACGTCTAAAAACCTTTCACTTGTTTGTCCTCGCCCGTTTGCATGGTGTGAAATATGATCCACCTGAAACACGGAGTGTTTTATTTTGAAAGGAATCCGGATGTTTTATTTTGTGTCCTTGACTTCCTTTCCAGCACGGGTTAATCTGTGCTGAATTTATCTGGCATGCTCCGGCGTCCGGAAAAAATAGAACTCTTGCGATCATCTGCGGAATCCAACGATCCGCAGCGCAACCGAAAGAATCTGGTGGAAATTGACACATTAACTTGAATGGTTACGATCGGCGGATACGGCTCTTTTATAGCTGTTCCGAATGTGGTGGAAAAAGAGTCATGTATAAATCCATTATTCCCTGCAGGTTAAAGTCAAATATCTTGATATTTGATGGATTTTTGAAGAATTGATGATACTAAAGGCTCCAGAAAACGTCTCATTTTAATCTCTCAGAACAAAAGAGGTGCTGCTCTTGATCGAGTCAGTTTTTCCTCTATTATATTAAGTTGGAAACAAGCGAACCTCCTTTTAAAACAGCAGATCAAACTGAGCCGTCGACCACCAGATCTCATGGTCTACTTGGTACAATTACTGTTTTAGTCCGAGGAGTCTGGTGACTCCGAGGAGAGTGATGTAAAGCTGAATTTGGTTAAATAAAACACTGTTTCACCATCTCTTTACTATTGTTACGAGAATCTTAAAATAACAGTCTGAGCTTGTAGGTGGAAAAACTTTGACTCAACCACTTCTTAGTCAGTCAGCCCCGCTTGTGAAAATAGTGGAAGTCCCCTTTTCGTTTTATATGTTTCATTGAGAGACTCTTGACTTCCTCTTGTTTCCTCAAATCTGCCGCTGGGTCGAGTCTTTTCTCTTGGGAAGCAGAGGCCGACATGTTTTGAGTAAATACACGGCTGATTTTATCTTCATTATGACGCCAAGGACAATCTTATCTCATGGCAGCTCATGCAGACTGGAGGTCTCGCACTGGTTTTACTTCTGGTCCAGCAGGTGAAGTAAAGCAGAGCAGGAAGTCTGATCCTGAGTCAGCACCGGGGGTCTTTTGAAACCCCGGAGGTGACCCGGTGGCGTGTGGTGAGCCGAGGATTAGCGTCAACAAATCAAAATGGGATTGGCAGGTGGCTCCCACTCATTCAAGCCTTTAAGATGGACTTTACTCCCACTGTCTAACCTCTGAGGAAAGGCGGCTCAGACAAGGACGAGAGGAAGGAGGCCAGGAAAGGTTCTAATCCCGCTTGAAAGGAGACGAGTCTTTTTAGTGAAGAAAACCTCCAGGAGCAAGCTTGCACAGGCCCGCTTTAGAAAGTAGAGTTTGATTGAAGATGTGGGGTTCAGTCCTCTAACAAACGGCTGACACATATTTACTTTGGGTAACTGAATGAATTTCTCCCCGCACACTCTGCAGCCGGGCCCCTTCTGTGATGAAGAGGGAGGGGGGGAGGCCAGGCTTTAAATGAAACGCTCCTCTGACGGGGTAATTAAGCCCAGACACAAAGGGCTCAGCAGGAAGGAGTTTAATAGATGAGGAGTTAGTATTCTCCAGGGGGGGAGCCAGGTCCAACAGAACCCTTTTGGACTGCAGGGGGACGAAGGGTAAGGGTGGCAGGGAGGCCCTGTGAGTTGGCCCGCGGCCACTTCCCACTGCGGTTACACCACAAGGACACACAAAGATATTACTCATCCGTTTCTGTCTGCTCATGTTAACAAATAAAATGCCCCAAAATAGAGCCTCTTTTCCACACAAAAACCTCTTAAATAAGATTATTCTGAGTCCTGTTTAGACTGAGAAGCTTTAATCAGGAGTGATATGATGCCAACACAGCAGGGCTAAAATACAGCGAATGACAGACACGGGTTTGCACCACGTATCGAATATGGTGAAAGGAAAACGAGAGCAAACAGTCGATCATGATTGATAAGATAAAAACGCAGCAAGTTTGAGGAGATTCTCCTGTTGAGGAGTTTACAAGTCCAACTTTTTAGGTCTGTTATTTCTTTATAATAATAAGATTGTTAAAAGAGGTAAAAGTCGTCATTTCTCAAATGTGGATCCAACTTAAAGGGATATTCTGGCGTAAAATTAAGTTAGGGTCAAACACACCGTAACACCGAGTTAGACCCCCCCTCCAGAGATGAATGTCGCCGACCGCTTGCTTCTCTAGTTATACCAACTTTAGTAACGACCGCATTTAGCAATACAGAGAGCCACACGCTCAACCAAAACGCCACTCTATAGCCACAAATAATGCTCAGAACAGCACCTAACTTCATCAACAGGACATATAGGGTCACAGACATAGTACTAGACACCAAACATCTTTTTAACTTTGACTCATTTCTTTAGCAAAGAGACTAAACACAACTCACCTACTCTCTTCCAGCAGCCGCTCGTTTGTAGTGAGACCTCAGGCCAGTCCATTACGGACTACAGTGGGGTGACGCAGCTCAAGGAAGAACATTTATGATCATTTCTTTATCATTTCCTTGAAGTAATAATCATCATATTAATCATTTTGCTCTGCAGACGCTGTAGTTCTCCTGCCTTAGCGTCTCGGTCTAATTGCGTTTCCATGAAGAAATGATCATTATTTCCCACTGCACTTGGTGATCGACTCGTCAGGGCTCCCCCACGAACAAGATGTTTGGTGTTTAGTACTATGTCTGTGACCCTGTATGTCCTGTTGATGAAGTTAGGTGCTGTTCTGAGCATTATTTGTGGTTATAGAGTGGCGTTTTGGTTGAGTGCGTGGCTCTCTGTATTGCTATCTAGAGAAGCAAGCGGTCGGCAACATTCATCTCTCAACGGCGTGTCTAACTCTGTGATACGGTGTGTTTGACCCTAACATAACAGCGATTTTCCCAGGACACTTTTGCTTTTTTATGCATGTTGGTTCGTCTGCTTTCAGGTAAATACGACATTTTGACATTGGACGAGTTAATATTTACTTCTTGTCACTGAAAGGTTTGTCAGACGGGAGGTTTAAAACACTATCATGATCCTGAGTCTTGAGCTGATAGAGCAGAAGTCAGTTTTTCTTTTCGGCCTGATGTTTGAGTTGGTAAAGAAAACCGAAAACTGTGCAGCAGCAGCACTTTAAAGAGCTTTCAGCTGGAATAAACCAAACACCAACAAAAAGCCCCCAGAGGTCCTAAAAACTGCACATGGCCGACTTTTCTGTGGCGTTTTAGCTCATGTGTTCAGACTATTTTTATCCTCTTCCCCACGTACATGACATCATATATTGGAAAATCAAACGGACATCATCACCGCCTGAGCGCTCCACTTTTAATCCTTACATAATGTGTTCTCGTTTCATTTTGCACTTCTGCACGGGTGCACGCATGTTAAAGCTGGAGGCTGCAGGGTGCATGCGTGTGCCACGTGCTGCTTGTGTTGTGATGATGACGGAGCGTCGTGGTAGTGGATGTGCTCTGCTGTCTGGAATAACACTGATCCTCTTAAATGATTACCAGAGAGAGAGAGAGAGAGAGAGAGGGAGAGAGAGAGGCGACCTGCACAGGCAACACACAGACAGATGTCTCACCCCCACCTTTAGATCAACACACAGCATCTATGTTTAGTATAGAGGCAGAGGGGAAGCCTCTCTCCTTTAATAGACTCCAAGTCCATTACACTGCTCATTTAAACCGGGACAAAAGCTGTTCCTTCGATCTTTTACTTCACCTTTTACTGGCAGGAAGCAGAGAGCGTGAAGCTCTTTGAGGAGACAGCAGGACTCTGAGTGAGGAAAGTTGGCTAATTAAGTTCTGGCAGTTAGTGAGTTTGTCAGGATTCAGCCAATATACAAATATTTCTTTTTAAGTGTTTAACCTCTGCAGATATGAGTGTGATGTGTTATCTATGATGGAGTGTTCGGGCCATATCAAGAAAAATAAAATGTAAGAATTTGAGATTAATTAATGAGAATGAAGTCGGAAAAAAGTAATCCCTTACAAGAATAAAGTCGTAGTATGTTCATTACTTACGAGAATAAAGTCATGATGAAGTAATTCCTGATGAGAACAAAGACGTAGAAAAAGTAATAACTTATGAGAATAAAGTTGTAATAAAATCATAACTTATGAAATTAAGTCGTAATGAAGTAATTCGTTATGAGAATAAAGTCATGATAAAATCATTTTTCAAGAGAATTAAGTCGAAACAAAGTAATTTCTTACAAGAATATAGACGTAATAAGATCATTACTTCAGGAATAAAGCCAAAATAAAATCATTACTTACGAAAAATTAGTCGTAATGAAGTAATTCCTTTTGAGATTAAAGTCGTAATAAAATCCTTACTTTTGAGATTAAAGTCGTAATAAAGTATTTACCTACGAGATTAAAGTTGTGGTAAAGTAATCAGTTATGAGTATAAAGTCTTCATAAAATCATTATTTACAAGAACAAAGTCGTAATAAAGTTATTATTTACACGAATAAAGTCGTAGAAAAGTAATCATTCACAAGAATAAAGTTGTCAAAGTTATTACTTAAAAGAATAATTTCTTACAAGAACATAGAAGTAATAAGATCATTACTATAAAGTTGTAATAAAACTGTTACGAAAAATAAGTCGTAATGAAGTAATTCCTCATGAGAATAAAGACGTAATAAAATCTTAACTTTCGAGATTAAAGTCGTAGTAAAGTAATCATTTACGAGAATAAAGATGTCAAAGTAATTTCTTACAGGAATAAAGTCGTAATCAAGTATTTAGCTACGAGATTCAAGTTGTGGTAAAATAATCAGTTATGAGTATAAAGTCTTAATAAAATAATTATTTATGAGAACAAAGTCGTAGTAAAGTCCTTACTGATTGTTGGTTGACAGGTTGACTAACTGGGTTAAATGTTACGTCAGGTGTCACGGGGTAAAACGACTGAACGCAGAGACAGTTAGAGACAACAGAAGAGTCTGGAATTGGCCTGAAGACTTCAGACTAACCTTTGACATTCAGGCCAAAAGACAGGAACACAAGCCTGTCCGTCTGTAGTCCGACTCTGAGGAGAAGATCAAAAAAGTGAATCTCTTCAACTCCTCTTGTCTCATGGGAGAAAGATGGAAATATCACTGACTGGTGGCACAGAGGCCAAGTTTGGTAAGATTTCAGATGGTCAAAGCCGTCTTTCACACTCATGTTCTGAGCAGAAAGAAGACATTTAGGATTTCACAGGATGGAAAAAAAAAAAAAAACCCAGCACGACTCTGTCCTTTCAGCATTCAGGCGTTTGTGAAGGTTCATGCTCAGCTACGCGGGACAAAAGGCCAAATCTCTGGCTCTGGACTCCAGTTGTGTGCATCTGGGGCCCCGGCGGAGCCTGCGAGCACGACTCCCTGCAGGGACCAAAGGCACCCACGCACAGTCAAATGTCACGGCACAGAGGAAGGCGAGGGAATGGGAGCCAAAAAAGAGAGGGAGGAGGCGAAGACAAAAACATGTTTTATAATGGTGAAAATGGGAGAGCGAAGGGCAAGACGCCGTTACACTGAGAGCGACCACGCACATTCCCCAACGGTCAGCGGAGAAAACACGAGCCACAATGACTTCAACTCTTCCACTTCCGCTGCAAACCCCCTGATAGTGTCAGTGTTTGAGATTTGGAGCCACCCTGTTCTTATTCCTAAAGCCACATCAGGATTAAACAGAGTAAATGAGGCACAGAAACCCGGTACACAAAAGACCCTGCTCAGGTTCGGGGTCGATTAACCTGTTAGTCCTGTTATGAGTGAAACAAAAGCTTTGTTGCAGGTTTTTATCCCCTCAGGAAGTCTGTGATTTTCAGATTGAGTGAACTCCAAACACTTGAAGCAACAACTTCAGGCGGCGTTTCAAAATGTTATGAGAGCTCAAGTTTTGCAGAGGGACCCTTTCGAATCTCTACGAGCAAACAGAAAACAGGTCTCAAAGAAAGTCTGAGGCTACTATGATTTATTTATGTTATAGAGGGCTGAGCACAATGGCAGATGAAACCCTGAGTCGATCCAGTGGTTCATAAAGTACTTATGAAAGTTTTGCATGGTTGCAGACAGAGGTATTGTGTAAAACATTATGAGGGATGTGATAAGTACGACGGAGTTTTAGGGACACATTAAGAAAAAAAATTTAGATGTCGAGATTAAAGTCGTTAATTTACGAAAATGGAGTCATTGCTAACGAGAATAAAGTCGTAATAAAATAATTACGAGAATAATTTATGATAAAGTAATAACTTTCTTTAGCAAAGAGACTAAACACAACTCACCCACTCTCTTCCAGCAGCCATTTGTTTGTAGCAAGGCCTCATGCCAGTCCGTTACGGACTACAGCGGGGTTACGCAGCTCAAGGAAGAACATTTATGTCCGTAATGGACTAGCCCGAGGTCTCGCTACAAACAAGCGGCTGCTGGAAGAGAGTAGATGAGTTGTGTTTATACTCTTTTCTAAGACAGAAGAACTACTTCGTCTGCAGTGAAAAATGATTCATATGGTGATTATTACTTCAAGGAAATGATAAAGAAATGATCATAAATGTTCTTCCTTGAGCTGCGACACCCCGTTGTAGTCCATAATGGACTGGCCTGAGGTCTCACTACAAACAAGCAGCTGCTGGAAGAGAGTAGGTGAGTTGTGTTTAGTCTCTTTGCTAAAGAAATTAGTCAAAGTTAAAAAGATGTTTGGTGTCTAGTACTATGGCTGGGACCCTATATGTCCTGTTGATGAAGTTAGGTGCTGTTCTGAGCATTATTTGTGACTTTTTGGTTGAGGTTTGTTTATGGCTCCTCAAACCGCTGTGTATTGTTATCCTGTGGTCGTTACTAAAGTTGGTATAACTAGAGAAGCAAGCAGTCGGCAACATTCACCTGTTGAGGGGGTGTCTAACTCGATGTTACGGTGTGTTTAAACCTGACTTAATTTATGCCGGAATATCCCTTTAAGCATCTGGAGGAGTTTAGAAATGGTCAAAATTTGTCACCAGTGCTGAAATGTTGCCTCATCACAACAACAACAACATCTGTGCGGGAACGTGACGTTTTCTGTTTTTGCTCTTTCTTGGAGTTTTTCCTCCTTTCCAGTCGGGTGCACATGTTTCCTCTTATCTCTCCTAAACTGACACTGACAACCATAAAAAACAAAAAAACACCAGAGGAACGAGTGAGCGAGCCCCACACTTATTGTTTTCATTCTTCCAGCCCAAACTTTTGGGGGGTGCTGCTGCTTTAGGAGGAAGAAAAGGAAGACTCCCCCTCCTCCCCTCCCTTCCCATCCCATCTCATTTCAATGCATCCTGGTTGGGGAGTTCCTGGTTTGGCTGCTGGCTTGGAGATGAGAAGAAGTGTAGAAGTGTGTGAATAAATGTGTGTGTGTGTGTGTGTGTGTGTGTGTGTGTGTGTGTGTGTGTGTGTGTGTGTGTGTGTGTGTGTGGAGGGTGGCAAGCTAAAAAAACAATGGAGGCTTTGTGCGAGGGTCCCGCCGTGACAGGATTGTTGGGGGAGAGAGAAAGAAGGGGGGAGCGAGCGGTCAGAGCTTAGCGAAGCGAAGCCACTTCATTAGTCAGGGCTCTCCCTTTGCACCTCCTCCCTCCCTCCCTCCCTCCCATCCTCACTCCCTCCCTCCCTCCCTCCCTCCCTCTCGCTGCCTTTCCTTCCCCGCTCACTCGTGGAAGCACAGAGGCAGGAGTCACCACTCCGGCTGGACGCTATCGAGCCAAGCGTGGAGTTTTCTCACCAGAACCGGCGAGGATGTGCTTTTGAGGCTGATCGGAGTTGTTCGGTGCAGTTTTCTCACTCGGTACCTTTTCTGTTTTTGCTCTGAGGTAGGTTTTCTCGTGTTGTCATCCTTCCCCATCCCATCCCCTCCCGTCCCGTCCTGTCCCGTCCTTGGAAGCTGACTTGCATCTTCTCTCCTCTGGGCTGCAGTTTTGGTGTCGGATGACGGGACGCTGCGTTCTCAGGCAGGCCTTTTGAACAACCAGGGATGCAATTTTAGGATCTGTGGTTTTGAAGGAGTTTTATTAGGAGTTGAAAAATGTTGGTGCATGACTGTGTTTGCTGAAAGTGACATAAAAATCATGCTGCAGTCGAAGAACATGATCTAACTCCACAAAATCAACTCTTTAAATCAGAACTTTAACATTTCTTGGAGTTGTATCTCTCTTGTTTTCTCTGCATGATGAAATCAGATGAAACACCTCGAATCTTGAAGTTTTACAAACCCGTCTGTGCTGCAGGATTTCTGCTCGGTTCAGGTGAAATTTGTGCTCTGAGGAGGAAGGTGGGGGTTGTCGGTGTCAGCGGGGGGGCTATTGGCTCAGCTGTGTTGACCAAATTATCAGTGTTATTAGTATCTACGCGCCTGTGATTGCTTTCTCCCCCCACAAACACACACACACACACACACACACATTGCTGCCTCTCTTTGTCGAGCGCACACCCCCAGGGACAGCGCAGCGTCGGGGTAATCCTTCACATCCTGTATGGGAAAGGGCAGAGAGGAGCACTCTGGACTAACCGCATCACTTCCTCGTGAGAGAGAGAGAGTCTCATCTCATCTCATCCACTCAAACTCACTAAAACAACAGCGTCCCGGCTGGTTTTTACCCACAGGGCTGTTCACAGCATCCTGAGCGCAGCCTACTTCCTGTTACACTCTCAACTTCGCTGATTGAATCGTGAAAACATCCTGTAAAATATGACTTTGTGTGATTTAAGTCACAGTCTTCTTCACAGTGTGGATCTAAAGAGTGTGGTTAAGTGTGACAGTGAGAGCAGATAAGTCTGATCGTCTGAAATTGGTTAAAAAGACTGGACGGACTTGACTGGATAATCGCCGCTTGCCCTGAGAACCTGCGGGTCAGTCGAGGGGATTTCTAAGTCCTTTCTCCAGTCCAGGACAAGAAGCTCCAGTGTGCAATCGCTAAGAAATGAAGTTTAACAATCAGAGTTTCACCAACAGTTTCACCGATTAATCTGCCAAACGGATTTCACCAGCACACCTGCAGTGGTTGTAGGGCTGGGCGATACGGCCTCAAATCAATATCATGATATATTGATCAGTTCATCTCAATAACTATAAATAGACGATAACTACTCCACAAGCTGCTCACCCCCTCCCACATTAACTTCGTCTACTTCAGCCGCTACAACTTTTGAACCGTCCTCCATCTCCTCACCTGTCTTTCCCTCTTTGTTACGGACTGGATGGGGTGGAGTCACGTCTCTGATGTAGGACAGCGTCTTAGAGGGACATGAGACCATAGCCTACCTACACACATCCAAAAACAACTTTTATTTATTTATTATTTTGACACAGAAAATACCAATATGGGCAAAATGACATCGGTTATTGATGTAAATTTCAGTATCGGTAAATTTTCGGTTTATCGCTCAGCCCTAGTCTGGTCATAAGTTGATGCATTAGGATTCGATCACCTGGATGTATGCAAAGGCGATCTTCTTGTATGCACTTTTCAACAGTCGTCTTGCAGCGTCTGATCCTCGACTTTTGTGTGTTTTTTGGCTGATGTGCAAACCTCATCCCCTCTCATGTTCGGTTTATCGCCCAGCCCTATGTAGTAGTCAAATATTCTGGATCCACTGGGGGCTGCAGCCCCTATATGGCGATATATGGTTCCTTGCCTCCACTGATTTCAGTCGACACACAGCCCCAGGCGTGTTTAACATCGACTCAATTAGCTTTCTCGACAGGTTATAGATTTGGAAATGGATTTCACTCATATAGAGCTGTGTAAGTATGGAGCTGGAGCACAAAGTCAAGGCTTTCCCTCTGAACCAGAACCAAATAATAAACACTGTAGATTTCTCTTACATCAGATTAAAAAGTCCACTTTATAGTTGGTACAATTTTCCAGACCTCATTTAACAGATAAAACTGCTTTGTAGGGTTTTTACCTAGAAGCTGAAATGGCAGTAACCGAAACCATACTGATAAAAACAAATACAATCAGTAAATCAACCAGACATGAGTGATTTTAGTCTTCAACTCTAACCGCTCTGTCCACAAGGACTTCTCTGGATATTAAAAACTTTCTTTGTAGAATTTTCCTCATAAGCCAATCTTTATTTATTTCTATCTTAATATATCGATGAATCCTCACGATTTCATGCTTTAATTTTAACACTTTTCCTTTTCGTCTTTCCACAGAATGAAGAAGTGAATCCTCAGTGACCACAGTCATGGCCGTCCAGACTGGCATTCAGGTGAGTTCATCGAACTTTGATTGACTTGGGGAGAAATTAGGTGCTTTTTAACTGCAGGAACTTTTGACACGAACTCACTTACATAGAAAAAAAACAGGTTGAATGATGAAAACAGCGTCACTTTTCCACCTTTTGTTCCTTTTTAACACACAATACAACAGCTTCGTCTTTTATCCCTCACCTCCTTTTGTCATCTGTGAAGGTTTTGTTCAAGTTCCTGGCATGAACTCTGGAGCAAACCTAGAACTTCTCAGACTAGTTTCAGTCCAGTTGATAAATACATGCAGGAGAAAATCGATCCCTGACTGTATTATCTTTGCGAGTCCGGCTATAAAAACTGTTTACAGGAAAATCTCTCCCTGGAGTGATCTTGTGTCCATCAGAGTGGTCAAACACTAATGGATACTCTTCTTTATCGCCTAATTTACTTTAAATGGACTAAAAAGTCGCTCCTCTTCAGACAACTTGAAAACACTGACATGAGGAATGGCTGAGGGTGTGTGCCAAAAGCTCGCAGACCACAGTGCTTCATAGTTACACGGATTAAATAAAGCACTTCAGACATCTGTCTCGCCCTCGACAGCTGCGGTGAGCCCACCTGTGTTACAGCTTGCCGTCTTGTTGTTGTTATGCGTGTCTCTCGTTCCTCCGCTCGGACCCTGAGGAGTTTCTCCGCACATTTTTTCGTGGGAGTGGGCGGGAATGCTCAACACTTTTTTTTTTTCTTCTTTTTCTTCCCCTCCCAGCAACCGAGTGTCAGACATCCCAAAACCCAAAACAACAGCGGTTTCGTGTTTCAGATTTGTCACATGGCGAAGGCTTTCCTCTGTCATCTGCTCTGGAAAGTCCTGGCTGTCTCTCAACTCGTCTTGGAACGTAGAAATGCAAAATATGTATCCCAGAGATGTGCGCTTAACATGTGGCGGATTGATGGAGTGTTGATGAACTTCTATAGCTTAAAAACACACCCCAAAATAATTCAAGAGATCTACATTCACATATCGTGGTTGATTAACTCTTAAATTGGAGACAAAGTGGTTAAAAGTCTAGAAAAATCCTTTGTGGAGTGGATTTCACGTGGTGTTTTACAAGTGCGCAAATCCTGGGAGCAGCTGTGATTCTCCTCTTGGCATCTCTTCACACCCCAGACAGAAAACCCATCAAAACAACCTCACTGTTTCTCTTTTTCGTCAAATATCTGCACTAAAGTGAGAGAAATCTTCAGATTTTTCCTCGTCTCCCTCTGAGGATATTGATCCATGTGATGCTGCAGAGACTCGGACTCTGCAGCTATTCCCAGAGCTTCACTGCTCATGTAGAGCACACAGTCACATTGGATGAACACACAGACTCAGAGCGCGGTGTGTTCACCCGTGCTGAAAATGTATGCACTCATGGAAGTATAAGCAGCATATGCGCTCATGTATTAATGCAGCATTATGGTGCGTTGTTGAAAAACGGATCTCTGCAGGATTTTGAGTTATTATGGAGTTACCAAAAAGCAGATAAACACACACAAGTGCATGAAAAGAAAAGAAAAGAAAAGAGAGGTGTGTTTTTAAAGAGTCAGTGGTGCATTAGCCGTAATGAATGTTTAATGAAAGCTCTTAAGACTACAGGCATTAGCAAAGCTGATAAGGCTAATATCTCAGTAAACAGTTAGCAAATGTAGCATTTTTGTACCTGCTGTGGTCGTATACTTAAGCTAATGATAACATCTGGATTGATTTTAGGTTTAAAAGGATAGATGAAGAAGACGTAGCGCGCCGCTAGCAGACTAGCTATAGCGGTTCTAAGTGATGATTCAGCACTTCTAAAAACTGCTATTTGGAAACGGCTAATCCTCAGTTAACTAATCAATCAAATATCAATGCTTTTATAACTGTACTGGTGACTATTTTCATTCAGTTCAGCCACTTTATATCAACCTGAGGCAGCCTAAAGCAAAGCAACGAAATACAAGACGGGCAAAGAAATAAAAATTAAAGCACAATAAAAGTAAACAGTTCGCAAATGTAGCATTTTTGTACCTGCTGTGATCGTATACTAAAGCTGACAATAACATCTGGATTGATATTGTGCTAAAAAAAAACAGTAGGTTTAAAAGGATAGATGAAGAAGACGTAGTGGGCCGCTAGCAGACTATCTGTAGCGGTTCTAAGAGATGAGTCAGCACTTTTTGAAAACTGCTAATCCTCAGATAACTAATCAATCAAACATCAATACTTTGTGACTGTTTTCATTTAATTCAGCCACTTTAGATCAACCTGATTCAGCCTAAAGCAAAGGAACAAAATACAAGACCGGCAAAAAATTAAAATTAAAGCACAATAAAAGAAATAAAAGCAGGTAGAATAATCAAATTCAACAATATTAGTGATCCCCTGACTCAAACAACAAACTGAAAGAGGCTAACTAATCAATTAATTGATTACTAGAATGATAAATAGCGTAGTTATTGAATGGCTCTTTAACCTGACTCTGTAAACCCTTAAAAAATGTTGATTTAAGACGCATTTCTGTTTTGGCTTCAAGAGTAACCAGTGCTCATGTGCAACAGACTGAATTCAGATTAATGTGTTCGAGTTACCTTGGAAGTCTGAAGTCCGAGCTGAAAATGACGTCACACTCGAGTTCCCAGTGTTTCAGTTACCAAGTCGGAAAAAAGTGAAATCGAAGGCGGATGCAAGATGGCTACATCTACAAAAGTTATTTTCGCCCTTGTCTTGTCCGAATACGAGGCAAGCACTAAAATTACTTCAGTAGATGACGCCATCTTGTTTTAGACCCCCGATTTTGCATTTTTTGGACTTGTCAACCTAAACACTTGGAGCGAGGGAACGCAGCAGAAATGTTTGACATGGTTGCTATGGTAACAGGGAAAGAGTTTACCCCACTGTGAGTGTTAGGAGAGGAGAAAATGAAGTGTTCTGGGGGGGAGAGTTTGTGGCTGTAATTCAGCATTGTTGAGCTGAAAGTCCCATCCATCCATCCATCTATTCATCTATTGTCTTTCTGGTTTATCTCTGTGATTGGAAGTGGGCGGGGCCTTCCCTACCTGCTATTGGGCGAGGTCACTTTAGAGAGATCCATCAACCCGACAGACAGGTTTTTAGACTTAAGGGGGAACCCATGCATGCATAATGAGAACATGCAAACTTCACATAGAAAGGCCTGACTGATCCAGGAACCTTCATGAACCTTCATCCACCGTGAAGCCCAGAGAGTCTGAGCCGACCTGAACTGTGTGGTCCTGATAGAAATGACGTTCGGCTCTTTTTACTTTCCCAGAATCCCTCATTCAAACCAAGACTGCGTCCTCTTTCTCCCAGCGTTACACACATCTGAAAGGAAAGCGTCCGGAGCCGCCGTCCAAGTGTTTGAAAGGGCAGAGAGTGACCTCGTTAGTTCAGCCTCGACAAACCAAACAGCTCCGGCTTCAGAGGCTGTCCTTCAGGTCGAAGGTCAACAGCTAGGCCATGGGAAGCTCCTCGTAAGATATCGGATAGTTTAAGTCGTTTCAAAGCGGAGACACAACTCGTGTGCAGCTGAATTTCTGATCCTGCTGTCGTGAAAACAGAGTTTGTGTTTGTTTGTGTGAGTCATGGTCGTGAATCATCAACATGTGGCGTGAAGGAAGAGTTTTGTAGTAATGGGAGAAGATTATAAAGTCATGAAAACAGTTTATATAACAACTACAGAAGACGCTCATACAAAAGTCAAACTTTAGCTGGTCTGTTCCTATCGTCGGGGTTTTAAGATCACTTTTTTCCTAACTTTTCTTTCTCCACTTTTACTCGACGAACACTTCGAGTCTCTGCATTGTTTCAGAGGCATTAGCTGTCTTTGCTTTAAGTAGCTCAGGTACAGATTATCTCATAAACTCCTGGTGCGTACATGGTAAACATACAAGAATAAACGGCCTGAAAGTCTCCGTTTGTTGCATTTCTCGCCCCACATTCCTGCGATTTATGAGAACAGAGCGGCTCAGAGAAATATGGATTACCCGACATGTTTTCTAGACTTACAGCGGCGCAGATTTACATTTAAGTCTGCTTTGGGTTCTCGCAATGAACCTGTAACACAAGATGGATTATTTCACAGTTCAGAACCTGATTCTTTATGTAATGTCGAAAGCATGCACACGCTCACTGCATTTTTTCCTGATCAGCTGGATGTTAAGCAGGGTACATATGTTGTTATGAACCCACAGAGCCCCACAGGCGGCCTGCCCTCCTGAACCACCTTACATAACCTGTGTGTTTGTTTTCTATCTGTGGGTTCGTCCCCTCTCTAGAAGTGAGGTTACACTTCCTGTCGTCGCTCAGGTGTCTTTACCTCTTTCTCCAGAAACAATAAATTTGCTCCTTGGATTTCTTGTGCCTGATTCTGTCGTGACTAACCAGAGGCCCTCAGAGCTTAGAGAGTTCGTACAACAATCAGATTATATGAGAACAGATTAAATTACAGTTCTGAAAAGAATTAGAGTCACCTGGGATCGGACAATAACAGGACACCCTGAAATCTGGGTTGTAAACAGACACAGCTGCATTTCATGATGGATAAAAACACTTAAAGCTCCTGTGAGAAACTTTTAGTTTGTGTTACTTTTAGCGCCCCCTGTGGACAAACAGTCTTAACTACATCCTGAAGTTGTCTCCTGACACAAAAATCTTGATCATTTATTGTGAATATTTTATGTCCAAATTGTCGCTGCAGGACAGTTTTCAAGCATTAGAAATTGCCTTAAATCATGTCGCTGATGGTCTTGTTTGCTTTTTCAGTGCCATTAAAAGGCATCAGTTTGAGTTTCAGTCTGTTTCTTACGTGTCAAAAAACTCCTCACTGGAGCTTTAATCTACGCTAGAAATCAGAGCCAGTATAGCTCAGTATTTCCTGCTTTGATTTTGACGATTTCCTCAGTAGAAACTGAAGAACTTTCCTGAATTCTTGAAACTTATTTTTTATTTTTTTAGCTGGACTCATGAGGCAGATTACAGTCTTATGTGATAGAACAGACACATGCAAGAAAAAATATTAAAATTTAAGAGTTTCTGGACATGAGCCTGTAAATTTTCGTCCATACATGCTTTTGTAATCGATATGAGTGAAACTGAACAATGTTAAAAACAGTAAAAATGACATAAATAGAAAAAGAGTTTGTATTGTTCACAGTTAAAGGTCATCTTAAAGTATATTAACTAGTAAAGTGCAAGTTTGTATTTGTAATCGCTCGTTTTGATAGTGTCAGACACTTCCAGTTTTAGCCAGTAGGGGGAGCATGCTGATTGCATCTCTTCATCACATTGTAGAATGAAAGTCACCAACAGTGAGTCCGTCTGTTTCTCTACTTCTCGCCTTGCGGGTAAGATAGAAGTCGGAAACAAGATGGTTACATCTACGAAAGTTATTTTAGCGCTTGCCTCATATTCGGATAAGGCAAGCGCAAGCCCTGGTAACTGAAACGCTGGTAACTCGAGTGTAATGTCATTTTCAGCTTGGATTTCTGACTTCCTAGGTAACTTGAACGCAGCAGTAACGTTTATGAGAAGCTGTTAGCTAGCGTTAAATTATTACATTGTGGAATGAAAGCCAGAAACAGCGTGTCTGTATTCCTTTCTTTCTATTTCTTGGGTTTAACACTGAACTCCTGAAAGCTTTAACCAAATGCAGCAGGTACAAAGTCGGAAAAAATCTTTTAAAGTCAGACTTTACTCCAGGCTAACGTCTATTTTCGGATGCCTTTCGTTTACGCCGTCAGTTTCAGAGCATCATCTTTTCTGCCTCCTGGAAAACTTCACACTGTTGGGGACGTGTGTGAACAACGATGTCAGAAACTTTCAGGAGCAGCCTGTCTGAAATTTTCAAGAAATTAATCTGGACTTTCTATGTCCTCTTGATTTTCAGTAACATCTCAGTAACAGAAGGTTGTAACATGAACCTTAGATGTTGCATGAATGCAGGTTGTCTCCTCGGAGTTGAAAACTGTGCCAGCTTTTGCACAGACTCTCCATCTGCCAAGGTTTTTCATGAATCTATCTGGATGATTTGAGTTTCCTTCTTTGCATTAAACATATTTTTGAACCCTCTTGATTTCAGAGTGTAAACCTCCTCTCTCTACTCAGCATTTTAAGATACAAACCTGCAGCTGGGACACTGGTACCCTCACTTCTAACTCGATCCCAGCCCCAGAGTCTCATTCTTGGACGTTATTGCCTCGTTTTCGCTCAGATTGCAGTATCTGTTTGATCTGACGCCTCCTTTCAGTAACATCCCACCATCGAAAACGCTTCCACAGTGAGAGCATTCATCGCAGCAGCTCTGAGCATCTGCAGAAGTACATTATCATATAACAGCCTCTCTGTTCCTCTGGCCAAAAGGTTTCCTGTTTGCATAGATTCACGGTCTGAACAACACCCCGCCTTGTTCCCAGCACAATAAAAACCCTTCAAACCCAGTGAAGCAATATCCCATTATTGCTTGATGACATGTGACGGACACAGAGATTAGACGCTGTATCTTAAACAGATGTCAATATACTGTAGAGAGAAGCAGGGGGGCGTCATCCAGAAGTGAGTTATGTAATGTCAGGGGGAGTCGTAATAAAGCACATCTGCTGCTGGTTTGGAGATTTCCCCTCGAGATGCGTGTCCACAATCGGAGAGCAGAAAACAAAAACAGCTCCAGTGTTTTTGCTCGATTGTCGACGCAGGAGGTTTTGTTTTTATCGCTCTTTAGGGACGGGTTTCCAGAAATTAAAGCGAAAATGTCTTTTGTAGCTTTGTCCGCACTCTCTTTATCTGTGAAAAAAAGAGGATAACTTACAGTAAAACCCTTCGAAAGAGCTGCAGCCTGAGAGAGAGGGAGGAAAATTCAATGGAGATGGATGTGATGGGACAACACCGTCAAAACAGAGATCTGTGTCCCGCTTCAGGCCAAACCCGAAGTCTGTGAACTGGATCTACACACCCAGTTAGGCAGTCAAGTGCAGCGGCGTTCAGTTGTCTCAGATGTTCGTTTTAGATTTGAGAAAAGTGACTTTAAGACTCAAAAATAAGAAGATAAGGGGATTTCCGCTCAGAGATCACATGTGTTTTGAGGTTTTTACTCCTGGAGTGAGTGAGTGAGTGAGCCTTAGTGGATATCAAAGCTAGTTAGTGGAGTTACAGCAGCATCAGAGCGTGCTGCAAACTCCAGCCGAGCATTAAGTGGAGTGCGGGATGACGACATCCCCCGGTGCATCCTCTCTGCATGGACGGCTCGCTCAAACTCTCCTCTGGTGCTCTGATAAAGAGAGTGGGGTCGGAACAGCTAACCTACATTCAGGGTTAAAACTGTGTACTCGTGCCGTACAGTGTTTTCATGAGGACTGTACCCAGAACGTGCTCAGGCTTATTTCATAACGCCTCGCTGGAGAGATTAAATTTGCAAATCCGAGTCCTGAAGAAGAAAACATGTTTTTAACATAAATATACCCAAACCGCCCTCTACCCTCCGGGATCCAAAGGCGTTCCCAGGCCAGGCGATGAGATATGAAACCTCCTCAGCTGGAGTGAGGAGTGTCAATCTATGAAGTTTATCACCTGGTAGTTGTACAGTAGTGGTGCAGCCTTTAATTAAACCGTGATTAACAGAGAGGAGCACTCAGATGAGATTAGGCAGACGTCTCCGTACGTGGGCACCAACACTAATCTGTTCAAACACTCTGCCAGGCTCCTAATCCTCTGAGACGGCTGTTTTAAATTTTAGCATCTTCATTTTGGAGGCTGTTGCCATTTCTTAAAAAAATTATTTGATATAATTGTTTAAACACAATAGGGCTCGGCGATATGGCCTCAAATCAATATCATGATATATTAATCAGTTCACCTCGATAACGATAAATGGACGATAACTACTCCACAAGCTGCTAATGTCCTCTGGGTTTGACAAGTTGTTTGGATGACGTCTTTTTCTGTCAAACTTTCGACCAATTACATGGTCTCATATTCTTCTTCTATTGTTCCCTTGACGGTAAGTGTCCAATAAGAGGCAACCAAAGATCAACAAGAGACAAGAAAGTTCCCTGCTTCTCTGCAAAATTAGAAATAATGGTCCTCAATGTTTGGAAACAAGAAAAGAAGAGATTATGAGCAGTATGATGAGCTAAAAAACACGTATACACCTAAACACCTAAATATGTAAAATAGTTTCTGTTGTGTGTTTGTTCCAATCCCAATATTTCTTCTCCTGATAGCCAAGACTTAACAGAATGATGTGCAGAAAAGAGAAAAGGCTTGGTCACTGTAGAGTTATGTGTTTTTTAAGCAAAGTACTGTTGATATCAATTTTCGATTTGGTTTTTGGTTGAGTTTAATGGTTCTGGATAATTATTTTTGCACCCATAAACTGACAGCTGAGGTTGTCCTGAAAAAAAGATGTGTTTATATTTGCTGTGCTTGAAAGGATTGAGTTGCTACACAGATTTTTACAAAAAAACAGGCGGACCAAAAATAGCAAAACATAGCTTGGAGTAGTGCTGGACGATAATTCGATAACAATATATATCGATCGATAGACGTGTGGTGCGATAGAAAAAAAACGGGTCGATAAAAAGTTCGATAGAAAAACACAGTTTCCCTTTCTTTTTCATCATAGCCTATCATGTAGCTTTTACTACAGTCATTACTTCCTCCCAACCAATCACAAACGCAGACCCAGGTACGCTACAGCACCAAGCCCAGCCCCTCTCAAACCACAACAGACAGCACGTGTATTAGAAAAAATGTTACAGCAAGGAGAAGCGGAGGAAATTGTCCCGAAAAAAGGTTTCAGTAGTTCACCAGCATGGCAATGTTTTGGTTTTTACAAGTCTGACAAAAAGCGAACAGCGGTCGTTTGCAAAATTTGCAGAGAATTAGTAAAAACCAAGTCTGGTAACACAACCAACTTGTTCTACCATCTAAACCGATCGCACCCACAGGAGTACGAGCTGTGTCGGCCGCGCCGCGGCTCCACGTCGTCGGAGGAGGAATCCTCTGGAACCGCTGCCAGCACCAGCACAAAGCATGTGAAGCAGACCAAACTGGACTTCGTTTCTTGCCAAAATACGACAAAGCGTCCAAGCGGCATAAGGACATCACCCATGCAGTGACATGCTGCCAATAACTACCGTTGAAAAGCCTAGCTTCGACCAGCTTCTAGCCACTCTCGACCCGCGATATGAAGTGCCCGGCCGCAAGTATTTCTCAAACACAGCGCTTCAGGCATGAAAACGGGTCAGGGGTTGAAAAGCTGAGAAGGGTGCGGAGGAAATACGTTCCGGTGTTGTGCTGTAGAATGCACCCCTGCATCCCGTCCATTCATTAGCTTCTTAAAGTGGAAGAAAATGAGCTCATACGCGAGTATTTGGATCATGGCTACTAGCAGGGGGTGCGTTCGGCAGGGGTGCATTCTACGACACAACACCGGCGTGGATAAGTCCTGCTTCTCGTGCTTAGTTTGCGTATTAAGTCAATCATATGATAATTAAAAAAAAGAAATCTCCCGACCCCGGGAGACACCAGGCTGTGGGCAGTTTCCCACACAGTTAAAACTGGTAGTATGCTATTCCCACCTAAAGCTATTCTGTTTATTTATATATTTGTTTGTTTTGTTTATTTTCATCAAAAGACTATTTAAATATTTATTTATCAGATTTTCTGGTCACTTTAGTCTTTATGTTTGTCAGTATTTACTGACGTCACTAAGGCCACTTAAGTTGATTTCTTTTTTTTTTTTAAGTTCTTTTTAAAAAAACTTTCAGTTGTGGTAAAAAAATAAATAAAAAGGTGGTTGAATAAAGGTTTGAATTTGATTTTAGTGCTTGTGTGTTCTTTATTAAAAGTAGGTCATTAAGCAATAGCATAAAACATCCAGGGCTGCAATTAAAATATATGTTAAATAATTATAATAATTATATCGATAATTATCGATATCGATCAATATGATTTATTTTTTATCGATATGCTTTTTTTCTATATCGTCCAGGCCTAGCTTGGAGCTCTAAGGGTTAAACTTGACGTCTGTTTTTCTCGTCTTCCTCGTCCAGGTGTGGTTTGGAGAGAAGTTCGATGCTCCGTTACTGAGTCCCCGCAGCCCGCGCAGCCCGTTAGCGCAGAGACACGGCCCCGGCCTCGCGGACGTCTTCCAGTACGACCAGTGGCTGGCTGTGCGACATGAGGCCACCCTGGTACCCATGCAGGAAGACCTCGCCATCTGGCTCACTGGCATGCTGGGTAAGTGGAAGTTCACAGCCACAAAAAGATCATTTTTCCCAGTATGCACCAGAGTTTACTGGTACATGATTGGTCGGTCCTACTGTGAATCCAGACCCCTGAGAAAAGAGATTACCCCTCTAAAAATTTAGATTTATTATTCTCTCTTTTTCGTGCACGTTTTACTCCACAGGCAAACTGAACATCGTAAATCTGTGCATGTGTGAATCAGCTCTGGCTGTTGCATGCAAACAGCGTCCCCCCCTCCAGGGTAGGAAAATACCGGAGCACAATTGACTCGGGTGTCCCGTGTAATTGGATTTAGATGCTGTCATTTCCATGCAGTCCTGAGCGGAGCGCAGAAACAGGAGTGGAACAAAATCCCTCATTTCATCCGTCTGCACCATTATACTGAAATCTATTGTCCCTGAAGATACAATAGAGCAGTGAGGAAACTAAAGCTGACTGGAAACTGACTCTATTGTTGACGAACGAAACTGTTTTGTCGGGTCGATTTTTCCGTTTTTCTCCTGAGGAATGTGGGCAGGTACCGAACACTCACCATGAGTTAGTAGTAAAGCGACCTTGTGACCTCTATCCCACATTTCTGCTCCTTTTTAAAACCGTTTGACCCACCTGATGGCGAATCCCGGGGGGGCTGCAGAAACAGGTGGCGTGCAGCGGATCGAGTTTCAAACCCCCGAGGCTGATCTGTCGTCGTGTGGGAAATAAACTTTTGTGCAGAAATCTTTGTCGCTTAATGTTGTGGTAGTTGTGGGTTGTGTTCCCGATGTAAGTTAAGTTCACACGGCTTTTGTTGAGGCGGTGATTTACAACAAGGGGTCGTGGGAGAGCAATGAGTCCACGATGAGGGTCGCTGAAAGCCGAGATTGTTTAGAAGAAGAAAAACTGCCTATAGAGAGAAGATTGTCTTTAAATCTGGGCTTTAACTGTCCCCCGTATACTAAAGACTAAGTGGATTACAATAATGCTGCTCTGGAGTTGCGGTTTTGTCCAAGATCAGGCGAATAAATCTGTATTTTGTGGAGTTAAAGTTGACATTTTATCCTCTTTCTTCCAGGAGAGGAGGTGAGAGCGGAGTTTTTCATGGAGGAGCTGAATAACGGCGTCAAACTCTGCCAGCTTATCGGTGTGCTGCGGACCAAGATCGCCGAGAGCTGCCCCTCCGCAGTCTGCAAGGTGAGTCAGAGGGAAGGGATGGAAATAGCTCAGATGTTAGAGGCGAGGGCAGGGGAGGAGTTTTGCTGCAGGTCAAACACAGACGGATGTGTGAATTAAACTTCAAAAAGTAGAAATCTATAAAAGCAGAAAATGGTAGAGAGTAAATAGTTACAGAGATAATTCAGCAAAACAAAAATGTCAGCCACGAGACACAAAAGTATTTTTATTCTGCATGTCACTCTCATTTTGTCTGACATGTTTATTTCCTCTGACAGCTGTTCCCCACCAGGAAGGTCGCATGTAAGCGGGACGCCTCTCCGGGGTCCTTCTTCGCACGAGACAACACCGCTAACTTCCTGGCCTGGTGTCGCCACATCGGCATGGAGGAGACTTACCTGTTTGAGTCGGAGGGCCTCGGTAAGACCTGGTTTTAGTGGTCCGATCTAGGGCTGGGCAATATGGCCTCAAATCAATATCACACCTCGATGACAATAAATGGACGATAACTACTCCACAACCTGCTCACCCCCTCCCACATTAACTTCGTCTATTTCAGCGACTTTTGAACCGTCCTCCATCTCCTCACCTGTCTTTCCCTCTTTGTTACGGACTGGTGGGGGTGGAGTCTTGTCTTCGAGACCATAGCCTACCTACACACATCCAAAACCAACTTTCATTCATCTATTTTTTTGGCACCGAATATACTGATATGGGCAAAATGACGTCAGTTTTTGTTTTAAGTTTAGGTATCTGTAAATTTTCGGTTTATCACCCAGCCCTATAATAATCCGATCACAAGTTGATGAATTAGGATTTCATCACCTGGATGCATGCAAAAGCGGTCTTCTTAGATGTATTTTCCCACATTCGTCTCTCAGCCTCTGATCCTTGACCTTTGTCTGTTTTCGGCTCATGTGAAAACCTCGTCCCCTCTCACGTAAACGTTAATCTCGTTTGTCTCCAATGAAGAACCCACAGTAACTTATTAAAAGCTGCTTCTTCTCGTGGTCTGACGCTCTGATATCCAGATACAAAGTCCCTGTAAAGACGCCAGGAGTAATAAGTTTAATATATCCGAGCAAATCTTTACAAACTGTCTGGTAAATCTTTTATTTTTAGAGTTCAGGACCTCAGCTCCAGCCGAGCACATTTTGTACCTGAAAACTTTGTAAATGATAACTTGGAGAGTTTTGGCTTGGCCGCCGGCTACTTCTTGGAAAAAACGTCCTGCTATTTTTCCTCCTAATCTTTTTATTACTTTTGCACCATCAGTCAAGTCCAGGACAGTTAAAGCGAGTCCAAGAAAAGAAGTCAAAACTGAGTGAAGTAAATGAGGAAAGTCTGAGGGTTTGCACAGATGCCTGCTGTCCTCCGATGGAATAATTACTGAGGATGGAAGCTGTTAATAACTTTGGAGATCTGTTGTTTAAGACTACCTTCTTAATGGTTTAATAGGATCTGCAGGAAAGAGCAATCATCCTGAGTACTCTGTATGGGGTGTCGCTTCATTATAGATAATGACTAATGAAAAAACACAGACCCCAGGAGTAAACGTGTCTGCTGCTCCTGTAATTAAAACCGTTTTCTTCTGTTTTCATGTTTAAGTTAAACTCTCTTCTCCGAATCTCTGCGCTCGTCTTCATGAGTCAACTACCAACCCCTAAAGGAAGAGCTAACTTTATCTTCTGTGCTCATTATGTCACGTTTCTTAAAGTCTCATATCTCGCAGCTGCCTCTTCAGTTCATCGTTGTTTTCGTAATTAATTGTTGCGTTTTCCTCCTCAGTGCTGCACAAGGAGCCTCGGCAGGTTTGCCTCTGTCTGCTGGAGATCGGACGCATCGTCTCCAAGTAAGTTTCAATAGTCAAATCAACCAGATCAGACATTTCAGAGAGAAGTTAAAGCCTACCATGAATTTTAAAGTTTTTTGTGGTCCCGAAAGCAAAAACTATAAAACTGCAGTTCCTTTATTGTCCACTTGGGTCTGTCCAGTTAAACCCAAATTTAACCCAAAATTTGGTCTACTTACCTTGTTGTCGTCATCGTTGGGCTTCATGACCTCATTTAGAAACTTCTGAACATGTTTTAAAGTCTACGGCGACGACGCTGCACCTTCACAGTTTCTTGTTTTAGTTCTTTAAGCGTTTTTGTAAACCCTCATCTTTGCCTGTCAGGTACGGCGTGGAGCCTCCTGTCCTGGTGAAGCTGGAGAAGGAGATCGAGTTGGAGGAGACTCTCCTGATGACAGAGGAACCACCTCCAGCCGTCAAAACCTTCAGCGTGTGCTGCCAACACGGCGGCCTCTACCAGCCCGGGGTGAGTCCTGACTGACAGCTTCGACGACATACGAGCAGCGAGGAAACACTGCAGTGTTTTGACAAAGACCGAACATGAAACTTTGCACCTGCAGGCAGGAAGTCAAGCACGAGAATGGCTTTAGTTATCGCCCCGAAACACATGAAACAACAGGAAGCTGTCATCTGACTTGAGTGTAGATGATGGTTCACTGCTAACAACACACAAACAAGCAGCAGAAGACCCCAGCTGATCACGTTAACATCACATAGCCGCTGCATGTGCGACCCAGTTGAAGCGGAGCCAAGATGGCGGCGAGCGGCGGCCCTTGCCGCTCCATTGGCGCCCCCCAGGGTCCGATGCATCACAGCTGACCATGTGATGCTCGTGCCGGCTCCCTGTGCTTCGCCGTCACACGTGACCTCCAGGCTACAGAGAGATGTCGTCACACAGCACAGAGATGGAATCACAAACATCACAACACTCTCTGAGTAATTCCTAACGGAGGCGAGTTTATTCCCCCGTGAGGCTCGGGCGCTCTCCGGGCTGCAGGTTTTATTCCTAGAGGAGACAGCTGGGCTAAAAATAACCCTCCTCATTGGAGCAGGAGTCAGTTTGGATAAAAGCGTCGAACAACTTGTTTATATTTTTTAGTTCACATGAACATCAAACAGACACTTATTCTCCACCTCCTCACTTCTCTCTCCTCTCTGGAGATAAATTCGCCTCTCTGCTTGATTCATCGGGTGTAATTGCATCTCTGCTCAGTCAAACTAAAGGTCCCTAAATGTGTCTCGATGTTATTCGGTCATCTGAGGTAACGCTGACTCGTCCTCCAGCTGGAAATATGTTTGCAAAGACAATCCATTATGGCCGCCTTATGGTCTTCTTCTGTGTTTTGTAGGAGCACGGCATGGACGACCCTCCCTGCAACTGCTCCAACAGAGTCTCCATTGAGTACCTGTCTGAGGGTCGCTACAGACTGGGAGACAAGACCCTCTTTATTCGGGTGAGTGCTCTTAACACACAGACACACACTCTGTCCCTTTTTTTGGTTTTTTTTTTTTAGCAGAGATGTTACTCAAGGGTAGGTTTCAGTCTGTTGTGAAATGAGAAGCAAGAATAGGGCTAATTATAGGGCTGGGCGATATGGCCTCAAATCAATATCACGATATATTGAGCAGTTCCACTACGATTGTTTTTGTTTTTTACTTCTTAAAGTGTTATCAATGGTTTTTAAATTATGATCATTAAGTTTTTAGCCAAAATCATGTTACCTTTGTCATTTTCAAGAGCTTTTCTTCTGCAGAGCTCCAGTAGATCATTAGCAAATTCACCCCTGAGTCGTTGGCGGAGACACACTCTTCTTCATGCCAGCCTGCAGCCGAACGTTGCTAGTGTAGTAGAAGTGGCAAGTAACATAGAAACTATTTAGCTCTCTGACACGACCGTCTTTGGGGACATGATGAAAGTTAATTTTGATATAAGCTTTCTTACGAGCATTGCAATCTGCTAACACACGCTTGTTCCGCGATCGTCCGAGTGTGACCTGCATAGTGGGGCTTGGGGGTGGAGCTTGGATTTGTGACGTAGGAAATCTCACTGTTCCTGAACCTGCAGTTTGGGTCTGCCAGAGATCCTGTAGCATCAGAAAAATGTCATCTGAACATATAAAAAAACAAGAAAAACATGATTTTCATTGGAGTAGGTCTTGAAAGGTATATGAGACCATAGCCTACCTACACACATCCAAAACCAACTTTTATTGATTAATTTATTTTTTTGACCCTGAATAACCAATAAGGGCAAAATGATGTCAGTTGTTGTCATAAATTTCGGTATCGGTACATTTCCGGTTTATCGCCCAGCCCTAATTCATTGTCCTAAAGTGGATGCCTGAATGGAAACTCACCATAACTTTAAGCTCTCAGGGTGTCCTAAGTCCATCTTGGGGTCAAAAGGGAGGCTAAAAAAGGTGGTGAGAAGAAACGCAAGGACTATAAATGTCCTAAAACTGTTTGAATACCCACCCACAGCAGAGATTACAGGTAAAACGAGAGTTTGCGTGGCTGATGTCGGAGTTAAGAATAAAAAGTACAGAGTAGCCAAAGCTTTCTTCTGTAACAGCTAAATCCATCTGGACTGATGAAATGAGTCACGTAAAGCCAGTATACAGTATCTCCCCGCAGTTTAGATACAGCTCAAGAGAAATACTTCAAATTAAAGAAGTTAGAAAAATTTATTTACAGACTGAAACACAGAGAGGAAACGTGTTTGTTTTGATCAGCACCTTTCACTGCTGCTGTTCAGAAGAGGAGCTTACAGGCGTACAGTATACAGTACAAGCTTAAATACTCTCTATATCCTATTAAGCGCGCGGGACGATACACACTGACGACAGGCTGCTGGCAGCGTGTCCCGGCGTTTGTGTCATCTGCGCGTGTGAGCACAGAGCACGCAGCCGTCTTCACTACATGACCGGCGGGCGGCCGTGATTGGACACATGTAAGCTCGTTACCCAACTGTGGTGGATTGCATTAAGCGATTACATCATAATTACTCGGCTGTCCGCGGTGCCAAGCGTGAGGACGGGCAGACTCGTTATAAACCCGCTGAGGCTATTTTAGGATTCTGAAAGAAGACGTCACCGCGGGTAAACACAAACAGCGGCTTTTGAAGGTGATTGTGGGTCGATGTGGGGATTCCACTACAGACTCGCTGATTCTTCTCACGATATTCGCTGCTGTAGATGAAGTAACCTCTTGTCGTTCTCTCTTCCTTAGATGCTTCATGGGAAACACGTCATGGTTCGTGTTGGCGGCGGCTGGGACACTCTGCGCGGCTTCCTGACGAAGTACGACCCTCTGCGGGTGCTGCAGTTCACCACCCTGGAGCAGAAGATCCTTGCCTTCCAGAAAGGCCCCCCCGGCCTGGGTGGTCACCACAGCAACGCAGCCCCGCCCCCTCCACCTGACATGGACCCCTTAGCCGCCGTCAACGACCTCATCTCATCCTCGTCCTCATCTTCCTCCTCCTCCACCTCGTCGGCGTCCTCTTCCTCCGGCTCCACCTGCAAGCCGGGAAACGCCGCCGGTCAGACATGTCGCTCATACACCCCCTCCCCAGCCTGCACCCCCACCCTGTCCAGAAAAGGGTCTGTTGCAGCACCGAAGAAGAACCTCCTGGGGACGCCATCATCGCCAAGGAAACCCACCCAGCTGCCCCTCCCCGTCACCACCAAAGGCTCCTCCTCCCTGCCCTCCACCCCAGTGGGGAGCTCCTCCAAACAGTCTCCAAGTCCAGGGGGCACTCAGGGCGCTCAGGTCCCTCGACGAGCTCTGACTCCATCCTCCGCCCCCCCAGACCCAAACCCCGCCTCCAAACTGAAGCTCAGACCATCACCACGTGGCCCCGCCTCCCAGCCCAGGAGCCCCGTCTGCCCTGAGCCATCCTCCAAATGCCCCAAACCCTCCACCCCCTGTACCTCCCCCACCTCTTCCTCTGTCCCCCGCCCCGTCACCGCACCAGCTCGAGCCCCCACCTCAAAGGACGCCCGGCCACCAACGGGCGCCAGCCAGCGCTCTCGCCTCGCACAGCGCCGCCCCGGCTCACCAGCCTCACGCCTTCGTCTAGAGGCGGCGAGGAGGGTGAGAATAGCCGCAAGAGGCGCAACGACCCCAACAAGAGTGGCTTCATCAGCTCCACAAACCCGGGCCCCCACCCCCAGCTCACGGACAGCCTCCCCAGCACCCCCAAAAACCACCTGCCCCCTCCCTAAGAGCAAAGACGTCACAACCACAACCAAAGCCAAGGTGCAGGCCCCGACTAAAGTGACTGCTGCCCCTCCACGCAGCACCGCCGCCGTCCCCGGGCAGGTCCCAGGGGGCAACACGGGTCCCTCACCTACCAGCAGAGCCAATCAGAAAACACCAGCCACAGCACAGCAGAGGGTGGGGCGAAAACCAGCAGTCACCACCACCATCATCAACAACACCAACAACAACAACACAAAGTCCGCTCTGAAACCCGAACTGTCTTCAGGACCGGAGAAAACCAGCGCAAACATCAAAACCACGAAAACGGAGCCGAGCGTCCGCAGGAAGATCCCGCAGTACATCGGCAAGAGCGAGGACCCGTACTTCGAGATGATCAGCAGGAGGAAGCAGAGGGCCTGAATCAGCACTTGGTGGATCTCAGACTTTAAAAAAAAAAACTTTTCTCTAATCCGAACCACAAAGCTTCATTTTCGACCGATGCTCCGTCTCCAAATTAATTTTGTTTTTGTACGTTATTTAATAGTCTTTAATTTTTTTAATCCAAAAGGGTCAAAAATCTGGAGCTTTGTGATTCCTCTCTCTCTATTTTTCTTTTAAAGATCAGCTCTGAAAACTGCGTAACACTAAAACATGCACACTGTTTACAGCCTGGACTGTTGTTACATTTAAATAATACGACTTTTTTATCGAAGAAATTGTGAATTTCACTTTCGGACACTAACCTCAACAATTTTTTAGCTCAACTCGAGAACGACAGGACACAGCCATGATCCAGTAAACGCACTTGAGCAGGAAATCGGTCAGTTTTATTCACGATAAAGCAGCTTTTTTTGTACATCCTGTCTTCTCCGTTATGTTACCAAAGTTGTGACACAACTGGAGCTCAGATGATTCCCCGTCCCCTCGCTGTGAGAATCAACTTTCCACTGGCGCAGAGAGGGAGGGAGGTTGAACTCGTCTGATTTTTGTATAAATGATATCTAGGAGGGAGGAGCAGACCTTCTCTTTGTGTGCCTTCATCGGTAGAATGTACTAGGTGATGATCGGGTGGAGGGTGAAGGGATATTTGGGGGTTTAACGTTTTTTAAAGATAAAAATTGCACAGTGTACGACGAGCACTCATGCCTCTGTGTCCTCAGAGTCGCGGATGAACTACTGATCAAAACGCCTCTTTTCTTTTGAACAGGAAATCCTTTTAGAGCTTCTTGGTATAGACGTGTTTTTATATGGTTTCTAATTTTTCTGTGTATTAAAAATCTAGTTTTCTATGTATGTGTATGTGAGCGTGTGTAAATGTGTGTGTGTATGTGCAGTCTATAAATATAAATATATATCAGTGAGGCTTTTTTCTTGTTTGGCACTTTACAGAAACCGCTGTGTTCGTCTGAATTTGAATGTTGATTCTGTCGATTGTGATCCAGCTACCTGTTTGTCATCTGATTAATAAATGGACAAGTGTTTTAAAGGTTAACTCCGCTGTGTTGTATTTCATTTACAGCTACTGTTGGGAGTTTTTGTTTGGTTAAGAAACTGAAGTTTATGAGCTACAAAAGCAAACAAGATGATAAAGAGCTAAATTAATGATTTAGGTGACAGGAAAAATAACTACAGTCTGCAGCTTTATTTAAAACTCCCCTGATGAGTTTTTTGAAGTATAAGAAATACACTTAAATACATATTTATACCTTTTCATGATGTATAAAAGCAAACAAGACCACAAACAATTTCCATAAAGTGGGTAGGTGTCAGTGAAACAGCTTTGTTTCTTCATTTTATGCATAAAATATTCACTAAATGATCCGTACAACTATCTTTTGTGGCCCCTGTCTCTTTTAAAAATGCAATGCAACATCAAATTCACAATATTTGCAAAAAAAAAACTAAACAAGTTTATCAGTTTGAACATCAAATATTTTGTATTTGTAGCTAGAAAAGGATTTGCAAATCATTTTATTCTGTATTTATTACACAATTATCCAAACTTTATCTGGATTTAGGGTTTTGATAATTGTTTCACTGAACACCAGATGGAGACTCAGTTTAGAGTTTGAAGATCCAGGTAACTCCAGGTGACCGAAACCAGCTGTGACTGGTACAAAAGTTTTTGACAAGTCTTTTTTAATTGTTTTAGATAATTGGTTCAACATTTGTGTGGATAAGGGGAGCAAAGCTATAACAACATTACAAATAAATAGTTTGCAGCAGCGAGCCTAATATTTCAGTCACAAATCTGTTAAAGAAGAATCTTTTTGTGGTTTATATACAAAAAAAACCTTGTAATATCAGTCAATAAATATTAATTATTGATTAAATTTCGGAATATCACGATATCGTTGTGTTTTCGTATGCCCGTGTAGTCGACATTTTACATTTTTTAACGGTCCGCTCGTTCTGAATTTAAACAAAGCCGTTCTCCACCTCTCTGACCTGATTGGTTGTGAGGCGGACGCTGCTTAGTGCTGATTGGTTGTGAGGCAGACAATCCACGAATAACGTTCACGATCTCAAACAAACGTTAGCATGCTACAATATCGGACAGTAGAAACCGACCAAAAAGTACGGAAAACTGTCCGAATCCTCCCTTGGCCACGACTGCCAACACAAACAAGAAAACAAAGTAAATACCGGAGACTCTGGCAGAGTAACGGGCGCTTAAAAAGGAGGTAGACCGGACAAGAGCTAAAAAGCCGGGTCAACGTCGTCGTCAACGAAGCTAGCATAAACATGGGGGACGCTTCGGGATTTTACAGACCCTGTATCTTTTCTGCTGGACAGGTAAACGGCTTTAACCGTCCGTTTGCATCTACAGTAGCACCAATGCTTATACTATCACGTTGACTGAGCCCCGTTTGTAATTATCTGAAGTAATTATCTGCATTATATCTGAATTTAATTAAGACGATACGAGCGGGCAGGAGCGTCTGTTTGTGGGCGGGGCTAGCTGGAGCAGAGAGGGTAGAGTTTACCTTCAAGGTTTGTCCAAAAACTGGCACTTCCTCAGATCCTGCCTACCCCACTTTTAAAGGGATATTCCAGCGTAAAATTAAATGAGGGTCAAACACACACTAACAGCGATTTAGACACCCCCTCGAGAGATGAATGTTGCCGACCGCTTGCTTCTCTAGTAATACCACAAATAATGCTCAGAACAGCACCTAACTTCATCAACAGTACACATAGGGTCCCAGCCATAGTACTTGCCATCAAACATCTTTTTAACTTTGACTAATTTCTTTAGCAAAGAGACTAAACACAACTCAGCTACCCTCTTCCAGCAGCCACTTGTTTGTAGCGAGACCTTAGGCCAGTCCATTACGGACTACAACTTAATTTTATGCCGGAATGTCCCTTTAAAGCTTCAAGTTAGACCACTTCCTTCCATGGTTAAAATTTCACTAAGAATAAATACATAAAAACAGAACTTTTTATTTAAAAAGTTTATACTCGTCACTGCATAGACCTCACTGCCTATAAGAGATGATAAAAAAGCTGTCTAAGAAATCATCAGCTGTGACTGTCAGCAAACTCTACTGCCCTCTAGTGGCCTTAATCTGATACTGCGCTGAGGTGATGCTGGTTCAAAGAATAGGTGATTAATTAAAGAAAAAAATTCTTATGCTCTTAGTTAAACTAAACAAACCAGATACTGTTTTTTTTTTTTTTTATTGAAGTTAAAAAACTAAAACTCTTATTTCTCTCATTTCACTAAAGAGTGAATATTAGATTCAAATGTACCCAACTGGTAAAAACACAAATTAATTCAATAATGCTTTCTAATCTGGTATTTACAGAAAAGGAGACACATTTTCACCTGTTTGCATTTATTACATATCAAAACATGAGTTTCAGTGGTTAAAAAAACTGACATTTACAGGCGTTTCATCAGCTTACTGACTGAACTGTTGGCTATAAACTAAGAGTGAAACCCTGATAAAGAGTTTAAAAAACATCCATGAGATTAACAATCAACATAAAAGCCAGAAACAATTAAATATATTAAAATGCATTGTGCAAATTACAAACAGACTGACCCGACTTTAGTCTGATCACAAACATACAAATGTTGTGTTCACTTTGCTTTCTTTTTGTGTTTACTTATATGATGAATTTTGGTTTACTGACCTGTTAAACCCCCTCATGTACTAAAATTAAACATAAAACCTACAGGGATCAGTGGCACGTTAAAATTATGAGTTAGATTTTAGAGTGCATTTCAAGTTTTAAACACTTTTATGGTACACTGGGTTCATCGAAAGTCTGGCCCGAGAATGTGGGTAATAAAAAAACAAATAAAACCGTGCGCGATAGGCCAGCTGTGAGATACCGTCATAAACTGTATGTAGAAAGAGGGGGTTTTGTACTTGAAGAGGGCCTGAGTGTGCATGTGTAAGGACCCCAGCCTGGCCAGGGGTTTGAACCAACAACCTTCTTGCTGTGCGGCAACAGCATAACACAAAAAACAACACAAACTACGGATAAAGACCTTAAAATTAAGCTTAAATTAGATTAAATCGAAATTGCAACAAGTAGAATTACTCTCGTCTACTGCAGACTGCAACCCCTTTAAAATGAGCTGCAGTTCCCAAAGCGTCCACTAGGGGCTAGAGCCAAAAACTGATGAATCCTCATAAGAGTGCATATTGAAATCAGTGATGTCCTGATACAACTTCTTTACCTCTGATATGTTACAGATATTACAGCCTTTAGTATCGGCCATTAGATGTTAGATATTCAGATGTTTTTTTTATGATATCGAACTGGTATCCGATATCAATATCGTATCGTAAGAGAATTACACGTTCACAGGCGTTTGTGTTTCGATTATATTAAATCAAAGTGTTGTGCATGAGTGGGCGTGGCCAATTTGACAGACAGGTGGGTGCTCTGTAGCCGCTTCCAAGGAGCATTTTTAACATGATGATGGTCCATGTTTAATAGGTAGAGTTACCCCCTACTGGTCATTCAAAGTAATGCAGGTTTCAAGGCATAGGCGCTTTTTACATACAGTCTATGCATCCCTGTTATTTGTCTCCTGTATGAATGCAGATGAAATGCCTCACTTTGTGAGCGTTTAGTAGTTTGTGACTTTAGTGCAAACAGCAAAAAGAGCAAAAACAACATTCAGGCACCATGAAGCACACTTCAGTTATTACAACACATTCAGAGAAAATTCTTTAGTTCTTCTCGGTAAGTTTCAGTGATTATTCAGACGTCTTTAAGTGTTAAAAAAAAAGTGGCATTCAGGAAAAAAAAGTCAGTCTCGGTACAAAAGAGGTTTAAAAAGTTCAGATCCACTTAAAGAGTGTCAGTGATTTCAGCCCTCTCAGTGCTGCTTCTCTGCTGATCTTTGGTCAAGTCCCAGCAACAAAGATGAGGAAAAACCTCCTACAGACCACCTCCATGCCTCTGGAGTCCTGTTACCTGGAGGTCTGAGGGCCCAACAGTACCTGTACCTGTAATAACCCGCCCTTAGACAGTTTTAAAGTAGCAGGGGTGTGTGTTCTCCAGCTGACTCGCTCCTCCTGGTGAGTTGCCGTGCTCGGGCCAGGATGCGGTTCGGCAGTGGGGGGAAATGGTGGCTAGGGTCCAGGACGTTGGTTTTGCGGCGCTCGCGCTCCTGCAGCCACATGAGATACGGGCTGGGCGGAAAGAATGGGCGAGTTCGCTCTCGATAGAGCTGCAGGACGATCCCCCCGACGCCGAGGACCACCCATACTGTGATCATGGCGTAATCTGGATGAGGAGGAAGAGGACGAAGAGGACTTGTTGAGATGAGATCAGAGGTTGGATGGACAGATGAAGAGAGTCGGGGTTTTACTCACCTATGATTTGAAACGGCACGTCTGTGAACACGGCGCTGAAGTTGTTGTTGAGGAAGCGTTTGAGGATGTTCAGGGCGATGTAGGAGAGGCTGGTGTAGATGTAGGCGTTTATGGCCAGGATGACGGCGTACGCGCCGACAATACCACACGTGACGATGTTCCCCTGTTAAAGCAGCAACAGATTCAATGACTCTTCCAGGCCGCCCGTGGCTGTACAAGACGATGATAGGTCGGTTTATGATGCTTAATGATGGAAGAGTAATGGACAGATACTATAACCTGTGTAACATTTTGGTACTACCACTAGAGGGCGCCAGAGTCAGCTGTTTGAAGTGTAAACTAACTGAGTGAAGAGGGTCTAAGAGTTCATTCAGTTACCTCTCGGGGCCAGCGCACAAAGAAGAGTGGAACGATGACCATGATGCAGCAGAACGTCACCCAGAAAACCACATCAGAGTGCCTGAACACGTCCAGATCACCTGGAGAAGCACACACACACACACACACACACACACACTGAGTATTTATAACATGCACTGGCATGTATAGCTTCACTGTGACTGCAGCTTTTCTACAGTATTTAAGAGCCTGAAATCCTCCTTGTAGAACCAGGTCGGGTCTTGTTCTTACCTAGAGGAGTGAAGAGGATGGTGGCGGCGAGGAGGAAACCCAGCATCAGACCGACCACGACGATGCAGGCCATGACAGAACCGAAACGCCACCAACTCATCACGAGGATTACCCCGCCCACAACGCCGATCACCGCTGACAACACAAGGCGGACTGCAGAGAGAGAGGAGGGGGGCAAGATTACAACATCTCACCGGGTACCATCAAAAACTAGAGGAGGAGGAGGAGCTCCAACAGATGCTGATTACATCTACTAAGTGTGCAAGAATTCTGAAGCTTAGGGCTGTCAAAGTCAACGCAGTTACAACTAAAATTAACCAACATTTTGGCGTAAATAATGCATGCAAGTTTGGAGATCCTGATCCTCGTCCAACTCTGCAGGAAACCAGGAGGTGCTGAGACACAATGAACCTGTGAGAGATTTTAATCTGCTCTGAGGAAGCAGGAAATGACTTTTGACTCATAAAATCTTAACAAACAAATATCTGTGTACAGTTGTTGGACTTGTTGTTGCCATGGGGGATTTTTGGAGCACCTTTGAGGTTCCTCTGGAGGAAGTCCTGATCAGCTGTTTTCATTGTTTCTGATCGTTGGGATGATAACAGGGGGAAAAAAATCATGTTTTCCACTCTAATCTCCATAAAAAACTTTAAAAATATCCTCTAAAGTCATTAAGAAATAAAAAGTTTGTGATCAATCACGAGTTGCACAATCATGGGATTCATTAAGATTAGAAATGCATCATTTGATTCTCAATATAATCAGCATCTGACTGAATAAAATGTCTAAAGTATGGGAACAGCACACGTGTCAACTTCAATTTAGAGGAGTGTATCTCAGGCAACTTCAACCAGAGTTCAAGGTCAGTGACTTAATCTCCAAAAATGAACAGAGTGGATGAAAACTCACTGTCATAGTCCAGTTTGGTCAACCTCGTGAAGGCTACGAAGGAGAAAAACGCGGCGAAGCTGAACCCCATACAGAAGAGCTCTGCGGCAGAGAGGACAAGAACAAAACACGTCAGGAAGATCGATGAAACCAACCCGGACATGTTTACACAAACATCAGAGAAATCAGCTGACGGATGCTTTTGAAACCACATGCTGCAGGATGAAGAGTTTGCACATCACATCCTCTGACTCTGCCACTTCAGATTTATCAGATCTGTGTGGCGCGGCGGCGGGTCGCAGTCACGAGTTCAGATTGGAACAAATACATTTGTGAATCACATGTGAGGCAACCGGAGAACTGAGTTTATTCTATTTACTCTTCTAAAAGAAATCAATATGAGATTAACTCCAGATTTCCACACCTCTTCATCATCATCATCACAACAGTTCAGTTTCCGCTTTGTTTCTGACACGTGAGCGTGACCCCTGACCTCGGCTAATCTTTGCTTTTACCCTTTTTTTATGGATTCCTCTGCTGGATCAACAAACAAGCGTCAGATTATCAGTGAACTTGGGTTTTGGTAAACTTGGTGAGAGCTGCTGTGGGTGAAATCTCAACAGGATTTTCACTTTTAAGCTCATTTTGTCTGAAGTTATCTTAAAAGTTTAACTCGTTACTAAGACTTAATTACTGATTCTGAATAACTCAATGCTTTTAAGTGGAATTAACAGAATTACGAAACGGTTTGATCGGCTCTGACGAGTCCTTTATCAGAGTCACAATATTTCAACCTTTTCATCTCCTCCTCTCACATTCAGGCTGCAGAGTTTTATGGTTAATCTTAAACCACAGCACGGCGATCATGTGTTCCCCGCAGACCTCCAGAACAAAGACACTCGAATTTTCTCATCATGAGTCGTTTCAGCCCCCGATTTATTCCGTTACATCCCCGAGACGGTATTTGACTTGCAAATGAGTTTGTCAGAGAAGTGTATTTGCCTGAGATTAACTTCTTTCTTCAAGAAAACAAATCTGATTTCTGCAGCTCTTATATTTAATCACGACGTCTTATTGTGAGCACATGGAGCTGTTTTTTTTCTCTGCGAGTTATGAGACAACAGCGTGAGCTTTGCATGATTTATTGAAGCACACTTTTGCACAAATTTAAACTCCTTCTCGAGGACTAATTTCAAATACGTGACGATAAACCCAGATTTGGATTCTGGGGGAGGTTAATGTTGGAACAAATAGGTTAAAGTGAACGGTTTAGGTAACCTCCTCTTTTTTACACATAAAAAGGCAAAACAAAGAGAAGGACACAAACGGCAGCTTCTTCATTATTCATGGGCGTATTTTGGGGCATAACATGACCTCAAACCAATCACAGCGTCCGCTTCCAACCTTCCCACACTTCAGGCTGGGCCGACCTGACTATCTTATTTTTCCTCCACTGGTTGCTGGTTTGGCAAGATGTATTCTCAGTAGAGGGGTCCCGATATAATATTTACACCGGATATCGGTCCGATATCAGCCATATCGGCCTGCATCTAAAATCTCAAAATCTCAGCGCCCAGATCCAGCATGCATTAACACATTAACAGTGTATACTAAGGTACAAACAAAGTAACAAGGAGTATGATTGATGTCGGCTATGTGGCAGTATATTTCGTCAAAGTCCGAAAAAGACATTGCAACATTGGTATCGGCTGATATTGAAGGCTACAATATCGGTATCGTATCGAAATAAAAAAAGTTGTATTGGGACTCATTCTGTGTTATTTCTCCGCTCTCTATTCTACATTTTAGACTCCGTTCATCATCCTTTCCTCTAAATGAATAAAGACATTACAGGGCTTCAAAAACATAAATTAAAATTTTTTGTTGAGCTCTTGTTCACTCCAAAAACTTGACCGGACTGTTTTTTTACTGTTCCTTTTTATTGTGTACTTTTGTTTCACAATGAAATCTCATTTGGGATTTTACAATCACGCTTTTACCACAGACCGGGTTTTATTTCACCCCTGATGGCTGCCAAAGCCAGGTCATCTCACTGAAAATCTCCAGGAAGAGCAGGCCGAGTATTTCTGTCAACAAAATCACGTGTGACCCCAGTTGACCCCCACACAGGTACAACTGCTGGTGTCATTTAAGTGAAGGAAAAGTGTGTCAGTCCTCCAGCGTCCATAAAACCTGCATAATAACCTACATTTTGATTAAAACTGAATCTTAAGTTACACTGTCCTTGTCAATAAAAACACCAACTGTCGTTTATATTGTTCGGCTGCAGGGTTTAAACGCTTTATTGTAGTCGCCAAGAGCAAAGAATACAAGTTTGTTCTCCCTTACTCTCAATGCACCTTTACATCTGGTATCCACTGTTTGTATAAAGCAAGAAAATTGTGATCAGACGTAAAGGAGGCGTCTTGATGCAGCAGAAACAGTCTGTAGTTGAGACCAACAAAGACCTGGTCTAAAGTCTGGGGTTGGTGGAGCAGTCAGTCCCTGAATCCTCCTCTCTGCTGTCTCCTCATAATCTCTATAAATACTCCCATTATCAGAATAAAAACATGAGCTCCATCATGAGACATTAATTATCGTTACATTCGTTTGATACCGTCACGATTCGAGTTTTCAGTCATTAATACAGTTATGCTGCCGTGTCCTCTGAGACCTCGGCCTGATTCATGTTAGGCCCAAAATTCCCCTCTGTGCGACTTTTTCACCTTTAGGCTTCACATTGTGTACTTGAACTTTACTTTCGGCAATTTTTTGTACAATTTTGTCGCGCTGCCTTTAATTTGAGTAAATCTTCAAATGTTTAACTCTTTATTTTCTCTGTTTTTTTGATACAGGAAGCTGCCATGATCAGGGGGATACTTTCACTATCAGTCTGGCTGAGGAGTCGTGGTAAGTGACACTTGACTTGTTTTGATTTGCAGTCATTTCTCATTTAAGCGCTCTCTTTTGATAAACCTACATTATCACAGCATCATTAATGTCAAACCGCTCACCTATTTTGAAGAACCGATGTCCACAGAAGCAAACAAACAGACCCGCCAATCCGGTGATGGTGAAAAAAACCTTTGTGGTGATTTTTCCTGCAAACAACAATCAGATATCAAAAGATAGATTTTAAAGATCAAACTTCATCTAAGAGCATTTCAGCAAATACTCTGTTTGATGTTTCCACAAAGTTAAACAAATCCAACAAACACGAGATTACAAACAATCCGATTATGGACCAGTTGTCGTGTTCGGAGCAGAAAAGGGCTCACCCAGGGTTTGGCAGCCGTCCAGAGTGGAGGCGAAGCTGCAGGCGTAGGTGTGGACGGGGACGTAGGAGGACGAGGTGTTCCTCAGGGGGTCTCTGACGATGACGGAGTAGATGACGCCTTGACCGGGGATGGAGTTGAAGACGGCAGAGCTCAAGTCGGACGAGAAGAGCGTCATCACCTGCAGACAGACCACCAGGAATGAGCCACAACATGTTTGTGAATCAAACACCCCAAAAAATGGGGAGAACCTGGTTTTGGTTTCGCACCCGTTTGCCGTTCGCCATCATGCCGTTGACCTCTGCCACCTCCTGGATGCCTCGGAAAAGGCTGCGCTCTGATAGGTCGTTTTCAGGCAGGAAGTACTGGTAGACGTCGTACTGCAGCCGCCAGCGGGTGGTGGGCAGTGTGGATTCATCACAGGGTGGAGGATCTTCCCCCCTAAGAGAGAGAAAGAAAGACAGACAGAGGAGATTTTTCAAGGATGTCCGGATATCGTGTTCGACATCTGTGCAGAGATTGAATTTCATGTCGACTCTTTTTTAATATTATTCAATAAACAAGACTATCAGATCTCATTTTGTGTAAAACCGTCTGCTAAACCTTTAAAAACACAATGTCACACTAAATTCAGCTTCCTCCTCTCTCACTGTATCTCTGATGCAACCGAAGAGACAACACACATGCAGCTCTGCAGAGTAAATGTCACCTCATGCATCCTTCCTGTAAATGCACCATACATGTGTGACCCCTGTTCACCTGACGGAGCTCTTCTGCTGCTCATAGGTGGAGATGGTGACATTCAGAGCCACTGCGGTGGTTTTGGTCACTTCGTATAGTACGTTTCTTTCTGCTGTGTGTGCAGAGTCGGGGTGTTTGTGTGAGAAAAGGTGAACCAGTGGGAGCAGAGTTTCATTCTTATGAAACACTCTTTTCTTTCTTTACTTTCAGAATGGATTTCGTTGAGATCTGATGTGCATCTCTTTTTTACTTCTGCAAAAGTTCGCTCACAAATACTTTAACTTTTTGCACGACAAGTTTAAAGTATAAATCTTGGTTAACCGAGACAGTAAACGGTTTTATTTTCTCACACTTAAGAGACAAAAACAAAAAAGCGAGGGCAGCAAGAGTAACAAAAGTGGGTAGACGTGAATGTGCGAGGACAATAAGAGTGAAACCTGACACAGATAGTTTCTACTGTAATCCTGTAAGATGCTGTGGTTTGTTGGTGCGCTGTGTGAATCACAGTTAAGTAACGATAGATGTGAGAGCGATTTTATACAAACACCTTCTGCAGAGGAGAAGTTAAACTCCAAACTTTCAAAAACATTAAATAAATTAATGCAGTTTGATGTTTTCATGATCATAGAGATCTAATTGTGTGGAAACTTCCCCCACATTTACATCTCGGTGTTTGACTTTAAAGACTAAAATTATGAGGGAAGGTGCGGTCATCACATGAGCGGCTCATCTGACACAATAACAAATCACAACAGCCAGACACGTCCAACAAGTCTATCCTGAAACCAAAGACAGCCAACAAAGACGCCACTATTCCTCTAAACCAACAGCGGTCATAAACTAAAAAACCATTTCACCACAAGTTTTACCCGCCGGTGGTGACTCTTTCTGTTGATTTATAGTGTGGAGGGTAAATCCATGATGTAGTGTAGTGAGCGCCTTCTTTCACATCGAGGTCCTGCTCGCCCTGAAGGGACTCTTAACCACAACAGAAATGGATTATTCTTCTGATTATTACACGACTAACAGCTTGAAAAACTGCAGCTACCCCTCGTCTCTGTTTTGACTTATTAATAGTTTTTAATAAAGTGGTTCCTCGGGACGTCTCGAGATCTGCTTATCAGTCGTTTTTGTGGTCTCTAAGACGAGACTGAAAACCCGGGCTAACTAGCTACCCCACATAACCCTTACTTTTTTATTCCATGAGTGTTCTAGGAGTGTTCCTACCATAATCCCGTCAAAGTTTGTCCGATCAGAAAAATTTCAACGGTGTTTGAAAGCTGAGATTTGTGGGCATGTGCATATATATGATTTACTACGGTAGTCATGGTAGTTACTACGGTAGTGGAATAATCACTAATTAGATGTTGAAAAGAGAAGTTCAATTATTCAAGTATTCTTTGTCTTTTAAATTATTAATTATCGTGTTCCTATGTGTCAATTTTTTATGTTTTTATTTGTTTTATTTAGTTGACAGTGAACATTTTGATGTGTTAACTTTTTATTCATTTATTTGTCCTTGGTTAGCCTCCACAAATTTAAAAAATAGTATTATTATTAATATCAAAATTAGAGGGGGCATAAGTGTACTGATGGACAGGATCTATTTACAGTTGAGAAATGTATAAACATGTATGTAGGAGTAATTTTAAATACATTAACGACTGGAGCGGGGTGAAATACATTTGTATGTTTGGGTTTTATTGAATTTTATCTTATTTTCTCCTCTCGACAGAGGTTGCCATTATTGTCTATTTCCCCATTATCACTGAATTATCAGGCTGGTGTTTTTAAAAACACTCATTTAGCTTCTTCAACTCAGCTCCCCTGCATAAAAACTCTTTCCTATCCGCCTGTTTTCTAGAGGCCTCCTTCATTGTTTTTTAAAGTAAACCTCATTTTTTAGTTTATTAACTTTAAATTTTTATTTCCAGTAAAGTGTTCTATCATTTTGTTGTTGCTTTTTTGTTGTCGGCAGAAAAAAAAAAAAAAAAAAATTAAATGAGAAAAAGAAAAACAGAGTATTTCATTTAAAATACAACGTTCATAAGGATCTGTTTGTGCAATAAAATGTAGGACTTTGACCAAAACAGTTAATTATAATCATATTTATAGTTCACACATGTGCTTTGATTTCCTTTTTATACTGAATATGTTAAAAACTGTTAGTTCTGTCTTTATCAGTCTGCTAGCAGAAAAAACTATTGCTATGCTCTGGCCAATCAGAATAGAGTAGTAAACATCGTGGTGTAGTAAGGTGATGTTATCTCTCCGTACATCCTATTGTAGTTCTTTAAAGTTACAAATAACTGCAGTCCTCTATGGATCAGGCAGAGATAAACAAAAGTGAAAAACTGAGGCGTCAGCAGAACGAGCAGCAGGAAAGGACATGTCTCTGTTCAGACAGACTGAATAAATACTATTCATGAGGAAATGAAGCAAGAACCAACAGCCACAGCAGAGGAGGAGAAAGAGGGGAAAGAGAGGAGGAGGAGGGGAGGCTGATAAATCAGGCAAAGCAAACAAACGGCGCAGCGGTTTGACTGCAGCTGAACAGGCAGAACAGGAAGCTGAACAGGCGATACCAGAAAGTTTAGCGTGTTACCTCTCATATCCTAAATTTGCAGGTGCAAAGCGGATGGTGGTCTCGTACAGGTTGTAGTGAATGTAGACGTTCGGGTCGATGTCTAGATTGAACTCAGTGTTACAAGCTCCAGGGACTGGATCTGGAAAACAACACAACCTTAAGTTAACTTCTGCATCGGGCACATGAGGACTCTGTCGAACCCTGCGGTGTCATGATGACTTTTTATGCTGGCGAGTTTGAACACGCCAGAAAGCCTCATGAGCAACCGCAGCACGCACAGTCAGTGACAGTGTGGTCTGCAAGAACTTCCTCAAGAGTAAATCACTCCAAACTGAGCGGCTCACGCCGTTGTGAAAGTAACTTTGGTTTAGCAGAAACAAACTTAAGAGTCGCTGCAACTTCTGTTTTTTTCTCAACTCTTATGAAACACTGAGATTATGAAAGAGGAGCTCGTGAGAACAGTACCGGCGCTGGAGTATGGGAGGATGACCCCCGTGCCGGTCACAGGGTCACCATCCAGGGACAACAGGAATAAGGAGAGGGCGGTTTGGCCCGGGTCCAGAGGCGACAGGAGTCCTGAGTCCACTGCTGTCAGAGAGAGACCCAGGTCTGGAACCTGAAGCAAACACAGACATCATCTTGTCAGCGGGCGCACCAACGGAACAAAACAGTCAAACACAGAAAACTATCAGGCTGGTGTTTTCTGCTTCAACTCAGCTCCCCTGTACAAAAGACGTCTTTTTAATCCGCCTGCTTTCTAGAAGCCTCCTCCGTTGTTGCCATTCCTTGTCATCGTCAATCATAAATAAAAAAAACGTCCGCTCATTTCCTCTTTTACTTTATAATCTGTCAGTAAATCTTCTTTTTTAGTTTATCAGTTTTAATTATTTTTGTCTGTACCTGACCACCTGACATTCCTACGCCGCTAACATGGCTTAAACTGTAATCTAGCATGATCAGGAATGAACCTACATACTTTCTTGCCTTATTATGGCTCAGTTATGTTGAGCTCTGTGGTTTCTACGCTCATAAACACTTTCTCCAAGAGTTGGTTAACTCCACTGTGAAACATCCTGACAAACAAACAGGCTGATGTAAACACGTGTCAACAGCTGAAGATGAAGACGAGACAGTCGTCTGTAACATCTGAAAACATCTCAACAGTCGCGTCTTTGTTTCACGGATTACCGTGTTTTTAACCCACTCTGTTCGGCAACAGCTGAGGATTATCTTTAAGCGTGGTCGACACACTCGAAGCGGTGACATTTTCAAACAGCTGAGCTTATGTTACAGCTGGTTAAGAGTGTGGAGGCTGAAAGGTCAACAGATCGCTCGTGTCTAAGTCTAAGATATTTGGAATATTCATTTTTATTAATTGTATAACAAACCCGTGATATAAACTGGCTGCTTGGGTTCAAATGGGGTTTAGAGTTGGTCCCTCTTCCAGGATAATCTGATGGAATTAAACATTTTATTGCTGATATCAAACTTCCCAAAGAAAAATGCTTGTTTTCAGGGCTGAAGCCTGAGATAAATTATTCCTCCGTGCCTGAGACCATAAAATACATCAGTGGGTTCAAATGGGTGTCAATTAGGACTGGGTGATGAACCGAAAGTTTACTGATACCGAAATTTACGACAATATCGTGATATTGATTTGAGGCCATATCGCCCAGCCCTAGTGTCAGTGATCGGCACAACTAAAGAGGGAGGTAATACTTTTCAGGCTATTTACTTTCCATCCTCAACATAATTTACAGCACAAAAAACTCTTCAATCTTCTCAGATCGGTGTCTTTAAAAACTGTTTCGGCTTCAATCTGATTGATTGGTGAGTTCACAAATTGGGCAACTCTTATGCAGATGATGCTGAGTTATCTCCTCTGATGTTTTAAACAAAACAGCCTGCAGACACATCCTGGATTTACTCCAACAAACATTTTAAACTCCGATACCACCTCTTTGAGATCTTCCGTTAGTTGACGTGAGTTAAGAGTAAAACACTGTGAGCCCTGGCATCAAAAACCACACTGGCTGTTTCCTGTGGTTTCACACCAACAGGTTCGTAAAAAAAAGGAACACAAACACAAGTATTCAGTTCAGTTTCCTTAACAGTCTTATCTCTATTTTACCTTTTTCTGTTAAACGACACAACTCTGTTCTGAATGCTAATATAAACTAGGTGATTTTTCTGTTTCTGAACCTGCTTTGGGGTCAAATTTACATCTGCAAAATATCTGGATTTGTTTCTTTTTATTAAACTGCTTGTGTAGTTTTAAAAATCGGCCAAAGAAACCTCAATAACTAATATTTATCGTTATGAAACTTGTGGGTAATAAATCCGTTAAAACCCAGCTGAACATCTTTGTTACAGAGTGAGTCACGGCGACACAGTCCTCTACATCCTGAACTGGTGAACTCCTCATTTATGTGACCCAGTTTGATAACAACAATAGCATGTGTGTTATCCAGTGGGAAAAAAATGACCACTCTCTGCGCTCGCTGTTGGAAAAAACATGTAAAATATTTCATTTGGTTGTTTCCCCCCTTACTGGGTTTCTCCCTTTGTGCTCTGCAGACTCAAGTTGTTGACGTTGCAAAAATTCACAGTGACAGTGGGACTCTTAGTGAGTCTTATCTTTATAGTGCACATTTAAGGATCAGTCATAAATTAAAAACCTATCCTCTCTTATCAATGACCCCGTCAAACCTACAGTTTATGTCTCATAATGTAGTTTCCCAGGATTAACAGGCTTGGGCTGTTAAATCTGAAAGTTTGGGATAGTTTCACTTTTATCATAAACTTCCGCACATATCAAACGGCACAGACCTCCAGGCCTGGACTCATTTGTTATTAAGCTCATTTAAAAACCTTAAAATGAAACAGTCATGGCACCCCCCTCTTTGATCAGAACAACTTCCTCTTAGCTTAAGCCTCCACTCTATACATACTTGTGGTTCAGCGTTTGATTATAAATGCTTTAATATCTGCTCAATGTGAATTTTTCCTCTAAACTAGTCTTGCTTTTAAACTTCCCACATTAATCAGGCTGTCATACAAAGCTGGGGGTTTTAAGGCTAAATTATATCAACCTCAGAATAATTATCCCAAGAAATTAAATGTATCCGAGTCAGAATTGTTTTGCCATGACAGAAAGTAGATGGTTAGACATCAGCTTTGCGGGACAAACACCAAATATTTAGAAAAATCATTTTCAGAGAGTAAATGCTGAATAACTCTTGTGACAAGTCTGGCAGTATTGCAGCATTGTGCCCACACAGTGTGACTCTCAGTCTGACTGCTCCAACAATAACTCCATTGTATGATACCCGGCATCTTGAGCAGACAGTGGCCTGGGTAGAGATGGTGCATTTGATTTGGTTTCCACTGGATTTATCTAATACTCCGCTAAGACAGAGCGACTTCAAACCCAAAGTGTGTAAAGGATTTACGACCTAATGAGGAGTCATTAGTCACTGACAGGGAAGTCGCATCGGAGATTCAAATGAAAGATCTATGTCAGGCTTTAATTTGAATGTGATTTACAGACTCTCAGATCGGCATCTCTGGGAACCCTTTCTCCTCATCTGAACCGCTTCATTTCAGCTACTGTCTCTTTAAGAACCCCCCACCACCACCATTCTGGAACCCGGCTCTACAGAAGCCTCTTCCTCTCAGTCTGTTTACATGACACTCAAGAAAACCGAATTATTGCCTTACTCGATAAAGATCGGACAACTGAAGTGCATGTAAATACCTTCGTCCGACTGGAATCAGAGTTTGAGAACTCCGATGAAGACACCCAGATAATGCGATTGGAATTTGATTTTCTCTACCATGTAACCAGCGTAGTCGGAGTATGATTGGACAATGCATGTGCGCGTGCGCCATGACCTCGTAAGCCCAGAACAAAACACCAGAGAAGAAGTGGCGCTATCATTTGAAGAACTTTTGACTCAGAAGCAACTGCAACATGGCTGAAACACGAAAGAATGTCCTCTTTTGGAACGACGAGGAGGGTGCCGTTATGCTTTCCCTCCTGAAAGAAATGGACGTTTTAAAGAACATGGACGGTCACAAAACCAGGATCGGAGACCAAATCTGCTGAAAAAGTAGCTTGTACATCACGTACGACAAAAACAACGCTGTACAATGCTCCATCTTCTTGCTCGAAAATGCCCAGCAGCAGTTGTAGCCACTTCTGATGTCTGTCACGGACCTGCTGTTATTGTCGACAGTTGTATGGGGTCAATCGGAAACAGCGCAGCTAAAAATACCCACACTGCCCCCTAGTTTTGGGGAGGAGGACACGTTCATGTCAATAATTTGATTTTCTCAGATTTTGTGACAAGGAGAGAAGTCTGATTCGGCGAGAAAAAAAAAAAAGAAACGAATTATGAGCTTATACTGCATTCGTTGTGGTTGTGTTGTTTTCCAAAATGAGGTCACACCCAAGTCATCAGCGTTTCGGTTACCAAGTCGGAAAAAAAGCAAAATCGGAGGCAGAAACAAGATGGCTACATCTACGAAAGTTATTTAAGCGCTTGTCCGAATATAACGCTAGCGCTACAGTAACTTTCATAAATGTAGCCATCTTGTTTTAAGGCCTCAGATTTTGCTTTTTTCCGACTTGGTAACTGAAACACTGATAACTCGGGTGTGACGTCATTTTCAGCTCCGAAATCTGACTTCCAAGGTAGCTCGAATGCAGCATTAGTCCTATTAAGCTGTGCATGTAAACAAACTGACTGTTGCCATGCTTACAAGCCAAGTTTCTCTGTTTAAAATGAAAACTCATGAAATACGTCTGTATGTTTTAGACCCCAACAGTTTGAAAAGTCCTAATTCAGTGTTCACCAATCTGTGACGTCATACATTGAGTGGATCTTAATAGCGTTTATAAGCCTGTTGTTTCTTTTTTTTATAATTCTGGTGCTACTGACCCGCTCCGTCAAGTTTCGACCCCATTTGCGTCAACAGGACTAATTTTTTTTCCAGGACATGTTTCCTTTCACTGAGAAACTCCCCAGATTTGTTTTTCTTTCTTTTTTTCCCTCACTGTGTCCCATCATCAGAAAAATTACGGTTAACTAAATTTAGGCTCTCTGCCCCGTCCATCAAGCTCGGACTCAAACTCGAGCTGTCCGCCTGAGACTTTTGGGAGCCGGGCCAGAAGGCTTTTCCTCTGGGCCGCCCTGTCTGCCACTCATGACCAGTGGACTGTACATCAGCTGACTGCCACTTCTCTCACTTGGTCAGACGACCTCGATCCACAAAGCTTCATTCATTATTGATAAGTTGAACTAACTGAGCGTTCATACTGCATGAAGCATATCTTTAATTTCACAGTTTAGTTCGCATTCGCTCAATTAAGAGTGAGGAAAAACTCAAGCAGATGATTAGGCATTTAGGCAATTTGATTTAAAACAAAATAAAACATGTCAAACTCAAAAAAACTGACATTCCTTCTTGTTTTTCCCCTCATTTTTATTTCTGCCTTTGCTCTGCATGTTATGAAACCGTTTAAGAGGAATGTCATGCTGCTGCAATCTCTGTACCATGAAAAAAATGCCAGCAAGCTCGACATGATGAAAGAAAAAAGTCCAAATATGCCTTCATAACACAGATTATGTTAATCTCTACATGCAGAATGCAGAGGTTGTAATCGGAAGCCCTCTGTTTTCTGTTTGCAGCCTGAATAGCAGAAATTCAGCCTGTAATAGTTGCGTAGGAGGACAGGTAAATAGTCCATGTAGAGTTAAAAAGGCAGAACTCATTGGCTGTAATGTAATAAGGGTTAAGGGTTACCGAGGATCCAACATTCGGAGCCAAAACCAACACAGCGACGCAAACAAACTCAGCGGTCCGGCTTAATAAGTTCAGAGCAGACTTGCATGTTCTGCATTAGTTAAACTACTGTTAGTCATTGGAGTCTGGTGGTTCGAGAGAAGCCTGTGTCCGGTCTCTTCATGGTTAAATTAGTATATTACTCTTAAAAAACAAGGTCTATCTGAGGAAGAAACTTCAGCCAAATGTTGTCAGAAAGTTTTCATGACAGAGGAAAATTAAAACTTTAAGTTGACCATTCTATTCTATTCTATCTTCTTCTCTTCTCTCCTTTGTAAATGTTACTCTCTTCTATTTGCTTCAATTCCACTCTATTCTATTCTACTCAGTGTTATTCTATTCTGTTTGCTGCTATTGATTTCTATTCTGTTCCATGTTATTCTATACTATTTGATGTTATTCCATTCTATTTTCTTCTTGTATAGTCTGTGCGATACTTTCTATATGATTATTTCTATACGATTAGATTTCATTCTATTCTGTTTGCTGCAATTAATTTCTGTTCTACTCTATTCTTCTATTTTATTCTATACTATTTGATGTTTCATTCTATTGTTTTCTGATCTCTTCTATATGATACTATTCTATACTATTTGATGCTATTTTCTTCTCTTGGTCTATAGACGGGTTTGTTGTGTACAAACAATACTAGGTTTTTGCGCAACCATGGGGCAAAAGCCTGCTTCAGAGTGAACTGATATAAATGAAGATGCCGTATTGATGCCGTTCTCTCTTACACAATTGCAATAAAATGTCATCGCTTTGTCTTTCATTGCATCAAAATCAGAAAAACACTTGCTAAAATGTCCATAAATTTCACTCAATTTACCAGGTTGTGACGTTGTTTTGGATGTTTCTAATATCAGGAGCAGGGTCGTCATGTTTGTTTTGCCGATTCGTGCAGTTCACGCCACAACAGCTCCTTGTCATTTCCTTTCTCCATTGACTCCGCTAGTAAACAAATAAGAAATGTCTCGCTTTCTGCCCCAAGGTTGCACGCGCATACCTTCGATGTCGTTGCACAGAAAGCTGTCTATTCTATTCCTGTCTCTTCTATGTGATGCTATTCTATTTCATTAGACATTACTCTATATGCTGCTATTCTATTCTATACTATTTGATGTTATTCAGTTCTATCATCTTCTCTTCTATTTGCTGCCATTCTATTCTATTAGAAACTTTTCTCTTCTATTTAACTCTTTTCTATTGAACTCTTTACTATTCTTCTGTCCAATGCTATTCTATTTGATGATATTCTATTCTATTCTATTCTAAAGAAGCTAAACCACACTCAGCAGCAGCTAATCATAGCTCAATAATACATGCAAATGGACCAGATAGGTCTGTCACTTTTTTTCTCACAACAGCAGTGGTCGAGGTTTCTCGAAAGAACAGTCATAGCACACTGACTAACACTGCTGGAGGAACGCTGTAAAACCAGGTCGGGGCTTTCTCACCCTGGTGTAGGAGAGCGTGGCGTTGCGGTACTGCGTGTGAAACTGCAGGGTGATGAAAGCCACCTCTGGGGGGATCCTGGAGACCACGGCCTGAACCGTCTCGTTCTGGGACACGCTCACGTTCTGGAAGGTTCCCGGCAGGAAAACCACCCGGTCTAAAAGAGGAGGAGGCGGATTAATCAGAAGCATACTCTTTACTCTGATAGAATTTGTCTTTTTCAAAAACTGGAGGAGCCTCTTTGACCACATTTAAACCGTGCTGCGTCAGTACTGAACTTTTTAATACAATAAAACTATCAGGACTGTAAAGTGGTTAACTTTTCTTCTGTATCAGAAGACATAATTAAATTCACTCATCATCATAATCAAACAAACAAATAGACAGAAATAAAGGGATAATGCGAAGTTTTACACAAAAAGGTTACATTTTAAAGGCATGTTGTTTACATAATAGTTTGTTCACTTTAATCGTCACCTCCATCGTCAGCATTTAAGTCTGCTGACTTGGGTGAGGAGAATTTACGTTAATAAATCACAGCCCTATCACATTAAGATTAAGAGACGCCAATTAAATCATGCACAGGTAATCATAAAGCTGCTCTTTTGGACTGATTATATAACTAGTTATAGATATGCATATGACAAATGATTATTTTAAGAGTAAAGTTGACAATCTTAAAATGAAAAGTCTAAATTTTGAGAAAATAATGTACAAAAATAAAGCCACAGTATTATAGGATTGTCTCTATTCATATCAGACTGTTTCTTCTCACAATCCTGAGACTCATGAAACCTCTGATAGAGTGAAAGATGAAGTCTTCAGGTTTTTGTTTGGCATTTATATCAAAGTACAACTTCACAGGATGATGCACGTTCCTCATTTGTGGCTGCAGGCTGATCTATCTTTGAAATAGGCTAACCACATCCTGCAATTGTGGCCTCTTTCTCATAAATACACCAGTTTATTCTTCACATTTCAAAACCTGACACCTCTTTCTCATAATACTGTGACTTTATTCCCTAAACAATAGGACTATAATCTCAGAATACTATTCTCAAGACTTTCTTAAACTTTATTTTCAAACTTTTTTTCTCTATGTTGTAAATTGACATTGAGTGTTATAATCATAGATGTTCAACCAGACCTGGTGCAGACTAAACGAGCAGTAACTAAATTCTGTTCTCACTATAAATACTAAATGTTTAAACACCAATCTGAACACGGCAGTCTTAAAAAGTAAAAGGAGTTAAGCATACAGAAAATGGCAAGACTGTGCAACTAAGAGGATGTGCAGAAGAAAAGGCACATAATCTGAGTTTACTGCAGATTAACTCAATCTATGTAAAACAAAAGTGGAGTGTGGTTTGTAGTTGTACATGTTTTTAAGCACTTTATGTACAGTACATCTCATAGTTCATAAAAACACAGTTGAAGCATGTTTTAGAGTCAAGGTTTAGTTGTTGTTTTCTACACTCAAAAACAGGCTGTAAAAACAAACCTACTACAATAAAATCCTCTCTAATAAACTGAAAACATTTCCAGCAAAAACAGCCAGAGTAAAAAGAAACGGGTGACAGAAGGAGCGGCACACATTCAAGTAGTGATTCATTAAAGATGTGGAGTATCTAAAGTGCAAAGTGCAGCTGAGGACGATATGATACAGTAATTCAGTTCAGTGTGACAGCAGAGCAGAGACACACTTTCTTTATTAGCGCTGTTATATAAACCTATAACTTATTACTGTCCGGGGAGAATGATGGCTGACCTGTCATGAAATGTTTAGTTTATTTAGTTTTCCCCTGGTTTTGTTATTTTAGTGCATTTTCTGTGTATTTTTCCCAGTGTTTTGAGTTTGTGTTTGACCTTGTTTCCCTCACGTTCTCTGTGTTTTATTCTTTAGATCAGTTTTCAGTGTTTCCTGTTTTATTTTGTAGGAGTTGATTCCTCGTGTTTCTAGTCTGGTTTTACTTCCCTAGTTTTCCCTCCTTCATTAATCACCCATGATGAGTTTCACCTGTGTCTCATCTGCCTCACCTGTTCCTCGTTTCCCAGTGTGTGTGTATATAGGCCCTGTCTTCCCCTCTGTCTTTGTTGGTTCATTGTGCGTCAGACATTAGTTGTTGTGTGTATCCCTAGTCTCCTTGTGCCTTTTGTTGGATTTTGCCTTTGGGATTTTTGTTCGCTGAAATCTCAGACGGCAGACAGTTTGTACGGGCGACCTTAAAGCAGAAAAGCCTGAATGAACGCCTGAAAAGTGTGCTGTGTGTGTCGAGTAATGAGGTCCCAAACTGAAATACTGAAGCGAGCTGTCAGTGGGCGCTTAACCACTTTAAAGACTCCTCACAGAGCTGGACAAACATCTTTCTTCCTGAGTCCACTGAGCTGCAGAGATTTCCACACAAAGACACGGTGCTGGAGTCAGCTTTTGGCTCGTAAAGCTGCTGATTTGAGGACAAATGTTGAATAGACTGTTATTGTTGAATAAATAAAATCCTTTCACACGCACAGACTTCAGTAAAATAATCAAACAAAAGCGGTTTCATTCCCATACTTTTGGACGGGTCGGTAAATCATTGTTGTTTGTTCGTTGCAACCATAAAAATTAATCCACCGTGCGTGTGTTAAATCTGAGAGGGTCAGAACTAAAGCAATGATTTAGCAGAACCACTTTAAACGATGAAGTAATGATCCTCCTATCAGATCGAAACGAGCGATTAAAACATGCTGTGGTGGTCTCAGGATTCCTGCAAAACCTCACACCTTGCTCTGAAACACGAGTCTCTTAAACTGCAACTTGAGCAGAATCTGGAGGAAACTTCCATCTAATCTTAAGCAGCTTTGGCGTGTGCATTTCTTAACTCCACTTATCACCGAGAGAGTGAACTTTCCTCACTCTTTATCTCTTTTACTGATCACTCAGTTTGGCTTTAAAGTTTGAAGTGTTTGCTCAAAGATGCTTTCAATTTCGCCTGACTCTTGTGCAACACAAACGACAACCACTTTGAATTTAATGGGTTGTATTTTCTTGCAAGAATGGTGATTTACATGCAGGTCAAAAACAATAATATCTCGTGTTTTTTAACATTTTCGTAATTGATTATAATAAGTCATAAAAAAGATGTTAAACTCTATTTAGTGACATAATAATCAGCGATCGTCTGATTACATTGAGTACATTCTCTTTCTGTATTTGTAGATTCTCTGCGGGATGTCAGCTGAACCTCTGTGGATTTATTGCAGGTGAGCACGTGCTTCCTTATCTACACCGACTGTTTGCAGGTCAGACTCCAGTTTAGGAGAAATGACCTGCTGCCTTGGTTTCACGTGAAGAAAGAGGAAAATATGTGACGACGTTTGTAAATCTGGATTATTTTACGATTGGCTTTTTTAGTCGCGTTCAAACGTATCCCTGCAGGAGCGATTCTGTATGGCACTTTGCGTATAAATATACCAGCAGTGTTGACATTTTTGGCTCAAATGGAGAGTTTAATAACTTCTTAGTAGTTCACGGGCTTTCCTACAAGAACCAAAACAACATACACTCCATCATATTTTAAAACTGATGTGAAAAACTGTCATCTTGATCCCTAAAGCTGCAGTCTAACACATGTGCTCTCAGTGCTGCTCAGGATGACTGTTGTTTTGCTTCTCCTTGCATCACCCCTGCTTTCAAGCATTGCACATCCTGACTTTGCTGCCAGTTTTCGACACTTTAAGTACTTCCTTACATCCAACACGACTGCTGGCAAGTGTAAGCTGTCATTATGTAAGCATAATTTATACATCAAGTCATGAATATTAGCAGAAACGTTAAAATCTGCTCATAATTGAAATGAACTTTTTAAGCAGGAGAAGTATTTGCTTGCATTTTTCAGAGCAAGATCAAACGTGAGTGAAGCATCTGACTAAAGCTAAATCAAAGCAAGATGACACTAAAAAAAAAAACATCCCCTACTGTTAAAGTTATACTATTTGTATAACAGAGCCATACTTTTACTGTTTAAACCTGATAATATGGAACAGAAAGCAATAATCCAGGTTCTTGCTTTGCTCTCCATCTGCAGTAAAAATGTGACTGTAATAAAAACTGTAACTCTACACAAATCATAAAATATTTCACTGCAAACTCGCGTGAGCTGAAGCTTCATTACAATAACAATTTAGTCTTTGGATGACAGTAATTTACTGTAAACAGAACAGCAGGAATCATAAAGTCAATGTTAAACCTCTCATTTTGGGAATATAAGCTCCTTTAATCGTCAATAAAATCGACTTTGCTGTGAAAGGTTGCTAAATTTAGACAATATATCCACGAAATGTCTATCTGTGGTAACTTACTTTCCACTTGAGCCTGAACTTCACACATCACGAGAAGGAGCAGCAGGAGCAGGAGCGGACAGCAAACCCAACGACTCATTTTCCTCTTCTTTGTTTAATAAAAAATAAAACACGCTTCTATCTGCTGGTCTGAACATTCATTTGGATCCGGGCAGTCTCCAGTTTGTGGACAGTAGAGCTCTCTGAGGACGGAAAAGCGACATGCTGGACTGAGCCGTGAGGCTTTCAGCGACAACCTTTTCTCTCTCTCTCTGCCGCTCGAACTGCTGGACGGTGCTCCCGCGAGATTTTTGCCCTCGGTCTCGCGATACATCCCATTCTTCAAAGATTGTAAATGACAGACAGATGAATCCTTACCCACTCACAAACATAGACCAAAAAGATGACAACATTATCAGGCAGTAAAGAACTCAGTTATTCTTTAAAGATATATTAGTTACTTCAACTTATTCACATTGTATGATGTACCTTATGTTTACAATTATGTTTTTATTTTTGTCCTCATGATTTCTTGTTATATTATAGGGTTCTTGAATTGTCTGGGTTTCTTGTGACAAATGAAATTGGCCTTCAATTCAGAGGCCCTGTTTTTAACTGAGCTTTTGTTTTTTATTTGTTTTTGATGCTTTCTGATGCTTTAGGACTGTTTGTCAAAGTACTTTGTGAACTTCTGTCTTTAAAAGTTGTTTTTCTTCTTCTTCCTTTTATTATTATTATTATTGTTATTATTATCGAGTCCCATTTTTATTGTTGTACAGAATTTAAGTTTTTCTTTCCTTTTGTTTCTTTTACTGTTGAGGTTAACTTACTGTGTATTTATACCCACATCTGATCTGGTAAACTAAATCAAATCAAATCAAACTTTATTTATAAAGCGCTTGTCCTAAAGGAATGTGACTTAAAGTGCTTTACAATCAAGTTAAAAACAAAAAACTAGAGAGAGAGAGACAAGAGAATGGGCATGAGGCTGAGTGCAGATGAACCAGTTGAGAAAGTGCCATCAGAGGAGCCGTCAGCACCAGGAGCAAAGAGCTGCCCACAGCCACAGGACACCGACACAGGGCCAGTGGAGGGATGTGTCAGACAGCGACCTCCGCCGGGAACCCCGCGTCCCGCCCCTGCAACCACAAGTGACCACTGCTCCCGGTGCCGAGGGCTCCCTTAGAGGAAACACTGGGGGTCCTAAAAATGATAAAATGATTAAAAACAAGTAAAAACTAAAATAGGAATAGAACACAGACCTAAAATAAACCCAGGATAACAAGAATAAATGAAGATAAAACAAATGAATATCAATTAAAAGCTGAGTGGGTCTGAGGTGGGTCTTGAGCCTGCTCTTAAAAACATGAACGTTCTCTGCGGCCCTGAGGTCTTCTGGCAGGCTGTTCCATAGACGAGGGCTGTAATATTGAAAAGACGCTATGAGTGTGTGTCCTGGCTTTTGGAATGACAATTGGCAGGCTTTTTGATGTGTCTGTAGATCTCCGAAAAATCTGACAGAGTGGGAGCTCTTCTTCAATATCCACTCCCAACTAGCCACAGCTCGCAAAGTCAAGATATTTTGGTTTAACCATAAACAACAAGCACGTTTACATTTGTAAAAATACCCTGGAGTGCGAACAATTACAGCTTTTTTTATTCAACTACATTCTTAGCACTGTTCAAGTTTGTAGCCCCTAAATATTTCTGTTATTTTTGCTGCAGCTCTTAGCCAAAGAGGTTGTAGGATGTTACAGCAGATCCTGTGAGTTGCATCAAGTTTCTTTTCCTCCTTTTTGTGGCTGATTGCGAGATTTTTCAACAACATAAATGGCGAAAGTGAGAAGTCGCCCTCCCACAAGAGACCACTCAAACAAAACCTGTTTAAGTTGCTCTGTCAGACATTAGAAAGTAAGGTAACACTCAATTAACCAAGCAGAGACAGGTTCCTGTTTACAGATTTATTTTAACACAAGCCCTTCTTTCACTCATTCACACTTTAAAATCTTGCAGGCACCACAAACTCATGCATGCTAGCAAACACAAAAGAAGTACCGACATGAAAACTGTGTCTGAATCAGCAGACACGGGGAGAGAGACAGCTCTGGAGCATCATGCCACAAATGCTGCAGGAGGGGGAGAGGTTGAAGATGAAGTGGGATGTGGCAACAGACTGTACACACTGTACACAGTAGTGGCAGCATCGGGAGGGGAGGACATGGGCTCTCTAACTCTTTCGTATGCTGACGTCTGTGCTCGTCAGCAGCGGGGACAGGGATGTGTTTTCCGATATGTCGTCTCTCTTCAGAACCAGGAAAGCTTCTCGACTGATTCCTAGCAGCTCTCGTAGTCCATTATTCTCCAGCTAAAACACAGAAAGAGAAACATAAAGCTCAGTATTCAGATGAAATAACACCAAATCTACTAAATATCTGCGGTCACAAGCTTTGTGAGCAATCATCTGAGCGGGGTCTTTGTTTATCACAAGTTATAGATGTGACAGTATTTGCATTAAAAATAAGTTTCACAACTGAGTACAAAAATCACAAGTTTTGCTGTCTGTTGCCTTGTAAACCGCTTAAGCTCAAACTTCAGACTGACTTTCTACAACTTGCAGGCGTTAACTTGTGATAATTTAATCTTTTTTGAGATCATAGATAGTTTACAAGAAAATATCATAAAATCTGCTTACAAGCAAGACGTAGAAAAGAGCTTAGAACAGGAGGAGGATTATTTTGGAGCATACGCGGCACAAATCGCAACACAATATATGGAAAATGCCTCCCAAGAAGAAAACCTCTCTTTTGTATGTGCATGAATGGAATTGAGCATTTATCGATCATGCCGGGAGCTAGAATTTAACACGTCCGCCCATTTATAAATTGTTTTGCCTATAAACTCATTAAATGAACCCTGCACAATGAGACCTGCTGACCTCACTGGTTTAACATAGTTATGTTTTACATGTACGCAGTGAAAAATAAGTTAAGGGATCAGTGTTTATTTCATATAAAGCTTTTAAGAGCGATCACTGCAGATGTTCTCTTTTTGATCCACATTGGGAGTAAATTCTTCGTTATCATCCTTTTGACTCACTCTGCCCTCCTGTTATTGAAAGATGCAGCCAGAGCACAGCAACCATCTGACGTCACAGCGTCAATAACATCGACGTCGGTCCAGTGAGTCTATTTTTAAAACCTTGTTTTGCATGTGGAACAGAGTAGGATATTTCCTTTCACCTCTAGTTGTTTAATCCTCTCCTCGTCTTCACACGTCCGCCCTTCATCCACTTCTATCGCCTTCCTCATAACGGAGGCCATCTCGTTGATTTTGTCTATATGTGCTTGCATTTCCTAAAAACATGTTAACACACAAGAAAACAACAGATTTGTAAAATTAGTTGTGAAACAGTTTGGCATGTAAGCACTTCAATAAATGGGCCTCACTGACCGTGGTGTGCTGCTCCTTTAGCTTAGTCACAATAGCAGGGTCATCCCTCTTACTGGCCATGAGGAGCCTGAACACCTGCTCTCTATATTTGGTCATGATGAGCTCTAAGGCAGACTGGTGTTCCTCCAGCGATGTTCGTAACTCTGCAGGAAAAGCAAACATGGGTTCTGTTTGTGCAGGGAAAAACACTCCACAGAAAATGCCAAAGGCTGGGCATGTGCAGTCAGATCAGACGAATGTTGAGGTGATGATGAAAATGCAGTTTTGACAGTTCCTCCCCTCAAAGCAGTTGAAAAGTTGTAAAGTACTTTTGTCACCTTTCTGTCATATGAAAAAGCTGAAAATGTAGTCTTGTGGTCGAGCTGTTGTATTGAACTACATTAGAAGTCCTAAAGTTGTGGGTGATTGTTAAATATCCAGGTATATGTCAGATGTCACCAGCGTGTCGTGTTGGTACTTTCAGACCCTGCCTGCTAATTTACGCAGGCACAATCAGGAACAAGCCCTGCGGCTCTTAGCAGCCAACCAAATTTCTGACATGCCAGAAATTCATCCAACTGGACAGGAGCATCTGATCGGGCCTTGAGTGGCTAACATGCTTCCCCATTACACTACACAACAAACAATGTGCAATCATGCTGAAAATCAGCCCAACTTCAATGTATGCTTGACCAAAGAGGATATCCATGTATTTGCTTAATGATACCGTTACCAAAATGCACTGGAAGAAAAGGTTTTGACACCCTGAGTTGTGATGGATACATAGATAATTCAACTCAAGACAATGAGACAACCTGCAGAAAACAACCACATTATCTGACTACCTTTGTTTTCCTGCTGGAGCTCTCTGATCTGACGGTTTTCCTGTTGGATTCCCAGAACCAGACTAGAACGAGGTCGGTGTCGTGCGACCTGGTTCAGTGAGTCAATCTCTTCCTGGTACTGTAAGATAGATCAAAAGCTGCTGTGAACCATCTGACAGGTTTCAAGTCTTATACAGTAGAAAGGTTCTGGGTCACTGATAAACATTGACGTACATGTGAATGTAAATGCAAATGTTCTTTATGGTTTAGATAGTTTTCAATGAGGAGGAGGGTTTTCATGTAACACCATACCTGCTTCATGGCCTCAACTCGCTTGTTTAGCGATGTTGTCTGTTCAATCAGCATTTCAGCAGCGTTGTCATGGTTACGAAGCCTTTCCACCAATGATTTGGCATCTGCCAGGACCTTCTCCAAAGAACAATTCATGCCTGGAAGAAGTGGATAGGGTTACCTATAGTTAAATGATGTGTCCATGAAGTGGATTACTCTAAAGTGTGTTGCCACCTGCTAGAATACTTATTAAGCCACTAATTGACCTCAACCCTAACACCACATAAAGAAGCTGGAGCCTCCCCTGTATTTATCTTTGGATTAAGTACAACCCAGTTTCCAATAAGGTAAGGAGGCTGTGGTTAATGCACATCACCTTCTGTTTGTATTTATATTTTTGTTACAGTATCCAACCTAATAGACTCAGGGTTAGGGTAAAAATAAAATCATAACTCATAAAATTGTTTGGAATAGTTTTTCAAGGCAATAACCAAAACTAAGACAAACACAGGAGTTATCATAGAGCTATTTAAAACAGGCAGATACTCAAAATATGTCCAAACCAGATATGAGCGAGTCCTGATCAAGATCCACAACACTCAGACAGCTAAGGTCCAGACTTATCTCTTTTAACTTCTTTGAGAATCAAAGAATCCCAAGTCAAAAGGACTCTGTTGATGTTTTTTTTTCCTCATTCATATTCACACCACTATTTTATATCAGTGCAAATATACCAAGACCATGTTATCGTGTTTAGCTTTGTTATTTCTATGCATTTTGCAAGTTAAGAAACCCAGACCTTCACTGAAATTTCCCCAAAACTTTATGTAATGGCCTCTGGTTGTTAAAGGGAGTCATTACACCTAAAACATATTTTCCCTAAATTTTGAAGGTAAAAGCTTAGATATATTAGGTATAAATAGAAAAAGGCTTATAATATGTTAGGATTATAGCATATGACAAATATGTTGTTATAATGGGAGTCAATGGGGCAAATTTGGTCACAAGGTTAACAAGTGTTGGTGTGATGCCAATCTCCTATTCTAAACACTTCCGAGGCTTTTGGAATTCGTCATTGTTTTCTTCCGCTTATCCGGATCGTGGGGGCAGCAGCTTCAGGAGGGAAGCCCAGACAGCACTCTCCCCAGCCACTTCCACCAGCTGGGGATTCCCAGGCGCTCCCAGGCCAGGCGAGAGATATATTCCCTCTACCTGGTCCTGGGCCGGCCACTAAGTCTCCTCACAGTGGGACATGTCCCGAACACCTCTAACGGGAGGCGTCTAGAAGGTATCTACTCGGTTCTACTCTGAGCACCTCCTGAGTGTCCGAACTCCCTACCTTATCTCTAAGGCTGAGCCCGGCCACCCTGCAAAGGAAACCCATTTCGGCCGCTTGTATCCACGATCTTGTTCTTTCAGTCATTACCCAAAGTTCATGGCCATAGGTGAGGATCGGCACGTAGTTCAACCGGTGAATCGAGAGTCTTGCTCAGTTCTTTCTTCACCATGACAGATCAGTTAGGCTTTTGGAATTGCGAAGAAAAAAAAAAATAATAATAATGCCAAAATTTCATACAGCTAGCCTTTAAACTGACTGGTTCACTGAGAGGCAAACAAAAGTAAAGAACACCCAAAATGTCACTTTTGGGCTAAAAAAGGAGCATAAAATCACCTTTTCTTGCATTCTAAGACATTGAATAAAAGTTTAAATTTCTAAAGCTGTGTTTCAAAGAGTCTGTAGCTTCTCTAGAAGAATTCAGACCACATTTGTCAGATCTATGTGTTGTAGTTCTGGATCAGAACCTGGTCAAAGCCTGTTTAAACTTAGAAACAGAATGATTAGATGGTGTTCTGAAAAGTCTGTAGCCTTTCTTTGATATTCAAGACCAGATCTGAGAAGCCCCGGTGTAGTGATCTTTGATCAGGACATCGTTTCTTGAACCTTTCCTCCAACAGTCCACTCTATAGCTGCAAAGTTTACGATCTAAAGTATTAATTCTAATAGTAGTTCAAGTATTAACACATACGCACAGTTAGATCACCCAGATTAAAAAATATTAAGAGAAAAACAACCTGTTCTGTACCTGCTGAACTTAAAGTGAAAGACCTCCAAATACTGTCCGTCCGTTACTTCCTGTTGATGTTTGGTAGCTAACATTAGCTCCAGGCTAATAAGTCCCCATTAAGCAGCAACAAGTCGAGGTAGTCTCGGTTCAAATACTTTAAAAACACAAAACACACATCAGTCGGTGTGATCCCGTCGATTTACACCTTTCAGTCGTTCGCTGTGGGACAGTATTCAAAGGATTGGAGTGACAGCAGCTAACCCTTTCCAAAATACAACCCAGAGCTTAGAGCAACGTCCTATCGCGCGAGAGTATGTGACAAAGAGATTCTCGCGACAGACATCGGGATCATAGCAGATAACATGGCGGACAGGTTAACACAACTTCAAGACGCTGTCAACTCGGTGAGGCTGTTTTTGAGTGTTTGAACGATGTTTTTCACTTATTTATAAAAGTTAGAGTATTTTAAGAAATCTTGGGTTGCTAATATTGCGAAAAAATATCACAGTTTTGTTGTAAGTGGCAAATATCGCGTTAACATCGAGACGGTAACCACCTAGTGGCCTGTTTGATTGGCTTGTTTTGTCTTTGGGTTAATTTTGGCAAAAATGTGAGATTAAAATGAACACAGTCTGCACAGATATTATGAAAAACATAACAGGTTGAGACAACATCGTTACTTTAGCGTTAAAGACATGTATCTTGATAAATAAACACAAATAAAAGATTACTATCAGTAAAGGGGTGAAAATTTAGAGGAACTGACAATACTATACCCAAATTGGGGCACCCCTCATCGATAAAAATCGCGATACAGTATTAGATATCGGCCGATACGCTCAGCCCAGGTATCTGTATCAGATTGGGTCGAGAAAAAAAAATAGATCGGTGCATCTCTAGTAACTGATGCTATATGAGATGTAGCAAAGTTAAATACTTTTCACAGAGAGTACTCAAGAAGTTAAAGTAATGGTGTTACTTGTGTACAAAAACTACTTCATTACAGCATTATCAATAAATGTAACGGTTAATTTTCACTCCTACTTTACTCAAAAGTTAAAGCAAATGTAGGCCATGTGAGATGGTCTTCTTGTGCACTCGAATTTTTTTTAATGCATATGCTCATAATAATGTAAAAATAATGACATTGTGGTTTTTGTTTGTGTGTGTTTCCAGCTTGCTGATCAGTTTTGTAATGCCATCGGTGTCCTACAACAATGTGCTCCTCCCGCCTCCTTCAGTAACATCCAGACGGCTATCAACAGAGATCAGCCAGCAAACCCAACAGAAGGTGGATTCATTTGTTCGCACTTCGAATTTAAGTCAATTTTTCTTTCTTATCGACCACATATTACACACTCTATCTGAGCTTTTTGCTACTGGCATCAATTTCAACAACGCAATTACAACAGTTTTGACATATAATTTACCTTAAATGTAAATCTGAATTTTTCTCTGACACACAAAGACTGCTTGTGTCATCACTTTTCGACCTTAATTTCATTATTATCTGTCTGCACTGTAAGAAGGGGAAAGATTGTATGACAATGACATTAAATGTTTCTCCTTCAGAATATGCCCAGCTATTTGCTGCCCTGATTGCCAGAACAGCCAAAGATGTGGATGTACTTATCGACTCCCTGCCCAGCGAGGAGTCCACAGCAGCTCTGCAGGTCAGCACTTTTCAGACACACCTCCACAGATAAATGCCCTAAAAGGGGTTAAAGATGCACCATGGTCCAGTTTGTAATTCTAGCTATAAGGCAGTAGAGGGAGCCAACTGCCTTTATGCTTTGACAGTATAAGGTTGGTGAAAATGAAGAGATGTGTGCTCATTATGTGTTTGAGCAGCAATAAAGAATACACATCTTTCAGGCAATATAAAGTATTTTCTGAAGTGTAGAGGTAGCCAACAAAGCGAACACTTTATTTACTGATGATGGAGTGTTTGTGAAAAGAAGTGTCGAATCTAAAAAGGCTGTAAAAGGGCAAAAAAGATCCAAACTGCCCTGAAGAAACAACTCTCATCTCTTTAGAAGTTACCCAGTTATTGCGTTTACATGAGCTGTCCTTCAGTTAATTTCTATTTCTATCTTTGTACAGAGAGAAGGTAAAAATATGATGCAAGGGATATGAGCGCCTCTTTATTTCTGGCGTGGCTATTAGGATGGTCTGTGACTCCCAAGCTAATTTAAGCACTTGTGTTTTAACGTTTTTAAAGCTTCATCATCCTGAGACATCAAACACCCACCAACCTACATGTATGGAAGTCGTATGCAATCATAAGGATGGCCCTGATTCTTGTGCTCGTTTGGACAAAATGATGAATGTAACGCTAACAACTTTTGATTTAGTTAAAAAACGCTTTTCTGGTCCGAGTTTGATCAGTTGGTCTTCCTGTCGGCGTGAAGAGAAGTAGCCTACAGTATATAGTATACTGTTGATATCTGCAGTATACTATATATTTTTTATAACTTTGTAAACAATTTTAAAAAATCGGTCGATTAATCAATAATCTGATTTTTTCCCTCCTAATAATTGGTATCGGCATCGGCCCCAAAAAATCCATATCAGTTGAGCCCTACTATGGTGTTTTATTATAGAAATACGTGTCAACTCCATGCTCTGGTTCGTCACCTCAGAGGGTCTTCAATCATCAGACAGAGCTGCACTCACACCCTCTAAACCCTTTACTGCAATAACATCTGACTGACTTTGACCCACCATTAGGCGGCCAGTCTGAGACAGCTTGAGGAGGAGAACCATGAAGCAGCAGCCCGTCTGGAGGAGGTGGTTTACCGCGGAGATATGCTGCTGGAGAAGATCCAGAGCGCCCTGGCCGACATCGCCCAGTCGCAGCTCCGCACCCGCAACGGGGCGCCGGCACAGGCGTCACCTGCCGAATCCTGACCCACAACATGCAGCATGTAGTCCTGGACAATTTCAGTCTTCTTGTTTTTCTCAAGCATCATTCAGGAGTCTTCAAAACTCTCTGAAGTTGAAGTGAAAAAGAAAATGTGAGCTGCCATCCAGTGGTGTCTTTGAACATATTATTATTCTGTAAGAAAACACTCAGCGAGGGAAGGATACTGTACGTCAGCTAGAAAGAGTTTAAAAAGCATCTTTAAACTCAAGGTTATGTTTTCAAACTTTCTACAGCTACTGAAAGTTAAAACTGTCATGTTTTTTATGTCTTCTGTACAGTATTGTTTGTATTTTGTTTTGTAGATATTTATGAATGAAATGAAATCTCATTTGAGCTATCATCGTCCTGACAGGTTATTGTAACTCCATGTTTCAAATGTCTTGATCTTTTTCAGAATAAAGCTCGAACAAACCTTTTTCTTTCTCAAGGATTTCATCACTTTAAGCTGTATATATAAAACACCAAACTCATGTATTTTAGTTAAAAATAATCTGCTTTCAGTATGATCTCACTTCTGCTTTTAAAGGGAAAGCTTGTGACTTTTGACCTGCTGTGATTTATTTTCACTATTTGCTGTTGATTACATGAGAAAGTTATTCAGCAGAAGAAAACACCTGATTCTTTTCAGGAACTAAGCTCTGATTTCAGTGTTTTCCATGAGGTTACAAGGTTTCATAAGAGGAGTAAAAAATAACAAGGGAAACAATGATGCAGTGATTTGAGGAAGCGAGCTGCTGATTACCTAAAGATGGTCTTATTAGGGAACCTTAGGCTTTCAAGACTAGTGGCCACTTTTGTTCAAAGAAGGATTCAGAAAGATATAAGTTTTGGTGTAATCTTAAAAAAATCAAGCTGAACTGTTAGAGTTAGGTTTGTAATTTGCCCTTCAGCTGACTTTTGGATGAGGGTATTTCAAAATAAATCTCATTCTGCTTGAATTCTGCTCAAATAACTGCGTTTCACAAACTTAGAACATCGGGTCTGCTTTATTTGTAATCAGGATGAGTATTTCTAAAAGGTTATAATGTTGAGTTATTTTTACATGTTGGTGTAATGAGTAAAGTGTAATAACTATTATATATTTAAAGAAATTTATTTATTTTTTAATTTCATATTGTAGGTTCCTAAACAATGAAAGATTGATGATGAGATTGACGCTCTCATCCTGCTTCATCCCCTTAGAAAGATAAAAAGAGCTCCACACGATCCTCTCATTCGTTTTTGTAGTTTACATCCAAAACAAAAAACAAAACTATACACTTGTCCAGCATGACTATATAAACATATAAGTGCGCAACATACAAAATAAAAAGAGAGTGAGTGAGCGAACAAATGAGGTCAAAAAACTGTGTGGCTCCACTCCATGATGCCTGACGTAACTGCCTGCTCGGGTTAACCACACACAGATATCAATACGTATCAAACACTCTATATGCGATTTTTAAACCTGTAAATATCCATACATATTTTTAAGTTAAATTAACTTATCAACATGAATTATCTAACTGTAAATAATGCAAATAACCAGAATTTTACCACAATCAACACGAAAATAAATCAATACATAAACTTAAATCATCCAAATACTGATGAAGTCAAAATAGGACCTCTGCTCCTACACATATATTTTATCAGTGAGGAAACGCGTGCCTTGCTCAGGGGAACCTCAGCAGTACCCTGGAAGCAATCTACACCAGCTACCGGCTGATATCCAGACTTGATCAGTGACAGGTCTTGAATTGGCATCAGTTGGTTGCCCTCTTGCTCTAAACCGAAGTCCTTTTAGTAGAGGCTTTAAAGTGGGTCTGAAACTGCTGGTCTGTGGGCCATTTTCAGCCCTCTGACCCCTCCCTGATGCCTTAAATATAATGTGACACGCATTAATGTTTATAACTTAAATTAAGCAGGTTGGTTAAATTATTTCCTTCCTGTTGTCTTTTGCCGGTGTAACCGACCATGTCGTATAAAAATAAAAACACTATTAAACTGTAATATAACTTCAATAATGGCAAAGGTTGAAGGCCAAAGGTGCTCGTGAGTTTGTGAAAGCAGGTCAGGGTTTGTTGCTGTTTGCTCGTCAGCGACAAAGATGTACTTTGCGCTCTTTAGGGTAACTAGCGTGCAAAGATTGACTTAATAAATGTGTTTTATCACACCGGAGGCTCTAATAACCTTTACCTAAATATAAGACAGGCCAAAGAGGAGCTGCGCATTCAAAGACGGATTTTAAAACAGGATTATACTGTACATTACAGCGCCTTTATCAGCTAAGTGTTTGTTTAATGGGATACATTTTAAATCTGATTTACAAAACCTCACCTCAAAATAGGACAAATCATCCTTAAGTGGAACTGTAAATGTCAGGATTTCACCATAAACTGTGGGGCAGTTTAGTCTTGATTTAACTTAAAAAAACGGGCTCAGAGGTCCGAGTCTATGTGTCATACTGAACTTTGCGAAGCTTAGGCTGCAGGCCAGCGCGTTTATAGCCTAAATCTAAATATAGGTGCTGTGTCACAGCTCAGTGGGACCCATTGATGTGAGAAATATAAAAACAGCCTTGTCTGCTGGACACCACACCCAGACGTGTTAGCAGGGTACACCCAGCTCTGTGCGTTGACATCATGGCTGTAACAGTAAAAGCACTCAGACCGTCCAAATAAGGAGATTTATGACCCGGAGGCTTCACCTGCCAGAGCCTGGACTGTTCCCCGCTGTGTTTGGGTCAACACGAGTTTGTTATCGGTAACTCAGTTTTGTTATCAGTAATTTACAGAAGGAGATAGTGATATTTGCTGCACATATGTTCTTATCGTACAAACCGAGGATCAGTAAGAAAGCAGGGATTTAAGAGAATACCTCTGAGTATTCTTGCTGGGGTGTTTAGGGGAAGCGAGTCAGTTTCCTTTGGAATTTCTACATTGTTTTAAAATGTGTGTCTCCAGTCTGACTAATGACCACATTTGACTATTTTTGGTCAATCAAAGCGCAGTCATCTTTCACTTTTACAGGAAAAGAAACTTAACAGAGCTTTAACACCAAAGTTTCATTGTTTTCAAAACTTCACAGATGTATTCTAAACTATTCATGTGAGTTTTTAAAAGGTCTTTTGATAAACTATGGCACTTTAAACACTTAATTTAACCGTCCTCATTACAATTTGACCTTTTATTGACCTTAGACACCCTCTTATAGCGTTTGATTTTTAAGCGCACAGATAACATTTTAATATAATTATTTGTGTGGTATTTTTCCAAACGCAGAAACAGATTAATAATCGCTGTTTTAAAGGGATTTTCCTTTTTAACTCTATTATCTATCATCTCTGCAAACGCATACTAGCCAAATGAACCTGCGTCCTGAAACACAACACTTATGGGCCGGATTCTGTCTTCTCATTGGATGACATTTATGTCGTTCTCATGTATATTTAATAAACGATTGGCCAAATGAATCCATTAAGCCGTTTCCTGCTCTGTGATTGGCTCAGGCGGACGTCACTCAAATGTTACGCCGTTGCGTGGCCGGAGCGTCTGATGAGCTCAACGGTCCCAGGAAGCACCGCCGCTTATTTGGTAAATTATAGCGATAAAGACGAGGCGAAGCGCGGATTTTCGAGGTCAGGTGGATCAAATGAAGATGATTAAATATTTCTGAATTATGTCGTGAGAGCTCGCTGTCAAAGTCAGAGGATTTTCGTCATGGTTTTACATTGATATCTGCGATGTTTTCAGTGCAGACCGATAAGTTACCCTAAAGGGTGGTCAGTACCTGGAGCTTGGATCCTTGAACTGCCGAAATATTCGGCAGGAAAATTAAAAAAAGACTAATTTTTAATTTTTTATCTTGGTCGTGGCGCTGGCGGCAAGCCAATAATTTACTCTGGAGCAGGACACGGAGGTAGGTGATCCGTATCTCATACAAATGTCTGTTAATGCTGTCAGATTTTAGATGTGGATGCATCCTGCAAACAGACAGACACACAAAGGCGAAACAGAGGACTGAATGTCCCAAACAACACAGAATAAAAGGTGTAATATTATTATGCAGTGAGCTTATGTGTGTAGAAGTCATTAGTGTTTTAGCGGACAATATTGTCTGGTATAAGCAGGGGCGTGCGAACGGGGGCGACCAGGGGTGGCTTAGGCCCCTGCTGAAATCTGATTGACCAGTCCTAGAGCCACCCCAAAAGCTTTTATTGTGATTGGTTGTTGGTGCTGGCTTCTTGTTGTTGTTTTATTTGCATTTAAAGTCACACAATTTAGCAAAAGCTTTAGCAATCAATGATATCAGACAGATAATCTAAAATCTAAAAATAAGTTGGATCTTCTTATATTTGATACTCATTAATTGAATACCAAGACAGGAGGTGGCGCTACATCTGTAAAGCAAGTGTGCCCCCTATAACTGGGATATTATACTGCGTTCAAGTTACCTCGGAAGTCAGGTGTCGGAGCTAAAAATGACGTCACACCAGAGTTCCCAGCGTTTCAGTTACCACGTCGGAAAAAAGCAAAATAGCGCTTACCTTATAATCATTATATATTCGCGAGCGCTCTGATAACTTTCGTAGATGTAGCCATCTTGTTTCTGCCTCTTGTTTCCACCTTCCACTTTTTTCCGACTTGGTAGCCCTTGCCTTGTCCGAATATCAGGCAAGCGCTAAGGTAACTTTCGTAGACGTAGCCATCTTCTTTCAGGCTTCTGATTTAGCTTTTTTCCGACTTGGTGACTGAAATGCATCTGACTTCCGAGGTAACTCGAATGCAGCTTTAGTCACTTCATCAGCACCAGGATGGTGAAAGATGTAGAGATAGTATAACTTGAGCAAAGTAGCAGAAGAATAAGCCAGGATATCAGACATTTTAAGTAGAGTTACGATGCTTTTAAACTGAAAAGCTATGAAACTACCAGCATTAATACTAAACTGATAAACTATAGGTTACTTTAGTCATTTGAGAGGTTCTTACTTCTTAGTAGTCTGAAAATTGTCTTATATTTGGGTCAATACAGTACTTTTAATCGTTATTTGGATAGGAGTATAACATATTCACACAGAGGTATTAGTATTAGTTGTTAAAGTACATGTGTTACGTAGGGACAGAAATGTTAAATTGTGATATTGATCATGTGTGCAGACATACTTCATATAAACTCCTTTATACAGTTAGTTAGTCCCCCGGTGAAGACACACCCTTACTCATGGGCCAGGTGTCAATATCGGATCATATTTGGATGCGATGTGAAACATTAGCTCGGCATAAATGTGGGAAAATGACTCGTTCAGACGCCATCACTGCATGTGAATCAAGGAAGTGTAATTCGGCGTGCAGGAATGAAGCGGGAAATACTGTTAATCATTAAACAAATATGTTCACGGCCATGATAGACATATTATATTGTACCCTCTCTTATTTCATGACACAATAACATAGTCTGAGGTACATTAGACCCCTGAAAAACAAACACTGTACAGCTGTGAATATAAGAATATAAAGCTCTATAGGACAGTGAGATGATACAGAGTAGTGATTGGAATGGGACTGAATAATTGATCAGAACTACTAAGTGCCTTTTATGCCTCTGTTTTAGTGACTTTCAGAAGAGGGGCAGTTGTTTAGCTTGAAGTAAACAGAAAAGTCTAGTTTCCTAGAAGCTTTTTTGTGCCTGGGAGTGAGTGTGAGTGTGGGCGCCCATTCCTCCCTCAGGCGTCATGACTGAGTCCTTTCATTCAGGACGGAAACGGTTTCCTGTCCAGTCCCTTACAGTACTTAAAGGGTGGAGTGTGTGTTTGTGTGTGTGTGTAGGTCCATATGCGCAAAATAACATGACACCAAACTGAGATATTCAGCACCTGGGGGAAAAGTTAAACAAACATCAACTACACATGGAGAGATTCATGGTCCATGCCGGGTATGATGATGTATTCCAGCGTGCCAACTTGACTGTTACTGTTATGTAATAATGTCGGCTGTGTATTATCTACCTGTGCAGATTACCATTAATCAGCAGACATGGTTGCCAGCGGTGAACATGAGGAAGTATGTTATCTGTATCTGTGGTTAGATGGGGGCTGTGGTGACTGTCGGTTATGTAAGAAAGTAGCAGGAGATCCTAAAGCACGGCAAATAAACTTTGAGTTATTCTGTCATTTGAGCGGACTGATCCTTTAACAGTTTAAGGTTATCCTCCTGGCCAGCCGGATTTAGGTCCAGTCCTCTGTTTTAGGCAGCATGCTTCGGTCTCCTCGAAATAGTGAGCTTCCTTTTATAATGCTTTCCTTATAAGAGCCTGAGTGAGTGGTGTTTGTTTAGCTGTTGGTTGGTTCTGGTTCATTTGAAGCCAAACTGTCTCCTCAGACCAGGATAAATGCTCGGCCGTGAGCTCACAGTTTTCTCTGTTACCTCATTTTCCTCCTCGGTGGGGAAAACAAGACCCACGGCTCAAGTGTACACTCGACTTTCATTACTCAATCTCAGCTCTTAAGAAGACCGAGGTCATATTACAAATACCAGTAAGAAAGAAGTAAAATGACAACAATCCCAGTTTCAAAAGGTCTAGATTCTGTGAGAACCCTGAAGGTAGCAGTAGGGACACATTTCAATGATGCTGGAGGACCAAAAAACACACGAATAAAGTGGTTTCTTGGACAAAAACTATTTTGGATTCATTTAAAAAGGATCAGGTATGAAAGCACTCCACAAACTCAAGAGTCCCTCAGAAGTAGGGCTGGGCGATAATTCGAAAACTTAACGATACTGAAATCTACGACAATTACCAATGTCATTTTGCCCATGTCAATAAATTCTGTGTCAAAAAAATAAATTAATAAAAGTTGGTTTTGGATGTGTGTAGGTAGGCTATGGTCTCATGTCCCTATAAGACGCTTTCCTTTGTCAGAGACGTGACTCCACCCCATCCAGTCCGTAACAAAGAGGGAAAGACAGGTGAGGAGATGGAGGACGGTTCAAAATTTGAAGCGGGTGGAGCGGTGGCTAAAGTAGATGAAGTTAATGTGGGAGGGGGTGAGCAGCTTGTGGAGTAGTTATCGTCCATTTATCGTTATCGAGGTGAACTGATCAATATATCATGATACTGATTTGAGGCCATATCGCTCAGCCCTATCACAAGTATACTTTTGGTCAAATAAATGCAGATCTAGATTGCACAGTCAGCTCGATTTGTGAGTGAATGCTCTGCAAGAACCTATCTGATTTTTCCACCTGGATTGGCAGGTTACTCAACATTTCTACTCAGCAGCCGACAGCATCAAAACGATCACCCGAAGTCAGAGGTACCTCAGGGTGCAAACGCTGAAAACTTTATTCTCAACTTCTCTTCAAAAATAGAATCAAAATCATGTTCAGTCTCAGTTTTCAAAGCTGCAATACATTTTTATCCTCCAAAAATATCAACATGTCATTTCTTATTTATTCCATGTCCTGATGTGTAAAACCAAACTTTGCAAACATGCTAAAACTCACTCTTCCCTTCATGCTTTCCCTCTGAGATTCTAACTTTAACCGTTTGCTGACTCTATTTTCTGGAGTTGTATTTATGGACTATGAGGAACACAAGACCACGTTCATTCTCGTTTTAGCTCCATATGGTCATCAGCTGGTTCAGGCCTGGGCCAGCTCTTAGTTCTGCAGCCATAGGTTTAGACTGTCGGGGGGACTGGCACATCGAGCACCTTTCCCTCCTTCTTCATCCTCTTTCTGTCTGTGTCGTTAACTCTGAACCATCACGTCTCATTAGAGTCACGAATACAGTCTTTTCTGGGAGTCCTTGAGCTCCGTCTTACTCCATATTTATGCGGAAACTTTGTGAAAATGAGGTGATGGAGCTACTTCACTACTAACATTAGAAAAAGAAAGTGAGCCAAAATGCAGAGATTCGTCACAGTTTTAAGCCGGAGAGCAGTAACTTGAAACTGTTGAACTATCCGCTCACGCAGTCTATTACAAAATAGTGGTAACTGTCTTTCCATCTTTACTTCTGGTATCATGAATAAGGAACAGTACCACTCCATCCTCCAGCACCATGCTGCTCCATCTGGACTCAGACTTGTGGCTCATAAGTTTGTTTTGCAGCAAGACAATGACCCTAAGCACTCTGCCGAGCTCTGTCAGGGTTACCTCGACAAAAAAGAAGAGGAAGGTGTTCTTCAAAAGATGGTTTGGCCCCCTCAGTCTCCAGACCTTTCTCCTATTGAGCTTGTGCGGGATGAATCGGATCGATCGGTCAGAAAAACGCGTCCCACGAATCAGCGTCTCTTTTTAATGAACTTAAGAAAGCTTGGAATGAAATCCCTGGAGCTTCCAAACTTTTGGCCTGTAGTGTAGGTGTGGTTAGGTTTTTCGTCCCCTCTGTGTGCGTAGATGCAAACAGGGCCCTCTCCATTTGTATCCTCGCCAGATTGAACATCACACAGAGCTTGTTAAGGATCGTCTTCTCCTCTGTAGTGATTTCCTCCTGATAGATCCGTCCGCCTGCTTCACTCTCAGCAGGTAAATCTGCACAGACCTCTGTAACTCAACACCCCTGTTTACCAGCATCTCTGTTTTCCTCCCTGCTGCAGATTTCAGTGAGTTTTTTCTCCTTAGAAGTCAGGAAGCGTCCTGCTCTTGCGGGATTGTTGTGGTGGGCCGTGGACGGGAAAGAGACTGTTGACTAGACCAAACACGGGTCCTATCTGGCGGCTGCAGGGCTGTTTTATCTCTGTGTGAGCTAATCAAGCCCATTCATAACTTTGTGATGGAGAACTGCTGAAATGTTTGGATGATGCATACATCCACCCTCTTCCTCTTTGCATGATTACATAATATGATTAAAATCTGTTCATGTAAACAGACTGTTTGTTTAAGAAGAGGAGTTAATTTCTCTATCGGTGTCCTTAATTCACTCTTTGTGCTTTTCACTCCACCCACACAAGGGCGACATCAAATCCAAGACGTCAGTTCGCGCCTTCGTAGAAAAAACGCTTGATTAGCGGCTTAAGTGCTGTTATCGTGTGGCGTGCAGCTTCTTGGAGTAATGACGGGCTCCTCCGGACAACGAGCGCATACTGCAGATTCTTTGTCAGTCCGAGTCTTTGATGAGGAAGCGCCCCCTGTCACTCTGAGATGGTAAAAATGTGACAGGAATGCACGCGGAGATAGATCTGAGGAGATGTAACCGATAAGCTCCTGGAATGAAACCCTGCAGACCATGAGGTGTCCGGCACGTGGTTCTCTGCTCCACCTTCTGCTTGATGATTTTTGACTCCAGAAATTATAATCCACCTCAAATGGAGCGTTTCCATGGACGGTGACGTCGGATAAGTTGAACGGGACTTCTGCAGGAATATTCATGTTGACATTTCTGTGCACCTCCAGCTCTCCTCCTTCTTCTTCTCAGAGCTTTGCGGTTAACACATCTTTAAACAAACAAAGCAAAGGCCACAACCTTTAAAACTGGTGATCTCATCTCTACTGCACTCACCTGCTCTGCTGCTGTTGTCTGGATTGCAGGACAGGATGTTGCACCACTCCCTCAAACAGAAGCCTGTTAAACACTGCGGTCCATTACGCCTCCATGCATTACATACTGCAGACGAGGCGGAACAGAAGCACAAATATCCTGTCTTGAATTGCACTGAGATGGTCACCTGTGCGATCGCTCAACTCAAGACTAGGGATTAGGGCGTTTGCAAAAGAAGGCGATAACTTCGTGGCTAAATAGGACAAGAACAAGTCAGTCGTGTGGAATTGGTTCAGCTTTGCAGTTTCAGATGAAGAGCAAACTACTCCCCATTGCAAAGTCTGTCTGAAGGTGGTATCAACCCATCCACACGGACATGAATTCAGGAGTAAAGACAAAAGTTTTTTGTCGTATCGGGGATGTACCGACTGCTTTCCTTCAACAAAAAGGCCGCTGGGGTTTAGGTTCACTTGCATCTGTGACTCGTTCAATTATCAGTCTGGTTTGAGTGTTAAAAGTTGCTTATTGTTCCAAAAAAGAAAAGAAAACACGTTGATCCCGGTCCAAAACTTTTGCCTTCGAATGAAAAGTGAGATGATGAAATGATGTTAAAACAGGATGAGTGAAACGGTCAACAGAAAATTATCAGAGCTTACCAAAAACTCGTTGTCTGACTACACCGGTGAGATGTAAATAACCCGCCAAACATCCCAAAACCACACCCCTTAGACGCTCCCCGGAAGTGACGTACCTAGTTAAAAATTATACTTTCAACAAATATATTTTGGCCTCTACAGGCGTTTCATCCACACGGAAACAGGTGACTGTAACAGTACTTTTTGAAAACGGGTCAGAGAGCACATAAATCCACAAACGACAACCATTTCATCTCCGTGTGGATGTCTATTTGCATCTCTGGAAACGATCATGCAACAAACAGCGTAACTCTTTTATGGCACCTGTGCGTGTCCGACCAAAACAACTTTTATACACATGCTCTCTACTCTTCTTCTGTCTTTTGTGCATTTCCTCGATATCATTATAGCGCCACTTACTGACTTGGCATACGCACTACATCATTTTCAGCTGTGTCGTTGAGGGATGATAGAAAAACTTTTTAATTTTAAAGTGAAGTTTGGTGAAAATCAAATTAGAAAATTGAGTTTTTAGAGAAAAAAATCTGGATTTTGCAGCCTTACTCAAGACTAACCTTAGATGTAAACTTTTGTTTTTACCACAGTGTCAACATGCAGAGCTGAAATGTTTGACTCATTAGCCCCTTCATCAGGCTCACAGTATAATCTGTTTGTGTGTTGGAAGCCAGTGAGGCCTCTTGTTGTCGAGGAGTCTGCACAAGCCTGCTATCATTAAAACCTCCTGTGCATTTGAAGCATGTGGACGACGCTTTGGCTGAACAAAGGGCCGCTAATACCAAAAGTGACAAATATACAATGAAGGACCAGTCGGACCATAAAGTAGCAAAGCAGTGTTTATCTGCAGATTCCTGAAAAACAGCAGGGCTGCATGGACGGACTACTCGCATGGCCGGTTATAAAGGAACTTTTGCAGTCCAGCTGTAGAGTGAGTGTGAATTCTTGACATGCCAAAACAGAGAAACAACAACAGACCGTCACTTTAGTCACTGATGCAACTTTGAATCCGTAAGATGAAGAAAGTGAAATAAAAAAAGCATCTTATTTTGGAGAAAATAAATGATATATTTTCCCTGGTGTTGTGCAGAACCTGACGTGTTTGGTTTCGCTCTTACAGGATAGTATGGCCATGACGGGGGGGACTGCAGCTGCCCTACCCATGAGCAACCACACCCGCGAGAGGGTGACCGTGGCCAAGCTGACACTGGAAAACTTCTACAGCACTCTGCTCACCCAACACGAGGAGCGGGAGATGAGGTAGAGACGACGCTCGAGTACCCGCTCATTCAGACACTCTCGATCAGTCATATTTTAGGATATACATCATGAGAAAAGCAGAAATGAAGAAACTTTCAACTTCACTTCTCTGTTCCTGTAATTCGGCTGATTATCCTGCTGAGACATGATAAATATTTTGAAGTCATGCACCCTCTGTGTGTGAATAAAGTTGTTTTTGAAGCATCAAGTGTGAATTCATCTGCTCTGGGAAAAGAAAACCAAACAGAGGTGTTTAATGCCCGGTGTGAGCACAACAATGAACACTTCATACCCTCCACTTATGTTCTCATGTTCCACATCAGAGACGATCTCTGTAGAAGTAAAAGGAGGAAGTTTAGTTCTTCAGTTTCCCCTCATTTTTCTTTGTCTGTAGGCAGAAGAAGCTGGAGAAGGCCATGGATGAAGAGGGCTTACCTGATGAAGAGGTAAGGACACTCAGTCTTTATTTTTACTTCTGTACGCCGCAGGAAAAGTCCTTAATTCGCTCTGATGTCTCATGTTTTCACCTGTCTGTGTTTTGCAGAAGGTAATGCGGCGCTCCCAGCACGCCCGCAAGGAGACCGAGTTTTTACGGCTGAAGAGGACGCGGCTCGGCCTGGACGACTTTGAGTCGCTCAAAGTTATCGGACGAGGTGCCTTTGGAGAGGTACATGCCGAGGCTGGAGCTTGAATAAATTAAACCGAACATTTGATTGTTGGAAAATGTCTTGAGGGGTTTTAAGGGTTTAGTCGTCTTTCCCGCAGAGTTAATTTTATACCCAGCATGGTGCATTGTACTTTAGTGGCTGCTAAACTCCACAACACTACACAGGAGCTCTCTCTGACCAGAGTGGTTCTGTGGAGAGGACTGTGTTGGTTAGAGTACTGTAATATTTCCTTCTTTAAAGCAGGAAGTCTATGAGAGGGTGAAGCAACTGCTGGAAAAACAACAAGAAGCTGATCAGCACCTGTAATTAGTTCATCATGTGGAGTGAAGCGCTGCCTGCTAATCAGGTTCTTTGTTTCCTTTCAGTTCAGGGTCAGAGACAGAAGCAGGTCAATTCAGGGACGCACACATCAGGAGTGTCATTATTTCTTTAATTAGTTTATTCAGGTATTGTTTTTAAGAAAGCCTCATTATTTACACATCATATCTGTTGTTCACTGGATGTTTCCTCTTTATTAGAATAGGTAAAGTGTGTAGAAACAGGAATATTTATTAGTATCTAGAATTTAGATTCTAGATTGAAAGGCTCCCTTGTTCCCCCCTCCTGTAGGTGAAGCAATCGTGACCTTTGAGGGCATGAAAGGTACAAAAGTACAAAAACACTCATGTAACTAGTTTGTCCATTCTGTGCTTCTGTAGAAACATGGTGGTACGAGAAAAAGTCAATAAAAACAAAATCCTTTTAAATTTAGGCGATAATTCACCAATTTAAACATGCTTCTAAATATTATATCCGATTTTTACCAAGCCTGCTCTTACAAATGCAGCTAAATACCACCCTCTGTATCTGTAAGTATAAAAACCAGAGGGACAGAAGAGGACTAAAGAGTTCCTATTGGTGTTTTTATATGATTCCTGCAGCCTCAAACCATTTTTAATCACAGTTTTTAGTGACGTTTTAGTCTTTTATCATCACTTTTTATAACATCTGTTTTAAAACATGAAATTAAAAAGTGTAAAAGTTCATTAAAACTAAGAGGAATTACCTCATTCAACGCTTCATTTTGGCTAATTTCAGTGCTATCCATACAAGCAAAGGAGAAAGTGCAGTTTTACCCTGTTAGACGTGTTTTTGAGGTGCTGTGCTCTAGGGATGGGTGATAAATTATCTCTCACGATATATCATCAGATAATTCCTCCATGATAAATATTTGCCATCTCACAATAAATGCAAGTTGATGACGTAGCCCACATAGAGCAGAATAACAAACAAACAAGATTTCCTTCAAGATTGGGGTTTAGATGAGCGAAATCAAGTACGCCTGACATCAGACTGTGGATCTGCTGCTGCTGTTCACTCTGAGCAATGAGAGTTTTCCACAAACGTTGAGAATGTTTTCACGTTTCGGACTTCTTTTAACGTCATCAGTTTTCTCCATAACCTGCCACTCAAACTTGTGGTTAAGTATCTTATTTGATGACTCCAACTGCTGTATCAAGACAAAATGAGTCAAAAATATAGAGAGGAATTTTAATATTTTTTATTGGGACTTTTATCGTTATCGCCAGAACGGCAAATCTTATTGTGATAGATCTTTTAGTCTATATCGTCCATCCCTACAGAGCTCTAATAAATCCATGATCAGGACAGAGCTGGATTACTTTCTTTCTGTACTGATACTCTGCTTCTGATCAGTCAATTATATCAATACAATGTGGCAGATAGTGATCAGTTTCCATCATGGACATAAAACAGTCACACCTGAGTCTTGTTAGAACGGAGCAGCGAAAGAGAAAGTAATTCTGGACCACGCTGCACGCCAAAGATATACAACTCACTGATCAAATATTAATCTAAAAGCAGTAAAACAAACCGTCGATGAGTTTATGACACTGCAGACCAAAGGAGATCAACGTAGTGATTATAAAAGAGGTCAATCTGGGGATACAAGTGTCGACATCTGTGAGGGGAAAACTTGTTCCATCAGTTTGGATCCTCGTTTTCAGTGTCGTAGATCCTCTTATAAACCGATCTGTGTTTCTCCTCTTCAGGTCCGTTTGGTGCAGAAAAAAGACACGGGACATATTTACGCCATGAAGATCTTAAGAAAGGCCGACATGCTGGAGAAAGAGCAGGTAAAGACGTTTGTCGGGCCTCTGCTGCTGTTTACACGCCGTTGTGTAATGAGTGTGTAAGGTTATCGACCTTCTCCCTGCAGGTGGCTCATATCCGGGCAGAGCGGGATATTCTGGTGGAGGCGGACGGAGCCTGGGTGGTGAAGATGTTCTACAGCTTTCAGGACAAGAGGAACCTCTACCTCATCATGGAGTTTCTCCCTGGAGGTCTGTTTTTTTCTTTTCGAGTCAGTTTGAGCCTCATCATGTTTTTGGTCGTCTTCTGAAGACTCGTGTGATTTTGTTCCAGGCGACATGATGACTCTGCTGATGAAGAAAGACACTCTGTCAGAAGAAGCCACCCAGTTCTACATCGCGGAGACGGTCCTGGCCATCGACTCCATCCACCAGCTGGGCTTCATCCACAGAGACATCAAACCAGACAACCTGCTGCTGGACTCCAGGGTGAGACGCACGCAGGAATTTCCTTCTGTCACCAAAGCGAACGAGAAAATGTGAATTTCATGATTTATCTGATGTGCTCACAGGGTCACGTAAAACTGTCCGATTTCGGTTTGTGTACGGGACTGAAGAAAGCTCACCGCACAGAGTTTTACAGGAACCTGACACACAACCCGCCCAGTGATTTCTGTGAGTCCAGAAGAACCTCAGTAACTCTCACTATGAGACTTTTGATAATTACACTGTTAAAATACACTTTTCTTCTCTTTAATTTCCTGCAGCCTTTCAAAATATGAACTCCAAGAGGAAAGCAGAAACCTGGAAGAAGAACCGAAGACAGCTGGTGAGACTTCTGCATTTGACAGAATGAGCTCTGGGAAATGTGACGTCCTGAATTAAGCTTGTGATTGTGCTTTTATCGATTTACATCAGCTAAATAAGAGCATAAAACGTCTATTCTTAAAGGTCTTCGTTTTATAAAAGTCATCTGGATCATTTTATAAGAAAAAAGGAGCAGAGCAGGATGACTTATGGATTTGTTTTCTTTACTTTTTCCTTATTGAGGGTCACTTGCAGACATTATAGAGGGTTATACTCAGAGTAAATGTGTCTCTTTGTGTTTTCTTGATTGTTTACTTTGGTTTTAACAATGTATTTGTGCACAAGCAAGGCAAATACAAACTTCTGAAGGTAGTTTTCATACAGTTAAGTTTTATTCTTTCCAACCCAGATAGTTTTATCTACATTTTGGGGCACTGCTGGCCTAGCAGTCTAAGGATGAGCCCCCTTTACTAAAGCTTTGGTAAATGAAAAATAAAGTATGGAAAAATATTTATGTTAACAGACTTTATTACCACGGTTATAATATACTCTTTTCTAAAATAGAAAAGTAGGTAAATTAGGGTATGGAAAAGTATGGAAATTTCATCTGTGTAGGTACCCCGCCATCTTGCATCTCACTTCGCAATCTCTCCTTATTTCCTGCTCTATCCTCCTATCCTCTAAATAAACGCACAAAAATAGTTTAAACTCGATCAAAGTGTTTCGGGGTAAACTTGACTTTTCAAGCCCTCACAATCCCTCCGTCTTCTAGGCTTATTCCACCGTGGGAACTCCGGACTACATCGCTCCTGAGGTCTTCATGCAGACGGGATACAACAAGCTGTGCGACTGGTGGTCTCTGGGCGTCATCATGTATGAAATGCTTATAGGTAAGACAGAAACAGATAAGATAACACTTGAGACGGCCTCTGATAGTCTTAAATTTTGATCGAGGTAAAGGCTGGTTTTATTCTTGCTCTAAGCAGCACAGTATAACGTGTACGATCGGGTTTCCTTGAAGAATAAGAATAAGACATTCAGGTAATAATAATAAACAACAATCATGTAATGATAACAGTCACAATCTGAGTAATAAAGGCAGCAAACAGAGGAGCCGTTACTGTTGTTATGACAGGCTGCTGAGGCCCCCTACTGGACGAATTCAGAACTTTGTTCCTCTGAGTCTGATTCAGAAACAGCTGGTCACATCAGAGCGCCTTAAAAAGATTCCCAGAGATGTTCATTGTCGTTGATCATGACGCTCCACTTTTTCAGGTTATCCACCTTTCTGCTCGGAGACGCCGCAGGAGACCTACAGGAAGGTGATGAACTGGAAGGAAACCCTCGTCTTCCCGCCTGAAGTCCCCATCTCAGAGAGGGCCAAAGATTTAATATTGAAGTCTGCAGCTTCTCTTTTATTGCATGAAAAAATCTCAGTTTGTGGAATAAAATTTCCCGTATCTGAAGGATTATGTATGTTAAAGTTCACTTCATGTTGCAGGTATTGCACTGATGCCGAGAACAGGGTCGGAGCCGTGAGTGTGGATGAAATCAAGAGTCATCAGTTCTTTGAGTCAGTGGACTGGGAGCACATCAGGTAGGTTAGAGTTCTCTGTGTCACATTATGATGGATTTACCGTCAAGAGACCAATAAGAGGACAAAAAGGAAGACAAAGAGAGAGAGAAGACAAACAGTTTAAGTGCAGCCGCCCCTGAAAACCAAACAAATACATCCATCTGCAAACACATACATACACTAACATCAGCCATAAAAGCTCTCAGGAGTCACTAATGTGTAAAAATGAGTGTAAATAGGTCAGAGTTATGAGTTTTCCACAGCACATGAAAGCTTTGAGTGCTGTTAGATAAATGTCAAGGTTAGAGCAGCTTATGAACCGGTGTCAGGGAGGAAAAGGTCCTGAAACCATCTGAGGAGGACTGTGAAGGGATGAAAAGTGGAGTCTACACTTGGGTTAGATTCAAAACTATCTTATTCACTCATGAGCTTAAATGTCCTGTTATATATTTTCTTTCTCTCTTCTTAATCCTCTGTTATTCCCACAGGGAGCGTCCAGCAGCCATCTCCATCGAAATCAAGAGCATCGACGACACCTCAAACTTTGACGACTTCCCTGAATCAGACATCCTGCAGCCAGGTTTGTCTATCCCTATTACCCTTTTTTTATTATTGTTATTATTATTTCCTTTTCTTTTCTTTTTTATTATTTATTATTATTATTATTCTTTCGATTTATTTACTTAAAAACTTGTTTTTTAATTTATTTTTTATTATTTCTATTATTTTCATTATTTATTTGTTTTTTATTATTTATTTTATTTCTTTATTTTTTATTTTTTATTATTATTTTAATTAGTTACTGATTTATTTGATTTTTATTAATTTTTTTGGTTTATCTTTAATTACTTCTATTATTATTTTTATTTATTTTCTTATTTATTTGTTTTTCTTTTTTTAGTTTATTTTTTTAATTATTTATATTATTTTTTTTTTAATTTTACTTATTATTTTTATTTATTTACTTATTTATTTATTTTTTATATATTTATTTATTTATTTATTTATTTTTGAATTGATCAGGGAATATGTACCCAGCAAGACCTATAGCACCCCTGAGTGGCACTAACAACCCCCCCTTTCTTTCTATGTCTCTTTACAGCCAGTGCAACTGAGCCGGACTTCAAATCGAAGGACTGGGTCTTCCTAAACTACACGTACAAACGCTTCGAGGGTCTGACTCAGCGAGGCACCATCCCCACATACATGAAGGCGGGAAAGGCCTGACACGACACCGAGGAGTAAAACAAACAAAAATAAAACAGACGTTTACGGACACAGGGTCGGGCCACAGAGCCCTGCTGGTGCTGAAGGCTGCGCCGTCAGCCTCTCAGTATAAATTTAACCCTCATCACAAGTTATTTAGGTCTGCTCAGCCGCCGCAAGAACGCCAAGAGCTCGAAATGAAGGAGCGTTACCGCATTACCTCGGTTGTTTCTATGGTGTACACGTGCCGTCTTTAGCCATAGCTCTCAGGCCAGTTCTACGACACTAAATCAGCGTATCTGCATGTTAAGCGGCATTTTGCTTCTGGAGAGGATTCGAAAACTGCCGAAACGCTACGGCGAGAACGAGGAGGGAAAACGAATCACTGCTTCGACATCTTCACAGCTGTAGTTTCTACACTGGAGGCTCAATTAGCTCTGATGCAAACTTTTCATTTCCAACACTGAGATAAGCTCCGCACACTGTCGTCAAACTCTGAAAGATTAGTGATTAAAAACGAACAATTACCCGCCCCTCCTGACTTTACACCCCCAGGAAGGTTCCAGCTCGGTTTCCAAGGTTTTGGCTCACTCTGTTTTATTTTTAACCCGTAATGACAAAGATGGCAGTGCAAATTTGAAAAGCCTTTAATTCCTCCTCAGCAGATGGAAACGTTTCATTCCGCTGACATGTGGTTGTTCGGTCTGGTTTTGGTCAGCCTGGTTCAGCCTCAATAACAAATCTTCATGGTTGTGGTGTTGCAAGTTCCTGCGAGTAAAACGCTTGCATTGACGTGTATTTCACCATGCTATTACTAGTATTTATAATTCTGATTGAGCATAAAATATCTCGAGTATTTCTGGTTTAATCGCACGCTCCTCTCAGGATGAAACGGTCCGAGAGTTTTGAGCTACAGAGGAGACACTTTGCAGCAAAAGGGGAAACAACTGGTGCTTCAATCTGCAAGTAAGGGCTGGAAGGTCAACAAAATATCTGTAGCAAGCAAACGATGCAGATTAGAGGATTGTTGTAGCGCCTAAGAAAGATCTAGAATTATGTTCTTCAAGTCAGATTAACACTGAGGCTTTTTCTCTCCGTAGTAACACTGCCTTGTTGTTATTTTTACATCTTGGCATTAAGCAAGAAGTTTGACTTGAGGAAAACTGGAAACCGCGCAGGAACCCTCCTTTTACTGTAACCCCAAAACACTGCAGCTCTGTGTCAGCTCTGTGTGGCAACCCTTCCCGCTGCGCCGCCTCAGCGCTGCTGCTTTTCTCATAAAAACAACAACTTGTTGCCAGGAAACGTGAACGCAGTTTACGCTGCGCTGACATCTGTTACTGTGGCGTGCCGCCTGTTCACACATGCCAAACAAACCGTCTTGAGTGTGTCACTTCCCCTTCAGGGCCACAGTCGTTCAAGTTTCCCCTGAATTTTCTTTCTCATAAGCCCCGTGGAAAGTGCCTTTTTGAAAAGCGGATTAATGATTAACCTGAGGGTTTAAAGAAATTAAAACTGTTAAGATGATGATTGCAGAGCTGCTGGGAAAAGGAGTAGCAATAAGAAAACTGAAGACGAAAAAAAAGGCAACAATCGTCTCTTTGAGCGAACAGAAAGCTCCGATGTGTCAAAATTATAAGAGTTATAAAACGAGACAATTTAGAAGTAATAAAACAAAACAACATGAAAGGGTTTTTACACGGTAAAATAAAGCTTACAGAATAATTAAAGAATCTAAAGACGGATGACCTGTTTTTACCTCCTCCCTCAAAACAAGGGAAGTAACAGCTCCCCCGAGACAGACGCTGAAACAGAGCGCAGGTGTCCTCATGTTGTGGTAAGAGTTTTGACGCTTTCACACTTCTGCATACAAACAAAAAAACATATGAAAGACGTCATCTAGAAATATTCAAAATGACACGTTTGCTCATGTTCAGATCTAAATTTGTTGAGTTTTTTTCCTCCATTAAAGCTCCAGTGAGGAACTTGATGTTTATGTCGATTGTGGCGCCCCCTGTGGACAGAGCAGACTTTGACGTTCAAATCTATCATTTATTGTGATTTTTATATCTAATTTCCCATCATAGAAGTAAATCTAACGGTATCAGCAGTCTCTATTAAACATTTTAAGTGTTGTAAGGATTTAGTTTGACATTTCAGATTCCAAAAGTAGCAGCAGATTCGTAACTGTTACTGATTGAACTCTGACATAAAGACGAATGGCCGACCTTTAAAGTCTTCCATCGTGAAGCTAAACTGAAGGGCGGTCTTGTTCGCCCTCTGAAACTAGGATCCCTCTGTGCCCTGTATAAATTATGAGGTTAGTGACTCGGGTGATTAAACACCTCAAACAGATCATTTAAGATTATAAATAAAATAAATTCCTATTGTTTTATTGTCTGCTGTTATAGGCAAGTAGTTGATTTAAACTTGCATTTTTGCACTAAAAATAAGAAGAATATGTCTATGGGTAGGTGTATAAGATGAAGCGCACGTGTCAAAAGAACTGAAAAAGTAAAACTAAAATTGTTTTACTGACATCAATAAAGATCGACATTCCCCTTTTTTAGCTCCACTGGAGTGTTGGGCTCCTCAGAAACAGACTGAACCTCCATTTGATAATCCATCATTCACAAAATGAAGCTTCACGCGAAACTGCTGAAGGAATGCGCACCTCGTATCTTATCAACGCTGCGATTCAAAGACAGCCGACGCCAGTACAGCCATCAAGCTCGAAGGAGTTAAACACGCAGCATCAACCATATTTCGTTTCTCCAGCTGCTCAGGTTGACACCTACCGCCCTTCAAACAAATTTGAGTTTGTAAAAATTACAATATCAAAGTTGCTAATCTTGTTGGAATCTAATCTTGGAAATATCGTAAATGAAAACCAACTGAAATGGCAAAAAACAAACTTTTTGGAAATATTTTTGATGTTTTTTTTCTGTTTTAAAGTTTGACCCATGTCCCATCTGTCAACATGGAGGACACCTGCTTCATGAATATACAGCAGACAGTCAACAGGGGGAGCTCCAGGCTTTTTATGGAGCATCTATCTATCTGTACAGCCTCTGGTAAAAAAAAAAAGAAACAGTTAATCATAAACGAGAAGCTAAATAAGATTAGATTAATAAGGAGAGAATGTTTTAAAGGTTCTCGGACGTCTTTGTTCATTTCTGTCATTAACGTTAATTTTCCTCTTCCTGTTCCGCTAACGCCGAGCTTGTCCTTCCCGAAAACAAAAAAAAAAAAACACGATGACTCATCCTGTCCGCGTAGAGTTGTGACTAAACACAGTGCTAAAAATAGTTACCAAAGACCTCTGATCATAGCTTGTCGTGATCTGAACACACATTCAGATGTAGCTGTCGCTTACTGCACTTAACTCAATACTACCTTCGAAACACACACCTTTCCAACAGAGCTAAACTTAGCCGTGGGATAATTTTGCCATTTATATTTCTACACTTGTCAAAATATGAATGTGCTGGGATGAATATTTCGAGAGCTGTAAATGTACTTCAAGAGTTCAGCCGTAGCCATCACATAAATCTCATTTTACGCTGTTTGTGGTGCTATTTTCGAAGGTTAAAGAAAGTAGGTGGTCTTGCAGTTAACGATAGCAGTGACTTTCAGATTTCTGTGCCAGTCTCTCTCATTATTTTTCATTTGTTTTACTGTAAAAATAGCCGAGATCACTCTGTTAAAGACTGACAAAGTAGGGTTTCACTTTTGTGTATATTTCTGCATTATTTATTATTTTTCATGTTTTCGAAATTAGATTCTGTGCTAAAATTCAGATGATTTTACTGCTGTTTAAAGGGGCACTCTGGTGTTTTCTAGACAAGTTTAAAAAGAGAGTGAAATCCTACATTTCCCATAATGCAACCTGTTAAAAGAGACGAACAGAAAGCATTTTAGAATAAGAAAAATGTGTCGATGTGTCGATATTTTGCCCCTCAAAAACAGGCAATCCTACACCTCCAACAATGTCGATTACTTTAAAGGAACCCTCTTTGTTACATTAGCGTCATGCTAACAGTTTGTGGATTGTGACTTTAAGTCGTTTTTTTGGTTAAATTTTGCAGAAAAGTTGCAGTTTGTTGATTTTTGACCACCTAGCTGTTTGTTTAGGTTTTGTTAAAGCCCGTTATGTTGGCTGAAAACTTAATATTTATCTTAAAACGGGACAAAGTGGTCTCCTTTGAAAGTAAAACAGCTCCCTTTTGACCTCCAGATCCACGCATAGCTATGTCCATGTGCTGCATTCGACTCCCAATGGGGAAAAAAATGCGGAGTGCCCCTTTAATTACGATCAAAAAAATTGGAAATGTAAAATCCGATGACGACCATCTCTTCAAATAAGCAACCCTGTAAAAAATACTCACTTGCATGATGTTAGCAAGACTATTCGCAGGACAGTAGCAGGCTGGATGGTGAGAGAGGATTCTTTCTTCAAACACACCCTCGAAAAACGCCAAATTCAGCGTCCTGTTTCACCGCCCTACAGTCGAGATTGTTAGTGTGCGACTGTGTGAGTGCACCTGCTAGGGAGAAACGTGTTTTCATGAGGTAGATCCTTTTAGTTGTGATGTTTTCGATGTCAAACTCATGTTCTCATGTTTATGACACTTTTTATTTTTAAAGTAGCTGCACGAGAAATGAAGAAAAAGAGTGAAAACTGGATCCAGAATCCTTTAAAGTTCTATATATGTGTGTACAAGATGACTTGAAATCCATTACTGTGCCACTTTAACTAAAGGGAGTGAAATTATTTAGACTCGAGTCCAGGAGATGCTTCACTTGAACCCCAAGATGAGCTTAAATTTGATTTCTCATGGACCAAACCAGCTTCGTGACCCAGCCTGTGTGCGTGTTAGTCGCATCAGTGTCACATAAATTTCATTACAGATGTCTCGCAAAGTCTAGTCCAGTTTAAGATCGAGATGGGAAACCTCAAAGCTCTTGTTTCTCAAGCTAATAATGTGTAATGACCCCCTTCATTAAACCCTGTAAAAGGTTTTACGAACACACCCGCCCGGCCAGGACTCTGTAGTGAGGTATTTCTGTGTAATGCTGTGTACATATTGTTGTAGACACTTGAAGGAAACTGTTTGTGGAGTGAAGGACAAATGCTCATTAATATATTCATTCACACTGACGAGTTTTTATGTTGATAAAATGCTTAAAATAATAAAAATTAAAGACTTAAATACATCAAGGTCTCTCTCGTCTGTCAGCTGTAATTATTGTTGTTTATGAAATAGGCCAGAAAAACTGTTTTATTCTTGTGAACCGGAACCCTTGACACCAAGTCTGAGGAGCTCAAGTTGCCTCCATAGATGCCTCTGATCTAAATTTATTCCTTAAGAAATGAAGAAACGATCATAAATGTTCTTCCTTGAGCTGCGTCACCCCGCTGCGGTCGATGAACTCGCCCGGAGGTCTCTGTACAAACAAGCGGCTGCTGGAAGAGAGAGGGTGAGTTGTGTGAAACAAGAAACCAGGCAAAGCTAAAAAGATGTTTGATGGCTACTACTATGGATGGGACCCTAAATGTCCTGTTGATGAAGTTAGGTGCTGTTCTGAGCATTATTTGTGGCTATAGAGTGGCGTTTTGGTTGACCTCATGGTTCTCTGTATTGCTATCTGCGGTCATTACTAAAGTTGGTATAACTAGAGAACCGGTCGGCAACATTCATCTCTCGACCAGGTGTCTAACTCTGTGTTTCGGTGTGTTTGACCATAAATTAATTTCACGCCGGAATATCCCTTTAATTGCAGTTAGGGGGCCAGCTCATGCATCCTCTCTCACATCTGTCACATGTGCTCAGCGTGAACCTGTTCTCATCTGTGGAGAGAACAGGGTGCTAATGCCAATTCTGGTGTCCTTGGGTAAATGCCAATCAGGCTGCACAGTACCAGGCTGTGAGAACAGGCCACACATGTGGATGTCAGGACCTCATGACACTCTCATGGAGTCTGTGTCTGCCAGTTTGGTCAGGATGAGGTTTTATTTACCTTTTGTCATATCTAACAATGTGCAAAAAAAATATGTACACAAACTACACTCGAAGAAAAGCATAAATAATGTAGAATTTCAATATTTTAACACACCACATGAAGGATCCCTTTGGTTTCTTTTGTTGCTGTTACTTCTTGTGGTCACTAGAGGGAGCTCTCGATGCACATAATGCAGCAGCAGCAGCAGCAGCCCCGGCTCTTATGAATGGGAACAGTAGTGAAGGGTTGTATAAGTGTACTCACGTGAGGTCATGGCATGTATCTCTGGCTCTAAATGATGTCTCGTGACGATGGATTAACACGAGTGGATTCAACCCAAGCGGACAGTTGACCGTGAAAACAACAAATACCATGGAAAATTCCACTCTTCAGATTCTTTTAGGCACATGTGTGGACTATTCATGTTTTATTTTTCCCTTTTTTTAAACAATATGACATTATTCTAAAGAGCAAATCTGTTAGAGAAGTTCTGACCTGCATTAGAAACCACCTGTACACACTTAAGGTTAGTTAATAAGGATTATAAAACTTTTAATGTAACCATCACATTATATGACTGCATGACACGGAGGTCTGTCTGAGCCCTACATAAGTGTCTGAGTGTTGTTTTTTTTATTTATTTTTTTTATATATGTTTATTAAATTTTTCCAGAAACAACAACAAAAAAAGAACACATGATAAAAACAAACATACATTTGGATCAAACACATTATGTTCAAATTTATACAGGCGAGAGATTCAGGAGTCATCTAATACAAATTATGTAGGTAAGTACAATAAAAGTAAAATAAATCAAATGCATAATAGGTTCATATATTCAGAGAAAGGCGTCATGTTCAAAGCTATGATAGCAACCCTCTCATGAGAATGGTCGAGATATTTAAACCAGAGTATTATGATGTTAAAAAGTGATTAAATTTAATTCAATTTCAGCTTTATTTCCATTTTTTTATCCTTTATTTTGAGTAAAGTGACCAGCCTACATTCAACACTTTTAGGGCAGACTGATCATCATCCCAGTGCAGTCCTACATTTGTCATGTGTGGGTCAGATCACCATCACCCACAAGGTTACATGACCGGCCGAGGACCTTTTTTTTTTCTCTCTCTATTTTGTCAGAAAAAAAAAAAAAAATGGTGTTAACCGGGTTTCTTTTAATCCTCTACATAGACCAAGGAAACCAGGTTACTGAATAAGAATAAGAAATAATTGTCTGTTTTCTCACATAATATGTCTCTAAAAGTTATCTACTATTTACAAAAGAGTTATAAAGTCTGATTCCTGTTGGTACAAGAGATCTTCTGAATCTTTCTGTCCTGCAGCAAAGAGAGAGGAGCCGTCCACCACCATCAAGGTGTTGTGAAGTGGGTGATCCATCCATCCTTTTTCACCAGTTTGTTAAGAACTCTTACATCTTTGTGTTTGACGGTAAGGTAGGTAGAAAGAAAGCCATTTAAGGGTTTAAAACGCATCAGAAAAGACTTATTTTCTATGGTATTCATGACAGGTTAAGGGTCACAATGAAACTAAAAATTTGGGGGTTTTTTTGCTCATCCAAATTGTCTTTTTCCTCTTTACGCACCAGTTGAAATGTTGTTTTGTGTTTGCACAACACACATGGCAACGCGAGATTATGTTTTGTTTATAGGCCTGAGGCACAATTCAAACAAAGGTAGTATTTTAAAATAAAAAACGTGATGAACAAAGACAAAGAAGGTCACGGGGACGTGAAACAACATGTACCTGAATATACACAGAATCTGGATTTACGGAGGAGGACGTCATGACGCATTACGCATCCTATTCATCCAGGTAAAGTGGAAAATTAGAGTGAGGTAGATTAATATGTAGGGTCAAATGAACAAACAATGACATTTCAGAGTTTGGAATCGTCTTTTTCTGTTTCTGATTTATTTTCATATTTTTTACACATGATCGATGAAATTGAGGCAACGGAGGAATGTGCTGGTGTCGTAAGTTCAGGGACATCTTGGACCAAAAATTCTTGCACCATGAGAGCCGGGGGCGGGGTTACGCTGACGTAAAAGGTCACAAACTAAACGATTCAAAAGACGCAAATAAAATCACACCTACGGCAGGAATGGGGCTGACATTCTTCACCCTCACCCCTCTTTAAAGCAAATAAACATGCAGTCATAATAAAGAGATTTAAACTCCTTCTTGTTCCACTCAAAAATGACACTTTTATTTTTAAAACTCACAAAAAATAAATAAAATACGATTTCACAATACGGCTTTTTGTGCAATAAAGTACTTTTTTTAATTTGTAACGGTGTGATGGCATGAGAAATTGTTTTTAAGTTAACTTACGGTGACGAATTCGACATTTTTGCTTCTTTTTTTTTTTTCTTTGTGCTAACTCACGATATTTCCGGGTTGCCATTGTTCACGAGAGCGCTGTACTTTCTCCACAGACGGTCTATATATGGGTTAACGAGCCAACCGTCGCCACGTGACCGTAAAGTTATATAATAATTAGGTCAACACGTTTTTCACTGGCACGTGCAGGCTTCCCTCTTACATAAAGTCTCGTGCAAAGGTCTCAAATTACACTATGTAGGTGAGGGCCGAAGATCGTCTAATTGACAAGACGATGCCTCACTCTGTGTGGTTTATTTAACTGGGGTGACAGAGGGCACCGTTTATTCTCTGACGATATCATTCAGTACTTTTCCATTTAGTCGTGTTTTACACAGATTTTAACTCTTTTCGAGAATTTAACGAAGTAGAAATGATATATATGTCATTGGTTATGCCATTAGCCCACTCTAAAAGAAGTTACAAACTTGCCTGAAGCAGCTCGATTGTTGGTTGGGCAATACTTTTGCTTATGTTGAAATAAGAGCACAAGAACTGAATGGTTTATGAAGTTTAATAACACTTTTATTTAAGAACATATATCTTTTTATATATAAATATATCTTTTAGAACATATATCTTTTTATATATACTTTTATTTATTTGGTTTTCACTCAACTACCTCCAGAAAGTGCAGTATTACTCTCCATGCTGCTATATTCTTCAAGATTCAAGATTTGTTTATTTGTCATGTGCATGTTAAACAAGGTCAACAATGCAATGAAATGCCCTTGATGAGAGGACCGCTCGACTCAAAGGAGTACAGATAAAACACACAATAATTACTGATGGAATACAATAAAGTAAGGATACAAAAAATATAAAAGTTTAAGAGCTATTTACTAAATGAACAAGCGATGCAGTAGGTGCTGAGTGTGAATGTATGAAATTGAGGATGAGTCGGTCGGTGGGATAAATGAGGTATAAAAATTGCCAAATTGCACATGATAGTAAAAGTTGTACAGTACAAAAACTGAATGATTTACCAAGTTTGATAACGTTTTTATTATTCTTTACCAAATTATCTCTCATTTTTGTCAAAGAGTTTAAGAACTTAACAGAAATAATGCTGCATAAATAAGTGTAGGGCACATAAGTGTAGGGTACAAGTGTGTAAAAATTCCCTGCACTCATAACTGTGATTGGCTTTGGCTTTTATTTCATTACCTGAACTTCTAAGTGTAGTTTAACAGTGTTCATGTTCATCTGCTGAATGGAGGGATTGTCTCTTTGCTGAAAGATTAGTCTGCATGATTGGAGGCATCACAAGATGTGACAGGAACGACAATGCAAACTCAACAAGTGAGGTGTGACGTGCACACATGAATCATTCACCGCTCATATATTGAGAATGGACTTCTCAGGTGAGCTGTGAAACATACTTAACCTTGAAATAAACAATAGTTTGAAACAGAAGTTTACAAACTGCTTTGACAAACAGTTGCAAAGCACAGAACATCAGCATGTGAAAATAAAAACAAATAAAAAACTAAAGCTCAGTTAAAAACAAGGCCTCTGAAACTGAATGCCAATTTCAGTTTTCATAAGAAACCCAGACAATACAAGAACACTGCAACATAAAATGAGACCATGAGGACCGAAATAAAAACATAAAACAGGAAAGAAGAAGAAATGAAATAGAAAAGGCGGGCAGAAAGCAGGAAACAGGATAGTAAGTATAAAAGAGGATATTAATAATGATAATAAAATAATAATTATGATAATATTAATGATCAAATGGAATAATAAAACTGGAATTATGAGTCATATATTCTTAAATGATGTTCATTTTTAGCCTACAAAGTGGGATCTGAGTATTTCACACAAGGAATTAAAGGCAGAGTGAGACCTCCCTCTTACTATCACTTTGGGGGAAAGCGAGAGAGTAGCAGAGTCAGATCGGTGACGCGCAGACATCGCTTTTTCAGGTCACCAAAATGAGCGTAACACCAGTGGAATCAATCTCTCGCCGCTCTGTCACGGCAGACTCGGCTGTGTTTGATTCAGTTTTTTACAAACAATTACTCTCAGAATTTAACTTCGACGTTTCCCGTTGAACCTTGCAGATTTAGATGATTAAAATCGTAGCAGGTCGTGATTTTGAGGGGAAACCGGTAAAACATTTTGTTCGACCCAGCCTCATTTCCTGACCACCAAAAAGCATACATTTACTGTTTTTTTTTTTTTTGCATTTTAAGACGCTACATGTCCCAATTTCACCGGGTAGTGTTAGAATCTGTTGCTTTTTTCGCTTTATTTTATGCTGATTCAGAAGTGAAATGACATGAATGAGCAGCAGCTTTCGAGCTAAAACGCCGGTTTTATCTCAGTCATGTAAAAACGGTCATGAATGAACCCAACAGGCAACGCAGGAAGGAGGAGACAAGCACGAACTCTCCCCCCTTTTTTCTCTCTCCATGTTTCCTAATGGGTATGGTTGCTCCGTTCTCACACATCCCTCACGTTTCTACACCCCCCTCCTCTCCTCCTCCTCCCTCCTTTGTAGAAAAAAAAATACGGGAGGAGGAGGAGGAGGAGGGTGAGGGAAAAAAATGAAGTCAATTATACAACACCCGGCTCTCCTCTCCTCAGCTCCATCCTCTGATCTCCTCTCTATTACTAGGCCTACTACAGCTGGTGGCTTCACATGCGCAGCGGCGCTCCGTAGGCTTCACCGGGTTCACCGGCTCCAGTCTGTAGGTATGTCGGCCGGTGGCTCCGACGGGCACGGGGACAGGCAGGCAGGTAAGTGTCGGGGGGGACGGGTTACTTGGGGGTGACAGCCGTTGACTTGTTAAACTGTGTGTATTTAAGCTCTCTTTTTGGCGTTATTTATCCATCATTAGTATGAAACAAAATCAGTTCAGCTGCAATAGTTTAATTTAAACTTCTGCTCAAAGTTATTTCCGTCTTTGTTTTTGACTAATCAGGATGTGGTCTCACTGCCTGATCGGAAACATGTTTCTGTGAACTTTTATTCAATGTTAATAAAACTTTAAAGGATGTGACAGCAACAAGCGAGCACTCATCTGTTAACGGTAACCGTAACGACCGAAGCAGCTAACCGAACAGAGGAATTAGGAAACCCGGTAACACAACCTGCACCGGGGGGCTGGAGCAGCCAGCCCCGCTAACCTACTCTACCGAAAACCTCAATTGGCAGCCGGTGAACGGTGTCGCCGCCAGCATAATATCACCGGTGAAGCTGCCCATTCATTATTCTGTTTTACGTGCTCGTCTCCGGGGTGTTGTGCCGTAGAATGCATCCCTGTCGAAGAATGCACCCACTGCATCCCATCCACTCGTTAGCTTCTTAAACTGGAAGAAAATGATCTCATATTTTGAAAAAAAACACGATTGTTGGATCATGACATCATGTAAAATGGAGCGGCAAACTTTCGCTCTTTTGTATGTGTCTCAAAATGCACATATAGAGGTGAACTTCGGTATATAAACTGTACAGTTAGCTGTCAAGGTAGAGAACGTCATATTCTCAGGAGGGCTTTTGTTTGAATTAAATCATGAAAGGCACGCGCTTTTTAATTTATCCAACGGTCAGGAAAACTTCAGTTATTTCGCCTTGTTGTGTACTTTAAACGTCAGGGGGTGCATTCTTCGGCAGGGGTGCATTCTACGCCAGAACACCTATTGGCGGCGGAACGCGCGCGGAGAGATGGGGGGGAGCTTTGTTCCGTTCCGTTCCGGGAGGGAACGCTGTAGAAGGACCCGTCGAATCACGTGACCGTCACCATGACGACGACGTTCCTTTAACCTTAACAAACATTTTTATCATGCCAACTCGAGCCGTATTTTTAGTTAGTTGAACGCTTTTCCCGTTAGTTACCCACGCAGCGTGTTTCTTCCCCCAAACCTTCACGAAGAGGGGAGGGTTAAGTTTGTCACGTGGGTTCACGAGGGTTGCCTGTGTCTTTTCTCTGCCGTTCGGCTCCTTCTTCTCTCGGAAAGTGGGTCAGTGGATCAGTGGAGCAGCGCTGCCTTCACCGGCCAGCAGGGGGAGGTAGTGGCTCCCTGCCGCCCCTGAAATCAGACCACGAAGCACTGCAGTAATGTCGGCCATCGAAACTTTTGGCAGGAACCGCCTCTGCGGCTGCTGCTCCGACTCTAAATTTAAACTTAATTCAATTAACCCTCTGGTTCATAGTGGTCACTACAGTGGACAGCTACCAAAAACTCTTTTTCTCTTAAATGCAATGGTTTCTATGGTGGAAGTGTATATCAGCCTCTAGGGTGCTCTCTACTGCCCTACTCCATTGAGTTACATTTAGTGAGTAATCAGTGTAACTGCAAGTAAATTTCCTACAAATCCAAGATGGCCGAGAAACAGCCACCCCTGCTGACTACAGCTGGCATGTCCTGTCAATACTTCTATAGTAGAAGAACCCCAGCTGTAAAAAAAATATGATGATATACTGTAACATCTAAGGAAGGATATTATCCATTTGGAATTGAAAATTTCATGTCCAATATGTAGAAAATTACAATTAACCATGTGTCCAACTGAGTGGACATCATGCATCACCCAGTATTTTTTTTAACAGGAGTCATGTAATTGCTCCACTGGTACTTGTGGCTGTTTTGGTTATAAATCAGTGTATACAGTGTAATCAGTGTGTAACAGTGACCAAGAGTGGCTGCCAGAGAAGAATAGACATGTAGGGGCTGAGGATGATGGAGATACAGACAGTCAGGGTGCAGAAAGGGTAGATGCCTATAGTCAAGTGGATGAGGACCAGGATGATGAGAGGCAGGATGCAGGGGAAGGTCAGCATGATCAGGGAGCTGTGGAAAATGGGCACATGACACCTGACCATTCTCAAGCTCGCAAAAATTTCTGGAAAGTCCAAGACAATCACTTTGATAGAGATATGTCTCCTTTTCTAGGAGAGTGGAAATTCAATGTGGAGGGAAGAGAGCCTATAGACCTATAGACCAGACATCTGTTTCCAGCAGATCTCATTGATGATATAGTGAAAAACACCAAGTTGTATGCTCCCCAGAAAGGGAAAGAAAATCTGGCAGTGACAGGAGAAGAAATGCAGACTTTTTTAGGAATCAAAATGATCATGGGCTACATTCGTTATCCCAGGGCACACATGTACTGGTCTAGTGAGGATGGCCTTCGTCTAGGGATGATTGCAAATGCCATGTCTGTAAACAGATATGAGCAAATCCTGTGCTCATATAAAGCCTGTGTGCCATTGTGCCCTGGATGCTTTGCCAACTTTCATACATCCTAGGTGTGATGAGCAGAGACATGTTTAGAGATGCAGGAACTAAAATATCAGTTTTTGTTGTTGAAAACAACATGCTCGTATAAGGGCATGGTAATGTCAGTCCTGAATCTTTATAGTACTGTGGGGATTTACAATATTGTTTCCAATGTTGGAGATAGTTTGGCATATTTTGGTGTACTGTACTTTTTACTGTAAGTTCATAATGTTTTGTGTTGAGTGCTCAGGCGCATATAGTCCACTTGAATGGACACTTCTGTAGTTTTGTGAAAAAATAACATTTTTGGAAAAAAACAATTTTACATGTTCTTTTATGTCCTGAGAATGATAAAAACACTTATGAAAAAAATCTTGATCAGGGCTTTCATAATTCATGCATCAGAGGGTTAAACACGTTAGAAGCTTGAAAAATAACACAGACGATAGAAAGTAAAGTTTTATCTCCTCAGTGCCATATGTCTTTTAACACTAACCGTTTAATACCGCGACGGGACAGGAATAGACAATATGAAAAAAGTAAAAAATGTATATTTAACAGTTAAAATGATGAGTATTTTATATTATCAGACGAATTTTAACGGAAATTAATTCAATACGTTTTTAAATTCGATTTCAATAAAGTCGGTGAACAGGTAGCCTACATATGAAAATATGAATTCATATTTAATTGGCCGTTTAATATGAATTTCTCACAGAAACGACGATTTAACTTTTAGACTTCGTATTAAAAACAGACCCACGTCACATTTAGGTGCAAACTTACTCAAGTCAATGCAAGAAAAATAGTTCATATGTTAAATTAAGGCCATTCTTGTTATATATATTATAAATTACTATAATTCACAAGAAGAACAACCTTCAAAATTTTACATTTATCAACTTAAACATAAACTTTCTCATTTATAGTTCTCAAATACCACATCCTATGTATATTATTCCCTCTATTTGATATAGTGCATTGATAAAATGATAACAATTATTAGTTACATATTTAAACAGGCCTTTACCTCCCCCGGTTTTAACTAATGCTCTATTTATGCCATTGTTTTTTTTTTTATTGTTATTTGATTTTACTTGATGTGTATGAGTGTATTTTGAATTTTTTACTGTGAAGCACTTTGTGAATCATTTCTATGAAAGGTGCTATATTAAATAAATTTTACTTACTTCCTTACATATATTTTAATAATGATAATAATAATAGGAGGAATGGGGGGAAAAAAAGCAAATTTCAGGTCAGAGTACTTATAACATTAAAACAAGTCCTACAATTTTACAATTTCAAGGAAAGAGTGAATTTTTTTTTTCAAATCAACCCTATAACATGTCCGACTTCTACATTATCTAAGGGTGTGACTCGCCAAAAAGTAGATGGTTGAATTGTAGTCGAAGTAAATGTGTCTCCTACAAGGTTTCTCCTTCTCATTTTTATTTCTTATAAGATTTTGGAGGATCTAAAATATGTATGGTAAAATATCAAACCTAATTTGATCACATTTTAGGAATCCACATTTTACAAGAGCAAGAAAATTAAAATATGTCCTCTTTTAAAAATGCTCATGGGTGTTCTATTTTTCCTCAGTGAAACCAGGCAACTAAAGTGAAAACAACTTTTCAACTTAAACCTCTTAGAAAATTCTTGGCAAAGGTCATCACTCCTGTGCTTACAGTAAAAATGGCACATAAAGAAGTGAATACATAGAGCTTAATTTCTTTCTATATTATCTTGAAGTTGATTTACATTCGGATAATCATATCAGAGAATTTACTTTATTTATTCTGTATACATTTTATTGTCCATACCTGTAAATTTATCTGTTCTGTCAGTGTAATTTATTTTCTAAATGAGTCAGTAAAATGTTAAATTGCGTCTTTACAGAATATGCATTGTGCTTTTTGTGAGGAGTGGCAGGAATTGTAGGTCAGTCAACCAGAAATAACCTAGAACATACTGTACTGCGAGTCCAGGATTTAAGACTGGCCTTGCTTCTTTGCCATCAATCCTAAACTACAACACTGGTGGTCATGTTCTTGATAGCTACTCTTGAGACCCTACGCTGTAATGCGACTATAATGACCTCAACAGCTTGAGCTTGTAAGATAATTTGAGTTATCTGATTTTTCTACATGTGACCTAGTTCCAAAAAGGCGGTCAGCATTGGTATGGAAACTTTCTCTGTTCCTTTTATAGACAAATATCTAATAATAAGTTATTCATCAATATTTCTAACTTTATAACTTAACTGCTTAATGACATTTTAACTGCTAGAGCTGCTGACGCCACTATATTATCTCTTATAACTTGTGCTTTTCACCATGACTAAAGCTTCATTCACCATTCTGCTACCACAAAAACTTCCACTGCTTGTTGTTGCTCAGCTTTCTGTGTGATTGTTTTTGACAGAACTTGATATTTTGCATTTTTGTGGGAAGCATGTGCCTCTTTTTTTGGTGTTTTTAAATGATTTCTTCGAAGTTACTCTCTTTTAAAGACTCTTTTCCAAGCCTTTAAATGTGACTTCATGTACTTGTGGTTGCCAACATTTTATGTTGTTTGATTATTTTATTGTTCTGTGGCTCTTTGTTACTGTATTTGACTCTTTGTAAGTGTTTAAAGAGTTTTTCATCTTTTTTTAAACTTCTTTTGGAGGTTACTTTATGTCTTTTTTCCTATTATATCTGATGGTCTTGTTAGTATTCATCGTTTCTGGAGTTTTGGGTTGTTGTTTTTTTCTTTGTTACACAAAATTCTTGAAATTATTTTGTGTATTGTGTATTTTCTGTCCCTGTAGTTGTTTAAGTCGTTGTGTTGTTGATCTCTAAAGTATCTCTGTGTTGTAGTTTTTGAGCCTTTGTTTGCTAGTTTATCTCTTTGTGTCAGTTGTGTGTCTTCTGGAGTTGTTATTGTTGACTTTTGTGTCTTTTTTTAACACTTTTGGCTCACTGTGTTGTTGATTTAAATCCCTTTGAAGTTGTGTCTTTGTAGTTGTTGTTTCTATTTGATCACTTGTTGCCTCTTTGTGTCTGTTTTTCGTCACTCTGTAGTTGTCTTTTTGTCTTTTTTTCCTGTTTTTTCTGTCGTCAGGACACCAACCATTGTCCTGTCAGTCAACCAACCATTAAGCCGACACCTTTGCCTAATCACACTCTAGCAGACACCGGCCATATTGCCTCACTCCTGTCAGTAGATGCTGCTCGCTCTTTTGCCAGAAGGGCTTCTTGTATGAATCTCAAACTCCTGCTGCTGTTACAAGCTAAGAGTATGAACTTGTCAAAAAAGCTGTTAAGTAGAAGTGTTTTCTACCTCCTTTTTTGCTTAAAATAGAAACAACAGACTCAATCACATGTAGCTGTTATTGTTTAAGTTAAAGTTTGAGGCCATTTTAAATCGTCAAAGCAGAGAAATCTTGTTTATTGCTTATTCTAGCATGTCTGACAGCTATGAAGAAGAAGCCAGTCTGAGGTTAGTGGGCTATCCCAGCTGTATACTGGATCCATTGTTGCAGTTGTTAGGAAACTGTGGAGTCATAGTTCTTATATCTACCAAAGCTGACCCAAAATGAAAAAAATAAAACTGGATGTTGGGAGCAGATAAAAGCGTTTTTTTCCTCAGGAGTATTATCTCCAGCATCTGCCTGACATTTCGATTTGTTAAGAGTTAATGTTGCCAACACAAATTCAAACAGCAGATAACATAGTTCCCAACACAGTTCTCGAGCTCGGAGTGATAAGCTCTTTGTGCCACCAAGGATACTGATCAGAGGTTTCGGTAATAAAAACAGCTGTCTGTATCAGTGCCACTTTTTAAAACAGACTTTAAAAGTTTTCAGAGGACTTTAAAGAGCGAAAAAGAAGACAAACGAGCGCTTGTGTTGGCAGAAAGTACAAAAAGAAGTCTAGAAGGAGGAAGTCTGTGTTTATATTGACTGCAGGCTTTCGCTGTTTGAACACGGACACTAATGGATTATTAAAACTGCAAAGAGTAGCGACCTTGGTGCTTTTGAAGAATTTTCCTACCGCGGCCTTGACACAGTCATCCGGCTTTTGAATGTCAACACTGAGAGGCTGCGTTTGAAGGTTTTTGCATGAAAGGCTAATTGTGCGAACGCAGACCATCCATCATTGGACTAACAGAATCCTGGCTGATCGCTCGATTCAGGAATGATAAATGTTGAGTTTTTTGTAGCTCGAAAGGATGTGGATGACGAAGGTTCGCTTCAACACTTATGTCATCATTTCTTTGTCCTCTCTGCTGTGAATGTTGTTGATGATTTTTCTGTCAAAAGAACTTATTTGATGGAGAAGAGAAATGTAGGACAGTTACATTTACATGCTGAAATTGGGCCAGCTTTGCAAGAACAATGTGTAGGTGTGTTAAACAGTTTCATCCATTACGTCAATGTGCAGAAACCTGCTCCTCTCACTCATGTAGCATTGTAGGACAATGTAAACACGCATAAGGTAAATTTACAGATTAATTAAAGGCTCAAGAGTCATTAATGAAACGCAATTTTCCCACAGTTCTCTCTGTGAGACTTAAATCTAAACGTGACCGAGCCTTTACTGTCAGGGCCTCATGACGGAGGAGCGAGCTGCCTGAGGACATTAACGTCAGAGTCTGTGACGTCTTTAACTCTAAATCACGTAGCTTATGTGTGATGTCTTCTTTGAAATACATTTTTTAAATAATTCTCTGCTTTTATTCTAATTATTCAGATAAAAATGCAGTTTAATTTATACCTATTTCTGACGCCTTTTAATCACTTTTATTCATTCACTTATTAATATTATCATTACGGATTAATAATAAAACAAATAAGTATTATTATTATGTTTATTTCAGTGAGTAAAATCTACAGTTAGTAGTGTTTGCTCACCAGTTGGAGGCACATCCCAACTATTCGAGATGTGAAAGCTCACAAGCTCTGATGGTTAGTTTGGTTGTGAGACTTTATAAAGTGTCTGTGCAGTTATAGAAAATTAAAATAACAAGGGGAAAGTATAAAGCACATGTTAAAAGCTCTTCAGAGAATATAAAATACTAAATAAACTTGATAAGAACTGTAAGAATACACCAAAAAAATTTCAGACTCAATAAGTAAAGTGGTGTTTTTTTGTTTGTTGTTTTATTCATGGCAGCTTTTTGTGGTCATGAATTACAGCTTTGTTCTATATCTGCTGTAATTTAAATTTTGCAGACTGTGCCTTTAAGTAAATATTAACAAAACTATAAAATAAAATAAAACTGTTGCTGGAATTTGTTTCCCAATAAGATGCAATAACTGTCAAATAACCTCAAATTAACTCAGTGTTTAAATTCTGTAGTTAAATAAACTCATTAAATGTAAAAAACTTCCTGATTGTTGTCAAACTTTTGCGAGACAGCTTAATTAAAAATGGAGCCGCTTTAAATCTGAAGCCAACTCTTCGTCTTCAGGGACGTGTTTGTGCATGTAGTGGAGAAAACTCGAGCTGAAAATCAAAAGTTCAACATTAGAAACAAAAACATCCCACAAAAACTTTAATTTATGGTAAATTTAACGTTAATTAAATAAAAAATTAGCATCAAAATGCACTTTTTTTCTCCCTCAGTTGAGTTAGACAAGCGTTCTTCTTTTTTAGCATTAGCTTTAGCTGTTTATCATCTGTACAAGAAAACCGAAACCATCGCCGTGCGCAGATTAAAAATGAAGAATTTACAGATGTGTCCTCTCATGAATATGCAGAAGAGTCTTCGTGTTTGTCCCAGTTTCCTAAATTAATAAAACCTTACAGACATGCATGAGAGTCTTGTATCCAGATTCCTCCTCTGGCTGTTCACCACTATCGCTATTATTCATACTGTCTGATGATCCGTCTGCTTATCTCCCTCTGTGTATCTCTCGTGACTTTTGTTTTTGTTTCCAGGTGTTGCCTGGCTCTCTGTGTTTTTGTTTTTCTGGCTCTGCTCCGCTCCGTGTCCGAGGGAGTAGCGCTGGACTTTCTTTCGTGGAACTTTAAAGCGGGAGTGTAAAATAATACGTTGGCTGCAAACACATCCCCTCTGTTTTATCTGGAAACGCTGAAGTGTTTCAAATCCACTCAAGGGTTGGCTGACGCTTTAGCATTGTTTTATGAATTTATGCCTTATTTCCTTTCAGCTGTAAAGTCGTGGCTCTGTTTGCATCAATCAGCCATCTTGTTGAACTGCTAAAGTAGCCGGGTATTTGCTTTTATCGTCATGTAAACTGATTAAATAGGTTTTTATAACCTTTATGTCGAAGGTATACATCAAATCAGGTCAGCGATAATCTACTTTGCCCTGACGAATACCTTCGAGTTATTGAAGTGGGAGGATGTGTACTCGTATTAGGAAATGTACAGCCCAAAGAGGCTCATGGAGGTCATTTCGTGCGTACTCCTGTACCTAGTTTGTCACACTCCTGTGAATCTCCACTATAGGAGGTGGTTTAAGTCTCTGAGTTCCAGTAATGTGGTTTGTCATCTGCTGCCCCACAGGCTTGGCCTCTTGTCTGCGAGACGGTACCAGTAATGTGGCCGTCTTTACGCGCTCTCTCACTTAGGTAGCACGTTTCAGATGGTCATCATGGAAAAAAAAGGGTCCGTGATTGTGAGGAAGCAGGAAGAAGTGTGTGGCATTGTTGGCAGCTTGTTTGGTAGCATTGGTGGCATTGTGGGTGGAGGGTAGAGGGTAGAGTCGGCGTACGTTCGCTCCCACATTCCAGCTTTTGCGTCAGCGAGTCGAGTCCTGAGGGGGGATTAAAGGAAACCGTGTCCATTTACTTCAGATTTACTCCACTGTTGATTCAAATTAAAAAGTTATAGCTTTCTCTAAAAGTTAAGCTGGGTTTGTTTGTCTGGAGAGGTCACCGTGACCTCTGGGATTCACTTCCCTCCTGGTTTATTTCTGGCGCTCTTTTCAGGAACCTCTACTGTAATGACACTCGTGTTTCACGGTAGAAGAATCCAGGGTAAACACTCGAATGAAGCCTGCGGTCCTCTGTGTTTACAGATGGTCCAGGTTTATTTAACTAGGAGAAAATCTGGGTTAATTATCAAAAGTTTCCTTTTTTTATTATTGACTTTTCCTCCTTTTATTGAGAAAAGAGGAGAATATGGGTCAGTCACAGTCAACGGTCACGTTGAAAAGCTTTGTTCACTTTTATCAACACTTTTTTTTTTTTTCCTCCCGAAAAGGATGTCACGCTTTTAAGTATTGGAGTCCTGGGAGAGAAGTAGGTCAGTGTTACCACATTATATAAGCGTTAGGTAAGACGATAGCCCAAACCCCATTTACACTCACGTGCCGGTTAAACTGATGAACTCTGCGAATAGCTGGAGGTTTAGCGCCCATCAGTGGCCGCCCTCAGACACTGCTGAAACGGATGACTTCAGAGCAGGGCCCGGAGCCAAGGCATTTCAAGTGTGTGTGTGTGTGTGTTTGTGTATGAGGGGGAGTCGGTTTGGAGAGACTAAATAGCTGAAAGAGAAGAATTCTGGCAGTCTCACTCTTAAATGTTTTTGGCCGCCATGAGTCAGCGTTTAAAATGCCATATGCCTTTTTTTTTCCACAGCTTAGACCAGCATTCCTAAAATGTCAGGCATTTAAAAATAAACCACCATTACACATACATTTATGAATCATACTGTTTCTCAGGCTCGCATAAAGAGTCTTTTGTTTTTGAGAGGGGAAAAAAAATAAAAATAAAAGCTCAAATCTTTCCAGGTCAAAATAAATCTGCACTTAGAGTTTGAAACACGATAGAGAGAAATGATTCATAATGAGAAAATACTGTCATTAATTAGCAGTTAAATGCAACTTGAGTAACTGATCAAATGTTGTGAATTTTAAAAGCATTTAAAAAAAAATTCTGCTGGATCTTGACATAAAATATTTGCTGTAAATAATTGATTCAATTTTTATAAATAAAAATTGATTATAAATTCACAAAAAATAAGAATGATTGTGCTGAACTTAAAAATTCAATTAATTTTCATCCAAATTCAATGACATGTAACCATGACCAATAACTTATCTGCAATCAATTAAAATGTTTTACCTTTGAATTAAAATACCTGATCGTACACAAATTGACCTCCACTTTTAAAACTCTCTGAGGAGGAGAAAAAAATATTTTACAGCTTTTACAACATTTTTAAAAAGAGGCTGTTTTTGTGTCCATCAAATTTAGGAACCTCTGAGTTTTTACTGTTAATTTTTAATCAAAACAATCGAATAAATTCAGGCTGCCTTTACTGAGTTGGTAAAAAATGAAAAAGCAAAACTAAATAAATAAATTCAAAATTAATCATTAAGGATGGATATCAGCTCTTAACCTTTTTTCATTGATTTGCTTTAGGAGCATTGATCTAATTGCTTTTAAAATTTACAATATTTTATCAGTTTATCTGTTTTGGTGTTTCGATGTTCATCAAACTTCATTAATCTCACTGCAGATTTGTTTTGACCTGAAAAGTTTTAGCTGTAATTTTTTTCCCTCTAAAAACAAAAACTTTAACTTTTCAACATTTTTTTTGTCCTCTTTTTACCTCCATACACCCTTGATATCTTTTTTTACACACTCTTTGAAACAGACTTACATTTATTTTCCCCTCTTTTTACCTCCATACACTCTGGATATCTTTGTTTTACACACTCTTTGAAACAGTCTCACATTTTTTCCCCTCTTTTTTACCTCCATACACTCTGCGTATCTTTGCTTTATGAACTCTTTGAAACAGTCTCACATTTTTTTCCCTTTTTAACATTTTTATTTTATTTTTTTATTTGTCCTTTATTGGCAAATGGAGGTCAGAGGATTGAGCAGGAAACAGTGCATAGAGAGAGCAGGGGAGGACAAGCAGGAAAAAGGCCACAGGGTGGAATCAAACTCAAGCCGTCCGCATATGTGGGGCGTGCCGAAACTGCCGGGCTATTCTTTTATTTTTGACATTTGACTCTTTATTTTATTCACAGTAGCATTGACAGGCAGTTTTGATTACTTACCATTACTAAAGAATACATTCCTATCTCAGCTGCAACAGTTTGAGTGCTGTGGAAATTATTGAAAAACATCAATTCAGATGGTTTGAATCCTATTTTTAATTTAAAAAAATAATACAAAGACAGCAAATCAAATGTCAAACTTAAAAATGTATTCCCATTTGTGATTTTATGCTAAAAAGTTTCAAGAAAGTAGGGTCAGAGTCAACAAAACACTGAAGAAGTTCAACAATATAATAATAATAATAATAAAACCACCAGGAGGATCGTCTACCAACTAATTAGATCCATTTGCAAAAGGTTCATATCCTGACTGGGTGTAAAACAGACATTTATGAGAGGAGCAGTCTCTCAGGAGTAAAGACGGAAAAAGCTTCACTCTTAAGACTTTTATTATTATCATTAAAGATTATATGAACAAAGAGTTCAGCGATTTCAAAATAATGTTCCCTAGCATAAAACTACAGATAATTTTAACATAAGCAGAACATTATATGATTGTTATATTCAAAGTACTTGAAAAAATCTCTGTACGAATGAGACAAAGACAAAATTCAAGACGAAATGGTTCATTTTTGACCTTTAGGTGGTAAAACAGACGCGACTCGGTACTTGAAGTCACCATATAGACTTGAAAAAACATTGTCTTTGAGCACAGTTTAGTACTGCATTATAAACAAATCTAGAATGAGTGTATATTTTTCATAAAAGCTGTATATTTTTAAGTTAGAAAACACGATACATTTTTTGCACCTTTTTTTGAACTAAATCAAGAGTTTTAATGATGCGCAAACCACCAAATTCTGTTTTTGAATCAACATTATACACAGTATGTTTGTAATTGGGGGTTGCATGATCCTGTCCTAGTCATAAATAAGTTTTCAATAACGTTAATCTGACTGATCTTGATAAATGCTCAGTACAGGATGACCCCTGATGAAAGTTTCAGTTATGAGACCGATCATCTCTGTGCGTCATCACATTCGCACGTGTTTGTCATTGTCATGTTGAGCCAAAACCGCACACAGGTGAAGGTGCAGCCATTCCAAGAGAGCCTCATTTATTTTCTTTGTTATGCATTTTTGCGTCCTGTCATACAACCTGGGTGTGGTTTCCTCGTTCACGTTTAGATTCTTCATGAAGCTTAATTGAAATATTTGTAGCGAGCCGATCGAAAACACAGGAAAACAAACCTGTTTTTCTGTGAGCGAACAAAAAGATCCTTAAGCTCCTTAATCTCACCCACTTGATTGTTCTTGTTGAATCCTTTTCATTAACTGCTTGATGTGTGACTCAAAGCGTCGAGGAGATCCGAGTAAGAGAATAAATTTATAGTGAATTTATAGAAAGCTCACCTGCCCGCCAACAGAGACCTAAGGGCTGGTGTGTTCATTCCCAGTCGCTCACATCACTGCGATGGTTGTTTTTTTAATGTTTCAGATCCTGCAGCAGAGGAGGAGGGCCCGAGCCAAGCTGGGTCTTCACTGCCAGCTGTCGATGTGCCAAGGAAAAGAAAGGGAGATGTGGAGGAGAGGTCGAACACCTCTGCAGAGTAAGAGGAGTGCTATGTTGTTTGTGAAGGACAATAAACCTATTTAATTTTCTATCTGATTTCATATAATATACATATACTTAGTTTTAATATGTCTATTTGATCTGACAGGCAAAGCCTTGACTTTCAAATGGATGATGATCTCAGCAGGTAAAGCTGCTTCTTAAATTTACTCAAACATTTTATTAAATGAGAACACAGAACAGAGATTTTAACAGATGATGTTTTCCTCATGCAGCAGATCTGAAGGGGAGAACACACAAGTCAAAATGAAATGCTTCAGGTATTTAAATGTTTAAATATGTTAACACATTTATCTTCTATCCACGTGTTTATGACCTTTTTACGATTGTAATAAATTCTTGTGGTGTTGACCGTCCGCCCCGGACCCACAGGGAGCCTCACAGCCAGATTGAGAAGCGGCGAAGAGATAAAATGAACAACCTCATAGATGAGCTCGCTACCATGATCCCCGCCTGTCAGCCTTCGTCCCGGAAACTTGACAAACTCAGTGTGCTGGGGAAGGCTGTGCAGCACCTGAAAGCCATCAAAGGTGACCCATTTACAGGAGTTTTAAAGACTTTTACTTTCTAAGAAGTTTTTAAAATCAGTAACTTTACTTTTACTCAAGGATTTGAAAGTGTTGTATTACATTGAACAAAGTTACTGAATAAAAAATACTGCTAAAATATACAAACTTTTTATCAACTTCACTGTCTACGATGAGTAAAATCTAATTACACTCTTGATTGAAGCAATGTTGGCTAGACAAGTCCAAATACAAATCTTATCCCAAGATGTTTTAAACCTTATTTTTGCTCATAATAACCAGCCTCTCTACTCACCCAGACGTGATCGTTGTGTGCAGGGACCGTCTACAAAGTATAGCAACCTGTTAAAATACTGCAAAAGTACATAATAGCTCATCTCTCAGGGTTCCTATACAAGCACATTTCACCCTGTACTATCAATAAAAAAGGCAAAAATTGAAAGAATTTACTTAAAAATAAAGTAAAGAAAGTATGAAAATAAATTTGATCAATTTCCAGGTCTTAAAAAGTATGGAAAATGAAAAATAAAGTACGGAGAAATATTAATGTTTCCAGACTATTACCACAGTTCTAAAATACTAGTTTCTAAAAAAGAAAAGTAGGTATTTCCAAAAATAATTCTTAAAAGTAGGGTATGGAAAAGTGTGTAGTGTCCAACTGTGTAGGAACCCTGATCTCTGGAAAAGCCAGAGTCAAAATAACTTAACATATTCATGCTGTGCCTCCTCAATCCACCTCAACTCCTTTTAAAAACCATCAGTCAGTACTTTTAGTTCAAATCAAAGAAGGGACTTTTTTATTTTTACTTGTAGTTTAACTGTAACTTAACTTTTGAGTAGAATATTTTAGCTCTCTGTCCACACCTGCTAAACCGGCTTGTCTCTTTCTCTCCTGCGTTTTTCAGCCGGGACAGGCAGCGCCTTTACACAATCCACCTGCAAGCCTTCCATCCTGCCTCACGATGACCTCAGACTCCTTCTACTTCGGGTAACGGCTCGGATGACCTCCAATCTTCATGTTTGGTTTTAACATGTTTATTTATTTATTTATCTCTTCATGTGTCTGATATCTTATCCACCAGGCTGCAGATGGTTTCCTCCTAGTTGTAAGTTGTGACCGGGCCAAAATCTTGTTCATCTCCGAGTCAGTCTCCAAGATCCTCAACTTTAAACGGGTGTGTTGCATTGTTTTTGCATTTTGATGACTCTTTTTTTCTCATTAATATATGCTCGATATCTCACCTAAAAATGATCCTTTCTTGAAGTATAGAGCCGCAAATTTGACCAGGTACACTACTTAATGAAAAGTTATTTTAAAATGATGTAATGCTGTGTTTATTTTTCAGCCATTACAGGTTTCTCTTGGTGTTTTAAAGTTATCTAAACAAGCATAGATCCAATGCTTAGACATAGACGAGGCCTGGTGTAATTAAAAGAGTGTTGCTGCGTTCCGGTTGTACTCGGAAGTCGGAATTTTCTAGCTTTTCCAAAACTTTATTTCAGTTCTTCAGCAATGAATCAAGACTTTGCAAAAAAAGAAAAGAGAAGGAAAAAGTTATGATATAAATTATGACATTGGGATCATACATCCAGTTCTGATCTTAGCTAGGCTTCGTAGAAAGTCATCGGACTTCGAAGAGACATGCAGATGAAGTCAGTAATGGGTCGGTCAGTTAAAGACGGCATCTAGATGTCAGTGTGACGTGCAAAATAGGTTAGAAATTTTGACGTCCAAATCGGACCTTTTTCAGACGTCACTCTGATGTTTAGAATTTGGACGTCATCTGAAGACCAAATCTAGACAACGTGCAAAATGGATCCAAGATTTAGACCTCATTATTGGACCTCCTTTTAGACGTTGAAATGACGTCCACACTTGTACCTCATTGTCAAAAAAATACGGTAAACAGATGTCATTTCGATGTTGCATTGCGCAGTGGTTTGAATCGCTTTCCTATTCGTTAGTCCAGTTAGTGTTTTAAAATATATCTTGATTTCACTTTTAAACTGGTGGATATTGTTTTTTTTTTTTTTTTTACATTTATGGGTATAGAATCTTCCATACAAAGTAAAAAGGTTTGACAAACAAATATAACTTAGGCCCAGAAAAGTCGGACGATCCCCGCCAACCCCGACTTGACGACAACGTCATAATCCAAGATGGCAGCGCAGTGCATCAACAGTTAAGAGTAACAGTAAAAGCTCTCGTAATGTATTATTTATTAGCACTTCTGTTTTGTTTTTTTGTGAAATTAGGTAAGTGGTTTATGCTGTACTGCCCAACGTCGAACTGTGAATACGTTGCGACGATGTTTGTATTAGTAAAATACTGTGTTATGCGTTGTTTACAACTGGTAGAGCTAACAACAACAAACAACAGCTAACAACGGCTAACGACAGCTAACAACGGCTGACAGTTGGCGTCCATCTTGGTTTTCCAACTTGCTAACTAGAACGCCGTCAACTCGGTTGTAACGTCATTCCCAGCTCCGACTTCCGAGGTAATTTGAACGCAGCATATATTCTGAGAAACTGGACTTGAATATTTCTCTAGGCTGAATGTTATCAACGGTCTTATCAGTCTGTTTTTCTAATGTCTCTGTCTCAAAGTAGCTCAAAAATCATGAATATGTTTTTCTCCAGCTACAGGGAGGAACCTCAAAGTATTTGTTAATTTTTGTTGTTCAGGAAAGCAGGAGGCAAACCTACATTTTCTTGTTTTGAAACTCAATAAAAAAAAATCCCAGTGCTCCCGGTACGGGCATCAGTTTTTGCTGTTGCCACATAATTGCTTTGTGGTTAAGGACCCAGGTCTTTATAACCGAGTCTCTTCTAAATTGTCATGAGGGACACACAACTGTGCGAGTCAGCAGGTTTAATGAGGAAGCAAAAACACATGAAACATTTTATTGACGCCCTAATGAAGGCCTGATAATACTGCGAGCAAACACCAGTTTATGACTGTATTTTATACAGGAACAACAATCTCTTTCATGCATTTTTAATGCTAGTTTACTGTGTTTGCCCGCCTTAATGATAACCACACAGGCTCCTCATACTCGACCACATTCTTCAGCAGAGAGGACAGAGGAGAAATCCGACTCCATGTCTGCAGGGCAACATGTGTTATTTGGGAGGTTACCAGTAAAACTTGACTTTACACACATGGCAGCAGTTCTCTCTTTGGTTAGTTTCAGGGATCTCACCATAAGTGCAGACTCATTAACTGTACGACCAAGTTTGCACAGTGATCTGGACTGTAAGAATCTTAGGAGAGGATATACAGTCCTTTATTTTTAGTTTACTTGAGCAAACACACGTAGGTCTGACAGAATAAATGAAAGTCTGTAATCTGGATTAACAGGTGGAGCTGACAGGACAGAGTTTGTTCGATTTCATCCACCACAAAGACATCAACAAGGTGAAGGAGCAGCTGTCGTCTTCGGAGTCACACCCTCGCCAACGCCTCATTGATGCTGCAAGTATGTCTGATAACACGTCAGGGTGACACTGGAACATCAGCTTTGGTAGGCGGCCAAATTATAAAGCAAACACTGTGTCTCGTTTTTTTTTACAGCGGGGGTTCAGGTCCAGGGGGAGGCCCCCGCCAGACCGTCCAATTTGTCCAGTGGAGCCCGGAGATCCTTCTTTTGTCGGATGAAGCACAGTCGGGGGTCGGGGAAGCACGAAGACAAACATTTGCTGCCGAGTACTTCCAAAAAGAAAGGTTTGTTCAGACTCGATTTCTGAAGGCGGCTGACGGCATTAACCCAAACGTTTTCAGCTGTCGCAGCAAATGTTTCATGACGTCATAGGGACATTTTGTGGAGCGGATTCATTCACTCACCACTGAAGAAGTCAGAAACACCAATGCAGACCTCATATCACTTATCCAAGCAGCAGTAATGACCACTTTCACGAATCTCCCCTTTAAGCGTTTTTCCATTGAACCGCCCACCTCTTCGCCTCCAGTCAGCATTTCCAATATGGTGGCCAGTGTGTGACATCACTGAGACTCTGACCATGTTTTTTACACTGCCGGAGTCTTTCTACCTGAGTAATCTGCTCACTCTCAGTCCTCTTTTTAAGATTTAAAGCATCCACACAGATTACCTGAATTAAAAGACACCATCCAGATCCCAACACATGTAGCTATTAAAGGGATTGTTTTTTCTAGATGAGGTTGTATAAGGTACTTGTAAGTGTACCACCCACAGGGGATGCTGGTTGGCTCAGCCCCCTTGTTGAGAAACCAGCTGGAGAACAGGAACACAAGCTAAGCTATTAAGCACTACAGACAGAGTCGACTCTATCACGTGATTATGACTGTTTTTAAATATAAACGATGCAATCAGCTGATCTCAGACATATGTTCAAAACAAATTTGACTTTTAGAGAAAACATCCACATGCTTCTGTGACAACATTCTTTATAATACTTAAATTTTGCTCCTTGAACAAGGTGCGTTATAGGAAAGCTGAGTTTTCCTTTGATCTGCTAAAACTCAGAACAGGGACGAGAGGTAGAGTAGTTAAGCTGGTTTAAAGGAGGGTACAGGAAGGTGGACGTATTCCCAGTATAGTAAATATAAGTTGACCAGTGTTGTTGTCTTCGAGTTGCTAATGATGTCCAACCCTCCAAATCGTTAAAGATGCAATGGTGAGTGAAAAAATGAAATAAAGTAGATAGAGATACATGCGTACAGAGTATATCACCATAATCAATCAAAAGTGTAAGTGAAGGCTCCACACATTTTTAAATCATGATTGATTTCTAAAATAAGACCTGAGCTTCACTGAGATTAATTTTTAATTAGATTATTAATAACAGGGTTCCTACACAAGTATGGAAAGTATGGAAAAGTATGTAAGTAATTTGATCAACTTCCAGGTCTTAAAAGTAAAGAGTGTCTGAAATGCCTTTTGTGACAGACGGAGTGTGGGTGTAGATGACTGTATCATCAGCATAGAGGTGTATGTTTGCTCTAATTTAGAGAACAGAAAGGGGCCCCAGAATAGAACCCTGTGGAACACCTTTCATAATCAGAAATCAGATTTATGTCTCTCTGCTTAGATGCACTAAGTTCGATCTGTAAAATTTTTTATTTTACTTTTTTAAATTATAACATGTTATTGTTTTGCTATTCTGAGTGATCTATCTAAGCTAACAAAGTATCACTTTTTAGGGTTCCTACACAAGTATGGAAATAAATTTGATCGATTTTCAGGTCTTAAAAAGTATGGAAAATGAAAAATAAAGTATGGAAAAATATTTATGTTTCCAGACTATTACCACAGTAAAAATACTGTTTTCCAAAATAGAAAAGTAGGTATTTCCAAAAAACAATTCTAAAAAGTAGGGTATGGAAATTCCAACTGTGTAAGAACCCTGACTTCATGATGAATCCAAGTCATTTTTTATTTGGCCTTAATAAAGACAACAGAGCTCTACTTTAGGTTGAACTAAACAGACAGGAACCTTGACTTCTATTCAGTTCAATAAAACCCATGTTCTTGTCTGGTTCTGTTGCTCAACACAGTGCCCTGCTTTCTAGCACGGTAAATAGTCCCAAATGATTTCCTCATTTTGAGAAACAGATGGATGGGTTGTTCTGCTGGAGGCGACTCAACAAGTGCCAGAAAAGTTTGAACGGTCCCTAACCTACTGCTGCATCTATAATCTTATAGATAAACAGACGTAGATCAGGCAGAATCTAGATCCAAACAAACAGAAGGTAAATAAACAGAACAGACACAGCTACTGTTGATAAGTGCTATTTAAGGGTTATTTTTACCTTTCCCTCTCTGGGCCACTCGAGGTGAATTGGCAGAGAGTAAACTGTCTGACTGAGTCATTTTTCGAATGCATCGGAGGAGTTTGGTTTTATATAAACACTCGTGTTTGATTCTTGGAGCTGCAGGGTTCCGTGGTCCAAACAGATGAGGAAGACCGAGGACGGTGTACCAAAAGATTAACGAGACATTCAAATGTGTTTCGAGGAAATGAGGTCAGTGTAAGGGCAGCCGGTGGAAAACGTATTCCCTAACTGGTCTGCCTGTGAGGAAATCAGGAAATTATCTGATCTTGTCCTGCAGGAGGACAGGTGGGAGGAGGATGAGTGTGGGTGTGGGAGGGTTGTGACTCTCTCTGCCAGTCGGTAAAAGTTTAATAAGGTTGATTGTGAGTGAGGGAGTTAAAACTTTATTTATGAGGGATCTCCATGGAAATAAAAACACAACTTCCTGATCCTGAGGCTGTTTATTTATGGTTATAACTCAAGACTGAGATATGTGAAGCATCTCCAAGCCAAAGAAACAAAAGGACCCTCTGTTATCCATTAATTGTTGATTTTCAGGCACACATGTACACTAGTCTGTGTTTTTTTTCTTTCAGCTTCCTGTTTGAGTTCGGAGTTTGATTAAAGTTTTTTTATTTCCAAAACAGTCACGGTTTAAAACCAGCACATGAAGTAGGTCAGTGTTTCACCATTGTATAACCACTAAGTAGGAAGATGGTCCAAACCTCACTTACTGTAAGGCAGAAAAGAGGGGGCATGGCGCCTCCCAGTGGCCTATTTGTGCAACTGCACAGACTGTAGTAGTAGCTTTCGATACTCAAAACTGAAGTATGCGATCTTAGGTGTCTCTGCATTTGTCCCCTGACAAACGCCTTATTATGGTATTTAAACTTTCTTGTTTAAAAGTTTTTTGTTTTCTTGGTTTGATTTTGAAAAATATTAAAATCCATTATTGATTTTACAAGCAGCAGATGGAAAACAGTCACATTTACAATCAACACAAGAGGAATAAGTAAGGAATCACTTTTTTTTTTTTTTTTTTAAAGAATGAAACCACAATATTAAATCTGAATAATAACGTAACATTAAATTGATATGCACAATCAATTATAAAACTGTAGGTCATTTGATTGGTGTTTGAAAACAGAGATTATAGCTGCTTTGAAAGGTAATAAATCCTTTCTAGAGCCCCAAAGTTCACTGATAAGAGAGTCAAATCTCAATTCAATGTAATGCAGTAAAAGCAATTCATGTAAAATATACGAGATACTTCTACCTTCAATTATTCCATCATATAATTCTTCTTTTTCAGAAAATATATCTGATTTACAGTCAAATAGTTCTTGCATGAGGTTTGGATTTCATTTGAAACTGCTAAAAAAAAATCTGTTCTCCTTTACTAATGCTCCAGTTATAGTCGTGGTTCTGATTGACTGTTATGAACAACAACAAGCAGGATAAATGGACGCAATTTTTTACACTTATTCTGGTAAAATTATGGGGTCTCTCTCTCTCTCTGTAATCTTGCTCACCCCGACTAAAACTGCAAACTGGTTTAGTCCAAATTGACAGGATTGATCAGATCAAACAAAGTGAGTGATGCTTCAGAGACGTGTGTCCAACAAAGAAAGCAAATTCAGGATATTAAAACACATTCAGCTTCTTTCCCAGTGACCGAGTTCAGTCTATTTAAATCAACAGATTCAGTCTAATCTGTAGAATTCTATCATTTCTTATGTTTTCACGGCTCATCTGAATTAATTAGTGTTGCCATTATAATCGATGAACCTTCTGTTTTTGTTTCCACAGACACTAGCAGATACTCTACCCTCTACTGCACTGGATACATGCGGAGTTGGCCGAGCAGCCAGCAGGACACAGAAGGGGATGCAGAGAAGGAAACCTCGAACCTGACCTGCCTGGTCATGGTGTGCCGCCTCCTCCCTCACCCTTCACACCAGCCTTCCAAAGACATCAACGTCAAGCCCTCAGAGTTCGTCACACGCTGTGCCATCGACGGCAAGTTCGTTTTTGTAGACCAACGGTGAGTCTCAGTCTTTGTCTCTAATTCTCTAAATGACTGCTGAGCGTCACACGAAAAGAGAATCAGACAAAAATACTCATCTTCTCGTCTGCTCTCTGCCCCAGAGCCACCACAGTTATCGGTTATTTGCCGCAAGAAATTCTTGGCACTTCGTGTTATGAGTACTTCCACCAGGACGACCTGCATCATCTGGCAGAAAAACACAGGCAAGGTGATGGAGCAAAGATGCCACAGGGGGCACCTTGAGTCCTATATCTTGAATAATCTTTTGGGTAATTTTACCCAAAAAACAAGCTATTAATATTTGAAAGAAAGAGAAATTAAACTTTTGTCTTTTAACTCCATTTTTTCCTCTTTTTGAAAACACTTGTGTCTGATCTTTTGGCAGCACTACAAAGGAAAGAGAAGATTGAGACACAATCCTACAAGTTCAAAACAAAATACGGCTCTCATGTTTCACTCCAAAGTCAGTGGTCTAGTTTTACAAATCCATGGACCAAAGAAGTTGAGTTTATCGTGTGTTTAAACAGGGTCGTGTCGTAAGTAGTCTCTCATTTCTGAGTGTTTGATTTGGACTTTTATTGAAACTGAAAATTTCTCACTTACTTTAGCCAACTGATTTTAGTATACATGATGTAATACCTCTTTTTACCACCAGGGGGTCTGGTCACACTAAAGAAGAAGAAGCAGGCAGCTCAAAGACACCACAGGGTGAGAAGTACCTGCTGTTTATTCATGTAGGAGGCTGATTCCTGTATCTACTTGACTGACTTTTACTTTGCCCTTTTTCCACAGAAGACCCAAAACAATTACCCATAATTCCTGCCCTATCAACCAGTGCGGGGACTATGATTTACGCAGGCAGTATAGGGACCCAAATCGCAAATGAACTCATAGACACTTATAGGTGTGTTTTGTTCTCGTGTCCATGGTTTCAAATACATATAAGTGTATAAATATTAATGATGATTCTCATATTTAAGAGTTTTAAAATCATCTTTTGTGGTTGTTCCTGATCAGGGTAAACTCTTCTCCATCAAGCGGGGCTTCCAGTCCGTTTGGCACCGTCCAGGAGAAAGGCCTGGTGGTTTCGCCTCAAACCAGCAGGAGTGTGAGTGACCTCTTTATCATTACAGCACATTAATTGTATTATTAAGTGTATTAGCCACAGTGGATGATGGGCAGTTCTGCTCCAATATGAAGATACTGCAGGGGAGGCTGACCCTAATATCATGTAAAAGTGAGATGTAAAAATATCAATATTCAGAGGAGCACATATATGTGCTTTGTGGTGCAATGGTGCGAAAACGAAATGACTTTCTGACACTAAAGGAAAGTGTTGAAAAAGGAGGAGTATAGATTAAAACATCAAGATGAGTGTTTGGGTTAGTTTGTGTCAAAATAAGCATAACTAAAGCAGACTTGACCTTATCTGCAGAGAACTGTTGGTCCAGATCGCCTGCTGAGTCTCCCAGCAAATGGGAAGAACTGATCAGCATGTAGTGACATGCAATCTCACGTCAAAATGCTGAAATATCCCTTTAATTTCAACACTATCTGGATGATAAAACTCCCCAAATCTCCTGTTGCTAACCACGGTTTATTCCTGACAAGACTCTCTGCCAACTTTTTTCAAAACAAACTTTTTCCTAAACCAACCTCCTTTTTTTTTTTTTAAATAAATGTTGTATAAACGTTTTTTCCAGCTTAGTTTAGATGCATACCGTATAAGCTCATACGGCAATGACATTCTTGCATGTTTCAGAGTAAATGTAAAGTGACTCACCGGCATGTTATTCATGCAAAATATGGTGCTGAGCGAAATCCATATGCAAATGAGTCCTCGGCTCTCATAAATGTGATGTTTTTGAATAATCTGACGCTGACATTGGGGAGATCTGATGATGCCAGCATGTAATATGGGAGTCAACTGAACGGGTCATCCTTAACAACTGACTGAGCCGGTAATGAAACATGATGTTAACTGAAGATAAGAAGTTTATTGATCCCCAAAGGAAATTCAATAAGAGCATTCAGACAATTTTCTGAACTTTCTGGTTGGTTTCTACTGTCCGATATTGTAGCACGCTAACTTTGTTTGGGCTTGTGAACGACACGGGGGAGCAGTTTCTGCCTCACAACCAATCAATGGCGGAGAATGGCTTTGTTTCTAGTCAGAAAGAGCGGGCCACTCAAAAATTTTCAAATGTTGACTATACAGACGTAACTAAACACAGCGATATCGTTATATTCCCAAATATCATCAATAACTTATAACTATTGACTGATATTAAAAGCTTTTTTGTTTGTACACCACAAATAAAAGATGCTTCTTTAACGGAATCCTGCCTACCCCACCTTTTAAATGGAGAGAGGTGAATTATGAGGTCCTGTGCAGTGTTGTAACCTTCCGTGACTGTTTCCAGGCGTCCAGCAGAGAGGAGGCAGCAGGCAGTTCATCACAGTCCCAGTCAGAATCAGGGGCAGCAGCGGGCACGAGCAGTGGAACCTCAGAAAGTACAGGTACTGTGTCGAATTACTCGAACTGTATAGTCGCCATGTTTGGGTCTATAGGAAGGTACAACCGTTCATCATCTGTATAGAAAGAAATCAGACACCATGTTTATTCTTGTTAGTATAAAAATACAGAGGTCAGCTAAACAGTCAGTCACCCTCGCCTCTCTTCCCCTCAGGTGAGCCGTCCCAGCTGGACTTGGACAGCATGGTGGTCCCGGGCCTGAGCAACTTCAGCAGTGACGAGGCGGCCATGGCGGTCATTATGAGTTTGCTGGAGACCGACGTGAACATGGGTCAAATGGGGGACATAGAGCAGTTACACTGGCCTTTCTAGAGGGGGCACAGACATTCAGCCCCTATTTCACACTCTTGTGCCGATTTCTTGCCGTTTGCCAAGAAATCTAGGACTTTCAGTCGTTTGTTATTTGATCGGCTGATCTGGCCTTGCACAACTGAACTCACTGAACACACACCAAAGGTCGCAACATGTCGCACATGAGGAAGCCTAATAGACAGAGGAGTAAGTATATAGGAATTTTTATGACTGTGATTCTCTTTTTGGTCCCTCTGACTTGAGAAAAGCTACTTCTTTGTGTCTCCGGAGCCTGTGGTGATTCAGTGTCTTCCTCAGTGACAGTGACAGCTCTCGCACAGACTTCCCGCAGCAGGACGACTTACCTTTTCTCTCCTCTTGCCCCCCAGTGAGTGACCAGGGTCTGGGGGACGATCAGACTTCTGCCATTTGCAGTGCTGCTACAGAAAAAACCTTTTGACATTTGCGAACCCTTCGGTACCCAGTAATGATTCAGATGTTTTTCATACCATGGTCGGATTGTTCAGTTTTTTTTTTTTACGCTGTTTTTTTTAAACAACCCCCTCCAGAAATATTTAAGATTTCTCTGTCAGCAGTGTTTGTCCGATATTGTGTCCAGTAAGAGCTGAGGAAGGCAAAGAAAAGACCGTCTATCCCCTTCTTTGTGTCAAAGAGCAGTCGATTCTTATGGATGTATCTCCCACGCCACTGCAGGTCAAGCTGAAAGATATTGTACAACGGCAGCAACACAAACGTTTATGCAGATAATCCTCAAATGTCTTAAAGTTAAAATATATGTATATATTTAGGAAAACATGTCCGATGGTTTAGGTTTTTACTAAACTGGCCAAACATATAATGATCCTATCAGAACACAAAAGCCTGGCTCAGTCCAAAAATTAACACTCCCGTCATAATAACAGACTTATTGTACTGATGTAACCTGCTTATTGAGGCACAGGCAGGTATTTAAAAGCACCCCTGAATTACATGGAGTTTGTGCCCAATAGATTTATTTACAAATATACTTTTCTTTTATTCTGGAGATGTTTTGACTGAAGTGTAGTGCAACACTTACATATTTAGTCAGACAAAGGCCCGTGTTATTACCACATATTTATTTTTGATATTCAAACGCAGTGGTAATTAACAGAAAAAAGTAGGGTCACCGACAAGAAAAACTGTGCTTAAAATTAACGTTTTTTAATCAGACTATTTTAGAATTAGGATTTTCTAATTTTTTTTTTAATTCTAAATTTTTCAGGAAATTCCTTTTTTTTTTTTTTTCTCAGGATTCTGAATTTAATCTTGGAATTACCTTTTTGAATTCTAAACAAGTCAAAATTCTGACTTTTTCTTTAATAATTCTGTCTTAAAATTTAAATTTGGATAAAAATAGTCAAAATTCTGTTTTTAAATTTTGAGATTTAAGTCATAAATCTGAATTTTTTTCAAAACTCTGACTTTAATATCAAAAGTCTGAAAAAAGTCACAATTCTGACTCGTAAATTTTGAGTTGAAGTTTATAAATCTGATTATTATCATACTTTTTTTCTCAAAAATTTGTCAGTTAAGAATTTTAAGAAAAAAAAGTCAGAATTCACAATTTTTGAAATGAGATAAAAGTCAGAATCCTGAATTAAAACTTTAACTTCTAAGAAAAGAAGTTTCTTTTTTTTAAAACAATGAAAAAAAACATCAAAGTTATATTTTCTGTTAAGATTCAGAAGTTATTATCTTCTATATTCGTCTATCTTCTGAATTCAGTCTTTTTAAATTTGGCTTCTCCCCTCCCTTTCTTCCTTCATAGTTAACAGACTGATCATCAGACAGACACAGAGGCGACCTGTGATTCCTGAAGTCGAGCAACAAGCCACTAAAATATGGATTTATTATATAAACTCAGAGTTAAACTCACTTCTGCTCTAACCCTCCTTTGTTCAGGTGGTTTAGTCCCCTAGCTCTCTAAGTAGTGTTTCCTGTTCAGTATTGATAAGTACGGTTCAGGGTGTTCAGTAGATTTTAGTGGGCTGAAAAGTTATGTCAAACATACCACAGATAACAGGGTCACAGGAGTAAAGGTAGTACTTCTAATAAGTACACATAATTAAATATATGACTATAAACTGTATAATTGATGCTTTATTGGGTTAATCACTTTGTTATAAAATGTGGATTCTCCCTATCCTCCACTTACCTGTAATCATCCCCATAATACTGAGAGCTCATGTATGAATCCAGTAACTTTGCAAAAACAGCATATCTGGAGTTTGGTCTGCCCTGAACTTGGCGCTGTAGGAGGAAGAAAAAATTGCTTCGGGCCGGTTTCTTAATGATTAGTACTTGAATATTGAGTCCTGTTTACAGTTTGGTCCCAGTTAGCTTCACATTCAACTTTCTGCCAAACCTCACACAAATACGACCCTGTTCGATCCACGAGGTTCAACCCTGAAGAAGTAGAAATCAAAACCGAAGAACTTCCTCAGTTTCGAAAGCGTAACCACTTACTGCAAACACAACTTCAAGTATCTTTGTGTATTTATACGGGAGGTTTCTCTTTCCCCCCCTTTGCACTTGCGTGATTTGCATCTTGGACCATATTTGTCTACCAGTTTTATGAATCATGCCAATATTTAAGGAAATCTTTATGTGAGCGGAGAAATGTGGCAGCAGTGTGCGAGGTGAAAACCACACTTTAATTCCAGGAAGGATTCACGGAGAAAAAAAACGTGTGCATGTTCAATCGGAGGGGAGTATCGCTCTGTCTATTTTCATTTACGAATGTGTACTAAATAACTGAGCCCTCGTATGCCTATACTGTGTGTTCACATATCAGCTCTCCAGTGAGGTCTGGAAAAACTCCTGGAAAAATATGAAATGTCCGTCGTCGATGGGAGAATGTGTGCCAGAGTTGACAAGGGACAAGCCGACATGTTTCAGCGAGGACATGTATTAATGCAGTCGTGTCACGTCTTTTTATACCTCTACTCCTCACGCATTATGTAGCCCCATGTCGGTATTTAAACAAACCTATCACTACACAGAATTTAGCCATCGTAGTTTTGTTACTAAGGATACAGTAATATTGCAGTTTATCTATTTATCTATGAATGTTCAACCACATCAGCGGTGTCTTTTAAAAGAAATCCCACCTTGATCCATCTCTGATCTCTGTGGTAGCTTTTTACCTTCCTGGGAAAAGTCGTGCAAAATTTCGTCAAACCCCGACGACCTAGTGAAGATGTACATTATGCATCCTTGTTGCCTGGATTGTACTGCAACTATGAGAGCGTTTGTGTTCGTGGCAAAGGGGTGAGACCACAATCATGTAGAAACACAACAAGCGTTTCCTATTATCTCAAATATCACACCATGTTCACAAGGCGGCCATCTTGCTCTGACTGTACGCGCAGGGTACGACGCTCAAATGCTTTAGAGCCGCTTGGTTTTGGTAAATCTGCATCTTGTTTTCTTCGATGTTTAGCGACAGAAAAGATGATTGGTAGTAAAAATCTTGAGGACCTTATTATTTTCAAGTGAAAACAACATGTTAGCCTTTTGTTAGTGTTCGTGTTCAACCACTTCTTTGCTGACTTTACCTTTTTATAGTGTTTTGGGACGTGTCGGCGAAAGCTGCATTTGGCAGCTAACGGAAAAAGTTAGCTAACAGTATTGTTAATCGGTTGAATGTTAAAGTCAGTTTGTGTGACTTGCTTGTTACTGGCTGACAGGTTATCATCATGTTGTTTTACTTCGAAATACGGTCAGAGTTTTTCTTTCCATGATTTTTTCAAACTCATTGTTTGACTGTGTAAATGTCGAGGTTTCTTTATTTTTAATTTGCTTTAGAAACTCTTAAAAGCATTTGAACGTCACACCCCGAGTCAGAGAAAAAGCGGGTGCGCTATGAATACGGTCAATAATTTCATAGTCGTATTTTAACCTTGTATACGAGTATGTGAGGTTGGATCTTACTTTTAAACTCTGGCCTTCATAGAGCATGTGTAAACTCTGGTTATATCACTGGTTCCTTTAATCTTGAAAGCATAATGTGATTGTGTTGCCTTGAACTTGTTGCGGACAAGGTGCAATTGTAAATCAACCGTTATGTTCTGTCCTTGGCTTTAAAAGCATGACTGTTGGTACTGGACAGTGTTTTCTGTTGCCATCAGTGCTAATTTTAAAGGGCACTTACGCATATTGAATGTGCCCCGCTATCAAAAGAGAAAATGTCTGCTATTTGTATGTATAATTTGTCATTAATGTGTCTGCTGTACAAAGGAATTGAAGTTGAAGTATTTGAAAGTAAAGACTTTTTCAGAAAATTTTGATCCTTTTATTTTTTTTTTCTCCCCAGATGAATCGAAACCTCCGCCAGTCCGTTGATGGCACGGATGATTGCATGAAAAATTAGCGTCATAAGCTAATTACGCTAATTCTTCATGTAATTAGCACAGCGAAAAAGTGAAATTCTAGCATATTATTTACCCAATTTGTGCTGCCTTATTCATATCATTTTTTTCAACCTCTGCCCGTCCGTCGATGGCACGAATGATTGCGTGAAGAATTTGCATCATTAGCTTAGTACACTTATTCTTCACGTAATTAGCGTAGCGAAAAAGCGTAATTTGTGCATCTAATTCACTCAATTCATGCTGCCTTATTTGTATCATTTTGGTCACCCTCTGTTGGTCCATTGATGGTGCAAATGTTTACGTAAAGAATTTGCATAATTAGCGAATTGCGCTAAATCTTAACGTAATTAGCGTAGCGAATTTGGGTAATTTGTGCATATAATTCATTAAATTTTTGCTGCTTTATTTGTATCCTTTTTGTCACCCTCTGTTGGTCCGTTGATGGTGCAAATGTTTACGTAAAGAATTTGCATAATTAGCGAATTGCGCTAAATCTTAACGTAATTAGTGTAGCGAATTTGGGTAATTTGTGCATATAATTCATTCAATTTTTGCTGCTTTATTTGTATCCTTTTTGTCACCCCCTGCTGGTCTGTTTATGGCATGAATTGCGTGAAGAATTAGCGTAATGAGCTAATTTTGCTTATACTTCATGTAATTAGCATAGCGAATTAGGGTAATTCGTGCATATTATTCACTCAATTTGTGCTGCTTTATTTATATCATTTTTGTCACCTGAATAAACAGCTCCTTTATAATCACACCTCACATTGACTTTTAATGTAAAACTGGGCATCATTTCTTCAGTATCAGGAAGTCATGTAGGGGGAATCTGAGTATTTCCACAAGGAAAACTGAACCAGCAAGATAGCTAAGCTATCAACTACTGCAGACAGGATCAACTTTACTGTGTAATTTGGTTGATTAAGCAAACATGAAATTTTTCAGCCATCAGAAAGCCCGTTAATATTTGCTGTAGTCTCACAAAATTTCAACTGACTTACGGGAACGCGGTAGGTTTCCAAGTTACCTGGTGGTACAGGCGTGACAAGAGGGACTAATCCCTCCATGTTCGCCACGTCATAGTATGATAAATCTGCCTTAATCATAGAATACATTTCCATCAAAACCGTTTCCGTACACTTAAATTTTAGTGTTTAGAGATAAAGCTATCAATGCAGCATAACTGTCTTGCTTTGGAGAGAAAGAACAGCGGACCTATAAAAACACCCAACCTGGGAAACAACGCCGTGAGTTTGACGACGTAACACAGGTCCAAACCCAAAAGCTTGTTATTATATTGTATGTATATGACCAAGGGAACCATCGCTAGGACAGGGAGGTACGATACGACTGCTGGAACCACCACAACCAGAACGTTATGCACCGCCCGTTTCTTTTGGGGCGACTCAGAGCAGGTGTGGGCGGGGCTTTGCTGCAGCAGCGACCAGATCACGCCACAAAGGCAAGCGAGCATCAGGATGAAGAGGCAGGAGATGGTGAGGGAGACTGGCAACATCATGTAAATCTTTTCTTCCATTGTCGCTGTAAAGACGAGAATGAAAATACCACTTTTCTTAAACCAACCCGAAATCCATTGTAATAACAGAACTGCTGGAGTATTCAAGTTAAATTTCTTAACTCTTTTCCAAACTCTTACCTGTAGCGATACAGAAGGACAAAGTGATCACCCACACCACTGCAGAGATAGCCATCCGATACTCCCGCTTCCTCACTTTCAGATACAGCACAGGTTTAAGCACGGCAACGTAGCGCTCGATACACATACAGGACAGCAGCAGTGGGCAGCCAATCAGATTGAACATACTGAAGACATTTCTTGTCACTTGTAGTGTGTCTGTAGAGTTGGATTTTTCCCATTCAGATGCAGAGAACTCTAATAAAGAGGAGATTACGGTGAAGTGTTGGTACATGACTTTGAAACCAACTAAAATGACTAAAATCCCAACAAGACAAGATTTACGAAAGATCCTGATGAGGCTTAAAAAGTTCTGCAAATAACAATTTACGCAGGAAACCGTCTTGATTTGGTCTCTTAAAAAATAAACTTCTCATTTTGTAATTTTGTTTAAACAGCACCAGGAAGAGTTTTAATTCAGTATGTAATTATTTAAATATGGTGTTCCTCAGGGATCACATTTCAGCCCACTGCTTTTTTAAGTTCATCCTAACCTCTTAAACAAACACGATCAATTGTTATGCTGATGATACTCATCTCTACATATAGAGGTGGATAGTAGTTGTCAAATAAAGAATTTAAAGACTAAAAGTCCAGTCTTTACTTGAATTGTCGAATCAAAGTTTTCAACAACTTTTAAACATTACCTTGTTCCTCTGTTATATCTCCTGAGTGTAAAATATTTTGTACTTTTTCTTCTTTTTTTTAATGAAGGGCTTCAGAACTTTGTTGTTACTTCCTTTTTGACTAAACTAGAACTTTGAGTTATGAAAAAGATGAATCATAATATGTACACAGGAATTGATAGTCTAAGGGCCTGTCTACACAAATAGCTTTATGTTTTTGTTCTGGCACCACTTGAAGAGAAAAAATAATTACAGAAAGGAAATTTTTTAATTTTCATTTTGAAATTAAAGTCAAAATTTTGACGTTACAGTTGAAAAAAAAAGTTAAAAATCAACTTTATTCATGTCGACTTAAATCTCAATATTTCGACTTTAAAATATAAAAATATAAAATTTATTTTTTTTATTGTCAAAATTTCAATATTCTTCACAACATTTTATAACCCTGAAATTTTGACTTTAACCCCAAAATTTCAATTTTTTATCTCAAAATTTTGACCTTCTTGACATAATTTTGATTTTTTTAATCTTGAAATTTAAACTTTAATCTAAAATTTTCGACTTTGATCTCAAAATATTAAATTTTTTTAACGTCAAAATTTTGACATTATTCAGGACATTTTGTAATCTCAAATTTTGGCTTAAATCTCAAAATTTTAATTTTTCATCTTGAATTTCGACTTTGACATAATTTCAATTTTTTAATCGAAACTTTCGACTTTAATCTCCTTCCTGTAATTACATTTTTGCTCTTCATGTGGCCCTAATCCTCTTTCATACTGTTCAGCGTTGCCCTGAGCATCAATTGTTTTATTCTTGAAAACAGCTGAACGTTCATAACACCTTCTCTCAATGTCACTTTTCAATAACCGAGTGAGTGGACACAGGCCCTAATGTAGGATCACCACTGCCTTGTTCAATAGCTTTAATTTCAATCTTCAATTGCGTTTACCTCGATTAGATCCGTTCTGTTCTCTCTGAGGATTGGCATCCATTACCAACCCGAGAGGCATAACACACAGGTAGATCAGATCCATCAGGACAATATTCACACCTAGAACCTGAAAAAAAACAGGAGCAAACATGCAGTTAAGGAATGATAACATGTCAAATGTTATACAGGACATAAATCTGTCAGCAGAGAGGCCCGGGTAGTTCCTCTTGAGTCACAGGTGTTGTTCTTACCTGCGAGGCTGACACTTGTTTCCTCTCTTTAATGAACAGCCAAAGCAGGGCCGTGTTAGCTAATACGCCTGTGATCAGGATGATACTGTCAGCAGTGAACCAGAGTTTAGTCCATCCAATTTCATCACAGTACAAGAAGATAGCAGCGACTAGAGTGTCTCGGATCATTTCGCTGAGATTATGTGAAGGCAGGAGAGGCTGGAAATCTCTGGATCTGCGTCACACCTGAACAGAACCTGTTAGAGTTAAAAGATAGATTATTAAATCTAAATTCATACAGTTTCAGATGTTTGAATGTTTAAGAGAAATTACAAGAAGCCTCTCAGTGTTTGTCTCCTCTCTCTACATTTGGGGGGATTATTTTTGGAAGGAGAAGTGCTCTGAGAGTCATTAACATTTTGGAGCCTCCCTGCTGACTTTCGAGGGTATTTTCAGACTTTCACCAGATGTCTGTTTTGTTCTTTGTGCTCAGAGCCTCAGAAATAAGAATAAAACTGCTTCAGAGTGAGCTTTTTCTTCGCTTTACATAAACTGCAGATGCTTCTAGTGATCTTATTTTTTGTTTTTGCTCACAGGAGCGGACGAGGGAAAACATCTGCACTGACTTTTCCTTTGAAAGTAGGTCAGAAAATGTTTTGCCGTGATCTGAATGGACTGAGCTCTTGACTTAGTCTTAATGACTGAGTGTACAGGATTACAAACCTACACAGGCCAAGCATTTCTTTTGCAAATCTAGGTCATTTTAGTTCTATATTTCAAGCTTGAAGCCTGATATCAGGTCTTGGTCAGTCACTGAAGAAACTGCAGCTAAATCTGATCTTTAAGACATGTTGTTTTCCCTGATTTCCTCTAATCCTGCTTTAGATTTTCCTTCTTTGTGTCGTCAAAAAATCCTCTCCTACACAATCTGCCTTTTTCTTACTTTACTTGACGCTTAAAAACTGAACGAAACCCTCAGACTTACCCCCTTTCTGTGTCCTCTTTCCTCTCTAAGACCACCTTGCAGTTTTGAGTCAGTTCTTGCGAACACATCCGAACTATCTGTAGGTCAGACAAACAAATGAGCAGATGCTTCTTTTTGATTTTCCACCCTTTAATGCAAATCGGTGAGTTGTATGCATATGTCTTTGCATCACAGGTGATTGATTTTGCATGCCTAATTTTACTGTCTGCTCTCCTTTTTGCATGCAGACCGTGCTTGTGGTCATTATCTGTAAGAAGTGTCACTTCTGCAGTTTACACGACCATGAACATCTGCAGCTGCTGATGCATCTTTTATTCCCTTTTTCATTTCTTTATTTCTGCTTTTTTAATGTTTTATCTCATTGTTTATTGGACTCTGAATCGGCTGTAGGAGCTTTGATTGAAAAGTGACGTCTTTTGATTCAGCCTGATTATCAAAATACTTGTTTGAGCAGAATCTCACTCTAGGCGACTAAAGAAATCTCCTCTTTCTTTACAAAATCATGATTTCAGAGAGATTCAGAGTGTTCATATGTCTTGTCTTCCTTGTATATGTGTCGTGTGATTTGTCCAGCTGCTAAACGAGGTCAACTCCTTATTTTCAACTGTCACGACACTTAAATGGATAATTTCTCTGAAGCAGACTGAAAACACAGGCAGAGATTTTCAACTAAACAAAAGTCTCTTTATTCAGTTTTAATGGCAGTCTTATTATTATTATTATTATTGTTATCATTATTATACAACAAACAGTTTACAGTAAGAGAAATATTCAGGACAGTCCAGTCCAAACCATTTCTTCCCCCCTCCCTCCTTCCAAACATGTAAAGTGCAGATTTGTTAGCGTGTCTATTCGAGTCCTTCTATTCAGAAAACAGAAATCCTCACACGGCTAGAGTGAGGACTAAAACGTCAAACAAGAGAGAGAGAGAAGGTTTCTGATGCATGTTTGGAGACCAAGGACAAAATGAAGGTCATTTATTTCAAGAGGAACGATGACTGTCGGGGAAACAGCTGCAGCAAAAGTTAAGAGAGTTTGAGTGAAGACTGAAGTTTCTCCATCATCAGTTTCCAGTGTGTAACCACCGCAGCCACCTTCAGCAGTGACTCTGAACTCCTCATGTTTGTTATAATGTACAAACTTTTTTTCACATGAACAAAAAAATCCATTTTGCATGTTAATAACTAACTTACGTAGCCCAGGAGGTGACATGAACTTTGATTTTTTTTCCCTCGCATTTACGTTTTTATTATATCGCACATGCGATTTAGTATCTCGAACGTGCGTTTTATACGTATCTTGCGAAAGCATTTTTGTAAATTATCCTCTGCGAGCCTCATCAACGTCATCAGCGATATTCTGACTTGCAGGAAGTGATTAACCAACAGCTAAACCGAACCTGCGATATAAAATAACGTACAAAGATGCTAAACTGCACATGAGATATGCTAAATCGCACATGCGAGATACCAAATCGCACCTGCGATATACTAAAACGCATGTGCGAGAAACTAAATCGCACCTGCGTTTTAATAAAATAAATGTGCCAGATACTAAATCGCACCTGTGATATTATAAAACAAAGTGCGAGATACTTAATTGCACCTGTGATATACTAAAATGCATGTGCCAGATACTAAATTGCACCCTTGATAATAAAAACGCATGTGTGAGATTTTATACTGCACCTGCAATATATTATAACGCACGTGCAAGATACCAAATCGCACCTGATACACTAAATCGCACATGTGAGATACTAAATTGCACCTGCGATATGCTAAAACACATGTGTGAGATAGTAAATTGCACCTGTGATATGTTAAAACCCACAAGTGAGATACTAAATTGCACCTGCGATATACTAAAATGCATGAATGAAAAAAATAAAGTTAATGTCACCTCCTGGGCTTCGTACGAACTTTTGTCCAGTAACAAAGAAAAAAAGTTAGAGGATGAGTTTATGGCAGTTAAAACAGAAGAAAACAAACGGAGACAGATGCATGTTAAGTTTAAAAAGCTGATGATGAAGAAACGATCGATTTTAAAATGTGTACAAAAAAAAACACGAAACCTGATGCGTTTGAATCACAGTGTTTTCCTGATCCTCCATCCAAAGTATCGGTCTGTTTCAGAGCTCTAAAGTGACCGTCATGATGTTAGATATTTGAGAGACTGGGAACAGTTTGTTAAGTTTAGTGGTAAAGCCAAAAACACAGATTTCTGTGACCTTTGGGAAGCAGATACGAAGGAACATCATTGGCTTTTTAAGAAGTCCTCATTTCTGAGTGGTTGAGCTGCCTCAACGGCGGCAGCGTCTCTCCATGGAGGTTATTCTTCCACAAATGTCCCACCTTAGAGTCAAACTTCCTGTGTTCCCTTGTCGGCGCCTACTCTGACCTTTCTTGTAATTTCTGTCGGCTAAAATGAAGCGAGACGTCCTCCAAGGAGCTCCTCCTACGGGGAAAATTCAGAGTTTTCAGTTCTTGTCGCATCCAAGAGCCAGGAAAAGTCCAGCAAGCATGCAATAAAAAGGGGGCGCTTCTACTCAGGCTGCATCTCCATTTCTACACTTCCTTTCGAAGAGGGGACGACTTCAAACGCCTCCGAATCACGGCTGTGACACCCCGTCTTTTCCTGTTTTTTTCCACGTCCACAGCAGGAGGACTCAGTTCCTTGCGTAGATGACGGTTGTAGGTGTAGCTACTGCCACGGGCGCTGTGGTGTGGGGTTGGGGTTGGGGTAGATAGGCGCCGGTGTCGGATGGGGGTATACTGGCACAGATGTGTTGGGGTTTGGCGGGTACGTCGGGGTGGGGTACTGCCCCATCATGTGAGGCTGGTTGTGGGCGGTCGTGTGTGCGGGCGTGGAGGAGGCAGAGGCCGAAGGAGGGACGTGCATGTAGAAGGGTGCAGATGGAGCAGAAGGAGCGGAGGGCGCTGTAGGAGTGGGGACCCTCTGCAGGACGACGTGTGGGTAAAGCTGAGACTCGGAGCGGTAGAGTCCAGGAGGCATGGAGGCCTTCAGCAAACTCTCCTGACTCCTGAGAGACACAGGAAGAGGAAAGAGATTAAGATCACAGTTTTCTGACGAGACTTTTGTGGTTGATTTGGTTCTCTGAGATGGTTTACCTCTGGTATCCTCTGTTCTCATATCCACTGAGTCCTGCGGTCAGGTAGAGGGGGCTGTCTGGAGCAAGTCGGGGGTTCATCCTCTGTGACAGATGGAAGATCTTCGGAGGAGGGAAAGATTCCCACTCACCCTCTTCTCTCTCCAGCCAACACTCGCTCCGTCGTGTCGTACGTTTATCTCTGCGCCTGAGGAGCGAACAACCTCAGCTCAGTGGTTCTCATATCACAAGAGACACGCTGTGATACTAATGAGGGTTTCTCTTGGTATCTATCTCCTCTGTCCTACCTGCTCCGTCCCTCTTTCTTGGCTCGTTCCCGTCCGGATCGTTCCTGCAGGCAGCAGATGAGGAAGGACAGAGACATGGCGAGAATGACGATGCCGCTCACGACCGAGGCCAGCACGGCTACTCTCAGACCACGGTCCTCGGGCCGAGGGATTGCTGTGAGGGCAGATATGACATTTCAGACTAGGTTACTTTTATACTCATTATATCCCAAAATCCCAGACGCTAACAACAGTGTTTAAGGTCTGCCTGGAGGCCGATTTCAGCAAGCAGGTAAACTGTAGGAAAGCAGTAGAAACACCTTTATAGTTTGAAAAGGAAAACTGTCTTTTAAACTTCGATTTATTACACTCTCATCCTGAGGACTGACTGAAAATAAAAGGTGGCAAACGTCTTCAACAGAATCTTCCCTGAGCAGAAACACTGACATTTTCTCTTCCTCCTCAGATATAAAGGTTGTTTTCGCCCCTCGGAAAGATGTTAAATCCACATGACACCGTTTGACATTTGATCGCCAAAGACGGCGATATTCCCTGAGCATGTCTGACACATAAACTGTGAGTGACTTTCAGTCATAACCAGGTGGGAAAGTCCAGCCTTATACTATAGTGTACAGTAATAGAACCTTATATTGGTCTACAAAATCTAATATGATACACATTTTCTCTCTCTCTCAAAACTCATTATGTTCACTTTATAAATCATAAAACTAATCGTCAACTTTCCTCCTAAAAACGATAAACGACTTCTAAACTTCTGTCCTCTGTTGTGGTAAAATTCCCCTGTGGTAATTTTGATATTAGCTCTTGTAAAAACCTGTTTGCTGTTGTCAAACATTTTCAGATTTGTTGTGTTTATTTAAAGCATCTGTAAGGAATGTTCAATTTGTCTTAATTTTGGCGCCCCCTGTGGACAAACTTCATCTTGCTGACTTTTTTAAAGACCCAGTCCTATGAAAATCATGTTTTTCTTGTTGTCTAGGACATATCATGAGCAAAATAACTGCAAAACTACATTTCTGAGTATTTCTGCTCTGTTTTGGCCAGACTCGGAGAAGTAGAGAGGACGATCACAGAACAAGCGTGTGGGTTAGCGGATTGCGATGCTCATAAGAAAGTTAAGTATGATATTAACTTTCATAATGCCCACAAAGACATTAGTGTCTGAAAGCTGAATAGCTCCTATGTTACCTGCTATGTCTACTACACTGGCAATGTTAGGCTACAAGCTAGCGTGAAGATCGCGATATTTAAATCACAAATCCTACTTTTGATGCTCTTTTTGGTTTTATTTCATTCATTCATAAAAAAGCATTAGTAGTAAAAAAAAAATAAATCGGAGTGGAACTTTAAGTTTAAGTAACAATTACTGTTAATGTTTTATGTTACAGCGATAAAAATGACAAGATCCTACTTTTGATGCTCTTTTTTACTTTTATTTATCATAAAAAAGCATTAGTATGAATTTCAGTCTCTTACAGGAGCTTTAAATTCCCCCTTGATAGTCTTTAAGCAGCATATAGCGTTGAAGTCAAAGATAACTAGATGTAGAAGGAGAAGAAGTTCATACTGAATAATGAATCGACCTCAGTGATTAAATTAACCTTCGTACCTTCACAGACAGGCAGGTAGTTGCTCCACAGCGCTTTGCCTTTCTTCACAGTACATTGTATTTTGTCACTGCCGACCAGCTGGTATCCTTCTCGGCACCAGAAGGTCAACAGGCTGCCGATCGACACGCCGGTGCCGCTCTCTACGTAGAAGGATCCCCGACGAGGCGGCAGGATGGGAGTGCAGGACAGACCTGAGGAGAGAGGAGAGAAAACAGATGATTTTTATATATCTGTGATCTGTGTATGATTGATAAGAATTATGAGATTACACCACCTTCCTTTACTCCTTCATCACTCTCTCTCTCCTCTCTGATTTCACCGCTTTATCTCGTCAAACGCGATCTGACTGCTATTTTCGTTTGGAGCCTGAAATGAGCAATTACGCTGGATGGATAGACTCGAAGAAACGGAGAGATAAAAAGACAGAAAAGTCTATTTTTATCTTCCTCATGCTACAATACACAAATACCTCAGAGGAGTCTCGTGACACAGCGGCTATTGTTAGATTACACTGCAGGGATCGTTGAGGGATCTCATGCAAACCTTCAGCGTCACTTACTGCTCCAATCATCTTTAATACATTTTTCTCAGATGGATTTTATAATACCATTTTATTTCTGCTCTGTGGCATGACAGGGTTGTAAATCTGCAGTAGGGTGCTCACTTCGTGGACTCAAACTTGATCAGGGTTGGGTTATATAAAACTCTTATGTGATGATTTCCCCTGAAGGGTGGTGAAGTTGAACTCAGAGAGTAAAAAATGTGAAGAAATCAAATTTGCTCCAATGATGGGCTTTTTTACATGGGTGTGTATGTGGTGGCTGGTGCTTTTGCAGCCAGCCTCAAGTGGACACTCAAGGAACTGCATTTTTTTAAGTCAGGAGGCTGCTGCTTTCGGCCTAACTGTCTCCACACATGAAGCGCGAGTAAAATAAAGGCATGGTTGACGATTGGAAAGATTGGTAATTATTATAAACCTCGTTACTATGGCGATCATGGTCCTATAGTGCGATCTCTGCAAAGTGAAGAGAAAAAAGAATGGAAAAAATTCATTCACTCTAGCAGGTGCAGGGCTACAAAAAACATTGACCAATGGGAGCCATCCGTCCTGGACAGCTCCTATTGGTCAATCTCCTGCTCCGCCACTCCATCCAATCACCTCGCTGTATTCGACACACCCCTCTCCCGTAGTTTCGACTCGTCCCCTCCCACTCTCCTGGCCCTCCTCTGAGCTCTGAGTGGCTTGTGACATTTGTTCACTGGTATCTAAAATGTAGGACAAACTGATCGTGTCGGTGTGCGGTTGCCTGCCTGGAGGCAAGTCAGTGTGGAGGTTTGATTACCTGGTAAATTGTAAAAAAAAAAACAAGTAAATACAACTCATTCACCCGGCTAGATTCATGCGAGGTAAGCGAGTAGATGATTTTACTCATGCTTGGTGTGAGCGCCCCATAACAGAGCGAAATACTCTGACTAATGGAGGAGTCTGCAAATAAGAAGAACCAATAAAAGTATTTGGAGAAAAGGAGGATTTACTTTAAACGATTCTTATAATGGTGAATATTTAAAGCATGACTTTAAGGTTCGCTATGATGATTATTTGAGTAAAGGTCAAAGGTGGATGTGATGCTGCAGTTTGCTTTGCTGTGTCAGTATTAGTGTAATCTTACAGTGTGTGTATGTGTGTGTGTGTGTGCATGAGAGAGAGAGAGAGAAAGAGAGAGAGAGATGTCATCCCCCTGTAAGACCCTGTGAACATGCAAGCTGCTCTCTGCTGATTAGGAGCGACAGATGGGAGGATTTCTGCAGCGGTAGACACAGAGAGAGGAGAGGATCCCGTGATCCTGTGTGTGAAGATGACAGCGTCCCCTCCCTCTCGCCAACAAACACACACACGCACACACACGTATACACACATCAGGGCACACACACTAGACACGTGCGTAAGGCGTACAGTGCAGGGAAACAAGGACAGGCTGACTCTGGGTTTTTAAAGGAGAAACTAAAAGCCATCCTGTTTCCCTGAAGAGACTTTTTACAGATGCTATTACTCGGGGTTTATGTGTGTGTATATATGGAAACCAGCGCCTAAAAAAAAAGGCTAAAAAAAGGCTGAAACATCTGGACATCCAGATGTTCATGTGCCTGAAAGATTGGAGCAAAAGTTCCCTCTTAAAACATTTAGTTATGATTCACATTTGTCGAGAAACCTTACAATGATAACTTTGATTTCTCTGATTTTAACCACTTTTTTCAGCTCTAAAGAAAAACAAAGATGTTTATGCATTTAAATCCACAAACCTAAAGTTATTATCAGGAGCTTTAAATAAGTAAATCTGAGAATTTTAGCTTGAATTCATATTTACTTTATTTTTCAATTTCAGTCTCCAACAAAAAGTTTAAAAAAGGATATAATCTCTTCATTTGCATTTAAAAGATGCAAATCTCTAGGTGGAAAAATACTGTGAGGTCTTAAATTAGCATCTGAATGAATGCAATGTAATATTGTTTAATTATAGTCAGGTGGTTTTAATGAGGGTCTGGCTTCTGTCTGTGGAGTTAATCAGATTTCATATCAGTGGCAGCAGCTGTAGTATAATTATGTGTCATAAAGTCTCACACAAGAGACAGAACTACACAGTTTCCTACTTACTGTCACCTTGGAGATATCATTAATTAGACAGCATGGGAAATTAGTATTACTTTCACTGGATGTCGCTGAGCATTACAGCTTCGCTCGTGGTATCTCCAAAACAAACAGGTTTTAATGACCGCCATCGGTTAGTGGAGTTTTAATATTCACGCTAAAGTCTGTAAAAGTCCAGCTGAAATGAAATTAAGTCACCACTTTAAGTAGTCAAAGTTTAATGTCAAGATGATTTTTTTAAAAGCAAGAAAAGCGGTTGAGGTTTGGCGGCTGTGGCTCAGAGGAGGAGTGTGTTTTTTCTTGGTGGTTTGATCACAAGCCAAAGTGTCATTAGGCAAAACACCAAACCACAAATTGCTTCTCGTGACTCAAGTCTGCAGCGTGTAAGTGGAATTAGTCACTACTGACGGTCTCTTTTCACTACAGCATCCTCAGTGTACGAATGTGGTGAGAAGTGCATGAAATCCTGCCCAGCTGTCCGTGTCTAACTGATCGGCCTGTTTCACATCTGGTAGATTAAAGACAAAGTCCTTTAAAATGTCTTTTAATGGTCTAAAAAGCAGACAGTTAATGAGGGGAGCTCCAAATAGTAAAGTAGCCTGTAGCCAAAGGTGCAAAAAAACTGCAGTTCATTGAATGACCACTAGAGGCTCGCTCCAAAGTCAAAGGTTTCCCACACAATCTAATTCTACAACAGGTTTAGAGTTGTTGGTCTTTGCAGCTTACTTCTGTTTTCATGTCAAAACTTTCTAAAGGGTTGAGGTGTTTGTTATCCTTCTATTTTCTTATTTTTAAGCCAGGACGTTGAAGGTCTCTCATAATCTCCATTGACAATGAGAGATGAAGGATGTCGCTGATAATCTATTGTTTTGGCTTCACTGTTGGCACGCCATTTATTCTCGTATACGTCTCTTTTTTAAACCTGGCATCGTTGAAATTCCCTGTTGTTTCTCCCAGCCTAGTAAATCTAATAGAAACCTCTGCCGTTTACGCTCTGCAATGATTATGTGGTCATATGAGTTCAAGGCCACTGCTGCAAGTGGTTCGAGAAAAGAGATTTCACAAGCTTAGCTCTTGTGATCCAATCTCCCAAGATGCATTTTTAAACCAGGTGCAAGCGGGGCCATGTTAGACAAACTCGCACTGTATCTCCAGATTATTGGCAAACAGGATTTTGATAAAGGAATCAAAGATTAAGGACGAGTGAGCAGCAAGTGAGCAGTTTGGCAGCTACCTCACCTGAGAACAGATGCTGTCAGAGCCTATCTGTGAGTGTTTGACCATTTGTTAAAAAGGGGCCTGATTTACTGAGCACATATGTTGGACACAAATAAATAGTTAAAATGTAGATAGACTCATGTATTTTTTAAAATCTGTATTTGTGAATGTACTGGCCGATGACAAAAACCAACAGGAGCTGGATTTACAGGTATAAAGACTATCAAAGCTCAGAATGACAAATTATATGTGATGTTATAATGGCAGCTAACATAATGATGGCTAATGCAAAGCTTCTCTGAAGGTGTCCCAGGGTGACATAATGAGTATAATAGGACCTCTTAGAGATGCCGAGTGTGTGTAAAGATACAAAAAGGTGCAGAGTTGAGCATTATTAGATATTGTCCATCTCAGCTGTGTACTCAGGATGTTTGGCAAGGGGATGGAGGGTTTCAAAGGCCGCTGCTGCACACCATTAAAGGCTCTGAGATGAATATTCTTAAGGCACAAACATTGAAAACTACAAGGTAACAAAACCTTATGAGCACCTTATTTACATTCTAAGACTAGACTGCCATACAAAAGGGCCTTTGTCTACAATTAATATAATAGAAGGGCATTCAGAGGGTACTTTGTTTACATTCTATTCACTACAAGAGCTACTAGAGAGCACTGTGTTTATATTCATTCACTAAAACAGCATCTAGATGACACTTTGTTTCGTTTGTTTACACGGAAAGGTATCCAGGGGACTTTGTTTACATTTAATACATTGGAAAAGTATCAAGGGGGTACCTTGTCTACATTTAGTACACTAGAAACCAATACAAAGGGCCTTTGTTTAAAATTAATATAATAGAAGGGCATTCGGAGGGTACATTGTTTACATTCTATCTACTGCAAGAGCCACTAGAGGGCACCGTGTTGATAAAAATCCATTAAAACAGCATCCAGATGACATTTTGTTTACATTTGTTCACACTGTAAATTTTCCAGAGGGTACTCTATCTACATTTAATACATTGATAAGGTATCCAGAGGGCACTTTGTCTACATTTAGTACACTATATAGCCAAAAATGGCCTTTGTCTAAAATTAATATAATAGAAGGGCATTCAGAGGGTACTCTGTTTACATCCTGTATTTTGTTCATATTTAATACTTTGGAATACCATCCATATGGGTCTTTGTTGACTTTTTATACACTGAAATGGCATCCAGAGGTGACTTTGTTTACATTTAATTCTGTTGAGGGGCATCCAGAAGGTACTTTATGTACATTTAATACAGCAGAAGCTCATCAAGAGGACAATTTGTTTGTAGTAATATTTGGGAAGACAATCCATGTTGCTCTTTTTCTACATTAAATACATTCAGAGGTTACTTTGTTTACATTTAATACACAGGGAAGGGATCTGCTTGGGTGACTTCTTATGAGATTTCCAGTGCAAGAGACTTCACAATTAAGACATTTAAGAGGACCATAGCTACTTTACACATTGGCTCATGCATACTGTACTTGAACTGTGTTTTCTGGAAATTTGGATCCAGCTTAGATACAGACACATGCGCACACTCTTCCAAAGAAAAGCCTTTACTTCCATAAAGGCCGATAAAATATTCAACACATTACGTGACAGTGTGTTTTAAGATCCAAGCCCAGTTGTTCCTTATTTTACTTGCTGTTGCTATGCTGCAAGGGAAACTTGTCCCCATCCTTACTAAACCCAGAGACAATTAAGCATGAAAACACACCTCCATGGCAGTCCACAGAGAGACGGAACAATGATGCCAGTGTGGAGTGTACAAATACATCCCCCTTGTGGAGTCCTGCATCAATAAAATATACAATTAATGCCCAAAAGACTGGAAACGTGTGCTGGTTGGAGTGTGTGTGTTTGTGAGTGTGTGTGTCGAATCTGTTCCAATGAACAGACAGTGTGTGTTTCGTACACAGAGCGGCACTGTGCTGGTTTTGTGTGGATGTGTTCTTGTTGACTCAGCACTTTTATTTGCTCATTCCTGCCGCTTCAACCCCATTCAGGAAGCTTTTCTATCATCGTGGAAACAGTCGGTTGCCAATCAAAACCAACAGCAGCCAACAGGGTGCGAGAAAACTCCTGGAGGAATCAAACCTGGCAACCCAACATCATCGACCAAACATCCACTCTGCTGTAGTCTCCTATTAAACCCTCCCACTCGTCTCTGTCAGGGAAGCACTCAGAACAGTTTGTGATTAAATAAAGATTAGGCTCTCTGCATTAAAGATTCAAACGCACACATTCACATGCACAGAATGAATGAGCAGGACAACCACACACTCTCTGGATGTACACATATAGGCAGGCGCATACTGTCTGTGTCTCCTGTAAAGTCCCACAAGGCATGCATGCCATCCACTCACACATCATCTTTGGATTAGTAAACCAACTGCTTTAAGCGCCAAGGTCCCCAAATTGAAGAGTTAATACTGAGTATTATGTCACAGACCCTTATCAAGCGATTGCAATTAATGAGTTTACACTTTCCTGAGAGTGAGCTATTAGGGTTTTAGTCGAATGATGGATAAAGCTTTAGAGTCAACGCTTCCCATGATGCATGTGCCTGCAGTGTCTACTTAAAGATGGCTCTAGAAGTCAAGCAAGCCCTGTCAGAGTCTGCATAAAAGTGTCTTTGTTAGTATATTCCTATAAAGTTTAACTTTTAACATTTTGGTCCCTTTACCTGTTCTGTGGGTTTCATGTAGAGGGTACTGTATTTACATATTTTACGCTGAAAGGCTTCCATATGGTACTTTGTTTTAATTTTTAATACTGCAGGGCATCCAGCGAGTGCTTCTTTTCAGATTTTATGCAGTGAAAGGCCAAACGCAAACTGAATTCGCCAATGCCATTTACTGCTGATCCACCCTCTAAGGTAGTGACAGCAGCCATGTTTACTTGTGCAAAATTTCTTGATCCGATTAAAAATTTGAGGAATCGGATAATCTGAATCCACTGTTTATATTGGCGTAAAGTTTAATTCAGATTAGAAGCGTTTGGGCATGCGCAGAGTTGTCTAATTTCTCTAAAACAACCGCAGAAGAAGAAGAAGAGTTGTACTGACGCCTGTGCTGTCAACAAACCAACACTCATCCAATTCAGGAGTGTTCCCCCTCTGTTAGATGCTGTCACTAGATGGCGCCCTTGCTCACTTATTTTACTGTCCTGTCAAAGGGTGTAGTGTGCGTGCAGATATGACATCATCACGCTGTATGCACGCCTTGCTACGTTACCACAGGAGCAGACACGGCACCCGCGGTTGTGTTTTAAGCCCGAAGTAAATAAAGAAACCTCCTGGACTGACCTCAGTAAATAAACCAGGGGCTAAAGAGTGAAGACTGAGTCAGGTAAGAGAGTCACGTTCAGAATAAGTGTTTACAAGAACGCATTTCAGAATAACGATCGGCATAAACCACCCTTTTTGATCGGAATACTTTTTTTTTTTTTTTTCGATTGAGCCGAATTTGATCAGAATCTTCCGATCGTCATCGGGCATTTATTCCGATTATTTGTGCCCATGTAAACGAAGCTAATGCTACTAAGTGGACTACTGTCCTTGCCTCAGTTTTCAAGCAATGGACCAAGTAGAATGATTGACGGAAGCATGTCCACCTAACGGAGGTGCACAGTGCTAAATAAGTTAGCTTTTTGTGTTAGCAAAGTCTTTTCTTCTTAGTTTACAAATGACTGAAACTTTCTGCAGTGATAGCAACCTTAAAGAAACGAGCCCTGCAGCTTATTGTCAGCCAAACAGACAGAGATAGTCGTCCTTTCTGTGTGCCTGGTCAGTTTTTCTTGGATAAACACTGCTCAAAATAAATATTATCTTAGTCAGACTATCAGTCACCACCATAAGTCTGAAATGATGTTAATGTCTGATGGCAATCTTGGCTAATGGCTGACTTGCTCCATCTCCTTCGCCCTCATGTTTCTGTCTAATTTGCTCTGATTCTTCTTCTTCTGCGTTTTTTTGGTCCCTTTGCTCCAGCTGCTCCACTTTTACGTGATCTGCCCTCCAACAAACATCATGACTCTCTGTCCTCTCCATCAGTGTATCTATTTCTGAGGCTGTGTATCACAAATGATTACCTAATCCCCCCCAGGCTCTCCCTCTGCTCGCACAGAGTGTGTGTTTCTGTGCAAACCTCAGCTGTACATTAGTGTCTGTTTCCAAAGAGCCCTAACTAGTACAAGAGGGTCATTTATTTAGACACTTTTCAAGGGATTGTTTCTTGGGTTAGACCAAAAACTGACTACATCACAAAGGTTAAATCTTGAAGGTGATGGAGTTCTACTTAAACCAGCAGCTTTGGTTGGATCTAATTAAGGATAGTCTATCCAGTTAAACACAGCGGGGAGGGTAGGACTGATTTTGAGCTACCTATCCTCGATTGACTGGTTATCCTCGCTGACACGCCTAAAGAAGTAACGCTGGTCTCAAAGCCTTTGGTTAGATAGACTCGGACAGAACGCAAAAAAGTTAGCAATGTCCCTGAAAACATTAACACTGAAAGTTTTGGGTTACATAACGAAGACAGAGGAGATCTTAAATTCACTTTCTTCTCTTGTTCATGGACAGTGGCTGTCACCTTGTTTTTGTCATTTAAAACTTTTTGGGGCATTCAAGAAGATGTGAAAATGAAATGAAAAATTCATCCAGCAGATGGAAAACCCTTACAGGTTCCTGTTCCTGCACACGCAAAACGACAGAGAAAGAGCCTTCAGCGGGGTTTCTGGCAACTTATGAGATGTTGTTAAAAAAAAAGTACAGAGTAGATTTGTCTGAGTTGAATTAGTTAGGAGTGTAAGTATCTCACTTGCAACTTCTTTCTGCTGCTTTTTCTGCCTGTTACCATCTGAGAATGACTGGACCACTCAGCGTCATTTAAGGGGAAGAGGGGGTAACTCAGGCAGAGTAAACAATGGCGGCCTGTGCAGAGATTAGCATAGATACAGCTATTGGGGCAGGTGTATCAGGAAAACATTAATGATGCTTATTTCACATACAAAGAGTCCACGAAATCACAATTTATTTTTATAATTCCATGTGATATGATTATCTATGGACTGAATCTTGGCTAGTTCCTGCCAAGGTTGTGTTGTATTGTTCACGCCTTAGCGTGTACGCCATCTACATCATGTTTTGTTGTTCTAATTTGCTTAAAACAATTCCGACTTGGAGAAAATTTTGCTTTTGCATATTTTTGTGGCCCACTCGCGAAGATAACAAAGCTTCTACACTGTGATATGGATTTGAGCTTGTGGTGATGTCTCAACAGGAGTGATCTGAACACGCATGCATGCAAAACTACTCCCACTACCCTTCGATTAATTCCGTTCCCATCAGTCCTCTGACATAGTCAACAAAGTCAACATAAGAATAATGTTTTGAAGGAACTTGTAAGGAACTGTTATCGCGGGCTAGTAATACATGTTTCCACCATATATGTGTGCTAAAGATATAATTCTGTTCTGATTGTTACGTACCATGGATAGGTTTTATATCTGACGATATTTACATTTATCACAGTCGCCGTGTGTTAAATTGTAATGGTGTGGCCTGAAGCGCCCCAGTGCGGCTATCAGAGAGTATTATTTGACCTCAGATGTTATCGCATTGCATTGAATATGTGTGTTTAGCTCACAGTCATATCACTTCAATCCTGTTATATATTCACACATTTATTGTTAATTTATTTCTGTACATCAGGAAACCACAACTCAACACATCCTGTATCTTGTTCATGTGTGGAACCACTAAAGAAGGAAAACCAGACAGAAAACTAAGGCCAGATTGTGTACGCCAGCATACATACAAGTAAATTCTGTTAGGTGAGGCCCTCATGTCAGCCTCGTACCCCTTTTCCACCTCTGTAACAAGCTTAGCTCACCTCCTCTGGCTCCAACCCCATTTTTAGTGTAAATACATAGGTGTGCTGCCTGCACAGCAAAGTAGAGAACAAGAATTATTTTGCCAAAATGACAAACTGCCTCTGTAAAAGCTGTAGTAGTAGTTGTAGTTTTTGGTTAAACAGTTCAGTGTAGACTTTAGACACGTTTTTGTCTTCACGGTTTCTTATTTTCAGCCCTCCTGCTCTTTACTTGTTTCCAACCAGCTAGCAGGGAGAATGAGGCCCATTTAGGACTCTCCCTCTGTGACTTTGTTCCGAGAGAGTTCAGTGGTTTTCAGCCGTGGGAAGTTAATAATGAAGTTGAGTCACTGCCAGCAACCGTATTGGATTGACAGGCAGGCGACAAAAGGAACTTCTTGTACGAGGCTCGTCGGGCTCCTAGGGCTCAGGAGTGACGATAGTGTGTGTCGATGACAGAAATACCCCTGGGTTGCATGTGTACACCTTGTGTTTGACCTTGCGTGATCAGTGTGTGTGCATTTACAACCCCGAAAGCCGTAAATGTCAGCAGAAATTCAGATGTTGTATTTGGTGAAGCTTAACTCCTTATGAGGCTGCCAAAAAATGTTTGAGAGACATTGAGGACGAGTCTTTTAACTGAGTGAAGACAGATTGCAGGAGGACAGGGGCTAATTTGAGATCCTGTACAGAGGGGGAGGATGCGCACTGGTGCTAATTTAAGGTCCTTCACTAAAGAGATGGCCCCTGATAAACTCTTCAACAAAACAAAACCCTCAAATAGACAGAAGTAATTGGCTTCAAGATACACTAAACGCTACCTACTACCAGTGACAGAGCGGATCTGCATACCTGGGTGTTAGCATGTCATTAACAGGATTCCTGGGACTAGAAATAGCCTGGAATAGACAGAGGTAATTGGCTTTGCCTGTGCGTTAATCAGATTAAAGGCATTGTAACATTTTATATTTACGGTTTAGGCATTTGGCTGAAGATCTTGTCTAAAGAGACTCGTAGTGTGGAATAAGCTGCTTACTCTGAACGTCAGGTTGATGCTGCATCTAAAACTGAACGCTGTTATTTGATCTTTCAGAGTAATTCTCCTCTCCAGACTTCGAGAAGTGCGATTCTGCTGCTGACTGCTTAGTTGCACGCCGTTGCATTTCATTCTCGTAAAATTGGCTCATTCCATTAGACTCTACAGGCATGCCCCACAAACTGTGAAACTGGTACAGAAGGTTTTTTTAACTAAAAAGTGGTTTAATTCAAATGTTATTTAAAGCAAATTAAACCACTGACATCAAGGATTTCCTGTAAACTCACCCGCTGTGTCAGATTAAGAAGCAGACTGCCTGCTAGGTAACTAATATGGGCCTCCTGTGGGATTAATACAAACAGCAGCCCTTCTCCACTCTGGAGAGGTTAACAGATTGTGTTACCGTGTTAAAGGTAAGCCTTAAGGCTTTTCTAAAGCGGAAATAACCGCTGCTCATCAGCTGCCTGACAGATTCTCTGCGTGAGGTCGACCAACTGCAGAGCTGCAACTGCTTTCCTATTGACTGTGAAGCCTGTGACCAGGTTGCCCGTATTTAACCACTTATTTTGAGCAACAGTGGTGCTCTTGGATTTCCACTTGGAGATTTATACTTTTCTCTGAACTCTGAAAAACATTTTCTGCCCGTTTTTATTTATTGGTGCGGTGCTAAATCTCTCACCGCCTCAGTAGCTTCTACTCCCAACTTTTCTGTAATTATTTCATCAGTCCGAGATGAGTTGCTTGTCAGCTTGCATTGATGTTCTCTATGCCAACATTTTCCCATGAATCACTCACTTATAAAAGCTACGACAGTAGACGGTTTAAAGGGTGTCACCATTTATCATGTTCAGTACTTTGGTCGAGGCAGAAACGGCTTGACAACCGTGCTTTCAGGTCCAGTTCTACCAGTCCAGTTAGGAATCAATAATGATTGTGACATGCCAGTACACCAGGAGAGGTTGAGAGGTCTGTAGAAGGGCAACAACCCAACATCAGGACCACTATTTGCTCCTTTGTGCACAGAGGAACAGGAAGAGCACGACTAGAGCCACACAAAATGACCTCCAGCAGGCCACTGATGTTTCCGGGGACAGTCCCAGTTTTGGATGACCTGTCCCTGGCTAAAGGTGTCCCCGGAAATGTCCCCGAATTAAGTGTTTCATGAATGAGAACAAAATGTTGCGTGTAGACTAGAACAACAGTTATTATGGTAGCCAAATAGGTAGGAAGCGCAAGTAAGCACGTTGCGCACAGTCTTGAACAACAGTTTTTACGGGGGGCGTACGCTGCTACTTAGTAGTACCGAGTTGTTGTCTGTGATCACACAGTCAATGCTTGGTCCCTTGACGACGCCCGGTCCCTTGTAGTTGTATGATGAAGGAATTTGATGGTATTGACTGGCTCACCCATTCCCCAGACCTGAATCCAACCAAACATCTCTGGGACATCATGTGTCGTTGCACCACAGACTGTCCAGGAGCTGATGCCCTGATCGGCTGAGGATCTTGGTTCCTATTGATCGTTCATACCTTATTTTGTTCTGATTGAACTTTACTATGTTGTCCATAAAGGTTTTTAGCTGGAATATTTCATTCACACAGACCTGGATGTGTGATTTAAGAGTTGCTAACGTTGGGATTGAGCTCACGCTGTAAGTACGACCTCACTTGACTGCAGACTCTGCTAATACATGATCAGCAGGTACACAGCTTTGTGCCATTGTCCTCAGATGTGGAGGTCACTGTCCCACAAATACATGGCCAGGCACTGCTGGTATGACACACTACTTCAGACTGAGTTTTGATTATTGGGTTTGCTGCATCTTCACAGAGGTTTTGGTCACTGGAAATGGAAGTTTTTTTTTAACACCTTTCCAAAGAGTAGAAAGTTTAATCTATCTTCATTTTTGTCGCCACTTCAACCTTCAACAAAGCAAAAACAAAGAGCGAACAGCTGTTTGTGTTCAGTCAGAGGTGAAACACGCACGAAAGGGAGGCGTGAGTTCATGTACGGTGTCGAAAAAAGATCTCAAACTTGATAAAACTGCATTAAAAAAGAGTGTGCACACACATCTGCAACTTTAGTTATTGTCAAAACACAGAGAAAAGTCCACTTTGTAGTATGCATTATGTATTTCAGATGAGCTTACGAACTAAAGCAATGAGAAAATAACCCCTGGGTCTAAAGAGGCTGCAAGAGGCTGGGGTCAATCATTCAGCTGTTATCATCAATCATGTTTATTGTGTTTATAGCCTGAAATTTGTACTTCCTGTTACTTTGACAAACCGGGTCCTTTCCCATTCCCATGCTCAGTGTTGATAAATGTGATATTAAAGGATATTTGCACTCAACCATCACCTTGTGCACTAAATATATCTTTCCTGCAATAAAAGTCTTCATGTGCAAGTATCAATCCAGTACCAAATGAGTCATTAAACCCAGCAGTAAGTTTATGAATGAATGAAATCAAACACATTAAACTTGAGCGTTGCACTTTTAGTAAAAACAGACAGGAGACTACTGTATTAAAGCTGTCTGCGTCCAAAAAGAGCACCTCAGGATAACCCGATCGATCGAGGAACTCTGATCAATAGACCTCCAGAAACAGCAGCAGTAAGGATACCTGGACCAGCAGTGTGTAAAGATTCTCGGCCCGCATCGATGGACTCTAAAAGCTCGGTTTGAGGCTGGCTCCCGGGCTTTTTCTGCAAAAACTTCACACATCTGCTCCACTGCGTTTATCGATTATGAATCTGCGGAGTCGGCGAGTCGGAGTTAGAATGCAAGGAGTGTTTCAGATTAATCCACCCCCGGAGAGACTGAACCTCTACTGGCTTCATTTTGACCTCTGACCTCTCTGTGATACGACACTGAAAAAACTCTGTAAACTGTTATTGACTCTTACGAAAACATACACAGGATTCGACTCGGAGGAGATGTACGATTTCTTGAAAGGGTGTTGTATTTTTACGCTTGGCGGACCTCTCCTCTGGTGTAACAAAGATTTCCTACCTCGGGGGGAGAGTCGCTTTAATTACCTGGAAAAAGATTGTGCGGTAGCTCGACTACTTCACCGTTCGATCGATGAACATGCCGTCATCGACAGATCCTGCTGCGACACCTGCACTCTCAGTGTTTTTATGTGCAGATCTTGCAGAAGTAAGCCAAACTCGAGTGTCCCAAAAGCGGATGATTGAGCGGTTATCCCATCACACTCAGTACGATTGTATTCACAGACAAGTCAAGCTGCAATTAAAGCTCGATTAGGCGATTGAACTGGGCTGCAGTCTTTGTCCCAGTTTACATTCACTGGGCAAGAATCGAATTATTCACAGAAGCATGTGAATCTCTCACTGTTTGGGTTTTTCGGACGTTGATGTTAATCACATCTCCAGGATTAACAGTTTTTTTGGACGCTCTCTCACTTAAAAGCTCTAATGTGGCGTAATTCATGCATGCGGAGCGACGTGGCGAGCCAGCTGATCACCTTCCTGTGTGTGTGTGAGTGTGTGTTATTAAAGTATAAAGTGCTTATTCCTGCTCTGTCAGACACAGAGCCGCTGTTATGAATCGAGTAACTGTGTTTATTCTCTAAACCTTTAAGAAGATTGGTGTCGTTTAGGCCGAGTGCGTCCATTTCCTGCGTGTGCGTATATGTGTGTGTGTGTCTGAGAGAGTGTGTGTGTGTGTATTGGGCACGTGAGGTTTGCATTTTGTCATCTGTTGTGGGCTATTCATGCATACACGTGAGGATATGGGCTCTGAGAGTGCGGCGGACAGGCAAGCGGGCGGGGGACATAGGAATAAGTGCATGAAAAAAGAGAGAGAGAGAGAGAGGGACAGTGGAAGGAAATAACAGAAGAGGGGAAGTGATGGATGCTGAGGAAAAACGGGAAACAAAGAGCAGCAGAGAGAGTAATTAGAGGAAAGAGAGACAGATGTTGGAGGAAAAACAGAGAGAGAGAGAGAGAGAGAGAGAGAGAGAGAGAGAGAGAGAGAGAGAGAGAGAGAGAGAGAGAGAGAGAGAGAAAGAGAGAGAGAGGAGGAGGAGGAGATAAAGGCAGCTCATGCTCCACCAGAGGTGAAGTCATGCGAGCGGCGCTGCAGCTTTTCTCTTCAGGCTGAGCAGATCACGCCTGGACATAACGAACTGTCTTTAAGAGCATCACCTGCCACATGCACGCACGCACACACACATACACGCATGCACGAGATGAGAATGGCTGTTTGCAGGTTGGAGAAAGTTTTCTCCCTGACTGCTTTGCTTGTGTTTAGAGTCATTTTTCCATCACTTTAAGCTGAAACACTGAAGGATGAAGGATTTTATCGGCATGTTTTATAAAGTTAGTCAGTTTGCAGCCCCTACTCAAGAGAAAATGAGAGAAATTGTCAGACTAAAGCTGTCGTTAGACCAGTTTTTAATTTCCAGGTTAATTTGTTTTGGATAGACGAGGATCACTGACAATAATTTTATATGGCTTCAATTAAAATCTTGTAAACAATAAACACTTTTCTGGGTCTTTATCCAGAGAATAAGTAAGCTGCAGCTCAGCTCCCAGCCCCTTCTCATGAAAAATGTTTTCTAAACCAGAAAATATTTCTGTGTTTGGTGTCTTTTCTAATTTTAACCTCTGGATAAATTTGTTTTGAAGATAAGAAGACTGTGAGCTGTCAGCAGACAGCAGCTCAGCTCCCAGCCCCTTTCGTGAAAATTGAAACTACAAAACATGTTTTGTATTTAGTGTCCTTATCCAATTTCAACCTTTGTTTCGAATTTGTTTTGAGGATAAGAAGACTGTGAGCAATAAGCAGACAGCAGCTCAGCTCCCAGCCCCTACTGTTGGGGATATGTTCGTCATCACGGCTTATGTTTGTGTTTAGCAGCTCGTAGGATGCATTTCTTTTGAGGAGTAGACTTTAGGGGTAAGAAATCATGCTTACAATGAGCACAAGAGAGATCCTATCTCAGACATATTTGAGTGGCAGCTCAGTTCACAGCCCCTCCTCAAGTCTTGTTTTCATAAGCAGAAGAAAAGTGATATTTTAATGTCAAACTGCTGTGTTCAGTGCCTTTGAGAGTTACCAAATCTGTCTGGTCAGAGGAAGAAAAATCCTCTGCAGTATTTTCACTACTGGTAAAAGCTTTGATTGGCACTGAGCGGTCAGTTTGAAGCTAATTTTATCAAATTTACCGCCTGCTCTACCGTCGTGCCAGCATCTGTTTATGTACAGCGATGAAGCTCAAAAAAGCACAGACATCAGACTCATATAATGAGAGTTGACTCGGGGTCTTCCTGACTGATGACTCAGTCAGTTTGGAGCAGAAAGCCCTCGAGGAGACACGTTCATGCACACATGATGCACTCACGGTCAGCACATAGAAAACCAACTTTAAAATGAGAGTATAGGAAAACACTCCTTTTAGTTCGTGTTGTTCGTACCACTTTGCTGATCTTGACCTCTGACCTGTGCATGTGTTAACTGAGTCCTGTTAGTGAATCCTCTTCTGACGGTCTTGTTTGCTTTAGTCGGTCAAATATAAGTATTAGTATTTGTTTAAGTCTGTCTCATTTGAAGTTTCTAGCAGGAGCGTTTAAGAAACCCCGCTACACAACACTAATTTTCACATCGAAACTTTTCAAACTTTGTCATAACACAGATTTCCATCACACACACACACCCTCTTGGTTTTTCATCCTCTTGGATAAAAATTTCTAACAAGCTTTGCGTGAGTTCGGCGAACTCTGAAATTCAAAGCACCTCAGTTATTTACAAAGAAGATTGTTCTTGAGCTTTTTCCTGGTCTGCTCTCGGTATATTACGGTCCCCACAGGACTTTGGACTAGATTTAGAGGCCCGTGATGCAGACTCATTACTGTGTTTAAACTAGTGTATTATCACCTGAATGTAATAATTTATATCTTAAAGTGAGTCTTTGATAACTAAGGAGGCTGCCAGCTTGCACCACAATGTTTCTACGGCAGCACAGAACAGACAAACGGGTAACATTTGCATTTTTGCATTATACTTCTCTTGCAATACAGATGCTTCTTGTCCTTAAAGGCCACCATCACTTTACAGGTGAAAGGGGTGAGCAAGGGAGCGTTGATATATCTCATGATATTTCTACTAGGGCTGGGCGATAAACCAAAAATTTACCAAAACTGAAATTTACACCAATAACCAACGTCATTTTGCACACGTCAATATATTTGGTGTCACAAAAATTAATAAATAAAAGTTGGTTTTGGATGTGTGTAGGTGGGCTATAGTCTCATGTCCCTTTAAGACGCTGAGGCCATATCGCCCAGCCCTAATACCTACGTCTACACACTGTGTCTGTCATACATTTCAGTGAGATGTCAGTCAGTCTCTAAGAGATACTTTGGGAGATTTGATACTGTTGGAAAGCGTGATAACGACTGGACTTGTGATCTTAAAGGAACAGCTGGTCCTCCACCAAAACCTGGATGAGTTACTGCCGAGTCAGCATTTTTAGATTTATGATGCAAGTACCGTAAAATCTGGAATATATGTTCAGAGAAACCAGCAGTGAGGATACTTGACTGTGCGCTATCAAAGTTGTCGGGCAACGCCGCCGTGAAGTCCGGGTCACATTCAACCACCAGATGTGCTGTATGTAAACAACAGACTTAGCAACAATTGAAGAGGTCACTCTCGTGTCAATACTGGGATTAAAACAGAAAAAGCGACAGCTGCAGAAACAGAGGTGGTAAGTAAGGCCACTGAGGGAAACCTGAGGGGACAACAGGGAGCGTGTATCTACCTCTGTTAATGATCCTTTAATTTTTGCACACATGCACAGCCAACATGCCTTCACATAGGTGTAGTCAACATCAAGAGTAGCACCAACTCAAGCTGCACAGTCTATTTTGGGGAAGTCCAGTAGAGGGATAAAAGACTTCAATTTCATTCAGCAATGTGCAGCTGCAGATGTGGAGCTCTTTCTAGTACCTTCTGTGCTCTGCCCATGCTTACACTGGAGTCCAGAGTCTGTGGTCAGTTTGGCAGAGATTCACACCAGTCTCCTTAACTGGTCACTTCAAAGTTTATTGGTTGACCACGGTTTGATATAAAAGCATGATAGTGTCCTAATAAGGGTGAAAAGTAGGGCTGGGCGATATGGCCTCAAATCAATATCACGATATATTGATCAGTTCACCTCCACAAGCTGCTCACCCCCTCCCACATTAACTTCGTCTACTTCAGCCGCTACAACTTTTGAACCGTCCTCCATCTCCTCACCTGTCTTTCCCTCTTTGTTACGGACTGGATGGGGTGGAGACACGTCTCTGACGTAGGACAGCGTCTTAAAGGGACATGAGACCATAGCCTACCTACACACATCCAAAACCAACTCTTATTTATTCATTTATTTGACACCGAAAATACCGATATGGGCAAAATGATGTCGGTTATTGTCGTAAATTTCGGTATCAGTAAATTTTCGGTTTATCGCCCAGCCCTACCCTCTGGTTACAACCTCTCCCTGCATATATTTCTGGTAAACTGGTTGCACTGGTGTAAAGGATGAAGTGTGAAGTATTAATATATGAATACTTTGGTCTGCAGAGTGTTTCCCTCACTTTCCACGATTCCTGACATGAAAATCTCATAATTTCCTTTTTTTTAATCAAGATTTCTCACAGAGGAACATATTTTCGAGGCTGATGAAAATCACTGCAGCGGTTATTAAGATGATGATTTGTTTTCCTACTTTTGACGACTCAGCTAATCGTCTTAGGCATCAACAAACAATTCTCTCATTGAAAGGCTGTAAGAGGTTTATCTTCGATACAGAGTGAGAAACATTGTTTGGATTCGACTCGGACACTTTCTGCGTGAACTCAAAACTTTTTTGCAGCACAACAAGCTCACAGTAAAATGAGTACATGACTGTTTGACTCACCTGTGTAGTTGCTGGTGGTTTTCTGAACCGGTTTATCCGTCTTGTTTTCCATCTGTGCCCCTGTCTGCACTTCTGTCAGTGTTTCTGTCTGTAGGTCTGTAGGTGCCTCCGTGGGCGCCTGGGCTTCAGTCTGCAGGTCCGGCTGCAGCTGGATCCCAGTGCCAGGTGTGGAGTCCCCTGGCTGCGACGTTCCTGCGATCTTTTTAGAGTCCTTTGGGCTCAGACCGGATCCTTTCACCAGGACCAGAGCACAGAGCAGGGTGCACAGCAGCACCCATGGAGCTGTGGGTCCTGCTGCTGGAGACATGAGGTCTGTTTATGGAGAAGAAGAGTTCTGATGAGAAGCAGGGGGGCTCACAGCTTCATGGTCAGGTGCTCGGACTTGACCAGGATCTCAGTTTGAGGTAGAAGATCCTCAGGAGAAAGTTTGGTGCTTTCTTTCTTTCCTCTTCTTGTGTATCCTCCTCTTCTTCCTTTTTGCTCCTTACTCCTGGGCTGGAGAAAGAAGATCCTCCTCTATATTCCCACTCATGATGCTGAAAAATAGGAATAAAAGAGGAAAAGAGGAAGTGAGAGAGCGTATGTTGGTAGATCCAGCTGAAATCTGCCTGCTCTCTGCTCACTCGCCGTTGTTTTCTCTCCGGCTCTTCCCTCCCTCTCCTCTCCTCCACTCTCCTCTCCTCTCCTCTCCTCTCTGTCCCTGGGCTTGTTCACTCGTGCTCTCACTGCTCGGTCCGCCGCTCTCTCTCTCTCTCTCTCTCTCTCTCTGATCTCCAGCTGGGCTGACTGAGCTCTTGCATAACAGTAACTCATTCGCTGAGCTGTGCTGAGCTGTAACTCATGCAGCCTTAAGTCCTGATATTCCTGGTTGCTGCTCTTTCCCTCTCTGCCTCTCTCATTGTGCTTCCCTCTCGCTCTGTCGTTTCACTGCAGAGTCATCGCACATTCGCTCTTATATCTACTTCTTTGCACCGGACAAACATTTACTTGTAGTTTGAATGTGAGGAACCAATCGTTGGGTTATTTGTGCAACAAAACTACCTGATAGTTAACTTTGACAAAGCAGTAAATCTTTAGTCAAGCTGTAAAGTGAGGACACTGCAGAGGTGTAAATAAAAGTAGTCCACTTAAAGCAAGCTTATAAATGTTAAAGCCCTTTAGAGCAATACTCATTTTTACAGCAGAATTTAAAGGCACAGTGAGGAGTTTTACATGAGAAACAGACTGAAACTGATACTGATACCAACATTGATGAGGCTCTGTTGTAATTTTTACACCTCAAAGGGTAAATTTTAGACCAAATGACTAACAGCAGGCTGAAAATACCATCCCATAATAGTCCAAACCAAGCCTATCACTTTAATGTAGCACCTTGTTTAACCCTTGTGCACCACTCAATATTTACTCCCTTTCATCCTCTTCGTGGATGTTTTTAGCCACTAACTTTAGCTGCTATAAAAACATTTCCGATATATTTTTTTCAGTTTGTTTTTCCTCAAATCTCTTCATTAACTTCAGTCCTAATCAAAAATATCATGTAATTTTTTAATGTCATGGATTTTAACACTTTAAATGATGATTTCTAGAGGTGATGTCACTGATTTTGGGGGAGAAAAAATCACAAAATGACTGATTTTCTGTATAAAAAATGATCAGAGGCAGGAGATTTTTTACGTGCTATCACACCCTTGGATATGTCGAATATTAGTAACAACATTGGCTTTGATGCATTATTATTTTTGTACAGCATCAGATTTTAAATTTTACACCCTTTCGTCCTGTTCGTGGCTGTTTTTAGCCACTAACTTTAGCTGCGGTAAATATCAGAGAGTTTTTTTTAAAACTTTTTTCTCAGATCCCTTTATTAAACTCAGTCCTGATAAAAACTACTTAATATTTCGGAAAAGATATTGATTTTAACCCTTTAAATGGGGATTTCAGAGTGGATGTCACTGATTTGAGGAAAAGCATGAGTGCGTAACATGACCGTCGAATGAAAACTTGATATGGAAACAAAATCAAATAATCCGATCATGACGTGCGTAGACATGCGCCAAGCTTTATTTGGATTAGAAGCGTTTGGACATGCGAAGAGTTGTCTGGTTTCGCTAAAACAACCACAGAAGAAGAAGTAGTTTTTACGCCTGTGCTGTCAACAAACCAACAAACGTGGTAGTGGCTTACTTCATTCAGTTTAGGATCTTTCCTCTGTTAAATGGTGTCACTAGATGGCAATCGACATGTTTACATGACGCATTTTTATTCCAATCAAGCCATTATCCCCATTATTTGTGCCCATGTAAACGCAGCTAGTGTCAACAGGCAGAGGTGAAAAATGCCAGACTCCTAACTTTGGGCCGATTTTTTATAAGGTGTGTGATCTGCATCATTGTTGTTATGAGGTTTTGACTGATCAGGATCAAGTATCGAACATCTTCATAGTTAGAATCCTGAATCTGGCAGTCTGGTAAACTACAGGAGCCAAGATTAAAGCTCCTATAAGTGTTTTTTATATGTTTTAAGGGTGGCTGAAATTCATATTTTTCTAAAAAGAAAATTAGCAACAACACTGGTGTTTTTTATACCCTGATTTCTGACTCACAGAGGCCTTGAAATGTCACCGTTAGCACCTCTGACTCTGTGGATGTTTTGGTTCATATCACGTCAGAAATTCAGTGAGACTGTTCAGGATCTTTATCCAGAATTAAAAAACCTTTTCTTGTTTTTATCTTAATAAATACAACATGACAGCTTCTGAATCTCCTGCATTTTTTTTTCTGTTTTTCACTTTCAACCTTGCTGGGAATAAAACGTGACTACACCTGTCGTGCGTCTCCGAGTGCTCACACCACAAAGTGAGCGTGTGCACGTGGGCATCCATCCTCATGTGGGATGCGTGTGTGTGTGTGTCACAGGTGGACGCTCAGGTGTAATATGATGACCCTGATAGCTCTTGTTGATAACCCTTTAGCCTGAAAGTCCATGCACAGGTTTGAATAATTGATGCATGTGGGGCCAAAAATAGTGGGAAGAGATGTAGAGAGAGAGAGGGAGCAGTAAAAAAGGAGAGAGAGATGGAGGAAAACAATCGAAGAGAAGACGGGAAGAAGGTGAGAAATCTGAAAAGAAAGACGTATAAAGTGAGATCGGACGCTTTTAGCTGGAGAAAACGACCTTCTATCAAACGTTTGAACGGTAAATGGAGACGCTGTGCTGAGAGCTACATTATTTACAGCAACAGCTTTGGAAAAGTGGGCTCAGGAAAGGCTTCAAAGGACTGATCCAGGATCTTATTTTGAACCACAAGACTTTAGTTACACCAGCAAAGGTTTTTAGGATATAAATATATACATCGCAGTAGGGCTGGGCGATAACACGATAATGATATATGTCAAAAAATTAGTTTCCTTACCAATATAAAACATGGTCAATAGGCTTTTCGATAGTCGGCATTTTGCCACATTTTGGTAGACTACATGAATAGCCAATGAAAAGAGGAGTTTCTCCAGGTCAGTTTTGCTGAATTAGAACCAAGCAGCAAACAACTGCATAGTATCAGATTGCAGCTACACGCAACCATAGCACTTTAACAGGTGAAGCCGACAGCACTGTTGGTGAGAAAAAAAGGAAGTAAGTGCTACCCCCATCAGAAATGCAGATGAAGCCTCAACAGGTGGCGACATCGTTGACGACACTGGCCGGATGTTTTATTTTGTGTCTGTGCCAGACTTCCTTTCCAGCACGGGTTAATCAGTGGAAATTGCTGGTTATGTGCACTGCAAATTTTGGCGAGTACATGTTCTTGCAAAGTCTGAGAACACGTCAGATCTTTTTCACCACCTGAAGCAGCGCCACGCAGCAGAGCATGCGCAACGCAAAAGGTTACAGGCCCGAGCGGAGCAAGTAGACCACAGCGCCTGTGCAGCTGAAACAGCCGACCATTCAGTCCAATTTCTCTAGCGCAACGCCTCATGACAAAACGCCAAAGAGACACAAAAACCTCACAGATGCAGTAGCTTATTGTATTGCAAAAGACGTGCTACCAATAAGCACTGTTAAATTTCATTTTTTTATATCGTGACATATATCAATATCGACTAATATGAAAAAATATATTGTGATAAATTTTTTTACATATCACCCAGCCCTACATCTCAACAAAGCCTGACCTGACAGAGACAGTTTTCAGGTGTCGGATGTGCAGGAAAACTTTAAGAGTTCGCATTTACTGATGTGTCTGTTCCTATATGAAGTGATAATTCATGTAAATACGCTGAATCCAGTGTGGTGTATTATTGGTTATATATCCAAGCGGGACGTCTGATTGGTCGGGGACACGCTTTGATTTGACAATTCCCATAACACCGGTGTTTTGACGTGACTTTGTTCCCTCCCTGCTGTAATTGATATTTCATGTCTTCTCCTCTTTTATTATTCGCACGTATGCAGCTTTCTGACATACACCGCTCTTATCACGCTCATGTTTTTATAATGTGAAATGCATCACTCTCCTGAGGATGCTCGATTCTGCACTTATGACGATAATGAAGCGGCACCGTCCATCTTAGATTTCTCACATCAGACGTTTGATTGATGCGGCAAATAGTCAATGAGACAAATCTGGAATCAAACTGTGAACTTATGAAGCTGTTTCATTCGGTTTGTTCAGCGTTTTCTGTAAATTACAGCCTTAAAGTTAACAATCAATAATATATAACGCCCTTAATATGCTACTTGCAGCCTTTTTTGGTATAAATAAATCATGACCGCATTAAATATGAAACATACACTGTGTTTAACTAGAACAAACAAATGAGATTAACACTGAGCAGACAATCGGCCTCCACTCTGTGTGTGTTTGTAGGATTTATTCACAGAGAGAGGCTGAAAATTAACAAAGAGGCCCGCGCTGATAGATGTCCGTCATGTGGTCACACTTATTTCAAGACAGCGGTGTTTATCTGCAGGGCTGCGCGTGTGCGTGTGTTAATGTGTGGATTGCACTTGTAAGGAGGATTACGAGGATCAAGAAAGCAGCCTGGGAGATATGGATGAGACGGATCAGAATCACTTTCATACACTTTGTAAAAACAGAATTGTGAAGCCGAGGATTATCCCACAAAGAAATCTCTGGAGGGAAATACCGAGCGAAGCAAATGTGGTAGCAAGGATAAGATCAAAAACCTGACAACTTACTGAAGCACTAATAGACGTAACAAAGAAATAAACAGCTGTAAAGTCAGTTTAGACGGATAATAAAGTGACATTTGGACAGATGTTTGCAGAAGAAGAATACAAGAGCTCCATATGCATGAGCAGTCTTTACAGAGGTCTATATTTCAACCTGCAGTTAGGGATCATTCTGGATAAGTGAGGTGGTCAATAACAGGACTACGACATGTCAGTGCCGGCTGTTGGTGTCGCCCACATCTTACATAGAATGGCGTGTTTTTGCAGGCTGTGATTGCGAACTACCACATAGATGGGTCAGCATTAGGGCTGGGCGATAAACCAAAAATTTACAGATACAGAAATTTACATTAATAACCAACGTCATTTTGCCCATGTCAATATATTTGGTGTCAAAAAAATAAGTAAAAGTTGGCATTGGATGTGTGTAGGAAGTAGGGCTGGAACCATATGCTTTTCTCCCAATTCGATTCTTTTATGATTTTTTAGATAAAAAAATGTGATATTTATGTGAATCGAGTTTTTCTCCCACCCTGAACTGAAATTTACAACAATAACCGACATCATTTTGCCCATGTCAATATGGTGTCAAAAAACAAAAAAATCAAAGTTGTTTTTGGATGTGTGTAGGTAGGCTATAGTCTCATGTCCCTTTAAGACGCTGTCCTACGTCAGAGACGTGACTCCACCCCATCCAGTCCATAACAAAGAGGGAAAAACAGGTGAGAAGATGGAGGACGGTTCAAAAGTTGTAGCGACTGTAGTAGACGAAGTTAATGTGGGAGGGGGTGAGCAGCTTGTGGAGTAGTTATCGTCCATTTATCGTTATCAAGGTAAACTGATCAATATATCCTGATATTGATTTGAGACCGTATCGCCCAGCCCTAGTCAGCATCCCATCTTATATTGAGTAGGTTCCTGATTTGATTCTGGTACAAACCAAGAGGTTCGTAGGTGAATGTGTAGATGGTCTTGTCCAGTTATTGGTTAATTAGCGATAAAGCATAAACAATTATTTATCAGACTTGTGAACAACAGGTGACCTGACCTGGGTCTACTGCACCCATCACTCCCAAGTCCTGCAAGTCTGTTAGGAGTGTGAATCATGAAGTCCATGATACCGGACATCTGGTCCTCGAAATCGCTCCTTGTCCATCATCTCAGCACATTCAGCTTCGAAATCGTTGATGTTTTTCTCCGTCTGGGTCACAACGAGCTTCCTGGAGGAGCAGATCTTATCCTCCACTGTGTTTCCAGAGAGTGAAAAACACTTCAGATAGTTGAACCTCTTTATTTGCTCCTCACTCTCAGAGAAGATGCTCCTCCTCAGGCAGGTAGTCTTGATATGATGATGATGATGATGATGACTCTTACTGTCTGATGGTGGACTCCTCTAGGGTACCCCTCTCAGTGCAAGCTGGTTTTCTTCCAGTCCCTCCCCCAGTACGGATGATGGACTGATGGACGTTGACCTTGCATGTCTTCCCCTGTCATGATCACTGTGGCCTCTTGTTGCATAACTACAATCATGTGCATGAAAGCAGTTATGAGATATTCTTGATATCAGCAGTGCAGGAAGATACTGAGGGGACTCTGCGGTTTGTTATGATGAACCCCTGCAGACTCGGCCACCATTAAATAATCATACTGCATCTTAAATATGTAGATTTAAAACCTAAGTCCGCTTTATTGCTGCTGCTCAGTTTGGAGATTATGCAAAGGCTATTCCGCTTCTTATTTCTCGAAAAGTGGAGTACCCACGGGAACAAATAAGTGCTACTTCTGTGGTCTGGGGTTCATGAACATTTCCGTTGAATTCAGGATCTGATCCCTGGAAAAATGGGGACACTGCTGCAGCAACAACAAAACAACAAAACAAAAAAAGACAGACGGCTTTTGCTTTTGAGCCAGACAGGGAAAACACAGGCTCATTGTGCGGCGATGAATGAAAAACAAAGCGGCGTGCATGTACAGTGTCGTTACTTTAAAGGGTGTTACGCTCAAGTACACTCCAAGTGTGTGTCTGTCTCTGTAGACACACACTCACACACACAGAGGCAGCAGCAGCGGCAATCTGCAGCTCTGTCACTATCAAACTAATCCCTAATGCGACATCTTAGAGCACATTAAATACTGTTATATAATGGGAAAACACACACACACACACACACACACACACACACACACACATACGCACGTGCGCTCACACACACTCAGCCCCCTGTCAGTTTGTGTTGTCCTTTTTGTCTCCCTCTGTCCACGCTGCTCTGTTTACACACAAACACATGATGCACATGTTCTGTATTGTTCTCTCTGCAGCCTCCTCCTCTTATGTTTGTGTCTGTTTATCTGTGTTAGTGTGTCCCTCAGCTATAGATATAAAAGATGTTTGTGTGGATCACAGCTCGATAGGAATCCAGTGCTAAGTAAGGGCCTGCAGGGTCACACAGGTGGATGTGCAGGTCGCACATGACAGAGGCTTTACTCGTCTCCGTCACCTGAGTATAAGCGAGCTGTGGCAGCGGTTCAAAACCGCGGAGATCCGGGGAAATCCTGGTGACCAATCAAAGGATAATGAAGCCGGAGTGACCCGGAGGACTGCGGTTTGATTTTGGATTCCCTGGGAGGCTTAACTTTATTCCTCTGGGGTTTTTTGATCATATTTTACTTTAAGTCTTAAGCCTGAAAAATCTGGCTGCAGTGAAATATTCCACTCACATCGTTTGTCAAAATGAATTCATAACTAATCTTTCTTGACTGGGTTTACATCTAAACGCAAAAGAGAGCAAAAGCAGGCAGAAGGTAGTCAGATAAAATTTATCTCCTGATTTCCAGTAGGGGGCGATATGATGATGATTTATTTGATCCCGTTAAAGAAGATTTTTGATCAAAAATTTTTACTTCAGAGAGTCCCACTCCGATCGTTTTTACTACCGTATTTTTCGCACTTTAAGGCACACTTAAAATTTGTTTGGCTTGTCGGAGCACTGCAGCTAGCTTAGCCTTGCAGAGTTATTGAATGAGTTAAATAAAGTTTGACTTATCTGACTGTTTTGTTTGACTTAATGCGCTTTATAATCTGGTGCGCTTTATGTATGAAAATAGATACGAATAGACGTGTTCATCGATGGTGCGCCTTGTAATCAGGTGCACCTTGTAGTGTGAAAAATACGGTTCTTGAAGTGTTGTCAGTGGTCTTTAAATTATGGAGTTTTTAGCCAAAAACACGTTACTTGTTTCGTTTTAAGGACTTTTCTTCAGAGCTTCAGTAGCTCATTAGTAATTCACCTCTGAGTCGTGGGCGGAGACAGCGCTGCTCTGCACACTCATCTTTACGCTAGCTTACAGCTCAAAGGTCCTTTCACACCAGGAGCGTTTTTTTTGTGCGATTATTTTGGACGCAAATATTTTTTTTTCAAACCCGTATCCTGTCAATACAAGTGTTTATATCAGTGACGTTTTCCCATCCTGCGATTTTGCGGCTATTTTTTTTTGCATCACAGTTGATTTTTCTAAAGTTTCCCATACTGTGTGTCCACTTCTGACCAATCAGATTGCATGTCGTTGCAATGTCAGATTCACAAGTATATCCAACCGGCTGATTGTTTATGTGTCAGAGTACAGAGTGCTTTTTGATAAAAGACACAAACATTACAAAGATAACGACCTGAAGGACAACTTGTGGAGAGTCAAAGCGTTGGATTTCGTCAAAATTGGCCTCCGAGTATTGCATTATCTCGCATGGTATATTTGCGCCATTCCACGACCTTTACATTGTCGGTGTTGTAGAAGTGGCAGGTAACAAAGGAGCTATTCCGCTCTTGGACACTAATGTCTTTGGGGACATGATGAAAGTTAATATCATAATTAGCTTTCTTACTAGTATTGCAATCCGCTAACGCACACGCTTGTTCCGCGATCGACTTCTCTACTTTCCGAGTCTGGCCTGCATAGCGGGGCTTAGGGGGCGGAGCTTGGATTTGTGATGTAAGAAATCTCACTCTGTCTGAACCTGCAGTTTTGGGTTTGCCAGAGATTCACAGCGACTTGATTGCAGAAATACTCAGAAATGTTATTTCACACTTAGTTTTCTCATGAAATGTCCTGTAGAATCAAAAAAATGCCACATGAACATGTAGACAACAAGAAAAACATGATTTTCATCGGAGTGGGTCTTTAACTATGTTTTAATTTTGGCAAACTTTAACTCATTATTAGGTTTATACTGCTGTGAAAAGCCAGAGTGAAGCCTCTATGGAATTTACAGTGAAACTGAGACTAAACCAAAACACTGTTATTTTGCTGATACATCCTAACAGATCTATTTAAATTTGCTTTTAATATGAACACATATCTATTCCTTGCTAACTGGACTGCAAACAATGCAACGAAACAAAAAGACAATTATTGACACAGCAGATAGGGTCCAAATTTAGCCCTACATCTAATCCATCTCTATTTTTGTAAACAGGGCTCTACAAACACGACAAAACTCAGTGCACTTGACATTTTAATAATAAGCAGAGAGTTCATAAGAGGATAAGATCTTGACTGTTCAGAAAAGGGTAGACAAACGATCATTAAAGTCGGCATTTCTCTGCTTCATTCAAGCGTGAGTCTTAAAAAATCACAAAAAAAGATCCGAAGTTTGACCCACTTTACTCCACAGTCTTTGACTCAGAAACAAGAGCGTTTTAGGTAGTGACAGCTGAGTCAGAGGGGGTAAAGAAGCAGATATTATTCTTAGCCGGAGCTGCTGAAAACAAACAAAAAACAAAAAGAGGAGTGGAGAGGAAGGCGATTATTGGAGAACAGTAAATACACAGACACAACAGGAGAAGGCCAGCTTTCTTTTAGACTCTGGTGATACTTAAAGGTCTGATTTCACCAAACTGGAAATAAATGATGAGGTCTTAAAATCAGGGTCTCCTGAGCTGCACGAGTCCAGCTGGCTGACTCACAGAGTCAAAGTAAGATTAGGATCCAGAGGCCGGCAGCGATGATGCCAGATCGTGGAGGGATGAGTCTTTGTTAAAAGCTTCTACATTAAGTGCCAAAAATCCTCCGATCGCTCACTTATGAACATTTAAATCAGAGATAATGAAGCGATTTCTTTAAAATGAGCAGAACAAACGAAACAGAAAAGAAGTTGTTGCTATTTTCACAGTTTAAGGACAACAGAGGAACGTGGGAATCTGTGCGAATCACTTTAAGATATATCGACTTTATTCTAACATTTTGACTTTAATTTTTCTCCATGATCATCTTTCCTTTTTTTTCTTGTTTAAATATTTTTTATTTTGCTCTTTTCTTAAAGTCATGTTTCTTAAACGCTGTGTGAAGCTCTCACCAATCCCGACGTCTATTTCTGCACATTAGGATATTGCAGCATTTTTCCCTCATCATTATTTTTGCATAATGTTATTGCAGTGGTTGAAAATTGTCCATTAAGCGCGCACACAGTCCAAGTTTTCTTCTAGTGTTAACAACTTAAGTGCAAAGATTGATTTAATGCAAACACTCGTCGTCGTTTTGGATGTTTTCTGTCTGAGTTCCTCCTCCTCCTCCTCTGGACTGGTCTGCTTTCAGAACCAGGATCAGAGTCTTCAGGCTTCAGACCTCTGATCCTGGTTCCTGCTGCTGCTGCTGAAGACCACATCTGACCCCAGGAAGGCAGAGCAGGGGTCAAACAAGAGGAAGGGGATTTAATGGTCAGAGATCAGGACTTGAAGGTCTCTGGGACAGATGGGAAATAATCTTCAGACTAGAAAACGCTGCTGGAGAGTCCTTGAGGTGAAGTCCAACAAGGACGTGTTAACTCACGTGTTGATACGGCACGGCCTGTCGTGGTTGCATGTCAGTCAAATGTCTCTTTAGAAGCTGAAAAGACGATGGAAGGATGAGCGGACCACCTGGTTTTTACAATAAATGTTAAAATGGACAGTTATTTAGAAACATGGCGCCAATTTCCAGCATGAATCAGGGACTCTGAAACCAAAACTTTGCCTTCAGAGTCTTTGAAATGTTGGTGATGGTGCTGCTGCTCTTCTATCACTGAAGCAAAGTGTAAAAGATGAAATTATTGATCCACGTGGAGAAAACTGGGACACTTGAGAGTCAGGAGAGGACAAGGAGAAGAAGCCAAAGAGAAGAAATCTGAGGTTAGATGTCATTACTGCCACGCTTGATTCCTCACGTTTTCACATGCACAGATTATCGCTCATCTCTCCAGACTGAAACATGGAACGACTTTCAAATCTGCACTCTGAGGATTTAAGGGAGGATCCGAGCTTTGGGTGACTCCCTGCAGCTTAAACACTAATTTAGGAGGCGAGCGGCAGCAGAGGCAGATTAGAAACAAGCAGCGGGATGAGATAAACGTGCGGCGACACTGTGCGAGGCGGGGAGACTTTAGGACCCCTGGAGCTCGTCTGATCTGAGGTTTGATCCCACAACGGCTGCATTTAGAGTCAATAACTGCTATAATAAGACGGTGATTAGTCTGGATCAATCCATGAAAGGGCAGCGAGAGTGCAGCGAGTTAACAGAGTAAATGTAGGAATCCTAAACTTTCACAGTGAATGTTGATCATTTCATTTCCTGAAAGCACATTCAGGGAGACTACGGGTGCAAACAAACGACCTTTTGAGATATGCTGTGAATTCAAAACCACGTGAATAAACTCAAAATAAATAAACCAACATGGAGCAAAATCCTCTGCTGCAGCTGTGTGACTCCTTTTATGTGTTTTTAATTTGACTTTGTTTTTCTATTTGCATTATTTTGTATTTGTATTGTTGTTGTTGCTTCATTTGCAGGATGTTTTTCCTCATGAAGCCGGTTTGGTTTGGTTGCTGCATGATTGCCTCTGTTGGCCCATATGTAACTCATAAATTCGTAAAAGCAAATGGTAAATAAACGTAAATCCATTAGAGCTCAAAGTTTCGTGAGTAAATGTCACATAAAAAATACATTAAAAAATTAGAGCTATAGAAAGAGACAAATCTTATCTAGGTTATGTGAAGTGCTGGAACAACACACACTCATGGATTTAGATTTGTGTGTATGTGTGTGTGTTTGTGTGTGCTCGTGATTTTAAACGTTTTGGATGTGATCCTTAATCTGGGGTTAGAGGGCGCTGTAATCTGGCACAGCATCTTTATTCACATTTCAGGACTTTGGCTGAGCTGATATCCTGTAACTCTGCCAATAACACCAAAGATGACAGACAGTTTTTCTGGAAACAAAACAAAAATAAAATAAACAATAATAATAATAATAATAATATAAAAAGAAAGAAAAACTGAAGGAATGAAAAAAATATTTAAAAAAATCGCTGGAGAAATGAATATCAGACAGTTAAAAAGGAAGTTTCACCCACTTATGTAAAGTTCAGTGATGGAGTTTGGACATTAAATATCAAGCAGCACACCATGTGGAAATATCTATCTCTATCTTGTGGTCAGTAAGTGGTACTGCAACTCAAATCTCAACTTCCACCTTAATTCACAGGAACAAATTACTATCAGCACTTGCATAGTTTACATAATGGAAATAAATGAAATAAACAGCACTGCGATCAACTTTACAAACTAAACTAAAACTATACTAGTTTTATAAGCATTAGTATTATTAGTTCTGGACTATAGTTCAGTAGTCTGGTCCAATACATCACAAGAAAATATAAATAAGTTACAAACTGTACAAAACAGAGCAGCAGGAAGAGCTCTGAATTGCATTTTTAGAACAAATACCACAGTCAAGTATAACAGTCTGGGCTGGTTATCAGTTAAAAAAAGATTATTGTATTCACTGCTAGTGTTCTTTAAAAACATTCTGACAACAATTTTGTATAAAAATGTAAATTTAAGTTCAGATAAACATAGCTATGTCACCAGACATGTGACTAGAGGAAGACTTACACAACCAGAAACAAAAACAAACATAATAAATTCAAGTATGGAACAAACTACCAGAAAATATTACACAAGAAGAGAGTGTTTGTATGTATGTATATGTGTGTACATATATATGTGTATATATGTATATATAGTATTTACATGATATTTATATACTATACATAACTGCTGACTCAAGAGCTATCTGTAATTGTTTATGTATTGTTGTATTGTGGATTTGTATGTATTCTGTGTTTATTTGTTTGTGTTTAGATTATTTATTTATTATTATCATTTTTATTTTATTGATACATTTTTTTCCACATGGGGCGTTTTATATATGAGATATATGCATTGATATATTGTACGTTGGCTTAAAGACCCCAGGAAGGATATCTTAGGCTCGGCCAAGGCTAATAGGGATCCCCAATAAAATAAATAAAATCAACTCAATTATTAATATCATGTAAACTGACCCTGCCGGGATGATTTGGATTTGTTCCAAAAACAAATTGAATTTTGATGATAGTGCGTTTTATCAGCCAGACCAGATGGTGGCAGCAATGAGTCGAACCAACCAGCAGGAGGAAGGACAAAGAAGTCACCATAACACCCGGTGAGCTGTGTAACAGAAGCTTTTCTTCAATATTCTCCACTGTTGTGTTTGTCTGTCCTCTGTAGAGTGGGTTTCACTGAATGTCCAGCAGCAGTTTCTTAAATCTGTCATCTGTGAGTAAAGCCATCTCACACTGTCCCTGTTAAAACAAACAAACTAAACTCTCACCTGCGTTTTTCCAACTCCATCCACAATCCCACTCTCTCACCAGAGTCCCCAAACAGACCAAAAACTCTAAAGAAAAGGAATAAACTTCTTGATATTGATTCAAAAAGTTGCAGAAATGTTGCCCAGCTTCTCATCATGACATTTTTTCCAATGAGAAATCATTGTTGCTTTAGATTAAAGGTGCATTATGGAGCTCGTTTTGATTGTGTATTCAGCAGTTTCATCAGGATACGACCCCATCTATGTAAATCCTGAACATTTTTGACCTCTAATAATTAAGTCTATATGTGACTGCTTGAGGAGCACATACCGCTACTGGGTGTTTAACTTGAGCAGGTATATTCCTTGTAGTGTTGTGTCGTTTGCGAACGATTTGTTCAAAAGAACTGAATCTTTTCAGTGAACGTACTGAAGTGATTTGTTCGTTTCTCACTTCAGTTGAGCTGTCAGCAGTGCAGCTGGTAAAGCACGCAGCATTGCCAGGCAAGCAGCCAGAGAACAAGGGACCGCATGAACCGACACCTGAATCACTTTGTACACAAATCATGCATTGAACTACACTCTCTGGAATCATTTATTCAGGCAAAACATTTTTTTTAACTGCTAAATTGAATTGTGTATCAGTTCAGGAGGTCGGTGTCGCAGGCCCCTTCTGCCAAGCACTGTATGATTTGATGATTCGGTAACTGAATCTTATGAACGAATCTTTGTAGTGAACTCATTCTAGTGATTCAGTACATCTAAAAGAACTGCAGTGCCCATCACTAATTCCTTGGAAATGCACTTGCTTGCAATGACACTCAACATCCTCTAGAGGCCAGTATGTGACTGCAGGCTTTACTGTTCCAAGCCTGGTCTCTGGTTTTATGTATTATTCTAATTTAACAGCTTTCTGATGCGTTGTAAGTTTTTAAAGATAGTAACTGAGACTATCATGTAGAAAAAAACTGGTTTCACTGATTTACTCTCTGCGCATGTCCTGATATGAACATTGTCTTTAGGTTTTTATGATCTATGTCGTACTTTATAACTTAAAATGTAATTTAAAAAGTTCTATTTGAAACTTTTTACACTTACATATTGGAATTTTTTATCTGATCCATTGAATTTCCCCATTTTTAAGAGGATCCTCGCTGTTTTTCCTCATTGTAATGTCCTCGCTTGGCCCACGCACACTCCTGGCTGGGTCATGCTCCGGCTACAAGAAAAACTCTGCACACCCTTGTCCTTGTGCAAACTTTACTCGCACCTGATTGGTTCATTCTCAACCAGTGAGGGTGGGGCATGGTCGTGGTTAATTAGCATACCTATCCAGCTCAATAAATGTGCCAGCAGCTTCACCTGATGCTCCGAACAGCATCAGGCACTCAAAGCGGAAAAGAGAGGAGAGGAGAGGGACTTCGGCTCAAGTGCATGGACCAAGAGTCGAGCACAGTGGAGGTAAAACAAAGGTCTGGAAGAGACACTTCAGCCAAGTTCACTCACCTCTCAGAGACGCTCTCAGGTCCGCTCACCGCTCACCGGTCTGTGCGTAAAAGCGCACGGACGAACCAGAACCTCACGCGTTCCAATCCAGGGAGACCTTCCTCCAGCCCTCGACAATCAGCGTCGATCTGAGACACCCCTGCGGGCTCGGTTCTGCTGAGAAGTGAAAAACCCAATCCAGAGCTCCGGGTCCCCCATGAGGCTAGAGGCCGCAGCCAGGATGGATCTGATCAGGAAGCTGTGGAGGGCGAGGAAGCTGATCCTTGTGGTGCTCATCCCGCTCTCTCTGCTTCCCTTACCGCTCATCCACCCCACCAGCGTGAGTACAAGGAAATAAAACACCATTACTATCATAAAATAAAGTATATCCAAGCTTTAAAAAGGACAGGAAGTTTAATTTTACCATGTTTTCCAAATTAAGAGCGCACTAAAAGTTACCAAGACGTGAAAGTGCGAAAGGTAAACAATCTTAGCGAGCTGAACTCTTAACTTTTGGACAAATTAATGAATCTGAACATGGCAAATGAAGATATTTAAGTCACTTATTGGCTGTAATAAGTCTAACAGATGGACTTTAAGACTTTTTAGAGCTAAAAGAGATGTAGGTGTCATGTTATAAAACTAGCTCTTAACTGCAAGACCTCTACTTTCCAATCCAAGAAGCAGAAATTGATAATAAACCAAAAGCGTAACTCTTTTCTTTATTTTAGCTGTGAAAAAATATAATCTTTATTTACAACCGGCATCGTTATGGTTAAATACCTCCGAGAAATCCACAGCTGCAGACGACAACAAAACATCCAGCTGATCGGTTCTTGTTCCTCCTTGTCGCTTTCAGTGGATTCCCTGATAGGATTTGGTGCGCTTGTGTGTGTTTGTGTACGTGTGTGTAAGTGTGTGTGAGAGAGAATCAATCAAAAGGCTGACTGTCCTCTGTTCTGATGAGTGCTTGTCCCGGTCATCAGCTGAGCCGTGTGTGTGGAGAGGAGATGTCGCGACATGTTGATGAGATGGAGATCAGAGTATCAGACGTGGTTCTCATAGGATCATGTTTTACAGTTTTCTGTGAGAGCCTCAGACAAAAGAGGAGAGATCCTGCCAGCTGTTTTTATGTGTGTCTGTTGTGTCAGACTTCCTGATTCAGAGGAATTTAGTCAGAATCATGTTTGTTGAGGCTCAGACCTGTGAGATTTGTCTGGTTTTAATGTCAGAAATCTGCTCAAACCCGCTCAGATGTTGCCTGTTGAAGTGACATCCTTGCTGCTGTGTCATATCTCCAGGAAAGCTGTGCTTGGATTAACTTTCCCGGCTCCGGGTTATGACAAACATGAGGATGAGCAGAATTCAAGCCCCATAATTCTTCTTTTAGTCATTTTCTTGAGTGTGAAGTTAAAAGAATCCACACAGCAGTTTCAGTATAGAGCATTTTGACAAAGAGTTAAAAAGTTGCTTCATAATAGCACAAGTTTGGACAGTGAGTGAAGAACTAGTTGTGTGTTCAAAAGTATGTAATTCCTTGTTAAACTATCACCTCTGCCAGTAAAGATGTATCAGGTAGAAATCAAGAAAGGTAATTAAATGTTTAAACGTTCACGTTCAGTTTGGGAAACACTTTATCCACAGATGGATCGATTTTGAAAATCAGAGCCAATATATCAAAGTTTGGAATATCACTTAAGAAGGTTATCGATTTCAACACCAAACCTTTTTGCATTATGGTTAGTTAAAGTGCAAAATAAAACAAGATCCAACAAGTTATGATACAATTATGTACGATAAAGTGTGACGATATCTGATTTAGTTATGATAGAATTCACTCTTAGACGTACATTAAAGCAAATCAAGATGATATTTCATTATTCAGTTCAATACGATATGATAAAGATGATATATGAGAAGTTATGAATTACAACACAAGATATGATATAACAAGATTTGAAATAGTAAGAAAGGATGCAATTTAAAGAGAAGTGATAAAATGTGATATTATAGGAAAAATATTAAGATAAAACCATTTAAGATGTAAATGTTCTTTATTTATACAGCCCTTTACAACAACTCTTTCAGTGAACCAAAGTGCTTCACAACACAGAGAAAATAACAATGAATAGATAAAAACAACAAAAGCAATAAAAAAAGAATAAAATACAATGCAATAAAATAAAGCGTCATCACGTTACTGAGTATTAAAAGCCAGCAAAAGATGAAACAAGATGAAACAAGTAGTCTCTCCAGGTATAACCTTTCAAATCCTCTTTAAAGCATCTCTGACAAACAACATCGAAGACGGTGAAAGTCTCCCATCCTGACATTTTCTCTCATATTTAACAATAAAATATTTTAGTTCATCCTGCAAAAGTTCACTCTTAACACTCCAACATTTAAACTGATGCGGTAAAGATGATAAAATTCTGTAAGATCCTGATAAATAAAAGTTACTAGATACAGGTAGCTGTAATATATGTTTATTTTTGTTTCTAGATGGTATGGCAACTTCCTTAAAAATCATCCACAAAGGCAAGAAAATAAAGTAAACAATCAAAAAGACGGAGTTATATGTGAAAGAAACGATCATAAAGTGCTGTGTAGTCATGGTAAACACTGAATACTTGGTAGAGGTAGATACTCCGATGAATACATGCACGGTCACATGTTCGCTGACGCATCACAAGTATTAACTTTCATCCATTTTTTTTCACAACCCCATCCCAGACAACAATAGCACAAGTTGTGACAGGTGTGTGTGCTATTGTGTTATAAATGAGCTCCTCTGTGTGGCGACTGTTTGTGCTTCTTTTAACATCATTAATATTCAAACGACGTGTTACGTGAGCTCTCGGCCAATCACACCGTGTCCCCAGGAAACTAGCTGTTATGTCAGGACCGGCGGGTGTTTGGCGAGAGTAGGCGGCGCAGGATGAGGCCAAGAAGGAACAAAAGTACCAAAACTCAAAGAAAGGAAAAAGAAAGAAACAATCCAGGCAATTATGTAGTTATGTAATCAACCAACCACCACGCTGGATTTGGGCCCCCATGCAGCTTCCTTACGACATCAGGGACCTCAGACTGTGTCAAGAATGTGTCGGGTTCAGAGTGTGTGTGGAGCGGTACTGAGTCCAGCTGCAGGGAGACGGAACATCTGTAGGATGGAGTCAGGCGAGGTCAGAGAGGGACGAGAAAGACAGTCAAGGACGATATATGGACGTGTATTAGGGATGGGCGACATGGGCAAAAATAATTATAACGATAAGATTTGCCATTTTGGCGATAACGATCAAAGTCCCGATAAAAAATAATATAATTCCAATCTATATTTTTGACTCATTTTGTCTAGAAGTCAAATAAGATACTTGTAGCGACTGCTTTCCTTCAACAAAAAGGCCGCTAGGGTTTAGGTGCGCTTGCATCTGCGACTCGTTAATTTATCAGTCCGGTTGAGAGTTAAAGGTGATTTATGTTCTAAAGGAAAGAAAACTTACAGTCTTACACTGATCCAGGTCCAAACTTTTAAGGGTGAAAAAGGATGAGTGAAAAGTGAAAATTATCAGAGCTTACCAAAACCCATTGTCTCTGTCTACCCCAGTGTTTTTAAAGAACCTGCCAAACATCACAAAACCTCAGTGTCGATTCCTGGAAGTGACGTACCTAGTAGAAATCAAATCATCAACAAATATATTTTAGCTCCTACAATACTCAACCACAAGTTTGGGTGGTAGGTTATAGAGAAAACTAATGACATTAAAAGAAGTCCGAAACGTGAAAACACTTTCACCATTTGTCGAAAACTCTTATTGCACAGAGTGAACAGCAGCAGATCCACAGTCTGATGTCAGGCGTACTTGATTTCGATCGTCTAAAACCCAATCTTGAAGGAAATCCCTCATGTGGAGCCTCGTTCAGTAACCAGCTGCTATGAAACGTCTTCTTCATTACCCTCAGTTATGTTTGTTTGTTATTCTGATCTGTGTGGGCTTTGGCTGTGAGTCCGTCGCTTGCGCTTACTTCATAGCATTTATCACGACATAGCAAATATTTATCATGGAAGATTTTTCTGACGATATATCGTGATTGAAAATTTATCATCCATCCCTAACGCATGCTTGTATAGGACTCTATTATTCCATAGCAACTAATCCCATTCATATACATTCACATAGGGCTGGGCAAAGTGGCCTCAATTCAATTTCACGACATATTGATCAGTTCACCTCGATAACGATAAATGGACGATAACTACTCCACAAGCTGCTCACCCCCTCCTACATTAACGCTACAACTTTTGAATATAGACAGAATATACCGGTATGGGCAAAATGTCATCAGTTATTGTTGTAAATTTCAGTATCGGTAAATTTTCAGTTTATCGCCCAGCCCTACATTCACACATGTCCAACCTTGGCTTTTGTATCACTTTGTCCTACGACCTGGACTCCAAACTCCCTAACTGAGGGTCGACCAACAATGTGATTTATGGGTTTCTGTGTTGGGTTAGAGTTAAGGTCTGAAAAAGAGGCCCCTATGGAAACGAAAGTGAGTCAAAGTAAAGTCCCCTCTGCCCTTTCCTGATTGGTTTATTGAATATATGTTTTGCCTAAAAGCGGTGACCTTAAGTCACTTTGTGTTTCCTGAATACCGTTTCCAAAGCTGTGCACAGATAAGAGCGGGATGATTAGACAATCAATGAGCTTCTGTTACGTGTTGAGACAGAAATTGGCTCGTCAGCTGACAAAGGAAAAATCCCTCGTTGACAAGAAAACCATCAGGAAACAGTCAAAGTCCTGTCCACTCTCGAGCCAATCAGAATCCTGCTTGGCATGGGTTAAGTGTCCTTCGGTGAGACACTTAACCCAACACCGCCCCCGGCTGCTCTGCCAGCGGCGTGTGAATGGGAAGTCAATGCTGATTGGTGCTTCACAAAGACGGCTCTGCAAACAGTGAATGGTCGTGGTGTGAATGGGTGAATGTGACTTGTATTGTAAGTGCGCTTTAAGCGGTCAGAAGACGAGAGAGAGAGAGAGAGGGTTATATAAACGCAGTCTTTACCACTCACCATGAGATGACTGGGAAAGACGTGCTTGTTGCGGAGAGCTCCATTAGGTCTGAGACCTCTAAACCCGACTGTGTTGATGAAGTGCGGCCTGCTGGGTAACAGTCACACGCAAACACTGTCCGTTTCACCTCAGGCAGTTCAGCATCACATTCTTCCACCGCCTTTAAAAATCAAATGAACTTTTGCCTCGTTTTTTTTTTTTTAAATCCCTAAATTTTCTTGCTTGTCAGAGCAGCTGTTAACTCTTAGTCATCCACTCAAATCAAAGTAAACTAAGGTCTGTCTTAAAGCACACGCTGCTTTGGGTTTCCTGCAGGTATTGGATTCTGCTCATCGACACGTCACAGTATTAAGTCTGGTTATCTCCAGGGTTATATCAGCTGTTAGCTTGTTCCTGTCCTTCTGCTTACCCGGCACTTTGGCTCTGAGGTGAAACACCGGGGTGCGTGTTTGAGCATCTGAAGACCTTGTGCAGCAACTATCCCCTGATAAACAAAAGACCAATATTCAATGATCACTTACTGCAACCCTCAGTTTTTGTTTATCTCTGCTTATCTGTCTGTTTGTTCTCAGTCCTTTTATGCAACCTCTCATTTTCTCATGGTCCGTTCTGGTCTCCTAGATTTAGTTTGACAAAGATAACGTTCCTATCAGGCTGTGAACAGCTGATAGAGAGTAAAAATGAACATCCAGTTGATTCATGACATTAAAATACAGGCTTGAAAGGATTCACCTTGATTTTTTTAACTGTTTCCATTCTAGGGCTGCACGATTGATTGATTTTAAATCGTAATCAGATTATTTGATGATGAGGATGTTAAAAAAATTAAAGTCGTCAAATCGATTTTCCTCTCTATCATTTCTCGCACCTCCAGGCCACTGTAAGCTTCCTCTTTCCTGCGGGGGCGCTCCCCAGTTTTCACACACACCAGTGTAAACAAACATGGCGTTGGCAAAAGAGGGCGATAATTTCGTGGAATTGGTTCGGCTTCGCAGTTTCAGATGAAGAGCAAACCACTCCCCGCTGCAAAGTCTGTCTGAAGGCGGTATTAACCCGTCCACACGGAAACAAACTCAGGAGTAAACGCAAAAGTTTTTTGTCGTATTGGCGTTTCATCCACACGGAAATGGCGTTTCGGGTGCCTGTAAACGGTACTTTTTGAAAACGGGTCAGAGAGTGAATAAATCCTTAAACGACGACCATTTCATCTCTGTGTGGATGTCCATCTACATCTCTCTAAACTCTTTTATGGCGGCTGCGCATGTCTGGTGAAAAACAACCTTTATACGCATGCTCTGTACTCTTCTTCTGTCTTTTGTGCATTTTCCAGGCAGTGTTACAGCGCCACTTACTGGCTTGGCATATGCACTACATCGTTTTCAGTGGTTTCGTTTTGAGAGATGATAGAAAAAAGTGAAGTTTGAAGAAGTCACTGAATAAAAAATCAAAAAACGAAAATCGGGTTTCAGAGAAAAAAAATCAGGATTTTATTTTTGGCCAAAATCGTTCAGCCCTATTCCATTCACACAAAACATGTCAGGGGTTATTCGGTTGTATGAAGTACACGGCTAACTTGGAACTATGCATCCTAAACAGCAGTGAAAAATTTAATTGAAGTGCATAAACCTATAGGAAATTATTGTGAGCTTACATGGCACCAAGAGTGCTCCAAAAACCTGAACCCATGGCTCTGTTAGCCTAACTCTGTATGTAAAGAGCAGAAAACCAGCCCTCATGGTCTCACTCGACTGAATCTCGAATGTGTCCTGAGAGGATTGAAATAGTTGTAACATTTTCTTTGGCATGAACCTCTTTGATTATGAACCCAAACACCTTGTTCTGTTCAGCTCAGCCTAATCCAACAACTCTGCCCACTGCCTGGAAATTCCTCTTTTTTCCTGCCAAGGTAAATCCTCAGGAGACCCAAGAGAAAGGCACAGAGTGTGGCTTTAGAGTGAACGGTGACAAAACCCCCAGTGAGGAACATTAACACCTGTCCTCTCTTTGAGTTTGCTTCTTCTTGATTTCATTGGTCTCTTTGGATTCATTGGTTTGTTTTAGTTGGTGTAATGGAGCCATCCTTAACATGTTTACCCCACTGGACCTCCAAATGTTGGAACTGAATTTATGACTTTTAGCTTTTAAGGTAGATTTCAGTTCTTGAGTGTCTTTAGAGAGCATGTTGACATCTACTCTGCTTGACGTGTGAAGGTGTTTTGCATCAAGGCATCAGCAGCAGATCGAGCAGATCCTCAAGTCCTGGTGGTTAAGAGGTGGACTTGGTTAGAGTATCCTGTTTCTGCTCAAATGGACTGAGGTCTAAAAAGTTTTAAAGTCAGGTCAACACCCTAAACTTTTTGTGTTTCTTTATGTTAGGTCTGTTCGGTGTTTCCTGTCAGAATGATTATAAACTTTTCTGCCGTTCGGGCTTCAGTATTTCTTCTACTGGGACAAATTTTGCCTCCCATGCACATCATGATCCTCTCACTGGTTCACTGCTATCCTTTGATCATTTTTGGTGGATGCCGACTAGGGCTGGGTGATAAACCGAAAAATTTACCAATATCAAAATTTATGACAGTAATCAACATCATTTTGTCTAAAAAAGTAAATAAATAAAAGTTGGTTTTGGATGTGTTTAGGTAGGCTATGGTATCATGTCCCTTTAAGACGCTGAGGCCATATCGCCCAGCCTTAATACCTACGTCTACCTACTGTGTCTACCATACATTTCAGTGAGATGTCAGTCAGTCGAAATTGTAAAACAAAAACTTGCGATACTTATGTGAATCGATTTTTTTCTCCCACCCCTAGTAGGTAGGCTATAGTCTCATGTCCCTTTAAGACACTGTTCTACGTCAGAGACGTGACTCCACCCCATCCAGTCTGTAACAAAGAGGGAAAGACAGGTGAGGAGATGGAGGACGGTTCAAAAGTTGTAGCGGCTGAAGTAGACGAAGTTAATGTGTGAGGGGGTGAGCAGCTTGTGGACTAATTATCGTTATCGAGGTGAACTGATCAATATATCGTGATATTGATTTAAGGCCATATCGCCCAGCTCTAATACTGACTTCTGCAGACTGGGACCACCTCAAATCTGAGGACAAAATGCCCAGTTTCTGCCAACCAATACGACTCTCTGACAGGTCCCATTGTAAAAAGAAACTCAATATCACTCTCTTCATCTGTTAGCAGTCATATCAGTTTAAATTGATGCATTTCTTAATGTTTTAGCAAAGTTAGGGCAAAGCGAGTCAAGTGTTTTCTGCAAATCCTTTAAAGAGAAGGAGCTGAGTCACGGTTCCTCAAACTCTAAATTGAGATCATGAGTGACTTTAGGCTGCAGTTCTGTTTGCAAGCTTGTGTGATGTTCCTGTGGATCAATTAGAAGCTTTTCTTAAATTTTAAACTCAACTCTTTAACTTATGTAACCCCGCTCAGTCGTATCCCTCAGTCTTTGTGTTCCTCAGATCATAAGAACTTCTACTGGTGTTGCTCAGCTGGAGATCCTGGCTCTAGTCCTGAAGTGAACCCTAAAAACAGATCTAGATTTTAAAGAAGTGTACAAAAGCCTGTGAGGGCTCATGTGTCAAACACACAGCTGGTGATTTCTCCAAAGCCGGCGGGTTTTTGAATGTGAGATCTGAACAAGTCTGGGCATGCTTCATCCTGGAGCCCCGCTGCTAATTCTTCCCCCCTCTGGCTTTATTAATTTGAGATTAACTGACCTGTTACTGGCAAAACGTTACTCTGAATGTTCCTCTTACATAAAAGAAGTGCACGCTCACACAGCATGTCGCAGGAGTGGAAACTGTAGAGAAGAAAAACTGCTGCAAAAGCATAAATATGTGCAGTAATGTGACTCCTGACGTACCTTATCTCATTGGGAAACCTTTATAAAAACACATCCTCGGTCATTCTCACGAGGTCCAAGGAGTGTCACATGATCCCTCTTTGGTTTTTATAAAATCAGCGTTTGTCACTAAGCCTGTGAGGGCTGTGACAGAGCAGTTTGCATCACTGGTATGTTGATATTATATAACCATAACCAGATTAATGCAAAACCGTTGTTTGTGTTTTAGTTAGCGTGAGAAAAGCTGGATAGTGGGTGTGTGTACAGCCCAGTTAGACCCCCACTATGAACCACTCTCCCCACCACCCACTCCAGAGAGCACAAACACCACAATTATATAATAAAGATGATTAAAAATAACTTCTTTTATCAATTTGTGGTTGATTTTTATCCACTTTTAGTCACAGCAGGTCTCCTTATATCCCTCCTTACCTGGCCCCCCTGACATCTGGGCCACATCTACCCTGCAGCACACGTGCTACTACAGACAGGTTTGATTTCATGCCAAGTCTGGCCCCCTTAGCAATGACCGTAATCCAAGTCAGGCCAGGCTCATGATATATAGGCCACGTCTGGACCGAACAAAACCCACTGTATCCAAATTCAGGTCTGACTCATGGCATGTGGGCCATGTCTGGTGTTACTAACAAAGCTTTCAAGTGTCATGAACAAGCTTGAAGGACCAAAGGTGGTCCAGATTAGGTCCAAATGTGTCTGCTATCAGGAAATGTAAAAGACATAGATTGAACTTCTTCCTCTGTTGGGTCATTATAGATGATAAATGCTTTTCCTGTTTTCAGGAGGCCTGCTGTGCTTATGTGCTGATGGTGACGGCAGTCTACTGGGTGTCTGAAGCTGTTCCTCTGGGCGCTGCTGCTCTGGTCCCGGCCTTCCTTTACCCGCTCTTTGGGGTACTCAAATCCAGTGAGGTAAGTGTCAAAGTTTGAGGTTTTACTCATTGGTTTCATATTGAAAAAAATGCTCCAAAACTCCAACAAATTTTAGATTAATCTAGAAACAACAAAAGTAGATTTGAGGATATACAAAGTTTACACTCAAACAAAAGCTATAATGAGTCCAACTCTCAGCTAAATCAGCCATGAACCTAATTATGCATAACTCAGGGCAGATATAATCCCGATTTATTGGTCATAAGAAGTTTTTAAGATTAAAAAAATTAAGACAGAGAGCCAAGAACTTTTTCGACTGTTAAAATTGTACATTAATAGACAAAGTATGAAATCACAGTATGATGGAAAAGTCCCGTCAGGTTTTGGATTTATATCAATGCTGCATGTGAAGAGATGCACCTTTACTGGTGTCATCTGTCACAGGTAGAGATCCACATCCAGGCCACAAACTATCCTGGTTAGTCAAGAGCTATGAGGAGCATCTGTGATCTCCTTCAGTTGAGGCTTGGAGGCTGTATGAAGAGGCTGAGCTCTCCTGTTCTTTCAGAGTTTATTTGCTTTCTCTGATTTCTGTGAATCCTTGTTTTAATTTGAGCCAAATCTGAAGTTTCTTTATCATTTTAGTACAATTTTCGTTGACACTTTTCAGGAAATAAAACAAACAGTTTTTTTTTCGACTTTTGTTTGAAAAAGTGCAGTTTTGCATCTTAAAAAAGATTCCTCTTCTTCACCCTCCCATGTTCTTATTCATTGGGTTAAATATCAGTTTTTCAGGTTTGCACTGCCTGCATGATATGATAGTGTCAAACCACTGCTGACTCACTCTGGGTGAAAATTTTGAGAAATATTTTTACTTAGAAAAGAAAAAAAAATACTCTGAAAAAAAATAAAATCACTTCTGTTATTCAGAGTAATTTTTTTTTTGCTTTTTTGTTTTTCAGACTAATTGTTTTTCCTATTCTCTAGGATCATGATCATTTAAAAACAGACACTTTTATCCCCCTCTGCTCGATTTATCAGGAGCAAACATGGCCCACTCGTTTGGTTTAATCAAGTTTTAATTTCTTTTGGGTTTGAGACACTGAGAGATCCTCTTTTCTTGAAGTTAGAGAGATGGAATCGTCATAAGTTTGTCAACTTTGCGCAGACACCTCAGGATTTGCGTACCTTATGTTTAGCTAATAACAGGCTTTACTCTCATGACCCCGTAGTCAAAATTATCTAGAAGTTGGAGAATACGCTGATTTGAAACAGCCACAGTGGTTAATGGTATCTGATTGTATGAGATTCTCGCAGGGTTTTGAAGAATCTCATTTAGTCAGGAAAAAACATAGTACGAAAAACAGAGAGACGAAAAAAATTGTTAAGAAAAACAAAATAAAAATTTGTCCAAAAAACAGAAAGAGGGCAAAAAATATTAGTACAAAAAAAGAGGAAAAAAATAGTGCAAAAACAGAAAAAAAAATTGTCCAAAGAACAGAAAGAGGGGGGAAAATATTATTACAAAACTCAGAAAAAAAAAATAGTCAGAAAAACAGAAAGATGAAATAAATTACTCCGAAAAACAGCAAATAAGAAAATGCTAAAAAAAAAACAGTTTCCTTTTTTTTTTTTTTGTGTAAGTGAATGCAATACGCTTATGTGTGCCAAGAATTTGTGCTTCGGTATGAGTCGACTTTATCATATTTTGGCTTCTAAGGAGTAGATTTGAAGAGGACATAATCGCGAGTAAATTTCTCTCGCTGTAGATCATGGGAGAGTAAAGAAAAACGTCATTTAGGGTCAACCATGAGTCATGTTGGGCTTAACTAGCGGAACGACCGTAAACGCTGAGATATGTTGTTGTTGTTGTTGTTGTGGTGGTGGCGTGTTACTGTAGCAGTAGTAAGAGTCAGCTGATCCGATTTCTGTATATGCGGATATACAGTAAGTCCAGATCAAGAAGAAAGTGGGTGAAAGGCCTTTTTGTGCTCTGTCATGTGTGCTTAAAGCATGTGGGATGTGTTTAAGTTTCCATCAGAGCTTTACAAAGAGGTGTTACTTCATAAACTGTGTGTGCCCGTGTAAACAAGAGGCGTCATCACTCCTCTATAAAGGTTTTATCCGCCGTGATTTGAAGTAGACGACCCCATTAACCTCGAACTCATCACCATTACTGCCCTCTATCTGGGTTCGCTGAGACGTCTGATTGGTTTGACTGATAATGACATCTGATAGCATCACTGCTTTTTTTCACGGCTGTAACATAATTTTCTCCTCCATTAATCCCCTCCAACACCACCTTCATCTTCACCTCTCTTATCAGCATTACATAAAAAGTGAGCTTTACGCCCCATGTGACCAAATCGCATTGACAAACAGTGACAAAGCTGCCTGTTAACACGGCTGTAAGCCTCTTGCGATGGTGGTCCGTAAATATGCCAGCAGAGAGCTTTATGCAACATTTCCAGTCTCTCACAGTCTCCCTTAAAAACCCGTCTTTCCCGTAAAAGTGATAAGTTTATAAGTTTCACATTGAGTTTTACATCTACATGTCTTCTGAAAGGTTCGCTTTGTCTGGAGTTAAATTTAAAATGCTTTTAACTCGACATGTAATCTTATGTCACAGCATGTGTGACACTAATCACGCTAATTTTAGCCCATAAATACTCAGGTTTAAGGTTTTTATGTCATTCCCAAAAGAGTTTCAAGTTGCGTAAGGTTTTCAGCTCCCCGACACTTACTAAGAATATAGCTGAGACTGGTAAGGTAAGCACACCGTCCTATTTTAATGCCAAACATGAAAATTGGAACCATGTTAAAAATGAAGGAGACTTAAACATCTAAATTTAATAATTCAATCTTATTTATTTACACAAACTATATTCCCTGAGTATTCGACTGAGTACGACTGTCCTCAGCTCGCTCTATTTTAGTTTTGCTGTCAGTCGTCTGGTCTGACACATGATTTCAGGCGTTAAAGATTACAGCGCCTAATGTTATATAGGGCTATCAAGATAACAGATCTTCACCTTACAGGTACAGCGGCCCTAAAACAATCCCATGATAAGAATATTAGCATGACAGTTTTAGGTAGGGCTGAGCGATATGACCTCAAATCAATATCACGATAGCCAGACCATAGCCTACCTACACTCATCCAAAACCAACTTTGATTTATTTATTTTTTTGACACTGAATGTATCGATATGGGCAAAATGACGTCGGTTATTGTCATAAACTTTGGTATCAGTAAATTTTTCAGTTTATCGCCCAGCCCTAGTTTTAGATAACTTGAAAGCAACACAGTTAATCAAACTGTTGAAAGGGAAAAAGGGGCGAAGCAACACAACACTGCATAAACTTTACCAATAAACACAATGAATGTATGAGTCATTATGTTCAGATTTATGATTTATCATCTTTAGCTGTGTGACTGATAACTATGGTCAGTGTGTCTGACACTAATTTGGTGAAGTAAACCGCAGAGACAGTTGTTTGCCGTGCTTTTATTTTGAAATTGCTTCTGTCCTGCGTTTAGGTTGCTCTGTTCCCTGTGTGGTTAAACCAAAGACTGTATATAGAATGGACGCCAACTGCGTCCTCGCTGGGTGAAGCCACCGCGAGAACAGCACCCTCTGGTGACGGGCTGCGGTATAGGTCCTAAATCCCGCTTCCTCCAGCAATCCCTATGGAGCTGTGGACAAACTTTAGAAATTTATTACACAGAAAATAATTTTTTCTCCCTCCTGGTTGTGATGTTGACATGTAGTTACTGTAAGACTGGTTTGTGCTCAAGTCCTCTTTTTTCTGTGTCCTCTTTATACAGTCTGTGGGTAAAACTGCATCTTTGGTTAATTTACCATTATGAACCTCTGAACCCAGCGCAGTCTCAGCAGATGACTGTCTAACATGAGTCTGATTCTGTTTGAGGTTTCTGCCTGTTAAAGGAAGTTCTTCCTCTCCACTGTAACTAAGTGTTCCACTCATGTGGTTAAAAATAGGATGTGAGTGGGTCTGATCTGAGAAGATGGAGCTCAATCTTTAAAAAGAGAAAGTATCCTGGTTAATTTGATTAATGTTGGAGTTATTCCTCGCTGTGTAAATGATGGAAAACAAGGTCATGTAGGAGCCATGATTAAAAATGGCCCAAAGGAGGAAGTGCAGCAGGTTTTAGGTGAGAGGTGAGGAGACGCAGCGTGGGGCGGCGCACTCTCTGGGGTGGAAATAAAGCTGATTAAGAGAAACAAATGGTGAACTGTAATTTTTGATCTAAACCAAAGTGACGGAAGTAGGGAAGTGGGTGAGAGGGAGGAAACAGAAATCCCTGTTACTTGTTATTGTCTCTGCAGAAGTTTTAACTTAACATGCTTCTGCTCGGTGTGTGTGTGTGTGTGTGTGTGTGTGTGTGTGTGTGTGTATGTGTGTGTGTGTGTTCAGGTGGCAGCAGAGTACTGTAAAGACACCACCCTGCTGCTGATGGGAGTGATCTGCCTGGCGGCCTCCATAGAGAAGTGGAACCTCCACAAACGCATCGCTCTGCGCATGGTGATGATTGCAGGGGCCAAACCCGGCATGTAAGTAACAAACACAACCTCCCTGTTCAAACTCCTAAAGCTTCATGAAGTAAAGCGTCCTCTAACGTCTCTGTCTGTCCTCCAGGTTGGTGCTGGGCTTCATGTGCTGCACCGTCTTTTTGTCCATGTGGCTCAGCAACACGTCCACCACCGCCATGGTGATGCCCATAGCCGAGGCCGTCCTACAGCAGCTGATCTGCACCGGCCTGGCCGACAGCCAGGACGACTCTGAAACTGCTGAAGCCCCCGAGGATGACGCCTGTATGTCTCCTTTGACAAAATGCGTATAAAGACGTCACATTTTACAACAAAGCTTTCAGATCACAACAGCTTCAGACGACTTCGAACAGTTTCCCCTTTTACTAATCATGATGAATGTTTGCAGCTCTTTCAGATAAAGAAGAGAACCTGGACAAAAACCAGTTAGAGCTGCTTTATCGCAATGACATGTAAGTTTTTATAGATATTTTTATGTAGAGTTTCAAGAGCTTTGGGGTGCAGAGTGAGCCACTGACTGTACTTTCTGTTATGAAAATCCCACAGCTGGTCGTTATTCATTCACGTTTTTTTACATGACCAACTTCAGCTGTCTGCAGAAGTTGCAGCAAACTATTTAGATGCATCAATCTCTTGTTTCGATGATATTTAAGACTAAAATAAAGTTTAAACCGAGAGGCATTTCTGTAAAAAGTTTTTTTCTGTGAATTTGCACAGATTTGTAAGAGGCGCGTCCCAAAAACTCATTTGGACATGGTTGATGAATTATGTAGCTCTATGCAACCTGCAGATTTTCTTTAAGAAAAAACTAGAAATATCATTTTCACGGTTTCTTCTCTTCAACCTCTAGCAATGAGTGCACTAAACAGGAGCTCTCTACACTCAGTGAGGTAAGAGCTTTTAACAAACTTACAAAAGTCAAATAGAAGAGCTTTATAAAGGTTGTCAAACAGCAAGTGAAGTTTTTTGCTCTTGTTTCAGGAACAGACTGGGGAGGTAAATGGCGTCGGTCTCATGGCAAACTCAAGGGAGATCATCAGACACACTAATGGACACCTGCCACAGGTAAAAACACCCTGAAATGCAGGTGCTTCCTTTTTAAGGGAAGGTGGAACTAAACAGTTTTAAGTGTTATTCCAATATCTTTAATGCTCTCCTCACTTTCACAGATTGCCATAGAAATCCCGAATGTGAAGCGGGTGAAGGCCAGAAGAGACTCCCAGTACCCGACCAAGAGGGATCACATGATCTGTAAATGTCTGTCGCTCAGCATCACCTACGCAGCAACGATCGGCGGACTCATCACCATCACTGGAACGTCCACCAACCTCATCTTTGCTGAGCAGTTTAACACGTAGGTACAAATGCACACACACACACACACACACACACACACACACACACACACACACACACACACACACACACACACACACACACACACACACACACACACACACACACACACGTGATTCAAAGAAGCTCGACCTTGACCATAACTGACCTCAAACATATTTACCAACAAACTTTTAACACAAATCTGTCCTAAAGCCCTAATGAAGAACTTTTGGTATGTGAAAGTGTTGGCGCGCCCTTGTGGAGGCAGAACTTAGCTTTCAGAATCGAATTCAGCAGACCTGAATTGGAGCTCTGTTGGTTTACCTTCATACAAGAAGTCAAAGATGCCTCCGCTCGAGATAATCCTCCAAGGTTTGGAGTAACCCCAAACTTCCACTGCATTTGGAACAGTGGCGAAAAGGCCGTAACGGCGCAGATCGCAGCTGATCATTTTCATTCAAGTTAATGTGCCAAATTCCACCGGCTTCTTTATCGCCCCCTGCGGTTCAGTGGGCTTCGTAACGGATCACCAGGATTCTATTCTTTTCAGACGCTGCAGCATGCCGCATAAATTCAGCACAGTTTAACCCGTGCTGGAAAGGAAGTCGGGCACAGACACAAAATAAAACATCTGTATTCCTTTCAAAATAAAACACTACATGTTTCAGGCGGATTGTATTTCACTCCATGCAAATGTGTTTTGTTTTGTAGATAAAGATAAATATTGTACTCACTCATGGTTAATTCCCAATCTCCACAAAAATGTCTGATCTGCACAGAGTGGATTTCATCTCTGGAAGGACATAATCTACTGCTTACATGGTTATGTGGGTATCTTTATGAGACAACTCCTTATCGCGTGATTGCATGTGACTCATGTGAGTCCTCGCAATTCCTGCTGTCCAAAATTCGCCACAAAATTCGCCTCACAAATGCATCCGGTAGGAATTGGCGGATGGCTAGAATTGCTATCGTTCTGCATGCAGTGGAAATTTAGGGTTAGTCTGGCCACTTCTATGAAAGTTTGGCTGCCCAAGTCAAAAGTCCTGGCTCCGATTCTGGGTTGTTTGTAGGTGTTTTATATCAAAAAGACCTTTACACTGAAGAACCGATTAATGTGTCTCCCTTTCAAGTAACAGCAAGTTTCTCATAGAGCTTTAACTTAATTGATCGTTTGAATCTCTAGACAGATATGCCAACAGGATCAGTCAGGATCTAACGGTAATAAAAGTTCTCACACAGTCGGTGTTTTAAGGGGAAATAGCTGCTCTCTTAGTTATCAATAATACTATTACAATGATGACTCGACTCTGACATGATGAGACTGACTTACATCGACTGGTAAACTTGAACATCAGCTGAATGGAAACTCCTTGTATAATGTGAGCTGGTTCGAACTGTGGTTTTTGGATTTGCTCATTAAAAGAAAATGAAAGCAGCTTTATTCGGACAGATATTTTTGTTAGGCATTAGCTCTGAACGCCCTTTCGACAACATCCAATCGTTGCAGCACAGTTACAGCTTGATTGATTTCTTGGCCGCTGCGCTCGTCTGACTGAAACAGCTCATGTTAACTCAGTGTCTGGGGGGCACCGGGGTCTGAGATCAAACTAATCAGCCTCTGCAGTCCTGACAGAGCCGATTTCCTCCACCCGCAGCACTAAGCCTCGCAGAATGGCCTCCTTCATGTTGCAGCTGGTTGTACAAAGGTCAAGTTTTGATTCGTCTTGAGTGCACACTACTTCTCTCCAGTCCGAGCAGTGGTTGTGAAAATCCTTCAAATTATACCTTCGAGTTTGAATCTCGAGTTGAATTTTACTTGAATGTCTGTCGTATAGCATGAAGTCAGAATCTGAGACCTGGTTGGTGTTAGGCTGCAGTATGTGTGAACGTGTGCACGGGTCAGTCAGTTCAAGTTCCTGTCTGCAACAAGTTCATGCTCGTGCAACAAGGCCAAGAGGTGAACTAGACCCCCGCTTGACATTGAGGTGAGGGCTAAACTTCAGGCCCCTCAGGGAAACTCTGTTTCACCCAGCCTGCACAAAAACATGTGTGAGTGATCTTGTATCACATATCTCCTAAACAGCTTCAGCAGCATGTTAACAGACAGAGAGAGGTGTTCATTAAGGAAGAATAATCTGTCCTTTCTCAAGCACAAACATTCACCCATAAGGTTCTTTGTGCAGTTTGCTCCTGTTTTGCATCTGTCTGTGAAGATGAGCTGTCGACATCGTTGCTTAAACTGCATGTAGTTGTTGTCGCCAGTGTTTATGGATTAGACACTTGCAATGAGGCTCATCTGTGAAGAGAGAGGCCTGTTTTAGAGTGTACAAATGCACAAGGGTTTATTGAAATGCAAACAGATAACACCTGTGCACAGTGATGCTGTGAAGTTTAGATTTTGTGCACGCTCTATGAAGTTAAAGACACCAAAGATAGTAGCTTGTTGCACAGTGACAAGGTTGAATTTTTAGTTTTGCTAAACATTTAAGTTCTATTTAAGGTCATGTCTATATATTTTAATGATCAAATAATCTTTGAACTTTGTACTTAAAATAATAATCACTGATGACTTAATAGCTAAATTAGTGCTACACTAATGTTTTTGCCCAGTTGCATCCCCTCATTTTACTCTTTTCTGTCCTTAGGTTTTCTTTTCTTAATTTTTATTACCTTCTGTATAAATCATCCGAAACAAGTAAACAAAAGGTTCCTGGTTTGAACCCTGGCTGTGCTCTCCCTTGTGCATGTGTGGGTTCCCTTTGTCTACTCAGGTCTCCTCCCACAGTCCCTCTAAATGTGCTGTAGACGTGAGTGTGTGTGAGTCTGGTTTCTGTCTCTATTCCAGCCCTGTGATTGGCTGATCACCTGTCCAGTGCGTACCCTTCCTCTCACCTAGTGACAGCTGAGAAAGGCTACAGCCTCCATGACCCCGAGTGGAATAACTGGATGGGTTATGGGGACGGCTGACACACTGTCATCATCTCTGACTGTCACCTTTACTCCCCTTACTGTTCATACAGCAGAGTGCTTAACGAAGCAGCACTGAGCAAACACACTTTATCAGCTGTGCGGCTCCGTGTGACACAATCATGGAGGCTGAGAAATTAGGGCTCGAAGTGCAGAGAGGATGATTGACCGCTGCTAATCTGCAGGGAGAGCTGTTAGCTTTAAATCAGTTAGCAGGGATTCTTTCTTTGCTTTTCTGCTCTTTGTTTGGGAGTTTACAGAATTTTAGATGAGACATTTCTCAAGTTAAAAATTGCAATAATGTCTACGCATACATTATCAGGACATTTTGGCTCTGGATAAAACAGAAAGGAATCACAACCCTGGGTTCAAACAGAAAACAACCCTTAGGGAATATTGGTTTCCCATCGTAGACTTCCATACTTCGGTTATTCCGTCTGGTTTTTCCATCACAGCACACTGCGGTGATGCTCACATTGACTCACCTTTTATCGGTACAGAGAGTCAGCTGCACTGCTGCACAGATAAACTGCAGGGACAACAGCTGGTGTCGGTAACTGCAAACACATGAGGACAAGCCAGGGTCAAGGTAGATGGTTAGTGGAGGGGGGAATGGTTATTTTTTAACCCTGAAGATGTCCCCTTTTAACCCCAACATGTGCCGTATATTTACACAGTATTATATCACGTACATTATCGGTTCAATAACATGACCAGTGGCAGATATCTCACACTGTAACTCTGTTTTTGTCTTTTCAGCCGTTATCCTGATGCAAAGGTCATCAACTTTGGCACATGGTTCATCTTCAGCTTCCCCATCGCTATCATCATGCTTGTCCTCACCTGGCTCTGGCTGCACTGCCTCTTCCTCGGCTGCAAGTAAGTTTGTGCGTTTTAGTCTGTTGGGTCAGTAGGTGTATGAATTAGGTGCTGCCGGTGCCTCTCCATGTTCTGTGGCTGCGGCTCAGAGAAGATGAGTAACGGTGTCAGGTCACTCTGTGGTTAATGTTGTTACGTGTGCTCAGCTTCAGGGAAACCTGCTCGTTGAGTAAGAAACGCAAGACAAGGAGAGAGATGATGTCAGAGAAGAGGATCCATGAGGAGTATGAAAAACTAGGACCCATCAGGTGTGTGGATTTGTTGATATGTTGTTTGTTTTCTTCTATTTTAAGGATCATGTCATATCATATCATATCATATCATATCATATCATGTCATATAATGTTATGTCATATCATATCATATCATATCATATCATATCATATCATATCATATCATGTCATATAATGTCATATAATGTTATATCATATCATATCATATCATATCATATCATATCATATCATGTCATATAATGTCATATCATATCATACCAAATCATGTCATATCATATCATATCTTATGTATGGAAATGAAACATACAGTTTTGTCACTTGCCACATTATGTTGTGTGGTATACCCTTGTTTGATGTGATGTAGTATCATATCATCTTGCAAATTATCCTACTACAGTATGTCTATCTTTTTGTGCCATATCATATCAAATCATATTACATCATATCATATAAGAACGTATATCATATCATATCAAATCATATGTCATATTGTATTATATCATATATCATATAATAACATATCGTATCATATTTGTATCATGTCTTACATATCACATCACATCATATCATATCATATCATCGTATCATATCATATTGTATCATGTCATGTCATTTCATATCATATATCATATCATGTATCATATTGTATCGTATTGTATCATCATATCATATCACATCATATATCATGTTATAGTGTATCATATGACATTTCATATATCATATCACATTTTATCGTATCATATCATTTCATATATCATATCATATCATATCATATCATATTGTATCGTATCGTATTGCATCGCATCACATTGTATTGTATCGTATCGTATCATATTATATCATATTATGTCATATCATTTATCATATCAAATCATATCATGTTGCATTGTATTGTGTCATAATGAACTGTACCATACCACATTGTATATTATTGTTTCTCAGTATTATAATATAGAGTATTGTATCGATCGTATCATATTGTATCATATTGTATCATATCTTATCAAAGCAAACTGTATTGTAACATTCCATTTACATTTCTATGAGTACTGTATCATACTATACTGTATAACACCATTCAGTATTGTGTTACATTATACCCATTTAGTGTATCCTAGCTTTTCGTACTATGTCTTGTCTTGTGGTTTTGTATCGGACTGTAAATTTTTCTTGACCAGTTATTGGGTTATTGATTTTAAGATTAGGGTTAGGATTATAATCCTGCCTAGACTCATCAACTGCTGTTTCACAACCAAAGTGTAGATTTTTACAGTTTTTAGAGATCTAGTAAATAATTTTAGACATATAGCAGTAACCAGGATATACGTGAATGCATCTTACTAACACACCCAGACATGACACCCCGGCATGATCATCCTATCACTGATGCAACTGTGACTTACGTGCTTCTTTGGTTTCTGTGCATGTGTGTGTGTGTGTGTGTGTGTGTGTGTCCCAGTTACCCAGAGGTGGTGACGGGTGTTTTCTTCATCCTGATGACTCTGCTGTGGTTCACCAGAGAGCCTGGTTTCGTGCCCGGGTGGACGTCTCTCTTTGAGAAGTGAGTACCCATCATGTTGCACCGCACTACCAAAATTGGTGTCATTATCACAGAAAGGTGTAAGTGGCTTATGGTATCTAGAGCAGTTCAATAAACACACTGTTACCTGGTCACAGGTGTACATAAACTCAAACATGTCCTGAGAGCACAGGTTTATACGTTTTTCTCTCTTCTTTTATCTTCTTTACTCTCACTTTGGTGTTTTCCCTCTCAAGGAAAGGCTACAGGACTGATGCAACCGTGTCTGTCCTCCTGGGCTTTCTGCTCTTCCTCATCCCTGCCAGGCGACCCTTTTCATCCTCCTCCAGCTACAAAGACACAGGTGATCATTATACACGTGTGCCACGCTGGTATAGCTGTGATACTTCTGGTTTATCTCCTGAAGACACCGGGGAGGTGGAGTTTATCAAAAAATATAGAATTATAGAGGGGGGTCTATTCTGTTTATGGTTTTCCCAGCTCAAACATGACTGTAGGACTTTTAAGGTCAAAACTAAGAGAACTTAAAGCAACAATAAAAACACAAAAATGGATATTTTTATGCGTATTACCTAAACCATATTAATACTGTAAAAATCTCAGAACTTCCCACAAACTTGGACTGTCATAAACAATCGTCTCCTTCTTCTTAAGCTGTTGTTGTTTCAACAAGCCCTGGCCAGCCTGTACAGGCTGATTTACTGCCTGAAAGCTGCAGGGTCATCAGGTCAGAAAGACCTCTATTTAAAAGAAAAAGTAGTTCAACTTTAGACACCGCTGTTTTCCCTGTTGTGCAATGGTTTGCAGGAGTCTGACATTTATTGTTCTGCACTGTGCTGCTCAATGCATGTTTTAGTGCTGACCCTTGACAGTCCATTAACCTCCTAACACCATGACCTATAAGACACAGATGCAGCTGAAGCATGTAAACAACTACCAAAGCATTTATCTTTTTACAGTTTTAGAGTGTACGACACATAGATGCAAAAAACAGCATCATCGGACATTTTATTGTTATGATTTTATTACAACTTATTCTTTTATTCAAAAATTCCAGAGAAATTCCCCAAAACGAGAAAGTCTGCCATGTGGTGTCAGCTAGGGCTGGGCGATATGGCCTCAAATCAATATCACGATATATTGAACAGTTTACCTTGATAATGATAAATGGACAATAACTACTCCACAAGCTGCTCACCCCCTCCCACATTAACTTCGTCTACTTCAGCCGCTACAACTTTTGAACCGTCCTCCATCTTCTCACCTGTCTTTCCCTCTTTGTTACGGACTGGATGTGGGTGGAGTCACGTCTCTGACGTAGGACAGCGTCTTAAAGGGACATGAGATTATAGCCTACCTACACACATCCAAAACTCAAAACAACTTTTATTTATTTATTTTTTACACTGAGTATACCGATATGGGCAAAATGACGTCGGTTTTTGTCGTAAATTTTGGTATCAGTAATTTTTCGGTTTATCGCCCAGCCTTAGTGTCAGCTGTAGAAATGGTAATAAGTGAAATGAAAACAATAGTGGAAAAGTTTTGGACAAAAATAACCACAAAGAGTTTATTACAAACCTTGCAGCAACTCATTCTCACTATTGTTTTTAAAATTTCCCCCATTTAGAGCCGTGACTAGAACTCAATTCAGTATCATGCTTCTCTAATACTAGTTAGTAGATGGTTTTGCAGCAGTATTGACCCATTTTCTGTGGTATTGAACCTTCAGGTGATGATGACCCTCTGGCTCCAATGATCACCTGGAAGGACTTCCAGAGACTGATGCCATGGGAGATCGTCATCCTTGTGGGAGGAGGTTACGCGCTGGCTGCTGGTTGCAAGGTAATATGCAAGTGTAGGTCTGCAGTTTTATTACAGTGCTTCAGCGGGGTAGAACTGAGGCGTAAACTGAGAGTGAGAAGCCGTAATCATCCTCAAGATTAACCTCAGGTTATCTAATAAAGGCAGTGGAAACTTCTACGTGTAAGGTGATGCTGATCTGATTCTCGTAAACCCAAATTATATCATTTATGGACGGTATGGGATTTGTTGAAGTGTTGACAAAAGGCTGTTGTCATAGTTTAGGTGGTAAAGATAGTTTATAATGTCTGTCTGTCATGCTATTTTTTTCCAGCAGGCCAACATTAAGATAGTGACTCATCATTATAACAGGGATTGTTAGGATGACATATTAATATACAGGAATTAACATACGGTTGTGACCTCAACTAACTTCAGCGTAAATCTGCCGACAAAAACGCTGGGAGGTTTGGGTGGACATGATTACAGCGTGGACGTTAGACACTGATTGTACTCTTAGAGAGCGCTCACATGCAAGTGTGTGTGTGTGTGTGTGTGTGTGTACAGGTGTCAGGCCTGTCGGTGTGGATCGGCAGACAGCTGGAGCCCATGAGTGGCCTTCCTCCGTGGGCTGTCACCCTGCTGGCCTGCCTGCTGGTGTCAGCGGTCACAGAGTTTGCCTCCAACCCGGCAACTCTCACCGTCTTCCTGCCCATCCTGTCAGCCCTGGTATGATACACCGTCCCTTTAAAACTGACTTCATTCTTGATTTACAAAAGAGATTTTAATTGGTTCAACTGTTGTGAATCGATGATGAATTATACATGAAAGATGTTTAAATACAGTGTTTTCTTGCAAATCCTGAATTAAGAAAATAATTAACTTAAAAAATCAGAAAAAAACAGGTAAAAAATATTTTATTTACAAAAAACAATCCTTAAAAATTTCGTGACAACCATCTGATAAATCCAGAGAAATAGAGCAAACATTTTTATTCATAAAATTTTCTCATAATTACTTGTTTATTATCTAATTTCTTTAGAAAAATGAGCAGAATCTCATTCTCTAAAGTGAACACTGTACACTTCTGTATTAATTTAACAAATCTGGAGAAGAAACAACGAGGTTAACAATCAGAAATAAAAGAGCAAGATATAAAATACACAGTGCAATAATTTGATTTTAAATTAAGAAAACAGGATGAATAGTTGTAGAAGTGACATTTTAATAGAAGTATTTTTACCACTTCTTTTACAGACCAGCTTCATCCTCTCATTTTTTCCCTTTTTTCTCCCCTGATAACAGCTTTCTTTTTTTTTTATTGATTGATCTCAGAGTTTAAACTTTAGGCTTTTTAAAGAGCTCATTTCTTCTTCTACTCCCACTCTAAAAGACCTAAAACACGACATTTTTATTCCGTCACTGGCGAGGATCATCAGTATAATCAATGTGATGTTATTTATTGATTTTATTTAAGAGGTGATTCCCACTTCTGACCATCTGCTTCAAAGCAGAGGCCTGTATTTTACAACATTAGAAGACTTGATCTGTTAAATATCAGGTTCCTCATTCTCAAAAAGGAGCTTTAGTTTGATTTTGCCTCCACCTTGTGGACGACTTTTCTTCTGTTCGTGTTCATGAGAGCAAGTTGAGTAAGGACAAGAGCATGTAGGAGAGAGTATTTCAGTAAAAGTTGAAATGACCCTTTATTTGAACAGATTTGAACGCCCAGCTGATCTTCCTTCATTTTACTCCCTCTCCTTCTTCATTAACACCTCCACCTGTCCTTCCCCTTCTCAAAATTTCTCATTTATCCTGTTTCATTTACTCTCCTTTCTTTCTCCCTCTCTATTTCTGTTGCTTCTTTTTTTAAAATTCATCCTTCCTTTGAACGCCCACGCTTCCCCTCACTTCTCATCTCCTCCTCCTTCCAGTCGGAGACTCTGCAGATCAACCCCCTCCACACTTTGATCCCGTCCACCATGTGCGTGTCATTCGGGGTCATGCTTCCAGTGGGGAACCCCCCCAACGCCATTGTCTTCAGTTACGGCCACGTGCAGATAAGCGACATGGTACGACAAACACTCAGACATAATAGCGTTTCGAGTCACATGCTCTCTGTGCACCTGCGGCTTCAAAAGGCCGGAGAGAACCATGTGTCAAAGATGTCTTACATAATCAGAAGGGTGAACATTTTTCCTGTTTAACCCGTGGCTAACCAAAACTCTCGATTCAGATTTTTGCTAACCTGACATATCTCGATTTTTCCAGGTGAAAGCAGGTTTCGGGGTGAACCTGATCGGCGTTGCAGTGGTGATGTTGGCCATCACCACCTGGGGCGTCCCTCTCTTCAACCTGACTGAGTTCCCAGCCTGGGCAGTGAGCAGGAACATCACCGGGATCTTATAACCACTGCTGGGAAGAAAAGGTGTTGAACCATGAACCACTTGGAAGACTGAAAGAGAGAAAGAGACGGGGCATTGTTTCTGTAAGGAAATACTCTGAGAGTCAAGAGGACAGCTCAGAGTTGAAGAGCCCTTTATTGCTGGATGTGTAGTAGGCAGACGGATAAATTGTGGGACAGAAAAGAAGAGGAGGAGAGCACAAAACCATTACATGTTGCTTAGATATACTCGTTAGAATTCTACTTTTGAGGGCATTAAAAACGGAGGGTGTCTCACTGAAAGTAGAAACTATGTTGACCTCCAAAAAAACCCTTTTCCTTACCTCTGTTAACAATTTTAAATGGTGATGTAGTTTGAAAAATCCCTGCAGATATAACTAGGAGCAACAAATGATTTTTTTGTGATCAATATCTGGTAGTATGTTTGTTGATTTTGTAGAAAGAATGATAAGTTTAGATGCTGCTGGGCCTCAGAGCCACACTAGCAAACCTTTCATTAGAAATAAGCTAAATGGTCATTGTGCATGAGCCTCTTTTTACTGCATGCTCGCTGAACTTCTGCTGCACTTACCTGCATCGTTCTCTAACCAGATCACGTGCACTGTTACACGGTGGGCTGGTTACAAGTCTTTTAAAATTAAGTTTTGACTTGAATTTGGCTGTAGTCTGCAGCTTCATTCAGCTAAAACATGGAAAATGTGTTAAAAGAAGCTTCTGCAGTTGAAAAACTTCGTGTGTATGCGAGCATGTGAGAAAAAGAGAACGGCTTGTGTATATTTAGCAAAATATCGAACAAATGTGCACCATCTTTAAATGTTTCCTAGCTTTTGATTGCATTGCCTTACAAATCTAAGCTTCTGTATGTACCAAAGTGTCTAAAGCTGATGCAGTATTTTCCACAGAGCAAGCTGCAATACCGCTAGTGCCTTCAGCGTAGTATTGTCTGTCAAACTACTCTTAACGCAGGATTCTGTTCCTACCACGCTGTAATCTCAGAGTAGGAACCTGTTTCAACACCGTCCTCCGTAAATGGAAAGCAGCATTTGGAATTGCTTTTTGTGCAATCTCTCATATTCTTGTACTTGATGCTTCTTGATGGATATTAGGAATGTATATGTTTAAGCTCCATGTGGGTTTTATTATCACAGCAATGTGTCATTTATGCACATTTTCTGAGGCACACTCAGGTCACTTTTGTGTGTATTCACACAGATTATGGTTGCTTGTGCTTCTGCAAACAGTCTCCCTTTAGCTGTGCTTTCTTTTACAGCATCCTTGTCCTTCTGGTTGTTCACTGGATGCTCTCTTTGTTATAATGCATGCACCTGAAATATTTATCTTACACTTTAAGGTCAGAGGCCTTTAATTAAGCAAATGTAATGATTTTTATCCTGAGAAATTAATTCAATTTTATGTGGAAAACACTGAAGTCAATTGGAAGAAATGTGTAGTCAGAACAAAAACATGTTCTGTAATGTCACGTTAAGAGGCGCGTTGAGCTGCAGAGGGATGTTTCCTAGAGCCTGTGAATCCAGGGAGCTTCGAGAAGCATCGGAGTCCCTCTAAGTTTCCACGTAACTGTTGAATGCAGCATCCAAAGCCTTAACAGGAGAGCTACAGAACGGCGAGGGTTTTATGGTGTTATAGCTTGTTCAATCAACTGTCAAATCACATTAACTGTCGTCTGGTGGTGAAAAGCTTTGCACACAACATTCAGTGTACTGTGCAGAAATATAAAAGATATGCTTTATATTTTTACACAAATTTTTAATGTAATTTTTGCATTTTTTATATCACTGCATTACAAGTCTAGGTCTTAGGTGTCGAAACATCTTGACGGTGTTACAGCAGTGACCTTTGACCCAAGGGCCACACTCCTTTGTAAATACACACAGATTTGTAATATAATGTGCCTTTGTCTGTTTTCAGATGAACTGTAATATTCCTAAATTATCTGTTATATTTTGATGTTTTATTCATATTCAACTCAAAACCTAGAGATAGGGTGAAATTATACATGCACAACAATAAAACCACTGAAACGCCCGAGTGGAGTGATTATTCTTATATTTCACATCAATTCCTAATGACACTCACTTAAAAACAGTAAAAGATACGCAGAAAAGGTCAGAATTTATGATCATTTAATAAATCTCGACTCGTTCGATGGTTTCAGTGCAAAAGAAGTTCATTTAAAGCAAACATTTAACAGAGGGGACAACATTGTGCGCTAACGGCAGTGGCTGACAGCAGTAATGGAGACTGATGACGTTTCTGTTCCTGTATTTGTGGACGTTAATCAAGCTGAGATATTAAAACATTTCATTTTTATTTCAAATTACAAACAATAAGACATGTTTTATCCAGGCGGGCTGATGCCACATCAACACTCTCAATCCAGTCTCACTTGTTTCCGCCTGGAGCTGCTTTCTTGGCGCAGCTTTTGCCTCCTTGACATAAATAATGATGGTGGGAGGTTCAAGTATTCAGTCCACAATGAGGTTGGGAATCCCATCTCCAGATTGTTCACCTCTGGCCCTGGTCTGATTAGGGTTTACAGTCAGTTTCAGAAAGTCATTTGCTATGATGGCTGCTTAGGACCGTCAGTTGGTGTGAAGCCCTCTGCCTCCATCTGCTCTTTGTACTTCAGGAAGTCTCGTCTCTTTGTGAAATATTTCACCTGCCAAGGGAGATTGAAAAGGTTAGAATCGTCTCTAGACCCAGTAAGTATGAGTCAAAAGAACAGAGACAGGACCACTTACCCACTGAGCGGGACATTTTGCCTCAAACTCGCCCTGGAAGTTTTTGCAGGATTCAGCGTTGTCATTATTGTCATCCAGACACTTCCACAGCAAATCTCTGGCACCCCAGCATGCTTTCCGTTCTGCAGAGTTTGGAGCCGTCATAGCTGCTTAAACCTGAGAGGGGGTTTTAAAACTGGGTAAGATGACAGGTATTTATGTAGCCCCTGCTATGACAAGAGGAACTGTCAAATAACCCCACTATCATACCTCTAAAAAAGACTCAGGACAGTCTCTACAAGAGGCTCTAGAATTTCATCCTCTCTCCAGGACATGTCTACTTCCAGGACCCTGAAGGGTGCAGGTAAGCTCAAGTGTTGACACCCACACACTAGCTGACTTTGAAGCACCCTCCCACTCAGTCTGCCAGGACTTAAGGCTGTCCTAGTGTGTAACTATCAAGTGCGTGGGGGACTTCTGACTGCCTTTGAGCCTTTTCCTATAGTGGGCATCTTTGCAGACTTAGTGTGAAAGAATTATTAAATCTTTAAGGGCTCAGAGTTTAGGTAGGAAAGTCTGGTAAGAGTCTGCAGTCCGTTGGGGATCAAAACCTCACAGTTCAGCCACAGTTTCTTTCTACGGTGGCCGAGAAATGCCACTGCTGCAAATAGAAAAGAATGCAAAAAAAAAAAGAAGCCACAATGGGAGTTACCAATGCAAAAAAAAAAAGAAGAAACTGAAGCCCATTGCAAATAAAAAAGAAACAGTGCAGATAAAGGAAAAAAAAAGCCACAACGGAAGTTAACAACATAAAAATGTGGCGATGGAAAAATATAAAAAGGTTACTTACTGCGAAAATAAAAGGATGCATATAAGAAGCCGCAATGGAAGTGAGCTGTCGGGGACCAATAATGAGGACGGTGAGAAGACGAGCAAAGAAGTAAGTGGAAAGGTTATTGTTTAATTTCGCTTGGTATATTTTTCAATGTGTCATTTGTTTGGCCACGTTGTGCCTGAGTCGATAAGTTAAACTGAAGCTAACACTACACCGCCATCCTTCAGTTCAACTTCATATCAACTCAGGCGCTACACGGCCTAACCAAACGACCTGAAATTAAACAATGACCTTTCCACTAACTTATTTGCTCGTCTTCTGTGCCTAGATCGCAAAACACCGGTGCATCATCACTATTGGTCCCCGGCAGCTCACTTCCGTTATGGCTTTTTTTATCTGCATCCTTATATTTTTGTAGGAAATAACTTTTTTAAATTTTTATTTGCATTGTCACTTTTTTTGTGTCGTTAACTTGGGTTGTGGCTTTTTTAAAAAATATTTTTTATCTGCACCGTTTTTCTTTTTTTTTTGCATTGGTAACTTCCGTTGTGGCTTCTTTTTATTTTTTTATACGTATCGTTTCTTTTTCTATTTGCAGCTGGTTTCAGTTTCTTTTGTTTTCATTGGTATCTACTGTTGTGGATTCTTCTTTTTTTTATTTGCAGCAGTGGCTGTTCTGGGCCACCGTATTGTCCCCTTTGTTGCCAGCATTATCAATGACAGCTAACCACAACTAACCGGACATCTATGCGCATTTATAGTGAGCCTCTTCATCATAACTTATGTGTTTACTGCAGGTCTTGATCAAATATTCCTTAAACTGACACTATTATCTGTATTTGTTTGCTGTAAATTGACTTCTTGACATCAGTCTAGATACTCTAAATGATACATTTACTCACTAAATCTTGTTCAACTTCAAAATTTAACATAAAATGCTGAAAAATAACATGAACCTTTAGTCAGCAATGCAGGTAAAATGAACTGGAATGAATAGAGTCTGCTTTTAACTCAACTTCCACTCACCGGATTAAAGCGTCTAAGCTCCAAAATGAATTAATTCAGCCGTCCAACTCCTCTATAGACGCCTGTCACTCCATAAAACCAAAAATCTACAACATCACTTCTACTTAACCGCTAACGCTCGACTTTTGTAAGGAGTTTGGGTAACAACAGCTCTGAAGGACGCGCATGTAGCAGCGCTTCCTTGTCGCTCGGAGATGACGTAAGACGTAAGACGTAAGGCGACCAACGGTCCGGGTGATGGCGCAGTTCGTCCAAAAATCAGGATTTTAAAACCCAACACCGGTTTGTGAGGGAAAACAGTGAAACTGGACAAGGTAAGATACTCTGAAAATGCCCAGACGACGTTTTCAAACAGTTTTCAGTTCTGTGTTTCTGTTTTAATTTAGTTTTAGTCATGTCGTTTCGAAGAAGAAGAAGCAACAAGTGAGAGGACGTTTGAGATGAGCTAACAGTTAAAGTAGCTTCAGCTTTAAGGTGTTTGTTTTAATTTTTGCTTCTCTAATATTGAAACATATAAAGTGTAAAAACACCTAACATGGCGAAATGACCTTTTGTCTCTCTGTTTAAGTTAAAAAAACGTAATTCTGCTTGAAACTAATGTGACTTTAGACCGAGATTGACTTACTCAAATCTGCTTCTGTTTAATTTTGAGATCTAGAGTCATTAAATTGTGCTTGTTCAAAAGTTTATACGTTATTTTCACAGCATATTATTGACAAAATTAAAAGTTTAACATAGAAGTTGCAGGCAAGCTGTTTGTGTTAGAAGTGACAAAGTTGTTGAGCTGAAGGTAGGGCTGGTGGATATGGGAAAAAGTTTATCACGATATTTTTTTTTCGTATTAGTCGATATCAATATATATCACGATATTAAAAAAAATAAATTTAACAGTGTTTATTGGTAGCATGTCTTTTGCAGTACAATAAGCTGCTGCATCTGTGAGGTCTTTGAGTCTCTTCAACGTTTTGTCGTAAGGTGTTGTGCTAGAGAAAGCCCCAGCTGAAGGTAGCAAAACTCACTCTGTTTCCTTTTCATAACAGCTTTATTTTGGGTTTACTGTATTGATTTATTTAGCGGGGTTGAATGAAGTTCATGTCAATATTAAGTGTGTTCCCCTCAGGAGATGCCAGAGAAACTAGCCAGAGAGCAGGCTCTGAAACTGGGCTTAACACTGCTGCAGACAGGGGCACTTACACTGAAATTCAGCCAAACACAAGGAAGCCTAGACCCAAATAACAACTCTGTGTCTGCGTTTGATAGTGGAGATGGGTAGATCTCCACTATCAGCTCTGATGCTGCAAACTCAGCAGACAAATGGCTAAACACCAGCAGGTTGTACTATGTAGTTTGCAATGTCCCTGTCAAATGAACCAACACACTCCTCCTGATATTCGGTCTTTCTGAGAATCAAATGCCAAAATTTATTGCATTCAATATTTAGAATTAAGAGCAAGTTTGTTAAAAATTTATTGTAAACCATGCATGTAAAATTCATGTCTTTATTTGTTGTATTTACAAGTTTAAAATATGAGTAAACATCTTTGGTAGTTGACTGAAAAGTCTATTTCTCTCTTAGTTTATTTCCAAACCAAGTTGAATAAACCGTTTTTGATGCACCATTTAAATTTCATCAGTTTTGTGACATTTCATCAGCAATAGAAGCTTCAACACTGATGCTGATGCTTTAGTTTACTCAAAAACAAGTTCTGGGCTTTGGTTTGTCCCTGTGAAAATTAATAAACACATGGTCTAAATCCACAATCAGTCGTATCTCTTAGTGTGTCCAGGCAAGTTAAACAGATGTCAGTCGAGGCTAAAAGAGTTCGATTGGTGTGAGTTTGTGTGAATGTTCCGTTCAAATCAAGAGAAGGAAAGTTTTTCAATCTTTCTATTTTTCTCAAAAGTCTCCGTCTTTAAGAACACAGCGAGTGTTTGTCGCTGAAATCTATGAATGTACAATATAGTGAATGTGTGTGCATAACATGGCAGTGTGTAAAGGCAGAATGGAAATGTGTGTTGTTGATTAACTCCCTGTCTGTCTCCCTCTCTCTCTCTCACTCAGCCTTGGTGACGGAGAATAGCCCCAGTGGTTGCCATGGTGCCCAGCAGCAATCCATCTCAATTCCTGTGCTTATGTGTACTGAATGGAAGTATTAAAAAAACAAGTACTCCGATGCCAGGGTGAGGTGCTCACCCTCTCCTTAGAAGAGTAAGTGTTTGTCACCCCTGTGTTTGTGTGTGTGTGTGCGTGTGTGTGTGTGTGTGTGTGTGTGTGTGTGTGTGTGTGTGTGTGTGTGTGTGTGTGTGTGTGTGTGTGTGTGCGTGTGACTTGAGTGTGTCCCTCTTCAGGGACAGAACTTCATTCACTATTCATATCACACACCATTTACTAACCTCACTTCAAGTTAGATTCCCTCACTGATAATGAGTGTTTCCATCTCAGTTTGGAGGTCGAAGAGCACAGATGCACACTTCTCCTGTAACAGAGCAAATGTAAAGTAGAAGCTAGCTAGCGCTGTGATGGTTGCATTTCCAAAACTCTTATATTGAATTTTCAAGGTCAGGTTTTCTACAACTACTTTACAGAGATCTCCAAAAAGTTGTAAGAGCTTTCAAGTGGCATAATTTGTATGTAGCACGTTTTGTATTTCACCTCAATAGTGAGAGGGTTTGGCAGATTTCATCTTTTTATGAGACAGAGGGGCCAATTTAAAAGGACAGTCTGTCATTTACCAGCAGCCCCAGCCTGCTGTGTTGTGCTCCTGTTTTTCTGGACTCACTCTCTGTCCATGTTGGAAACAGAGAGCGAATTCAAAAAGCCTATTTCACCTCATGCATTTCAGTGCAGCTCAGTACAGTCATGGAATTGATAAGTTAAATTGTATGAGAGATGGAGGTGCCTGTCACGTAGCTTCTATAGCTGCTATACAAATTAATTAAAGATATTCAAAACTATTAAAAAATAGACGTCTCAGGGAGATGGAGAGGATTTGATTTGGTTTAAAAGATGCAGTGAGTAGGATGAAGATATTTAGTGGAGAGAACTTTTGAGAACATAAAACAGTCTATGTGACAAAGATGGTTTCATCCTCAATGAACACAATTAATTCAGCAGTCTCAACGGATGAGGTGATGATAATGTTTCTAGATATTTCATCTAGTTCAGGTCCAAGATACCAAGCCATGATTTTTTTGTTGTTTTGCAAACAGGAGCTGGCTAAACAAAGCTACCGTTTCTTAGATATAATGGAGAGTTAGAGCCACATAAAAAACTAATTAAAGTCAATTTCTTACAAAAAATAGTTTTGGTAAGTTAATTTTCTCACGAGAATAAAGTTTCTGTACAGTTATAGTACGAGAATATGAGATTACAGGCATAAAAGATGAGTTGTGTTCCTGTCAGAGGAAAGAAAGAAATGATGAGTTTTTGTCACAACACTTCCACATAGTTGACTCTGATCAGGAAAATTAGGGGGATCTCTAAAAGCAGCACCAACTCAGAAAATTCAGGCTTCAGTTTTCTGTAAACGGATGTAACTTTGAGCAAATAAACCTTCTCTGATTCACTCAGATTCATATTCTTGTGACGCATGATGTCTGCTCCTCCATTAGTTAGGTTTTTAAGATCCAAAACTTATATATGTGGACAAAACAACAACAACAACAACAACAACAATCGACCTCACTGTGCCCTCCTACGAGTTTGTCTCCTCTGAGCTACTGTAGAAAACATACAATTGTGAGTCTTCAGCCTATAAAGTATATCACGCTCAGGATAAAATATAAATAATTACATAGTTTTCAATCTGACCTTTGACCTCTGCAGCGGCTGTTCATGCAGAGCAAATAACTCCATCTGAGGTTTATTTCTCCTCTCCCAGCTGTGATTTTCAGAGGTATTAGCGCAGCCGGATTAGCATATATTCAGAATAACCCTGTCTGAGTGTTAAAGATGTTTGGAGAGAAATGTATGGCTTATTTAAAAAAAAACAAAAACACTAAATCATATACAGTATGTTTGGGAGATTTGTGAGCGTTCAGTCTTTCTGAGCGCCTCTGCAGACTGTCTGACAGTACAGTCATTACATAAGTTTGCACATACTCGACATAGGTGACAGCGGCGGGATTTAAAGCTTAATACTGGCAGTTTTAGTGGCTCAGCTTGATGGGTCTTTCAGCTCTGCGTGCTCATCATATAGCTCTCACATGACGCTGCTTTTAGATTCAGTGGGAGAGAGAGAATCATTAAGACCTGAAACAGTTGAAGTTGTTTTCTGATTCTGTTTGAAACTCTTGTTCGAGACTCATCCTGTGATGGACTCTTGGGGGAGTAAAAGAAACCCCCTGGAGAGGATCAGTTGTTCCCTTCATATTATAGATTGTTAATCTTGACTCACACAGCTCAAATGCAGCCTGACGGCCCGCTGTCACTTTGACAAAAGAGGAGCTGTTGTTGTCATGACTCTGCCGTCACTTGTCAGTCATCGTCAGCTCAGCCAGGACGTCAAAAAAGCAAGACAGGACTTGATGCAGGCAGAAAGGTTTAAAGCTGGGATCTCAAAAAAAAAAACAACCTAAAATGCATACACGGCTTCTACTTATCACTCATGTTTAACCCTTACCATTAGTCAGGTGAATTAGACTTATGACAAACATAGTTTACAGTTTTCCTCATCTGTGCTAACCTCACTTTTGTTGTTCCTTTCAGTCACTGCAGGTCTTGGTGTCCAGCTGATGCAGCACCGTACATGCTTACCGGTGAGTACAGTGAAAAACACAAGTCCGTGTAACAAGCAGATCTGATTTTTATTTCAAAAGATGTAAAAGAACCAGGTGACTTCATGACTAGTGTTAGTGCATGATGATCTTGTGGCTTTTGGAAGAATTTAAGACAAACGTCAGATCCAAATGATCAGTTTTTAAAAGGCCAAGAAACTCAAACATAATGAGACAGGCGGGTATCCATCGAAATGGTAGATGATGAAAAACCATTAAAATTCTGACTGTGATAGTTTTTTTTTAACCCATTAAGACCTGAACCCTGTCTGAGACACGCCTCTGAAATCCTGAGGGCAGTTTTGAGAAGGGCCCCCAGATCCTGAGGTCTTCTGAAGTGTTGAGGTTTACAAAAAAGCTGATATCTCGGCCTTTGTAGCAGATAGAAACAAAATTCAAGAAGTATTTGAGAGCTTACACATGTGGCTTTCAAGTTGACTTTCTTTTATTTTTCCAAACTTTCATCACATTATTAAAGAACCTTGAACAAACAAACTCAAATGAAATAAAGCGGCTGTATAAATAAAAGTAAGGGCTCTGCTCTGGAGAATAACAAAAAATTTGCTTTCTGTAAAACAAGTGGCAGTCATGATAAAGTGTCCATTCAATACAAATGTGAATATAAAAAAATAAAGTGTTGAAAGGGTATACAGCTGCCCAAGTATAGTGCCAGTACAAAAGTAGCTCTAAAAACTAAAAAATAAATGACAGTGTGTTCATCTCTGTGCTTACCCAAAGTCATGCAACACTCACAGAAAACACCGATAGTGTGAGCCAAAGCACTCAATATGAAGAGGTTGTCCACACTCCTCTGAAGCACGTAGCAAGATCTGAGCATGAATCCGATCGCTTTATGAAGCTTTATTAGCCTATCAGAGGCAGTATGATGGCGGTATGATGATGAAATGATTCACCACGACTCAAGAAATGATTGAAAAACCACAAAATGTTACGGAATGACGTACAGGCTTCTCCCGGCTTGGAAGGTTGACATGTGTACATGCTGTCCCGGTTTAAATGGGTTAAAGAGGAAAGGTGTACAACATTGGGAAATAGACTTATTAGTATATTTATTAACAAGTGAATGAGCACTGGTTAGAAGAAAGAGTGGTTATTTCGCACAAACAAATTGTAAGAGTGGACGTTCTTAATGGTAAAATATTTGTAAATGGAGGATTGTACTTCTTTATCACAGGAGCTTCTTGTCCTCTTAGGCCACCATAGTTTCATTTATTAGAGGAGTGAGCAGTGGAGTGTTTCTATCCACAATGTAAGTGCTAAATGTTGCTGTCTCCTCCCATCTCGACTCACTGTATTTTTAAAATGGAGCAGATTAAAGACAAGAAGAAACACTTCAGCTCTGTTTCAAAGGTCAGCCTGCATGTTAATTAAGTAGAGCCCAGGCGTCAACACCCAAAGGTGCTCCCCTTGCTTATAAAGTTCTTCTTTATTGCATTCAAATATAGTTTATCAAACTGTATTGATTCTAAAAATTGTTTGCACACACTCGTGTTTTCAGCTCATATATACAGCAAACCCGCACAAGACCATTAGTCAGCAAGGAGAGAATAAAGCCATGTTGCTCTATCGCCGGTATTGACATCCAATGGTATCTTCCTCTCGCACAGATTCACACACGCTCATACACACACACAAACACACACACACATCGACCAGTGTTTCTCATCCCAGTGGTGTCCAGGAGACTGACCTCTAGATACCGCTGCTGCAAGTCAATATCACTGTCAACTAGGAAAAAAAGCATCCACTGTCATGGCAACAGGGGTTCAGGCACCGGGACATCACATCAAAAAGAAAAGCAATGCAAATTAAGAGAGACACATAAAAGATTAACATGTGTGACAGACAAAAATATAGAACTTTACCGAAAGTATAAAGAAGTTTCATATCTAGCATGACAGGTTATAGTTTGTATAGATGTTTTAAAGTTTGAGCTAAGATCAAACAAAAGCACTAATGGTATTGCTTTATGTTTATAATATGTTATAAGCAGTGAGTATATAAAGATATGGTTTGTGTCATTACACCTTAATGTAAAGGAATAAATTATAGTTTTAAAAATGCATTTTTGTTTGACACTTACAGCCAAAAAATGCTGCTTATAAGTTCTTATAAATGTGTTATAGGAGCATATTGTCACTTTACTTAAAGCGCCATGAGTCATGCTTCAGTTGTAAATATCAACGAGATGTTTTCATAGTTGAGAATTATGAAGATTTTAAAAAGAGAGTGAATGTTTTATAACCAGTTTAAGTTTTAATGTGTTACTAAACCCAGAATTCAAAAGATGTTGTTTTTTCTTTTGCACTAAGTTATGACATTATAAACTATAGCTTTCTGAGGCATAATGCTCACTGCTTACAACACTTTATAAACTCTGCAGTAAGCTGTTATGAATGCTTATCTCTTAGAAGGTTTGTTATAAAACCTCACAGACGCAGCTATAAGGCTGTGTAAATATGCTAATGTGGATTATGAGAGGTAGGTTCATCGAAAGTGTTACACTCCAACATTGTGCATTTTGTCTACAGTGGTATAAAACAAGCACTTCACGTGGACTTAGTTTGACAGGGCCCACTTTTTGCATGTATCATGTTGTGGCTAAAATCCCCCCAGTTTTTTTAACTATGAAGATTTACACTTTAATTTGCAATAAATGAGGTTCAGATTCTGTTATGTAAAGCAGTTTTATATAGTGTTTTCGTACATCGTTTGTGATGGTTATTTTGGGGCTGAGGACTCAAACACAGATGATGAAAATGAACTCTTGTGGAGCTGCTGAAAGTCCCCCAGTCACAGTCCTGACGCTCAGTCAGAGAGAGGAAACAGAGCAAACACACGATCCATAATCCACAGCAGCCTGTGTGCAGTTTAAACTCGCCCAGCTTTCCCACAGCCACACGATCTGAAAGAGCTCAGGATATTTTGCAGCAGGCGACAGCCCGCTGTGATCGCTCACCACACAACAGCTCGTGTCTGTACACCTGTCAGAGCCGACACTAACTGGGTGCGTGTGTGTGTGTGTGTCGACCACATGCAGGCTTTGTTAAGATGATGTTGCATTGGTTTCTCTCTTTTTAAACTCACATTGTATCCCACTGCTTCAGCTGAAAAGCTGTGCATGTGTGCATGTGTGTGTGTGTGTGTGAGTGCTTGTGTCAGCGTGTGTGCGAGTTCGTTATGTAAGACTTAACAAGAGGACATTTTTGCTCTATTCTCTATTTTTGTCTGTAATCACACAGAGTGATGCCACAAACACGGAGGTCCCAATCTCACACAAACACACACACACACACACACACACACACACACACACACACACACACACACACACACACACACACACACACACACACAGACAGGCTAAGACACCGGAAGCAGAGGGGCAGAGAGGATATTGTAACAAGCATCCGAAAAAATGTTGGTCCAACAAGTGAGACGGGCTCCCGCCTGAATTAAAGGGGATTATCTCCTTTAATTTATGCTAATTAATGCACAGAGCGTAATGAGAGCAGCATGTTATTGTGCCTGTCTCACACACACTCACACACACTCCTACCTACTCTCAGTAACATGTATAGACTCCCACAACTGTGTGTTATTGCACCATTGAGTGCTGTTTCTTGTGGAGCTACACTTATTCTTTCTCCAAAGACACACACACACTCACACACACTCGGTACTCGGCCATTGTGTTCTTCATGGGAATCTTGTACTTTAGCCACTGCCAAATCCCACCACTCTTGCAAATACACACCCTCACAGAGACACACACAGACACACAGCTCTGATTCTGCTGCAGGACAGTACCGTCTTGGTTCAGCTGGATGCACAATCTCATTAAGTTTTTCTGCAGCACTGCAACAGGATGAAGAACTTCCAACTTTTCATTCAACATCTAGGGAGCTTGTGAAGTTTTGTCTTAATTCCCCTTAATGAGGCGATCAAGGACTTGTCTTGTGTTTATAAAGCATGTTTTAGTGCTTGTTATTCTCAGTATGGACTAGTCTTGTTTGTGTTTTAATCGTCAAATCAGGTTATTCTCCCTTCACTTCTTCTCACAATATGTTCCGGGTCAAAATTGACTCAGCCCAAGAATTGGCCATGTAGCAAGTAATTTCCCCGAAGTTCGAACCCCAAACCTATTCACAATGTTTAAAAGACCTGTGCTACTTCAAAAAATATATTGATGAGTCCTTCCTTAATGTTTCAAGGAGCAGGGAAAGTGTAAGTCTGAGGCTTAAAGAATGACGTTTAGGGTATTTAAACGGGTCAAATTTGATCTGAACAGTTTGAAAGGGTTAAAGAAAACTTCAATCTGCCAGATGGTTTAATGTTATTTTCAGCAGAAACAACCACAAGAGTCAGAGTTGTGCAAAGTAAAAGCTGATTATGTTTCCAATGTTGAAAATAGGGTTGTTGGACTCTCATCCATGCACTTCTCATTCTGGAAATGCAATTTATCTAGGTTAAAAAAATATTGAATTAACATCTGGCCCTTTATTATAAGCCCATTATCACCACAGTGGCCCTGTAGGAGATAATAGGATTACTGAAAAGACCCTGAGTACACTTAAAGTGCTCTACAAACTCATATTATGCTGCATGTGCTGTGATGATGATGTGATTTGAATATCACTGAATCCCATACTGTGTTACAGTCTTACAGAGGGGTGTAAAAGCCTGTGAATCGCAGCTGCGTGCTGCAGAAACACACCGTGTCCCAGAGGTAATATCATCAGAACATTACAGGAGTGATACACACATTACCATTAAGGGCAGTGGGCGGCGCGCGCTCTCTGCCCGTCTCCTATTGCGATAAACGCGTGTGTGCGTCGGTTATCAGCCAACCAACCAACCAACCAACCAACCGACCGACCAACCAGCGAGCCGACGAGCCAAATCCAGCCGAACCTAACCGAGCCGAGCCAAACCGATCCCAGCATTCAGCGCTGCTGCTGCTGCCGCACACACGGACAGCAGAGGAGGAACGATGACCTGGTAGCGCATCTTTTACGCGCCCGACCTGCAGTCCGTTCCCACAGAGCCACATTCTGCCGCTCTGCGTTTCATTCACACGCCGAGACCATGGAGACGGCAGTCCCGAGGACCGATATCTTCATCTCTCAGCTGCTCCTGTTCAGCCAAATAGGTAAGAAACTGAGGAAAAAAAAGAGAGACACATGCAGGTTTGTGTGTTGTGGTGGCTGACGTGATGCTGTGGACGCTGTCAGAAATTGAACGGTGCGTGTGTCGAAACCCACGGGAATCGAACAGTCCTGCACACTTCAGTCAGCGTCTGATGAATTCTGCTAAGAGAGAAGATTTCTGGATGTAGATTTCGTCTTCTAGACATGAACCCCGACATGGAAATCGTCTTCCCTGAAATTTGCCCTCCACTCTCAAGTGAACCGTCTGCAGAACATGGAGAGATTTCCAGTCAGGCTTTGAACATGTTGATCCCATTTCCCAAACACATGTTGGAGTATGAATGAATTTGTGTTGCGTTACGACGCTCTGTGTTTCCTGTTGTCTTTCAGGAGTCATGGATTTGGGTTTTGGGGGTTTTAAACTGCTCCCATGGGGTCTCTGGAACTTATTGGAAGGGAGCGTTCAGCCTAGATGCCTCACTTAATGCCAGGTTGAGCAGTTCAGTGCTAATTTTGATTTTACAGAATTACATAATTGGGCTAAAATATCAAACGCTCTAGGCTATTCCCAGTTTAAAAAGGCAATTTCACAAGTGCTGGGTTTGATCCATCCTAGAATCCTGAGGAAGATCCGCATGACTGAAAATCTGAGACCAGGCTCGGTGCTGTTATTAGGTGGTAACAGGTGCTGCCAGAGTATGATTGAAACAACCAAAACAGGAATGTAGTGGCTGATTTCCAACGAGTGAAAAGAAAGCTCCATAACCAGATGAATGATCTCCTTAAAGCTGCTGTGAGGAACTTTAAGTTGGCACCTCCTGTGGGCAAAGATTCGGTTGTATCTCTGTCAAGAAAAAAATCCTATCCTGCTTTTCTTAACAAGCAAATATGTCATTTGTGGTGGAAGTTTGTGATTTCACATTGAATATGTAGAGAAAGGCTGTTTCATCAATGTCCTGCTCTAACACCTACCCTCTTTGGGCAGTCTCAAGAATTAAAATTAACAGTATGGACATTTTTTTATCAAATATATGATGGCTGCTACTGCTTTTGTAGGTCACAAAGAGGCATTAATTTTAACATATCTCATCACTTGTTAAAAACTCTTCTAGAGGGCTTTAGTTGCACAGCACTCCCCTTGAATTATCCATAGACATTATCATTTCTCAAGAACATCACAGTTTTTTAATTATTTATTATTAGCGTACATTTAGTCACATAAAGGTTATTGGCTTCAAGTGAAAAAACTAGGTCAAAGGTCTTATTTCTCCTTTTTTAGAATTTGACTTGGATGGTATTTAAAGATACCATGGATCTAACATCTCCACACTGGCATGAAACACGAGTTGTACAGTAAAAGTAAAGTTTGAGGAGTAAAACGTGCATATAGAGGACAGTGTATACTCATTGTTGGTGGGTTAATGAAGATGTGTACCAGTGCACGAGTTCCAGCCTAGATTTACTAAATCTACTCCAGAGGTAGTTTTAAATCAGTGCAGTTGCATACTCTCCCCACTGGAGGGCAGTGATGAGTAGTCTTTTCAGTTGTAAAATCTTCATTTTGAAACAAATTGTTTTAACTGTTTATGTAGAAAATAAAAGGAAACTCTCTGTAATCTGTATTTTTAAATCACCCTCCAGTAGTAAGAATGGTTTCTCCTCAGAAAAGTTGATATCAATTAACTGCACAGCCCCACGAGTTTTTTCTTGGTTCAGACAGAAGTTGTCGCCCCTTTTCAGGTTGAAATTTGAAGCTAGAGTTTCAAAATTTGTTTTCAACCCCAGAGTCTCCCTGAAGAGCCTTCCTTACATTCATTCCCATCTGCTGTAAAGTTTTTTTCTGTCATCTAGTCAGGAGGAGAGTGAATGATTGGTGATCCTACACCTGTAAGATAAAAAAATAATATTTTAATTACATACGTGGATGATCAACCTCAAATCAATATCACAAGTAGTTTTTGTACGCTGTCAATACGCTCAACTTTTAAAGCTGTGATATTTTTAATGAAAGAAGCACGTGCTCGTGGATTTGTAATAATTGAACTGACTGCTTTTCATACAGTGAAGGACTTGTAAATGCATGTGTTATTGATCGCTGCATTGTGGAGGTACTTGTTGCTGGGCGCCTGTTAGTCTCTCTTGTGTTTTCAAACCATGTGACATGAAATGATTGTGCTCGAATTGTTGGAATAGATTTGTGTTATTACCTTGGGTGGCTGAATCTGTGTTCCTGCAGTGTTTACATTTGGCTTGTTTTTGTTTGTTGTCATGTTCACTAAAGTTAGAATTTGTCCAAATAACAGACACTATATTTTTAATGGAACAAGCTGCCGGTGATGCACAGATGGCTCTGTGTTCGAATCATCATGCATTTCATAAAGTCACATGACGACACACTAGTAGTCTTGCCATATTTAAAGCCAGCACAAGCAGGAGACTCCCTTTAAACTTCAGACTGATTGGTGCATGTGCTGTGTGGTTTCACTTGTGCAAATTACACTCCTGCAGACTGTTAATCCTCAAGTAAACGTGTCCAGACTTTCTGACTGAAATGGTTTAACTGGAGCACACACATAGGAAGGAATGGCAAGGGTGGATGTGCATACGTAATGCATAATATACATTTTTTTATCACATGTTTGTAATGATTTATTTCGCATAAATTTCCCACTACTAACAGTACATCACTAGAAGGCATGTAGTCGTTGTTCAGTTTACAAACTGAGGTTATCGTTCCGGATGTTGTCTTTTAATGAGCAGAAACATGATGAGATTTTTCATGATTAGACTTTATTAGATATATTTATGAAATAAAACATGGTGCAGACATACCCAAACAGTAACAGCTGGGCTGAGTGAGATCTTCCACTCATTAAATTTCCTCAAACTTTTTATTTTTTTTCTAATGACAGTCATCTTCTTACCACTTGTCTTGTTTCATCCAATTAAGATGGACATTTCCATCACTGCCAGAGACCTTTGACTCTCCCCCTCAAGCTGCTGTCACCAGAGTCTAAGCTGCTCTTAAATTACCGAAAACCTTAAAATCAAGTAACTTCTGGGTCCCAGTTTGCACATAACTGGCAGAGATCACTTCTGGATGATTTGATGCTTTTAGTCTGGCTGTATTCAAGTCAGTTTTGGCAGATGTCAATGATTTGAAGCTCTGCTGTGACTGCGAGTTTACACGTTCTGTCTGTAAGTGTGTGACTGGTTCATTTCCTTTCAAATGTTTGTGTTAAAGATGCTGTTTGGACACATAGAAATAATGTATCCTTTAGGGAACTAGAGCATCCTCCAGCCATCTGTTCCACAATATGCCTGGACACCACTCAAACTCACGCACAAACACATTTTCTTGCTCAGCCTCTCGCTCACACTCTTCCCTATGAACACACACACACACATACACACCACACATACAAGTGGCTGTGTTGTCGCCAATGCTCTCATTTCATCCTTGTTTGTCCAAGCAGATCTGCCAGTAAACACAACCTTCTTGCTGCCATCCTTCACTCTGCCATATGCCTTTCAACATAGTTGCAACTATACCACTGACCTCCCGGTGGTAATCACACCTTCGGCCCGTGGTTCCATATGTGCGCTTCAGGAGGAAGAGGATGCATTCATTATTTTTACATTCATAGATATGTGGATGCGAGTGTCAAAAACCTGTTTTACCTCGAGTTTAAGCATCCTGTGACCCTGCTGGTTAGAGATTCTAAACAAATGTGACTCAGCCCAGCATGATGGATGTATCCGTGCTCTTCCCTTCTTCTCTCATTGCTTTTCTCTTGACACATGAAGAATTGCATCTGACTTCTACCCAGAATCCCCTGCATTTTGTACATTTCCTGAAGTTTGTGGTGATGGATGATTCCAAATGTCAAGGCCTCTTTGGTCTTGCATATTTTATGGGCATGTTCCTGGAAAGTCTTGGAGTTTTTAGGGTTTTAGATGCACTTTTCATTGAGATGGTCAACATGGTGTGCAGACTTTAGACGTTGCCAACAATTCGCTGGAATATGGAATTGGTGTTGTTTGTAGAGTTATGCTGCGTTCCAGTTACTTCGGAAGCCGGATGTCGGAGCTGGGAATGACGTTACACCCAAGTTGACGGCGTTCCAGTAAACAAGTGGGAGAACCAAGATGGACGCCGAGTTTTAGCCATTGTTAGTTGTTGTTAGCGGTTGTCTGCTGTTGTTCGTTGTTGTTAGCTCTACCAGTTATAAAAAAACGCATAAATAATACATTACAAGAGCATCTCCCAATCTGGAAGTCTGGGGTTCAATCGCAGGTCCTGCTGCCCACATGTTGAAGTTATTTCATTCTTACCTTTGGTTTTGGTGCATTAAGGGGCAGTTTTCAGGGGGCACGGGTTTGCGTGAGGTACTTGTCAAATGGTCAACATATTAGTCAACATTATCCACATGGGATCCTGGTCAGCTTGGTCCTTCTGGACTTGGCTGTCACCCACTGCAGACAGGGTCAGCTCTACTAAGTAATTTGGGGAGTTTTGACAAACTCTGACCCAGCCCAGGGTTTACTCCATCAGCAGGGTTTGATAACCAGCTTCCGTTCACGCTCTCAGGACAGTTACTCAACAAAAAGGCTGAGCTGACCGGGATCCCCTGTGGGTAATACACCAGCTATTGACACGTACCTTGAATAACACCACTTGAAAAAAAAGAGAAACTTTCCCTTTCCCTTTCGAGTGACCCACCAGCGCTCACATGGCTCGAAAAGCCAAATGAAATACTTTAACCGTGGATTGCCCCTTGTTGGGATTATGGATTGGTGGTACATACTGACTGGTTGGGTGGAATAACACAACGACATCCTGCAGGCCATTGATCTCCCAACAGATCAATGTGATCAATAATGGAGTTTTGGCATAGTCATTGGGTGTTTACTTGACTTTGTAAGTCAGCGAGAGGGTGACATACTGTACATGTAACCAACTTATTTCAATGGTTTACAGAAATTCCTCCATTCAAATGACTAACACTAAAAAACTCATATATAATAACATCCTCTCTGCTGTTGCCACTAGAAAATCTAATACCATCACACACTGTGTCACAGTTAATGTGAGTCCGGCACTCATATGTCCTCCTTGTGAGATACCATCTGGCTCCCAAGCACAGTCAGAGCAACTGAACTAGAGGGGTTTCATCCGGCAGCACAATGTGATGTCTGGTGGTGTGACAGTAATGGCCTACTAAATACTGGCACACACTCTGACATATAGCATACTGGGTGCGTAAATGCATTTCCAGTATGAGAGCCGTGATGATGGGGATTCAGCAGATGAGTTAGAGCAGATTATTGTTCCTTTGACCTCCTCAAACAGACTTCCTAAGTATTAAAGCTACATGGTGTTTGAAAGGATGGGGCAAGAAGTTGCACACAGTAAGCTTTCACCATGGAGACTGCAGCTGGATTAACTTGGACTGGATTTAAACATGTTTATGCTGGTCAGGGTGTAGTGACAGCTCTGCAGTATCTCATGTAAAGATGCTGCGTTTGAAGACCCTTTTTGTACATTTGGTCCTTGTTTGATTTGTATTGTGCATAACACAGAGGTTGTAAATGAGGCTCATGCTGTTGAGTGAATACTGCAAATGGTTAACCCTGTTTTATTGATCCACAGGTGGCTCATGTCAAGAGCAGGACTAAAGACTTCAAGCTGTTAAAACAAAGATTTAAAGGTCCACTGCCATGTGTAATTACAAATACAATTCAAAAACTACCTTTTCAGAGTTAATTCAGTACACAGTTTGGCTCATAATACTTAATTTAAACAGAATTTTTATTTGTTAATTACAACCTAACCTGGTCGATACATTATCCGTTTAGTGAAGTCATTATCTGGACTGGTTGGGATACCCTCAGTCAAAACAGGAGTACTTCAAATGTGGCATATTTGCATTTCCACAGCCCTCTGTGTGCCGAGGTAACTCGAATCATCTACATGAGACACATCAGACTTTAAAACAACTTCAGTGTAATCCAATAATAGTCATTAAAGGATGCCCAGAGAGGCGGTACGTAAGCTAGCAACATGTTGAATTAATTCTCCACAGGATTCAAATCATTCTGCTAAGAGATGCCAATATCACTGTTACTTGTAAACAAAATTTAACGACCTGATTTGGACATGCATGTTTGACGTGCAGACGTGTTGGATGGTTTAATGCACTTAAATAAGCAGAAGAAGAAGAAATTGTGCCTTCCTCTCATTTCTGTTCCTCACAAACACCGCTGTCACTGCGTCATGAAAGATAATGTGATACAAATAAAGCAGAAAAAAAACAAACAAAACAAAAGCACAGCTGTCGCTGCATGCCTGTCGCTGTGCATCAGAGATTTCATTAATCGTGACTTCAGATGTCTGAACCATTGAGATGTTCAGTGGTCTTTTAGATAGAGTCTGTGTAACTATGATGAGTTTAATCACCAAATTGTTGTTTTTGTTATCTAAATTTGAGCCTTTTACATCTGTGTGAATGACTGGATCCCCTTCTTGCGCCATCGTGTTTCTACAGTGACGCGAAGAGCCCTACACATTTTGATTTCAAATGAGGGGCCACCAATAACGTACCGGATAGAAGATGCTGAAAAAGAGAGTGGTTTGTGTTGTGTGCAAAGATCTGGATTGGTAGACACTTCTGAATTTATCCAAAATTTGAGTATTTATTCGAACATATTCAAACTTTTTATTCAAACAAGCTGTCAGGATACAGAGCGTACAGTCTATAGGAGCATCAAGCAGTCTGTAATAACTTGCTTTTGGTCCAGCAGAGGGCACTCTCATCGTAACCCGACCATTGCATGTAGTGTTGACTTCAGTTAATTAATATTCCAAATTGCAGCACCTGCTTGAAACAACTCGGTCAACTCTGACTGCCACTGCTGCTGCAAATTTGACCTTTTAAGTTTAAGAGTCGTCTTTTTTTATTGAACATTGACTCCATTACCAACAGCTAATGTGTGTTTTGGCTCAACTTAAAGCTGACCCAGAAGCACACATATTTAATGAATACCACAGACTCTCTCATTTTCCCTTCTGCTCTATAATCTTTTGTGTGGGACTGGAGATGGTATGGGAGTTTTTTATTTATTATTTATATGTGTTCCCTTCTTTCGAGCTTTAACTCCATGCTTAAGATGAGATTATGTGTGCACCAACTTGCCAACGTGCACAGCCATATACACACACACCCTGATGGAGTCAAGCTCTGTAAACCAGCCAAATAAAAATCTTCACTGAGGGAAATAAATCTTGTTAGAGAGATTTTCCAAAGCCTGCTTAACTGTCTGGTTTTAGTGAGGAAAAAAAAATCTGATTTAGGCTCAAAAGTTTATAAAATTGGGATACTTTGTAGAGAAAAATTATCAAGTATGATAATTATCTATGAAATTACCATCCCTTATCATAAATCATCAGAATACATCAAAATGTTTCATGGTTTTGTAAATTCAAGCTGTGACGAATCTCCTTTTCACGAGAAGTGGGTTGCACTCATACAGTCACCACAGTGTTGGCATTGCTAAAAAAACCACAGATGTTACATTGAATAATTGATTGCCTGTTTTCCTCTGTGATATTTTGTCTCTCTTCCCTCTGTTTCCTTCCCTCCACCTCCTGGTTTTTGTCTGGCCTTCCCATCTCAAGCATTTTATTCATAAGTGCTCTTCCTCTTCTTAAATCCACTTAGCTTCAGTCTGCTCTCGCCATGGCAGTGCACGGTCACGGTTATTTTAAAGCCGGTCGGTGCCATGAGGCCCGCTGAATGCCTTTGATGCTCAGCAGCCTGGACAGGAAACTCAGCTCAGTGAAACACTTCTGTCACTCAAAAGTTTTTTCAGGAGTTAGCGAGGTTGCTCTTGTCGGCACTGATTTGTAGAGGCACAAAGTCTCAAAGGTAAAAGTGCAGCACTGTTGTGGGTTGCTGTCTTGTAATAGCCAAACCCAATACTTTTAAAATATTAAATTATAGAGCTGACTTTACCTTGTCCTCAAACAATATGAGTAGCTGCATGGTTGAACTGTATTGTTCTGTGTCTGGTTATGAGGGTCATGTAGTACACTTGTTTCTCCTTGTTTTGTCATTTTACTTCGATTCAGCTTTTGAATCAAGATTTATGGGGCGTTCACACCAAGTGTGAATAAAATCATCTACTTGCTTCATTCACGTGTATCTAGACATGTGAATGAAAAGTATTTACTCGCTTCATTCGCGCGATGGACTCGCTCTATTCGCGAGAATCATTTAGTCCATTCGCATGTGGATAGCTGTTTATGCTCATTTCAACAGTGATCCTTGCCAATTCAACCCAAGGGATCAAGTGATAGACAACGGTTTTTCACAAGTTACCAGTTAATCCGACCTCCTCGCTCACTGTCCTCCAGGTGAGCTCCTTTTTATTCCTGTTTTTATTAGAAAAACATGGATTCAAGAGAGGGGGAGCGTCTCCATCAAGCATGGTAGGAGTGAACCACGTTCATCAGATTGCTGCTTTGTTTTTGTTGTGGAAGGCCCACAACCATCAGCGATTTAGACTCCACCGTGTCTGGGTCTCCTCCAATAGCTGCGCCTGGATGACGGATCCCAGCGTTTTTGTTTTTTTTAGGTTACCTGAGCCCAATTTGATGACCTGTTGGTGAGGGTCAGTGTTCACACCAGTGAAAATCTTTTTTTTTTCCGTTTGAGTCACCCCGGAATCTTCATACTGATTGGTCATCGCGACACAAATGTTCGCTTGAGTTGAGATATTTACAGCTCTCGCGAATTCGTGTCATTCGCGCGAATAAATGACACGCTCAATGTTTGCGATTTGCGCCGCCCAATTTGCATAATTCATGCCACCAGAGTAGTATGAGCGTCTAATCACTTCTAATCGCATCTTTGCATCTTTGCATCTTTGCATTGACTTAAATGTATTTCATCTGTGCGAATGATTTTACTCGCGCTTGGTGTACACACCCCATAAGAGTCCAGTGAGAGAAAAGCACCCACACTACCACTGAAACTTCTCGAACAGTTCACATAATAATTAAGTGGTGCCTTTAAGTAAAAATATTTTACTGTGAGGAAAAATAAGGACTTTGACTTTGCTGGAATCTACCGTAGAAAACAGCTGTTGTTAGACCAGATTACAGCAGTTACAAAGGAGCTATTCTTCAAGGCCGTATAGTGACAACAACCCTTGTGATGGAAACCAAAGTAGAGCAATTACACTGAAGGAAAAAAAAAACTCAATCACATACAGTACAGTGGAGCCTAACATAGAAAGTGTAAGTGGAACAGCAGACCGGACATTATACTAATAACGGTGTAATACATGACATATTCCAACCCAGTCAGGGATTATGTAAAACAGTGACACGGTTCCTCCAGGGCAGTTCGTAAAAGACCTTCAATCAATGCCCAGTGTGCATAAAGTAGTGAGCAGTTTCCTCATCTCTGAGTGCACTCATGGGGTGTTGAGGAATTCTGGTTTTAGAAGAAGGCATGAAGTGCATGTAAATCATATTGACGTCATATAGATGAGCTTTATTTTTTTTTCTGCTGCAAATGGAAAGACTATTATTACAAGAATAAAAGCCATTTCAGCCCGAGTGTGCTAATTGAACTGAGCCATGTGACCTTGTTTTAGGGAGCGACTGCTAATGCACATGTGCTTTCTAAGACAAAGGCAGTCGTAACTGCCCCAGAGCCGAAACAAGCCAAGGCCATATATCTGGATTACAGTTCAGATTTAACATTTGGGACTTGACAAAGTAGCCTGGAACAAGCAGCCGGAGATATTAAAAGGGGCTGCTGCAGGAAGATGGCAAAATCCCATGGGACAAAAGGTGAAAAGGAGAAGAAGAATGAAACCAAGTCACTGAAACCACAAAATGCCAGTGCTCTCTCTATGCGCTCTTCAGTCGAGGAGGTCTGTCTGAAGTTACATCTGCTGACAATGGCGGTCTGTGTCTGTCTGTGCCCATGTACAAAAGCTGCTGTTGTTTTTGTGTAAGGCTGGCACCGAGGACTGAGGCTACTGGAGAGGAAAGGAACCTGGTTACTGCTGGGCTGGCTAACTACAGGGCATATGAGACTCAAATATAAACCTGTATATACGCAGTCACATGTTCAGTCTGGAAAAGAAGTCATCCCTTTTTACAAGCCTGATTCCAAATCAGTGGAGTAACAGCAAGTTTTGATGGTTAGCTAATCATCCAAACCCCATATTTGATTGAGAGTAGGGCTGGGCGATAAGGGAAAAAGTTTATTGCAATGTATTTTTTCATATCAGGCGATATCGATTAAAATCACTTGTCAATTTCAGATATCTTCTGTTCAGGTCCTTACAACACTGTTTGTGCAGCTCTTCCTTCTTGTTTTCATAAAGATACGTCATTTGGTTTGTTTAAGTGGATTCAACAGGACCTTCACTGGTGAAAGCTGCCATCTTGGTTGTTTACGTTGAGGTGGCGCTCCAGTGTTGACATCTTAAATCTCGGACTGCCACTAAGTCTGACACTGATGGGAAAACACTGAGACAGATGGCAGTTTTGGACCCAAATGCCTGTGAAAGTGAGTATGAGCCGGCTGATTGGTCGGGCAACACCAGCCTAATATACTGGTGCTGATGGATGTGAAATAAGACTGACGAAAGGCACATGTACAGAATCTCTGAGTGGAGGTGAAATGCTCTTTCAAGTTTTGATTTTATAACCCAGTTTAATTGGACTAGGTTTTATGATATCAAGAAGGAAAACTGCTAACAGCAGATTAAAGAGACTCTTTTTATCTGCAGCTGTTTTAAGTGTGGAAAATATTGTGAATGAAAGTTAGAGAGGAAGAGTCAAAGTTAGAACCAGAGGATACTGTCAGATTTGGCTTTTATCGCTGAATCTCTGAGTTCAAAGAGAGAAACAAAGTCGGGAATCACAGCTGAGACTTTTTTTTCTTCAGAGAAAGTTTGAGTTTGTCACAGACCCCCTTATCTGATGAGCTTTGGAGATGGTTTTGTTATTTCAGGCAGCGATGAAGTTAAGTTGGGAACCAAAGCCAATGTGTTTGATGAAAGTTAATTGAGGCTTGTCTATTGATTTGTCAAGCATGTCGTTCAGAGAGGAGTGGGCTGAGAGTGAGCTGGATCTCCACACAACTTTTTTTTTCTCCCAGTGAAAAAGTTCATCAGGGGGCCGCTGCTGTGACCAATTGGTGGGTTGAAAGTTGATTAACCCCCACCCCCACCAGCCAACCAGCCCCCTTTAGTCACACACTCATTTCTATAGAAATCTGTGGGTGGGCACTCAGAGTGGCCGGATGTACTTACACATATATCTAAATGAACACACACGCAGATACACTTTATCCATATGCATTCAAGCTTATGTTTCAATACAATTATATACATATATTTCTCATTGTTTATTTTAGGTGTGTGTGTGTGCGTGTGTGTGCTGTGTGCCAGACAAGTGAGGAATTGGGGGCGTGACCCTGCACTGAAAGATAGAGAGGAGAGGGGATGGTTTGGTATCCATGGCGATAGAGAGACTCGGGGCAGGAAGCCGACAGGAAGTAAGGGTGTTCCACACGCCATCGGGGGACTCTTCCGTTGTCATGACGCTGTGAACTGTTGTCATGGAAACCCCGCTGAATCAGGCTGAATGCTGATGAAAAACATGTTGACTAGATTATTAATGAATGCACACCATCCACAGCCTCCACACGTGCTTTAAGGCATCAATTTTAAAGTTACACGTCCAAACTGTCGGCAGAGGAGTCCGGGTTGATCGTTTTTGAAGTATAAAATGCGTTTCCTCCTCCGTGTTTCAGCTTCAAACTTTGAGCTAAGGCAGAAAATCCTTCAACAAAAAAGTTTCTTCAAAGCTCCTTTTGAAGATAGTTGCAGGGGTGTCATTAAGAATTCAGGGTATCATATCGGGCTCCATCACCACAGCCTGAGACGACCTCAGTGAAGTTAATGTCATATTTCCTCAGAAGACCTGTTTGGGTTGCCCTCCAACTCTTTTAGTGCCATCCTGTTTCTGTTTCTGCCTGATCTTTCTTCATCTCTCTTTCCCAGTCTGCTAACAATTGTGTCTCTGTGTGATCGGTGAGCTTCTCTGGCCGTAGACCTGGGTCCTCTGGCAAATACTCCAAAGTCTCTGCTCTCTTCACTTCCTTCATCCTCTAACATATCTCATTCCTCTCTGTCTGTTCCAAGGGCTGAACCCTCTTCAAGCATGGAGCAACAGGATGAATCCCGGCACTTTGTCCGGCTTTTAGTCTGACATACAGTGAAGCTCAGTAATGGATGTTCATGTTTCCAAGCTTCCTTTAGTTAAGACTCCTTTGAGGCATGATTTCTTGGAAACGACTTAAGTCTCACATCTTCAGAAACACTATGAAGTGTGGATGCTGAGAGGCAGGCTACCTCTACACTTCCAGTCGCTGTTCCTGAAATTAAAGATCATGTGGTTCATGAAGTTCATTTATGCCAGCCAATATTGTGGATAAAGCTACATAGCATTGTTATTATACTGTTTTTTAGTATAATAACTGTTTTTTCAAGAATTAAGAGTTTTTTATTTGAGATAAATGCGTGTGATTCAGCCGGCAAATCCCTGGTAATGGTTCTTAATCATTGATATCATGGTGATATCAATATTAATCAATTTCTGCAAACTAGAGCAGAGGACTCGAACCTCTGCACGGCTCACTAAAGACTAATCAATGCTGTTAGATACCAGAGAATCTGTCAGCCTTTTTTTTTTCCCCCCAGAAGCTGATGTATTAGTCTGCAGCTCTGCTCCACTGAAATGCAACAGGGTTACTAATCACATACATACACACACTTACACACACACACACACACACTGGATACACACTGTATTTTCTCTCCAGAGCAGATGGAAAAAGTGCATCTCACTGCTCTAACAAGGCAGGCAGATTAGTAAACACACACACACACACACACTTGGTCCTCTCACAGCTGAGGTGGACACGTGCACTCATACATGCTCAGTGGATAAACTCTCAGCCTGCATGCGCACTGGGACTGGGAGAGAGCGTTTGGGTTGACACATTAAACACAGACACACACGCACACAGGCGCACACACGCATCCTCGTCCTCCTCTGTCCAGTTGGCTGGCCTCCTTCAGTCCCCTGTGCCTTCTCCTTTTTTATGTGTGTGTCCTAAATATCATCTCACACCACACACTCCTTCATGTTTACATAATGGTTTAATTCATCCGCTCTCGTACTTGTGTTTGTACTTGGTTTATTAGCGACATGTCCAGGGCTAAATCCCTGGGTGTGTGTGTGTGTGTGTGTGTGCCATGTGTAGATGCAGGTCATTTATTCATGACTGTTTGATAAGACGTGTCCGAAGCCCGAGGCAGAGATTTCAGGTCAGTCCCTGGCAGGATCTCTGTGACTCACAGCTCATCAAACATATCTCAGCTCCAGGGCAGCATGTGGAGGTATCTCTCTTATTTATCCTTTAACACCCGACTCCAAACCAAACCAGGGCGGATCAGCTTGTTATCAGGCAGCTCCGAAAGAAAGCAGGTGAAATCGGGAAAATCCTCACTGAGGAAGAACCAAAGGTTGACCGGCTTAACAACTTGAAAGTCAAGGCTGGAGAAAGACTTGTCCTGCCACTAATTAGACCAACACTGATTAAACAAAAGTATGCACTAAGACTGGGATTAGTATCAGGCTGAAGTTGTCTGCTCAACTGATACTTAATGATTTACAGGTAAGCCTCCTCTGTGTGGTAAATTCACATGACAAGATCATTAAATGTGTATCAGCGGAGTGGACAGAGTGTGCGCCTCATATAGAGGGTTGGCTCTTTGCTGCATGTCACCCCAATGCCTTTTTCCGTCTATTGTAGCCCCTATAAGTGGTACCCAAAAACTCATCTTAGAAAGTGATGATTCTGCGTCTTAAGTAGGACACGAAACTCATGGCTAGAGCTGCTTAATTACGGTAAACGATATAATAAGGATTTTTTGATGATTATTAAACACAGGTACTCATAAAGAGACATCTACATCACATGCATTCAAGACCTAAACACTTTAAAACTCTCTGAGCTCTTAAAAAACATCAAACATATTCAAATAAAAGCAGAAAAAAGTGAGATTTTTGTTTACCAAAACATGTTTATCTGTCTAAATTGATTTTAAAAAAAAGATAATATTCTCTAAACTAGATAACAGACTTTCACTTGTAGTAGAGAAGGAATCTCTAACAATCTGTGTTATCAAAAACTAAAGCATCCCAGCTCTTTCAGCACGTGGCAGCAGTTGTTTCTAAAGTTGGTATAACTAGAGAAGCAAGCGGTCGGCAACATTCATCTCTCGAAAGAAACGGTGTGTTTGACCCTATCTTAATTTTACGCCGGAATATCCCTTTAAGGCTACAGCTCTGACACATCATTCAGCCTGTTTTACGCTGTCCCTTGGCTTTTCAGGCACACTGGACACGTGCTCACCTGCCTCTCCTCTCTTCACCTGGAGCTACAGGATAGTTTGTATCCCTGTAGCTCAACATGTTGAAGATAAAGCAGACCTCCCTCATGACTTCACCTGCGATTATTCTGTATTGTTCGTATCTGAAGAAGCGGCAGAAACAGTTTGGGCAGGATTTGCATAGTGCCATCCTCGCCATGAAAAAAAGATGCTCAAATCCAGCCCTTCAGGCGTGCTCCTCCTCCAAAGTGCAACAAAAAGACATGTTTTTAACCCAAAGCAGCTGTGCTTGTATCCCTGTCTGACTCATGCTGTCAGTGTGGGTATTATTCATCCACACAGCTGGCTGTTATTAATTCTTTTGACTGCAGCTCTCTATGAATTAGGAGCACTGTGGACTGCTGCTTTTACTGCCGGCGTACTGGAGAGAGTACTTGGGTACAATAAGGATCAGGCAAGAGTCTGGCTTCATAAATCTCATACCCCATCCAGCAGAGTAATTACTACATCTGTAGCTGTCCTCGGTTATGCTCTTAAAAAATGTTAAAGACAGCTAACTCCAGGCTGTTACCCTGTTATATATTGAAGTCTTCTCCTGCAGAGCTGAGCCATCAGTGTTCTCTCATCAGGAGTGAGTGTTTTTGGTTAAAGCCTGATTAAAGAGTTTTAAATAACAGCAGTTTGGGTTTTATTGGACTTTGGTGGAGCCAAAGGGCTGTAAAGGAATTTGTGATATCCCATCTGGCTGGGCATAGTGGAGTGATACCTAACACTGTAAGTGTGGTGCATGCATGTGTCCATGTGTGAGTTTTTTAACCCCCCAGCTGTTCAAGCGTATTACCACCTCTAACACAGGGCCCCAAATTCTCACGGTCACTTCTTACCACTCGGACGACTCACAAAACAGACCCCCTTTTTACCCAGCAGAACAACTGGACTTCATAACACACACACACACACTCTCTGCTACACACTCCCAGATCCTAGCGATAGGCTCGTCTGATAGGGTTTTGTGTTGCAGCATTAATGCCGCTGTATCCCTGTGATACAATGCACGGTTTGTGTAGCGCTCTGTGACAATAACCTTCATTTATTATGGAGCCTAATCTCATTAACTCATAACCTGTGCTGCTGACGGTCTCTGTGAGGCTGGGGAGAGGAGATAGATCGGCTAATTTCATTAGTAACAGGGCAAAAAATGTACAGCAAGGACCTTAGAGGAGAATTCAGTCATAGCTCGAGAAAAATTGAGCATACTAACATCAAGTTTTTTAGAACTTACCATCTCTGCATGTAACGAATAAAATGTAGGACTTTAAAACAGCTCAATTTTCAGTATGTGCAAGGTATGTTTGCATGTAATCTATGGTTGTAAATAGGGTTGGGTATCATTTGGATTTTACCGATTCCGATTCTCAATATCGATTTCTGTTCTAAACAATTCTCGATTCCGATTCTTTCAGCTGGAAGTCAATAGGTCACAGCCTATTCATCAGGAGAATTTTTGTTGCACTGTGTTACTCCGTCCTCCTCTTTCAAATTAAAATGAAGCTAGATGTTTCTTTGCGGTCCGTGTTCAGATGAGTGACGTTCTTGCTAGCGGATGCACGGAGAACGCCGAACGGAGTAATACACGCCCCGAAAACAAATTAGTGTGGGCACTTGGAACCGAAAAAAAGACCTAAAGTTCAAAAGTCTGCTTAATGGTTCTGGAACCGGACGTCTGGAACCCAACCCTAGTTGTAAACTGTTGCGTTAGTGTTCACAGACTTGCTTGTTTTTCAGCCTCTGAACGAGTTGCTGATTAGATTTTTGCTCGACAAGCCGTCAACAAAACAGAGCTTCTTGAATTTCTGGGCCAAGGGTGGCGTAACGTCATCCACTAGCCATGTGAGAAAGTGTTGGTGAACGTACCGAGGAGGCTGTTAAAGCCATAATAAAAAATCAGGGTTATTTCTCCAACTGCGACTATTTATATATCCTGACAGACCAATTTTGAACTCCCTTCCTTGGTTAAAACATAAGTATTGTGTTGTTTAACGATAAAATGAGCTTGTTTTTTCATAGAGACAACATCTATTTGTTATCTTGAACAGTCAGTTGGGAAGTAAAGAAACTTATTTATCCATTTTGACACAACAATGAATAATAATTCTTATACATCCTCTACAGCAGGTCACTTGTAGATAGAATGAGTAGACAGAGAACTTTCTGTTCTTATTTGTGTCCTCCCCAAAAATCTTTATCTGGTCCTCGGGCAGTTTCACGGCTGGGATAAAATTAAATGTTTGTTAAACGGCTGACATTGTCTCAGCGCGAAATGGATAATCGATCAGCGAGGTAAATGAATGTGCAGCGCCTTAAACACCCGAAGAGAAATGTGCACTCTGCAGACAAGAAGAAAAAGGTAATGGCTGTGTGAGAAATCACAAACTTATTACTCCTTTCCTGTTGAGTTTAATGTAGTGTGGTGGACTGAACCGTGAGCCCAATAAGAAAAAGTCTTTAGGACGCCTCTCGCCAGACACTGCGTTATGATGAAGATTCTGCAGGTTAGTGTTGGCTGGAGTTTAAACAGTTAGTCCACGATTCATAGTCTCAGTTTGGACAGCAGTACAAAGAGCAGATTTCTACAGCAGGGGGTTTGTGGTTGGTTTTGGACGGAGTTGATCTCTTTTGACTGTTTTGTCTCGTGTTGCCATCTTGTCCACGGCTCTGTGCGCTCTCCCTAATCTGACATCCAGCACATCGGAGAGGCTGACAGAGTGAGATAAGGTGACAGGACCCGAGAGGAGAAGTGGGGCTAACACTAATTTAACCAGCTGACACTCAACACAGCTGAACGCTATATACATTAGAGTCTGGCCCCCTGGAGGTATGTGCCCTGGTGGATGTGTGTGTCTGACTGTGGGCGTGTGTTGGTGACACTGAGGTCAACAGGTGAGACGTTTTTGTGTCTTCATCAGAGATCAGTCATGGCAGTTGGAGTGCTTTCACACGGCAAAGAAATTTCATGGTAATGACTTTAATTGTCTTTGACTCGAGGAATGTTAGTCGTTATGATTCGACGGGAGGTTTCACTGACGCACCGTCTGCTTGGAGCTCTTAAGAGACAGAAAAATACCAAAGTGTTGACGATCAGGAAAAATCAAATCATAATTGAGCCTTTTATTCAAATGGCCATTAGTAGAGCCTGAATTTCATTTTACAAAATGAGGAGGGATTTTTTATTGGTCCGCTTAAATATACTGTGATGACTTTTTCGTCTGGCTATGAAATAGAAAACCTTGATTATGTGACGCACGATAGATGCTAATACCTCCATATGATCAGCAAAATCAAACCAACTGACTTGGACCAGCCTAACACCGTAAAAGTCAAATCTTTTGTCAAGCCAACCTTGCAGAGAAAAACTACCCGTCAAAACCCGACAGTACTCGCCACTGCAGAGCAACATCAACTTGCTCCAGTGTTTCCTTTATAGTGTATTTGGCAGGGCGGGACGGATACCCCCCGTATTCTGGTCGCGAGCACTTATACCCCGCAAGGTTTGCACAGGATGGTTTTGACAACCCCTGGGTTTTGGCTCCTGTCCTTCATGATTGCCGCCAACAAAACAATAAAAAAAAAAGGTCATGTAGCATCGAATAGGGATGCACGATATTTATCGGACCGATAAAATATCGGCCGATTTGGGGGGAAATTCGCGCCTTACTCGCAGGTCCCAAGCCTGACCCCGTCACTACCTGACAGATAATAAAATGTCTTCACCAGCATGGTCGTTTCTCTCAGTGGCAGAAGATGACAACAGCTGCTATATGCAAAACCTGTTCAGCGAGGATTCCGAGAGGAGGAAAGAAGACGTCAAGTATTGACACAACGAATCTGATAGCTCATCTGAAAAGTCGCCATCGCGGCGAAGCGGTAGTAAAAGAATATGAGACAGCCGCCGAAGCTGCTAGCGGTACTAAAGCTAAGACAACAACACTACGGAGGATCGATGTCCCCATTCAGCAGGCGTTTAAAAACTGCAAAAGCTTCTCAAGAGACAGCGAAAAGGCTAAAGCCATTAATGACAAAGTGATGGAGTTCATAGCGGTCGACGAACAGCCTTTTTCCGTCGTTGAGAACCCGGGTTTTCGTAAGTTCATAGCACACTTGGAGCCACGTTACACTCTCCCAAGCCGCCGCTTCTTCTCGGATGTGTCTCTTCCTGCACTCTATGATATTGTCGCCACATACATTCACAACCTGATCGACAAGAACGGACTACACGTGAGTTTTACCACAGACATATGGACGTCAGATGTTAGTCCGGTCAGCATGCTAAGCCTAACGTCTCATAATAGCTCCTTTACAGTTTACAGTTCTGTTGAACAGTTCAGGGGATCAAATGAAGTTCTGCTTTTTGCTCTGTTATTGTTATTTATAGCAAATGACCACATTTGAAGAGCCAAAAACTTTAGTTTGTTGTTCTAGATAGGCCAGAGCAACAAAAACATCAGTTTTCAATCGCTGCATCCTGCACAAACTGCAGATTATATGAAGATTATAATAAATGTAAAAATATGAATTTATCGGTTATCGGTATCGGTATCGGCCATGAGAAGAAGAAAATTATCGGTTATCGGTATCGGTTGAAATTTTTCATATCGTGCATCACTAGCATTAAACTGTCCTCGAACGTTCAGCACCCCAATTGAAAATATCTGCATTCTTCAAAAAGACGGTACATAGTGATAAAACACCCTTTCCATGTTTGTCCTGCTGCAGATCCATCTTGCAAAGTTTCAGGCTGCCACATTCGGTAGCTATGGGCGTATTTCTTAACGGCAGCCCATGAGGAAATTTGATGCTTTTTAGACTCATTTACTAACTTTGACTCTGTATAGATGTAGTTTCTTTATATTGAGCCACTCCATGTATTGGGACTGCATTCATGTAAGACACACAAGCTGTTAAAAGCTTATTAAAAAGATAGTAACAGTGTGCTGATATTCTTGCTTTCCAACGAAAAACCTTCAAAGATTGTTAAATTCACAGACTCTTTCACTCCTGTGGGTTGAACACGCAGGCTTTCTCTCCCTGGAGAAACACACTGCTCCATTTAATAAGACAACAGTAATCACATCTACTGTTAAAAATGGGTTTGTGACGGTGTACATGCAGGCGAAGAAAGATTCCCTCATCGCACAGATTCAGGCTAAATCAGCCCCAGGAGTCCTGTAATCCAACACGGTGCTATTCATTAGTGTGCAGCCAGGAGCGATTCACTTATCTCAACACTAACAACACAGAGCTTCAGTGAAACCTCCATGCACTGTCTCCATCCCAAAAGAGAGCCACCATCTAAGGCTGCATGTTGTTAAAAAAGTCATTTAAAAGTGCTCACCATTAGACTTGGATTCAGTGCAGCTACAAAACTTCGAAACGCTCCAAACTTCAGGTGTACCATCTGGCTGCACCTCTCCACCCTCACGCCAAAGTTTGATTGAAGGCAACAAGCTAGTACCCTGTTTTTCTGGGTCGTTAAAAAAAGTGTTTTGGAAATATAAGAAAAGTGTAACTGAAGAAGTGTAAAGGTCAAGGCCGAGTGGAAACCCCAAAACAATACACCTCCACACTTCATGACCAAAATCCCCCCTGGAATGAGCGGAACGTGATGGATTGATGCAGGAGGGTATAAGTGGACACACGAGCCCCGAAGGCGAGTTCATGACCTCTCACCTACAGTATCAGGAAGTCTGCTTCTGATTCAGAGCTTGTAATGTTTGGTGGATATTCCCTGAGAAGCTGATTTGTCTTGAATACATTATAACAAAAACAGTCTGTACTGCTGCTGACGTCTCATGGCACATTTCCATAGATATTTGATATTTGTTTGCTCTCAAAAAATACTCAAAACAACAGAAAAATTGATGCATTTTTAAAGGTTTTTTTTCTGTGAGTGTTACTTCTGCCCTTTTATTTATATTGAGCATTCTAAAACAGCAGAACAGTGCAAAGACGGTTAACAGAGGGGTTATAGATGTCCAGCTAAAGTGGCCAGTCTCAGAACAAATAAAGAAATACAGAAAACAAACCAGCAAATCAGCATCATATCGAGATCAGCACTCATAAGGCCAGTATCAGCATCATCTTTTCCATCGCCTACGACAACATATGAATTCAAAACGGTCACTGGCTAATGTTTGATGAAAATTATGATCTGATATATTGAATAATACAGTTTCTGAAATAAAGGTCTGGCATGCTCTGGTTTTCAGAGCAGAACTCGGTGTATATTTACATTTCATTAAAGACCCACTCCGATGAAAAACATGTTTTTCTTGTTGTCTTCATGCTGATATGGCATTTTTCCGATGCTACGGGGCATATCATGAGAAAACTAAGTGTGAAATTGCATTTCTGGATATTTCTACATTCAAATCACTGTGAGTCTGAACCTGCCATTTGGGTCTGCCAGAGATTCAGTGAGATTTTCTATGTCACAAATCCAAGCTCCGCCCACGGAGCCCCACTATGCAGGCCACACTCAGAGAAATAGAGAGGACAATCGCGGAACAGGCGTCTGTTTTAGTGGATTGAAATGCTTGTAAAAAAAAAAATTATATCAACTTTCATCATGTCCCTAAAGACATTAGTGTCCGAGAGCTGAATAGCTGCTATGTTACCTGCTACTTCTACTACACCCGTAATGTTAGGCTGCAAGCTAGCGTGAAGAGAGGTGTGCAGAGCAGTGCTGTCTCCGCCCACGACTCAGAGGTGAATTGCTAATGAGCTACTGGAGCTCTGCAGAAGAAAAGCCCTTGAAAATGACACGGGTAACGCAATTTTTTTGTAAAAACTTCATAATCACAATTTAAAGACCACTGAGAACACTTAAAGTGGTGAAAGAAAAAGAAAAAAACAGTCTTAGTGGGACTTTAAGTCAGTTAAAATGCACCTAAAACATGTTACAGACTTGGATAAACACATTTTTTCAAATGCAAAGCAACAACAGTGCAATCGCAGACCTGCTTGTATATTATCTGTATTGGGATTGAAAGGAGCTGTGCATGAGTTCTTCACTTTGAGAGCTTTGGCTTAATTTGGTGATAATACTCACTGATTTAAATCCCAGATTTCATTGTAGTGAAGTGTTTTTTACAGCATGTCATAAAAAAATGAAGATTTGAGCTCTTTTTACCACTTTGGTTTTCTCACAGGCTGCAGACCTAACACATCATTTAGTCTTTTCAAGCTTCGAATCGTGTCTGTAGTAACACCATGATCTGGGCTGGTATTTTATTATGATTCAGAAAAATGGCGATCACTATTTTTCACACTAATCTGAGCTGCTTATGTTGAAGGGAAAGTGGGAGCTGTCTGACGGGAGGGGCTGCACCAACACTCTGTTGTTGAGGAAGGGAGGGGTGGTGCACTTTGTTCAATGTATAGGACTGAACACAGCAGGCGTCATGATACCATTCAGTTCAGATTATCCTCTTTTTATGATCATAGGAGCTGTAATCCAAATTGAAATCTGATTCATCGCCCAGCTCAAACACACACAGAGTCAAAGTGGACACCTGCAGCCTGATTCATGTTAACCCTCTAAGTCGAGCATTCATCCTCACACATATGTGGCAGCACCTACTGGGAGGATGACACTATCTCCTGTTGGTCTTTCTTTGAGGCAGGAAGACAAGCCCTCGAGTACTGAAGCCAGAGTAGAAAGGAGGCTTGGGGGTTCATCCTCTTCTCTTTCTTAACAGTAAAATGAGATTATAACTGCAAAACATTGCAGTACCATCGCCTCTCTCTGACATTGACCTGGTAGCAGCGATAACAAACATTAAAAAATAACTGCAGAGAAATAAATGATCTTATTCCTGATAATCTCTGGCTGTTTCATAACCAGGTAAATAAAAAAAGGTTTTATTTCGCTAAAATCTCTAGGATTAGATCTGTAAACCCCAAACTAACACAGCACAGCTGTTTGTCTGATTGTGTAATAAATGATTGAAAATGTAAAAAGGATTATAACCCCAAAACGCTCCAAATTTCATTCAGAAACACAGAATAACAGAAGTCGCAGTAATCCTGTTATTAGCTCAGAAAGATCAGCAACAGTTTTTTAATCCAGCCCCTCTCTTGAGAACTTCCAGAACCAAAATAATATGAACACCGTTATGAGATCAGATCCAAAGTCCTCGCTGTGATTGAGATTTTACCAGGTGACAGCGAGCGGGCGTCACTTTTTTATTGCATCAACATGTTTTGGCTGTGCTTCGTTTTTATGAGCGGTAAATTCTCCTCAGTGACACTCGGGCATGAGAGAGAGGCTGCAGCCCGAGGATCAGGTGTCTGGCAGCTCACACATCCTCGTTTGGCTCCGTCTTTCTGTCTCACACAGTCAGCCGTGGAGTCACACTCACTCATGCCAACACAGGGGTCACAGGTCAAATTGAACTGCACCTTTAGTTTTGTTATGAATTTTAACGTCCGAAAGGAGGGATTGAAGAGGAGGCGTATGAATGCAGGGAGATGAAACAGATCACTATTGGAAAACTGCACGTCTGGTGACCTTTCCTCCATGAATAAAACACTATCCATAGAAATGTCATGTTGCCAGGTCTCTGAGGCCTCCTGGGAAATCTGATAAAGCAGATAAAGTGCAGATGGGTGGAATAATACAGTGATTCAGCTGTGAGCTTCATGCATGGCCTGCCTGCAGCATTGAAGTCCCATCACTATCTGCTCAGTGTGCTCTTAAAGCTGAGCCCTGGTGTCTCTTTACCCGCTCCTGCATATCCCCTCTTCCTCCGGCTTCCTCCGGTGACTGACAGCTACTGCATGTGTCTGAAGCCCAGCACTGCTTTTCAGATGTCAAACACGCCTGCATGGACCAAAGTCCAAAACTGGAGGCTGCCATTTTATTTTCTTCACAGTATAACCCATTTGAACTATTTCTAACCTATCAGCTGGGAAACATGTTGGCGACAGAAAAGACGGAGAAAGATTTAACCACATGTTCACATTTTCCAAGGTCTGTTGTGAACTAACTGCACAGATAAACCTCGGCATCTCAGGTCCTCATACACGCAGGTAGAAAAGACTAAATTGGGACCCATCTCTTTTGGCTATAAATGTAGTTAGAAGAGATAAAAAATGACAGAGGAAGATGTGACCAAAGGTCTTTAGCTGCACTCAAACCCCGGGCACTGCATGTCCTGGTCAGTCTCTCTACTACAGGCGCATTTTGAACTTTGGGGTTGGGGGTTTGACAGAGAAGGAAAACCTAGAGGAAAGGAAATATATTCATATATGTTTTTTTTTGTAGAGATGACCTTGAATTGAAAAGAATCAGACAGCAAAGCAGCAGAATTATTTTTATTTCCTAAAAGATGATATAAAAAAAGATTAAAACCAATGATGGGAAAACTGTCATTTTTGACACAATCAAGCTCCTGTGGTACGTCAAAAGGGAAAAAAAAATCGGCTGCTTGCATTTATTTCATTTAAAATTGCCACTATATTGGGAAGTAAGGCTGATTAACTTATGAAAATGTTTTGGTGAAAGATGACACTTCTAAAGTCCATTTACTTTAAAACTACAACCTTTTTTTACTTCCGGTACAATACTGATATTGTAGCCTTCAGTATCGACCGATACCGATATTGATCCGGTATTGGCACAAACTTGTGCATGACCAGTTTTGCACTCAGCTGCAACATCTTTTTCGGACTGTAATGAAAAATACTGCCACACAGCCGATATCACTCCTACTTCTTGCTACTTTGTTTGTACCTGAGTACACACTGTTGTTGTGATCGCATAGGCTCTACATGCTGGATCCGGGTGCTGTTAGCTAGAGGTACCGGAGTGGAGTCTGGGAGGGACTGCTTGTATCAGAGTGCTGATATCAGACATTTTAGATGCAGGCCGATATAATCCAATATTCCTTTTTTGGCGTTATCAATATCGTATCAGGACATATCGTATTGAATTTCCCTTTGGGGGCAAAGAAAGGTTTTCTTATTCTTATTCTCCTACATTAATAAAAACCTTAATGATTTAACTGCTCTGAATTCTGGTGATGACTCAGCAGGAAGAAAAGGTTTAATTAAGTCGACTCATCGCCCTCACACCTCAAACTGACCAATAAAAGATCGATGGATTTAGAATTCCTTATTCGAACCCTCGTTTCTCCTGCTCAGACAGTGTTTGGCTTCGAGGTGTAATCCATCACTTACTTTGTATTCATATCAGGAAGCATCAGAGGGCAGAGCTGAGCGCAGGGCAGCTGATTTTAAACCTGGTCCATCTGGTTTTGTGGTTCCACCTTTGTAAACATGGACTCAGGCCAGGTCCAGGTAAACACAGGTCACAGGACGAGCAGGAGACCGACAAACAGAGGGGAGGGTGGTCACCGCACTGACCTTAAACGCACATTTAACTCATATTCTGTCAGTGTGTTGTATTTTCGTGTATTTGATCAGTGATAGTGTTGAGTTTCTATGTAAAGATGAAATAATCTGAATGAACTCGTTTGGATTGTTCAGATGGAAGTGCAGTTCTCTCTCGTGTGCTCACACAACTCTCACTGAACCCACACGCAATCCTTAGGGGATGTGGCTGTGTGTTGGTTTGGTCGTATGTGTGTGTGCATGCATGTATGTGTGTGTGTGTTGCTGTGGTATGCCCAAATCAAAGTAGATTAGAGTCTCTCACAGTGTGATGTTAATGAAGCCATTATTTACGGTGCAACCCCTCTGTCAACTCCATTCTTCAGTTTTTCCCTTTTGCCTGCTTTCCAGATTTCTCACATCAGTCTCTCCTTGTGTTTGAATGAATGTGATCAACAGGTACATTGAATTTAAAGCAGGCGGGCTGAATGACACAAAACAGGGCAGGAAACAGGATTACAGATCAGTTCATCTATTTATCATTTGTAAAAACACTCTCAGTTTATCAGCTTCTTGTCATTTTCTTCTACTTTGCCTCATTATTTCTCCTCCTTCTTCCTCTCCTCCACTCTCATTCTCTCTCTTTCTCTGAGGCTTTATAGATGAGGTCCAGCCATTATTGTCCTCTTTCATAATATATTGGCTTTGTGTTTTTTTTTACTCCCGCTGCACAATAGGACCCTGATCATGTGACCCACACTCATATCTTCCAGAAAATTACTCATAATTCCAATTAAACCAAAATCTCCATTTTATATTCAGATTTTATTTTAAAGCAAAATTCCCATTTATTCTGAAGGTCAGAGAGAGCTTCAGTAATAACTGTGGAAAACCATGAAAAAGCTCCGACTTCATGCAATTTGAATATTTTATTTTAGGGACTGAAAGATGGAGACCTTTTTTTGCTCCGTAGTCGACTGACTGACTGAATAGCAGTGTTTGAAAGAAACGGCTTCATTTATTAAAAAGGGCGTCTGCATGCAGAAAGAGGGAATTGGTTTGCTATGACCGATAACTTGCATCGGCTGCTCAGTAAGCTTGAGTTTTTTGTCAATATACCCAATATTAATACTTATATTTACACACCTTTTTAGAATTAAATGTAGTGATGGGAAGAACAGTTCTTTTGACTGTACTGAATCTTTAGAATCTGTTCATTAAAATGATTCGTTCAAAAGATTCGTTCACTGAATCAGTCAGTGCTTCGGAGCCCCGTCCTGCTGGTGCAGTACATGAGTGAGTCACAGCGGCGCTTATCGGGAGTTCGTTGAACTAGCCCCTCCCCTCCCCTGCTGCTGAAGTCACAGTGTCAATCACTGGGTGACACATGTCGTTCATTCGCCAAGTTGTGAAGGAAGAATCACTCCCCTGCCCTGAAAAACTCACCTCTGTGTGCCGCCGACGTTCGCATCGCCACACCTCAAGTTGTTTTTTTCGTTTTGTTCACAGTCTGACTGATACATGTCGTTCATTCGCTGTGAGCAAATCACGAGACTCCGCCCACTTGCTTGCTCGCTGTTTGTGTGTCGTTCGCCAAAGAGTCAAAGGCGGCAGTTCCACTCCCGACCGGCACACCACGCTCGCGGCTGAGCTAAACTGAACTAAGAAAAGAACGAATCAGGTCTTGGAGTGATTCCATTCACATCGTTCACTCAGCAGTTCGGTTCTTTTGAATGGATCGTCCATGAACGACACGACACTAATTAAAGGACTGCAGAGTTTTTCTCATATTGTCTCCAGTCATGATGCTAAGGGTCCTGCATTAAAGTAAAGTAGGCTAACATGAAAATTATAAAGTTGGGAAAACTGAAAGATTTGGATAATCATTTTTAAACAAACATCTGTCCATACTTCATAAAATATAAAGCCAAATATGAACTCTTTGTGGAGAGGACCTATGCAGAAATGTTGTATACCATGGTACTGAGCCACTTTGAATCACAGCCCTAAGCATGTGCACCTTTTACCTGGTGGGTGGAGGTCAAGGTTTGCCGGCTCTGCTTTTCATGAAGCTCAAATTAGTCATCAGCGACCCTCAGACCAACTGGTGCCAATTCAGAGACATGACGCTCTTTTGATTTGGACATTTTGGAGCTACAAGGTTTGTGTAATAGTCATCAACTATCAGCCGGTCCAAGGCCCAATATTCACATCAGTGTAAGGTCTTCTCCACAATGTGAACGGCACTGAGGCACAAAGACAGGACTGAGTCGTTCCTCACTAAGATTACTAACATTGGAGGCAGAACCAGAGGAGTCACAGAGGTGGGATGGGATCACTGCGAGTTGATGCTCAGACCTGCTTGTTTGTGTGTGTGTGAGTGTCAAGCCTCTGCTGTGTGTGAAGCTCTGGAGTTTCTGCAATGATTTGTTAATCACACCCTGGGACACCAGTGTCACACTTTGGTGAGATCAATATAAAAAGGGCAGAGGGGTTATGAGGGCAGAGCGTCATTACGACACCACTGAGGACTCTGAATATGACAGGAGTGAGTTAGACTCAGGATCTAAAAGTATGCACTCTTTAATATTAATCTTAACTCCTTTTGTTTTTGCAGTATTGAACTGTTGAGAAGCCCATATGATATTCTTCATACATCATGCAGGCCTTAGATTTCGTGCACATATGACCTCCGCTCTACTGTAGTTGTTCGCCTCATGGCTTCTTGTTCGCAACCTCAGCTAAAGCCATCAGCATGTGGAAGTCTTCTCCTTCCTCTAACTTCAATCTCCAGTCAACATTTTCTTGATGAGCTTGTTAATCTTCTTCGCCCCGGTGGCTTCATAACGTGCATGCTAACACTGTCGGCAAATGATGGGATTGAAGATGGCCTATCTTCTTTTCTGCTTTTCTCCACTTGTGCTCAAAAATAACTCATTCAACTTGTTGTTTTATGGTGACATGTACTGTTTGGTTTCATTTAACCAGCACTGCTACAAAAGCCTTCATGTTCATTTTGACTCTGCCATGATAGATCAGGGACATCAAGTGTTGTTGATTTTGTGTGATATCTATCTGTCCCATCCAGGCAAGCCATTTAAAGCAGTGCCAATATTCGTTAGATTAGATTAGATTTGAAGTCAATCACTCACTTCTGCCTTAATCAGATCCATAGGTGGTAGTTTTTTCACTTTTCCTCCAGATATTCAGCAGAAAACTCCTTGGATCCTTCTGCAGCATAAGAAAAAAAGGAAGTAAAGTGAGTTGAACAAGTGTGAAGTCAAACATTAAACCCCTGTGGCGTCTTCTGAATATTCATCGGTGCAGAAGATTTTACGGATGATACAGAAGGGTTTTGTTTTCAGAGTTAGATGCGCTGCGTTGCACGGCTTCAAAAGGTCAACAACACGTATTTAAAACAGAACGAGCGCAGTTTGTCACGCACATGCTTTAATTTTCCTCATCGGCTGCTGTATACAGTAAACAATAGGATTATTCTGTGTTGATCTGAGCTTCATAAATAGACTTAATGTGCAGCTGGGTATGGTGATAGTTGACCTAAATCTGACTCTGCTGCACAGGCCTTTCATCTTCCTACAGGACCTTTTATTTTGGTGTTCCTGTGTTAAAAGAGAGGATTTATTTTGTCATATTCTCCTTATGTTTTGTATTTGTACCCCAGTTCCTCTAGATGAAGTCTGATGTTGCGTTCTGTATTAGCATTTAACCCCTTCATCTTCCTCCTCCTCTCTGTTCAGAAGAAGGCTTAGCAACAGGCTTTGTCAGATTGTGTGTGTTGTTCCTGTCTAATCATATTAAGTATGTCATCTGGTTGTATTTTAAGTGCTTTACAGAATCATTATCAGTCCTCGTTCATATGCTACATTAGTGGAATATAAATGAGAGACATGGCCTCTGTGTTGCTCTCTTTCTGGCTAGCTTATGTAAGCTTTAAGAGTTTCACACTCTTTGAAATTCAATGCACAGTTTAGCGTCTTTAAATGCAGCCATTTTCTGTAAAATCATATTGAGTGGAAGCTTAACGCTCCTCCAATTAAATTATGATTAGGAATGTTTAATTAAAGCTCAAAGTTAGCTTAAAAGCTTAAAGTTTTTTGACATTTACACGCCTTTTTGTGATATGAAAAGGCAAACAAGACCATCGGAGAGAAGATTGTCTTTATATTGTAATATCAAAGGCCTGAAATGCACGGCTTTGTGATTTGGTGCTATATAAATAAAAATTTATTGATTTTTTTGATTGATTGAAACTGGTGTGAGGGGGTAGGTGTTAATTTTTACAATTTCTAACCACAATATTATCAATTAATGATGCATCAGGCTGTCAGAAGTCAGTAGGATGAGATTTCTTTTCTGAAGATACTACGCTACCATGAAAAATACCAGATAAGCAAACACTGCTTTGCCCACAGGGGGCGCCAAAGTTGACGCAAACCTAAAGTTCCTCACAGGAGCTTTAATTAGGTCTATTGGTGTCTTCATCAGTGCAAGTTAGCACCAGAATCACCAGTTGGTTTAACTAATCAGAGCTACTTTTAATATCGAAGGCTGCCAATTTAGTTACAGGACAACCAAACAACAACTAGCTGTAGCCTGGGTTCCAATGGCTGATTGACAGCAGGCTGAAAAATAGCCTTTTTTCGCTTTTTAAAACAAACATGGCAAATGAGGTTACAGAAATACTGATCACAGATCTGCTGTTTCTTTGTAATAAATTCACATTTTTACTAACAAAGGATACCGATCATTTTCCAAACCTGGCCTTGCAAAAGCAGCTGTAGTTCAGTAACAACTAGAAAATCCTGAAAATATGTTTTAAAACAGCCACTGATGTTGCGAGACAAAATAAACCCCGACAGATCCCCTGCAAGTCTGAGAAACAGTTGGATAGTATTTACACAGAAACACAGAGTGAATCCAGAAGCTTCATACATCACTGTGTCCTCTGCTGTCCCTGGGTAAAATTACTACCATGAAATAGAAGGCTGCGTGTGCCTTTGTGAGTATGTATACGGCGAGGGAAAGTTAATAGATCCTTTTAAAGTGGTCTGCTGTAAGCCGATAACCTCTGATATCTTGACTCTGTACATGTGAGTGTCTATTACCGAGACCCAGGCTTGCTCTTTTGCTCTCGCAGTCACTGAGAAATCTGTGTGTGTTGCATTAAAATAATGTTCCCCCTTGTGACAAAAAAAGCCGAGGTGCTCTTGTGCTGCAGAAGGATTCAGGTCATTGTATGTGCAGCAGCAGCTGAAATGAAACTGATGTCTGAGAATAAGATGCCCGCCGCTGTCTTTTGTCTGTTTTCAATGTAGCGCTCGGAGCCAAGGCTATCTCAGGGTTGGCTCTTCATTCAAAGAAATGAATCTCACTCCACTCTGCTGGAATATATATATTTTTATTTTCGCTCTATGCTTAAAAAAAAAGGTGACATCACATCACACATATTGTCGGCACATTTGGCCTCTCCTCTCTGACTGAATGAAGTCAGCCGGTTTCCAGGGCGGTTGTGAAACGTATCCTCTGAGTGACAGACGGGAAAAGCTTGTCAGTCATCGTGTGACAAAGTCGCACAGCAGCTGGTCGGGGTTTCACCTGTTGAAATGACAAATGACACTAATTATCTCTCTCATCTCCTCTCTGTAGTGGTGGCAGCGGAGCCGCTGGTCCGAGGTCTGAGGAAAATCCCCGAAGATATCGACTGGTCCTACTCAGGTCAGTATGAACCATAGATACAGCTGTAATGGAGGAAGAATTGTGGGAAATATTTCACAATTTTTATTTATGGGAGGTTGAGTTTTCTGAGTTTATTTTCTCTTTGTTCTCAAACTTATTTTAGTTTTTCTTCAAAAACCTTTTTAATTAGCTCACAAAGCTCCTTTCACACACGCACACCTGCAGTTCCCACTTATGCAACATGTGTAGAGAGAGAGAAACAGGCACAGTCTTAACACAAGGATCACTGAGGAGTAAATTCTCAAAGACTGAAGTGCAGCTGCTAATTGCACCGTCATTTGCACATCATTTTTTCCTGCTGTCTCCTCTGTCTCTGCGTCTTATTCACAAAGAAACCGCACTCATGATATTCAAGCACAAAAACACCCACAATGCTCTGCAGCTCTATGCAATTTTCAGCACTTCTACTCCTGAAATGAGCTATTAACAGAGCTGCACTGCGCACTCTCATCCTGAAGGCGCTGATTCGTATGAAGGACAGAAGACACTTCGCTTCACAGCAAAAGCAGCCTGGTTAGATCTTTAAAAAACATTCATGCATTAAAGTAAAACATATGTACGAGGTTAGCACGTGGTTATTACATTCATTGCCATTTTCAAATAATATTACAATGGCATTAGGGCTGGGCGATAAACTGGAAATTTACAGATACCGAAATTTACGACAATAACCAACGTCATTTTGTCTGTATTGGTAAATTCAGTGTCAAAAATAAATAAATAAAAGTTGGTTTTGGATGTGTGTAGGTAGGCTATGGTCTCATGTCCCTTTTAAGACGCTGTCCTACGTCAGAGACGTGACTCCACCCCATCCAGTCCGTAACAAAGAGGGAAAGACAGGTGAGGAGATGGAGGACGGTTCAAAAGTCGTAGCGGCTGAAGTAGACGAAGTTAATGTGATAGGGGGTGAGCAGTTTGTGGAGTAGTTATCGTTATCGAGGTGAACTGCTCAGTATATCGTGATATTGATTTGAGGCCATATCACCCAGCCCTAAATGGCTTAATCACTGGAAATTTACAATTACCACCAACTCCCAGCTGACGGTAAAAGTTTCTTCCTGTCTGCTGTTGTCGTTATTGTTTGTGAATTAAATGTTATTTGCTGTACGGCTTATTTGCATAGGAAGAATCCTGTCATTGCTCCAAATGAAAATGCCTAATGGCTCTTTAAAATGATTAAAAGACGACACCAGTATGCAGCGGCACTGTTGGCTCTGCAGTGAAGTTTGTGATGCACTGAACCCCGTGTGCTGGCTTTGTGAAATAAACCAAGGGTTCCTGAATTTTGCATGCCAAGCACGCCCCGGCAGAGACCCCTTATTGTCGATTCATTGTCTTTTTTTGTTAATAGTCTCATAATTTCTGTCTCAACAATAATTAACTGAAGTTTTTTTTACACATTTCCTTCTTGTTATTTATTCACAACGTTCATTACGTCTTCCCTCTGGTATCAACAGACTCTGCAGTTGCATCTTTACAGCATTTAACAGCACCGGTAGTAACAACTATTCCAAGGTCAGCATTCAACAACTTTCAATCAAGACTTTCTTTTTCATGCAGCCGTGCCATGGATTATTTTACACCCATTAGGAAGTGAGAAAAAATGATAAAAAGCAAATAAAAACACAGTCTGCAAAGAGGTAGTTGTTAATGCAGCCATGATGGCAGCAACAAGTGATAATGGAAATAAAGTTCTTTTATGACTGCTCTTTAGTTATGCAACCATCAATCAGTGACAGGAAGTTCAGTGAGAAAGCCCTGAAGACGGATTCGTCCTCAGCTCACCCGTCAGAATCACACAACACCTCTCAAATCAGACCCAGGGACAGTTCATCAGACCGGTAGAGCCAGTGTGAGCAGGCTGGAAACCACATGAATTAAGGGAATTATCCATTAACAGCTCCCGTGAGAGAGCCTTAATCAGCCTCAGACCATATGTCAGACGTCCTCAGCTAACTCAGCACAAAGCCCCCACTGGGCTAAGCTAGGAAACAAGGAGTGGACTCAGACAGACAGTACTGGTCCCAGAGGGAGAGATTAGCTTCTTACTGGTCGGGGGCAATCAGGAGGAACGATCAGCTTTAACAGGTCATCAGGGGACTAAACACAGAGCTATTACACTTATTAACCGAGACCCCCAGCGGATCACTGCTGATAACGGAGATGCCATTTGAAGCCGATTCAGGCTTCTACTTTTAGGCCTGAATGTTACAGAAAATATGTCGACCAAAATTATTATTAATCACTAGGGCCAATTTTGGCCCGTTTGAGATGAATCTGTAATCAGCCAAAACTCGCCCATTTTCGCCAATATTTTCAGAAATAAAATGCGGAGAATAAGATTTGGTTTCACTTCGAAAATGTTCCGCCATTTGAAAAATTCCCCAACTTATCCTGTAGATGGCGCAGCGACTTCATGACAATCTTCATCCACTAACTACCTCACAGCACAGCACAGTGACAGATCTGAAGCAGGCAGCTCAGGGACGCACGGAGGAGAGTGGTCCGCCTCAACGGGAAATAAACCAGTTTGTGAAATACACAACAAGTCAACAAGTTTCAGTTCAACCCACTTAATGACGTTCCCTGCTGTGCTGGTCTCGATCACGCCGAGTTAATGGTGAAGCACCATGTAATATGCAAGCTTAAGTTAGAGTTAGCCACCTGCTATTAGCCTTGCTACACTGTTAGCCGTGTCAGTAACGGTAGAATAAACAACAGTACACATTAGTGATTGAGCTACTTCTCTTTCTGAGGCAGCTGCATGTCTCCACATGAGACCAGACCGGAAACGAGTAACATGAGTTTCATCAGTTTTCATCAATTACAAGATTTTAATCAGGGGCTAAATAATCCAAAGACTTCCGGTCTTGGCTGACAGCGTACAAGCTAAAAACTGCATGTTTGAATATATTTCTTTTTCTGTTGGTTTCATATATAATCAGATATGAATATCCAAAGCTAGTCTCAAACACCTTCTGTGTAAGCCTTTCATCAGGCAGTTCATGACGACGAAGCTTGAAGTTGGAACTGATTAATTTTCCTCTTTTGCTTTTTATGTCTCCAAAACTGAACTTCTGATGCCAGTGTGGGTGGAATAATCTGTATGTCAGCTTCTCTGTAAGTTATAGAGATAAACAACCATTAATGCACACATTCACACCTACAGGTGTGTTCATGGTGAACCGGGAACCGTCTTGCCCTGACTTTAAGAGTGTGCAAAAATATACATTTATCGTCAGTCTGTTGCTTAGAGACAGCGTTCAACAGCTCAAATGAAAAAAGGAAATGTATTTATGGACGGCACTGACAAACTAATTACTTTCATACGTCTAAACATCCAGCTCCATTAATTTTGCACACAGCATTAACTGTGTAAACTGGTGATGAGCCATGTTTAATGGTCTTGTAATGCTGCCATGACTCATCCCTCACACACACACACATGAAACCAGTGCGGCCGTGAGATTTTGTTTATTCCTCCTGTCCTGAGTCATTTCTGTCAAAGCAGCATGGATAGAAGTCGACACGTGTGTATTTTCATCCTTCAGATTGTTTTCTTTCCTCGGTGGAATCTTTACCATCAGCTCGTCGTATACGGTCTGTTTGACTGAGTGATGAGTTTTGACTAAAGGAACGATAAATGATGAAAACCGTCAACAATAGAAAGAACGAGGAGAAGCTCTCTCTTTACCTTCCTCCTCCTCTAAGCTTTCATTCATCCTGATTAAAAACTCCTGATCATTTTTCTATATTTTATCCTGAACTGTATTTTGGCCTTTCTTTATAGTTTTCATGTATTTTTTCATTTTACTTCCTCTCTTTTTTTTTTCTACTTTTTCTTTCTATCTTTTCTTCTTTCTGCCCCATTTTCTTCCTTTAATTAACTCTGTTATGTTGTAATTTCCTTTTTTTTTCTGTATTTCTGCGTTTTTCAATTTGTCTTTCTGGCTCTTTCTATTTTCTGTCACTCGTTTTCTGTTTTCTTGTTGTCTGTTATTTATACTTTCTTTGTCTTTCTTTTTCTGTCACATTATCTGTTTCTGGTTATTTTTTCTTCTCACTCCTTTTAATCTGTTTTTTTTTTTTGCTTTATTCTTTCATTTTCTTTTGGTATTTTTTTTTCCTGTTTTCTGTATCGTTTTTCTTTATTTTGTCTTTCAATTTGTTTCTTTTTCTTTTCTTTCTATCAATCTTTACTTTATTATTTTTTGTTTGTTTGTTTGTTTCTTTCTTTCTCTTTCTCTTTTAGTTCTTTCTTTTACTTCTTGATGATTGAATTTCTTTTGTTTCTTTTTTCTTCCTTTCTTTCTACCTTTTGTTTCTTTATTCTTTAATTTCTTTCTTTTTTCTTGTTTTCTTTCTTTTGTTTCTTTTATTTCTTTACTATTTAATTTCTTTCTTATGTTTGTTTGTTTCTTTATTTCTTTTGTTTCTTTCTTTACTTTCTTTTTTGTTTCTTTACTATTTAATTTCTTTCTTTCTTTCTTTTGTTTGTTTCTTTCTTTGCAGTTTCTTTTTTCTTTCTCTTGACTTTTCCTTTTAACTGTCTTATTTCTGACTTTTTTCCATCTTTCTCTATCTTTTTCTCTCTTTCTCTCTCTTTATCATCATTTGAGTCATGTCTTCATCCTGAGGCGTCAAACTTCTTGTTTTTCTTTCCCTGAAGTTCATCATCTCAGCTGAAGTTGACTCAGGGGCTGTTCATCTGGACTCATCGTAACTGTAGCTGTCTCTCCAGTGTGTATCTGGTGTGTGTGTGTCTGGTGTGTGTGTGTGTGTGTGTGTGTGTGTGTGTGTATGTGTGTGTGTGTGTGTGTGTGTGTGTGTGTCCGTGCGTCTGTTTGTGTGGGCTTAAACGCGGCCTTGTTTTTCTGACCGGCTCTGTTTCTTGCCTTGCGCTGTGCGCTGAGTCGTGAGTAAAAACATTAACATGTGAAAGAAGCGCACTTCATTGTGAGGCGCCGTGCACAGCTTTTTAGTTGGGTAAGAAGTACAGAGGAGACAAAGGGAAATAAAGAAAAGAGGGGGGGGGGGCAGAAGAGGGAGAAATAGAGTGAAAGAGAGTTGAGGAAAAAGAAGACCTCAGGTTGAATAGGAGAGAAGCAGAGAGGGAAAGTTAAATTAGCAGAGAGAAATTGGGCTTTTCCCACATCACCCTGAATGAGGACTCACCAGTTTGAACCACAAAGAGAAACTAAGATGTGTGTGTTGTTATCCAAGCAAAAAAAAACAAAACTTAGAGATAATACAAAATAAGGATTATAAGAGAAAAAGGAAAAAACTTCAGAATAAGGGTACAGAGTTTTGTTGCGTACTTTATTCGAACCTCCACACAGTTCAGTAACTCGAACATGTAAAGTTGGAAAGTTTCTTTACCCAGTTTGAAAGTTTCTTATTTTCAGGATGTCTATTTAATATGTGTATTAATATCATCCTTAATCCTCATTTATACAGTGGCTATTTTTTGAATGGACAAGCCTTATGTAGTTTGTTTAAACCACCAAAGCCACACTTAAATGTGACGGTGTGGTCTATGGAGGATTTCCTGTTTGTGTCTGTGCCCATCCTTATTCTTAAAGGGCCACCCCCATTGCCTAGCAACCGGTAGTTAGCTGGCTAACGAGCAAAAATAACGACCATCAACCTGCACCGGAAATTTAATGCAGATTTTTAGAGAGGTTAAGCAGAGGTAGGAACACCAGGGGCGCAGCCGGTGGTGCTGTTAAAATCGCACATCAGAAGGCCTCCCTGTGGCAGTCGGCTTTTTCCATAAATGTGGAACTCACTGCCAACGGTAATGAGATTAACACGAGACAGAAAGATTTCCAACAAAAGCAGTGAAAGATACAGTTATTTCTTCTAACTGTACCACAGCGGGACAACCAAATCTGGTTTTGGGTGATCGGTACAGAGTTGAAAAGGCTCTTCTAATGATGGAGATGATCAATATTGTTGATATTTTGTTTTCTAGTGAACCCCTAGGAGAACATTTGACATCCAAGCGTCTATAAATGACATTTAATGCAGATTTAAGTGTAATTGTGTGACCCCTGGTTTTATTGCAGTTCGTTTGTATTTTGTTTCCTCTGACATGCAAACTCCTGCGTCGGGATTTTGTCGTTAAAATCAACTAACTTGACTGATCTTAATGTCTCTGTCTTTCTTGTTGCTGCAGACTGGATTTTGTTCTTATCTTCACTTTCTGTTATTTTTTCAGTTACGGCTCTGTCAGCTTGATTTATTTGTTTTGGTTTCAACTCATCCCAAGCTAAAGTCTCTGTAGCTAAAGAGGTATTAACATAAAACCTGCAGGTATACTCTGCGTGTGTTTGTGCAGGAGAGCATCCCTGCTGCTCCTCTCCCTCTCTGCCATGTGTCCTCTCCTCGGTCTCTACGGGGTCCCTGGAACCTTCTGCCTGGAAGACAACCCCCAGGGCCCCGTCTGTTTAGTGTGTAGGTGTAAAATCATTCACTCTGATAGGTCTGCGCTTTTTATCTGGCAGGCAAACGCAATTAGATGCATTACATTTTTTTATATCCCTTTACAAATATCACTACAAAACTATGGGACTCTGTGTGCTATTGCACCATCTTCCTGTTTTATACAATTTTTGTATCAGCACAGCTTCTGAGGAAGAGGTAATCTTCTGCAGAAAAGCTAAAGCATCATATGAAGAATAAACAAGATGAACAGGGATCTGAAGTTACGCAGAGACAAACAGAATGCTATAGACAGTGTATGTGTTATTCATTAGTGATAATGTTGACTGTATTTTGTCAGTTTCTTCTACCTCTGCATCTCCGTCTCTGCCTCTCCTCCTCTCTCGTCTCCGTGTCTGTCTCTATGTCTCCTCTCTGCGCTTGATCCAAGTCTTACCCGGGGGCGATGCAAGCTGCAGTACTCCCCAGTGTTTTGTCTGGGGAATACACACTCACACTCTGTCTTACACACACACTCTCCCTCTCTGTCTCTCTCTTTCTCTCTTACTCGCAGATGCAGATTCGGCGTACACTTCTTGTGTGTGTCTGTACATTTCTATAAGATTACTTCATGACCCATTTGTTCGTGGTTTAAATGGGTCGGTTGGAAATTGAAGTGGACCGATGCAGACATGAAATGAGTCCTATTTTCACATTAAGAGTCCGATCACACTCCTGGTTAAAGAGTTCATCCGTTTCCAAGAAAACACTCTCATCTAACCATCGTTAATACGGCTGAATCATTAGGATTAGACTAATAGGGACAGCGTGAAAGACTGTTTGAAGGCTCCATCTCACCAAATCCCTGCAGATGTCTGAATGTAATATGTTCAGTCATGGTAGCAATCCTCATTTAGGATCTGTGAGCAGATGTGAACAGTTTAAATTTGTCTCACACACATGTATTTGTTAGATTGACAAACATTTGAGAGTGAGAATTTGCAACACGCTCCCTTTCAGTTCGCTACTATCCGATCATCTCCTGTTTGACCCTTTACCTATCAAATCAATCGACGATACACGTTAGCAAGAGGCCAACAGGATGTACACAGAATGATGAAAACGCCATGTTTACAGCTCTGCAGCACTTTTTTTACAAAAGGAAAGTTTCGTCTTTTTTCACATCCGTTTTTAGGCCAGTTTCAATCCAATTGAGTCGTACACATGCAGGAGAAAAACAAATTATGGAGGTGTATTAGTCCAACAATGAGAAGTTTGATTTACTGTGATTCCAGTCAGACTAACGTGTGTTCTGTAACAGTCTGGACGAAGGCAATAACTCTGTTTTTTTAAAGACCATGTAAACGTACTGCCTGAATCATCTCACAACTCAAAGATCATAAATGCGAATAAATAACAAGCATACCACAGGTATCACACTGTAGTTTATTCTAGTGGTGTTAGGGATCACAGTGGGGAACCATTATGTATTCAGATAAGATCAATAGCAAGTCAAGGCTAGCTTTTAAACCAGTAGGAGTTTAAGGTGGATGGCAGTTTTTCCTAAACCTACAAGTGTTTGATTGCGATCTGGAACAGCAGCAATTTTTGCTGTATGCCAATTCCTACTGGATCCGTATGTGAGACGAATTTCATGGCTGATACAGACAGCGGTAATGTTTGTGGGTTTCTCATGACATGATGAGTCAAAAACATGGATTTGAATTGTAATTTTTTTTATTGGGACTTATCATCATAAATCTTTTAGCCCATATTGCCCATCCCGAGTGTCAAAAAGCTGAGGGAGAATCTCTTTGAACTATTTTTCTGCTGATTGATTTTATATGACGTGTTTGATCTGCTTGTTTCTGGCGTCGCTCTTGTTGTGCAGAAGTATTAACTGTTGTCGAAAGGTTGTTGTCAGGGAGTTTAGATGACTCAAAATGAAGAATTGAATGCAGCCAGGTGATTAGCAAGAAAGCTGCGTAAGAAAATACTTCACCACACATTGTTGTCAACATCAGCAAAGCCACTTTAAAAGCCGGTCTTTGTCACGCCGGGGTTGTTTTAATACATATTCATGGTTGTAGTTCTGATGTGTAATCTGTCTGAAGCTCTTAATCTGAGCTTGTCAGTGTGCATTACCCCGTCTTTGTTATTTTTAATTATCACCATTAGAACCAGTGTTTTGCAGCGGAGGATGTAAAAGCTGAAGTGGAGGCTTTCCCGTCTTTAAAAAAAAAAGATTAATAATAGAATAAGGATGAAGCTTTGATCCCTGATTTCTGATTGCGTCTCTCCACCAGCGAGCTGCTCGCCTCTGTTGTCTCCCTCTCTCATCTTTCATGAGTCTGTCTTTCTCTCTCTGTGTAGATGCATGTATTCACCACCCACCATGTTCTCAAACCGCTCTCTTAGTCACCAAATACTTTAGGCTGGCTCCTCTTCTGCTCCAGTTGTTGCTCAGCCTGTGTGGCAGCTCCTGGAGCCCCTGTGGGAGACGTGAGGTAATCATGCAGAGGTGTGTATGTGTGCCCCTTTATACAGAAACACACGCTTCATGCCCCCCCCTCCCCATTTACTGGCCTTGTTTCCCGCTTGCGCCATTGTTCAGCCGGGTTAACGAGGCTGTAATTTATGCTCTTCGCCATCCCACGGTGTAATGTTGAATATCTGAAATGGTGGAAAATTTCACACAGCGTGGTCATGGTGAACAACCTGGACGATCCGGTCCCTCCAATCAACACTCATGAGAAGAAGCAGACACTTTGTTTGTTTGTTTTTTGCGTATTTCTCAGTTTTCGTAGAGAGTAAACTCACACAGGCGTGCTCAGAAAAAAGAAAACAGTAAATGAGTTCAGAGAGCAAGTGTGCCATCTTCAATATTTAACAAGGTAACTCCACGCACGGAGTCTCGTCCCGACCCCCTCTCGCTCCAGAAACCTTTTCATATTCACACGTCTAGACACCGGAGATCACATGAAGAGCACACGGGGACTCTGATTCATACCCTCCGGTTTTTCTTTTCTCATTTTGAATAACCCGACAGGTCTGATTGTCAGATACTCCGGCTGCTGATGTGCGTGACAATCCACCATTAACATAGAAAATATGAGTGGGGTAGAGTGTGTGTGTGTGTGTGTGTGTGTGCAGCTCTTTCTCTGCCATTCATAATAGATTCATTTAGTAGCTTAGATCTTGTCAGCCTCAGACTCCCTCCTTTATGTCACTCAGTGTGTGTGTGTGTGTGTGCGTGTGCGTGCGCTCATGAATGCATGCACAGACATTGATTTTGGAGAATAGAAACGTCTCCCCTCTCACACAGGAGCAGCTCTTATTTCTCTGCTCAGGCTCCGCTGTGTGATAATCAAAGAGTTTTACGACAGGCAGAGACACTGATTGAAACGCATGACACCAGCCAAGGCAAAACAACTCCTCTCTAAAGGTAAACACACGGAGTAAAATTGGGGTTACAGGGTGAAGTAACAAGGAAGAGACTGTCTCATAACAGCAGAAGCCTTGTTTTTATTTGTATTTTTATTATTAGAAGTTGAATCCACATTATTCTCCTCGTATTTCATTTGGAGGTAGTTTCCTGGTTTCCTTCAAATCGGACCTGGAAACTTCAGACCCCACTTGAGACAGCTTGAGCTGAAATAACCTCAAAAACCTGGATCAGTCCATCTCTAGTTGCCTCTATAGACTCTGTAAAACATGTAGGGAGTCTCATTGGTCTATGAAGAAAGAACAATGGAAGTCATCCTTTTGGAAATGCTGACTCCACCTTACTTTACGGGCAACTTGGAAACAGGCAACAAGGTGGAGCCGAGGCGGGCCACCAGCCTCCTGGCAAACAGCTACGTCATGGAAGCCTGTCAGTCAACTCAGTCACACTTTTAAAAAGGCAAATCTATGCAGAAGTCTCACTCTCAATATCTTTAAAACACTTACATAGGGCTGGGCGATAAGGCCTCAAATCAGTATCACGATATATTGATCAGTTCACCTGAATTACGATAAATGGATGATAACTACTCCAGAAGCTGCTCACTTCCTCCCACATTAACTTCGTCTACTTCAGCCGCTACAACTTTTGAACCGTCCTCCATCTCCTCACCTGTCTCTCCCTCTTTGTTACAGACTGGATGGGGTGGAGTCGCGTCTCTGATGTAGGACAGCGTCTTAAAGGGACATGAGCCCATAGCCTACCTACACACATCCAAAACCAACTTTGATTTATTTATTTTATTGTCTCCAAATACACTGATATGGGCAAAATGGCGTCAGTTATTGTCGTAAATTTCGGTATCTGTAAATTTTCGGTTTATCGCCCAGCCCTACACTTACATGTTTCCCGCCTGTGGGACTATTGAAGGAACATCTTATCTTATGATTTATAAAAATCATCTTTTTCAGTTGTGTATCATCAAGAAGGAGATATTCAGTTACATGTTCAGTTTTGCTTTAAAAATGGATGTTAGTATGTGTTTATTGATGTTTATTTCTAAGCCATTCCCAAGAGGACCCTCAAAGACTTGCAGTTATTCATGATTCATGATTGCTGAAAACAGACTGAGTAACTTCAGGGTTAAGTGAACCTCTCTCCTGGATTTTCATACTGTGATTAAAAAGGAGTTGTGCTTATTCCAAACATATAATTCATGTTTTTTTGAGCGCCGCAGACGTCTCCTCTTGAGTTGCTGCAGTTACAGAAAAAAAACTGATTAATTCTAAATCACTGTGATTGCTTCGTCCGGGCTGATTGGTTGAACGTTGATTAAAAAGCTTGTTCCTCGTTCTCTCAGAGAGCAGGAACATTTAGTGAAGTAAGTAGCTGTGTTTTTCTACTTCATCTCGGATAAATTGATTGTTGCATAAGCAGGCTGCCCATACTGCCCCCCAAAAAGTATCCCATTGAGACCCCAGTGTGATCATGTGACCGTGGCTCCTTCTCACAGCAGAGATCTGCTCTTTTCAGGCTGGAAACCCTCAGCTGTGACTAAGCAGACAAACCACTGAGCCAGCAGGCCCGTCACCCTCAGTCTGGGATAACTAAATGACACGCAGCATTAATTAGGATAATTAATTACACCTGTGCTTTACCTGCTGCGATGTCTCATTACTCCTGCTGTGAATACGGTCTGTTATAAAGGCTGCTTGATTGAATACATGAGCACCGTGGTGGCTGGTGAATCAGTTGATTTGTATTTTTCTTTAACAGCGTAACGCCACACTCCTTTTCCACTCTTTTGTACTTTTGTGTCTTTATGTTCTGGTCCAAAGGATGTAGGGTATCCAGTACTTCTAGGGCCCTGTGTGAGAGAGATGAGGTTAAACTTTCTTTCCTTCCAGACACACAATCGTGCAGCTTCAGAAGCACCGCTGTGGCTTAAACTGAAGCAGCAGTCGTTTTTTGCCTTTAATATTTGATACATATTCAGCTATTTCTGCCAGCAGTGAGGCGAGCGGAGAAGACAGCCCCCAAAAAGAGTCAAGCCCTACATTATTCAATTTAATAATCCTGCATGTTTTCTGCACGGCGGCGCACGGCAACTCCCTCGCAGAAGGTGAAATAAGTGCTGTGTGTCGTCGTCGTCGTGTGTTTGTGCGCGGATGTTTGTGGGAGATTAATTGGTGTAAGCGTGGGCAGGAGGAGAGACACAGACAGCATGTGTGCATCAACGCAAACTTCTCAGAACATCAGCGTGAAATCATCTGCGCGGGGTTGCAGTGTCTGTGTCTCCTCTCCCGTCCCCATCAATACACCTCTTCTTTCATCTTTCTCTCTCTCTCCTCCATTTGTTTTTTTTTTCTCTCCTCTATCACCTCCTCTTTGCACCGGTGCCTTTGTGCTTCCTGCTGTTAGATCTCCTTTTGTCCTCCGTGCACTCTCCTCCTCCTCCGTTGTCTCACCTCTCGCCCCTTGAGAGTGGCAGGTGAGCTGTAATGATTGTGGCGCTGTGGTTAAAAGAGCAGCAGCAGCAGGTGTAAATGGTTTCTGCCTTGACTGCTTTAACAGCTGACTGATTGCCGAGCTTTTGCAGAGCGCTAAGTTTCTGCCGTGAGTTGAAGAGAGTCATAATGCAGCCATGGTTACCAAAACAACATCGTATGTGCTGTTTTTTAATAGATCTTGGCTGAATTTGGTTATTTTCACCAATAAGAATGAGCCTCATCCCATATGGCAGACGTCTGATACAGATTTGTAAACAAACCGAGCAAATCTAATCCTAGTTTTCTCCAGAGTTAGTGTTTTCTGATTGATATCATCTGTTCTGTTTGTTTGGAATCGTCTTAACACTTTAATAAAGCAAACACAAGAAGGCAGAAAAGAAGAAAATCACATGCATTCAGTCTTAAGGATCTCCCATGTGGCTTTGACAGCCATCAGAAGACCGCATACCGTGAAAAAGAGGAAGTAAAACTCAGAGATAGGAAATTTAATTAACATATTTAATCACCAAGTTTTATACGTCGGCTGCCTTTGAGAGTTTGTGTGTGTGAGCGCGAGTGTGTGTACGGATTTAAATCAAGACAAGAAAGTCTACCTTCAGGGGATTTCTTTTTTTCCCCTTCTCCCAAACCTGTCAGCTACTTGTTGCCATGGCAGCGTAATTTCAGAAGAGTTACTCTGTTTTTTTTTGCATATGCGTCTGTAAGTGTGTCTCGTGACGGTGAGTGAAGCAGGGGCCAGATGTGGTCATGGACACACTGACAACCACCCTGTCATTTCCCCCAGCACGCACACACACTCTCACACACTCTCACACATACACACTGAAGATACTCACACTTTTACACAAAATATAGGTCACCATGTAAATGTGCTAGCTCTTTCCCTCTAGCTCAGTTCCAGATGACTGAATTTATGCCTACATCTCTAATTTGCAGGCAACATGGGACCGGCATCTCTTGGCATGAAGGCAGCGAAGTGTAATTCCCCAAAAAAGACAAACTTTTGATTAACTTGAATCTGTAGCGACACATACTGCATAAAAATATCGAGTATACAGTTTCTGGTTTCTCTTTTGAGAAAGTCTGAGTATTATTGATCAGTTATGTAACAGCAGCAGCAGACTGTATGGAGAGCAAAAGCAGGCGGAAAGCAAAATTTGAACTTCAGTAACCTCATCATGATTCATTTATATCTATGAACTGGTGCATGCAAGTGCAGCAAACAGTCTGTTCTCAATCAAACATTTCAACATACTCAATAAATGTGTTTGACCCTTCATAATAAAAGCCATTCTGCATTAAATTTTCAGACTTATTTTGGAGTTCCTTCTCCTAAAGCGAGCCTGGGTGAGTCCGTTACATGACCCACAACTCAAGATCCACCAGAAACTGATATATTTTGCAGACATATCTAGACTCTTGATGTAAACATGTAAACAAGAAAGTCTTTTAAATGCTAACCACTGGCTGCACTAAAATGCAAGCAAAATTGTCCATTCTTCCATGATGCTTCTGTACTGTATATAAACTGTCGTCCCGTCGCTTCTGAGATTGACTCATATTTTATCATCTTCCTGCTTGAACAAACTGCACAGGCTCAGTGTTGTTGATGTGTGCAGTACAGTGAAGAAAACAATTTTAATACAAACATGATTGACAGCTTAGAAGTTTGTCCTCTTTGTTTGACTTTAATATTGACAAGAAACATGGCAGTACGGCACACTCAAAGTTTTGGACTGTTGTGACTTTATCAGGACATGATACAGGACTGCTGCAGTTTGACGATGACTCAAGGCTAGGTGTTCGATTTCAGGGCTGACCTCTCCAGATCTAGAAAATACAACTAAGAATAATAATCCTGGAATCTTGTAGCTGTGTTTAATGACTATTCTGTTCACAAATTCGTTTAGTGTGTTTTTTTTTTATTATTGTAAATAAATGAAGGTCAGAGTTTTCATAGACAGTGAACTAAACATTTTCACCTCAGCGCTCAGTCAGCTTATTCCTATTTCTACATGTAACAGATGAAACTGATTCAGTTGAACTCCGTCTGTCTCTCACATCCACACATAAACACACACTTGTATGACACACAACACTAGGAATGTAAAGCCGATACCTGTTAAGTCATGTGTGACCCGTTACCGTTGAACCATCTGCTCTGCCCTCATTAGACCCTTTGTCTCTACTGTATACTGTAAACCACACACAACAACACAGTCTAGTGACACAGCGCTGAAGAAGACGGCAGCGTGCTGACTGTTTATAACACTTTGTAAACATCTCTACATTTACGCTGCATTTATAAGGCTTTATGACTGTGATTATAAGAGGTTGGTTTTAAACAGGCGACAGTGTGATTTTAAGAAGTGTGCAGCAACCCACCGTATCATTCATTTACTACAAGTTTGAGAGAATTCTCTAAGGCTGTAAAACCCTAGTCTGGTCGACTTATTGGTTGATACGTGCTGAGTCGTACTAAAGAGGATTAGGGCCTCATGAAGAAGGAAGAAGACTAAAGTCGAAATTTTGGGTTTAAAAAAAAGAAATTACATCAATAAAGTCAAATTTCAAGATTAGAATTTGAAATTTCTAAATTAAAGTCAAAATTTGGAGATTAGAAAATGTTGAAATTTCATGAATAATGTCAAAATTTCAAGATTAAAAAAATACAAATTTCGAGAGTAAAAAAAAAAAAGTGATTCATGTTGACATGAATAAAGTCGACATTTTAAGTTTTTTAGATTTCGACTTTTTTTCTCTTATTTGGTTGACTTTCATAAAGGCAACACCCTGTCTCAGAACACCCCTCCTTGTTTTCACCATTTTGGATTTGCCCAACCCGCTGGAGACCGACTGGAGGCCATCTTTTTTTTTGTAGGACAGTAAGGGAAAGTCCCGTCTCCTTTGCCTCTGATTGGCTAGAAGTGCTGGGCTCTTCTTGGATTGGTTATTCTTATGGCTGTAAAAGGATTAGTGTTAGGAGATTCAGAAGTGCGATAATGTTCTGTAATGTTCTGTTCGATGTACAGAGCCGACAGCCTGCGTTGGGCTTGAGCGTGTGATGACGTTTCTAGCTTTTCTAGCCAATCAGAGGCGAAGGAGGCGGGACTTTCCCCTACCATCCTCCAAAAAAAATTGCATCCTGTGGTTTGTCGAATATTTATTTTATAATATGTATTTTATATTTTATGTATACTGAGATCAGTATATTTTCACCCCGCCATGTTGCGCTCTGTCGAGTCGGCTCCGCACGTTGCGACTCGGCGTTCCCCCTCCCCCATTAGTCGATTTTTGGTTGAATATTCCTTTGGTTGATTACAGTCCTAGAACGCTCCTTTTTGACTGAAAATGGTGTTTGAATAACAGTTTAACTCGTCACTTATTAAACTGTATTATACATTACGCCATCGTCTCAACTCATAAATATTAGTCAGCATAAAAAATGCAGCCAAAGAGCCTTTTTCTCTTCTCCTACTATTCCCTGAATACGACTGGACGAACTGACTCTGTATTAAGAGTGGTTGAATGGTTGCACAGGACATGAACATCTTCAGCCATGCAAAGACCGCTCATCCCTGCACACAAATGTACACAGCAGGTCTGAGTGTGCACACAGGTAACTAAGACACACGTGAATGAATAATCTGCACCCACGCGCCAACTCTGCATGTTAATAGAAGTGGAGGTACTTTGAATATACAGTCAAAAAAATGAATAAAGCATAGACACATGCCGGTAGATGATAGTGTGACATGCACTCATGAATAAATCCCCAGAAATACAAATGCGCACCTCGCTGCATCTCTTAAATCTGACAGAAAACTCAAGACACGTGCTCATAAATATATAAATCTGCAGTAAATTTGAGTCAGAGCTCAGAACATTTGGCTAATTTATTGTCTTAAAGAACGACACAGAGTTAAGACATGTCACCCTTGTTTGCCCTACGATGCTGTTATTTTTTTTTCCCCGTCTTAACGCTCCGTACTCGCTTTCAAATTATTCACGTAAGAAGTACAGCTGTCGACACACAAACACACATCTACAGCACTTCAAACGTTTAAGCAGAACCCATGCTGCGCACCCCCTAAAAAATCAATTCAGAAGACACATGTGCTCTGAATATAATACACACAGCCAGGCTTTTGCAATCCGCGCTCACACTTCTATTTAGCCGCAGGAGAAAGAGCAATCTGAGAGCAACCAATCAGGTCCATCATCCACCTGTGATAGAGCAGAAGTTACTTTGTTTGTTTGCAAGAAATTGTCTTTTGATTGACATGCAAACGCACTCACTCCTAGTCATTTAGAGTGACCAATTAACCTGGAGTGCATGTCTTTGAAACCCACTCATGCAAACTCCACACGGACGGGAAAAATAACGCTTACCGCTGCACCACGGCCTCATTTCCCTGCAGAATTTCACGGTATGCCGTATAATTGCCAATCGATCAGGTGGTGGAGGTGTTTAATTATAGCATTTAGTCATATTTCCTGTGGTTATACAATTTTCATACAACATTTAAACTGCACAACAACCTCAGCAAAACTCTGGGTCGGTAGTTCTTGAATAACTTTGTCTGCTTTTCTTTCTCCATGCAGGTGCCCTTAATCAGCGCAACTGGGGTAAGAAATTCCCGTCCTGCAACAGCGCCCGACAGTCGCCTGTGGACATCGACGAGACCTTCACCCAGGTCAGACTGCAGTACCAGAATCTACAGCTGGAAGGCTGGGACAGACTCACAGCTGAGTCCAGCACCATCCACAACAATGGGAAGACCGGTACGCCAATCTTTATCCCCCTTTGTCCTGTGTGTGTGTTTGTGTTTTAAAAATCCAAGTTTGGACTGTCACCTATCATCCTTCTCGAGGAAGCAATCTTTTCATCGTCATCTAGCAAGAAATCAAATCACATGCTACTCTGCTTGTGTTCAAAGAGAAGTGACTTCTCTTTTCCTCTGCTTCAATCCAAGAGAGGCTGAAAGATAAAATATACAGCAGAGCCAATCTGTGGAGATGATTATGACATTATTCTGGAGCAGTGAGACATGACTTCTGAATCTGTAGATGTAGAAAGAAAACATTCTCATCGTAGAGGTTAATGAGAGAAAGGAGAAACAAGGACTTAAGGGAAAGTGTCAGACGATGAAGATGAGAGAGAGAGACCAAGTAATTGAGAGAGAGGCAGCAGCTCTGAGACATCATGTGGAGGGAGGAAGGAGATCGATGTGAAGAGGCAGAGATGAAACTCAGAGACAGAAAAGACCAAGAGGTAAAAATGTATATATGGAGAAGGAGAGCGAGCGAACTGAGCAGAGAAACGAGGACGATGTGAGACAGTGAGAGGGAGAGCAGCGGGCCGAGCGATGTCTGCACTGATAAACAAATGAAAGCTGTCTGAGCTATCATCTCCATCTCTCTGACACTGATGTGTGAGAGAGTGTGTGTGAGTTTGTGTCGCTTCATATGTGTGTATGTGTTTCTTCTATATGTTAATGGTCCGGGGTTTAATCCTCTTTTTTTCTTTGTGAAGTCAGAGAGGAAATTGCATTTTAAACACGTGCCGCATAGCTGTCATGATATGGGAGAACTATATTTTCAGCTAAACTGTGACGAGTCCCGCACCAAAGCAAAATCAAGTCACGCATTAAAAGATAAAGGGTTAAAAACAGAAAAATGACATTGACATAAACCTTTTTTAAATTAAAGCTGCTGTTTTAATATGTGAGGTTAATAACAGATGTTTAATGTAAATCTGCTTATCGATTTATAGCAGAGAATTTTCGTCTGACACTGCCGCCCCCTCCCCTTAAAGAGACATTAAACGTCATTTTTTAAGACCTGAATTTATCGCTGCTGTAATTGCTGTTCATCCACACATTAAAGAAGCTCTTTACACCTAATGTATGCAACCTGCACAGCTCCTAACAGCAGACACAAAATGTTAGCAGCTTTAGCTGTTATGATATCAGACTTTCACCTCATGATCGGATGTGTAAACAGAGTAAAACCTTCACAAAGATACTCCTAAAAGAGTTATCGATATCAGACAGTGACACTTAGAGCTTGTGTTAAGGATGATCTGTGACGTGACTGGTGGCTTTAAATGTCACCGCTCCTCCAAAAAATGCCTAACTTGACTTGAACTTAAAGGGATATTCCTGCATAAATTTAATTTATGGTCAAACACACCGTAACACCAAGTTAGACACCCCCTTGAGAGATGAATGTTGCCGACTGCTTGCTTCTGAAGTTATACCAACTTTAGTGACGACCACTTGTTTGTGGGGAAGAACTGACAAGTCGATCACTGAGTGCAGCGGAGTTTCGCAGCTCAAGGAAGAACATTTACGATTATTACTTCATGGAAATGCAATCAGAGTTCTTGTGTATCTTGTATGTGCACTGCAGACACGGTAGTTCTTCTGCCTTAGTGTCTCGGTCTGATTGCATTTCCATGAGGTAATAATCCAGGCAAAGCTAAAAAGGTGTTTGATGGCTACTACTGTGGCGGGGACCTTATTTGTCCTGTTGATGAAGTTAGGTGCTGTTCTGAGCATTATTTTTGGCGTTTTGGTTGAGGTTTGTGCGTGGCTCTCTGTTTTGCTATTGTGCAGTCGTTACTAAAGTTGGTATAACTAGAGAAGCAAGCGTTCAGCAACATTCATCCCTCGATGGGGTGTCTAACTCAGCGTTTCGGTGTGTTTGACCATAACTTAAATTTACGCCGGAATATCCCTTTAAATTTGGTTACCATTTATGCGACAAGAAGGGGAGTTTTAAAACTTTAAATCTTTGGTGCAAACTGAATAAAAGCTCTAGAGCCTCATTAGGCTTCATCCAGTCATCACTAATTATTGTGAACAAGAACACCTATTTGCCATCAAAAGTAATGACCTGTAATTTTTACCTGCCACGGCCCGCAGTTACCCTGTAATTTACCAGAGACTGGTCTCAGAGTAATTACCTGGTTTTTAATGTAAATTATCCCTTAAAGTGGCAACAGACAAGAATATTTTTAACTAAAGCTTCAGGGCAAAAAGATCTGAAAGTCAGAGACTGTAGGTAGTCACCATCATACGTGGATCAAGACCTTTGTAAGGAGAAAGTTTGAGTTTTTTAAACATTGAACCATCTGTGTGTCGTGTGTCAGTTTTTAATAATCTATCAGGTTCTGTAACTTTGAAGAAACAGATCAATTATAGTTTTTGCTGTATGTGTGAAAAGGATGGTCTGAATGGAGGTTAAGCTCGTGTGCATGCTTGTTTTTAGTGGCCATCAACGTTGAAGGGGACTTCTTTGTGAGCGGAGGAGGACTGAGCTCCAGGTTCCAGGTTGGAAGAGTGAACTTCCACTGGGGGCGCTGCAATGCAACGTCAGAGGGGTCTGAACACAGCCTGAACGGGATGAAGTATCCTCTGGAGGTACAGAAACACACAACATCGAGTTTTCTGTACTTTTAACACAACTGTCTCCTAATAAAGTCCACAAACTAACCCCCTCTTTCATGCCCTTTCATTCAGATGCAGATCTACAGCTTCGATCCAGATGATTATCAAAGTCTGGATATTGCCATCAAAGAAGGAGGGAGGATTGCGGCCCTGGCTGTGCTCTTCGAGGTGGGTTTGACCTGTCGAAACGTGCTCCAGAGTTCAAGATCAGCCTGTTCCCCTGAAAATGAAGTTAAATTAAATAAAAGCGAATTCTTCCTCGTTGATAAATTCTACTCAAGAAGTTTCTGTTCTTCCTCGCAGATCATCCTGGAGGACAATGAGAATTACACTCCTGTTATAGAAGCTCTCGACACCGTCAGCAGGTTTGGTAGGTCCACTCAGAAATGAAAAATTCTCCTTAAATAGTAACAGCCTGTTATATTTGTGAAATATGTGCGTGGTACCAGCAGAATAGACGTCTTCTGATGTGTCTCTTTCTTCTCACCAGGTAAGAGCGGGTCTCTGGAGGGTTTCACCTTGAGGTCCCTGCTGCCCAATAACACGGATAAATACTACATCTACAACGGCTCACTGACCGCACCTCCCTGCTCTGAAACGGTGGAGTGGATCGTCTTTAAAAACACGGTGGCCATATCAGAAACACAGGTCGGTGACGCCAACACACATCCAAACAAACACTTGGATTTTATCGTAGACACGTGTGAAAGTTCATGAAATCAGCGTGCGTCCCTCTCTGCCCGCGAACAGCCATCGAGGATTGTATTAGGAGGTGTGGATAAGTGCTTCCTGTGGGCAGAGAAGGACGGGGAGGGATGGAGAGATTGATGCTATTATGAGTGAAGTGAAGTCTAAGGTTTTATTTTCTCCTGTGCGTGGTGGTGCGACGGTCGCCTCGGTAACACAACTGGTGCGCTCTGTAGCAGCCTGAGTCGCTGCATGGGCTTCATTATAAACTACCTCCTGCAGAGTTCTACCCCTGTCATTTATGAAGAGATTCAGCCTCTACAGAAGATATATGTACGTTTTTTTTACAGGTGTCTGCACATTACAGACCATAATATGAATTAAAGTGTTCCTCATTCACAAAACAGGGAGTCAGAAGAAGGCGTAGCTTTTGTCAGGACCTACTAAAATATTGATGAGTTCTTGAATGTGCCCAAATTTCCTCCTGCAGACAGCTCACATGCTCACCTTTTATTAATGAGACCTGCTCACATTGAGAAAAAGACTCTTAAATTAACCGCAGATATAACCACTGAATTAATGTTGCATCGTGTCTTTTTAAGTGTTTTTCGGGTCGTGCTGAGTCTTAAAAACATCAATCTAAGTCGACTCTCTGTGAAAACATGACATTTAAAAAAAGTGGCACAACATCTACGGTAAATTTAACATCGTTTTTGCATGTCTGGTTGTAGTCTCTGCCCAGTTTGAGGTCAGTTGTCTTTGACATCTGTGCCTGGCATGAAAAGAAAAGTCACTCCGGAGTGATACAACGTGACAGCCTCGGACCAAATGTTCAAAAGCAGAGTGGGGTTTCTGTAGTGGCATGATCTGGTGAAAGCGAAAAAAAAAGGCCCGTCATGCAGAGACGCCTGAAGCCGACACTCTAACATCGCTGCAGAGCCGTTTAAGGACCTCAGAGGAACGGCGCCTTCGAGTGAAATCATCTGTGTGATGATCATTAATTATGTAGCCGAATAATGGAGAGAGAATGAGGTCATGAAAGCGCTTGTGTGTTTGTTCCATGTGCGAGTGTGTGTGTTTGTGTTTGGCGATGCTGCATGATTGAAACTGGGGTGGCAAGGCATGACATGGGCACACAGTGGTGGACCAAAAATAGAGCAGTGCCATCTCTGTGCCTCCGCCTGGTACAAACACAATCCCCTCAGACAAGAACACAAACAGGCAGCAGCATGAGGTTTTATTTTCGCTGCTTTAGGGGAAAAAAAGAAGGTTTGACTTATTTCTGCTGTTTCAGTCTCTCCTAACCTCCTCTCTCTTCTCTTCTTTTCTCTCTGTCTGTCCATCTTCTGCACAGCTGGAGGCCTTTTGTGAGGTGATGACGATGGAGCAGGCGGGATACGTGATGCTGACAGATTACCTGCAGAACAACTTCAGGGAGCAGCAGCAGCAGTTTATGGGTCAGGTGTTCGCCTCGTATACCGGCGTGGAGGACGTGCAGACGCCGAGTATGTCCTCACACCAAGTTTGCTCCTTTTATTAAAAAGCTTGCACCTCAATGTCTTCCAACTACGGGAAACCTTACTGTAGAGGAAGATGCTGGAATATCTGAATGATTGAGCAACGATTAAACCTCAGTGTTTGATCATTTTTCATCTTTATTTGTCAAAGACCAACTTCAGGATAGGGCTGGGCGATCAACCAAAAATTTACTGATGCCGAAATTTATGACAATAACCAATGTCATTTTGCCCATATCAGTATATTCGGTGTCAAATAAATAAAGAAATAGATAAAAGTTGGTTTTAGATGTGTGTAGGTGGGCTATGGTCTCATGTCCCTTTACTCAATATATCATGATATTGATTTGAGGCCATATTGCCCAGCCCTATGTCAACATTTACCTTAATATTGTATTCAACAACTTTTAAAAAGCTCCGAGCAGAAAATTCAAATATTTCTCAACAGGAAACTTCAAATAGGAAAGCACCATCACTGGAGTAACTTTAAAAAGGCTGATAGTTAAAGAGCCACTCCCAGTATAATAACATCCGGATGGGAAATTGCCATGGTCAGGACTAGGAGTGTGATTTTTGTCGATTATTGTTACAGAGACTTAGATCTAGACCTCATCACAGTCCTTTAATTTGTGTTTTTGTACATTTAAACCCCTTAATTAAAGGGACTGGTCTTTAATTGGTGTGTTTGACCAACCAACGTACACACGTGTGTCTGGTCCAATGATTCATCCTGTTTCCAGATTCTAAAAAGTCTCTACAGATGTGTTTTTTAGTTTTTACAGTAGGAAAGAAATTAAAGGGATTCTTCCTCGTATAAAGGTGGTGGTTATTTATCTGTTCCTTTGTTTTTTATTGTGCTCCAGTATTTTTCCACCCAGGCTGTAGCACATATCTCAAGTCCATGTACTTAAACAGAAGCCTCCTTAAGAAACCAGATTTGCATCTCCTCTAAAATGCTGCAACGCTTCAAAACAACACAGACCTCGGGCTTTAAGATTGGTCTGCTTGGTGGTGGGCATTTTCAGTATCACAGCCACCACCCCCCCCCCATCCTCTTCCTCACATGCGGTCTCTTTCAGTGCCCGTGATCAAAGACACAGCTGAAACCAACGAGGGCTGGGATCACAACCGTAGGAGAGGAAAAACCAGGACCAGGGAAGAGAGTGACGATATAGAAAGAAACGATAAACATCAGAGCGAACTCATGTTTAATTTTTCCTGTTTTAATTTTTTCATCAAAGATTCAAGATTTTGATGATGCACATACGTCTGTCCGTTGAAGAAATTCACCTGCTCAGTTCACTAAGTCGGCTTGGACAGAAAATGACTCGGGTATTGATCCACTGTCCTGTTAACTCTGCAGAGGAATACTCTAAAAAATCTCCCCTATTAGACTCTGAAGACCTGAACCCAAATATAAATCTTTCCATTTACCTGATTGAAACTAAATCTCAGTCAGCATGAAGGTAAAACTAAACCCTCCCCTCAGGAATCAATGCAAACGTTGAATTATTAATCTTATTTTGGTCCATGTCTGAAAACATTTCCAATCCCCTGCTTCCTCTCCAGCTAAAAGTCTGTCCTCCAAAGTCAGCCATGCCATGATCATCAAAAGAGATAATTCAGGGCGCTCTCTCTCCATCTTCATAAAGTCGACCCTCCAGTAAAGAGGATCTTTGGGGGTGCCAGAGAGCTCGACTTTGTACTGCAGTGCCCCGGCTCCTCTCAGCGCTGGCAATTTATTTTGCAGCTCTTTTTGAAATTGGAAAAGTGTTCAGAAATTCACAGAAGAGTCTTTTTGCCTGTAACAGATTTATGCATTCACCTCGCCTCTTCATCAGAGTGAATTTTTGAGTCTGGTCCATTAACATCAAATTAGCACAAACCTTTTCTCGTTTGATGTGACCATTTTCACTTTCTTCAAAACCATCCGCGTGAACGTCTCTCCTTCTGTCTGTCTTCTTCAGCCTGCAGCTCGGAGCCGCAGAACGTCCAGGCGGACGCTCAGAACGACACGACCATCGTGGTGACGTGGGAGCGTCCCCGTGTGGTTTATGACACCACCATCGACTGGTACACGGTCACCTATCAGAGGCTGCAGGGCAAAGACCAGAACAAGCAGGAGTACAGGACTGACGGGGACCAGGACGTGGTATGGGGATGGAGACTTTCACTCTTGTTTCTGTTACAACGCCGCGGGTTTAGGGGAAAAGGGAAGCAACATAAGGCAACAAAGGAGTTGATGGCAAACAACGAAACCACGGCAACAAGCAAAGCAGGAGGCAGCTAGAAAGAAGAGATATCATCCAAAAGCGATTAGGAGGTCAGCGGGAGGCACCAAATCAGCGAATAATCAAAACCAAAACTCTTACCTATCTAGCAGACCCTTACCAATCAAAATAACCCGCTTAAAGGTGGTGTAGTCAGGATCTGAGGAAGTGCCAGTTTTTGGGAGAAATCTTGAATGTAAACTCTACCCCTCCGACCAGTTTTCCCCTCAGCTCCTCCTCTCCCCTCCCTCTCTGCTCCATCAAGCCCCGCCCACAAACAGACGCTCCTCCTCGCTCGTATAGTTCCAATTAAATTCAGATATAATGCAGATAAATACTTCAGATAAATACTAAAACCACAAAAACTAAACTGAACACCTAGTGCCCAGTGAAAAATCCCCCCAATCCCAAACGAGTCTCACAGTTTATCCAGGTAACAATATAACGAGAAAAAAAAGATGCTACCTCACACCAAACAGCCACAAGACACAAAAAGCCAAATCTAACTCAGCTGCCTCTCCCCCGACGGTTTTTCTGCTACTCTTATCATTTCTGTCGTGGCGGTTTGGCAGATGGCGACGGTGAATGGGGAAAAGCCACCAATCTGTATGTCAGCAACAAAAATCCTCCATCCCCCGGGTAACTCAACAGGAGAAAAGGAGAACACACACACAAGATAAAACCCGACATACATAGGGAACTGTAACAGCAACATTTCTGTCAGTCCACGCAGGTCCATTCGACTTTAGAGGAGATCAGAGTTAGAAACTGGCAGCTCCTGCAGCAAACATTAGAGCAGTATTTGTTCTGTCACTCTCCCATTGATCAAAGTGATTGATTGATTAGTTGTGACGATCAATCTTGGCCTCTTATCGGGTCACTGAGCACCCTTTAATGTGACAAACAGAATGTCTGTGTTCGTCGAAGTCGGCCTCTCAAATGTGTGACGATAATTCAGACTCAGGACGAACAGAGATGAAATCAGCTGTTGTGTTCAGTGTTTTTAGACTGAAAACAACATCTTTTTCATTGTTACAACGAAGTTAAACATCTTATTTAAAACAAAACAGACTTTTTTTTCATTATTCCAAGATGTGCAGACATCCTTAGAGATTCACTTAAATCTGTGTGACGTTAATCTCATACATTTGGGAGCTCTTTAAACTGCAGATTTTTGCATTAGGGATAACCTTTGAAGTTTGGGAACGAAATGATTGAAACGCTTGAAGGATTTTATTTCTCAAAGGTTGGAAAAAAAAGTTCTAAAGAAGCTCAAAATGATGGAAATCTAACAGCAAATGATTTCCTCTAAAGCCTCATTGAGAAAAGTGTCTCCTCCAGAGTGAGTCCACAGTCAGGAGCGGTTGATCCTCCTCTTAAAACAAGCTCCTCTTTTATATAATTAATAGCTTTAAATAATTAGAAGCAGAAGGGCCGGTGTTGATGAATGGGCACTAGAGCTCATCTGACAGGGTTGGAGCAGAAACAGCTTCAGAAGTAGACTGTATACGAGGGGTGGACGTGGCCGCTTGATTAAAAAGTGAAGCTCATAATGTGGAGGAGCTTTAAAGACGCGGTTTTATAATGAACAGAGAGCAGTGGTGAGGCTGATAGAGGAGAGAAGAAGGTTTTCTTATAGGAGAAGGTGATCAAATGTTCCTGTTACTCTGATAAATTAATATTTTCTGTGTGTTTTGGTTTAGCTGATAGGTTTCGTATCTCATTCATTATAACATATGTTTTATTTATCAAATTATAGTCAAAACTGGTCGTGAATTGTAATTTCATCACTTTTGGATTAGATTAGTTTAGTCTGAGATTTGACTTGAATTATTGCAGCTTGTTTGACAACAAAGAATTCATCTTTTTGACATAAATTCCCTATTTTGGGAAATAATCATTCGAATGTAGCGAATCTCAGAAGTCTTGACTTATAACAACAAATAGTCAAATGTAATTAACGTAAACATGACGTGTTTTCTGACCTGTACACTGAAGGCTCTGCTCTTACAGCTTCACTGTGAAATCATTTTGAGTCAATCAGACGAGGCTCAAGCCAGTTATCAGCTCCTCTCAGATCATTTGGTGCAACTTTAATCCATCCATCCATCCATCCATCCATCCATCCATCCATCCATCCATCCATCCATCCATCCATCCATCCATCCATCCATCCATCCATCCATCCATCCATCCATCCATCCATCCATCCATCCATCCATCCATTGTCTTTACCGCTTATCCCGCTCTAGGTCGTCTGTCCTAGCTTTCATTAAGATAAAAAAATCTGTTTCTGCAACTTTAACAATTCTGAACTCTTGACAGTTCAACACTTTTGTAATACTGAATGACATTCACACACAACATCATATTCTTCTAACAGGATTTTCTTTAGGGGGTGGCTGCCTGTGATTTAAAGTGGCCATGATACTGTCAAGATATGTTTTTATTATAGGGGGTGGACCGTTTATTGGCTTCGATTGATTACCAGGGCTGATAGTTGGCCTTCAGTTTTTTATTCTACCAATGCCTGTTAAGATTAGATTCGTAAAAAGTGTGTTATTGCTCTGTGGGGATTGGTCAGACGTCACATCGACTCTGTGATGAAACTTCTCTCTAACTGTAAACTCCTGAATATGAAGTTGTTTCAGTTTCATCTAATCAGTTGTTTTAAGACGTTTCGACAAAGTTCTGTCGGAATTTTTTGATTTTTAATCAAAACATACATCAGTCTCACAAACTAGAAAACCCAAACCAATCGACCCCTAAAGAACTGAATACAACACTTCCAAACTTGATAGTGAAATAATTTTCTTATATTCAATAATCATGACTCATGTGACTGTCTCCAGGGTGCCATCATCCCCAGTCTGCTGGCCAACAGCAGCTACGTGGTTCAGGTCGTCGCTATCTGCACCAACGGACTCCGAGGACGATGGAGTGACCAGATCATAGTGGACATGCCGTTAGAGGATCCTGGTACCAACACACACACACACACACACCAAAACCTCAACAAAGTACAAACTCATATTTGTTCTGCTGTATTTCTGAGTAAGTGTTCAAATATTTCCTTTTTCGTTCTGTAGAAAATGATTCAGATCAGGATCCCGTCACGAAAGATTTGGGGGCAAACAAGGAGGTAAGACCGACTGCGGACCTGCTGCCGCTCCGCCTGGTGTTAGTCTGTGTTTTGCATGTACTCAGTCATATCAGTGCAACATAATTAGTATGCAAATTATTGCAATTATGTCAGTCGAGTCTCGTCAGTGAGTGTTTTGAGAGCGGTACAAAAGGTTGTGGGAGACCTTCCAGCGTGTTTAAAGGAGATTAAAGAAGATGGTCATGCTTCCATGTTTCCCTCCCTGAGAGAATAAGAACAGCCTGTGATCCCGCACACTGAATTCAAAGAGGCTCCTCCATGTTTTATTATCATTTAATCTGAATATTGAAGAAGTAAACAACACGCAGCAGAACTGTGTGTTTGGCTGGAAATGTTCTATCAGGAAGAAACTTAATCAGGGCGGAAAAGGCAATGTTTTGGACTCTGTATTTCACGTTTCCAGGCGGTTTTCTTGTTGGAAATTCAGCCTTTTTTGTCGCTCACTAATATTTATAACAAGCTTTAACTTTGTGCTGAAAGTCTGAGTCTGAGTAAATTAAAGCTACAGTGAGGAGATTTCAGCTGGTTATGAAACAGACTGAGCTTCATTTTGGATGACTGGATGATTTTTTATAAGCTCATTTTGGATGCCTGAAGGTAGGTGTCACAACAGGAACAGCCTCTTTCTTTTCACAATTATTTTTATAAGTTTGGTCAAAGATATTTGTGACGACAGAGAAAAATGTCTCCAGGTGAAATTTCTTTATTTTCCATATTTTCAACCTTGTTTTTTAAACCTGACTCTTTCTATGAAAGAGGATCAGGGCCACATGAAGAGAAAAAAATGTAATTACAGGAAGGGAATGAAAGTCAAAATTTCAAGATTAAAAAATCTTAATTGTGTAAATAAATCGAAATTTCGAGACTACAAAATGGAATTTCAAGATTAAAGTCAAAATTTTGAGATAAAAGTCAGAATTTCGAGGCCACAAAATTTCGAAATTACAAAATGAAATTTCAAGATTAAAGTCGAAATTTTGAGATTACAATATGTTGAAATTTCAAGATTACAAAATGTTGAAATTCCGAGATTTAAAAATGAAATTTGGAGATTAAAAAGCACGAAATTTCAAGGTTACAAAATGTCAAAATTTCGAGGTAAAAAAAAATTAAATTTTGAGATTAAAGTCAAAATTTCGACTGTACTCACGTAATTTCAATTTTCTAATCCCCAAAATTTTGACTTTAATGTCGAAATGTAATTTTTTAAGATCGAAATTTTGACTTTACTTTCATAATTTTTATATTTTTAATCTTGAAATTTTGACTTTAATTCAACTTTTTAAAATTTCAACTTTGATCTCGAAATTTTGATCATAATCTCGAAATGGAAATAAAAAGATCTCCCTCCTGTAATTATTTGTTTTTCTTCTTTTGGCCCTAATCCTCTTCCGTCCTCTTTCTCTGTTGATGTCTAAAGCTTATACAGTATTTCTTTGAGGTCTGTCCTCCTCAGTGTCTAAACCAAAACCTGTCATTTAACAGCAGTGACAAATAACGCTTTACTCTCTGTGTCAGGGGTCATCCAGGGGCAGATGGGAGAAACCAGAAAGTGAGAATCAGCTGAATTTTCCTCCTGAAGATAACAGCCCCGTGGAGGAGATCCCCCCGGAGCAGACCAAAGTTTACCAGAACCAGCCTGTTGAGAAAGTCCAATCCAAACCAAACCTCCCTGTGGACTCTCGTTCGACCCCAAAGTCTCCCTCTGAGTCCGCCGTTCTTCAGAAAACTCGACTCAAACAGAACGGGAAAAAGAAACCCACCTCTAAGAAGTCTAAACCCGAGGAAGCGGACCAGAACTGGATCTATGAGGACCAGTTGATCACGACGCTGCGGTCGTTCACTCATTCAGGTTTTGATAGTAACAGCGCCATTTGGGTCACTGATGTAACTGAGCAGCCGGGCTTCCTGTTTCCTGTTTCTCGGACAGCCACGGTGCCGACAATCCGACGAAAAATCACAGAGGAGGCCTCGCTGTCTGACTCCCAAAATCCGGTAATTTCACAGACACGGTTTTGATCTGTCGCTGTTTGAGTTTCTTTCCTCTTTAAACCTGATAGAACGTAAAACACGACTCTTAAACCAATGTGACAGAAATTCTCTACAGTCACTTTACTTCTACCTGCAGCCCACAGATCAGGATCTACCTGAACAAGTCGGTGAAGGTGACCTCCCTTCTTCCCAGTCGGACCCCTTAACCCCTCCTGTGGAGGACATCCAGGTCACAGACGTCTTCTATGAAGACTCAGACAACAACCCTCCAGAAGAATCCATGACCCCTCCAGGTCAGACTTCAGGAACATGAGGGAGTTCTTGTACATTTTCACACTCACAGGGTTCCTACACAGTTTGAATTTCCATACTTTTTTTATGTTAGAGAAAAAAGTATTTTTAATCTGTGGTAGTAGTCTAGAAACATAAATATTTTTCCATACCTTATTTTTCATTTACCAAACTTTTTAAGATCTGGAAGTTGATGAAATTACTTCCATACTTTCCATACTTGTGTAGGAACCCTGCCTTCATATTCACTTTAATCATCATGTCTCACAGGAATGGACAACGTCTCCCCTTCATCCTCCGAAGACAGAGATGCTCCCGTTAACAAACCTCTACCAGAAACCTTCACCTCCACGTCGTCGTCCGTCTGGATCACACAGAGAGCGGTGACTGCCAGCAACACGTTGGCAGAATCAGTCTACAAATCCTTCACCACCTCGTCTCTGCTCAAAGTGCTGATGCACACGACCCAGCCCATGTTTAACGGTAAGACGGGACACCTGCTGTAGGACTCATATATCATGTGTGCTGTTAAAGAAATCACTGCACCGCCTGTTAAAGAGGGTTATGAGGCTGTTACAATGGGAGTGCTGCACAACAGTAGCATCAAACAGATGAGGAGGCTTTTATTTTGGCGGGTAATCAGCTGTATGATTGCTTTTCTGCCCTAATAGACCACATCTGTTCTGCTAAACTCTGCCGTGTCTCTGTGGGGGTGCTGACGGCGATGGGACAGAGAAACCTGCTGCTTCTGATCACATCTGAGGTGTTTTCTCTGTGGATGTTTCTCTTCTTGAATTCGCTGAAACTCGATGTACGCTTCCTTTACTCTTGTAGCCTGTTTCCACGCCACCTGAGCTCATATTAAAGCTTTGAATCCACTTAATCTCGGTGCTTTACATCCACTCTTGAAGCTCCTTTTCTGGGTCTTCTTCTTTTCTGTGGCTCTCTGCTGCCCTCTGGTGGTCATTTTCTTCTGTGCTTCTTGAAAGATGATCATGAAGGCGCTTCACCTGTTTGATTTCACCAAAAACTCTCTCTTCTCATGAGTGAAAACTCTATCTCCATGAGCCTCACATCTGGGACGATCAACTCTGACTTTCTTCTTCTCGTCTTTCTACACGTCAAACTTATTTCAGAAGGACACAGAGTTCGAAAAAAAAGTTTCTTTTCAGACTTTTACTTTGGCTTTTCTTGCAGCAAACACGCCCACGCCTGAGGTAGAGGACTCGAGCATCGATCGGTCCTCTGAGTTAACAAACCCTGTAGGTGGACTGATCCCCGTCCCTGCCAAACCTGCAGTCTCCGTCTCAGAAAGAGGACCCTCTGCTAATGGAGATGCATTCAGTGTCACATCTCGAGCACTTGAACTTTTTAATGAACCCGCCGGCAGTTTCCGTCCTTCTGGTGCCCTCGAAGATACAAGGAGCGGCGTTATCATTAATCCTAATCAGAAGTCCTCTGAAGAGTTCTCTCTCGGTCTGAAAATGGATCCTCAGACCTCTGCAGCTTTGGGTTCTTCTCAGGATGAATCAATCACCGCAAAGCCTCTTTCTCCACAGCCTGATTATGACTCGAGTACCATCGTCAGATCCAAAACAAACAGAGTCAAAGATGCTTCTCACAGTCTTGGCAAGAGGATTCAAGATGATTCGAACATCCTGCCAAGTCCCGACTTTGAAAAAGGAACCGAGACAGATGAACACGGCTCAGACTTCTTTGATTCTGGAAATCTGACTCGGTTTGTTCCTGATCATTCAGAAGAATCTGACGCAGACATGTCAGCAGGAGGAAGTGGATCAGGCTCTGGTTTTTATAGCAGCCGGCTCAGTGAGGAGTTGAGGACTGACCTTTCTGCAATTACTGTGGGTAATACACTTAAAAGAGGGAGCTCCACAGGAATTAAAACAGATGGTGAAAAAGAGATTAATGCAGAAATATCAGAACTCAAAGTGAAGGACGAGCAGGAGACTTTTTCAGAGGACAAAACAGAGGGGGATCAAAGTGAGCTAAGTGGTGAAGAAGAGGAAGAGATTGAAGGCAAAGGAGCGAGCAGCAATCGTAGTCAGAGGGTGTTGAAAGACAAAAAAGTCGGACAGTTCAGCAGCACAACAGGCCGTGACTCGCTGAGGGAGCGAGACCGAGAAACTGAAGGTGAGATTGTTGCAGGAAACTCGGCGCACGCTGAGACCGACAGCGTGAACGAAATCGAGTTCAACTTTCAAGTTTTCCACCAGCGAGAGGAGGAGGGAAGAAACGAGCAAGCAAAGGACGGAGAAGGAGAAGAAGTCTGGGATTATAACGAAGGAAGTGAACCTGAAGGTGACAGAGGCCATGAAAGGAAAGAGAGCGACAAAGAGGCTGTACCTGGAGGAGGAGATGATGTCCAGTCCACTGCAGAGTCCTCGTGGTTTGATCAGAGTCGAGGAACAAGTCTTGATACTGAAGTTTTGTCGAGTAACTCCCTCCAGGAGAACAAAGAGGAGGGAGACCAAAGTGGAGGTGTTGTTAGTGAAGAAATCGGTAAGAGAGGAGGTCGAGAGGACAGCGACTCGGCTGTGATTGAAGAGAGTTTGCAGCAGGTCTTAATTGTGGACGGGTTTTTGTTTGATGGTGCAAGAATTCCTGTAGTTGAACATCTCACTCCCTCGCTCACAGCGACCTATGATGACGACGAGGCCTCTGAGGGGCGAATGGAAGGTAAATCTCACTAAGTACTCAGCTTTTTCACCTCTTTGTGACTCGAGGTGTCTGGGGTTTTTCTTTCTATGCACCTTTCAGTTCGTACAAGGAAAAATCCTGGAGGCTCTGATTGGAGAACAGTTACTGCCTCCAGATACAAACAGATCACTTCATCAGGGCTGCAGTTATCGAATATGTTAGGACTGAATTTTTCAGGCGATAAGGTGCACCGGATTATAAGGCGCATTGGCACATTGGTGCATTGATTGGTTTATTGTTGCCAGCGCGTACTCCGGGCTGCCTTACATGAATGCACTTCTATTTTAGACATTACAGTCAGGCAGTCTTGTAGACTGCTCAGGGGTCCTGTTACAGGGCCGATCAGGTAGTAACACAGCGTACCATAAGCGTTTTTCTTTTTTTTTTTTTGTTGGATGGTAGGGGAAGGTCCCGCCCTCCTTCGCCTCTGATTGGCTAGAAGTGCTGGGCTCCGATTGGTTGAAAAAATATTGCGTACTGTAATGCTCTGAAAAGCCATTGAGCGGAGCGGCTTCATTGCTTACCGAAGTCGTACTCACACATTTTGACAGATTTTTGAGCGCATTGTACCACATAAAATCGGTCAGTAAGCACAACAAGTAGTCATACACAAAGTGTGCTCGATTAAAAGGTGCACTGTCAATTTTTGAGAAAGTTTTAAGATTTTAAGTGCGCCTTATAGTCCGAAAAATACAGTAGTTGAAGTCAACGAAGAAGAAACACGTTATTAGACTAGAATTATACACAGAAATATAGTATCTTTATAACATTTTGTTTACGTGAACTCAGAGATGGTAAATGCCCCGGCCACCCTTACTCATGTTAACGCTGCGGTTGTGCCCCCCCCTTGCCAAATTCTGGGCACGCCCCTGCATGACAGAAACAGGAAACTGTTGTTTTGCACAACAAGGAAAAGATTTTCTGTTGATTTTTAACAAATAAGAGGAAACTTACCCAAACTTCAACTTCTGTCCCAGGAAGTCAGTTAAAAAGTTGACTCCTGTACCAGCTGGTGAGGGCCTGAAGCCACACGATACTATGCAGCAAATATCTGAGGATTTTTTTCCCTCTTTTTTCTTTAATCAGGAGGCAGCAACAGCAGCCATGAGTCCCGGGTCGGGCTGGTTGGCGGTGTGGAAAGAGAGAAGAGGACAGTCATACCCCTGGCTGTCGTCTCCACCCTTACTATCCTCTGTCTGCTGGTTCTGGTGGGGATACTCATCTACTGGAGGTACAAACACATACACACACACACACACACACACACACACAAGCTCAGAATCGGTCTGGATCAGTTTGACCTGCATACCTAAAATTTGGTTTGTTCATGTCGCAGAAACTGTTTCCAGACGGCGAATTTCTACCCCGATGACACCGCCTCACCTAAAGTCGTATCTGTACCATCGACACCCCTGCTGCTGGCCACGGGTAACACACACAAACACTTAGTCCTCTCACACACTGGACTCGACCGGATTATTGCAGCACAGAGTTAAAGTTTACTTTTTGAATTCCAGATGGTCACGAGCCGCTGACAGTCAAACAGTTTGTGAAACACGTCATGGAGCTGCACACCACCAACACCTTCTCCAAAGAGTTTGAGGTGCGTGACGAGTTCATGACCTGAAGTTTTGGAGTTAAAGAACATATAAGAGAAAAAGCATTAAATCATGTGTAGGTCGTACATCATGTTTCATAGCCCCTTAATGCTTTTCCATATCTCTATTAACATCATAAATACCATTCAGTACAGTTTTTATGTGTTTGTTCACCATGATGTTTATACTGTAAACAGAAAATTTAAACAGATATGAAGGTCATAATCTTTGGTGGTGGTAAATTCATCTCGTCAGCATTTAAAGACATAATGTTAATAAATGATGGATCAACTATGGAAGCCCAGAGAGACAAATGAAAAAAACTGTTGATCTATTTTTGAAATCTCATTTATCTTATCTAGGAAGGAAGGAAGGGAGAACAGAAGGGAAGAAAGGACACAATGTAGGGGAAAAGAAGGGAAGGAAGGATGGAAGGTAGGGAGAAGAAAAGAAGAAAGGATGGAAGGTAGAGAGAAAGAAGGAAAGAAGGATGGAAAATAGGGAGAAGGAAAGATGGAAGGTAGGTAGGGAGAAAGAAGTGAAGAAGGATGGAAAATAGGGAGAAGAAAAGAAGGAAGAATGGAAGGTAGGGAGATGAAAGAATGGAAGGTAGGGAGAAAGAAGGGAAGGAAGGATGCAATGTAGGAAGAAAGAAGGATGAAAGGTAGGGAGAAAGAGGGGAAGGAAACATGGATGGTAGGAAAAAGAAAGGAAGGAAGTAGGGAAGGGTGGGAGAAAGAAGGGAAGGGAGAATGGAAAATAGGGAGAAGAAAGGAAGAAAGGATATGAGATAGGGAGAAAGAAGGAAAGGAAAAAAGTAAGGTATTAAGGAAGGAAGGATGGAAGGTTACCTTATTTTCCCCCTCTGGTCTCTCAGGGCTTCCGTACATTTCTTTGAGATTAGCTTGTGTGTCAGTTACAGCAGTAGCAACATCTGCATGACATTAGCCATCTGTGTCTCCTAGCATGAGCCTCCTGGTTACACACACAGATAGGATGAAGAGAAGTCTGCATCAACAGTATATCTGTGTTTTTTCTAGACTGTATATTTACAACAAAGTGTTGACTCAGCTGGTTTGAGATCACTGCAGCTGTAACCTTCACATAGACTCTGTGTATCAGCCAATCACAGTGATGCTTCGGTTTTTTAACCCGTGAACTGTGACACTGTGGGATAAGAGTCCATGGCTCAGTTGGGAAAATTGTGTGTTTCCCTCTCAGCACAGCCTCTCTGTGTGTATCTGAACCCCATGTTCTGTACCTGCACTGACTCCCTGTCTGTCTGTCTATCTGTCTGTCTGTCTGTCCGTCATCTTGCCCCCCTCCGACTCTCCCTTCACCACCTCCACCATCATCGTCGTGCTTTCCGCATCCTCACCACCTTCCATTAGATTGTCAAAGAATCCTACGAGGTAAGACACCTACGTTATCACCTCTCTACTGTCGTTTCCGAGGTGGTTCCTTCAGCCGTCTCTGGAAACAGAGAAAAAAAAGGATAGATGAAATCTCCTTCCTCTGCCCTTTCTTCTGCTAACTGGTTTTGTGTTTAAAGACTGTTGATGCGATGTAGCGAGACATATTTAAGACGTGATGGAGCAAATACTCCCAGAGATTATAGGTTATAGATTTCATATTTGAAGCTGCATGTGAAGATGTGTGGATTTAAACGTCATAGAAAAGTGCTCATCTTTATCTTTCATTTGCCTCTGCATCGTCCTCACACACTAACCTCAGTCCTGTTTGTGGTTTTTCAGGAGGTGCAGGCGTGCACGGTGGACATGGGCATCACCACAGACAGCTCCAATCACCCCGACAACAAAAGCAAGAACAGATACATCAACATACTGGCCTGTAAGTCACAGTCTTTGTGTTTTCTGTCACACAAAGTGCAGATGACTCTGATGATGAACCTCTCCTTCTTTCTCAGATGACCACAGTCGAGTCAAGCTCTGCAGCAGTTTGGACAGAGATGGGAAATGTGGGGACTACATCAACGCCAACTTTGTGGATGTAAGTTTGTGTTTGTCAGCCGCGCACGTGAAGACGAAGACTACGCAGAGCTGTCGGGGTTAATTTGGAGTTTCTTCCCGCAGGGTTACGAGCGAACGAGGGCGTACATCGCAGCTCAGGGGCCCCTCAGAGCAGGAAGGGAGGACTTCTGGAGGATGATCTGGCAGCAGAACGTGGGAGTCATCGTCATGATCACAAACCTGAAGGAGAAAGGAAGGGTGAGGAGCTGACCTGAAACACAAACACATCAACTTAATCAAAGATCCGTTCAGTAAACATTGTGATTACGGTTAATTTAAGACTTATTAATGCAGGTAAGGCATGAGAAAATCTGTTTGAAACTCACCTCATCTCATCCATCTGCAGACTAAATGTGATCAGTACTGGCCAGACGAGAACCAGGAGGACTACGGTCAGTACCAGGTGACCCTGAAAAGCAGCAAGACACTCGCCTACTACACACTGCGGACGTTCACCGTCAGAGACACCTCAAAGGTACCAAACACACACTTATACACACGATCAGCTCTCAAACGCACACATACTAACAAAATGTGGCGTGAAAGAACACGCCCTCTAGAGTTCACATGTCTGATAACACCTGATCTGGAACTCCAGGCGTCCCAGAAGAAGGCCGAACACACCGTCCTCCATTACCACTACACCCAGTGGCCCGACATGGGGGTCCCAGAGTACACTCTGCCTGTCCTGTCCTTCATCAGAGCATCCTCCAGAGCCAGGACACAGGAAGTTGGACCTGTCCTGGTCCACTGCAGGTAAACTGTGTGTGTATTTGTGTGTCTTCATGTCGATGTGTTACTCTCCACAAACTATTAAAACTGATTTTGACTTTGATTTGCGTCACAGCGCTGGTGTGGGAAGGACAGGAACCTACATCGTAATAGACAGCATGCTGCAGCAGATCCAGGATCAGGGGACTGTGAACGTTCTGGGTTTCCTCAAACATGTGAGAACTCAGAGGAACTTCCTGGTCCAGACGGAGGTAAGAGAACAGACACACAGACTCACATGCAGACTGTCAGTACGTCTCTCAGGGTTGATCCAGTCAGTGTGTCGCCCTCCTCCTGCAGGAGCAGTACGTGTTCATCCATGACGCTCTGGTGGAGGCCATCCTGAGCCGTGACACCTTAGTGACCTCTGACCTTCTTCACACTTATGTGTCAGACCTCCTGACCCCCGGGGCGTCGGGTAGGACCCGCATGGACAGACAGTTTAAGGTATATTATTTAATTCCCCTTTTCTTCCTCTAAGTCTGATCCTGATCATCCTGGTCTTAGTTTACAAATGAGTCATCGGTGAAGTGGCCAAACTCAAACAACAACATAAAAACCCTCTCACTGTTTACTGATGTTTGGGACTGTAGGATTTCTAAAACTCTGAGTCAATAAAGTGCAGAGCAGAGGACAGAGACAGTGTTGTTTTCGTCAGGCAGGACGAAAACTTAAATGACGACGTCAGACCCCTTTTTTCCTTGACGAACATGAGACTAAGACGAACGTCACCAAAGCTCTGTAAAGACTAAAATGTGACGAAAATTATATTCATTTTCGTCAGACGAGAACGAGACGAGACTAAATTGTTATTAGGTGGACGAACAAAGTTTCAAAAAATGCTTTTTTTTGTCCTAACAGTCACGCCCCCATCACACACGCACCAAAAGCCTCGCTCGCGCACAGCTGCGCGCACACACTCATACACATACACAGAGCGGCAGGTGGACGAGGCGCGCACACACACACACACCGTGGCGGCAGGCACAGCAGCGGTGCCCGGTGGCCGAAAAAAGAGGGATGATTTTTGGTCCTACTTCAGATACAGTTCAAGTGACAATAAAATAAAAGTGACAATAAAACACGGGACGGGGAGACGAGACAGACGACAGTTGTGGAGCCACAGCTTCCTCATGCTTCAAACTGTCGGGAAAGAACACCACGAACCTCAAAAGGCACCTTTTCGAGAGACTAAAACTAGACTAAAACCTTTTGAGTTTTCGTCGGACTAAAACTAGACGAAAACTATCAAGGATAGAAATGACTAAAATGGGACTAAAACGAAGACGCATTTCGTCAAAATGACGAAGACTAAAACTAAATCTAAAATGCCTGCCAAAAACAACACTGGACAGAGACGAGCGGAGAAATGGACTTCAAGCCTCTGAGAGAGCGTGTCTTTGAGGCAGGCTCGTTCTTGAGTTCAGGTCGTGTCTCGAAATGAGGTGTTCAGAGAATCCAGAAAACGCATTCCTGGATCACACCATCATGTTAGGAAACGTCAAACATTACAGCATTAAAAGTACAAATCAAAATACAGATCAGTAGGATAGGTCTCCTATGAGTTGATCGACTTTATCCTCCAGTTTATAGTTAAATCAAATAAATCTAACCAACCCTTCTCGCTGTGTTTCAGTTGATCAGTCAGCGTCAGGCGAAGCACGCGGACTACAGCACGGCTCTGAGAGACGGGAACGCAGAGAGGAACAGAGCCAGAGCGCTGATGCCCGGTGAGCTGAGCTGCTGTCATACACATTTATTTATCTTCTGCATCCTCATTGGTTTATTTCTTGAATATATTTAATGAAATGATAACAATATAATTTAATTGTTTGACAGTTTTGAATTTCTCTGACTTGTTTTTTCTTCTCTCCAGTTGAGAGGTCTCGAGTGTGTCTGACCGCTTCAGAGTCAAACGCCACAGGCTTCATCAACGCCTCCTATGTCATGGTAGGATGTGCGGACTGTGTTTGTCTGTCTCTGTTGTATTAAAGGGATATTCGAGCGTAAAATTAATATAGGCTCAAACACACTGTAACACCGAGTTAGACATCCCCTTGAGAGATGAATGTTGACGACCGCTTGCTTCTCTAGTTATACCAACTTTAGTAACGACCGCAGGATAGCGATACAGAGAGCCACGCGCTCAACCAAAACGCTACTCTATAGCCACAAATAATGCTCAGAACAGCACCTAACTTCCTCTAACTGTGTTTGACCCTAACTTAATTTTACGCCGGAATATCCCTTTAAAGACATTCGATAAACGGACAAACCTGCTGCTTTCTCTCTCAGGGCCATCACCACTGTAAGGAGTTCATCGTGAGCCAGACTCCTCTGAGCAGCACTGTAGCAGATTTCTGGAGGATGATCTGGGAACACAACACACACACCGCGGTCTGCCTGCCAGACACACACTATCAGGTAAAACACACTAACGGTCGTTATTTGTATTATGATGAAAATTACCGGACACACCCTCATGTTTCTTTTTTGATTTTTAGGGTTCAGAGGCGGACTGTTGTGTTTTCTGGCCCAGAAAAGACCAGCCAATGAGCTTTGAGGGTTTTACCGTGGCGTACTCAGGGGAGGAGCATATGTGTCTGTCCAATGACGAGAGAGTTTTAGTGCAGGACTTCAGAGTCGAGTCCACACAGGTGACACACACACACACACACGGTTTTACACTTCTCTACATTCGTCTCTGTACTTGATTAATATTTCTTCTCTGCCTCCGCTCAGAACGAGTACGTGCTGGAGGTGCGTCAGTACAGCACCCCCTGCTGGCCCAACCCTGACAGTCCGATCAGAAACAGTTTCGATCTGGTCAACCTGGTCAAAGAGCACAGCAGACACTCAGACAGACCCACAATCGTCCACGATCCGTAAGTTCAGTCCAGGAGGGAGTGTTTCTCTCATGAACTTCTGCTCCTTCATAGTGACGGTTCATCTGTGTGTGTGCAGGTTGGGAGGAGCTACGTCAGGGCTGTTCTGCGCCCTCACCACCCTGTCCAGTCAGCTGGAGGAGGAGGGAGCGGTGGACGTGTACCAAGTGGCACGGATGACCAACCTGATGAGGCCTGGGGTTTTTAACGATGTAGTACGTCATCGAAAATGCACCTGATACTCCAAGATATCGCTTATGTTTGTTTCTGAAATCAAACAGGGTTCTTTTTGACCCCCACAGGAGCAGTACCAGTACCTGTACCGAGCCGTGCTGAGTCTGGTGAGCAGCCAGGAGGACCAGAGAGCCCTGCAGAATCCAGAAACCAACGGATCTGTACCGCTGGGACAGACGAACATCGCCGAGAGCCTGGAGTCACTCATGTAGACACACAAACACACACACCGGAGAGGCTTCATGCCAGCACACACACACAAACACAACCTCACCCACACACACTGATAGGGAACTTCTGCTGATGACATGTTCCCAGGCTGTAAAAAGTTATTTTTTAAATTTTGCATTAGGGCTGCAGGACCAAAGTCCACTCCGCAAAAATGATCATTTCAGTTTTTTAAAGACAGAGGAGCTCCACAGGTCTGAATATCCACACTGATCATCAGACAAACAGTTCAAAGACACTTTTTATCATTCATTACATCACCATCACCATTACACAGTCCTGGCTTTTTAAATTCCAACTGTTGAATTTTAGATAAACAGAAAGAATCAGCATCTACAGCTGCTTTCAAACATGCACAAAGTTCCTGAAAATGGTCAGAAATTACCCCTTAGGTGAGCTGAATATGTACTACCAGCCTGCTTGTATAATATCAGGGTAAAGTCCAGGTGTTTATTTGAAATTTTAGAAGAGGTCAGAGTGTGAAAACCCTCCATCAAAAAAGACTTAATTCATCTGAGACACACGATTTCGAACCCTGAAGAGCGGCACATAAACCGGATTAAAACTCTGACACAGGCCTGTATACTCACTTCTCCTCTCTGTCAGGTTTGAGCCCCTGACATTTTTAGAAATTTTCCACAGTGCATGTCTGAAAACAGCTTTAGCCCGTCCGGGGTCAGGGGGGGGATGGGTGGGGTCAACTCCAGCTGTCAGTTAGCTGTCAGAAGAGGTGGGACACACCCTGGACAGGTCGGCAGTCTTTCACAACAACTTCACCCAGACACAGAACCTAATGGTCTGTAAGGAGATGGTCATTCCTGTGGACAACTTTACAGCAGTGTGTGTGAGTCTAAAGTGTGTGTGTGTGTGTGTGTGTGTGTGTGTGTGTGTGTGCTGAACATGGGGCCTGAAGCAGAAGAGCCACAACACTGTCTGACAGACCGCAAAAAAAGAAGAAAACTCAAGAGGGCTTTCATCTGAACTAGAATAACTATAACACAGACTGAGATGATGAATCTGTCCTCTACTCTTAAAGTTAAAGCTCCTGTAAGGAGTTTTTAGATGTTTATAAAACAGACTTAAACTCTTAGTGACGCTTTCTTATGACATCTCAAAGCAAACAAAACCATCAGGGACAAGACTGACGATTTTTTACTGATGATTTTTAATGTCTAAAACTGGAGCGAGAGGGTAGGTGTCAGTGAAGCAGCTGATCTTTTCAATAAATGATTTGTTTGTAAAAATCAGCAGGATTAGATTATCAAAAGTCGCTACTTAAAGCTCCTCTAAGGAACTTCTGTTTTGTGTCAATTATGGCGCCAAATCAGTCTTTGCTTATTGTATCCTCTATCCTGTCATCCTGCTGATTTTGACAGCCCACTAAGTCATTTATTGTGATTATTAAATAAGGAAAATGTTAAAACAGCTGACACCTACCCCCTCGCCTCTGTGTCCGACATTTAAAATTAAAATACAAACATCGTTAATCTTGTTTCTGATGGTCTAATTTGCTTCTGTTCATCGTAAAACAGCATCAGTGTGACTTTCAGTCTGTTTTATAAAAGTCAAAAATCTCCTCACAGGAGCTTTAAACTTGTCCTTTCATTTATTGCCTTTATCTTTTATTTGATCATGTTATTTTTGTACTTTTTAGACCTCATTTTTGATTTATTCAAACAAAATATTTGAAAAAAGTGCAATTTGCAAACAGGCAAAAATGAAGCAGATGGTTTGTACCTGAGTACAAATCAATCGCGATGGCCTTATTGTGGATAAAAAGGACATGATGTAGAAAACGACTCACTTTGAATCCTTTATTTTCCATACAAATAAAAGCAGAATTTCACACTCAGACTAGCATATGGAGTTACAGTATGTTTGAAATAACCAAAATCTCTGACACTAAAACGCTCTGAACTGCTTTGAAACATCTCGTCACGATTTGTCGCCATCGGCTCCGTGGTCTCTGGTTTCCCCTGTGCCTTTTGTAACTCATGTTCTTGTACTTAAACTTGTTTTGATACTACTGTACAACTGTGTAACTAATATGCCAAAATGCTGATCTATGACTGGTTTTTATATTTTCTTAAAGTCTTTGTTGCGCTTGTTATCTTTGTATGTAAAAGTCAAAGAGAAGAAGGGAAAAAGTCGCTGTAAAGCTGTAAAAAGTTAAAAAAATTTAAACCAGATTTCACTTTTCTGCCTACTTTGACGACTAAATCAGTAAGTTTAATCGTCTCTAACCCTTCAGAAGGTCTAAATGTTGTTCCAGACTGAGTTTTTTCATCCGCTGAGATTTTGACTCCTCATGCTGATTTTGTGTCCCCGCTCGTCCTTTGCGTTCTGTCACTCTGAGGGTCCAAATGTTGCTGTCGTGTCAAACACAAACGATCAACCTCTGAATCACCGTCGAACGATCTCGCCGCCTCTTCCTGCGCCGGTTTTGCGTCCACTCTGTAGCATTTTCTCGCTCCTCTGAGGGGATGCAAAATGGCGCGGATCACGGAGGCTGCTTCTCCGTACCCAGACTGTGATTCCTCCAGATCTCACTGTAACATGTATGAACTCTAATTGTGTAAATATCCCTGAATACACTATAAGGCCAAATTACTGTATGTTTATACTGTACTTCTATATATTTTCTATTTTACTATGAAGTGATTTTCTAGACATTTACACACATATAACTGTGCGGATTCTATTTGATAATTCTAGCCTGAAAATATAGATCCTGTTTATAGTTTAAATGGAATGTCATCTCTTTATGATTACAGTAGCAGCTTAATGTCTCTACCTTCTTCTCCGGCCACTCGCTGGTGGAGTTTGTAAATAGATCACAGCTCTGTACATGATTCAAACTTTGTTCTTTTTCTGGGAGGAATAAAAAAATAAAAAGTTGGACCTTTACAGACGTTTTCATTTTTGTATAAACAAACAGACACGTGAGTGAAAGACGTTATCATGCTTTTATTTACACTTAAACACATTATATTGCAAAGTCTCCCCTGATAGACCTGTACATGACATTAGAGATAAACAAACATTAAATAAACACTAACACAGATTAAGTCAAAACCAAAAATATATATTTCTTTATTATCTTTATAATAATTGCCATTACACATTTTACTGTAGCAGTCACATACGATAAAGTGTATATAGTGCATTAAGAACAAACCTCATTATGCAATGAGAAAATGAGCGCCCAACCTGGGAGGGTGTTAGCTTTATTTTTCTTAATCTCACTCCTAATTTTTAAAGGCACTTAAACTCTAAAGCAGATCAACACCCGGCTTTCACACTCAGCACGGCTCTGACTGTATCTATGAAGCATTTACATGACTCAGCTGGGATCCACATCACATCTAACACCCAGAATTCAAGACACAAACACGGGAAGTCACTGCAGATCTTGTGTGTCCCGGGTTTGTATCTTTACGGTATGGTTAATAATTTGTGAATAAAAAGAAGATGGTTCTGTTACTAAAGGATTTTAAAGCTCCTGTGTGGAAATTTCAGCTGGCGCCCCCTGTGGACAAAACAGTCTTCGCTAATTTTGTCCTCATCCTGCGAGCTTTTGATTATCAGTCTAAAGCCCCAGTCTAAAGGTCCTTTCACACGGAGACCATTTTTATCGTGCAATTATTTTTGACGTCAATATTTTCTTTTTCGAACCCATATCCTGTCAATACCAGTGTTCACATCAGCAACGTTTTCCCGTCCTGCGATATTGCGACATTTATTTTTTCGGATCACGGACGATTTTTCTAAAGTTTCACATACTGTGTGTCCACTTCTGACCAATCAGATTTCGTGTTGTTGTGATGTCTGATTCACTGGTATATCCAACATGTTTGACCGGCTGATTGTTTACGTGTCAGAAAACAGAGTGCTTTTAGATAAAAGACAAACATTATAAAGATAACGACCTGAAGGACAACTTGTGGAGAGTCATAGCGTCGGATTTCTCATATGACGATGGTTTGTGTGTTAGTCTTCTCACTTCCACCTCATTTCGCATTGTGTATTTGTGCCGTTCCCGGTGTACAAGGCGTCAATGTGAATTTCAGCTGAATTTAAACACGTAAAAAAAATCCTTACAGGAGCTTTAAACAGGGTCCAAAACTTTGAGGGAACAAGACGTCTTCTAATATTGGCTGTGTCCGAAATGAATCACTTAATCCCTAACCCCCATATGGGATTTTACTATATAGTTGACTATGTAATGAGCTCAATCACCTGAGGTTTTGGACACTACATGGCAAGATGCAATGCATGACGGGATGTCCACCACCGGTGAGTGACCATTGGATGGTCACTACATTTTGCAATGCTTTATGGGAAACTTTGAGTCGCCTATATTGGGCATTGGAATTGATTACTGAGATTTCAGACACCCCTAAAAATGGCGCTAACCCCCATAGAGTCACCTATATAGGGGTTAGGGATCCATTTCAGACACAGCCTTTGTAATTATCTCTCTGTTGGTGAAGTTGTGTGGAACATTCTTACTGATGTTTTGTTAATAAAACAAAGATAAAAACCTTAAAACGTATGGCACATTTAAATTCAAAGTTATTACATTACATTAATTTTGACAGTTTTTTTTTTTTTCTGCAGCCTCAATTATAACATACTGTACCATGTGAATTTCTATCTAGAAGTTTATTACCGTAAATCCTCTAATAGAAGATAAAAGGGAGAAACCCCTTACAGGGAAATGTCACATTTCTCCCTTTTTTAAAATTAACGTCCTCTGTAGGATAATGGAGCTCCGTCCGTTTGCTTTTTGAAAAGGACAAAATAAAACCATAAATCTTTTTTTTGTGTGTGAATTTAACATGTAAATTAGTTACAAAACTAGATGTTGAATGATGAATTACATAAAAGCAAAAGTTATATTTTTTGTCTTGTGCAATACACTGTGCAAATGCAAGTAATACAGGCAAAAACAATATGTTGAATATATATTTATATATATAAGATTTGGAAAAATAGCTACATTATCTACTTTTGACTAAAAAGCTACAGCACCACAACCTCCACCTGTTTCAAGCATAAAGTGAGAGACTGAAAACCCTCAGAGTCTCTTTCTGTTTACGTCGCATCTCGTCAAATCACTCGAGCAGGTGAGCTCCTGTCATGGATGAACGCAGTTTGGTTTAAAAAAAAAAAAAAACTCTGAAAGGAGCTAAAACTGTGGTCTGTGTCGATATAAAGATTAAGTTATTATTACTGTAGAAAATCATGATTTCAACCTCTTTTTTTCAAATGTAACATTTAGCACCTTTGGAAAGCTACAAAAAAGGAGAAGTGACAGTTTGGAGGAGCAGCTCCGGATGTCTTCAGGGAGGAGACCCCGTCGCTGACGCCTCCTGCAGATCCAGGCACTTCTCGTGTTCACAGAGTTATAAAAATTAAGCAGAATATGAGGTTATAAATGCACCTTTGTCTTATTGCTGCTCATCTGTTATGCTTTTCTCTTTGCTCCTGCAGGCTCGGTTCTCGTCTGCAGCCTTAATTCCCCTGACAGCCCTGTGAACACAGAGGAAGGATTAGGCAGCAGGAAAAACCACGGGTGTCAGATTAGGTTGTGTGCAGGATTTTAAGTGTGTGTGAGTGAGTGTGTGTGTGAGTGTGTGTGTGTCCGTACAGAGGTGGTTCTCTTGCGTTTCCAGCAGTCTGGGTTCAGTCTCTTCTGCTCATCTGCCAGAGCTTTGGCCTGTAAGGTGAACGCTTTGCGCTCCTCGCTTCGCATTTTCTTCCATCGCTCACCGAGGAGGACGCTGATTGCTCTAAAACACAAACACAAAAACACACACATTATTTTACACCACAAACATCACAAACACTACATATATTACCAACACTTGTGGAGGCACACTTACCTGTTGTCTTTCCCCGGGTACATCTGCGTGTACTCCACCCTAAACTTCTTGGCAAATAGCATGAAGGCGTTCATTGGCCGCTTACACTTAGTGGGCGTGGCAGTCCCTGCTGGGCTTCTGGTTGGCTCTTGGCGGGGAGAGTTGGAGGGACCAGGACTGGGAGAGTCTGCAGGTTTTAAAAACATCTTTAACCTCACTAGAGTGGCTTTTGTTGAGAATTCGACAGATATTACTTGTCAGAGCAGATTATCAGACCACCACGGGTCATGATTGAGTATTTACTGGTTTGGCTTTACAAGTCAATGGATTATCTATTAAAGGGATATTCCGGCGTAAAATTAGTTTAGGGTCAAACAGACCATAACACCGAGTTAGACACCCCCTTGAGAGATGAATGTTGCCGACCGCTTGCTTCTCTAGTTATACCAACTTTAGCAACGACCGCACGATAGCAATACACAGCGGTCTGAGGAGCCATAAACAAACCTCAACTAAAACGCCACTCTATAGTCACAAATAATGCTCAGAACAGCACCTAACTTCATCAACAGGACATATAGGGTCCCAGATTTCTTTAGCAAAGAGACTAAACACAACTCACCTACTCTCTTCCAGCAGCTGCTTGTTTGTAGTGAGATTTAAGGCCAGTCCATTACGAACTACAGTGGGGTGTCGCAGCTCAAGGAAGAACATTTATGATCATTTCTTTATCATTTCCTTAAAGTAATAATCACCATATTAATGATTTTGTCCTGCAGACGCGGTAGTTCGTCTGCCTTAGGGTCTCGGTCTGATTGTATTTCCATGAAGAAATGATCATAAATGTTCTTCCTTGAGCTGCGACACCCCGCTGTAGTCCGTAATGGACTGGCCTAAGATCTCGCTACAAACAAGCGGCTGCTGGAAGAGAGTAGGTGAGTATCCCTTTAATACCCTGTGATGTACCTCTGTCTGGAGAAACAGCTCCCCCGCTGGACTGGGATGTGCGTCTCCGCCTGGCCATGCTGCTCAACACGTAGACCGCAGAGGAGTCCAGAGGAGTAAAATCGTAACTGAGAAGAACAAAAAAGGTCATGACTCTTCTCAGCAGTCAAATGTTTTTGTAGTTTAGTTTACTGTTCATGAGTTTTACCTCCTGAATGTGTCAAAGACCAGCGAGCTGTCGGTGTGTTTCGCATCTCTGTGCCCTGGAGGAAGGCACACACCGCCCACCTCCATTTCATAGCACGGTATCCCATGACGCACCACAGTCAGGCTTGGATAAAAAGATGACCACCCTGACAGGAAATGACACAGAAAGTTAATAAACAAACATCATTTTGATTTCTAATCATCTCTCATTTCGTCTCAGTTTCACACCTTTGTTTTTGACGTAGAAAGGATGCTCAAGTTGGCAGCGGACGGTCAAAGGGGTGTTGCCGAATGCTCCAGGGTCAAAGGTCAGCTGCAGCACTGCCTGACCTGACACCACGATCTCTGAATGCTCCACCAACTGCAGACCCTCTGAGCCATAACTCTGAAAACGAGCAAAATCGTCATTCTCGAGGGTTTTTGTTTTGTTTGCATTTCAACACACATCAGTTAATCTGTTATTGTAACACTCGTCAGAGAGCTGTCCTCATTTTTAAGTTTTCCAGAGGCATAAATTAAACAGATTGTTGCTGTAACTGGAATAAAAATACAGCACTGAGCCGAGCGAACAGAGAGAGCAGCTTTAAAAACCAGAAGAGCTCCAGATGGAGACGATTGAAGAAGAACACGGTGTTCTCCAAAGTCTGACAGTTTTAGTGCAGACAGACTGAAGCTTCCTGCATAATGCACCTTCAGAGATCTGGATCGGCCCTCATCGCCAGAATCATCCTCCACCACGTAATCCAGGTCTTCAATGTCCTGCCACTCCACATTAGAGCTGCTGTGGAAACGCAGATGAGTGCCTGAGGGAAGAGAATAGACGCTCTATTTCCTATTTTTGACCAAAACACATGAAACCATGTTTTTAAAGCGCTCTGGTGTGTGAGTGCGGCCACCTTTGAGGAAACAATGCCAGGCTGTGGGGGGCCAGGAGAAGCTCCATCCCATGTCCTCATCTTCAGAGAGGGAGGATCTGGTTGACACCGCAGATCCACATTCGCTGCTCTTCTGGTGACGCATGAAGAGAGGAATAATACAATAATAAAACAAACTACATCATATCCTTTCTGCTCATCATAACCCAATATTACTTATCAATAAAGAGACATGGACCCTCCAGGAAGATACAAACAACAGTATAGTTACAGATTTAATAAGATGACATGACAGCTTCACTATCAGAGCCAATCAAAAGCTAAGTAGCTCCACCAAGGTCACTTTCTGGACGCGTTTTAATCAAGTATGGTTTTTAGGTTCTTCATACACCACTGATCTTTTTATACCGTCTATGTATATTAACAAAAGATATCTAGTAAGTTGACATTAACATTAGACACAAAGCTCGCAAAGACAAACATAAGCTGTACCCTGCTGCGCCGGCGCTCCCTGCCATGGCCTCTAGGGGGCGACATGCTGCTGGGAGGAGAGGGAGGAGGTCGAGCGTAGGAATGTAGATTACTGCTGGTGCTGGAGACGCAGACAGACGAGGAGCTGAAATGAAAAGAGGGAGTGGTTTAAAGGGATATTCTGGCGTAAAATTAAGGTAGGGTCAAACACACTGTAACACCGAGTTAGACACTCAATCGAGAGGTGAATGTTGCCGACCAAGGAACGGGATGGATGTGCACCCACCTGCTGTGGAGAGAGTTTTGCAGCAGTGGGCTCTGAGGCCCTGTGGCAATATGAGCGAGCTGTGTCAGCCAGTGTGTGTCAGGAGGCTGAGCGTGTGCACTTTGTTCCAGGTGGGAAACACCCACGTCCACCTGGTACACAGGCGGCGCCGCTTGTTCCACCTCCTCCTGGACCTCCTGCAGATCTGGGAGGTCGTCTAGGGATAGAAAGAAAAAGAGTGTCAGGAAGATCTGTTGTTATTATGAGCAGGTATGATGCTCCATCGTTCCATGCGATGTACCGTATTCCATGTGACTGTCACTGGTGGGGAATCCAGGTGAGGACGGGAGGTGTTCCTCAAAGCAGATTAGGTCATGTGACTGGTCTATGTCAGCATCCATCATCACTTCTGAAGAGGTCAAAGAAAACAAACAAAATTAGTGAAACCTACATTTTCACTCCTAATTTAGGGTCAGAGAGGTGTAGGATCTTGACTAAACTCTCAGGATCTACTGCTAACTTGTCCTTAATTATGTCAGTGTTTGATAACCTCTTCAATCTTTACGGCTGCTTGGATATTGTTATAGATAAGCTTAGGTAAACTCTATGTGGCTAAAAATTAAAGCATCCAGGGATTTGTACTGCAGACATACTCAGAGTTTGGAAGGCTCTTGACTAGGCCAGGAGGATCTGGCTAAAGAAATTATATATTGGAGTTCAGTATCATGTCTTTTTTTTTTTAAAATCTGACCTCATATAGTGAAATTAAAGTCTGCATATTTCTTCCTCTGCTGCTGTAATGTTGACTTTTATTGCCTATTACCTGTGAGTTCACCCTGATGCTCAGAGTCCAGTACAGGCTGATGTTTAGGGGTCACCACCTCCCAAACCATGATGTCCGCAGTCCCTGGAACATGCAGATAGCAGATTAAGTCCACGTGGAATATCTATCATGTTTGGCCCTCGGATTAGACCTAAATACAGACTATGGCCCTCGTTGTGGTTGAGTTTGACACCCCTGAGCTAAGATAAAATGGTGGACTTTTGTTCTAGGTATTTGACCTCATGTTGTCGCTCATAGATAACACAATTGATGATAAAACACATTTTAAAATGATCTTTTTTGGTCTGAACACAACTCTAATCAAATTTACAACAGACTAAATTCACTTTCAAGAGTGAAAAATGTTTATTTTTTTGTAAATAAATGTCTAACCCCTTCACCTATATGCTTCTAACCACCACATACTCCATAAATTGATGCCCATCTCTTAAATATTTGGTCACATGATCAATTTCTTTTTCCATTTCCAAGCAACAGGGGATGGTTCAACTTACCCCGCTCTCCCCTATAATAAGTAGCTGGTAAACTGAAAAAGTAACCACCTGCACATATGCACACACAGACACTGAATCCTTCCTGGGGCTGTAATGTGTAGGCTTTAAATAGTTGGGGTGATCTAAGGAGACTCGGGGTAAAACAGGGTTAAGTCTTATTATCTAATAGTTCAGCTCAGTTCGGACACATCCTCCAAGCTCCTCAGTTTATCAGTTCATTGTTTCTGTGGATGTGAGAGCGTCTTTATATAAGGAGGACATGTTTCACTCTTATCTATTTCACAATACTCGCATCATGTGACTCCCTCTTGTTTATAAACTTTGGTATCCTGCACGCATGCGCATAAAAAGCCCATTCATTCAATATAAGGACGGCGATAATACACGACAATTTAACGGCTCAAAACCCACTCTAACCACACGGACTTCACCCACTGTTGTTTTATTATCGACGCTCTTGATACCGAGTTTGTCAAACACCATAAAAGTTGAAAAAAGGAGGCGTCAATATGTTGTCACGAAACAAAAGTACCGTCGACGAAAACGAGTAGAAAGCGCAGCTAAACTAACTTTACACGAAAAAGGAGAGTAAATACAAGGTGAAGGGAGTTTTAAAAGTGAGATTACATTGAGTAAAATGGACGAGGCTTTCTGTTGCGCAAATGCAGTAACAACAAAACAACAGTCCGCTAACGTCAACAATGAAGCTTTACTGAGAGAGGAGCGAAACTGCTTTAACTGACAAATATACACGTTGTCAGTCACACACCGCGACTCTAAAGCCGACTTTAAGGGGAAATCATTCAAATTGTGCTCAAATTGATCAAAGTCGATGCTTTAAAAGCCCCAAATTATTTCAATGAACTTTCCTTAACTCACCAAAACAGTCGCCTTGTACGGGAATGAGGGCTGGTATAAACACTTTCATTCAGGCGATCTCATTGGCTAGAGCAGATGTCAATCCAACTGTTCTGTCGTTCTCATTGGTCAGTTCGGTGTAGACTCGTTCTCTTTATGTTCATCGCCACAACAATAAACATTGGGTGGGTTAGAGTTATGAAAAATGGCTGTACCAAAAATATCATGACTGGCGAGACAAAAACAAGTTATTTTGATGTTTGTATCGATTATATTATAATTTTAACTCTTAGTGTTACTGTTTTACACCTAGTTGAAACAGTAAATATGGAGTTGTCTAACTAAGCCTCAATGGGGTCCTAAGCAAAATTTAATCTGGGGCCCTCTATTTCTGCCAATAATATTGATTGTTGATAATTCACACACCTACTTAAGTATAGATTTAATGCGCCTGACATGTCTTTACACATTTGAGGGGGTGGCCTAGGTAAAAACATAAATAATACCAATGCAGAATCAGAAAATCAGAAAGTCCTTTATTGTCATCATACTTAAAGTACAACGAGATTGGAGAGCTTCTTCTTTTCCAGTGCAATAGACAAGTAAAAATAAGGTAGTAAAAGTACAAATAGTCGTAAAAAATAAGGTACTATATATACAAGACAAGAATTGTACAGAACATTAAAATAAAACGTATGTATAGGAATAAAATTGAAAGATTATTACTAAAGAGAATTATCAAAAATAAATATATATTTTTTATTTTATTTATTTATTTAGAAGTTAGGACATGCATATCAATGAACATGTACAGCAGTAGGATATATGTATATATGTAAATTTTTTATATGGACATGTATTGCACAGGTTAAGGATATAATAATCAACACAGCAGCAGTAACGTTGGTAATATTGCACTTATATAAATATATTTGATCATACAGAAAGCATCACTCATACATGCAAAAAATTATGTATAGTATATTGCTCTTGTATTGCTCTTGGGGGCCCCCTATTGGCCGTGGGGCCCTAAACAGGCGCTTAGTTCGCTAATGCCTTGGGCCGGCTCTGCCTTTAACCTGTTGCGAATTTGCAGACAGGTTCTTTTGTTCCGCATGAGCCTACCTGTTGTAGGAGTGGGGCTTTAATTGATGGGACACACCTGAAGAGGAAGCTGCGCGGCGGAGATTCTGTGCAGGTAAGACGAGCTGTGATGTCCTCTCTTATTGTTTTAACACAGCTAGGAAAAAAGTTGTTTAATGTGTTGAAGGTTGGAGCCTGTATATGACTTTTACAGCTGATTTTGTTCGGTAAAAGTGACACTCAAGTGTTAAAATCGACGGAGATTTTTGCCTCATTTGCATATTGTTTCAGTGGCTGCAGGGGAGAGACTACGCCATTCCCTCTGACTGTGTGTGTATGTGACTTCTGTGCCCTCTGGTTACATTACAGGTGAGATATGATCTGTTTGTGTGATTTTATACACTCTGTTGCATTATTTATTAAGAGAATTCAGTAAAGAGTATATTAATAGTGCAAAATGTCCTTGTTTTTTATGATTCAAAATGTGAAACAGGAGGTTTTTGTGACATTAAGACAATGGATACTCTCCCACTGTTGTTATTTCATTTGTATGGTTTACACTTGTGAAAAAATGGGACAGTTTGTGACTCATGTGCCCTCTCTTGTTACATTACAGGAAAATTAAAGTTGCAGAACCTGATCCCTGCTTCCTTCATATTTACCCGCATCCATCTTGAGCCTACAACAACATCAAAATGAAGGTATTGAGACTATGAAAATGTAAAAGTACTTTAAGTACTCTGAAAAAGAAAAAAATCCAAATTAAATGTTTATAGCTGACCACACTTATGCTCTCTACTAACTCACTGCTTCACCAAACAAGAATTTGGAAACAAATGAAATCTTTAATGTGTAAAAAATTACAAAAGTTTTATTTAACAGGTTGAAAAAGTCCAGTTTTAGTAGGCTTGATAGTGATAGACGTCTACCACCATCTTGTGGCCAATCTTATAATTGCAGCGACACAGTTGACGTCAAGTTGAACGGGATGGCTACCTACTATTTCCGGTGTTTACATTAAATTATCACTACAGTACTTGGGATAGTTACGCTTGTTTTTCCTTCATGGCGGATAATTTGTGGTCAAATCTTGCTGTCTTCCTTTTTGCCAATGATGATAATAAAACTATATCAAGAGGATCAAGCTTTGATCACTTGAGATAATATAACAGTTACCAGGCATCGCTTGTTTTCACTGGGATATGAAGCAGTTATGTTAAAGATTATTTGAGAGCAGATAAGATTATATGCGAAAAACTTGATGTATGAATAAATCTCTGCCGAGGCTTTTTATTTCAGCCTCAAACTTTTACTCCATTCGTGGTTCTATTTGTTTTATTTTGAAGAGTCACCGGAAGTTGAGATTGATTTTCTGTCTCGCAGACGTTAGCCGGTTATCTTGACGCTCTTCCTGAGCAGAAGCGCAGCGTTTTCTTATACCAGACTTTGTTTAACTCTCAATAACTCTTCTCTTGTGTGTTTTTTGACCTCTTCATGTAGCATAAATGCCGAATTCGTCGCTCGAAGATCCGGGTTACCTTGCTGTCAGCGTTCATTGGTGAGTCATGACGATGTTTTATATTCATGTGAAGTTGTAAAAATAGACGCCTCTCCCTGTAACGGCTGTACCGTTACATTTCCCTCAATCTGAACCCGCTTTAATATGTCAACTTTGAAAGGTTAGATTTGCTCCTCTCGGCCTGTTATAAACGCTGACTTTGTAATGTTTGTGTCAGAGTGGTGTAAACATCAGTCTGTCTCTTTGCTGTGATAATATTTCCATCCATGCCGAGCCGAGTTTTGCTTCCTGCTTTGTAAACTTCCTCTGCTGCTGATGTGAAAGAAGCAGAAGAGAAACTCTGGCCTTTTTGATCCTGTTACTTCACACGCAGTTTACACAGACAATAAGTTTGTTTATCTGCTCATTTGGCTGCTTTATAAAAGATCATTTTATGTACTTTAACATTAAGAAAAAGCAGCCTTATTTAGTTAGCACAGGTAGATTTGGGAGGCATTTTAAGACACATAAGAACAGAGAAATTCATCTCAGTCTGACAAATTCAACTTTAGTTTTTAATTTTTTGTTTATTTCTAAATAAATAAATATTATTATTATGGCACTTTCAGACAACAAATGCATTTCAAAGTTCCTCACAGAAGCTAAAAACAACAATTAACACCCATGATTGGTGTTTTGGTGTTTGTTTGCTGTTTTTTTATGGTTGTTGTAACTTCTTGTTGTAGTTTTTTTTGTATTTATTTATTTTTTAAATTTCCCTTCTTCTTTCTTAAAATTTCTAAAATGTTGTTTTCTGATTTATTCATTTACGCGTGTTTGTGTGTGTATATGTGTATATGTGTGTGTGTGTGTGTGTTTGTGTGTTTGTACCTATAGATAGATAGATAGATAGATAGATAGATAGACAAAGCATAGAATAGTGCTTTATTGTCATTGTAACAATTACAACTACATACAAAAGTGCCAGATGGTCAGTTCATGAATAAAAATATATACACTTCAGTAATAAATACTCCAATAACAAAAACACACACAGACAGTAATAAACACTACAATAATAAAACACAGACACACACATTTATCAAACAGCCCGCCAATTTGTATTGCACAATTCCACTTCATAAAGACATTGTGTTGTGGGTGATTCATAAGGCATTGTAGTTATTGTAGTTGTTGCTGTTGGATAGAAACTGTTTTTGAGTCTGTTTGTTCTGGATCTGGTTGTTCTGTAACATCTGCCTGAAAAGAAAAACAAAAGGTGATTGTTTACTAAGAGCACTTCAGTTAAAATGAACATTTGCAATAAGAGAAATATAAAAAGGCGATTAGTGAAAAGCCTGGTTAAAAAGCTGAGTCTTGAGCCAAGACAGTGAATCATGGAAAAGTGGGTCACTTTTAATCCTGTTGGTTTTTATTTCACACGCCTCCAAATCTGCAAACACAGTCATGGCATCAGGACTTCCTCTCTGTGTTTCTCTGGTCCCCCTAAAGCTAGGCGATGGACAGGGAGCAGATCCAGGTGAGCGACGAAGAGCCCAAAGCCGTGCGAGAAGAGACGACAAGAAGGAGGAGGAGGAAGAAAGCCATCAGCTCATCCTCCGGCTGCTCCATGGATCAGATCAGCGTGGAGTTTGTTTTACCCAGCGTGGTGCGAGGAGGGAGCAACCATGACACTCTGCTCCTGGAGGTGGCTGGAAACTGGACGGTGGAGCAGGTCTCATGATTAAATCCTGGTGATGAAATCGTGGATTTAAATGTTGATCCAGTGAGTTTGTCTGAGCGGGTCTCTTGTCTTCCAGGTGAAAGCTCAGGTGTGGTTGAAGGCGGTGACTCTGAACCTCTGTCCTGACTTCTACCAGCGCTTATCTCCAGACCACTGCATCCTGCTCTACCAGAAGAAAGGCAACGTGTGTGAGATCTACGACAAGCACCAGGTTTTCCAAACCCTGGACTGCATCCGCTACTGGAGAGGTACCAAATAGTGACAAAACACGCATGCGGGGACTTCTCTTAGTTCGACATAATCCAAACACGTCTGCTCTGTTTTTTAAAGCGCTGAAGAAAGACGTGGGCCGGATCCAGCTGGTTCCCCGACCGCAGCCCTCAGAAGAGTCCCAGCAGTACCAGCGCTACCTCAACTGCCTGATCGGCTACGACGTGACCGATGTTAGCAACGTGCATGACGACGAGCTGGAGTTCACCCGCAGGAAGCTGCTGACGCCCCGACGCATCGAGCTGTCCGATCGTGACCCGAAGCTCTACTCCGTGGACCCCTGGGTGACCTGCAAACCGCTGCCTGAGCACCTCCTCAGTAAGGTGTGTGCAATAAGAGGATTACAGAAGGAACAAGCTTGAGGATACTAACAGACTTTAATTTGTATTTATTATTATTATTATTTTTTTGTTTACTTCATGGTGAGACTGTAGTATAACTCAGTGACTGATAAGTCAACTTGAAACTCTGTTTCTGTTTAGATTATTAGAACAATTAGACTTTGAGTGACGGGCAGGTAATCTAAGATTTATGTTCTCCCTGCTCCCTTCTAACCAATGGATAAGAAATGTTTCCTTGGCTGGAATAAAAGGAAGGAAGACAGGAAGGAAGGAAAAAAGACAGGAAGGAAGGAAGGAAAAAAGAAAGGAAGGAAGGAAGACAGGAAGGAAGGAAGGAAGAAAAAAGAAAGAAAGGAAGGAAGGAAAAAAGAAAGAAAGGAAGGAAGGAAAAAAGAAAGTAAGGAAGGAAGGAAGGAAAAAAGAAAGTAAGGAAGGAAGGAAGGAAAAAAGAAAGTAAGGAAGGAAGGAAGGAAAAAAGAAAGTAAGGAAGGAAGGAAGGAAAAAAGAAAGTAAGGAAGGAAGGAAGGAAAAAAGAAAGTAAGGAAGGAAGGAAGGAAAAAAGTAAGGAAGGAAGGAAGGAAAAAAGAAAGTAAGGAAGGAAGGAATGAAAAAAGAAAGTAAGGAAGGAAGGAAGGAAAAAAGAAAGTAAGTAAGGAAGGAAAAAAGAGAGGAAGGAAGGAAGGAAGGGAGAAAGGAAGGAAGGAAGGAAAAAAGAGAGGAAGAAATAAAGAAAGACGGAAAGAAAGGAAGGAAAGAAAAAAGAAAGGATGGAAACATGAAAGAAAGAAAGAAAGGGAGGAAAAAAGAGAGAGAGAAATTTTATAAAGCTGATCTTCAAACCAGTAAATCTTTGTCTAATAAAACACAAACAGTTTTGGATGTTTAATTTTTCTTTCTTAATCTCAGTTTGTGACTCTGCTCTGTCGTTCAGGTCAGTAACGGTCACATCCTGGTGGTGATCCACATCAGCACAGCCAGCCAGACCATCAAAGTCTCCATCGATGACACTCCGGCACAGGTAGACCCATGAAATGATGAGTGTTACTGACATTTGAGGAAAATTGTGATTTAACGTCTGATGATTTCCACTTCAGGTGTTGGTGAGCTTTTTCACCAAGACAGCCAATAAGAGAGTTTTACTGGGTATCCCTGACAACATGTGTGAGGCCGACTACGTGCTACGTGTGTGTGGAAGGTGAAACTTTGATCCCTGTGTTTTCAATTTGCATATAGATATAAAGTTACAGACGTTCGTTGAAATGCAGTTGTTTTGAAACTCACACAGGGAGGACTACCTGTACGGGGAGAAACCGCTGCAGAACTTCAACTGGATCCGTCAGTGCTTAAAGAGCGGGGAGGAGATCCACCTGGTCCTGGAGAAGCCACCAAATCCTGACTTGGATCTGGTCCAGAAGGAGGATTGGGCTCAGGTGGACGACTGCACAGGAGTGGCAGGTAAGAAGTCAAAACGATGGCGGTTTATGGTGTCCCTGATGCACAAATGTGGATCTGCTGCTTAAAGGTACAGTGCGTAGAAAGTATGATCCTCCATTTCTCAAGTTTTAATTGAGAAGAAAATGTCGTGTGCACAACAACAACAACAGCTCTCTTAGTTTTCTGTCTTGTTCCCGTCAGGTACCCACGAGCAGTTGACCATCGATGAGAAGGACCACGAGCGAGTCTTCACCGTCTCTATGTGGGACTGTAACCGAAAGTTCAGAGTGAAAGTTCTGGGTATCGACATCCCGTCTCTGCCCAAGATCCCAGAGTTCATCGTCTTCATCGAGGCCAGCATCTTCCACGGCCAGCAGCTTCTCGCTCAGGTAATCCAGACCTTCATGAACGAACAGAAAACAGAGCTGTGAGAGAGGCGGTGATTCTCTTTCATGACAAGCATCCTCGTTGGCTGAATACTTTTCTAGTGAAGCAAATCAGTAAAAATCAGTAAGAGTGGAAAAAATATTAGTACAAAAAGCAGAAGAAAAAAAATAGTCCGAAAAAAAGCAAAGAAAAGTGAATGCAGTATGCTTCCGTACAACTCTGGTAAACCTCTCTTTAAAAATAGTTTTTCTGAGACAACTATCTCAGTTGTGTTTTGGTTTTGTAAACGACAGTTTAGCAGGTTCAGACCGCCTCATTTCCCTAAACACGTGGACTGTAACTCACCCTCTTTCTCTCTCTCTATCAGGAGAGGACGTCCTCTAAAACCTTCAATGAAGAAGTGCTCTGGAACTGCTGGCTGGAGTTCAACATCAAAATCAAGGACCTGCCTAAAGGGGCGCGCCTCAACCTCCAGGTGAACGAGTCAGTCAGGAAGCTCAGATGTTCTGCTCCGATGGTGGCTCAGATGTTAACGTGTCCTGTTCTTTAAACCAGGTGGTCTGTGGGAAGCAGTCTCAGACTCCGAACTCCAAAGGAGGCTCAGTCTATCAGGATAACACGGCAGGAACAGGCAGCCATGATGGTAAGGTTTGAAATGGATTGTGGAGGCGGGACTTAGAGAGTTGGTCGGACATGTCAGCGTCATAACATCCGTCCGTCTTCCCGTGTTTCAGGAAAGACCAAGAACCGCCTCCTGTACTACGTCAACCTCCTCCTCATCGACCACCGCTCCCTCCTCCGCCAAGGCGAGTTCATCCTCAACATGTGGAAAATGCCGGAGAAAGGCGAGGAGAGCAGCAGCAGCATCAACGCGGACAAGCTCACCTCAGCCACCAACCCGGACAAGGCCTCCAGCATGGCCATCGCCATTTTACTGGACAAATACTGCTACCCCGTGGTGCTGCCCAAGAGTCGGGATGTGGGCCGGGACGCCGGAGGCGAGGAAGCCGAGGTCGGGGAGCGGGGTCAGAGGGAGATGCCCAACCATCTGAAGAAACAGTTTGGAGCGATTGTGGCGACTGACCCTCTTCATCCACTCAGTCCTGAAGACAAAGAGCTGCTGTGGCACTTCAGACACGAGTGTATGCGTGACCCCAGGTACTTGATTTACGAGGAGTCACATGATAAAAGTTAATTCTTTAACTTCTGAATATTTCACACAGATTGTAAATTGTCTCATCAGGGCCTATCCGAAGCTCCTGGGCTCGGTCAGGTGGGGAAAACAAGAAGACGTCCTGGCGACACACCGCCTTCTGGAGCGCAGCAGTGCGTGGGACAGCAGGTAAAAAAGATCTGCCACACCTCCACTTCACGTGTCAAACCCCGACTCCCCTCACCTGTCATCTCTCTGCTCCCGTTCAGCGGTCTGGACGTGGGTCTGGCCATGCAGCTGCTCGACTGTCACTACTCAGACGCTCAGGTTCGCTCCATGGCTGTCAGGAAGCTGGAGACTCTGGAGGACGACGACGTGCTCAGATATCTGCTGCAGCTCGTACAAGTGAGTGTTTCTGCTTTGGTAACAGAGTCAGTGTAAGCTGTCTTTATATTTGAGTCACCTTTTAAATCCATTTCTGGTTTCTGGACGACTGTCTGCTGAAAAAATACTTAGTTTATACTGCATTAGTTTTTTGGCTGCAGCTTCTTTCAAAAACTAGATAAAATAATCTGAATTATTTGGACGAGATTATCCTCCATCAGCCAGCTTCATCCCTACTAGCCGTTATGTTAAAGGCTGTTTTAAAAACAAGAGTATGAGGAAGATGAAACCACTGAAGGGTTACTTCATTAGGACCTTTCTCGCTGCTTAAAGCTCCTATGAGGAATTGTGTCAGTTTTGGCGCCCCCTGTGGACAAACCAGTCTTTACTTATCTCGTCCTTAATATCTGCGTAGTGTCTTCTAACAGGAAATCTTAGTCTTCTCACCTTTTTCGACAGTTAAATTGATCATTTAGTGGAAATATTTGAAGTAAAAAAATGTAAAAACAGAGCGACATCTACTAGGGATGGGCGATAAACCAAAAATTTACCGATACCGAAATTTATGACAATAAGCAACGTCAGTTTTCCCATATCGGTATATTCTGTGTCAAAAAAAAAGATAAATAAAAGTTTGTTTTGGATGTGTGTAGGTAGGCTATGGTCTCATGTCATCTATGTCTCATGAGGGGAAAGACAGGTGAGGAGATGGAGGACGGTTCAAAAGTTGTAGCGGCTGAAGTAGACGAAGTTAATGTGGGAGGGGGTGAGCAGCTTGTGGAGTAGTCATTGTCCATTTATCGTTATCGAGGTGAACTGATCAATATATTGTGATATTGATTTGAGGCCATATCGTCCAGCCCTATCCCAAAGTGGCGTCAAAATGAAGCTCAGTCTGTTTCATAACCGGCTAAAATCTCCTCACTGTAGCTTTAACTCACTCAGACCCCCAAAAACTTTCAGCACAAAGCTAGAGCGTGTTGTAAATATTAGTGAAGAAAACCGCCTGGAAACATGAAATATCGAGTCAGAACATTGCCTTTACCGCCCTGATTAAGTTTCTTCTTAATCAGAACATTTCCAGCCAAACTCACAGTTCTGCTGCGTGTTGTTTACTTCTTCAATATTCAGATTAAATGATAATAAAACATGAAAAAGGTGAACTGCTCAATATATCCTGATATTATTTTGAGGCCATATCGCCCAGCCCTAACATCTACCCTCTCCAATCAGTTACAGGCATTTAAAATTACTCTATTAAAGTATTCAAACTTGTTGAAGATGGTCTTGTTTGCTTTTGTTTATCATGTGAAGGCATCAGCATCAGTTTCAGTCAGAAAACTGGAAACACTGGAAACTCCCTGCAGCTGCTGTCCAGAGAAATGACAGTAATTAGACCTCAGAATAATCATACATCAGGGTGTAATGTGCGTTTTCCTCACAGTGCAAACAGTCAGAGCTGCTTCCTCACTTCTGCTGTTTCACAGGCAGCTCAGCAGAGACACTCTGAGTGTTTATCTGATGTGTTTCCACTCTGGACTCTGTGGTGAGCTTTGCATGAACTCGATGAGATATCAGCTGAGGCCGACAAAGAGCTCTTTGGTCTGACAGGAAAATGATTCATGGTTACACAGAACACTGCTGTCTCTGTATGTCATGAGCTTCAGATGAGATGTGGAGGGTTAGTGTGAAAATGTACTCTGAGATATGTGCAGAATGATGTTGATGCATGGAAAAATCAATAATACTGATTCAAGTCATTTTCTTTTTATTTGATATTTGCTTGCAAAGATTTTTAGTTGTTTGAAGGAAATTGACTCATCATTTTTTAAGTTTTGCACCATTTTGTCTAAATTTTCTAGCTGAAATGAGTTTAATTGGACAAAAACGGCGTTCACACACACTTAAAGCTGATGATTCTCTCACATTAAACACGTCTTTCATAAATATCCTCACTGTTCGGTCTTTGTGTCTCATTTCGTTCTGCAGGCGGTGAAGTTTGAGCCGTACCATGACAGCGCCCTGGTCAGGTTCCTGCTGAAGAGAGCTCTGAGGGTGAGCGGGAACGACTTTTGATAGAGATATCACCTGATCTAAGTCTGATTTTTTTGTTTGTTTTTTGTGTCCTCAGAGTAAACGCATCGGTCACTTTCTCTTCTGGTTCCTGCGCAGTGAGATCGCTCAGTCCATGCATTACCAGCAGAGGTACGCTGTCCTGCTGGAGGCCTACCTCAGAGGCTGTGGTGAAGACATGCTGCAGGACTTTAAGAAACAGGTGAAAACACAAAAAACACGACCTAACAGTAGGGCTGGACGATCATGGCAAAAATAAGAATCATGATTATTTTGACTGATATCGAAATCACGATTAATAAACACGATTATTCAGTGATTTTAAAACTTGAATATAACTTAAAAGAACAGCCAGGAATAAATTAGTAAAAATCAATCAGCTGTGTGATCGCTGACGGTAACTTGCTAATGCTAATACTCGGCGCATGTGTGCCCCGTGATGCAGCGCCCATGTGCACGCCCATATGCTAATACATATGAGTCCGAGGATAGAGCCATGTAAATTAAAAAAACAACTCCTTTTTAAGGTGTGGCGGCCTTTAATCAGCCATGATGGTGCGCCACAATCAATTGCGTCCTGTTAAAACCCTGAAGTTGGTCGTGTTGTCCTGTGAATCAGACACGACAGCGTGACAAACTTTGCGAACTATTTCCTTTTGCTCGACGTACGTCAAACTGAAGCCAAAATGTTTCCAGATAACTGAAGTCTTTCACTTTTCTTCTGCCTTTCTGCCGTGTTTTCAATCGCTCGCTCTTCATATTATTGATCCACACTCGCTTACTGCAGCTGCACGTGTAACAGGGGTGCATTCAAGGTGTTTTTCCAGCTCTATACACGATTATAATGTTTTTATGATCGTGAGAACTCAAAATCGAAATCATGATTAGAACTCGATGAGCTCTACTTCACAGTGTTTGTTCTATGAAAGACAGGAAACGCTGCAGCAGGACACCTTTATTATTATTTATCAGGCGAATTGAGATCTGTGGACTGTACTGTGGCTTCATCTGTGTCTGTGTCTTTGCTCTCTTAACACCTGGTTAAATAAAGATTTAATAAGCGAGAACAGATCATCACCTGCAGCCTCCTCCAGGTTCATATTTGCAGTCTGCCTCGTCTTCTCCTACAGTAACTCTTTAATGAATCGATGCTCTGCAGGTGGAGATGACGGAGGCTCTGCAGAAAGTCACCCGTGAGATGAAAGCGACGACCGCTGACAAGTACGACGTCACTGCACAAGGTGAGACGGCAGATTAAACCTCTCCGAACTGAAATGTCTCCCTGATTCTTTTCCTATTCTTCATTTTTTTACATGAATGGCACAACAGCAGGCGAGCTTTTTAGTCCAGTGAGCAAAGATTTAGTGGAAGTGTTGTTCTGTTTTTACCTGCTGCTCCTGCTGACAGGTTTTACCCAACGCTCTGGTCGGTGTCAGACAGTCAGCTCTTTGTTTTGTTCTTTAATTTGTGAGATGTGCTCTGGGCCTGACTTTAAGTCTGCCAAGAAGAAACACAAAAACAAAAACAGCAGTGAGGTGAATTAGTGAATCTGTCACCGTGTTCAGGTATGATGCAAAGACGTGCAACAATCATGTAAAAGTGCGTTTCCAGAGTTAAAACAGCGCTCTCTGTGTCGTTTGCCTCTCAGTGGTGTTTCAGCTGCGGCAGAAGTTGGAGACTCTGCAGTTGTCGGGTCTTCCGGAGAGTTTCCGAGTCCCCTATGATCCTGGACTCCGAGCTGGAGCCCTGCTGGTGAGTACAAACCGAACACACCTGTACCCCCTGTGTGTGTTTGTTATAAAATAAACATGACATGATTATGAGGCAGAATAAAAGGAGAATAACAGGTTCTGATAAAGAAAGCCTCTGTTTGTGTGCTCTCAGATCGAACAGTGTAAAGTCATGGCCTCCAAGAAGAAGCCGCTGTGGCTGCAGTTTAAACGGGCCGACCCCACCACCCTGTCCAAAGACCCCATCGGCATCATCTTCAAAGACGGAGACGACCTCCGGCAGGACATGCTCATCCTGCAGGTAACCGCCTCGAACACAGACATCAGCTGACTGTTTAATAACGACCGTCCTGAACTGTGTTTCCTCTCCTGTTTCCAGATTCTGCTCATCATGGAGTCCATCTGGGAGACCGAGTCTCTGGATCTGTGTTTGTTGCCGTACGGCTGCATCTCCACTGGAAACAGAATAGGTCCGATATTCACAAATGAGATGAAAGTTACCGTCAGTCTGTGATACTCACCTCCCTCCTCTTTGTTTTTGCGTCACTTTCAGGGATGATCGAGATCGTAAAAGACGCCACCACCATCGCTAACATCCAGCAGAGCGTCGTCGGGAGCACCGGAGCTTTTAAAGACGAAATCCTCTATCAGTGGCTGAGGGAGAAGTGTGTCAGCGAGGAGAAGGTAAACATCACAGACGGATAATAACATGAAAATAGTTCTGATGTGGATCTGAAAATATTTAAACTTTCAGTTCGACTTTTCTAAATGAGTAAAATCTCAGGAGGATTTTTTTTTGTGTGGAAATAATTTACACAACATTTTCTGTTTGTGTAGTTCCAGCAGGCTGTGGAAAAGTTTCTCTACTCCTGTGGCGGCTACTGTGTCGCTACGTACGTCCTGGGTATTGGAGATCGCCACAACGACAACATCATGATCACAGAGTCTGGTAAAAAAAAAAAAAAAAAAACTGTTTTTATCTGAAGAGATTAACAGATTGAAATTAGAGGTTTAAAAAGTCAGCTGATCTGCTTCGTGTTCCTGCAGGAAACCTCTTCCACATCGACTTCGGCCACATCCTGGGGAATTATAAGAGTTTCATGGGAATCAGTAAGGAGTGGGTTCCCTTCGTGCTCACGCCAGACTTCCTGTATGTCATGGGAACGTCGGGGAAGAAAAGCAGCCCCTACTTCCAGAAATTCCAGGTGCACAAACTGTGTTTTCTTCATGCAAGCTCAAAGAAAACCAAATATCAGTTCATGACCGGATTATTTTCATCAAACATCCTTCAGAGGAAATCCACCAGACCAGGATTTGCCTGTTGATATTGAAGTCAGAGGACGTGTTTATGGGGGTTTCCATACTGCTGCACATGTTTTGCATTTATTGAAATGAATGAATGAGTTTAAGACTCTGTGTTTGTGTCTCAGGATGTTTGTGTGAAGGCTTACCTGGCTCTCAGGCACCACACCAACCTGCTCATCATCCTCTTCTCCATGATGCTCATGACAGGTACGACTCTCCTTTTTAAAATACTAAAATAAGAGATTTTTCATTTAGAATTAGTGAAAATAAAAAATTTTAAACTCAGTCTTAGTTTGAAAGTTCTCAGATTTGCATCTAAACGGTGAAGTTCTCGGTCTTGGCGTCCCTCAGGTATGCCCCAGCTGACCAGCAAGGAGGACATCGAGTACATCCGCGAAGCTCTGACCGTCGGCCGCAGCGAGGACGAAGCGCAGCGCCACCTGCTGGACCAGATCGAGATCTGCAGGGAGAAGGGCTGGATGGTTCAGATCAACTGGTTTGTTCACTTGGTGCTGGGGATCAAACAGGGTGTGGAGAAAAGGTCCACTTAGGACGAAATGAGCTTCAGCTTCATACTCGAGAAAGTTCTCAACAAAAAAATCATGAAAGAAAAACTCACGTTCGCTGCTGAAGAGGACGAATGGTTTAAGTTATCGGCATCATGAGGATTTTATCCTGCAGCACAGGACGGACTGCTGCTCTTCAAAAGCCAAGTGAAATCAGAGTAAAACTATTGTTGACATCTCTTTTACACTTTAATACAGAAACACCTTTTTTAAATCCTTTTTATTCATCAAAACACGACCAGCAAACAACGAGGGTGAATCTGGATCAGATACTCACTTTTCGCTCCTCGTATGAAACTTAAACTTGTGTCTTTTTTTAACCTGCCACAGTGATGTCATTTCCTGCTGAGGAAACACACTTCCTCTTACACTTCCTGCTTTGCTTTAAAAATAGGAAACATGAAACACTGGATGTTAAACTTAGACTGGCTCTTTGTAACGGTGGGGGCGGTTAGACTTCTAACTTTTTTATCTCTATAATTTGTAAAAAGATTGAATAAGTTGGACTCTCCTGTGATGAAAGTTTTATTTGCACTAATATCTTCCAAAGATCTTAATTATGGAGCTTAAAAAGTTTAAAAAGTATGAATTAAAAGTTTGAGACTCTTAGCACATGTTGGTCTGTGCTGCAGTTGTGCGTCAGGATGTAAGAATACAATATACCAATGAAGCTGAAATGCTTGATCCTGATTGGCCCACCTGCCCTAGCAGCAGTCTGTTATTCCTCGATAATATAACCTCTACCTTTGGTTTATTGTTCTCTGTTGTTCACTTCACATAAATAATCCACACACTGTCTTTTAGTCGTTTTAAAGTCGGTTATGAAGCGACAATAAACACAAACTGGTATGAGTATGTTTGAAAGAAGCTTCGTCAGGAGGATGCTAATGTTGTTGTTTTTGCGAAAAGTCTCATTTTTAATGTAAAAATGCTTTTAATAATTATGAAGATGGAGTAACTTGAACATGTGGGTTTTTCTATGTAATTAAATCAGACAATCAGAATTATATAATATAAATTCAAGTGAAATTAAAGTTGTTTTTTTCACTTTGTGCGTCATATTTCAAATATTGAACATTTTCCTCTCATAACTCCGCCCCGTTATGATCGTTTTTGAAAGTTCTGGGTCAGCAAATGTGTGAAGCTGATTTATGAGCGCCGTCCGAGGTGACAACCTTTAGCCACAAGATGGAGCAAAACCACCAGATTTCCCTCCAAGTTTCCAGACCCAAAAAACAAGAAAGATTTGAGCATTTGTGTCCTCAACGCTCCTCTTCTTCTTCATGTCTTCCTCCTGCTCTTGTTCCTCTTTGATATTCCTGCTTTATCTCCTCCGAGGAGAGTAGGTGTGAGTAAACAAATACATCTCTCTCTCTTTCATGTTCGTGTGTATAATGTCAGTAAACTGCTGTTTGTTTTGGTGTTTGGGATCTAGAGGTCTAACTGGATTAGTAAGATAAACCTCCTCATTTCCCCAAAGCTTCAGGCCTCTCTCTTTACTCCGCTGGATTGAAGCTTTTCAGGCTTTATGTGCAGGCTTCTTCAGGAAACGATGGCGGTGAATACATCAGAATAGTCAATGGATTAAAAACGCCGTCCTTCGCTTTATTCGCCGTTTGTTTTGTCTTTGCTGTACATATTGTTCCGAGGGATTTGTCCATGTTCTCATGTGTCACAGAACTGGGTGAGAATAAATATGTTCAGTAATTTCAAGAATACAATGAAGTAAAGCAGCAGGTTGTGGAAGTGAAATGTACTTTTAGTGGGAGGAACTTTGACAACCGTGTAGAAATAGTGCCAACTCAAAAAATCTGTCAAAACACACGTCTAATCAAGAGGAACTCCATCAAAGTTTCAACACTATTCTCTCAGTTATACTCAGATTTCTTTATTATCGGCTTTAGTGAAGACGATGAAGAGGCTGTTACTGGATTAGAGAGAAAAACAATCATTCTGATCTTAGTTAATGACTAAATAATCCCTTTTTTCTTCTTTACCCGACATACATGGGAACAACAGTTTCAAAAACAGCACCCCCTGCTGGAATAGAGAGGTTATTTACCAATTGAGAGCACAGGATCATAATATGATACTTAAAGATACTCAAGAAATCGAAACAAAGTGGTCAATTTTCTGACATATTTCAAACTGATATGCATTTATAATAGAAATAAAAAGGTTTCCGTCCGTAATTTGAATTCTGAATATTACAAACTACAACACAGGGTCTGAAATGAACTCCCACCACATGCCAAATGTGAGAAAAGTTTCATTTGGTGGCTAATCTGCAGACTATGGAAGCGTATTACATTCACTTCCAAAAAAGAAAAAATGTTTTGGGGGGGGGCTTTTGTGAGTATTTTTTTTCTTTTTTGTGGACTAATTTTTTTCATCTTTCTGTTTTTCAAACTATTTTTTTTTCAGATAGATTTTTCTATTTTCTATTTTTCTATTAGTTAAACATTGGGTATGCCAATCTTGAGATGCCTGTGCTAAGAAGACAAACTTATTAAATGTAAAACTTACATAAAAAAGAAAACTATCTAAAAAAAAGAAAAATCAGTATGAAAAATAGGGGAAAAAATATTACAAAAAAACAGAAAAGAAAAAGAAAATTAGCCCCCCAAAAAACATAAAAAAATCAATCTAAAAATCAGTTGTTTTTTTGTGAGTGTAATGCTTCCGTAGCAGACAACCGTGCATCATGTGTCTGGTAAATGTGTGTATGGTTACAATAGTAGTTTAATAAAAGGATAAAACTTCAGAGTTTTTACCACATTTTGGCGCATTTTAGAACTTTGCAGGATGGCGCTGGTGCATGCAAACATTCACAACAACAGCAGCTACCTTGTTCTTCAAATTGTTCTCCCAGATCAGGACGGCCAATACACAGGTAAGTAGAAAACGTAACCCATCACCCAGAATATGAATATTTTTTAGTGTATTAGATTTTTTATAAGTTGAATCACATTAAGACCCCACAGAATATGTCAAACATACAATGCACTACTCACATACAGTCCAACCATTAGCCTTGTGCTAATTTTCCAGCTCTACAAATGTTTAAAGATGTGACTCATTAAATGTAAATAAATGAAGATGTCAGTACTGTACCTTCAAGCTGTACTGACAAAATAAGACACATTTGGCATGCCTGCATGCTTGAATTTTAATGTTTACATATATTTTTAAATATTGTTTATATCATTACGTAATTCACTTTGAATATCGACCCCCAGGATTTTATTTTTAAGCTTCTTGAATAAGACTTCACCTGATTGGCTCAACACATTAATTGCAAGTCCAAGGTTTGTGAGACTGAGAATCAGTTTTAAAGCTCATATTTGAGGACAGTACTTAGTTTGGTTTTTGAAGTAATGACTGACTAAGTGATGTTTTCTCACAGCTCTGCAGCTTTAATGAACCAGCGTCCTCCTCAGCTCTGACAGGTGTGTGTGTGTGAGGCTGGTGTGGGAGGAAACTGGAAGGAACAGGAGCGAACTGGAGCATCAAGAATCGATTCGCTCTCTTTCTCCATTAACTCTGATTTCTCTCCAGGAAGACATGAACCAGATCAGACGACGGGGGAAATCACTCTGCCTGCCTGTGTATGTGTGTGCGTGTGCATGTGTGTGAGTCCTGGATCTGTGTGTTCCTGTTCTTCTGTCAAAGTTTGATGACTCCAAACCGGCCCTCCCTTCTCCAGAGGGTAATTTTAGGTTCAGGACTCGGGTCGAGGTCAGCTACAGTAAATTAGCCCGTGTTAGTCTTCCAGCTCAGGTGATCTGTGGAGCTAAAGGGAGGGCGTGCAACCAGTGAAGGTCCTTTCAAGGACTCAAACACCTGTGAATGTGTCAGATATGTACACCACCATGCATTCATTTGAATGATAATGTAATGCAAATACACATGTATATGATTATGATGTGTGGGTGTCATGCACCTCTATTTATGGCGGCTGCCTCTATGAAGAACATAAATACAGATTTAATGCTTCCCTTTGATGAGAGTTGAAGATGCCTCCATTCATGCTTGTCATCTCCGTGTTCGTGAAGCTCGTACGTTTTTCTTTCATGTTAGCTGCTGAATCAAATCTGTGTTTTACAAGATGCTTGTTAGATAGACAGATAGCTGCGAAAGAATACGGAGTATTTCAAGAAATGTTGAAAAGATTCTGAAGGCAGGATGGGAGCTGCTCTGGTGTCTGTTTGTGGTCGGAGTAGTGCTAAACCATCAGGGATTGCGGTTCTTATGGAGAGCAAAATCATGCAAGATGATGTCTACTCCCATTTCCAACCCTAATTATCAGACAACTATTGACGTGTCTCTGCATTCGAGCGAGGTTTATTCAGTTTAAGAGTCTGCACAAGTTTTATTGGACCTTTGGTGAGTTTTTTAGACTTGACCTGAATAGGGTGACCATACGTCTTCTTTTACCTGGAGGCCATCTTGCTTGCACATGACTTTTCAGTTCTGCCCATAAATTTTCAATAGGATTGAGATCAGGGCGCCACTTTGTAACCAGTTTGGCAGTATGCTTAGGATCACTGTCCGTTTGGAAAACCCATTTGCGCCCAAGCTTTAACTTCCTGGCAGATGTCTTGAGATGTTGCTTCAGTATTTCCACATAATGTTCTTTCCTCATGATATCATCTATTTTGTGAAGTATAGAAGTCCCTCCTGCTGCAGAACAACCCCACAACATGATGCTGCCACCTCATTATTCTGACATTTAGCAAATAAAAAAGAATTTTTGGTAACCCTAATTGACCAAAAACAGGAAAAGTTTTAATGTCCCAGTTGTTTATGAAACTAATATTGATGAGTTTTTATGATATCTCAAAACAAAAAATACTATTAGCGATGACTTTTTAGTGTCTGTTGAGCAGGTAAGGAAACGGTTGTGTGTGTTTTCTTTTTTTTTTAAATGAAATATGTACTAAAAAATTATGAATTTGATTGTCAAAAGTCCAGAATAATGAGTTTTTTTTTTTTTTTAAATTAAAGACAAGATATTTTAGTCCAGAGGGGGCGCCAAAGTTGACACACATCAGAAGTTCCTTACAGGAGCTTTAAAGGCTTAGCTGTTTCTCTGCATTTTTACTGTTTCGTTTTAGTTTAACTACAATACGAAGACCTCTTTTGGTTTGGAGGTTGTTTATCACTATCTCTATACACTAAAAGTACAGAAATATCAACTATAACACCAAAGGCATCTTTGGGCGTTAGCAGCCAATGGTTGCTGTGGGAAATGGCGCTCCAGTGATACTAATCCTGGGTTCAGACTTCATGGTATTTTTGACTATCACAGATGGTCATTGTGTTTGATTTGGCTATTAAAGAGTCTTACTTGCTCGCGGTGACTAAACCGACCAACTGTTGCTTTCCATTTTTTCTTTTTAACACCATGTGGGATGTCAAGGGAAGGAGTTTATGGGCCAACTCTTCAGAACAAGAATGTAAACAACCAGGAGCTTTTGCTCAAAGACGTGTGAAAAGGTTGGAGTTTTTATCGAACAGCTTGACAAAACTCCTGTTTCACAATCTCAGCAGTCGGACTACAAGTGCTGTAGAAGGTGGAATAACCGGGCCGCCTGAGTCCGATCTCACCTTGTGTCGCTCCCCAAAAAACAGTGTTCCAGTTCAGGACTCTGCTGGTGAAGTTTGGCAGTAAGAAGTTAGTTTGCAGCAAGATTTTTTTTCCCTTTGAGGATTTTCTTTTCGTGTTGCATTGTGTACGTAGTCGTAGTGCTCATGGGAAATGCAGTTTCATCCATGAGAAAAAATAAAATTTTCGAGGAAGTCGCATGTTGAAGCTGGGAATGATGATCACACCTGAGTTGACAGCGTTCCAATTTACAAGTGGGTCTTTTTATGGGTCTTTTCAGCTGAACTGTTTCCAACCCCATACAACCGTCAACAGCAACAGCAGGTCCGTGACAGACGTCAGAAGTGTCTACAACTGCTGCTCGGCATTTTGGAGCAAGAAGATGGAGAATCGTACAGCATTGTTTTTGTTGTACATGATGTACGCGCTACTTTTTCTGCAGATGAGATGCACGCTACTCCTGTTCTCTGGTGTTTTTGTTCTGGAGTTACGGGGGTGTGGCGCATGTGCACATGCATCGTCTGATCATACTCCGACTACGCTGGTTACGTGGTAGAGAAAATCGAATTCCAATTGCATTATCTGGGTGTCTCAATCGGAGTTCTCCGAACTTCTCAAACTTCGATTATAGTCAGACTAAGGTGTTTACATGCACTTCAGTTGTCCGGTCTCAATCGGAATAAGGCAATAATTCCGATTTCTCGAGTGTCATGTAAACGTACTGACTGTTACTCTTTACTGTTGATGCACTGCGCTGCCATCTTGGATTATGACGTTGTTGTCAAGTCAGGGTTGGCGAGGATCAACCAACTTTCTGAGTCAGAAATCTGACTTCAGGGGAATGATGAATTGAGATGAATTTCTGACTTGGAGCTCAGAAATCCCGACTTCTGCTTACAACTGGAACGCAGCATCAATCTCCTCATGTTGCCTTTTAATCAATGAAAATAGAGAATCACGTTTTCCTGTGGTGCTCAAAGTTTACAGCTCACAGAGATGTTTCTTGGCCCTTATTTGAGATATTCGCCCTGATTTTTCATCTTCCAGCCTCTCCCTCTACATTTGCATCGCCCACCATTGTAATCTCACAGCCTTAAACTTCGCTTTAATACTATATCGAGTTAAGCCGACTCTGACGCCGAATTTGTCGCCTTTGATCAACTTAGCAGATTTAGAGGTAGACGCACTTTCAGCTCACTAGAGGTTGGACATCCTGCTGGATTTGTGTCTCGTCCTACTTTCTTCATTTTTCTTCAAACATTTTTCAAAAGCTGTCTGAAAACATGACCTGGTATCTTATTTGATTTAACAAAGCTGTAGTCGTTTTTTTGAAACACCTGTGATGCAGATTTTGACTCACCGTCTGCCAAATATTCCCTCTATATTGTTGGTCGTGTTGTTTGAATGTACTCACTCATCACAGTGGGATGATCTCCAGATCTCTGTCTGTACAGTATCTGCGTTTAAGCTGCAGGTTCAATCAAACCTAAATGTTAAAACATGGAGTGTGAATCTTAATGACGTTCAAGACTAAGAAAAGACGCACAGGGTCTGCACGTCTTGATGGGATGCTATGTGCTGGACTATTTCCTGACTCTCTGTAGGGTTGCCAGGCAACCAGCGTTGAATCCAGGAAATTACTGCTCCCAGCCAACCCCATAAAACAGAGATTTGTCATTTTTTACACTTTGGATTTTGTACAGCTGAAATTTATATGACACATGTTCATTTATATTTTGTAAGTGAGCCAGGAGAGCTCTTTGTCCCAGTTCCAGGCTCTGTGCTAAGCTAACACTCTGCTGGCTGTAGCGATACATCTCTACCAAACAGAAACCAGAGTGGGTTTGGTTATCTGACTCTAACAGAGAGGCAGGTAGTTTATCGCCCCAAATAACGCTCTTCTTCAGTAGAAAAGGGAGTGAAAAGAAAGAGAATCTCAAAATGATGAGGGCGAATGTCACAGGGTACGACAGTAAAACCATTGAAACCCTTAATTTGTACCCTGTGCTTCCAGCTTCTCTAATTGTGAGAAATTAATGGCTTCAGTAGGTCATGATGTATCAGGCACAGCTTGGACTGACGTCACTTTCCTCTTTTGAATGAAAAGAGACAAAGATTAGTTCAGTTCAGAACGGCTATGGAAAGTTAACTAATCGAGAATTTGATCAAAGTTTACCTGAACTTTGTTGCTGAGTCTGCAGCCAGGTCTTTTAACATGATAAGAACCAGCTGTAATGGCAGAAGTCATGTTTGGGTCTTACTTTTTACACAGCCTTGTAGAGTTATACCGAAAACAGGAAACAGCGAATCTAGAGGTGAGCTGTTATTGCTACTTAGCTCTCCATTTAGCCGCTTAAACATACGTTAGCTGTTGTCGCATTAGCTGCTGTTAAAGTGTTATTTCCAGTTTTTTCAGAAGTTTATGGAAACTTTTTAAAGATGGAACAGCCCTACTAATGGAGCGCTCACACTCTAGTAAAATCATCTACTCGCTTAATTCGCGCGAATGAATTGTATTTACTCGCTTCATTCGCGCGTCAACAGTAATTTCAATGGTAGTCCCTGCCAATTCAAGTGGAGGGATCAAGTGATAGACAAAAGTTTTTTTCAGTTTACCAGGTAATCCGACCTCCTCACTCACTTGTCTCCAGGCGAGCTCCTTTTTATTTCATTTTCGGTAATTAAAAGAAAAGGTATCATATAATTCGGTGCAGCAACACACCAACACAATCGGTTTGTCCTCCATTTTAGATACCAGTAAACAACCGTCCTTTTACATACATCACCCGGCAACTTTCGTGCTGATTAGTTATCCCGATGCGAATATTCGCTCAAGTTGTGACATTTCAGCTCTCGCCAGTTTCGTGTCATTCATGCCACCAGAGTAGTCGGAGCTTCTAATCGCATCTTTACGTTGACTTAACATGTAATTCATTCGCGCGAATGTTTTTACTCGTGCTTGGTGTGTGGAGACAGTTAGACGCAAATCCAGATTGTGCTGAATTCTGTCCGTACGGTGAAAACACATTTCGCGCTATATAAATAATGGTAACATATTACTTGGCGCCTATCTCTATAACACATTATAAATCTATGTATAATGCATTTTAATTACGTTATAGCACTGTATAACTATAGTTAGAAACACTTGTAAATGATCATAATTTGTTAAATATAAAGCATGTTATCATGACTTACAAGGTCAGGTATTTATAAGTGTTTATAACTATAATTATACAGTGCTATAACATGTTTTTAACGCATTATAAATATATTTATAATGTGTTATAAAGAAAGGCGTCAAGTAGAGTGTTACCAAATAAAGTTATTATTTTTGACAGAGCTTAATAAGATGGCACAAACTGATTTCATACCTTTTAATAACATGACCATGAATTATTACATCTGTTTACCTAAAGTTATAAGAATTTAAATCCATCCTAATTTAACGCTTTAGTTCACATTTCTTTGATTGAATGTGTTTTACAGCATCAAATTATTCATTTTCATGTCATCAACAAGGATTTAGATTTCTGCTAAGACTGTGATTTATCTAAACTGAAGTCATGACCGTGTTTTTAAGACACATAAACCAGCGTTTGCAGTTTGTCGTGTACAATTCGGCGCTATAGCTAAAGGCATAAACACACAGCACTTAGCAGTGACTTTAATCATTATCTGAAACATGGCTGCTGTCAAAATACATCTGACACACACGAGGCAGAAACCCTAATTAGCATCTTTTGACTGGTGGCAGACATGCCCGATCATCCACCTGTCTTAAAATCTGCACTTCATTAATAAAGAAGCTTTGAAGTCAAAATCCCTCCCTGAAACTCCCGTCTTCAGCTGAGTCAACACTGAACTTGTGTGACTCCTGCAAGTCAACATCTGAGGAGAGCCTCACGACATGACGGAGCAGAGCAGCCTCTGTTTCCGAACTTGACCTTTTAGCAGTTTCCTCAATTACAACACCAAGCCGTTAGTATTACAGCCTTTAATATTTAACTGTGTGTGTGCAGATCTGCACCCGCTGTAACTGGAGACTGAGTGTGGAGGTGTATTTGGGTGCGTGTGTGTGTGTGTGTGTGTGTGTGGGTGCTGGCGGTCAGTGTGCCACATCAAATCCCCTCACTGACAGGATGCGAGTGTGTGTTGGTGTGCGAGGGTGTGTGCGTGCAACCTGACGCCGCCTCTCACACTCTATCTGTATTTAGCATCAGTTACAGCCAGGTAGAACAATTAGTCAGTGAGGAGGCTGGCCAAGCACTTAGACAAGAGGAAGTAGGATGTGCATCACATGACCCCGCTTCACATTTGATCGTTTATTTCATTAATTAAGATTCTTAAAGGAGGACGGAGAAGCTCTCAGGAGGAGCCGGTGTCTCATTAAGAGTCCGATTCAGAGACTTGAACGTTGATTGATCCGCAGACTTCTTATTTCCACAGAAGGATTAACATGTTTACAGACTGGTTTGAAAAATGGTTTTGGATTTGTGAACAGAACAGGAGAGTTTAGGTGGATCTGGAGTTACAGAGTGGCGGTCTGGTCGGTCATGACCCTAAACCTGCAAAACTCCAGATTCAGATTTTTGGTGTTTCGACCAAAATAGTATTTTTCTTATTTCTTTTACTTGTATTTTGTATTTAGAAAGAAAAGGAAAAAAGTGTTTTATCTATTTGAATGAGTGTGTATGAGGTTTCCAGGGCGTCTGCAGCAAGCCTCCAGTGGACACTCGAGGAACTGCAGGTCTGAGCACTTCCTTATTGGCCTCATTTCTCAAGATCAGAAATTGCTGCTTGGTTTATTTTTGTGAGGGGACTAAGCTCCGCCTCTTTGCTTGTGCCTTAGTTGATAGAAAATAAGGCTGAGTCAGCATTTTTAATGTGGCGCTCGCCACCTTCAAACATCTCTCTGGAGAGACAACATCCTCTGTTAATGACTCCTTACTGTCTGAGTGGGCCGATTTCTGAAAGTGGCAGGTTCTCTGAATTAAAAGTAGGGCTGGGAGATATGGTCTCAAATCAATATCATGATATATTGATCAGTTCACCTCAATAACCATAAATGGACGATAACTACTCAGCTGCCGCTCCAGCAGCTCCAACTCTTGAACCGTCCTCCATCTCCTCACCTGTCTTTCCCTCTTTGTTACGGACTGGATGGGGTGGAGTCACGTCTCTGATGTAGGACAGCGTCTTAAAGGGACATGAGACCATAGCCTACCTACACACATCCAAAACAAACTCTGATTTATTTATTTTTTGACACTTTTGACACTGATATGAGCAAAATGACATTGGTTATTGTCATAAATTTCGGTATCTATAAATTTTCAGTTTATCGTCCAGCCCTGATTAAAAGCACTTTATTGTTTCCATTCAACTTATTTTGATCAAAGTAAGACACTCCCACCCGCTCTCCATCCATCCATTTTCTGCCGGTTGATTCTGCTCCTGGGGTCACGGGGCTGGAGCCTATCCCAGCATCTTTGGGCGAAGGCAGGGGACACCCTGGACAAGGGCTGACGAACAACCATCCATGCTCATGTTCACACCTACGGGCAATTTGAAAGTGGCCAATTAACCTAACCCAACCCCACTTCTGCATGTTTTGGGGATATGGAATAACCGGAGTAAACCAATACAAACTCCACACAGAAATGCCCTGACCTGGATCCGAAACCCACGACCTTCTTGCTGTGAGGCGACAGCGCTGACCAGACCTGCTCTCCTGGCACCAAAATAATAGATTTAGTCCAATCAGGAGGCTCTTTCATAAATGAAGATGTATCAATGATTTCATCGCTTATCCTCTAAATTAAATCACTTTTAGCTCCATAACCACAAAAAAACCCAGTCGACGGTCCAGTCCATGATTCAAAGAACAACCTGCTCATGTCAATAACACAGCAGGCGTTACTAAAACTGATGCGTTCACTTGCAAATGTTTACTCTAAATATTTAAAGTTTGCAGAGACTTTCACCTCGATCAGAAAGAACTCTCTGTACAGTCGTCGATATCAATATTTGAACTGAACACAACAATTCAAAAACAGTTATGTCATACTGCTTGAGATAAAGATGGGATTAGTATTTCCTTAATCCTCTGATTCTCTGTTAGGGTTTTATCTGCTATAGCCTGACTTTGTTTTTAGTGGATCCCACGGCTCGTACGTCACATACGCGCCTGGTGTTCATCTTCATTAGCTCTCTTTCGTGTGTCAACCTTCTTATCGTATAACTTTAATTTGGACCAGGATGTCTCTGTCCCGCTCTTAAGCTCCATAAAGTGGACCCCCTTTGGGCTGCAGAGGTTGCGGCTAAAACCCCAACAGAAGGTGCAGTAATTAATGCACATTACAGGACTCAATAATCTCTGCTTGTCTCTGAGGCTGTAATACCTCAGAGAAACACCAATCATCCCAGCTGGTCTGTTACCCATGAGCCCCGGTGTGCGGTGCATTAAGCAAGTGTACACTATAAGCTGAGTTGTGGAGTTTCCACTATACCCAGCCAGCCATTTGGAGGAGAGTATAATCCCGGCAGGGCTAAGCCTCCACTGAGCTGAGGATTGTACTACTGAGTCAGAGTGTTGCTGTTGTCTGTCCCTCACCTGCTGACAGCGGAGCGGCATGGCCAACTGACTCGCAAGTTCTGAGGAAACCGGGCCTTCGATCCAGCTGGTGTTTGAAGTGAGATGGCTCTACGCAGATCCCCCTCCTCTACCTGCGCAGGTGAGTGCTTCAGTAACCCATAGGAAACCCAGCAGGATCCTCTTTTGTGTGGCCTGTCTTGCCTGTCCACTCTGTATTCTCAGCCAGCAGAAAGGGACACAATAGACAGGACCACCGTAGAGTAAGCGGCCTATTGTACCGTCCTGTTCCCTCCAGAGTGTGTGTGTGTGTGTTTTTGTGTGTCAGCAGGCCGTGTGGGGCAGCCGTCGACAAGCTTTACGGCAAGCAGGGTATATGGTTGCATGTGGGGCGGCTGTAGTTTGTTCCACCTCTTCATTCAGACTCCTCTCCTCTTATTCTCAGTCAGTTTGTTACATGGAGGAATGTTTCTTTATTTTTTAACCACGGTTTTATCATCATGACTTTGTCTGAGACATGTGCGGCACAGTAAACCTCAGTCAGGACAGTAATCCGGGTTAGTTTACATGTCTGGCTGCTGCCCTGCTGCTCCATAAGTGAGGTGAGGGAGCAGAAAGAGCTGAATTCAGATCATGTTTTCTTTCTTTTAGTGAAGATAGTGCAAAGATAACGTCCCCAAAAACCCTGAAAGGCAAAAGCCTGAAACGAAGCGTCCCCCTGCTGTTGAGTAGAAACTGCCTGGAGCTCAAATGCTGACTTCAGAAGAAAGAACTTGAAGTGCATGAAGATTTTATTTTTTTGGCTTCGGGGAAAACATTTCTGAAGTACAGCAGGAGGGCGTTATCTGTGGTGTCAGGGGAGTTATTTCTGCAGCTTTGGGATGTCAGGTTTATACTATCTGCAGGGTTTTATGATCCATAGTCTTTATGCTGCTGCTGCAGATGCCGTATCGATGAATAATGATGATCATCCAGCTGTTGCACACACTTCCTTCCTCTAAAATCCTCTAAAATTAAATTCCCCCTCAGGACGTGTTTTCTAGACGTTAAAAAGCTCACCTTCAGTTTTTCCTCAAAACTTTAAAAAAATTCAAATGTCATTTTTCCCGCTATTTATGAATTTGCAAATCTTTACAGTCTCATCATAATTAATGACCACATGTTGCTCCCAGACCTGTCATTTTGTTCAGTCATTGGTGTTGAAGCCTCTCCAAACCCTCATAGATGCTGGCCTTCAAACTGGACTGGAGGATCAAACTTTTCACTTTGGGACTAAATCCCAGAGAAGTGGCGAGCACAGTTTGCACATACGCAGTGGTGGTGTATTCCCACTACAGAGTCTTGTTTGTTTTTAATGCGGTTGCACCTGAGATCCCTGAATGTCAGGACCATCATCACCTGAATCTGGTTTCAGCCTCGACTTTTCATACAGAGACTCTCTGAACCTTTCAACCCTCCTCCTGTGTTGGTCTGCACTGACCTGTTTTTGTTTTTAAACGCTTAGAAGAAACACTTAAATTAGTTTTTTTTGCATCAAGACTTTTCGACTTTGTCAGGAATCTCTATTTCAACAAAATAAATGTAAAATTGACTAAATTATAAAATGCTCTTATTAAAATTATGGCACTTGTTGACCCGTTTAGATCAATATCTAATAATCAGAGCAAAAACTGAAATCACAGGTGCACTGTCAGGCACCACACTGACAGTCAGATCCTCCTCCAATCATGTCAGATTTAGGAAATTCTCATTTAGCCATGTTTATCCCTGCACGAAAAACAACGTTGGGCATGTCCAGACATGTGAGATCAATTCAGTATAGATGTCTGTGTGAGGGGTATACTGACAAAGAAAGACCCAGAGGCAATATAAGCAATATTTTCATAGATAATGAAGCCTAACAAGGTAACCAAGAGAGGAGAACCGAATTGGATGATAGAGAATTGTTTTTAGTGTAATTTAAAATGGTCAAAACTGACCCTTAACACGGTGGGTACGTAGTAAAAGCTAACACAGGAGGAAGGTTAATAATGATATTGTGTTTTGTAGACAATAACATCCTTTAATACTGAGTAACCGTGTGTTTGCTCACAGTGTCTGCTGTCAGAATGAAAAGGTGCAGAGGAGCAGGATGAATGAATAAAACTTTTACTGCCCTAAAGGAACAACATAACAACCATAAATGATCCGATATAAACCCAAACAGGAGAGTGTGTATACTCAAAATTAAGCAAAGTCATCAAAAAGTACATAATCATAACAACGCACAGTTACTCATGAGGAGTATCAGAGGCCAAGTTCAATAAAGTGAAGGGGGGAAAAGTTCAGAGTGTTGACGGAGCTTGTTAAAGTTGTGGAGAGTTTTGTCTCGTAGTGAAATGAGCAGCTGTGCTTCTCAGTGAGCTCCAACACCAAGATTTACCGTTTCTATGTTCTCATTTTTAACGGCTCTATCTCTGTGAAGGAGGCTAAGTGTCGCTGCCTCACCTTGGGTTTTCTGTATCTGCTATCTGACGCTTCAAAAGTGGATATTCAGTCTGTTGTAAATTTAAAGGTTTTATTCAAAATGTTTGGATTCGTCATGTCTGTACATTTGTTCTTGACTTTTGACTCTCCACAAGTCGTCCTTCAGGTCGTTATCTTTGTGATATTTGTGTTTTTATCAAAAATCACTCTGTTCTCCGACACGTAAACAATCAGCCGGTCGGCCATGTTGGATATACCGGTGAATCTGACGTCACAACATCATGAAATCGACACAGTGTGTACAACTTTAGAAAATTCAACCGTGATACGAAAAATAAATGCCGCAATATCGCAGAATGGGAAAATGTCGCTGATGATGCTTATATTGACAGGATACAGGTTCGAAAAAAAAATTAACGTCCGAAATAATCGCACGACAAAAACACTCCCGGTGTGTAAGGACCTTAACTTTACAAAAACCATCAAAGTAATGTTTATAGATGGATTAAAAACCAAATATTAACCATCTACAAAGTGCTACTGACTCATTTTAATCTAGATGTTTTACAACCAATATTTAAACCCTATATAAACCTTAAATAAACAGTCCATGGTTATAATTTCATTGCTTGTTAATGGTAAAGTAACTATTAACTTACATTATTAAACTATCTATTTACCATTTATAAATTATGGTTATCATAAAGTGTTACCCAAATTTATTTCCATACTTTCCATACTTGTGTAGGAACCCTGTATGATGCCGTTCTTTTGCATTAAACTTGCCCACTCAGTCCTCAGTCCTCACTTAAATGCACAACTCTTTATGTTTAATTAAGATGCTAATTACACAAAAGCAAACAAGACAGAGTTTGATATGTATTTGTGTTAAAAAGCTTTCATACAGTCAGTAATAAAAGCATCAGCAGCTCTGAGTCTTTTGTGTCCTCCTGCTGCACATTAGCCGTGCGTTGATGGACGCCTCTTGTCTGTGAAAGAAGAGGGTTTTTATCCTGCTGTATCACCTTTTTGAACAGAGAGGACCGTGTTTACAGAAGTCAAAGAGAGAAGAAGCAATTATTTATATGGCTTTGCTCTTGGAAGATATCGAGAGATAAACTTTGTCATTAGGAGAAGTATGATATGAGAAATAATGTATTTTCTTCTACAACACCCAAAGACGTTCATGAATGAAGACCAGCTCCGACTTTCTTTATGCCGGATGATGGAGGCTCAGAAAAAGCTTTTGGTTAATCTTCAAATCTATATTTTAAAATCTTTTAAACCCCTAAAAAAACATCCCAGAGAGCATCATGTTGGCTCTCTGTGGCGCCCTGCTTTATGTTTGTACAAGAGGGATTTTCTCATTCAATTGCCCTCCTACTAAATTCAAACTGGCGACCTTCCAGTTCGAGGCCTGCCTCTCTAACCTCCGGGCTAGTACGCCGCTGTCAAGTGAGCTGGAAGGAGGAGAAACACAACTGTTGCCCATAAATCTCTCCACTCGTCGGTAAAAAAAATAAAAAATGCTTTAATAGAGACGTTTCCATCCTCTTGACCTGGCTGACAGATCTCATATTTGTGCTGTATATGTCGAAGTGAGTGAAGTACATCTGAGTGAGTGGAGCGGAGAGTGAAAGGTAGAATGTAATAGAGCAAAAGAGAGAGCTGTCCGTGGTGCTGAAACGAGAGCACAGCACGTGGCCTAGTGCGTTACTATGGCTACAGCTGTCTGTATCCCTAAAATAACCATACACACACATAGTAACCTTATTCCATAAAAAAGTCCACCCTGGAAACATTAAAATGTTGGTTTTGTTGCAAATGCATTCAAAGTTATAGAGTTTCGACACCGTTTACAATCCGCTTCTCCTCACGTGTCTTATTCTCTGTCGTTTTTTTTCGCTTTCTTTTTCATCTCCAGGCTGATTGTAAGAGGTTGACTCCATGTAGGCTTTCCCTTTGTACGGCGCCTGAAGACGGGGCTCGTTGACTGTCACACAAATCAGTTTGCGCAGTGTGAAACAAAGCCTCTGCAGGCTGATTTGCATATTTGTGGCTCTGACAACAGGAGGAGTGGCTGAAAAAAGTGAATCCAGGAATGATGAAACTCGAGCACAAATACGAGGCGGGCCTTCAAAAAGAAAGAGGGAGAAAAACAACAACAGGGTTTTTTTTTTTCCCAACAGACTAATAGAAAGTGTTTTTTGTCTGATTCAGGCCTTAGTTTGAGCTTTGCTGGTACTGGACTACATTTTAAATGCTGAAAAACAAATACAAGACTAAGACTATATCGTCCTAAAGGGTAAAATAAAAAAAGTTTCAACCATGCTAATCTGCAAGAAAAAGTTTATCTTTTGCTAAAGCTAAGTTAACCCGCCTTTGGCTCTGGTCTTGTTGGCAGATATGAACGTGATTCTAATCATCTTCTCCATAATTGAAATTGATAATCTTCATTTAGGGCTGGGCGATAAACCAAAGATTTACCGATACCGAAATTTACGACAATAACTGAAAAATATTAATAAATGAAAGTTGGTTTTGGATGTGTGTTGGTAGGCTTTGGTCTCATGTCCCTTTAAAATCTATTTTCTAATTGTTTTATGAAGATCTTTGATATCAGTTCATTTTATTTGAAAATCAATCTTTTATTGGGGTCATTTTTTTTAGTGTGAACTTTAATATTTTAAATATTGTGCCTAGTTTGAAGGTATATTCTTATTGAATGAACTAAAAGTATAATTTCTGATATTAGATCTCTAAGACTCCCTTTTAGAGCTGGGCGATAAACCGAATATTTACCGATACTGAAATTTACTACAACAAAGGGATTAACCCGGATCTCCCGACTGCGATTATGTCCTACATCTACAGCCTGTTACAACTCACAAAGAAGTACACACACCTCAGCTGATTACCTGTGCTGCTAAACCTGCAAATGAAATAATGATTTGATCGAATACTTTGTCTTATTGATTGATCGGGGGTGAGGAAACCAATCTGATAAAGTTAGAATTGCAATTCTTGATTCCTACAATGTTGGAAAAAAGTCATCAATGGTCCTATTTGCATGAATACATCACAGACCCATCAGAATCTCCATCCTAGGGCTGGGCAATAAACCAAAAATTACTGATACCAAAATTTACGGTAGTTGGGTTAGTATGAGTTTCATGTTATAAACCATAGTGGACGTCTGAACTGGCAGACTAGCTGGGCTCAAATAGTCCCAGGGTCAAGTCTAGGGCTGGGCGATAAACCGAAAATTTACCAATACTGAAGTTTACGACAATAACCGACGTCATTTTGCCCGTATCGGTGTATTTGGTGTCAAATAAATAAATGAATAAAAGTTTGTTTTGGATGTGTGTAGGTAGGCTATGGTCTCATGTCCCTTTAAGACACTGTCCTACGTCAGAGACGTGACTCCGCCCCATCCAGTCCGTAACAAAGAGGGAAAGACAGGTGAGGAGATGGAGGACGGTTCAAAAGTTGTAGCGGCTGAAGTAGACGAAGTTAATGTGGGAGGGAGTGATCAGCTTGTGGAGTAGTTATTGTCCATTTATCGTTATTGAGGTGAACTGATCAATATATCCTGATATTGATTTGAGGAAATATCGCCCAGCCCTATCTTCATTAATTTTAAGAGGCTGTAAATCAACAGTCAGGACAGAGATGCTTCCTTTTACTTCTGCAAACAAGTTTCTCCCTAAAATCCCAAATTGGCTTCAATCCCAGTAAATTCAAGCAAACTGACTGTCGGCCAAAATATGAACCCAAATGTGTGATAAACATTTACTGTCCTGCTGTTGCCTCTGTGATTTTATATCTGAGGAACCGTCCTCTCTAGTATATGACAGACTTTAAGTGCAGAAGTGTCTGGAGGTTTACGGCGTGCTGACTTTGCTTGTTTACTCATGAGAAAGCTGCACAAAAGGAGAAAATTCATCTGAATCAATAAAGCGAAATCTTCCAAGCTGCCCTGGCATCACTCTGAATCCTGGAGTATTTCACTCTTTCAGCACCTTCATGTCAAAAATGTTGAGTTTGTGCAGCTTTAACTTTAACACGTGTTTTTGATGATATCTTCTAGAGTCATGGACCAACGCTGCAGGCTACATCCGAGTGGCTACGGCCCTCAGCGAGTCCTCCTCCATCCACAGCGACGCCCTTCTCCACCTGACCAAAGAAATGTCCGGGATGGGAATGGACCCCATGTCCTACAGCCTCCTGGAGCCCGAACCTTTCAAAGAAGAACCCTGGGCTGAAGAGTCGGAAAGTTTGCTACAGGTGATTAAAGAAACAGAGAAACTATATGAGTGTGTGTTCAAATTAACATTTTAACAAGCTTTTCTCCTTTTTGGAAACCAGCTGGAGGTAAAACTCAAACAGTCAGGGTGCCCCCGCTCAGGCACACTTGGAGCAGCTTATAAAAATCAGATAATCATGCATTTCCTGCAAGGGTAATGTATTTCAGAGCCTTGCATCATTTTGTGAGTTAGCATAAAATGAAAAAAGAATCATTAAGACGATTTTAGACATTAAAATCTCTGATAATTAAGCGACTTGTATTTTATGGTGATGGGAAACGCTGTTTTGCACAGTTTGTTTTTGAAGTTTGAGGTACTAAAGTAAATTAAAATAACTCCAATCTGACTCATTTCTTCAAGGGTGATGTTAGTTTAGGAGAAAGTCTTCAGTCGGTGTTGGAATTAGGTAAATTTTGTCACGCTTGTGGTTTTCCTGGGGGTCCTCATGAAGCATCTTTGTGTTTATCATGAGGTAAAAAGACTCTAAATTGCAGACTGGTGGATTTTTTCTCATAGATTATAACCCCTGGATTGAAATCATGCTTCAAATTCAACTTTATTCCAAGTGTGTCCTCTTATTATGGTGTTTCAGGAAAACACAGATCCCTCTCCAAGCTACATCAGAGAGATTTCATAGCAACCGAGGCAGCTTTCTCTCTGCACTGTAAAAAAAATAATAAAAGAAATCACTGAAGCTGCAGTTTTCAAAAGACAAAAACAACTGAATAAAACGAAAGAGGAACCTCTAAAGAGGAGATGAGGACTCTAATGTGTGGTTACATATCTATTCCTGAAGGAGAGGTTTAATTTTCCCACCAGAGATTTGATTTTAGAAAAAAGGTAAAACTTCTAAAAAACAGCCAGAACCAAAAAAAAATGTGAACCAGATCTTTTGGATTTCAACCAATCTGGCAGAAACTGGTGGATCTGAGAGCAGAAAGTGATATTTTTAGAGTCAACGTTAAAACAGAGAAGCAGATTGAGGATGGACATTTTTTACAGTGTGGCACACTCTGTGCCAAAAGCGCCGGCGGTGCGCAGGCAGCCTCCAGATCTCACAGTTGGATAGATGGGTATCACCAGCATGTGATCGCGCTGCTGCTCAGTCTCTGCGCAGCCTCTTCAATCTGACTGATCTACTGTCCTCAGAATAAACTATGAAACCTGCTGCAGATGAGCCGGAGCTGCTCGTTGACTTTGGACTAACTGGGGTGACCTCGGGCATCGTTTTTGGATGATGGCGGGTGGAGGGGTTGTAGTAATTCCGTCTGTTTTCATCTGCAAACTTTCACTCTCCCTCTCTTTGCTCCACTTCTCCGGGTCTGTGTGAAGCGCAACAACATGCAGCTCCCTCCGACAGAAGACAAGATCCCAGTAAGTAGCCTCTCACACATCACCTCACTGTTAGCTGTGTCGTTTTGGAGTTTAGTTCATCACACATTTCTCCAGTTTGCGCAAACATCGTTTCTGCGCAGGAACATTTTTTGCGTTTTGACAAATTCGCTTCATGTGGAGCCACACAGGATACGATATAAGACAAATCGACATAAGATAAGGGACTGAATCGACCAAACTGGCTTACTTTCAATATTAGGCAATTTGACTCTTTTACTATAAGTTATAAGGCATCAAAATAGGAGGATAGAGAAGCTCTTTTAGCAAACAAGAATGAGGTTTAGCAGATCCAAACCAGATGGGAACCTTTCCTGTAAGTTTTTCCAAAGTATCAGCAAAAAAAGGAGCCGAGACAAAGTGTCAGAAGTTTTAGCAGCTGATGTGTGTCCTGTATGTGAGTCTCAGTGGGTTCAAACTTCCAAATCCAGAACTCTTTAACCCTTCCGGGCTCTTTAGATTGACTTCCCTCTAAAGTCCCTCGTGGCCGAAAAAAGCCACTTTTTTTGTCTGCTGTAAAATCATATTGGATTAATATTTTTTTCTGATTTTTTTTCACACATCTCTTATTTTACTTCTGCCCTGTTTGAAACTAGCAAATGTTTCATTGAAAACAATTTTTTTTAACCCTTTAAGTGCCAATTTAAGACAAAAAGTCACAAATATAGCAAAAATTTAAGGAAAATGACCCATTTTTTTTTATAAAACATGATCAGAAACTGGTTATCTCTTGCAGGGTATCAAAGTCATGAATATGTCAGAGATTAGTAATATCATTGGCTTTGATGCATTTTAAGTTTTTCTGTAGCATCAGATTTAATGAAAAACTGCGTTTGGCGCCTCCCAGTGGCCAAAACTACTTTGTCTGCTGTAAAATCATATTGGATTAATATTTTTTTCTGATTTTTTTTCATACATTTCTTATTTTACTTCTGCCCTGTTCAAAACTAGCAAATGTTTCATTGAAAATAAAATTTTAACCCTTTACGGGCCAATTTAAGACATAAAGTCACTTAAAAAGCAAAAAAAAATGGAAGGAAAAATTTAAGGAAAATGACCAATTTTTTTTATAAAACATGATCAGAAACTGGTAATCTCTTGCAGGGTATTTAAGTCTTGAATATGTCAAAGATTAGTAATATAATTGACTTCAATGCATTTTAAGTTTTTCTGTAGCATCAGATTTAATAAAAAACTGCCTTTGGCGCCTCCCAGTGGCCAAAACTACTTTTTCTGCTGTAAAATCATATTGGATTAATATTTTTTTCAGATTTTTTTTCATACATTTCTTATTTTACTTCTGCCCTGTTCAAAACTAGCAAATGTTTCATTGAAAATAAAAATTTTAACCCTTTAAGGGCCAATTTTAGTCATAAAGTCACTTAAAAAGCAAAAAAAATTGAAGGAAAATGAAGGAAAATGACCAATTTTTTAAATAAAACATAATCAGAAACTGGTAATCTCTTGCAGGGTATTTAAGTCTTGAATATGTCAGAGATTAGTAATATAATTGACTTAGATGCCTTTTAGGTTTTTCTGTAGCATCAGATTTAATGAAAAACTGCGTTTGGCGCCCCTCAGTGGCCAAAACTACTTTGTCTGCTGTAAAATCATATTGGATTAATATTTTTTTCAGATTTTTTTTCATACATTTCTTATTTTACTTCTGCCCTGTTCAAAACTAGCAAATGTTTCTTTGAAAAAAAATTTTTCACCCTTTAAGGGCCAATTTAAGACAAAAAGTCTCTTATGAAGCAAAAAAATGGAAGGAAAATGGAAGGAAAATGACCTTATTTGCTTCATAAGAGACTTTTTGTCTTAAATGGGGCCTTAAAGGGTGAAAATTTTTATTTTCAAAGAAACATTTGCTAGTTTTGAACAGGGCAGAAGTAAAATAAGAAATGTATGAAAAAAAATCTGAAAAAAATATTAATCCAATATGATTTTACAGCAGACAAAGTAGTTTTGGCCACTGAGGGGCGCCAAACGCAGTTTTTCATTAAATCTGATGCTACAGAAAAACCTAAAAGGCATCTAAGTCAATTATATTACTAATCTCTGACATATTCAAGACTTAAATACCCTGCAAGAGATTACCAGTTTCTGATTATGTTTTATTAAGAAAATTGGTCATTTTCCTTCATTTTCCTTCAATTTTTTTTGCTTTTTAAGTGACTTTATGACTAAAATTGGCCCTTAAAGGGTTAAAATTTTTATTTTCAATGAAACATTTGCTATTTTTGAACAGGGCAGAAGTAAAATAAGAAATGTATGAAAAAAAATCTGAAAAAAATATTAATCCAATATGATTTTACAGCAGAAAAAGTAGTTTTGGCCACTGGGAGGCGCCAAAGGCAGTTTTTTATTAAATCTGATGCTAAAGAAAAACTTAAAATGCATTGAAGTCAATTATATTACTAATCTTTGACATATTCAAGACTTAAATACCCTGCAAGAGATTACCAGTTTCTGATCATGTTTTATAAAAAAAATTGGTCATTTTCCTTAAATTTTTCCTTCCATTTTTTGCTTTTTAAGTGACTTTATGTCTTAAATTGGCCCGTAAAGGGTTAAAATTTTATTTTCAATGAAACATTTGCTAGTTTTGAACAGGGCAGAAGTAAAATAAGAAATGTATGAAAAAAAATCAGAAAAAAATATTAATCCAATATGATTTTACAGCAGACAAAGTAGTTTTGGCCACTGGGAGGCGCCAAACGCAGTTTTTCATTAAATCTGATGCTACAGAAAAACTTAAAATGCATCAAAGCCAATGATATTACTAATCTCTGACATATTCAAGACTTTGATACCCTGCAAGAGATAACCAGTTTCTGATCATGTTTTATAAAAAAAATGGGTCATTTTCCTTAAATTTTTGCTATATTTGTGACTTTTTGTCTTAAATTGGCACTTAAAGGGTTAAAAAAAATTGTTTTCAATGAAACATTTGCTAGTTTCGAACAGGGCAGAAGTAAAATAAGAGATGTGTGAAAAAAAATCAGAAAAAAATATTAATCCAATATGATTTTACAGCCGACAAAAAAAGTGGCTTTTTTCGGCCACGAGGGACTCTGGAGGGTGAAAATTTGTCCTGGCTTTATTATTGACCTGGTGAAAATGTTGAATTCATGTTTTCGAGTACAATTTCAAATTAAGCTTAGAAAAAAAAATTCATCACATTTGCTGCAGTAAAAAAAAAAATATATCCAAATAAGTCTCTTGTTTTTTCGTCAAATGGCCGAATTCGGCCACAGGGACCCGGAACAGGCGAGTGAAGTGCTGCAGGCTGTAAGTTCCCATGTGTGATTACAGTAGAAGTCGAGTTCAATAGATTCTAGTTACAAAGATTTTAATATTTCATTCAAAATCTCCAGAGTTTGTAATCGGCTGCAGGTCTGTATTCGGCATGGACAAGAATGATTGAATAGATTAGCAGCAAGTCAGCGGTGTGTCCAGAGGGGGGCGAGGGGTGGCAAGGGCCCCACTTTAAACACCAAGGCACCGCCCCTAAATTCTTAATTCTGATTGGCTGCGGTTACCTTCATTAAAATCAAACAGGCTCCTGGTGGATTTCTTTTCATTTTATTGTATACATTTTCTTCTTATTGGTGCTTTAAACCGCAGAAAAATACTGAACAGCTTTATTTAATAAATCAGGGATACGACAGAAGAATCAGTCTGCACTGAAACTCTTGCACACCATGACTAAAGGTGTCAATAAAAACTCAGACCATACTGTGACAGTCAGTGTAGGGCTGGGCGATATGGCTTCAAATTAATATCAACAATTATGGAGCAGTTCCCTTCGATACCAATAAATGGACGATAACTACAGTGTTTCCCCTAGAAATGTTTTCAGCAGCAGCAGTGTGTGTGTGTGTGTGTGTGTGTGTGTGTGTGTGTGTGTGTGTTGCTGCTCCAGGAACTACGCTGTTACATTCAAGTTACGTTACCCGCGCTACTCGCTATACAGACCGTGTGCAAGCTTAGTGGAAGAGGGTCCGACAGGATTTGATGCGCTTGTTGATGACTCAAAACAAGTCGAAAATAACGTTTTGTGTTGTTGTTGTGCTCACACAGTGTGAGTAGAAATCATTAGTGCCGGATTGATAATTATGCTACTAATGCTATTAATGCTACTCGCTGTGTAGACCGTGTAAAAGCTTAAACATTACCTTTCATGTTGATAGTAGAGGGTCCGACAGGATTTGATGCGCTCCTTGATGACTCACAACAAGTCGGAAATAACGTTGTGTGTTGTTGTGCTCACACAGTGCGAGTAAATCATTAGTGGCGCACTGATATGAATGATCATGTGAAATTTCAGTATCGGCGCACGTAATTTAGCAGCTGCTGCTGAATGGATGAAGGGGAAACACTGATGATACATATGAGTCTGAGGTAGAACCATATGAGATAAAAACAATTTTTTTAAGGTGTGGCGGCTTTTATTTAGCTGTTGCCGTGCGCCACGATCAATTGCATGTAGAGGAAACCCTGAACTACTCCACAAGCTGCTCACCCCCTCCCACATTAACTTCGCCGCTCCAGCTCCTCCAACTTTTGAACCGTCCTCCATCTCCTCACCTGTCTTTCCCTCTTTGTTAAGGACTAGATGGGGTGGAGTCACATCTCTGACATAGGACAGCATCTTATAGCCTACCTACACACATCCAAAACCAACTCGTAAATGTTGGTATTTGTAAATATTCGGTGTATTGCTCAGCCCTAACTCAGTGTGCAGGATTTTCTTTCTTTTAAACCCTCACTGAATTGTATTTGGTGGTGTTTCGAATCTCAGACCAGGTAGAAATGAAATATAATATTCATAAAGTGATTCAGTGACTGTATTACCACCTGAATATGAAAGCTGCACTGGGGCAGATCCCCTGTTATGTCACAGCAGCTTCTCCTCCTCGGAGACCACAGTTACTTTAGGGAGGAGAATAAATAATCTGACTGCTGGATATCACTAAATATTCCCATTTAAACTCTCTGTTCCTTGAATTATTTTAAAATGTGACTTTAAATATCCTCTTATGAGTAAAAAATTGAGTTTTAAAGCTCTAAATATTGTATCACCTCCAGAAGAAAACACCTGCACAATGCTCAAATGTAAAAAGTCATAATAAAGGTGAACTGAGACAGAGACGGTGAATAGATGCTTGTGCAAACTGACACAGACAGATCCTATCATCCATCCTCTACATGCACTTCATGCATATTTCTTCATGTATCTATAAAACCTGTGGATATGGACCAAACTTCTCTGAAAAACTGAATTCTCCAGAGTACTTAAAGGCTCCACTGTCCAATGCCATCTGTAGACTTTAATTTTTGTGTTTTTGAAGTAAAGAGTCCGTTTGTTCCCATGACTTACTGCACAATATGGCAAATGTGAGAGTGTTTTGGACACAGCCAATGCTAAAAATGTAATAAAGACCTAAATTTGTCAAAACAACAGCTGCAAGGAAAACACCAATCAAGCAGAGTGTCCCACAAGGTTGGAAGAAGTGGTCTAATCAGTCCAATTAATTGGAAACACCTGTGAAAGGCAGAGGTTTGTGCCTTAGTTAATCTTCAAGGCTTGGGAACAACAGAGCGAGTGGTCACAATTCAAGCTAACCTTCACTTCAACTCACAGCGAGGACCCGCAAGTTAGTGTGACTCCTGAGAGCCACAATTTCAGATGTTTTTAGCACATCAGCAACAACAGGTCTTTCATCAGAAATAAGACGGGGAAATGTTGGAAACTTAGTGAGAAATGAAGGCGGCAGTACTGCAAATTAATACAAACGATCGGACATAAAAACACAAAAACTATATCCTCTGAGTATTAGACTTTTTTTCTGGTTATTCTTTTGTCCTTAGGTGAAAAGTCAGATAAAGTTCAGGATGGTTACACAAGAGGACATTTGGCTTTAGCTAAAGGAACATGGACAGTTCGGCTGATGTTATTAAGCGTGATAAAGTGCTCTTTAGCGTTAGGGTCAAATCTTATAAGATGTCCAAATGGAGCTTAGGTAACTATCTTCATATTATGATTTAATCCAAAACAGGATTTTGATCTTTTGTTTCTTGATTTCTTAACAAATTTGTAACCATGCTGCTTTATCTCTGTTTTGATTTTAAAGGGCTATTTCGGCGTAAATTAAAGTTAGGGTCAAACACACTGTAACACAGAGTTAGACACCCCCTCGAGAGATTAATGTTGCCAATCACTTTCTTCTCCAGTTATACCAACTTTAGTAACGACCGCACGATAGCAATACACAGCGGTCTATGTCTCCACGTGCAAACTTCAAACAAAACGCCACTCTATAACCACAAATAATGCTCAGAACAGCATCTAACTTCATCAACAGGACATATAGGGTCACAGACATAGTACTAGACACCAAACATCTTTTTAACTTTGACTCATTTCTTTAGCAAAGAGACTAAACACAACTCACCTACTCTCTTCCAGCAGCCGCTTGTTGAGCCCTGACGAGTTGATCACCGAGTGCAGCAGATCATTTCCTTGAAGTAAAAATCACCATATTAATCATTTTGTACTGCAGACGCGATAGTTCTTCTTGCTAAGCATTTCAGTCTGATTGTATTTCCATGAAGTAATAATCATAAATGTTCTTCCTTGAGCTGCGAAACTCCGGCAACATTCATCATTCAGGGGGTGTCTAACTCAATGTTACGGTGTGTTTGACCCTAACTTAATTTTACCCCGGAATGTCCCTTTAAAGAAGACTTTAGCTTTCTTTATTGGACACCTCTGGAGTGCTCATGCATGATTTCTCTCGTGGTGTCTCTGAAAACCTTTATTCTAGGGGTATAAATTTAGGCACAGCTTGTGGGTGTTACTTTTTACACAGTCTTCTCTTCACAGAAATCATACTGCTACAGAAAAAGGTGAAGGTTAGCCATTAGCTCCCTGTTATTCCAAATAGAGGTTAGTTATTGGGCGTCCAATATCCTAGAACAATATACATATGGATCTGCATTCGAAGCCTCCTTTAAGAAATCTGATAAAAACCAGGGCGCACTGACAAAATCATACATTTAGTGAGTAAATCTATATGATTCTGTCATTCTTAAACGTGTTTCAACAAATTCACACCAGATTGTGAATAACAGAGTCAGTATTTAGAAAGCTGTCCTGCTGCTGCTGCTGTGAAGAAATCTGTTCTCACACACAAAAAAAAAAGCCAGAACAAAATTTCCCAGCATGCCCACAGCAGCCTATAGAGCTTTCCCTCTTGTGCCCTCCATGTTTAGTCTCCCTCTCTACTTTCCCTCGGTCTAAATAAAGACTGGATCTGCCAAAGGTGAGCTGACTGCCCACTCTGCTGCTGAAGGTTCTCACTTCAGGGTTTTTGAGAACCTGCCAAAAGCCACTTGTGTTTGCGTGTGCTGACAGTGCAGTAGATGTTTAAGTTCATTCAAACCTTGATTACGTAACTCCCCTGCTGCTGCTGCTGCTGTAGAGTTGTGTTGTTGCTGTCTTTAAACAGTTTGTGGATGTTAAGTTGATAGTAATATCTGCCTGTTGTAATTAAATGAGTCAGTGGTTCAGATTTCTGTTTCTTTCTCTCCGTTTTAAAGTTTTAAACGGCGCCGCAAACTTCTTTCAACAGGTGGCGGATTCAGCCTCGAATCCTCCAGGCGGCGACGAAGGCCTCTGCTTCTCTGACGGCCAACGGAAAGTCGACTACGTCCTGGTGTTTCATCAGCGAAGGCACGGCTCTGTACGATCTCCCACCAGCACGTCGATGTCCCACGACAGGTTATCGATCGTTTCCAACGGCAACTTTCCCCCTGCGGCCGACCCGGACGCGGCGCCCGAGAGGGGAGGCGGCGTACCGGCAGGGGAGGCGGCGAACGTCGGTGAGGTGTTCATGGAGCTCGGAGTCGAAGGATTGAATGAGCCGACTGAGCCCGCCGACCACGAGATGCATCTGGTCAGACAGGAATTCGAGGCCAGCCTGGTGGAGGCCGGACTGGAGATAGAGAGAGACAAAGAGGTGAGTGTGCAGACGTCTGTACTCTTCCTCTTATCTCCTCTTAATGCTGTGGAGTCTCTGCTAACTGTTTCTTCACATCCACTCTGTTGTTTGCTTTATTGTCAATATTGCTGTTAAAGAAGTTAAGCATGTGCAGCATGAAAGTCCAAGACAAATTTTGCAAAAGGGACAAGAAAGTTTGCCAAACTGTTTTTTCTTTGGCACAGTTTTATGTCATCTAAAATTATCTTATTCTGTTTCCCTCTACTGTTTCGTAACATCTTTTTGGTGTTTAATTCAGGAAGGGTTTACGACCTGTAAACAGACTTAATCTTAAACTTACACCCAAGACTCGAACCAATAAGTGATCAATCAAAAGTTACATCCACCTGCTGCAGTCTCACCTCTGGTCTCCACTAGAGGTCTTCAGTATCGACAAAATCTTCACATTTTTGAGAAGTGTGCACGTCACGATAATTGACAATATTTGCATCCTGCAAAAACGGTAATACAACAAAATGTGTGTAAAAGTCCTTTAATGTACGATCTAAGTCGTACTAGATGTTGGGCAAATTTGCATCATCTGGAACCCTGTTTTTGTTTTAAGTCACTTGTTTGTGCCAAAGTTCGTTTTTCTTTCACTGATCAATCTTGGCCTTATTAGGGCTTTTCTTATAGTCTTTATAATCTGTGTGTTGGTGAAACTGTAGATGGTTCAACATGTTAGTTGTCGAGTTGTCTTCAAAGGCAACTACGAGGGCTGGGTATTACCACGCGCCTAAATCGATTCGATTTAATGTTGATTCATGAAGGGATATTTCAGCCACTGTACCTGTTTTACTTGAGCATGAAAGGGAGTAGGGCTGGGCGATATGGCTTCAAATCAATATCACGATATATTGATCAGTTCACCTCGATAACGATAAATGGACGATAACTACTCAGCAAGCTGCTCAGCCCCTCCCACATTAACTTCGTCTACTTCAGCCGCTACGACTTTTGAACCGTCCTCCATCTCCTCACCTGTCTTTCCCTGTTTGTTACGGACTGAATGGGGTGGAGTCACGTCTCTGATGTAGGACAGCGTCTTAGAGGGACATGAGACCATAGCCTACCTACACACATCCAAAACCAACTTTGATTTATTTGTTTTTTGACACAGATTATATTGACATGGGCAAAATGACGTTGGTTATTGACGTAAATTTTGGTATCGGTAAATTTTCGGTTTATCGCCCAGCCCTATTATCTTGTATTTTGCACACTCCCCTCAGCCTCTAAATTCTTTATTCTTCCTTCTCCATGTTTGCTGGGCTGTTGTTACTTAGTTTGATTTCTGGCTGTTTGTTTCACGCTTTTAGCTTAGTGTAGGTTTATTATTTCGTTGTTATTTCGTATCTGCAGAAAACAGCTGATTAAAAATGTGAAGGTGAACTCAAACAGTACAGCTGGGGATCACAATACAGTCTCTTTGAAATACATGTTTTTTTTCTGCTTTCAGGTTGTTTTGCTCTCCCACTGGCCATTAGCGTTCACTGATAAAGCTCTAAGTTCAGCTGGGGTCTAAATGCACATCCTCTATTCACCTTTGCTTCAACATAAGTAGATATAGATGTTAAGCAGTTTGGATTGTCTGTGAATTGAGAAAAACGATCAAATGATCGAACCTGTCTGGAGAATTTCTGAGGATTTCGTTCACAGACCCAAACTTTCAGAGTACGGACGGTTACAGAATTTTGATCGTTCATTTTTTTACAGACTTTTTGAGATAAATCTCGACACAGAATCTGATGTAACTCTGTCCTGAGCTATTTAAGGTGAGCGCCTGCATAGGAACCTGGCTCCGATTGTAGAAAGCCGTGGGTGAGACTTGATGGGTTGCTAAGGGTATAGGTGACTATTATACCAGCAGGAGGCAAGTGTCAAGAAGAGGTCTCCATTAAACCTTATAAAGTATCTTTTGATTTCACCTTGCAGGTCGTGTGCTGCTTTTTCTGCGCTTCTTAATCACCTTTATGCTGTTATACATGATAAACACAGTAATGCAATGCAATAATCAAAAGATGCACTTTAAATGTTATCTGCAGCTCACAGAGTGAACATATGATCAGAGCCATGCAGCTGAAGTAACCTCGCGAAACTAATCCTGTCTTCAAAACAGGATTGTTTGACAGGAAGCAGTTTTTTTTTAATGTTTGTTTGTTCATGGAAACATTTTAATATCACTTCCACTCATGATTTAAGTCACGCTATGGTGATCAGCAGCTCATAAATGCACCCACTATCTCTGCTACCATTGCCTGGATTGCAGGACAGGATGTTGCTCCAACTTACAGGTTTCACATCTCGGCCTGGTAACCCTCAAGATCAGCCTGAGATGATAACTGACGTTTTTTTTTTGCCACAGTGTTGACAGGCAGAGGTGAAATCAGCCTCACTCTTCTTCATGGATTGAGTCGATATGTCTTATGTGATCAGTCAGAAGATGCTCTAACATCGTGATCGCTTTACATGAGCTCCACGATACAGAGGCTCTGCTCTTGGGCTCCAGAGGTGATTTTGTCATATTTGTTAGTATAAGTTTAAAGGACTTTTCTATTAGAGTTAGGGGTGTAATGATTCATCTACAACATCGATGAATCGATTTATATTCCTATGATCCAATTACATCGATCTGTGCTCGGCAAGTGGGCCTTCCGGACTAGGGATGCACCGATCCGATATTTGGATCGGATATCGGCTCCAATATTGACAAATTCACTGAATTAGATATATGATGAATGATGCCGATCCAGCGTTTTGATCCAGTCTTATTTCTCTTTTAATTAATATCAAACACAGTGATTCTGTTCGCTCTATATTCGATGTCCGTCTATCCTTTTGCACTAAATGTTTAAATTTAAGTCTTACTTCTTTTTGCTGTGTGCAAATGTGCAATTTGTTGATAAATAATATCTATATCTGTGTTAATTTGTTACCTTTCTTTTAACAAGTCTAATGTCAAGCCTGATGCCTTCACTCACAGGGTAAGGTATACAGTTTATTCATTCAACAGTACTATTGGATCGGTATCGGATATCGGCCGATACACTCAGCTCAACTATCGGTATTGGATGGATCGGAAAAATATGGATCAGTGCGTCTCTATTCCAGATGACATATATCGATCTAACATCATTTTAAAATGTAAATAAATCAAATCTATCGATACTAGGAGATAACCGAATAGGCAGACTTAACAAGCGTTACTCAATGATCATCGCCATTCGCCAGCAGACAACAAAACACAGCATGACGGGTGGCTGAGGAGAAGTTGGCGAGCGAGAAATTATTGAACCACCGTTACGGCTCAGTTTATGTTGTATTTGTATTATTTCTTTGCTGAAAACAAAAGCAGAAGTAGAAATAAAACCTACTTTTAATTTAACCTGAAGAGATGTTGGTCGCACTTTATTTTTGATATTAATACTGAATTATTTTTGCGTTGAAATAGAAAAGCAGAAGTAGCAGATATATTGGATTCACTTATCTACTTTCACTGAAAATTTATTAAGAACAGAAAAGGTTAATCTCCTGGAGTGGAGGTTGCACTTAATTCAAATAAAATGTAAATACATTTGCTGTTAATTGTTGTTTACTTCTTTGCTTATAACCATAATTAATTTATACCTGATTCTCTTACAAGGAACAACAGGAATCTAGGAAATTTCACCTGCACTGTCCAGTATCCAGGTATTAATTTCACAGTCACACTGGTTGAGTTTTTGGCTAAAAAGTTACTGAATCGTTTTGGATCGTGCTGTTCTAAATAAACGAATATCGTCCCTGAATCGAATCGGCAACCACGAATCACGATACGAATCGAATCATCATTAAAATGAATCTTTACACCCTAATTAGAAGTACAGATAGGAAAATAGTTTCAACTGTTAAGGACAAAACTGCAGCAGTGAGAGTTTACTCAAAGATAAACACACGACAAGGATTTAAAAACCACTGCAACCACAAACAGGAATATTCTTCACTAAGTGGTACAGTTCTGTGTCAGAAACATCTTGTATCCAGGGCAACACACGAAGAGGTGCAACTTGGTCCAAACCTGCCAAACCTGAGCAACAGAGGAAAAAAAAAAAATCAAGTCCGATGAGTCATTCAGCCTTGTTCCGTCTTCCAGAAACAGTTGGCAGAAGACAAAGAGAGCCTTAAACCCACAACATCTTTACTGCCAATCGTGTGGATTTATATTGATCCTATAGAAACAGTAAATACTGATGATGACTTTCTGCACGGTCAGAAAATGAGAAACATGTTACCTTAAATGACCAGGAAGATTAGGAGACGTTTAAATGACAATTTGATAGTAATTTGATAAAAGTCGAGTGTGGCGCTCTTATCTCAGTTTGATTCTGGACCTATTTTTGAGTCAGATTCTCTAAAAATGTTCGGTTTAGTCACTTAAAACGGTTAATTTGTATGAATAAGATTGTTTATTTTGAAGGAGGGATCCACATGAGGGCCTGATGGGTCCAACATGAGCTGGCAGACTTTAATTGTAGTCCCTGTAGCCAACACACACACACACACACACACACACACACACACACACACACACACACACACACACACACAGTTGCTGTTCTGACCTCTTTGTATCGATTTACTAATTCAGCCTGAAACGGGTAATTTTATTTTGACATGTACAAAATCGCTTTTGCTGGGATTTTATGTGTTGTGCATCAGCTAGCTCTGCTTTTTTTTTGTGTGTGTGTGTGTGTGTGTGTGTTTATGTGTGTGTGTGTGTAGCAGCAGTAGGCACTTGGCAGATCTCACAGTCTGTGTTCTCTGTGTTCTGTTGTTAGCGGGACTGCAGGCTCGCTGCCACTGAGTTGTAAAAATCTAATTATTGTTAAAGTTGGATTTGTTACCAAGTAAACTGCTGCTGCTCTTTGGCTGCAGATTTAAGAGGGATGATTTGGGAAAATAAAGAGCTGCTCATTTTATTCGTAGGAGGAGAATATCGCTGCACTCGTTTATCAGAATATAAGGGAGTGAGATGTAAGATATTACATATGTTTGACATGCTGCTTACCAAATAGCTCATTAATTGCTCTAAAAGCACAAAAAAGCAACTTTTTACTCTGATTTTATTCATATATTGATGTCTTTTTTTTATTATGGCACTTACTAAAATGATAACACCTCATAGTCTCACAATATATCATCAAATCGTAACCCCTTTCTTCCACACCTTCTTGACAATTCACACAATTTTACAAGCGTAACGTCAATGCAGAGTGTCAGAGTTAGGTTTGAGTGTATGCGTAACGTCTATTTTGTCAGAACATGTGACCGCGTGTACATGTGCGCGCGCTGGCCTGCAGCCATTTGGCCGTGTGTGCGGTCTGCGGGCTAGTATTAATCAGATTGTTGACAATGTGGCCATGGAGCCTAAGCCAGGATGAGATTAACTGACTGACTGATAGCTCCTTATCTCATCTCATTGATAGCGAGGAAGAGGATCGAATCTGCACCCGGGAGCGGCATTTCAATTTCCTTTATTTGAATGCAGTGACAGGTATCCTCGCCGAAAGACTAACAAACATAATTACGCTCCTTTAATCCAGTTTCAGGTAGACGTGGTTGTAGGAGGTGCTGGCAAAGACAAAGCACGCTGATAACGCCCGGTGGTTTGCGTCTCACTTAATCACTCATATGGATTTCTGATGTGGAGTTGCCCTTATCTGTCTTCCTAATAACAGGTGGCTCATTGGTGGAGTTCCCCTCAGTTGGAGAGTTGGTGGTTCGATCCTCAGATCCAGATATCTCTGTATTGAAGTTCTCCCAACGGCACGGCCAGGGTGAAAGACAAGAACTGTGTCGCATTTGTGCAATCAGTTTATCACGATTTGATACTGAGATCGTACCAGTGATGAAGAATAGAGGAATCAGGTCCCTTTATCTGTTAAAGGAATATTTCAGTGTTTTTGAAGTTGGGTGGTATGAGTTTCATGTTATCGACACTGGGCACTAGCTGGGCTCTAACAGTCCAAAGTCTAGGGCTGGGGGATAAACCAAAAATTTACCAAAACTGAAATTTACGACACTAACCAACTTCACTTTCAAGGTGAAATCAGGAAAAAGTCACTTTTGTTTCACCAGCCGTGCAGACATGAAACACTTTTGGACTAATTTTCACTTCTGTGAAAGTAAAGCTTTTAATCTTTTTAATTCATTAATCCGAGAAGCAAAGTAGGCGATGGATCGCCATCAAGACAGACTGTAATGAAAGGGTTATTTTACAACATACAGGCTGGAACTAAACAACTCAAAACAGAAATCATCAATACAAAAAAAGCATGAATTAGGGCTGGGCGAGAAACCGAAAATTTACTGATACCGAAATTTACATCATTTTGCCTGTATAGGTTTTTTCTTATGTCAAAAAACAAATAAATCAAAGTTGGTTTTGGATGTGTGTAGGTAGGCTATGGTCTCATGTCCCTTTGAGATGCTGTCCTACGTCAGAGACGTGACTCCACCCCATCCAGTCCGTAACAAAGAGGGAAAGACAGGTGAGGAGATTCAAAAGTTGTAGCGGCTGAAGTAGACAAAGTAATTGTGGGAGGGGGTGATCAGCTTGTGGAGTAGTTATTGTCTTTTTGTTGTTATCAAGGTGAACTGCTCAATATATCGTGATATTGATTTGAGGCCATATCGCCCAGCCCTTGTCAAGTCTGTGACATGGTTTAGCTAATCTGGTTGAATTTGACCTAAGCACTCTTTCTAATTTCAGCGTTTTACTTTACCATCAGGAAGTCCATTCATTTGCACTGTTGTTAACCTGAGAGAGAGGACGGATCTAAACTCTGCTCTGTCATGGACCGGTGAAGTCCCAGATCAAACAACTCAAAGGTTTTTCTTTGAGCAGGATCGGTGCCTACAACACTCTTAGTTTTAAAGTAATCTGTGGATCTTTACGGTTGTAATGTGCTTGAATGAAATCTTTAGCTGGACTTGGATGAAAGGGAGGTAGACCGTCTAATGTCACCATTAGCTTCCATTAATTTTTAAACAGGCTGTGCGGCCCCTTACTCAGGTATTCCTGGGTGCCCTGCCTCTCTGGGATTGTTTGCAAAACTGCATCATATCTCTTGTAGCGCCTTTCTCCACCAATCCAAATCAAGGAATTTAAAAACCAACTCCCTTTTGGTTGGCTTGGATGAGACTGCTGACCCTCAATTTTGCAAAGCGCTGACTAGAATAGAAAACAGCACCAACGCCACATAAGTTGGGGTGACATGTACGGTTGCGTGGTTATATCCTATGCTCCACTGTTGGCTTGTCAATACCACTCTATTTACTTATTTGGGGTTATCGTGACAACCATAGTTATTAACAATAGCTGCTCAAAGAAACAAAGAATTAGAGCATATGTTCTTGGTTTTGTTGGTGTTTTATGAAGCATATTTCAGCATTAATGTGATCCAAACTGCTTTAAGACAAGACCAGTTTAAATCATAACCTTAAAAAAAGAGAAAATATCCTCAGCGGTGTTCCATTTTGTTATTGAGGACGATAAAAAATGTAGGAAATGAAGGTTTTTAAAATTTTAAATGTGTTTTGATTCATCATGTTCGTGCTGCAGCACCATCAGAAGAACAGATCAGCCCCGTAATGATGCAAACAGACTCACTAATTTGAAATAAACAAGCTGACATCACAGACACGGAGCATTAACTTTTAACCTTTCGGTTCAGAGGGGCGTCCAATGTTTGCCATGTGTTTTTGCTTTTATTGCATAACCTGATTACCAAAGATAATACTTTCACAGAAATAATCCAGAACATGAAAAGCACATTAGGTTTATATTTAAAACATTACATAAATCTTTATTCTTATTATTATTATATGTGTTTTGATTCGCGGCTCTTTTTTCTTCTGTTTATTTGTGTGTATTGTTGTGTCTTGTGCCAAAACCTGTTAGGGCTTCAGTTTAATTGGGTGCAGCGAGAAAAAGGCGGCCCAAATGTCAAACTTGTTGACTGAGTCGGAGGATTATTGAGCTGACCTTCTGATCTCGGAGGGACATCCTCTTACAGAACGCTTTTAATTAAATCAGAGAAAGATGTTAATTTAAGAAAGTGCAGCCGAGGCCTTTGAAGCGTTCCGCCCGTGGGGCTTTGGGGAACAGAACGAGCTGGATTAACGGTTCGCTAAGACACACACTGCTCAACAGGGCATCACAATCCTTTGTTCTCCACCTGTCTGCCAAAATCTTAATTTATTACTTTGGCGTTTATTGCGATGGTTGTTACGCTGTGGAGACTCCTGAGAGTGTAGCCATGATGATAGTTAGGAGACGGAGCGATCCAGCGATATCCACGTCCAACAAAAGCAGAATCATTTACACTTTATAGTAGTCAGGTGGAGTAAAGGAAATCTAAAGACGTCCTCTCAAGCCTGTTTATTATTTTGCCATGATCATCAATCTAAAGGTAGTATAGTCACCTAACAACAGAAATGGCGCTATTTCATTAAAAGATGACGTTTATCAATGAAAAGCTGCCGGTCTCACGAAGCTAGTGGATTTTGCAGTTTTAGGCAGGTCCTGATTGGGGATGGGGATTGATAATTGGGTCCATCAAACATCTGATGAAGCATCTTTTGAAACCTGAAAATCATCATGTCTGAGCTTATCGAGTCTGCTCTCAGATCTCGAGGGTCCTGTGAAGTTCATAAAAAGTGCACAGACATTACATCGGGAGGTGTTCAAGGTTGGGTCAGTAAAACAAGAATCAGGCGAAAGTAGAAAACGGTTTTTGGTGAATCTCCTGATGGGTTCTTAGTTTATGCTTATTCTTTTTTGCTTCTCTCCGCCAACAAATCTGTTAAGGGTTTACATGGGCCTCCCCTGGAGAAGACCATTTGGATAACAAATATAAGCACCAGATGGATCCCGAGTGGGGTATCTTCTACCCACATTGCCAGTGTTTGGAACCCACTGAAGGCCCTTCTTCGGTCTATCTTGGATAACCCATGTGGGGATCCCATGGAGACTGAGGCCAAAACTGGCGAGGCACCAATTGGGTATCCCACACCATATGGTTGTGCATGATGGGCCAGAGGGGTTGTTTTCCAAGCAAAACAAAGCGGCTTGAACAGGATTGGTCGATTGTTGATCCAAACAGCATGCCTCCAATAACAGAGTCTTCATCGTGTGCAGATCTCAGCTGGAAGAGGTTTTCTTCTCAGTGACTTGGGAGCAATTAGAGCTGAGCCTACACATTAATGGTTTTACCGCTGACATGGTCATTTCAGGGAACTCTTGGGTGGTCTTAAATATCTGTCTTGCTGTTCATAATCAGGTGGGTGGAAACAGATCATACAGACAAGTGTTGTTTCACTCCATTTATTCAGATGAGTTGGGAAGCTTTCGACACTGATCAGAAACTGTTTGCAGCATCAGATCAAGAACAGGATGGAGTAGGGCTGGGCAATATGGTCTTAAATCAGTATCACGATATATTGAGCAGTACGATAAATGGACGATAACTACTCCACAAGCTGCTCACCCCCTCCCACATTAACTCTGTCTACTTCAGCCGCTACAACTTTTGAACCGTCCTCCATCTCCTCACCTGTCTTTCCCTCTTTGTTATGGACTGGATGGGGTGGAGTCACGTCTCTGACGTAGGACAGCGTCTTAAAGGAACATGAGACCAAAGCCTATTTTTTATGACTCAGAATATACCAATATGGGCAAAAAGACGTTGGCTATTGTCATAAATTTTGGTATCGGTAAATTTTCAATTTATCGCCCAGCCCTAGGATGGAGATTCTAATGGATCTATGATGTATTTAAGCAAATAGGGCCATTAACGACAAGATTGCCTCTCCACAGTGAAGATTAGCTGATCAATCATGGCGATATCACCGTTAGCCTTCCCAATGAAAAATACATTTAACAGAAAATCAGATCTAAAACAGTCACTGGCTAATGTTTTATATAAATTCAGTTTGGATGTTTTTCAATTTAATAAAATCAGAAACAGATTTTCAGACTTCTCAACATTGTAGGAATCAAGAATTGTGATTCTGACTTAATCAGATTTGTCCCATCACCCCCGATCAATCAATTGGCTAAGAGTCGGTAATCTTATAAAGTTACATAAGACAAAGTGTTTAATCCTAGAACTTGATCAAATCATTATTTCACTCGCAGGTTTAATGATTGAAGGGAAATTCAGCTGGCGGCACAGATAATCAGCTGAGGTGTGTGTACTTCTCTGTGAGTTGTAACACGTTGTACATGTAGGACATAATCACAGTCGGGATATCCGGGTTAATCCCTTCGTCCGACCACCTGCAGGTTTGATGGCGTCTCTGTAATGTCAGCGCCCTCTGACCTTTATCTCACGGCGCTCTGTCGTGCTGTTTCTTTTTAATGTGACTCTCTGTTTGTGATTTTATTCCTGATACTGCCCCGGTCTTTTATTCTCATCATCCACACTCCTCTTTACTCCAGTTCTCTCTGCACACCACTTCACTTCCTATCCAGCCATCCTATCGCCCTACCGATCACCCTCTTGTACTGGATGCCCCCCCTCCTCATTGAAAGACGCCCCCGGCTGCGTCCTAGTTACCCCCCCTACTGAGATAAAGAGCTAATTGGAAATCCCTCTACTAATTAACCTTCTCCAGGCTGAATGGTATTTATATCCTCTGCTTTTTGATGGAGCGATAGAAAAGAAGGGATAGGAGGGGGAGATGGAGAGGGAAGGAGGAAGAGGAGGAGGAGGAAGAGGAGGAGGGAAAGGGGGCGAGAGAGCTGAGAAATGAATGTGAGCAAGTGGGTGGAATATAATGGATGTTGGTGGAAGGTGGGTACAAGTAAGTGAGAGAGGAGAGCGAGGGAGAGATGCCAGTGTGAAAGAATGAAGCAGCTGGAGCGTTTCAGCAAACCGTCAGGAATCCTTGTTCATTTCTGCTGTGACAGAACAAATATCACCGTCAGTACACGAGAGCAGCGCTGCCAAGACTGTCAGTCTGCTCGGTAAATGAGCAGTTAGAAGTTAGCAAGGGACAATTCAGACTGGGGGCTCTTCAGTCCATGCAAAGTGAACCGTTGCACCGTATAATCAGGGCAAACATACAATTCAGAGTTTTCTGCAGGGAGATGGATTTGTGTTTGAAATAGAGGGAAAATAAAGTTTGTCACTGTGTTGCATTTTGAGGGTTCATTAGAATTGTCTGAATGAACTGCAAGCTAAAATTTCACAGTTTAAGATGTATCTCATGCACTACTTTGGATATGCATATGGATACAGGCCGGACTAGGGCTGGGTGATAAAACAAAAAGTTACCTATACCGAAATTTACAACAATAACCGACATCATGTTGCTCATGTCAGTATATTCGATGTCAAAATAAATAAATAAATCTAAGTTGGTTTTGGATGTGTGTAGGTAGGCTATGGTCTCATGTCCCTTTGAGACGCTGTCCTAAGTCAGAGATGTGACTCCGCCCCATCAAGTCGATAACAAAGACGGAAAGACAGGTGAGGAGATGGAAGACGGTTCAAAAGTTGTGGTGGCTGAAGTAGACGAAGTTAATGTGGGAGGGGGTGAACAGATTGTGGAGTAGTTATCGAGGTGAACTGATCAATATATCATGAGATTAATTTTAGGGATATCGCCCAGCCCTAACCTGGACCTTGTAAGCTAGTGAGTTGGTTGCATCTTGAGATCAGATAATCAGCCAACCAGGTGATGATCAGTGTCTCAGTTGTCTACCATATCAGTAAAGTACAGAGTCATGCTTCGGGTTAGCGGAGCTCGCAGGTTTCTCCACCCTCACAGATAAAACCCCCCTGTGGAAACGGCTCGGACCCTGCCACACTCACTACCCAGCAACAGATAAAGATCTCAGTTAATTAAAGGTAAAGATAATCAAATGTAAACAAGAGTAAACCTTATGCATAGACATGTACATGGCAATCGGTCTCCTATTACTGTATCTATAAACTACCTACTTATCAATACTTAATGTCAGCTGTAGGTCTGAACTGGAGCCGGATATCCAGTTCAGATCGAGATACGGAAAAAGGTCCAGTTGTAATTTTGACAAGAAAACTTTGCAGGTTGAAATTTAAACTTTTCTCAAGTATAATAAAAAACTTAACCTTTTGTAGAATTGAGTATTTTCTCTTGTTGACATTGAAACCTATCATTCAGAGTTCCTCTAATGTTGTGCTCAGATATTGACTTTATGCTCGGTTGTATCTCTTTGTATAAGACTGAACTGTGAGGATGTGCACAAAGGAGAACATAATGAAACATAAGAGGAGCAAGAGTGACAGTGAGTCAGCCAGCCAGTCAGTCAATCAGTCAGTGAAACAGTGTCTCGCAGGCAGCAGAAGGTACAGTAATATATATGAGGAGAGGGAGAGGGGGAGGCGGGATGGAGGAGTGAAAGATCTCAGGAGAGTAGGAGTCGAGAGGGGAGAAAGGGAATCGTTTCAGGTTTCCATCATTTGCCGTGCCACCTTTCGCTTGTCACCCCCCTCCTCACAGGAGCTGGTGGGGGTCGGAGGAGGGTAAGGTTACCTGGCTGTCGTCCCCTGCTGTCTCCGCTGGCTTTCTTTTCTGGTTACACTCACTCTGGTCCAAGAGCAGCTCCGTCAAAGCTGCTGCACGAGGAACAGACAAACAAGCTTTCCTTTACTTTCTTCGAGTTAACTTTTCTTTGAATCATTAAATCGATAAATCTCTGAAGTTTCCAACAAAAATGTGTTTTAATTTCTGTAAAATCATCGACGCTGAGCCAACTGAGAAGACAAGAACGGGGCTGTCGATGCAGTTCGATCAATTAATCATGTACCTTTTGATGCTGTCGGGAGCCGCTAATTATCACACTTTGCTAATGCATCTTAATATTAAATAATAATAAGAGAGTGGGCGCCGGACCATGATTCATTAGCAGACATAGCTGGATGAGTCAGGATTTTATTTATCATTACAGTAAATACGTTCAATGTGATTGATAGGGATGGTGACAGGAACAGAAAAACGTCCGATGTGTCAGGAACAGGCTGCAACAGCAGAGATAGGAACACAGCTCCAGGCTCTGCTGTAGGCACATAGGCTACATCAATCTTTCATAAATACCAGTGAGCTGCTGGCAAAGCTGGTTAGCCAAAGTGTCTCAGTGGGTCAGGCCTGGTGGCAGGAATTGGTGGGGCCTGGCTCGTATTGAGAGAATATCTCAGGGTTGTAAAGGTCTGCGCCGCCTGCTGTAAGTCGCAGCTCCGCACGCCAATATCAAGGTCTAAGACAAAAGCAGCTGAGAAGCTTTTGACTGCAGACAAGCTCGCTGAGGTCTCCGTGGCTAAAACACAGTCTGTCGACTTTATTGGATTGCAAAGCAGCCCCGACAGATGGTCCGGTAAGGCGGTACTTCTAGCCAGGCAATCTGGTGATATATTTTCAAAACATGAAAGACTGGGTCATAGAATATTACTTTTAGCAGAAAGCTTTGGCCCTCACACTCTTAACTTTTAACTCAAAGAACAAGGAAACACAGACATCAAACCTGTAATCCTCTCATTGTCAAAGCCAGCCTAATACTTGACCCAGAAATGAGGGAGACTGGGTGTCTCGTACTTTGTTTGGGGATCAGTTTTGAAGATCATTGATAAGCTGGTCTGAGACATCTCTGAGTCTGACCACAGGACCAAGAGGAAATGTTCGACTTCTATAAATCTCCTTTTGTTTGTTTTCTATCATCTCAATTTCAGTTTAAAACCCACGGCCCCAGCTTCACTCGCCTCCATGCGCCCTGGCCTGTACTGTGTCGAGAGGCGGAGTTTCTCAAGATTAAAGTCCCCACGAAGACGGTGAGACTGTGTTGATCATGATGATAGTGATTTACACCAATTATATTGAGTGTTTTAAAGTTTATTATTTCAGGACTGAGTAGAGAGTAGAATAATTTAATTTAATGATGTGCGTTTTTCAGAGTTATGAACTCAAAGAGGAAAAGGGTTTCGGGTCCAGTATGCTCAAAGTGTGGAAGAAACTGAAGCAGCCCTTCCAGCCCAAAGTACCTCATCAGGAACACGAACGCAACAAAGTCCTCTCACACTGCTTCTCCAGGGACAAACTCCATCTGTGAGACCTACAACCACACAAACACACATTAAATGCATTCATTTACTTTGAGACACAAGATGAGTTACATACATTACAATACATTTAAGGTCGTACAATGTAACATTATATATGGTTATGTAACACCTTGTAATGTGACACATAGGATATATCACATTGAAATGTAGCATAACATGACAAATTGTAACAACACGTTTTGCAATGTAACACAACATGCTATCCTAACATATTGTGACACATACAGTATAATAATGTTACATAATTCAACCTGAAATTTAAACGTCATGCTTTTTAATGCTCTGTAATGGTTTGTAATGTATCAAAACGTAACATAAAAATTCATAACAGTTCCAAACAGAATGGAACAGTTTGTAACATAATGTAATGGTTCGTAAAGCATAATAGTTCCTAACATTCCGCTGCGCAAGGCATCTCAGTGCTACAACATGTTACTTTATATTTCTTCATGTTATGTTACATTTCGTCACTGTACGGTACGACATCTTATGTGACGCAACATACAGTCGACGTTCTGTAACTTTTCTCCGCAAAACAAAGTACGAGGTTATTTCGTTGTAACTTCAAATAGACTTCTTTAATGTTTCTTTATATTACAAGTCAACACTCAAGAGCAAAGTAGCGTAAAACAGGGTAATTATTAAGGGTATGATTAGGTTATGATTTCAGATCAGATCATAATTTTTTATTCAGTCATAAAAAATAAGACACTTTCTTTTCCTGCAGGTACAACATCACATCCAAAGACACTTTCTTTGACAACGCCACACGGGGCCGAATAGTAAGTTTTCATTAAAATTCAAACCCTTGTTTTGTTGTTTACGCCTCAGTCCCTGGATTTCCATGGATCACCAGTCTCATATTTTGTCATTTTTCTCAGGTGTATGAGATCCTGAGAAGGACGGTGTGTGCACGAACCTGCCAAACCATAGGTAAGGAAACCAGCAGAGCACTGTGTGTCTGATAGTGAATCACTGAGAGCGAGGGGTTTTTCCATTACGGGACACATCTTTACTTGGTCAGTGATGAAATGAAGATCAGGTGGACCTATTCTTGCTGCAGGCGTACAAATGTCAAACATGGTGTAAAAATAATTGATGACTTTATCCATTTTGGTCAGAGGGCATCAGGAATGACACCAACACAATCTGACATACCCCCCCAGCTCTTTCTACTTTCACCATCCAGAGTTACGATGTGCCTTATGGGATTGAAACATGAGAGTCATTGCTAAGAGGTTACTTAATCGTAACTTGAGACGTTTTTGAATGCTAATACTGAAATAAAACCTTGGTCTGCTTCACTGCAGTATAAAAACAATAACTTTTCAAGTGTTTGCAGCAGTTATATGATGATGCAGGTAAACTCAAATATCGTCCTCCTTTAGTTTGAAGTGTTTTTATTTTGTGCAGCCTTGAATCTTATCAAAGATTTTATGAGATGAGAAAAAAAGCTGCTACACTGAAGAAGTTGTGTAACGTCTTTGGCTGAACATAAGAGGGTAAAGTCAGCTGTCAGATGAATTTCAAGATCATGCTGAAAGTCTCAAATCTGTCTGGACTGTTTGGTAAGCCTCAGGTGAACGGGTGGGTGTAACTGATATGCCTGAGGGATGTCGTCGTTGTGAAAGCCATTTTTTGGCGGAGTGACAGGACAGCAGGGACCGATTTTCCTCCTAATACCTGCTTTGGACGGATCTCTGAAATTTCAGATTAGCAAATTCTGCATGCAGTGCACGACTAAGAATCATGAAAACACATTTTTACAGCAGATTAATTTGTGTGAGTTTGGACAAAGGGTCTTATATTGTTTGCAACAGTTTAGAATTACATGTCTGACTAGGGCTGGGCGATATGGCCTCAAATCAATAATGGATGGACTTCCTGATGGTACAGTAAAGTCCTAAAAACTAGGAAGAGTGCTTAGGTCAAGTCCAACCAGATTAGCTAAACCATGTTACAGACTTGACTAGGGCTGGGCGATATGGCCTCAAATCAATATCACGATATATTGATCAGTTCACCTCGATAATGATAAAAGGACGATAACTATTCCACAAGCTGCTCACCCCCTCCCACAACTTTTGAACCGTCCTCCATCTCCTCACCTGTCTTTCCCTCGGGTGGAGTCACGTCTCTGATGTAGGACAGCGTCTTAAAGGCGCATGAGACCATAGCCTACCTACACACATCCAAAACCAACTTTTAATCATTTTTTTTTTTTTACACCAAAAACACCGATATGGGCAAAATGACGTCGGTTACTGTCATAAATTTCAGTATCTGTAAATTTTCAGTTTATCGCCCAGCCCTAGGTACTGTGTATAAACTAGCATTGCAAAGGTAAGCTCTGGTTCATTGGGGCTTTTTCTGTACAAGTTAAGAATACTGAAGGACAGCGATGAATTAAAGTTCATTCAGAGGTAAAACACTGCAGGAAAAGTACGTCCAAAACGTGACAAAGGTTGTTAAAATGCAATATTTATTTTTTGACGCAAAGTATACCAATATATGATGATACGTCGGTTATTGTAGTAAATTTCGGCATCGGTAAATTTTCGGTTTATCACCCAGCCCTACGTCTAACAGTAGTTAGTGAAACAAAGGAGTTCAGTGATTGAATAATTGGATAAGTCCAGCATCAATTTGTTTGGGATTCATCTTGTCTCGCCATATTGTGACTAGAAAATGACTCTACAGGAAAAATCAGCAACATTTACCACAGCAGAGGTAACTCCTTTTTTGGACAGGGCTGTCAACTTTATAAAACTTTTGATTCTGTCTCTGAAACATTCACATCACTTCCCCTCTTGGGATTGCAGCCCACTTCCATCAGTTATTCGCTCTTACCTCGGTACATCGGTAGAGCTTTAATGACATGCAGATAACAGCGACACCCGTTTCATTTCCAGTGTCCTCCATATGTCTCATTGGCGCCCTGATCACAGCAGAAGGCCTCAGCTAGCGGGTAGTGATGAAGCTGCAGGGGATGAGAGAGACAGAAAATAGACCTGCATCTATTTAACCTCTATTTTCTCTCTCTCTCTCTCTCTCTCTTCTCGTATTTTCTGTTTATATTCTCTCTCTTTCTCTCCCACACACACACACACACACACACACACACACACACATGCACACGGCCCACTCCCCGCTGCCCTCCTCCATCTCCTCTACAAGTGGGTCATACGTCTTGGGTCAGGCTGAGATTGAAGTAGGGGCCTCTGGGATTTGTGGTTTTCTCCCGCTGGTTAAAGGGAGAATTCACGGGTTTGAATTCCATGAGCTCGGTCTGGTACGACGAGTCGATGCATGGATCCTGGGACAAGTAATAAGTCGATTGATCGCTTTGAAAAGTGAGCTTCAAAAGTGACGACGCCTCCTTTATGGATTTCGGTTTAGATCAGTTTCGTATCATCAATTTGCCGTTCCTGTTAAAAGCACTTTCGCTCTCTGGGTTATAATCTGCATGAGTAGTCGTTCTTTTTTTGCCTCCACCCGTCTCTTTCTTTCTGCGCCTCCCTCTCTTAACATTGCGAGTGAACATTTTGAATGACAAAGCAGGAGAAAAGCACACCGAGGCACTTCTGAAACGCTCCCTCATGGTTGTCTTGTGACTCCTCTCTCTCTCTCTCTCTCTGTCTTTTCTTTTTTTCTCTCCCTCTCTTCCAGGCATCAGCACATTGATAGCTAAAGGCGTGTACGATGCTGCCTTCCCTCTTCATGATGTAAGTTGGAGAGCTGCCACTGGTGGGACTTTTTTTCTACTACGTTCAGATTGTGGAAAATGAAACTGTGTTAGAAGTCAGAGCTGGAAATAATTGGACATTTTTATTTTGATGATTTGAAACTGATTTAAAATACGTTGGAAGCACAAAACGGCTTCTGCAGGTACTTTTAATCATTGTTGAAAGTCGATTACTGCACAGATTTCCATTCACGCCTCATTTTCTCTCTCTCCTTGCTCTGCAGGGTGACTATAAGGTCATCGGACACATTGAGGAGAAGAGTGACAGACAAGTAGGTCTCCCTCTCTTACCTTAATCCCTTCACCTCTCGCTCCTCGCCTTAATTTGTCTACAAAGTGTTCACAAACGCAGACGCTGTCCCAGTACCCTGGAGTGACCTCTGTAAAGGGACACCGGGCTTTACACAGAGCTGAGCGAGAAAACAGCTTCACATATTTGTTATTTAAAATGATTCGAACTTCAACTCCCCTGTGGTTGATTACTTTCTAAAGCGGTGTCAGGATTCATGTCTATCATTTTTACCACAGTGATTGATGGTCAGGATGTAGAAATTGTAGAGTCCGACAGGTATTTAGGAACCATAATAGACAACAAAAGTCCAGTTCGGCAGGCGGAGGATCGCGTCGCTGCTTTTTGCGGATGATGTGGTCCGAGGCCATGGTCCTCAGTCCTCAATTGGAAAAAGGTAGATTGCTTTCTCCAGGTCTGAGGGGTGGTCCTGCCTCAAGCGGAGGAGTTAAAGTGTCTCAGGATCTTGTTCACGAGTGAGGGTAGGATGGAACGGGAGATCGACAGGGAGATCGGAGCGGCGTTAGCAGTGATGCGGACGCTTAACCGATCAGTCGTGGTGAGGAAAGAGCTGAGCTGTAAGGCGAGACTCGATTTACCGGTCGATCTACGTGCCGACCCTCACCTATGGTCATGAACTTTGGGTAATGACCGAAAGAACAAGATCACGGATACAAGCGGCTGAAATGGGTTTACTTCGCAGGGTAAGGAGCTCGGACACTCGGGAGGCGCTCAGAGTAGAACCGCTGCTCCTCCACGTCGAGAGGAGTCAGCTGAAGTGGCTCGGGCCGCTGGTTAGGATACCTTCTGGACGCCTCCTGTTAGAGGTGTTCCAGACATGTCCCACCAGGAGGAGACCTCGTGGCCGGCCCAGGACCAGGTAGAGGGATTATATCTCTCTTCTGGCCTGGGAACACCTAGGAATCTCCTCTGTGGAAGTGGTGGAAGTGGCCGGGGTGAGGGCGGTCTGGGCTTCCCTCCTGAAGCTGCTGCCCCCGCGATCCGGATGAAGTGGAAGAAAAACACAATTTACAAGAAAAGCCGGCAGCGTCTGTTCTGTCTTAGAAAACTCTGATCTGATCTGTAAAACAAACAGCTGTACAAGAAAGAAAAATCCGTCCTGTCTGACTGTTCCCATCCTCTTCATGATCGGTTTCAGTTTCTTCCATCTGGTTCATTGATCAGAGCTCCTCTTGCTAAAACAAACAGATACAAACATTCCTTCATACCTTCTGCCGTCTCTCTTCTCAGTTCATGGAGGAAAAAGTAGCTGTTTGTGGTGTTTTGAAGTTTTTTAGTCATGCTTTTCTTGATTTTGATTATTGTGCTCAAGTGTTTTTTATACTCCCTTTGTTGCACAACCAATTGACAAATAAAGTTATTGATTGATTGATCGACTTCATACTAGAGTCATTCAAAACAGTTTCATGATTTTCAGTCTTTATCCATGTCCATAAAATACTCCTACTGGAACTTTACACCGTCTCCAACATTTTCTTTCTTCTTTGTTGTGAAAAAAAGGAACAAACGCTCTCACATGAGCACAACAAAGTTCAGTGTTTTTTCAGCATTCTGTATAAAAACACGACCGTCACGTCAAAGTCTAGACACTTAAACTGCGAACAAACAGAAAGCGAAGAAGCCGCCGCTCTCCCGGACAATGGTTTCCTCTGTCGGTCTTCCCTGAGTTTGTTCCTTCCTCCCATCTGTCGAACACCATCACAGATTGGAGTTTAAGTTAAACAAATATCTCTCAGAGCTGCACAGAAAAAGAAAAAGAAAAAACATAGACGGGCTCGAAATTCAAAGATTAGAGCGAAACCGAATCTGCTCTGAATATAAATGAAAAATATACATATCATCTTTTCTGTCTGAACATGATCATTACGTCACAGTCTGTGAGACGAGGTTACACACTGCAGCGGGATGACTATCTTTAGAAATAAGAGCACAGGAGCTTTATAATACCCATTTGATCCTTTTCTCTTGGCTTAAGAGTGATATCGCTCAAACTGCAGGTCTTTAGCTTCATCCACCGAGGTTTAACTCCACCAATCCGATCATTCGGCCTCCAGGTCAGCTCAGCCTCGGAGGGTTGTTGTTGTTTATTGTTGTGTTTGTGTTTAAATACCCACAGTGACTCTGAGAGTCTCTTTCCTGTTTGTTTTCAGGTCCTGCATGAAGAGTGGGCCAGATACTCTGCCTTTTACAAGTACCAGCCCATCGATCTCGTCAGGTAACTTCCTGTTTCACCGACAACGGCCTCTTAACTCTGCTCTTAATATCTATAAGTGGACAAATACGTGTGTTTCTTACATGCATCTCTGGGTGTTTGAAAATGAAGAGACTCTGTAGTGGAATTCACCGCAGTTTGCCGCTGTGTCCACTAGGAATGGGCATTTTAAAAAAGTTCCTTGGTTGACTTATCATATAAATTAACGACCAATCATCGATTTGATCGTTATTTTTAGGCGAATGGCAGAAAATACCCAAAAAACATGTTTCTCTTTATTAGAAAACCCCCCAACTGTTTTTTCAGCACGGCACGCTACATGCTCCCTCATACTTCCTACCTGCCCGGCTACCGTGATAACCGTTGTTTTTTTCTCATTGATGAAACGCTAAAATCAGGGACATTTTCGGGGACAACTTTATTCAGGGACAGGTCATCCAAAACAGGGACTGTCCCCTGAGATCTAGTGTTGTGTCGTTCGTGAACGATTCGTTTAAAAGAACTGAATCTTTTAAGTGAACGTACTGAACAGAATCACTTCCTCAAGTGATTCGTTCGTTTCTCACTTCGGTTGAGCTGTCAGCAGCGCAGCTGGTAAAGCACGCAGCATTGCCAGGCAAGTAGCCAGGGAACAAGGGACCACATGCACCGACGCCTGAATCACTTGGTAAACAAATCACGCATTGAACTGCACTGTCTGGAATCATATTTTTCAGGCAAAACTAACTTTGCCACCACAACAACTTGCATGCAATAGGACACAGCATGTAACAAGTAGTGCATTAAACCCGCAGCGTCCTATCATTGCAGCGGTTTGCGAGGCAACAGTGGATGTTCAGTTTGAATTCTTCTAAACATTCAGTGAATGAATCACTCACACTCTTGTCTCCTGGTCCCAGAAACTATGACTTGAACTGAATCCTGAGCCGTTCAGCTGTGAATCAGTTCAGGAGGTCAGAGTCGCAGACTTCTCCTGCCAAGCACTGAATGATTTGGTGATTCGGTGAACGAATCTTTTGAACGAATCTTTTTAGTGAACTGATTCTAGTGAGATTGGGGACGTCTGGTCAGCCCGCAGATCCTCTTTTCTATCGTGGAGCTGATAGTTGGTTGAGACTGAGAGCACTTGGAGGATTCATTAACCTCAGTCGGATGTACATGATTCAAGTGGTGAATCATTGGCATTGTTGTCATGTTGTACTTGTACACAAAACTGCAAACTTAATTATTTTTCCGCTTGAAATGATCCCACACCACACTTGACGCTGACGCTGTTTCACTACCCTTGTAAAATGTCAAAATCCGTCACATCGCGATAGTCACTGCGTTGCTTTAACACACACACACACTCACACACTGACTGGACAAAGGGGGTATCCCTCCTGATCAGCAGATGTTGATCTTAGCTGGAAAGCTGTCTGCCCTTTTTTAATAATGCTAGATCGAATTTTGCGTGATTGTTGTAATTCTTAACAATCAATCAATCGATCATTGATTATGCCCATTCCCAGTATCCACACATGCAGGTGAAATCTCCTCCATGTCAAGACAAAACTACGTATAAACCAGATCTAGAAAGAACAGTGACTTCTCAGTTATTACTGTGCAGTAATTAGATTTAGATATCTAAAAATGATTAATAATTTTCTAATAAAACATGAACAGGTTATTTTAAATGGATCTTCGATGTGGAGTGTTTGCAGGGTAAAGGTTCTGACCACGGTCTGTGAGTCTGCACAGAGCAGGCTTACTGTGAACACGGTCCAGAAACAGGGAGAGGTTTTTAAAGCTCAGCCTGATGAATGAGATCCTTAATTAAACATTGAACACCTCCTCTGTTCCATCTAAGCCTGTTATTTTTAACCCCGCATTAGGACTTTCACCTGTGCTGCGAACAGTCTGCTCTGCCAGAACCATGAACCTCACCTCACTGACACTTTCGCCGTCTAATCCCTGACCTCTGACCCCACAGGAAGTACTTTGGGGAGAAGATCGGTCTGTACTTCGCATGGCTCGGCGTTTACACACAGCTGCTGATACCGGCCTCCATCGTGGGAATCATTGTGTTTGGATACGGAGTGGCAACAGTGGACACCAACATTCCCAGGTACTAGAATTCATGTAATCAATCAGGGCGGTTCCTCTTCTTCAGAAACGTCACAAAGAAGACGCTTTTAAAAACATTTTGTTGGGTTGGGAAGAAAAAATAATGCAGGTACTTCATCAGCTCTTGCATTTGTTTACTGTGCAAGATATCCTTGCAGGTAGTTGTGATTTCACCCACTGAGTCTGATAATAAATCACAGAATGGATGTGCAAAAATTGAGCACAGAGCTACTTCAGGCAGACCACAAAGTCTAGCTCAACCCACGGTGCATCAGCTGAGCTTCTGCCTTCTTTTGCTGCTTCTGCTTTGCAACCCACCTCTACCCCATCAAATACAACCTCAATGATGTCTGCTCGGTCTTTGCTGCAGGATTTGCATGGCGAATGTGTTCCTGGCTGAGTTTAAACTTTACGTAGCAGAACTGAGATTCATTCTAGGGCTGGGCGATATGGCCTCAAATCAATATCACGACATATTGAGCAGTTCACGTCAGTGATAACTACTCCACAAGCTGCTCACCTCCTCCCACTTTAACTTCGTCTACTTCAGCCGCTACAACTTTCTCACCGTCCTCCATCTCCTCACCTGTCTTTCCCTCTTTGTTACCGACTGGATGGGGTGGAGTCACATCTCTGATGTAGGACAGCGTCTTAAAGAGACATGAGACCATGGCCTACCTACACACATCCAAAACAAACTTTTATTCATTTATTATTTTGACACAAAATGACGTCGGTTATTGTCGTAAATTTTCAGTTTATTGCCCAGCCCTATTTCATGCTTGTTATTTTTATTTTTTGTAGTGATGATTTCTGTTTTGAGTTGTTCAGTTTTAGCCTTTTTGTTGCAAATTCTCCCTTTCATCACAGTCTGTCTTGAAGGCGATCCATTAGATACTTTGCATCTTGGGATAACTTGAGATATCAGGATTATTTCGTCCTCTTTTTGTGATTTGAATTTATGCACACACAACTTGGTTCACAGTAGACAGGGATTGCCCTGATACCTGCTGTATCCTGCTTTAGTCAGGGGTGTGTGGGAGGAACACAGAAGGTTTGGCTGGCAGTGTGTGTGAGTGTGTGTGTGTGTGTGTGAGTGTGAGTGTGTCACGAGGCAAAAGGTTGATAATTCAGCCTACACTGGCTAAGAATAAGGTCAGAGCAGAGTAGCTCCTCGTGTGGGTATGTGTTAAGTCTTCCATTCACTCCTGATATTTTGCGAGGACCAAATCCAGAAACAGAAAACATAGATCTTCTGTTTATTTATTCCTTCTTAACTTTAAAAGCGTCCTCTGAAGCCCCACTGTGTTCAAGAGCTCTGCGACTGACGTCCTGATTTCCTCCCCCTCAGTCAGGAGATGTGTGACGAGAGTCTAAATTTCACCATGTGTCCTCTGTGTGACGGAGCCTGCGACTTCTGGCACCTCAGCACCGCCTGCGGCACCGCCAGAGCATCACATCTCTTTGACAACCCCGCCACCGTCTTCTTCGCCATCTTCATGTCTCTGTGGGGTGAGGCTACAAGTGTGTGTGTGCGTGTGTGCACGCGTGTGTGTGTGTGTGGATGTGCTTAGAAACTTGCGAAAGAGATGGCCTTAATCCAAAGTTGCTCTTTGAAATCTTCTACCTACTTCACTGCGCTGGCCAAGTCTTTATGAGGACGACAGGCTGCAGGAACATGTGCTAAATAAATAAGTAGAGTATTCAGTCCTGGATAAAGCCACATAAGTGGACCAGGTGACCTCCTGTTGTTAATATTACAGCACATCTGTCTGTCAGTGGAGCAGGAGATGCTGCTGATTAATAAGAATACCATCATAACTGCTGTTTTGTGTGTTTCTGTGTGCAGCCGTGCTCTTCCTGGAGCACTGGAAGAGACGCCAGATCAGTTTGAGCTTCAGCTGGGATCTGACCGGCATCGAGGACGACGAGGTAAACCTGCAGCACATAAAAAACACAAAACTGGAGTAAACTGCACAGAGCTGGAGAACTTTTGCTCAGAGTTTTTTTTTTTTTTTGCATAGTTCTTGTTGCTATTAGTGACTGCAACCCGCTCTTAGAGGACCCCCCGCTGTGAGTGTAATTCAAGAGGCACAAGTCTAAAAATGGTCGTCTCCAACAGATCCACATTCATGAAGAAAACACAGACGGGAACGTTGCTCACACGTAAAACCTACGATAGAGTATTAGAGCCACATTAAGAAAGAAAAAATTAAAACTTCGGGATTACAATTGTTAATTTACGAGAATTAAGTCCTAATAAAATCATAATGATACTTATGATAATGTGGCGCTGATGTGCCAAAAGATGAAGTATCTCCTTGTTTGAAAAAAACGATATTAAAGTACATTTTCACGAAATGCTCCATGGCTCTCATTTCAACAACCGTCATCTTAGTTTAGCCTTTTATTCTGACTTTATTCTCATAAGTAATGATTTGGTAACACTCTACAATAACTATAACTTAAAAATGGTTAAGAGATCATTTATAAATGTTAAGCAGATAATTTTTTAATGTTTAATCATCATTTATAAATAGCAATAGACCATTAATAAATTGTAAATTTTACCATTCTAAAAACCTAACCCTAACTTTACAATAACCATCTCAGTAATGTTTATAGATGGTTTAAAAACCAAATATAAATACGAATATTGGTCTAGATGCAGTTTTTAAATGATGATTAAACATTAATAAACTATTGATTTACTATTTTAAAATTATGGTTATTGTGAAGTGTTACCAATGATTTAATTGGATGTCATTCTAGTTACTAATTACTTTATAACGACCTTATTTAATCTCAATATTATGACTTTATTTACACAATTTTCTGTTTTTAATCTCGAAATTTTGACTTTCTCATTTCAACTTTTTTAGAATTCAACATTAATCTTGAAATTTTTACTTGAATCTTGATATGGAAATTATAAAAAATTTCCCTCCTGTCATTATTTTTTTCTCTTCTTGTGGCTCTAAACCTCTTTCGCAGAAACCAGGTCCTTCACACAGTCAGGGTTTGTTTATTTTCTCCTACAGGAACATCCCAGGCCGAGGTACGAGACCATCCTGCTGCAGAAGAGACAGAGGAAACAGAAACAGAAACAGAAGAAGAAGAAAAAGAAGAAGAATGAGGTTAGAAAGAAAACAAAAATCACATTTTTTATTTTACAGAAGGTCTGTCAGCTCATGAGTGTGATCACATTTCATCCTCTTAGCTGGACCTGACCGTCAATAACACGAATGGAAAGGTATTTGACAGTACAACTCACTTATTTGTCAACAGAATTTTCCCATCATGCATTCTTGGTGTCGAATGTTGACACTCTTCCACTTGGCTGCATCCTCCTAATGATTTCCCTGATAGTTTAGGGTCTAAATCGTGCAGCGGACACTGCGGTCTGATCGCCGATGATTGAAAATGATCTAGATTCTCCTCTTAAATTGGGTCAACCTCAGCGAGTCCTGTTGGCCCACATCTACTTTTTTTGCGGTGACAGATGGCGTCCTGCCTCAGCCTGAACGAAGTGGGGACCAAATCACACAATACAGGATCACCCAAACCTGATCTGAGTATAAATGTAGGAGCGTTGGATGATTGAAGTGGTAAAAATGTCGGGACGCGCCATCTGCTGGTTGTGTTATGACGTAAAGAAAACCAAAAGAAAGAATCAATCCTGCCAAATGTTCATCACAGGTGAAGTTCGTCTTCATACGGATAAAAAAAAACAAAAATAAAAAAGCGCCAAGGACAAAGTTTGATCTGAGGAGTCGTGGTCATTTAAAGCTAAGTCTGGGTTGATGGAGGATAGGTTGTTGTTTTTTCTCGCAGGTATCAGACCTCGTGAGAAGGTGGTGGACGAGCGAGTGTGTCGTGACTTGTTCGTTTATCTCCACTGATGACTCAGCTGCTGATTCACTCATTCATTTATACTCAGAGATCAGATACTGTGTTAGTATGTCAGGATTTGTGTTTTTTGTGAATGAATGAGACAATCTATATTAATGATTATGTAATTATATTATACGCACAGGAGTTTTTTGTGTCCTTTTTGTGCCTGTGTGTGTGTACGTGTGTGTGTGTTTCTTGCAGCCTGAGAAGCCGGAGGACGGGACAGTAATGGGGAAGGACAGATGGAGACAGAAACTGCTGTCGACTATGGCTGCAGGAATACCGGTAACCCTTCCCCTCCTTGCCTCCTTCTTATCCCCTCCTTTCCTCTCCCTTCTTCCTCCTTTCCTTGTCCTCTCCTGCCCCCTCTCTTCTTTTCCTGCAGGCTACAGTCTGTCTGTTCTTCTCTTCCTGTCCAGTCCTCTGGCTTCTGCAGTCTCACCTCCTCAGGTATCTCTTTGTAGTAAATCTTTCTTGATTTCTAAATCCTATACTTTATTTTGGTGTAACTTTAATTTAGGGTCAAACACACTGTAACACTGAGTTAGACACCCCATCTAGAGATGAATGTTGCCGACCACTTGCTTCTCTAGTTATACCAACTTTAGTAATGACCGCACGCTAGCAATACACAGTGGTCTACGTCTGCACGCGCACACCTCAAACAAAACGCCACAAAAAATGCTCAGAACAGCTCCTAACTTCATCAACAGGACATATAGGGTCCCAGCCATAGTACTAGCCATCAAACATCTTCTTAGCTTAATTTCTTTACAAAGAGACCAAACACAACTCACCATCTCTCTTCCAGAAGCCGCTTGTTTGTAGGGGAGCCCTGACGAGTCGATCACTGAGTGCAGCGGAGTTTCGCAGCTCAAGGAAGAACATTTATGATCATTTCTTCATGGAAATACAATCAGATGGAGACGCTAAAGCAGAAGAACTACAGCATCTGCAGTGCAAAGTGATTATTATGATGATTATTACTTCATGAAAATGATCTGCTGCACTCGGTGATCGACTCGTCAGGACTCTCCCTACAAACAAGCTGGAGGAGAGTAGGTGAGTTGTGTTTGGTCTCTTTGCCAGAGTTGGTATAACTAGAGAGGCAAGCAGTCAGTAACATTCATCTCTGGAGGTGGTGTCTAACTCAGTGTTACGGTGTGTTTGACCATAACTAAAATTAAAGTCGGAATATCCCTTTAACGTCAAAAAGTTGACTCTTAGTCCTCTTTTGAATCTCCCTCTGAGAGGACAATTAGACTTTTCTTAAGTCTGTAACAGATCCGACTTTCCCTATCAGTATCCTTTACCGTGGATGCTTATCTAAAGGAGGATTTTCTCTCTTATAAAATATTCTTTGACATTTTTGATAATTATGTAACAACAAACAACACCAGCTGATGTTAGAGGAAGAAGTGGCACTTTATTTTCACTGATTGATTTCTCACTTTTTGGAAAGAACCTGCCCCGTTGTTCTGGCCTTGTTAGGATTTAAGTTGGCTGTGAAAACATAAATTTGTTATAAAAAAAAAAAATAAAAATCATGACCATGATGAGAGAACAGAGCGTTTCTGCCTTCAGCAGCAGAATAGAAGACAAACCTGTTATTATGGACAAATACTGTCAGCGTAAATGAAAACAGAGGCTGTGTTTCTGTAAACTCCAGCAGGAGGATGATTTCTGTTCTGAAACAGATCCAAACAGGGAGTACAAAAGCCACAACTTACACAAATTTAACTTTAAAACACCGTCGGGTCGCTCCTTTTAAGGCGGGCTGGAGCTCAGTGACACATTTTAGAGTCAGTGGCTGAAGGCTGATACAAAGCAGGGATTATCTGTCTGTGTGTTCAGGATAATGTGTGAGAAAACAGACACATACACATTTATACTACTATAAGTTAAAATCCATAAAAATATTAAAGTAAATAATGGATTTTCACTCTCTGGAAATGTGGTACAGCTTTTATTACTTGGTGTAAAGACATGAATCAACTAAGTGAGTTGTAACTGCAGTTTAAGAGCCTTTAATACCTGCACGTAATGGAATTATTTATGCTTGCATGAAAATATAGCATTACTTATATGAAAATGAATGCGTCCGTTTCAAACAATGATTCCGCCACTGCCCACATACTTCCATGCATCCTTCATGTTGGCATGGATGCTAACTATTACATCCACCAGGGGGCAGGCCGGAGTCAAATGGTTCTGACAACAACGAACAAAAAGAAACATGGCGACTGTAGAGGACCGAGTGATAAAGTGTATTTTGCAGTATTGGAGGAGGCGGTGGTCGATCAGGCCACTAAATGCCTCACGGTTGGAGGACAGATAATTCTTTTATCTAGTCGATGAGAAAGCCTTGCCATTGTCTTCTTCGTTTCTCTCTAGAGATGCGTATCGGGTAGTGACAGCAGCAACACTGCCCCCACGATTTTCGGTGGTACTGCTCCGTCTGGCCTGTATACGTAGACTTCAAGGAATCGTGCAAAAATACAGATGAAGAGAAGGTGAAGCTCTGTCCATATCCGGATCCGTATGTAACATTGAGCATAAATTAATCTTTAGTTTGTCTATCTGCTGTGATCCTTGGTTAGGTTCCTGTGTTGATTTTGGCGCCCCCTGTGGACAAAGCTGCACATCTTATCGCATAGCTAACCCTGTCCTCTGCTTGTGTAAATATTGTTTTGTTCTTAGACTGCTTTTATTGTCATATCTTTTTATAAAGATGATAAACATCAGACATTTAAAGATTAATTAATGGAGCTAAATTAGAATAATGAGAGTTTAGGAGAGATAAAGAGAAAAGGACAACAAGAGACGTTCAGATAAAGAGAGGAAGACTTGGAGGAGTGGAGGGATGAAGAGAATCTGAGGGAGGGCGGCTGAGTGGGAGTCAGGCACGCTGGGCAGGAAGCCAGGGGTAAGATTAGTGAATGTCGCTATGGCGACACAGAACTCTCTCTTCCTCTTTCTCTCTCACTCTTTCTCTCCATCCTTCTCCTTCTCTCACATAAACTAGACAGATTTATTTTTTTGTTATCTGAGACGGTGAAATGTGATCATATCTAGACTGAGCAGGTAGTTATGTGAAATAGAATCACACAAATACACAATATCAGGTTAATAATCTGACTATCAACTCAAGATACTGTTGATTTGAAGGAGATTTTATTGATTAGAATATTGATTTATTGTAAAAGTAAGTCCCACAGATTCAACAGTTGGTCGGTTTCTATAGTAACAGTGTTTGGACCAGGTCAGTCAACATTTACTCTACCACATTCATCATTTTTTCTTCAGGTCTTCAATGAGGAACTGTGAGATGTGTCCAAACGTGCAAATAAAGGATGTGTTTTAACAGTTTAGTGCTTGAAAATTGGAATAGGAATTGGAATAAACACGAACTCCTGTCGTCTTTTATAATATCTGTCACCGACCTTGGCTGGTTTGCTACAGAGCAGAGCGGGGACGCTGCAGTCAGAGTTGTGTCGCTGAGACAACACCAGTCTATGAAGTGTCATCCTCGTGAATGACAGTTGACAGACCGCTGAGTACGAGACAGAGGGGTTGACAGAGTTGGATTCAGATGGATGACACATGCATGTTGTGGTTGTGTGTGTGGATAAAAATATCAGTCAGCTGTTCTCATTGTTTTCTGTTTGAGAGAGAGACAGAGAAAGAGAGACGGCGGGGGTTAACAGAGGGAGCAAGCGATAGGGGAGATGTGTGGATTGAACCAACCTCGGCCACTGTGTTTGGTTTCCCTCAGTGGAGGTAACAAGCCAAATATAACACCCGACCCATTTCTCACTCACTCCCCCTCTTTTCTTTTTAAGGATGTCCCTGACATGAAGGTCCTTTTGTCCTTCAACACGTACGTCCCTCAGGTTCATTAACATGTATGAGCGCAGGTGTGTGTGAAAAATAGAAAGTGACCTGAATAAAGAGCCCAATGGTGTCTGTCCTGAAATTGGGGCTTTGTCTGATGATACTCTGATCATACAGAGAGATGACCGGAGTCCAAGAGCCTCTCCGTCCTCCAAATGTCCTCCATATTATTGACCTCTTTGCTGCTACGGAGAGTCTGAACGCTAAAAAATCCAGTTTTTCACCATCAGAATGAACACTACTGTTGTCAATATAGGATTTCAACTCGATGCATCATTTATATGGACCTGTTTTTTTCACACACATATCACTGTTTTCATTAGAGGTAGTGGGTTGGCGGTCTAATCAAAGAGCTCATTAGATTTTTAGCTGATTGATACACAACCTTAGAGTAGGGCTGCATGATGAATACATTTTAAATCGTAATTGGGTTACTTGATTATGACGATGTTAAAAAAAAATTTAACTCATCAAATCCATTTTCCTCTCTATCATGTCTTGCGCCGCCAGGCCACCGTAGGCTCCCCCTTCCAGCAGGAGCGTTCCCCAGTTTCCATAGACACCAGTGTAAACGAACATGGCGTTAAGGTGATAATTTCTTGACTAAATAGGGCAAAAACAAGTCAGTCGTGTATTGGTATGGCTTCACAGTTTCGGATGAAGAGCAAACCACTCCCCGCTGCAAAGTCTGTCTGAAGGCGGTATTAACCCGTCCACACAGAGATTAATTCAGGAGTAACGCAAAAGTTTTTGTTGCATCGGCGTTTAATCTACATGGAAATGATATTTCAGTCGACTGTAGACAGTGCTTTTGAAAACAGGTATGGGAGTGCATAAATCAGTAGACGACTCATCTATCTGCATCTCTGGAAACGATCATGTGACACACAGCCTAACTCTTTTATGGTGCCTGCGTGTGTCCGGCCAAAAAAGAAATGTATACACATGCTCTGTACTCTTCTTCTGTCTTTTGTGCTATATGAAGTTTGGTGACGTTTTCACTGAAAAATAATTGAAAATCAAGTTTTCAGGGGAAAAAAAAACGGTTTTATTTTTGGCCAAAATCGTGCAGCCCTGTCTGAGAGAGTGATTTTCCTCTGACATGCATTTTCATATGTGGTCTAAGAAAGACCTTTGCAGGTTTTCTATTAAGTCTCATGCAAAATACATTTTCAATTCAGATGTAGGGAACAATGGCAACCTTTTGAGGGGAAAGGGGTTGTTGAGCGATGTTCGAGAAACTTTGTTGTTTTTCTCTTTCGAGTGTTTCCGATGAGGTTAGGCTGATAGAGGGTTGTATCATGACACGAATGAATGAAGTCTTCTTGCTTGAACTTGTTTGTTGTCGCAGCAGAGCGTTGTTTGTGCCTCACCTACCACTCCTCACTGATTTATTTTGTAAGCAGGATTTCGAGGAGTCATGAAACAATATCTGAAACCCACTGACTGGGACCTGCGGGTGGTTGCTCAGCTGGTGGAGGGGCTGAAAGTAGAAGAGCACGGCGGGTGTCGAGTGTGAGATCAATGCAGCTTTAGACGGCCGTGCTGGCTTTTACTTTGCTCTCCATTTAGTCTTGATTGATTACTATTAGATGGGACAGTGCACTTTAATTCATGCAGTCATTGATCCATTTTATTTTGCTCATCTGGGATCAGGTCGGCGGGGGGGCAGCAATCAGACCTCCCCCTCTCCAGCAGCGTTTTCCCGCTCTTTAAGTCCTATTTGGAGATGCTCTAACAGAACTGGCTGTACCTGAGATTCCTTCATGGATAAGAGTTCAGGAAAGATCCTTATTATGTGCTGATTCCTCTTCACTACAGCGCCCCCATTACTGCACCAGTTTGCTTTTTAGTCTCTCCATCCATTTTACCCCAACTCGTGAACAAGATCCCAAGGTACTTAAACTCAATCCCCACCTGCCAAGAATTCCCCGTTTTCCAGCAGAGACCTCAGATTTAGTGACGCTTTAACCCACATCAACGCCTGCTGAAGATGCCAACAGAACCACCTCATTTGCAAAGATCATCTGTGGCCCCCAAACTTGAGACCATGCACCTTAAGACCCCGTCCATGAAAACCACAAACAGAATCAGCGACAGTTCTCAGGACAACAGTCAGAGTGTGTTCACTGCAGGTTGTAATGCTCCAAAGTTTTCACTAGAGGGCGCCTTTGTGTTACTTGAGAGAAGATTCAAGGGGCCTGATGTTCATCCTCACCCATCACTGAGGTCTGTGTGTGTGTCTGTGAGTGTGTATGAGTGTGTGTGTGAGTGTGTGTGTGTGTGTGTGTGAAATTCCTCCCTGTCTCTGCCTGTCCATGTATGTATATGAGTGTAAACAAGTGAATGAGGTCAGATATCTGCGGAGGAAGAAGCAACATTTGTTTTTACAGGGATCCGGCCATATTTAACCAGAGTAAGGTCAGAGAAGTGGTGTTTCTTCTTCATGCAAGTAGGTCAACTTTTTCCACTGGGAACTTCAAGAACATGCCACACACACACTAACACACACAAACATACTAATTTGAGCCACGATGAGGAGAATATCAGAGGGGTCAGAGGGCATCTGATTGGTCTGTTAGCTTTTTAATACAGTTTACTTATTTTCTTCATGAGCGGAGCGGACGTTACCATAAATAACCAGTAATTTGTGAGGCAACATTGAAACTGATCGCTTTAATTTGTTTAGGGAATAGTTGACATTTTGGAGAGTATGTTGACTTCTTATCTTGATGGGAATAGATGCCACACTTTCTAAAGGAATTTGTAGCAAGATAAGCTAGGAGCTACAGTTTGCTCGGCTTATATCATCAGTAACTCCAGAGGATCGGAGAAACATCCAGTCTGTGGAGCTCACTGATTTACATCGGGCTGCACAGTGGATTAAATGGTAAATGGATTGTTAATATAGTGCTTCCTCCATGCACTCATTCACACACTGATGAGACAGAGAGAGGTTGCTATGGAAACTGCCAATCAATATTGATTTAACCCACACATACACTATTGGCACAGCACTAGGAGCAGTTCTATGGTTGTGTTTTGCTAAAGGACACTTCAGCATGTGGATGATTGGACCTGAGATTTAACTCCTAACCTTTAAGATGAGAGATGACAGACTAACACTGAGTTAGAGCCGCAGAGGTTGGCAGAGCTGACTTAAAGTAGGAAGACTCCTGGTTCAAATACAACACAATATGATACAATACAATATGATACAATATGATATGATACAATATGATACAATACAATATAATACGATACAATATGATACAATACGATACAACAATACGAAACGATACTATACAACGCAATCCAATATGATACAATACAAAATGATACAATATGATATGATACAATACGATGCGACACGATACCACACAATATGATACAATACGATACAATAAGAAATGATACATTATGATGTGATACAATACAATTTGATATGATAGGATACAACATGACACATAACAATATGATACAATATATGATACGATACTATTCGAAACGATATGATACAATACAATATGATAGGATACAATACGATATGACAGGATATGATACAATACAATATGATAGGATACAATACGATATGACAGGATACGATACAATACAATATGATAGGATACAATACGATATGACAGGATACGATACAATACGATATGATTTGATACAATGTGATACGATACAATACAATATGATTCAATGCAATACGACATGTTACGATACAATACAATACGATAGGATACGATACGATACGACACATTACGATATGACACAATATGATACTATTCAATACAATATTATTTGATACAATACGATATGATGCAATCCAATTAAATTTAATTTAAATTTAAACGATATGATACTACACAGTCTGATTCTATACTCCTTACTGTCCTGTTTGGGAAATATGTTTTGACGTAAGTGCTGCGAATGCTCAACTGCATTCACATCAGTGCAATTAAATCAAGAAATGATTAAAACAACAATAAAAACCAACAACAAAGAGACCAAGGAGACTTCAAACACACAAGCAACATATACTGCATTTACCAAAATTACACAAGTGAGGGAAAGATAGGGTGGTGTCCTATTAAGGGAGTATTGTGCCTCTCACTCAGTGACAGCTGGGACCGGCTTCAGCGACCCTGCGACCCCACAACCCCTAGAAGGAATAAGTGATAAATATAATGAATAACTGGAGAGATTTACATGTCATGGTCTGTTTATTTTATATTTACAAAACCTGAAGATTAGTAAAGCAGAGTTACTGATTAATGGTAAATAAAGCGGCCTACGCTGATTGAGTTCAGCTAGCTGTTGTACCCTGCTGCTCCTCCTGGCTCCCCTGAAGTAAAACCATGTGATCAACACGGCGTGAATGACCCTCCTCTGCTGCACCTACCTGACAGTTTCTTGGCTGGTTTGACGTTATACTGAGTTAGCATTTTCACAGAAATATCCGTACCAAGCCAAATATTCTTATTGACAGTACCGTGATGATATGAACTGAAGCTTGTCTCGGTGTTTGATGGACCGTGCAATAAAAACATTTGTCCCACGCTGGTCTCTAAATGTAGGATGCGGATAATAAAACAGGCTATTGTGCTTCTTTATGTCTCTGATGAGACATGGTAACACTTCCTGTGGAGGCGGTGAAACACAGATGCTTCTGCTTCTTTGTCTTCGCTTCATCATTTATACAAACCATGTGAAATAAAGAGCTCTGACAGTGTTATTCATATCCGGACGCTCGAGACACATTTGTTTTTATTCACTGCTCCAGTCGTACAAAACTGTTTTTAATCACTCTTGACGTGTCTCAATAGACGACTGTTTGACGGCCCATCAGCTCTTTCATGAATGACCACCAGCTTTCCTTCTCTTTCTCCTCTTCTCTTCCTGTCAGGCGGTCATAGAGAAGTTGACCTGGAAAGATCGTCTACCTGGATACTTCATCAACGTTTCCTCGATCCTCTTTATGGTCAGTATGTGTAAATCAGGTCAGTGCTGCTGAGTTTGTGTGGATAGAAGCACTCCAAGTTGGAAAACATGAACATGACACCGCTAATGTACATAAATGAGTGTGTGACTGACCTACTACATCGATCTTTGAAATATTAATACAGCTGACTCTATTTTCTGTGTCTTCTGCTCCTAGTTCGGCCTGACCTTCTCAGCTGTTTTCGGCGTCATCATCTATCGGATCACGGTGTCAGCTCTGATGGCGATGAGTCCCGACCCCGAGACAAAGTCCAACGTTCGGGTGACGGTGACAGCCACGGCGGTCATCATCAACCTGGTCGTCATTCTGATCCTGGACGAAATCTACGGCGCTGTGGCGTTGTGGCTGACTGAGCTGGGTACGACACATTTAGCTGTCCTTGACATCTGATATTTTTGCACAAGAAATATGAAGTTTTATGCAGTTTGACTTAGTTGGACATTATTGCATCTTATCTACATACAGGGTTAGCATTATTTTTAGATTAACTCGTCCAAATATTCACATTTTTTGAACCCTTCTAATTCGATAATTGCTGCCAGAAGTGTCCAGTTAATCTCTGTTTATGTTTATTTGCTTTCAGGCCTGTTGGGATTGATCACTTGATTTTAATGGTTGTTCACTACACTTTTAAAATTCTATTATTTTGCATTTTAAATCAGTTTTTATCATGCATTTTATTTATAAATGCCTTTCAAAGCACTCGAAGTTGCCTCAGAAAAGAAGGCTAAAACAAAACGATAGTGGAGATTGACTGAAAGAAATCAGTCAGACTGAATATGTTTGAAAAGATGAGTTTAAGACAGGATTTGAAAATGGACAGAGAGAGTTGATATTACGGATGTCTGGAGGGAGGGAGCTCCAAAGTCGGGAAGAAGAGCTACTAAAGACTCTGAAGGTCAAATGGGCGGGTGGGACAGTGGGGTAGAGAGAGGGGGCACTGATGTGAAGGAGATTGGAGAGGTACGGAGGGGCAAAACAGATTTAAGAGATTGCATGAATGTGGGGTGTTAAGTGGAGAGGTTGGAGGTAAAAGTAATATTAATTGGTTAAAAAGTAAAAAGTAATATGACATTGAAGTGACAAATTTGATACCTGGACTCCCTCCCACAGGCTGCAGGTAAAACCACTGCTCCAATTATTTAGGCCTCATTGCATACAACATTTCCATCCATTTGATTTAATTAGATTTAACATGAACAGGCCAAGAAATTTGATGTGCTACATATTTGTCAGTCAAATGTAAATGAAACAATTAAGAATTTGATTTAAAGGGGCGCGCAGATGGCCAAGCAGGTAAGCGCACCTCATGTATGGGAAACATGGTTCATGTAGTGGTTGTGGGTTCGAGTCCGGCTCCGACCATTCACCTCATTTCATTCTCATTTCACCTTGTACCATTAATAAAAGGCAAAAATCACCCCCCAAAGTACTTCAAAAATTAGATTAATACAATAAAACCAATAAACCCAATATGTTCAGAATGAAAAATAAAGATTTATGTCATCATCATTGATAACTCCAAACTGTGTTCCACTCTTGGTCGATCCTCAACTCATCATATTCGACCTATATTCATACATTTAACTGATTAAATTGAATTGTTTTGAGAACAACAGATTAAATAAATAAATTCTAAAAAATTGAATAATTTAAATAAAATCAAATAGATGTAAAAACTTTTAAATAAACTATGCCATAATTCATTTTTCTTAATGTAGCTTTGCTTTAAAACTCAGGAAATCTCCTTCATCTCACAAAGACGACCCTGGTAATGAATTGATCGAATAAATCAGACCTAATCTCACAAATTTGCATCTTAAATCTCAGAATATCACTTTTTTAAAATATATATTGCCTTTGCCTCTCCATCACCTCCATCATCTCCTCATAATGAACATAAGTATTTTTTTTTTATCCGTGAAGCGCATTTCTTAAACTGTACCGAGATAAATTCTGATCCAGACGCTCAAATATCATCATTCAGCGTCTGTGAGTGTGAGAGACCGGGAGAGTGTGTCTGCCGCCTCTTGGAGAACCATTTGATGAAACTTTGATGTTTTCATGCTCCAGTCATCCCATCAGTCATCCCAGGAGGTTTCTATCGCATTAACATTCATATTCAAACCCTCAGAAATAGAGGAGAAGAATTAAAAAAAAGAGAAAAGTGTGAGAAAAAAGGAAGGAGGGAGTGCGGATTTGCCATGTGAGAGGTGCGTTTTAACCTACTTCCAGCACAGTGATTATGTTAGGATTCCAGTTCAACAGTCAGACTAAAGGAAACCCTGAACAGACTCCAGAGTTTTCAGGTTATTTTCACAAGTTGAAAACTCAGCCTGGAAAACTCTGTAAACAAAATGTTTGTGTGATTTTATATCGTTTGTGATAAAACTCGACTTCTGCCGAGTGTTTCTGACGGTTTCTCTGTATCTTTATTTTCAGAAATCCCTAAAACAGAGACGAACTTTGAGGAGCGCCTCATCCTGAAAGCCTTCCTGCTCAAGTTTATGAACGCGTACGCGCCGATCTTTTATGTGGCTTTCTTTAAAGGACGGTAAGAAAAAAAACACCTGATTTCCAAACACATTATTAGAGTTACTCAGTATATATTTAAAAAGAGGATTTTTTTCCTTTAAAGTTTGTTAAAAATCACTGATAGTGCTTTCTTTGGATGCATTAATCATGTTTCCACTTCACCTGCAGTAAACTTTCTGCCAAACACAAAATCTGCTCAGGATCCCTGTGTTTTTTTTTTTTTGCAGGTTTGCTGGTCGACCGGGGAATTACGTGTATGTTTTCAACGGCTATCGGATGGAAGAGGTTTGTTATCCAACTTTGTGATTTCTACGCCTTAAGTTTGATTTGCATTACAGCAGTTTTGTGCAAGGTATAAACTCAAGATGAGATGCAAAGTTACAAACATTTAACACGACATTTTAAGCTCCAAATAAAATAGTTAGAGGCCTTGGATGTAGTTTTGATCTGGGATTACTCTACTTGTGATGCCTGAAGTGTTAAAGTTAAAGAAAGAAAAAGGAGAATAAGAATTAAAGACATGTGTAAATGAAGTTTGTGTCTCCTCCTCTCCTCAGTGTGCACCAGGAGGCTGCCTTATCGAGCTCTGCATTCAGCTCAGCATCATCATGTTGGGGAAACAGCTGATCCAGAACAACATCTTCGAGATCGGCATCCCGTAAGTGGACTGAGATTGTTCTTATTCTTATTTTCATAGCTGTGACTGGCTGCTTCACATCCTCAAAGAACCAGGTGTGTCCCATAGGGTTGGGAATTGTTAGGAATTTAGCAATTCTGATTCCGTTATTGATGCTGCTTATCGATACAGTTCCTTATCGATTCTCATTGAGTGATAAATAGGATACTCCAAATGGGTTTGTTTGCACTGACTCTTTAATTTTGTCACCTTTGGACAGAAGATATGGCAAATCCGTGCAATAATAATTAGCTATGTGACCTACTGTTTGACCACAAATCTTATCTTCGCCTTTGTAATTTTACTCTGCTGCCAAAGGGGCTGCCAAAGTTGCGTGAGAGCAACCCACTGCAGCCTCTGCGCTAGCATGACTCTGACAGTTATCGTCATCTAAATGTAATTTAAGGAGATGTGGAGTATTTATATAGTGAAAGGGGGTTAACATCCCTCTGAGCATTTTTTGGTCTAAAAGAGGTCTAATAGACGTCTACAAGGTTATCGATTCTCATCCCTAGTGTCCCAACAGATGAGAAGAATCCATCCTGAAGGTGCGGCCCCGCCCCCTTTTGGGTGATCTGATTTGATTGGCTGAAAACATTTAAAAATCAGATTTATGGTAGGATGTGAGAGCTCTGAGAGAGGGATGAGAAAATGTTATTTTACTCTTGGCATCTTTGGTGTCAGAGTCACTTTATGAATCAGAAGAATATGAAATCTAAACAGGGAATCACAGTCCAGGTTGCAGTAAGGAGTCTTTCCTCCCCACAGCAGAGACAGATCACTGGAAGAAGAGGTCCATACTGACTCACAGAGTCCTTAGAGATCTAGGTCTTGTCCATCCTGAGACCATCTCTACTGTAAATTGTAAATCTTCTTCGCTCTTATCTAAACCTTCATCTGCTCACAGTCGCTCTCAACACTCCCTCTCCTCTTTTTGTCCTAAAAACACTCGTCCGTCTTCGCTCAGCGGCTCCTCATCTTGTGTAACAGCTCGGGTCCTAAAGGTCGAGTTCATCCCTGTTTATACGAGCTGTCACACAACAGAGGGGCTTCTTCTTCTGACTCTCACTGCTGCTGTAAGCACAGCTTTGACCCCTGACCTGTCAGGGGGGATTCTCATCAAATACAGCAGGGTCTCCAGGATGTCCTGAGGGATCAGCGAGTCACGGCTCATACCATCACATCATCTACATACCTCCTGCTTCCACACCTCAGAGTCGACCATTAAAACCTGAAGACTTTAGATTTAACGGTCGGGCAGTTTATGAGGAATTCCTGGAGCTGCTGCTGAGGGGGGGCGGTGCAGCAGAGTCCCCCTGAGACTGACCCGTCCATTAAACTGGACCAGATTCAGAGTGGACCTGACCCACTTCATGTCAATCCAGAGTAGATAAATTCGCCTCCAGAAAGAATAACATGGACTCGAGTTATTAAGTAAGTTTTTTTTTGTGGGAACGTTCTGGACTGTTTTATTTATGGGATGATAAATTAGAAGAAAAGCCTTCAAATCGTCTCTCATGGTCTGTTTGTGTCCTGAAGACGTCTGAGTCTTAATGTGCATGTCCTCACGGTCTGTGGAGACTTCACAGCGGCGTCCTGAACCGGTGACTGGCACTCAGCGTCACCGCCTGTTGAATTATAGAGGAAGGGTGTGTTTTAGCTCAGATTTGGAGGAGCCCTCAGGACAGGAGAGCCCTGTCGACTCATTGTGACGCGTTGAGGTTGGAAATAGGAACTTTGAAGCGTGCAGCCCCAGAACTGGGTCACAGTTAGTGTGTACAAGGGATTGTAGCGGCCTCCCCGGGGCGCACAGAGGGAGAGTTACTGCGTGAGGTGAAAAGGACAGGTGCATAAACAAATAAAGTGAGTTTAATGTTTTTGGAAACAGAAATGATGAATCTGAGAGTGAGAGAAACAAATAAGTGAAGTTACAGTCCTCTAAAAAACTCATGAGCAGCAGGTCCAAACTTTAACACAAACATGTCGAAAGGTGAACGACTTTGTTGGTGTGTCTCTCTGCTCAGCCCTCCATCACAGCCACATTACCCCGAACTCTTCTCATTCCCAGGTCTGCAAATCTTAAGGGTTCATTTTCATTCATAAACTTTTCATGATGTATAAAGACATAACCAGGCACCGAGGCGACATCAGTCTGACATTTGACATTTCCTTTTTGTTGTTGTGATTACTGTTTAAAACTCCACATAAATTTGTTTGGCGATACTTTAGAGGGCAAAGTTGGTGGGACAGTTTAACATATTGGTAACTAAAATCTGCAGAAGTCCAGCTCACTCAATGTCCTTCAAATGGTTCAATCAGAGTGTAGAGATGTTCAGCCGAACAACTCACGACTATCACTCACTCACCTTCTTCAGCGTATCAGACAAAGGGCGGAAATGCCCTTTACACAGAGGAAGAGCAAGTAATTTAAAAACCCTGAAATAAATCACCTTTCAGTTACTTCTTTTTCATCTTTTTAAATGGATTTTTGGGCTCTAATTAAAGAGGACAGGACAGAAGAAAGCACAAGAGCGGGGATTAACACGCAGCTAAAAAGCCACAGGCTGCGTAACCCCCCCTGTACGTGATGCACGCTCAGACTGCGAGGCTAGTAGAGGTCCCCTCAGTTATGGTGTAGGTACCAGATGTGTTCAAGCTGCCAGATGCGATATTTTTTTTCGCCTCTGATTGGCTAGAAAAGCTGGAAACGTCATCACACACTCAAGCCAAACATAGGCTGTCAGCTCTGTACGTCCAACAGAACATTACAGAACATTATCGCACTTCTGAATATCCTGACCCTAACCCTCATCCCAACCCAACTGACAATGACGCTTCACAGCCATAAGGAATAACCAATCGGAGTCCAGCACTTCTAGCCAATCAGAGGCGAAGGAGGGCGGGACCTTCTCTTACCATCCTACAAAAAAATAAAATTCGCACCCCGAGCCGATCTGGCATCCCAAACACATCTGGTACCTGCAACAGTACAGAAATATATAAACCGATGTGTTCTGGAGGCTGAAGTCGTAGAAAACCGCTTATAGAAGGTCAGAGAGTCGCATTATAAGCTAGTTTTTCTATTTCAATTAAAGTAAAGTGAATTAAATCTTCAGTCCTGTTAATGTAAAATATATTTAAAGTTGTGTTAAGTGTTTTCACCTCTAGGGGGCGTGAACACACTGAAACAGATTCACAAAACTACTCCTGAGAGATACTATCAAAACCAAACGTTTACATGCTTCTCAGTGGAAAATCACATCCAGGCTGAATCAGGTGATGAAGAGAAACACGTGACAGCTGCGTAAACTGAAGAGTAAAATGCAGGTTGAAAATAAAAACAAATACGATGATGATGATGAGGTATTTTCATGAACTGGCTCGTCGCCCAGCTGGAAGCCTGGTCACACTGTTTAGGGATGCTTTGCATTTTTCACAGGATACAAACCTCACGGTGAAACTATGTTGTTGCTACAACAAGAGGAAGAGGGAACAAGAGGCGACGGAGGCAGAGACAGATGTTAAACAGAATCTGAGAGTGTCCTGACCGACATCTGGGACCTTTAACATCTTCAGACCAACGCCGCCGACATGACAGCGTGGAGCATGAATGTGTGAATTTGGGCACATCCACTTTTAATGACCGTGTGAATGATTCAAGAGGAGTAAACATTTGCGTTCACCGCCTTCTTGAATGTTTGCAAATCTCCAGTGTGTGTGTGATAACCGGATAAATAATGCAGTCGAACATTCAGCCGCTCTGATGAGAGTTTTCTGCTCAGAGTACATTCAGTCACATGCACAACCACATGTAAGTGCAATCGTCATGTATGGTATAAAGACTCATTCTGTAGGTATAGCAGCACATGTGAGGACTGCAGTTAGAAAAACACACGTATAAAAACACGGCTGGCAGGCTGAGCCCCCCTGCTGTTTTTTTCCCAGCAGCACTTTTGATGCCAGGCTACTTTCTTTGGGAGCATCTGGGTTTCTTTGAGCACCGTCAGCTCCTGGCTCCTTACAATTAGTTAAACGTTCAGGGTTACTGTACATGTTTGAATGCTGGCTGGTGTGTTTCACAAGCAGAGACTCGGTCAGGGTTTTATTGTTCCAGAGAAAGTGTCTGAGTTTGCTTCTCATGCACCACCACCACCGCAGCAGCAGCATGTTTATTACCTTTAAGGTAGGGCTGGGCTAAGGCTGCATGATACTGGAATAAACTAACAATGCAATTATCTGTGATATACACTCACCGGCCACTTTATTAGGTACACCATGCTAGTAACGGGTTGGACCCCCTTTTGCCTTCAGAAATGCCTCAATTCTTCGTGGCATAGATTCAACAAGGTGCTGGAAGCATTCCTCAGAGAGCTTGGTCCATATTGACATGATGGCATCACACAGTTGCCGCAGATTTGTCGGCTGCACATCCATGATGCGAATCTCCCGTTCCACCACATCCCAAAGATGCTCTATTGGATTGAGATCTGGTGACTGTGGAGGCCATTTGAGTACAGTGAACTCATTGTCATGTTCAAGAAACCAGTCTGAGATGATTCCAGCTTTATGACATGGCGCATTATCCTGCTGAAAGTAGCCATCAGAAGTTGGGTACATTGTGGTCATAAAGGGATGGACATGGTCAGCAACAATACTCAGGTAGGCTGTGGCGTTGCAACGATGCTCGATTGGTACCAAGGGGCCCAAAGAGTGCCAAGAAAATATTCCCCACACCATGACACCACCACCACCAGCCTGAACCGTTGATACAAGGCAGGATGGATCCATGCTTTCATGTTGTTGACGCCAAATTCTGACCCTACCATCCGAATGTCGCAGCAGAAATCGAGACTCATCAGACCAGGCAACGTTTTTCCAATCTTCTATTGTCCAATTTCGATGAGCTTGTGCAAATTGTAGCCTCTGTTTCCTGTTCTTAGCTGAAAGGAGTGGCACCCGGCGTGGTCTTCTGCTGCTGTAGCCCATCTGCCTCAAAGTTCGACGTACTGTGCGTTCAGAGATGCTCTTCTGCCTACCTTGGTTGTAACGGGTGGTTATTTGAGTCACTGTTGCCTTTCTATCAGCTCGAACCAGTCTGGCCATTCTCCTCTGACCTCTGGCATCAACAAGGCATTTCCGCCCACAGAACTGCCGCTCACTGGATATTTTTTCTTTTTCGGACCATTCTCTGTAAACCCTAGAGATGGTTGTGCGTGAAAATCCCAGTAGATCAGCAGTTTCTGAAATACTCAGACCAGCCCTTCTGGCACCAACAACCATGCCACGTTCAAAGTCACTCAAATCACCTTTCTTCCCCATACTGATGCTCGGTTTGAACTGCAGGAGATTGTCTTGACCATGTCTACATGCCTAAATGCACTAAGTTGCCGCCATGTGATTGGCTGATTAGAAATTAAGTGTTAACGAGCAGTTGGACAGGTGTACCTAATGCAATTATCTGTGATATATATTACGATATTAAAAAATACAGAAATTTTCACCAGATTTATGCTGAAATCTTGAGGACAGTTAACCTGCACTGATCTTACCTCTTTTTGTGAATGTTAGTAGAGTGGCTTCTGTGATATTTTTAGCTTTTATTCTGCTGGGACGTTATTGTGGCAACAGATGACAGGCACTGCTGTCGACATCATCCTTCTTCTTAATTCCAGATAACTGACTTTCCTTTTCTTTTTGGCAACAAGTCTTCATTTTCGGTGGTTTTCTCTTGTTAGTTGCTCAGTTTGCAATCATTGTTGTTGTTACCAGTGTTGTGCCGAGAAACACATGTCTGCAGAGAATTGCATACACCTTGCAAAATGTGCACCGCTTTTAGTGGAGTGGTCTATGGAAATATACAATTTAAAATCCATGCAATTCCTTATTTGTTGGGCTAAACAGTGATGAGTAATGTTCCGAAAGTAATACTCAGTAGACATGCGTTTCTCGGCACAACACCGCCAGCGCCAGCAACTCACTCCATGTGCAGGCCATGTGTAGGGGCGTGGTTTCCTCCTCTCTGATTTTGATTGACAGCTGGCAGGGTAGTCTGATTGGCAACTAAGTCAAGAACGAATGTGATTGGTTGAATGTGACATGGAGTGTTTCTCAGTCAGCTGCACTTGAAATTAGATGAGTTAATTCGCCTCTGACATCACAGGCTCTGCTATGTGACTATTGCGCAAACGTACAAATCAATATCACGATATATTGAGCAGTTCACCTCAATAACAATAAATGGACGATAACTACTCCACAAGCTGCTCACCCCCTCCCACATTAACTTTGTCTACTTCAGCCGCTACATCTTTCTCTCCGTCCTCCATCTCCTCACCTGTCTTTCCCTCTTTGTTACAGACTGGATGGGGTGGAGTCACGTCTCTGTCATAGGACAGCGTTTTAAAGGGACATGAGACCATAGCCTACCTACACACATCCAAAACCAACTTTTATTTGTTTATGTTTTTGACATTGAATATATTAACATGGGCAAAAGATGTTGGTTATTGCCATAAATTTTGGTATTGGTTAATTTTCGGTTTACCGCCCACTCCTACTTAAAGGCTCACCCCCATAGAGTTTGACATTCAGCCTCAAGATACAGTGAAGGTGTCAAATACAGAGTTTTCCTTATGAAGGTGTTCAATCATTCGGGCCAATTAAGGGTCAGCCAATTCAGAATCCACCTGAAACATGTTTTTGGCCGTGATAACGGAGTATTTTATAGTAATGTGTTTGTAATAGTCTACATGTTTTTCTCGTTTCCTACAATCACCTTCTCCTCCGCCTCTCCCTCCATCCTGACAGGAAGTTGAAGAAGTTGGTGCGTGCCATAAAGGATAAAGGATCGGCACAGACGGAGGTCGAGGACGAGAGCCCCCCCAAACAGTGGAACCTGGACTACGATCTGGCCCCGTTCGAAGGCCTCACGCCTGAGTACATGGAGATGAGTGAGTCTGAGTGCACACACACACACACACACACACACACACACACACACACACACACACACACACACACACACACACACACACACGCAGAGCACAGTCGTTTAGGCACCAGCGCTGTCAAACGGATCGTCCTGTACATTACTGAGGGTTGTTATGTAATCAGCAGGAATGAGACTCCTGATTGTTTCCTGTTTACTCCCAACACTTTCACTTGATTTCATGTTGCCATGACTACAGTGTTTTTTTCCCCGACATCATTCACAAGACCTTTGTTTCAGCTTTTACTATGCTGCTCTCTCCTGAACCTTAAACTCGTGTATTTTCAGCCACGATCGGGTCATAAAAACACTCTTTAGTGATTCGTTCACACACATTAAATTCAAAATAAAAGATTTAGATTCATGTCCATCACAAACTAAAGCAAACAAACACCAGAGCTGCAGTCTCAGATTAAAGCCTCTCTGTTTCATGCACGATTTATAGCAGTTGTGTTCCAAAACTACTATGGCGGGTATTTGACCTTAAAAGGCCATAAAGTAGTTGATAAGTGACATCTTATTTTGAAAGGCTTTCGGTTGTGATTATCGTAATGTTTCTGCTGCCTCTAAACAGGCTACTGTAGATGTCAGCCTGGAGGAAGCAGACAGAGCCAAAATAAACATTTCTGAATGAGGTCTGTAATAAAATCTGATTTCATCAGCTATGGAAAATCATGAGGTTTATTTACTTTAATAATATAGGAACAAATTATCAGTGCTTCAGTTTAAAGCTCCTATCAGGAGAGCGCAGACCTCCGCCAAGCAGCTCATGTCCCCCCTTATATTGTGATTCACACTGAAACTTTTACTGTTACGTGTCTTTTATTAACATTTATTTGTGTTTAAACTGGTATGTTCATTGTTCATAATGTTCCTAAAACAAGAAATGCCCTGACTGGGATTCAAACCCAGGACCTTCTGGTTGTGAGGCCACAGTGCTAACAACTACACCACTGTGCCGCCCATTGGTTATCTTTCAGCATTGAAAATTCTAACAACACCCTTATTTTTGTGTGTTCTGGATCACAGTATCCAGAATTTTGTCTTGATCACCACCAAAATGTAATGGGATCCTTCTGGGGCTGAGACGCACCTCTGGTGAAAATTTCAGGTCAATCCGTCTGTAACTTTCTCCGTAGGTTGCTAACAGACAAACAAACAAACAAACAAATCATCTCAGTTCGAACACCAAGAAATAAGTCAACATTCATTTACTTACTGCAAACTTGAATAATCCAAGCAGCAATAAAAACGACAAAAAACTACTGCTGCAGCGTTACGTAAAATTCAATCAGTAACTTATCAAAAATCCAGTCCTATAAGCAAAGACTTTTACTTTACTTATAGAGTTTTTTTTTACTTTTTTGACGGAATAATCCTTTAAATGTGATAAAATGTTCTCATGATTGCAGGAACTTATCACATGTTAAATCAAATACATACATACATTAAACTTCTGTCATCCACTTGGAGAAGAAAACATCTACATTATTATTTCTACACCTCTGTATCGGTCAATACAAACCATATGTGAAGACCTGGCAGTCTATACTGTGGATCTATAATCTGTCTTTGGCAAAAACAAAGTGTGGAGTAAAAACTGTAAATCAGGTGTAAACCAGACGTTTGTTAAATTTCATCCTGATCGAGTCCGACAGGCAAAGAGGAGATGGAAAAGGATGTGAGGGAAAACTCTTTTATCTGCGTCAGTTTGTTAAAACACAAAGTCATCATTCAGGTCATTCACAGGTTAAATCCAGAGACAGTAATGTGCTCATAATGACCGTCTGTGAGGGAGAAGCTACTCTGTGTATCTGCTTAAGAGCTTCAGGTGTTGGTTTTATGACTGAGAGACACAGACGAGCAAAAGTTTTTATATTTAGAAACAGTTAATGTTGTTAAATTTATCAGAGAAACATCAGAGCAGAGTGAAGAAAGTTTCCTTGAGTTTGGTCGGTGCTGCGGTTCGATAATTCGGTTGTGGTTTGAAGAGAGGACGGGGGAGGAAAAGGCAGAAGGAGTCTGAGCTGGTGTGGCTGCAGGGCACAGAGAGGAATCTCAGAAATGTCGGAGCTCTACCTGCAAACACTCACTCTCACACAGCTGTAATATGTGTGTGAATGTGTGAACTTGTATATATCTCCGTGTGTGTCCAAAAATGTCTCGTATTTGTGAGACCTGGTGCTCAAGTTAAGGCGTGTGATTCCTCTTTGTGTGTGCCTGGACCGGCCTCGAACCCGTCAACCTCGGCTCGGGTGGAAGGAGAGGTTATTCTAAGCTTGCCCTCTAGCGCTCGCTGCTCCGCTGTCGTATTTTCTTCCTTGCCGCTCTTTGTCTCAGCGTAGCGTCCCGAGGTGAAGCCGTCAGTCTCTGGCTCGCTGGAAATCCCCGTTCCCACACTGCTAAGGTTCCACATCCGAGCCGCGTCTCAGCCAAAGTCAGGCCGGCTGACTCGTCTTCCTCAAGTTTCACATTCTGTGAAAGCAGGTGGATGTTGTTTTGATCCTTTGATTTATCATCAAGGTTTCAATATTGATTGTTTCAACAAACTTGCGTTTTTACAGCTTATCAACTGAGCTGGAATCAGAATGAGACGGGAGTATGACCAGATTATGCTCAATCTGGGTGAAAATGACTCAGATTAACACCACTGCCAGAGAAGTTTATTACTGCTGCAGTTCATTCACACAGCATTTAGACATGTTTACGTGTGAAAAACTTCTTAAACCGATTAAAACTTTGAGGGATTGGAAAATCTGAATCCACTGTTTATACAGGCGCAAAATCAAATAACCCGATCATAACATGCGTATACATGTAATAAGCTTTATTCAGATTAGAAGTATTTGGACATATGCAGAGTTGTATTTTTTTCTGTCAGTAAATACAGAGGTGGTTCACTTCACCCGGTTTACCCCCAACTTCCACCACATCCAGAATGGTGGTGATTTTTGCCGTCTGCCAATTCCTGTCAGATTCATTTGTGAGGCAAATTTCGTGGCAGATTACGGACAGCAGATATTGCAAGAACTCACGAGAACCTGCAAATTCACATGCAATTGCACCATGACGGGTTGTCTCTGTAAAGACAGCCACATAACCATATAAGCAGTAGATTGTGTCCTTCCAGAGGAGGAAATCTACTTCTAGACTTCTAGAATCAGTATCTTTTCATCCATGGTGCCATCGGGGTGAAATGATGTCTGAAAACCTTTCACTTGTTCGTCCCCGCCCATTTGCATGGCGTGAGAAATTGACACATTATCTTGAATGGATGTAGCCATTCCGGATGTGGTGGAAATTGGGGGCTAGGATTTTTCCCTCCACTCAGAGTGGACCTGATCCAATTTCTAATGGCGGTTGTATGCTACTAGCGTATGTGATCGTCAAGCGGGCCCAGCAGCACATACTGATCCTGCGTTACATGAAGAGGCTGTATCCTGCAGGAAAGTTGTCAGACACCGACCAGTTGCTCTTGGATTCCGCCAAGTTCATGTTTTGTAACAAATGGCGGAAATGTGTTATGTTGACATTTGGCACACATGCGCTGTCAGGTTAGTTTTGCCAGAACAAGAATTTACATGGACGCGTTTCGGAACAACGATCGGCATAAACCACCCCTCTCCATCAGAATACAATTTCTTTCCCATTGAGCCGAATTGGATCAGAATCTTCCGATTGACGTGTTTACATTTTGCATTTTTATTCCGATCGGGTCTTTATCCGATTATTTGTTCCCATGTAAATACAACTACTGAGACCTTCAGTCTGTGTTAGGGACAGAGTCATAGGAGTCACAACTTCACAGATGATGGCAGGAGCCTCACAGCGTAATTTGGCTGCAGAGAAAGCAGGTTGGGATGATGTTAGCACTACATTAAATAATTATTATGTAGGTTCAACTTTAAGACATTTGTTGCCTTGAAATATATGTAAAAAGTAGGATTGTAGCATATAAGAAGTCTCACACTCTTTATCTGACACCTACGTTTGTGATCAGCAGTTTGAAACACGCCACCATGTGTCTCAATGTTTAGCTGAACCATCAACATCCCATCCTGGCTAGTTAACACCTGAGCCTTTCTGGTGATGCTCCTTTCATACCATATCATGATGATCACCTGTTGGACGATCCAGAGAGCAGTTTTTGGCGGAGTCCTCATTTTTCCCAGACTTTTCTCAACCCTGTCCAGACTTTTTTGGAATGTGTTGCTGAATCAAATTCAAAATGAGTGAATATTTTCAAGAAAACAATGAATTTTTTCCACTTGGACATGAAATATCTTTTGAAAATGATAAGTGAATCCTTGTATTCTGTTTTTGTACTTTTCACACAAAACTTCCCTGGAGCGTTTAGTTGCTAACACTCAGGATTGTGAATTCTTTCTGTAATGAAGACATGATGTCTTTTTGAAGCGTGCACTGAATCACGAAGATGTTTCTCACTTTATGAGTTGGTGAGTGGGCTTCATATCGTTCACACATGATCAGTTGGCGCAATCCTTTTGCAAATCAGGCGTTTTGTAGCTGCTGATCATCCTGCTCTGAGGCAAATTAGATTAAGAAGACTTTTTGTTTAACGATGATTTTTAAAATTGTGTCTTTTGCCTTTAGGAAAAAATATCATGTTCGTTGTGTAAAAGGTTTCCTGCAGGTCCTTAAAAGGTCTTAAAAAGTCTTGAACTTGAGTTCACAAACTGTGCAGGGATCAGTTGCTCTGCATCATAACTTATTGATCAAAATCTCAGTCCCTTATTCAGAGTGTTTCGAGTTGAAGACAAGCTTCCTTTTCAGTCAGGGGATTCACTTAATTTCTTCTAGTTAAAATGAATGTACCTGTGCAGATAATCCCACACCAACACCTTGATTCTCCCTGCAGCTCACCTCTGACCTTTTCATGGTCCGTGTTTAAGACCTCTCCAAGCTGGGACGTGTCTTATATTGCTCCTGGTCTTGCAGCTGTTGAACTCCTATTAAAGTTGGTCGTAGGAGGTAAAGCAGCTGTAATCTGTCTGTATTTATCATTTTAATGTGTTGTGCAATAAATTCCCACAACGTTTGAAATCAAAACTCCTGACTGTTTTGTCTCTCTGTGTGTATTTGCTTAGTGTTTGTCTCTGTGTGTTATGCATATCAGTCCGATAACTCATAGTCCAGCGTGCTGCATAATCATAAAAAAGTCCCCCGTTCAGACGTTGAGGAGGGGAGTTTGACCTTAAAAGGCATCATCTGAACCGCAGGGAGAGCTTGGACAGACAGTGTGACTCCTGTCCAGAGAGATGACCGTTCACAGCAGTCAATCTCACGGCTCCTCAGACACACTCTGAAATATACGACTCGAACCCACACGCTTTGATTTCTTTTCCAAATGTTGACACTTTCACGTTTTCTGCCTCATTTTCCAGCAACTTCCATATAATCGCAGATATCTTAAGACCTTTTTTTCCAAGAGTCATGAACTAATGCAAAAAAAATTCGAATGGGAGTCACTTTACACTTCGACTGTCACCACTCTCTAATGGTTTGTTGATGTAGAAGTAAATGTGGCCCTTTTTCTCTAACATAAAGTGACTTGAGAAAACACGGCAAAGCAGCGTGTTTTTATGGAAACTCAATACAAGCGATCCTGACGTGATTATCTTATCTGAACGCTCAAGAGACGGCAATTTTTCACACCTACCCCCCATAAGGGACTTCATTATAATGATATAGTGTCAATTCCCAACAAGATGTTTAACGAAGAAAAGCTGGTCTAGACCAGACTCTATTGACCCAGAGTAAAGATCTTGTAGGATCAGATCCACTCCAATCCTGTCTTCAACCACGAGTGAAACACTTACCCCCAATTTCCACCCTATCTGGAACGGCTCCGATCTGTTACGGCGGCGATTTTCGCTGTCTGCCAATTCCTACCATATTCGTTTGTGAGGCGAATTTTGAGGTGGATTACAAACAGAGGGAATCACAAGACCTTACAAGAACCCGCGGATTCACATGCAATTGTGCGATAATGAGTTGTCGCTATAAAGACAACCACATAACCATATAAGCAGTAGATTATGTCCTTCCAGTGGAGGAAATCTACTTCTAGACTTCTAGAATCAGCATCTCCTCCCCATGGTGTCATCAGGGTGTTTGCATGGTGTGAAATATGATCCGCCTGAAACACGTGTTTTAATTTGAAAAGAAGCCGGCTGTTTTATTTTGTGTCTGTGCCGACTTCCTTGAATTAATGCAGCATGCTCTGCGTCCAGAAAAAGTAGAACCCTTGCGATCGGCTGTGGAGTCCGCTGAACCGCATTGGAACGTAGAGACACGTTATCTTGAATGGTTACGATCAGCTGTGATCGGCAGATACGGCCTTTTCGCAGTCATTTCGGATGAAATTGGGGGTCAGTTTCAGTGGAGAGGAATAAAGTTCTTCAACAGGCAGAAACCTCAAGCAGAACCAGACTGATGTTAGACAGTCATCTACTGCTGCTAAATTAAGTTCAGAGGGAGATGAATTAAGAAAGAGATGGACAGAGTTGAGATCGATGCACCTTTGCAGCAGCGATCCAGAGGAACCTCCAGCATGACGGAGCTCAGGGACTCCCAGAAAAGACTGGATTAGTGACTCTAAAGGGACACGATGGTTCAAAGTTAACGACACAGACAGAAAGAGGGTGAAGAAGAAGGGAAGGTGCTCAGTGTGTCCGTACCTGAACCCCTAACCCTAACCCTAACCTACAGCAGCAGAACTAAGAGCTGTTTCAAGCCTAAACCAGCTCTAACTGTGAACTTTATCAAAGAGGAAAGTCTTGAGCCCATTTTTAGGTAGAGAGGGTGTCTGCCCTCCACACCTGGACCGGTAGATGATTCCAGAGGAGAAAGGCTTGATAACTGAAAGCTCTGCCATCCAGACCACTTCTCAAGACTTGAGGTATAATGAGCAGGCCTGCATCACAGGGATCGTAATGTTCTGGACGTGTAATAGAGAACTACGAGCTCTTTTAGACACGATAATCATGGCTGTCTTTAGACAACGAGTGTCTTTTTTGGTGAGTAGAACTGCTCTTTCTTTCTCTCTCTCTAAGAGATAAACATCTCTCTAGATATCGAACAGTTTTTCCAGCGGTTTCAAAATACCCTAATTATGACATACTTTGGGTTAAATATAGACAAATAATACAGTAAGAACCAAATATAGTCACATTTCTTTACTCTGCCGTGAGGCAACAACTGAGAGAGAGGAAGAGAGAGAGAAGATATTCTGTTATGTTTTCAGCAGGACAGCAAGACTCTTCACATTTTGAAAATCATGGTAAAAACACGATATAAACATGAGTGTAAGATCAAACTACAGCTAGCATTTTTCAGGACACAGTGCCCCGCAGTGTGACAGTGAAGTTCTCTTTGTCAGGACTTAGTCTGACTTCATCCGTCAGCAAACACTCATTTTCCACCAACACTTGAGTGTCATCAGCGTAACAAGATTCTTAAACATTATTTTCTTTGTTAAAGACCCCGGCGATAAAGATTACGGGAAATGTGGTCTTTATTTGAAGACGTTCAAAAGTCGGTACAACTAATGATTTCTGTCCCTCTCTTCCAGTCATCCAGTTTGGGTTCGTCTCTCTGTTCGTGGCTTCATTCCCTCTCGCTCCGCTCTTCGCTCTGCTCAACAACGTCATCGAGATCAGACTAGATGCCAAAAAGTTTGTGACGGAGCTCCGGAGGCCGGTCGCAGTACGGGCGAAAGACATCGGTAAGCTAACGCACTTTCATCAAAAACATCTTTTTATTATGGTGGTAGACGTTTTGTAAATACTGTAAAACTACAATATGCAACAGCTTGGTTCATCCTCATTGTGAGAGATGTGCTGCAAATTCACTTTTTCAGCAGACATCACATAACGGTTAGAAGGTGGTCATGGGGATAAATCATAATTTAATGTGATATTTTATCAACACAATTATCCTGAGGCTAAAACCTGAAATCATTACAGCCCTAATCCAAATATTTGGGAACATGGGGTTTGAGTTGGAGCAGCCCAGGATACTTAGAGCCGCCTCTGTTAGCTTTGCAGTTAGGGATCACTCTAGATATTTTAAAGCAACCTCACACAACCTCCTGCTCAGGTCTCTGTGAGGGAAAAATAAATGCCAGATATCTCTTTGAAACCCACGCCAATCCCCGTCATGTCTTTATCATTAGTAGTTAAAGAGTTCAGCTTGAACTCCCTTTAAATTTCTCAGCTACAGTCATTTTCCTGGTCCTCTTCTCCGCCCTGTCAGTGAAAAAGTTGTTTTATTTTGCTCCCATTCCAGCCTGGAGCATTTCTCTTCCAAAGTCTGGATATTTGTTTGAGTGATTGTGTGTTTTGAACTTTGCATGTTTGGTGTATTTGCAGCTTCTATCCTGTTTTTGCATGTGATTTTATTGTATGTGATCTGTTTGTTGCAGATCATCTTTCCTTGTCTAAACCAAAATCAACGATAGGTTCTACAGCTAAGTAGTGTAAAAATTAAGATATCAGCCCCGGATGTTGTCAGATATTCAAGCCAGAACTTTGGTTTGTGTGTGACTCCAGAGCTCTCCAAGATGTTTTCCCTACACTATATCCATCAACCCAAAACTGGTAGCCTGGTAGACCTCTTGGAATCCAATCTCAGGACCAGACCCAAAAGTATGACCAAGAGTGTCCTTTGCTATCCTGCATCTGCGTTAACTTGGATGCTAATTTCAGATTCATATTCAGACAACTTTATTAATCCCTGAAGAGCAATTCACTCTGAGTGATTCGGCTGGGAAAAAACAGATTTCATAGTAAATACAAGCATTTCTCAACATAAACTAAGAGTCTTAAAACACTTCTCTGATTTTCTCAGTTTTTTTATGGTCCTGAAAAGTCAATAGTTTGGAGGGTTTCATTCAGAAAAATATTGTACATTGAAAAATCTTTTGTTTTGCAGTTAATCCTTCATTGTAACCCTGATATCTCTCTCTCTCTCTCTCTCTCTCTCTCTCTCTCTCTCTCTCTTTTGCTCTTTATTCTGTAGGTATATGGTACAACATACTGAGTGGAATGGGAAAATTCTCTGTCATTATAAATGTAAGTATTAATGCAGCGTCCTGCTTTTAACTGTCACCTCATTAAATAAGTAATAACAGCTGATAAATTCACAGGCATGTATGCTAACATTAGCTACTATACATGATGTTATTTAAAAGTCTCATACAGAGCACTGACATACTTCTGTGTGTCAAACTAGCTGAAGAGCTACACAAAGATTAAAGGACAATTCCACCACTTTTTCTTACTGGAAGTCCATTCATCCAGAGGGCACACTGTAGTGATGTATTTTGATCCTGAAGGTCCCATTTAATAAAAAAAGAAAACAACATTTTACACTCATACAGTACTCCTCGTTTAACGAAAGAAAAACCCACAATGTTCACAGAAATAAAAATCCTAAGAAGCCTTATACAGTATTTAGGCCAATTGACTGATTACAAGTTTGTAAACACCTGTGATGCTAATTAGTGGACACACCTTGAATTAACATGTCCTTTTAATCACATTATTTTCAGTCTTTTCTAGGGGTACCATCATTTTTATACATTTTATTCATGAGTTTGTTTTTTAAAATAATTCTGTTGAAGCATGGTTGAAAAGTAATGTCTGACTTTCATCGGTAGATTTTTATAGAATTTTTATTTATTATTACTTTTGTCAGATTTAAGTTATTTCTGTGACTGTTGGGAGTTTTTCTTTCATTAACCGAAGGGTACCAACAATTTTGTCCAGGTGTGTACTTAAGTCATCCGCTAGCTGAGCAACCCTGGAAACACTAATTAAAAGAAGGCACTGCATTGTTTCTGTCGCGCACCAACTGAGAAAATACAGTTTCTAATTTGACTTGAATTGGCTCCTGTGATGATGTCACAACAGGAGTACATGTAAAACTTCAATTCTGGACCCTCCTAGGGTATTGTTTTGCTTTGGCGATCAAGTGTACAGATGTCTGAGTCAAGAGCCAGACGTGCACACCACTTTCTTTACGCAGCAGCATCTGTAGGAATAAAGGACAAAAGAAACCAGCGGTTGCTTTATGTTTTAATTACAGCTTAAACCGGTTACAGCTGGCGCCAGTTTGTTTTTTGGATCAACAACTTAATCTTGGACTGCTTACACAAAGAAGACTGACCATATTAAGCTGCATATGAAAGACAACACAGTAGGAATACCACGCATACTGTACATTGTTATGATACCTGTAAGTAGTTTTGGTTTGATTACATGGAAAAACATACAATTCAGATGTTTCATTCCATGTTATAGACATTTAAAGCACGCAGGTTTGGTTCATTCACCAAAAAGACTTCATGTACAAGAGGTCAGGTATTACCTGCCTCAAACACTGACACTGAACTCTGCAGCAACGCTCCACTCTGTAATCCAGCTTTTATCATCTCTGTTGTGTATCATATAGAGATTTATCCTCTGTGTTTGCCCTGAGCTATCATCCACCGTGACCCTGACAGATCCCTGAATCACGTCCGAAATACCTTAACATCCTGATCTGCCGAGGTCAAGGTGTGTTTGTGAAGACGGGGATTTGCTCTGCTCGGGATTTGTCCACGTCCAGCCAACCAAATCTTGTTCCGTTTACTTTTAATACTAAACAGATTTGCAAAGGATTCCAAAAAACCAGCAGCAGGAGTTTTTATTTATTCTGGATCTGACTCACATAAACTCGCTTAAGCTGGCCTGGGAGCTGAAGGCGATGGAAAACTGGGAGCAGACTTCCCCTTTTAGTGCAGGCCTCTTGCAATCATGTATCAGCGCTGAGAAGAATGTAATATCTCAAGACCCAAACAAGAGAGTACACGGTGCTGTCAGAGCCGTCTGCACCGCTGTGTGAGGTTTCATAAATCACATTATTATAGCAGATTTTTATATAAACACTCTTTCGCTCTGTCTCTTTCCTCTGAAGGCCTTTGTGATCTCCTTCACGTCGGACTTCATCCCTCGGCTCGTCTACCAGTACATGTTCAGTCAGACCGGTACCATGCACGGCTTCATCGACCACACGCTCTCCTACTTCAACGTTTCCAATTTCAAACCCGGAACGGCGCCGCACAACTCTCAACTCGGGGACATCACGTTCTGCAGGTAGGCCCACACATGAGAAAAGAGTCAAAGACATTAAAAATTTACTTTTTCATTATCTGATCTATCAGGGACTCTGAGCTACTGTTTTGGAGTCTATTTTGGCGCCTTGTGTTGGACGATAAACATGCTTAAGCACTGAATAACTGACCAAAAACAACCATCTCCACTTTCATCTCTTTATCTCCCATGGGTCATTGGAGCTGATTTGTGTTTCTAACCAAATTTACTTTTCCCTGAAACCATAAATCTCTTCCAGTCTTAAAACTCGTGTCCTGAGGCAACGCCAACTTATTCACAGATAATGTCAGCAGAAGATGATGGTTTGATTAAATTCTGTCCGCTGGTCTTTCATTTAATATATCTTGATCTTAAAGTGGTGCAAAGAGGTCAAACAAACTGCCATATTTAGTGATAAATTTGATTATGTGTTTATTTGAAGCAATTTTACAATTTAAGGGGCTTTTTATGGCTTTATTAGAGAGAGAACAACAGCGGATGGATCAGGGAACAAGAGGGAGAGACAGGAAAGAGGCAGAAGGTTGAAACCAAATCTTTGGGGAGTCTTTACACTTTTATGTAATCAGGAGAAAAACCTAAAAAGTTGTTTCAATAGAAGTGACAAAAACACAACCTGTTTTTAACATTGTTCCATCAGCATTGGAAGTATAACATCGCTCATCGTCTGCATAGGGTAGCAGTACGATCGCTTATATTCCATTACATGTGCAACTGCAGGGTTAACGCATCATTCAAGTGGAGTTAAATCGACCAATCAAGAGCTTTCAGAGATGAACTCAGTGGAAACTCACTCGCTGCGTTTCCATTACATTTTTTCACAAAATTAAAGTGATGTTTATCAAATTTCAACAAAGTACAATTGTCAAAGGTAAACTTTCTGCCCGTACGACCTCGTATTCCTTAAGCCTTTTTGCACACCAACATGGACGAGACACTTAACATTTTGCGTCTTGGAGCAGCTATTTCTGTGACCATTACTGCTGTTGCCGCTGCTGTCATCAGAAGACGAAGGCAGCGGGTGATAATTCAAAGACAAAGACCGTATGTATGGGAGCGGACATGGATGAGGATCGTTAACGAGGAATTCACAGACCAATTGTGGATTCAAAACTTCAGGATGACCCGGGATAGGTTCAATGAACTGTGATGCTATTGAGCCTCTCGTGGCACCCGCCATGTCAAGCCCCTGGGAGGCAGTTCCCACTCGGAATCATGATCACATGACCCACTACGTCACGTCCGGTGACGTAAAATTACGAGAATAGTGTTTCCATTACACTTTTGCGATATTCTTCTATATCGACACGTCTGAAAAACCACCTCATGAGAGCGTAAAAACCTTTTAGCGATATTTGAGGTTTTTCGAAATTTAGGTGTTTCCATTACCAGTTTTCTATGATGATATTTAGGTTTTGCGCAAATCTATGGGTAATGGAAACGCAGCTAATGTCGTACTTGTAGAGTGGTGAACATGCAGTAACTAAACTGAACTTAAGTTCGATCTTATTTTTAATTTCTGATTTTAGCAGGAAACAGAGGAAGAGTTTCTGTCAGTATTTTCACTTTTTATGATGCAACTAAAAATATGGTGAATGTTTGATGAGCGCGCTGTAGCATTTGACCAATTAACAGAATAAAGTGTGAGAATAAATCTTCAGACAAAGACGCGGCCCAGCATCAGTGAAGTTTGATTTGTTAGCCTCGCAGACAGAGCGCTTTTGTATCTCCCATGCGTTTTCACTCATTCCAGTGGCAAAAACGAGTTTCATAATATCGATACAAAGCGCCGCGGACAAAAAGGTCACGGATGCCAGCGCCCGCCGACTGAGGACAACCTGCTGTTATGTAACACGGCAAAGAATTACGCCGCAAGAATGCCGTCTTTGTGTCAGTGGAGCGCGGTACGTCACGTCTGAAACACGACGAGCCGCTGTGCGCATTTAGGCGTGAAATTGGCTAAAACATTTTTCAAGAACGGCGTCTTCGTCTTCACTGTGTGCAGCACTGTGTGGTGTGTGTCCAGACAGCTGTCTTCAATGCGGACCTCGCCTCAAGGCTCATGGTCAATGATTTCACTCCTCATGTCATTCAAAGCATGCCTGATTTTCTAGACAAGTCAATTCTTTCATTTTGTTTCCTTCCTGTGACTCAGATCATTTAGTGACCCCTTTAGCACCAATAAATATGTGCCAGAGAGGAGCTGATGTGTTGATGATGTTCCCCGTCAGAGAACGGAGGAATCAGATGATCAATTATAGGTCAAAAATTTAAGATAAAGAAGCACTGAAGCTGTTTAAGTAGCGCAGAGTAAAAGCAGGAAGAAAGGAGGCACTGTAGCTGTGTGGATGGAGGCGTAGATGGATTGTGTGATAGAGACCGACCACTGAGGTATTAAATCTTTAAAACGGCATTTAAAAACAGCAACGCTAAGAACTTGTAGACGGTTTCTGTGCCAGCGGGCTCTCCATCACTGTACGTCTCTGCGGTCACGTGCTCTCTGCTGCAATCCCAGAGCTGAATGAGTCAGGAGAAAGTCTGCTTCACCGCCTTTCTGGAGAAGAATGAGATTTTAATCTGGGGAAGGATCATGGAAATGCAGATTTATTGAATTTAATCTGAATAAAGGAGAAGGAGTATGGATTTTGTAGTAGCAAATAAAAACAATGTTAAAGTTGAATTGGGAACAAACCATAGAAAACAAAAGAGCTGAAGGATTCCTCGAGTACGTCTGTTATTTACAGGTCAAAGCAAATCATTTACCTTGAGCTGTAGATTAAATCCAGACAGTACAGTGCGTGAAATTCTGGCCCAGAACAACCATCAGGAGAGTTCCCTGTTGTTATAATTTTCCTGTTCTTCCAGACAAGCAGCGCTGCAGAGCTATCGAAACAGTTTATTGTTGTTATGATGTGAAAACACAAAGACCAACATCAGGGAGGTTCATCTCTGTGCTTGTTCATCGTGGTTTTCACATGTGTTTAATGCTCCAGCTCACTGTTAACCCTCCTCCTCTTACTGATATGGGAGTCAGATGTGGGAGTGAAATGTTTTCCCCCATTTTTTAAAACCAGCAGAGAAAAATTTTCCTGCAGCTTTTGTTGCACAAACTCGACAGTCTGACTGCACACAGATCCGACTGTTTCCTCTGTGCTGATGAGCAGAGACGGGTCTAGACTCTGTGACTGGGGTCGCACTGATATGGATGGAGGTGGCCAGGATACATGTGCATACCCACAAATTATGAACATTTACACTATCTGTGGACTGATCTACTAAAGATGGGCATCGACTTTGACACTTGGACAAAGGTGGCGCTGTAGTGGAGTCACTTGGACTCGATCCTTTAAGACTAATGCTGTGTTCTAGTTCCCTCGGAAGTCAGATGTTGGAACTGGGAATGATACAACACCCGAGTTGATGGCGTTCCAATAAACAAGTCGTAAAACCAAGATGGACACCTTCTGTTAGCCGTTGTTGGCTGTTGTTTACAATTTTCAGCTGTTGTTAGCTGTTGTTAGCTATACCAGTTGTAAACAACGCATAACACAGTATTTTACTTTACAAACACCATAGTACAGTGTTTACAGTTAGACGTTGGGCAGTACAACATAAACCACTTATTTAATTTTACAAAAACAAAACAGAAGTGCTAATAAATAAAACATTATTAGAGCTTTCACCGTTACTCTTTACTGTTGATGCACTGTGCTGCCATCTTGGATCATGACGTTGTCGTCAAGTCGGCGTTGTTGAGGATCTTCTGAATTTCCGAGTCGGAAATCCGACTTTAGGGGGGCGTTCCAGATGAATTTCAGACTCAGAGCTCAGAAATTCCGACTTCCAAGTACAACTGGATTACAGCATTAAGACTCAACTTTATCAGAACTTGAGCTGCGGAACTCGTCAGCGATCTTCTTTGTTTATTATAACATCAAGAAGTCAATATGATTACAATAAGAAATGTTGCATCTTATGAACTAAATTAATGGCTTTTTGAGCAGGACACTTGATGTCATACATTAAATCCATTGATTCATTTAGTCTTTTTCTTCGTGGCTTTGCAAGAAAACGTTTTTGGCGAAATATAAACTAATCAGGGTAAATTTCAAGAAGGAGATTCATGATGATTTTGAGCAGAAAACTTCTCATCAATGACGCTTTGAAGGCGCTCCAGGTTCTTGCCCCTGCTGGGTTATTAATAACAAAATATGAACCCCTAAAAAGCCATATCTTCTGTTCGGCTGACCTTAGACGTCCACACGAAGAGGACAAGAGGGAAAACAGAACAGAGGAAGATCAAAACGAGACACTTCTGCTCTTCAATCACTGAAATCTTTCACCGAGTTTCACTGGGACTCACAGGGAATGAGGAATGCAAACACAAGATAAAATGATAGATTAGAGATGAAGAAACAACAAACAGAGCCAAACCTTCGAGTCATGAGGTTCCTTAAACTCATGTGTTGCCAATCATCTTCTCCCCTCCTGGACCGGTTCTTGGACTCTCCAGTCCTCGTGTCAAGACTGCACTTGTTCCCCGACTTGACAGGAAGCTGGCTGTTGTTACTGTCTTCTCACAGAAGAGTCAAGCGAGGGTCAAGGACTAATGTGAAGGTTTATCACGCAGCATCTGATACTGTACCGATACTCTGTTTGCTCGTTGACTGAAAGTGTAAAATCAGTCGCTGTGAAAAACGATAAAAAGTAACGGCTTAATCTCGCTCTGACAAAAACCCAAAACAGGTAAAGACGACTTCCTGCAAACTCACTGTTACCTGACGCCAAGTGCATTCCCCGCCGGAGGGTCAGTGTGTGTTTGAGTGTATTTTAAGGATGGGAATGGTCTGACCCTTGTTTGTCTGTAAATTTATTGCTGGTTCCCAGGAGGCCCAGGGTTGGCAGCAGGAACTTTCAGGAACACACACAGACACACACACACACAAACACACACACACTCCCGAGTCTCTCACATAACCGACCGTAATCTCACTGAGTGGTCTTATGAAAGAATATTAAGTTAGATGCCCCAGTTGCTGCCGACTGTTATACCCAAAGATGGAGCGTCTCGGAAATAGACACACGCACGCTTTAAAAAAAAAAAGAGGGAGAAAAAGTTCTTTTATAATATTTTTATATTAAATTCCACTCAGGGAAGTAATGCTGAGTGGACCAGGAGGTCTTTGACTTGTTCAAACGTTCGGCTCATATTGAAGCCGACCCACGACAGAAAGCGCAGTAATTATTTAGCGAGCGAGCGGGACGAAGATGAACAGATGAAAGAAAAAAAAAAAGAGAGGAAAAGAAGAGTCGTCTCTCGCAGGCAGCATTCCTCACACATGACTGTATAAGGAGAAGGAATCAGACACCAGGAGTCACACACACACACACACACACACACATACACAACACTCACACACATTTCACTCTTCGTCTTCTTCGTTTCTATACCGCTCGACGGCTCAATCAGTCGCTTTCATTTCTTTCAGCTTCAGAGGCATTCTTCGCTGACAGCCTGTATGTTTGGATGTCAGTCTATTCAATTTAAAGCTTTGATCAGAGTTATCCAATTAATCTGACATGTTTACAGTAACTGACAGCTGCTAGTGGGATCGCTCTTTCCGGCGTTCCTCCTCTGTTCTGGTTTGTTCTCATCATATGTTGTCATTTTCATCTCAAGTAGGAAACATGATGGATTCATGTATGAGGGCCAGTTGGCTTTGTTCAAACTGCAGGAGAAGTCAATTTGAAGTACAGAGTCAAATTTTCAAATCCTCTTCAGTCCTGGTCTATCAAGGTGTGCCACAAGGCTCCATCCTTGGACCGCTCCTCTTTATTGTAGACATGCCCCCCAACATCAAACGGTCAAGTCATCAGAAAACATGGACTCGTCTTGCACTTCTACGATGATGAAACGCTGGGATTCCACCGCATGCAGATCCGCTATGCTAGGGTGACCATACGTCCTCTTTTACCCGGACATGTCCTCTTTTTTGGGGGCTGTCCGGCTTTGTCCTGGGAAGTTTAAAAAATCCTTCAAATTTCCGTGGTTTTGTACGTAAGTTTCGATTTTGTGTCACATGGACTTACTGAGTTAGAAGCAAATAAAAGACACTCGATCCAATCTGCAAAACTCTCAAAATTAACTTTGTGCGACTCCGTGACTCCGCCCCCACATAGTCGTGTCCTCTTTATGGGATGTCAGAATATGGTCACCCTAGGCTATGCTACACTACCCTCTGGAACAGCAGGTGGATCAAGAATACAAGCATACCGCACTCACCAGATCCGCTGCTGCAGGTGGAGGAGAAGCGCTTGCGATATTACCGATATATTCATGAGACTGGGCGAGATTTCACGTGTTTCACCGTGAGACATTGAATGAGATCGGCGGTGTATATAAACATCCACATCCCACAACCCTGGCCCCTCCCATTATCACATGAAGAACAGTTCAACGTATTGACTTTATTTTATATTGAAATTTAATCGGATATTTTACTCTGTAGCGGCAAATAACTTACACTGCCACTCATGCTGCACTGCACCTAATTAATGCGCTGTGCTGCAGCGTCCGGCCAAAATAGAAGCCTTGTGTATCTGATCCAACCACCGGAGCGGATTCGCAGCAAAGCCACACTGATTGTTTGGAATCACAAACATTGATAACAATTCTTGCGTATTTGATCAGGCTGCCGTTCCAGAGCGGAGCGCCGCTGTTCCTGATCCTGTGGAATTTAGCCGTAAACACGCCACCCAGTCCCCTCCATGGTCATACATCCACGGCCTCACTTTCAGATCCACACGCTCTGGTCTCGTGGATTTCCAAACTTTAATAGAGGAGTTGCAAATTCAGTTATACGTGTTAAAGCAACACACACTCTACAAATGAGTAGCAGGTGGATGTTATTTAGGAGCAAACAGGATTTAATAATAGACTGATAAGACAGAAACAGTTTTATCTCCAGTCTCTTCAGGTCAGAGATTATGTTAATTAGTAGTTTGGACGGAGTCAGGAGAAATTAGAGGTTCTGGAAAACATGATTTTTAATGAGAGGAAATACAGTTAATTTTTAGCAGAGCCAGATCGAGTAATGAGAGCTTCCTATTAGTTCTTCAAAAGCTAAACAGAGTCTGTGTAACTCGAAAAGTTAATAAAACATGAAGAGCTTTTTTTAGACTAAGTTAGCAGGATTTTATTTTCTGATTTGTTTCTGACCGATGAACAAGGACCACCTGAAGTTTGATCAGAGATTTCTGGTCCTGGTCAAAAATCAGTCCGGCACTCAACTCTCTTAAAAAAATCTGTATACTCTTACATTGACCTCCATATTTCACCAGTTAGAGTGGACATCAGATGTGTTGTCCTGGTTGATGTTTCTCTCTGTTTATCACTTTCTTCTTTTTATGAAGCCCGTGTTCAGAGAGGTGTTCAATGTTTCCTCTTTTGACTCGATCTGACGCACTCATTTGTCCATCCGATGTCCTAAATGCACTTATTCAAAGGACACTATAGTTGAAAGACTGTTTTATCTCCAGCCAAGGCTCCACATAATGCAGATCTTTGTCCATAAATCTCAATCTCCTCCATCTTTTCTGAACATTCGGCGGTTTGGGAGGATGCATTTTTGCTTAAAGATGTTCTCCAGATTAACAATGAGATGGACTGTCTCTAAAGGAATGCTATATGTTGTACTGTGCATCCCACAGGCAAAGGCGGACTCCTTCAACATGGCTGTCATGAAAATTGACCCTAAAGGGGCCACAACACAAAGCCAGCCAGAGACACCAGAGCCCTGTCCTTCCTTTACTCCTCTCCATCTTCAGGGGGTTGGTAGATGGTCAGATAGTGGCCTGCTCTCTGTTCCCAACATTGTCTTTGTCCTCAGATTCGTTTTCAAGTATGTCGACATGCAGGGATTAAGTTTGAACACTAAATGCATTAATTCCTCCGGAAACCTGAATCCACTTTAGCCCTCTATGTCGCTCAGTCTTGTGTACAAAGACCGGACACTTTAAGGAGATGATAGAGTAATTGCAATGTGACGCTGCTACCGTACAATTCAGCCGTTTGCTCATTGGTCCAGCGGTGAAGTCTGTTGCCATGCGCTTGTGTTTTTAAAGCAATATCAAACTTAAATGTTGTGATTGAAGGAGGCTGTGATATTTATTTTGGATTAGGATGGTGAGTTTGAGATTATTCTTACCCCCAATTTCCACCGCATCCGTAAAAGCTCCACCACAGAACGGCTGCGATTTTCGCTGTTCACCAATTCCTACTGGCTGCGTTTGTGAGGCGAATTTTGTCTTACAAGAACTCACAAGAACCCGCAAATTCACATGCAATCGCGCGATAACGAGTTGTCTTTATAAAGACGATCACATAGATGTATGAGCAGTAGATTGTGTCCTTCCAGAGGAGAACATCTACTTCTAGACTTCTAGAATCGGCATCTCTAATAACCTGTCACTTTTTTGTCCCTGTCACATAGTGTTTGAAAAGAAGTCGGATGTTTTATTTTATGTCTGTGCCCGACTTCCTTTCCAGCACGGGTTAATCTGTGCTGAATTTATGCGGCATTCTGCAGCGTCTGTTGATCCGCAGCAGAATGGAAAGAAGACGGTGGAAATAAACACATTAACTTTCATGTAAACAATCAGCTGTGATTGGCGGATACGGCCTTTTCATAGCTGTTCCGGACGTGGTGGAAATTGGGGATTTGGAAGCAGCGCAGTTAATTCTTTGAACAGGTCATAAGAACAGTCATAGGTGAGGTCCTGATGGTGATGTTAAGATGAGTTTAGTCTGTTTATTTATCTCAGCTTTTCTTCTTGTTGGCAGGTTATATTCAACAATGTCCACCTCACTGATCAATCTTAAGACCCAGAATGACATTAACCAAAGTTGACATGATTGTAACACGAAGACAGGGAGACGGCTGTTTCAGATTAGTCCTGACCAATCACAGGACTTCAGGATTTTATCCCAACTCTAGAAGTTTGCTCGACTTTGAAATCACATGAAAAGTCGTGTAAGGTAAGTCAGCGTTTCCACCGTGGCACCCTCCATCTTCAGACTTCTACATGCCTCTCCAAAGAGAGCACATCCATGTTTTTCGTAAACAGTCTGATCCCGAAAATTAAAACGAAGTTTTTAACAATAAAGATTGTATTTAACTTTTAAGTCTTAATGAATTTCCCAGACACTATATTCAGTTTTATACTGAAGCCTCTCAGTGTCTGCCCTGGTTTTCTGCTTTTGGAACAAAATATTCTGATATTAATTCAGGCCAGCATTGTCAAACAAAAGTCCTTAAAAATCAGGTCAAAAACACACCAATGAAGAAAGAGATCGTATCAAATCCATTTGTGAGTCACTCATCTGTAAAAGCATGTGTGCACTTTTGTTTTTATTCCCGTGATTCATGTTTAAAGGGAATTGTAACGCTTGTTGAAAGTGGCAATCTTTTGTTGATTATTGCTTTTATCGGATGTGATTTTGTGCCGCAGGCTTAAATACTAACAGACGTCCGCTCAGCGTGATGCTCTGCCGAGATGAAAACCTGCTGCGTTCTTTATCTTCATGTGAAAATGACCGAAACGTCCCGAATAAAGAAAAACTTCGTTAAGTATTTAGAGCGTGAGATTCTTCTCCTGCTGTGAGCGAATTTCTACACCTCTCCATCAACTTTGCTTTGAACGTCCATCACCTCGCACACATGTGCACCATCAGTTGGCTCACCGTGTTGGTGTTAATGCCTAAACCAGGCGTTGTCCAGGAGACAATGGTTGATGTAGACGCTAATGAATGTTAAACTTGTTAGAAATAGCATCCAGGAATTAAAGTTATTCTCCTTCACGCCCCAGTTTTCACGGCTTTGGCTGTCGAGCTTCGTCTTCTGCATCTCAAACAGTCCAGCTGCATCCTGACATCATCTTCTTTTGTTCGACCATCTTTTCGCTCTGCAGTCAACAGGTTCAGCAGTTCCTAATGTTACTGCACCATGATCTTCAGGTTAGATTTCCTCACCTGGGGCCTTATGTATCAATACTTGCGTGGAACTCATACCAGAAACGAGCGCACGCAAGGTCCGTCACGCTGAAAAAAATCTGTACGTATCAATGTGTGCGGGCACCGAAATCCACGTGTGTTTCCTTGATAAATCCCAATCAGCGTGGAATTGAGCGCAGATGTCGGAGTGACTGGGCCCGTCACCGTTACGCCCTCCTATAAATATGCAGATTTATTTAAATCGGGTCTCCCTGTCCTCGCACGCAGACAAAATGACAAGAAAAACTAAATTTACGGCGTGCGAGGTGGAGGTGCTGGTGGCGGAGGTGGAGGAGCGACAGCGTGTTTTGTTTGGCAGCCTGTCCAGTGGCGTCAGTTCAAAACGAAAACGCTTGGAGTGGGAGAAAGTTTGCGAGAGGGTGAACGCGGTGGGTTCCGAGACACGCACCCCCGCGAAGATTAAAAAAAAGTGGTCGGACCTCAAGGTGGAGGTCAAGCGGCGTACAGCTGCCCTCCGGAGGAGTACTGGCCAGACAGGTGGGGGTCCGGGGGAGGAGACCCTCACGCCGTTTGAGCAGCGGGTGGTGGCGATTACTATTATAGGGTAAGTGGCGTGTCACACAAATGTCCACATGCTTTGCCATCCCACTGAGCAAAAGACGTATGTTAGACGTCTAGTCTAAGTTTATACTTCATTTCAACGTCGGGATTCAGTCTATTTTTAGACGTGATTTATACTTCGCCCTTAACTTCATTTTTCAATAACTTTTTATGCAATAAACAACTGTAATGTGCATAACTGACCTCGAAATACTGGATTACATTACCTATGATACCGTGGAGAGAGATGTAAACACAACAGATACACAGAAGCAGGAATTGAAATAAACTAATATTTTTATTGTGTCACAGAAATCAATTTGTTGGCCGTGTCGCCGGCTTGCGGAACCCCGGCCCGCGGCAGCCCGTCCGCCGGCTCGGAGTCGTCGGCCAGGACCAGCGGCATTCGGGCCACCCCGGCCCCCGGCCCCAGCACCAGCATCAGCATCAGCACCAGTGCGCCGACAAGCGGTGGAGCGTCCACCAGCCGCGGCGCTTCCGCTGGACCACCCGGACGCAGTGGAAGGGTCCTCGCGGAGGGGGTCCTGCAATCGCAGGAAGAAATCATCAGGGGGATCGCGGGGATCAACGAGCGGCTGGACCGGCTCGTAAATGTCCTCGAGCGTCTGGTGGAGAAAATAAATTAATTTGGCTCATTGAACTGTGTATTCACTTCTTACCCATTCACACTGTGGCGATGAGATTCTCCCGCGTGAGGACGGCGGCCCGGCAGGGATCAGCTCGCATCCCTCCGTCTGCTGCTGGTTCGTCATGTGGGGCGACGTGCTGCTCGGCCACGGGGATGTGGTGCACGCTTGTCACATAGTGAGTCACCAAACACCGCCACACAGCGTCGCCAAAGTGCGAATCACAGTCAACGCAAGTATCGGCTCAACGCCAATTTCTACACCACCTCCTGACTTTGCGTTGATTAGCGCTGGAACCGACGCTCGTTTCGCGATGATAAATCTGGACGTGTGCGCCGATTTTGGCGTACGCAAGGTTTTCTTGCGCCGCAAGCGTTGATACATAAGGCCCCAGGTTTTTATCATAACAGCCTCTTAGCACCACTTCACAGACGACTAGTGTTACCTGAGAGCCAAACGACATTCTCACTTTGACCCTTTGTGCCTGAATTTGGTTTGAAGGATTCACATTTGCTCCTTTTTTCTCATCTGGAATAAAAACAAGATGCTTGTGCGCCAATGAAAACAGAATCACACGGCTTATATTTGAAGACAAATCCACTGTCTATCAAAAGGCGAAGTAATTACCATTCATGTCACCTGCTGAAAATTAAGACATTTCCAGAAATTTCATATGTCTGAGCAATATTCTTGTCTTGGTCTTTACTAGCCAACATGCATTTTGATATGGTGAACATGTTGTGCAGACCACAGGTTGTGTCGTTAGATACACTTAGACGAAGAATGACTCAGTTTAACACAGTATTACAGTATTTATTGGATATCACACCCTAGAAGTAGGGGATGCTTTGTCGTCATATAAATACAGCCATCATTAGGGTTGGGTATCGTTTGATTGAACGATTCCGGTTCTGATTCCGATTCCTCATTTCGTATGGCGGCTTCTTCTTCGTTGGTGTTTATCGGCATCTTCCTCGTTGGTGTTCGGCGGCTATTTCTTCCGGTCGGTGGACTCCGGCATCGAAACTTGGAATTGGAATTTTAAAACTTGAACGGTTCCAGGAGAATCGGAACGTTAGTCCCAGTCCCCATCGACGCTCGAGACCTAGCCATCTAACAGTTATCGCTCAGCTCTTAAGGAATGAAGCTGATGCCAAAAAAAACTCAAGTTTCCTGAGTGTTAGCTTGAGGCTGGATAGAAAAGCATGATTGAGATGGGGTCATTTGTTAAGGGCCAAACAAGGAAGGTTAGGGTTTTTGTTGGTAGGTCATCATTCGTATGTTCATTCATAACCGTAAACTGGCTCTCTGTCCAGTTCCTAATTTCATAAACTCAGTGGGTTAAACATACATATGTTATCTTTTCTTGTTGTACATATCGTGCAAAAATCTACAAAAAATCCTCTTGCAGTCAAACTCTGAACCCAACAGGAAGTCCACCAGTTTGATTTAGATTTTTAAACAATACATGGTAGTACGAACTTTTGCATTCACCCGACCAAATTTGATGGTGACATCTCCATAAACATTTTTGTCACAGTAGTAGTGCCACCTATTGGACAAGAGTGGTGTTAATATTCTCTCTTGGATCAGCCTTTATTCTCTATAGTTTCTTTATTTCTGCAGCAGCACAGATGAGACTTAGTTTATAACTCGCTCCACCTGCTGCTCGGTTCAGTCTGCTGTAAATCAAACATTCATGCTGATAGATTCGTCTGACCTCGACGACCTGAAATTAGATTTATTCAGCGCAGTGATGTAACTCTGTAAATAAACAACACATGTGACAAACACAGTGACTCAAGAAAAGACAGAGTTTGTGTCAGATGACGCCGCTCTGAATCAGCTCCTACTCTGTTGTGTTTAATCAGGTCTGCTACACAAAACTGATCCTCCTCCTAATTTTTTAAGACCTTCCTTGTTTCATTAATCACTCTTTTCTGTCTCCATTTCACCTCCTTCACTTTTTAACTTCTATCTCATCCTTCTGCGCTCTTGTCTTTCCTCAATCTCTCTCTCTTCCTCTCTTTGATTCCTCGGCCCTCGGTCTAAAGCTGCCTTCCGTTAGCTCCACATGTGGTTCCAGTTTTCTGCTGTTTGTTTTGCCAGCACAATAAAGAGTGTTTACTACAATGAAAACAAAGGAAAGGAATCCTAATAAAGTTTATGGCGCTCTGAGTCGGGTCCCAGGCCGGGTGAAGAGAGCATTATGTTCTTACTGGGGTTTCGTTCCAGTCAGGTAGAGATAGACCAGTTTGTGTTTCACAGAGAGAAAACAGCACAGGGGTCGATTCTTAGAGACGGATTTAGCTGAAAAATGGTCAACTATTACATTCTGGCATGAAAACAGCAACTGACTGGAACAACACCTTTTCTGATCGTATGTGGGTCTCGTAAAAACAATCAAGTCTTAACACATCATCTTCCACCAGCAAGAAGGACAATCTAGACAATAGTGGACCACCGAGACACAGCAGATGGTAAATCAGGGAAAATCATCAAAACAAAGTCATCAGCGATCCATTGAAGAACGTCTTTTCACACTTGCATGTGTTGTATCTGAGCGGCGTCCCATTTAAGAGTTACATTCACATGTACTACTGTGGGGAGTGTTGCACTCTTTTGCATGACATTGCTGCTAGTTCAACCACATTGTTCTAGCGTGGCTGAAGTAATGAGGAGGTGCAGTCTTTACCCGAGTCCGGAAAAGGTGTTTCAAACTCCCGTCTCTCCAGTCTTTCCCTCACGCCGTATGATTGTGAAGTAACCCCCAATTTTCACCGTATCAGGAACGGCGGCAAAAAGTCTGTCAGTGCCGATCGCAGCTGATCGTTTCCATTCAAGTTAATGTGTCAAATTCCACCGGGTTCTTTCCGTCCTGCTGCGGTTCAGCGAGCTCCACAGTCAATTGCCAGAGCTCAATCTTTTTACGGATGCTGCAGCATAAATTCAGCACAGATTAACTCGTGCTGGAAAGGAAGTCGGGCACAGACACAAAATAAAACATTGGGCGTCTTTTCAAAATAAAACACTACCTGTTTCAGGTGGATCGTATTTCACACCATGCAAACGTGGGCGGGGGCGAACAAGTCAAAGTCTAGAAGTGGATTTCCTCCTCTGGAAGGACCAATCTACTGCTTATATGGTTATGTGGCTGTCTTTAAAGAGACGACTCGTCATTGTGCGATTGCATGTGAATCTGCAGATTCTTATGAGTTCTTGCAATTCCTGCTGTCCGAAATCCGCCATGAAATTTGCCTCACAAATGGATCTGACAGGAATTGGCAGATGGCGAAAATCGCTGCAGTTCCATAGTGGAGCCATTCCAGATGCGGTGTAAATTGGGGGTTAGCTGGGAGCTTCTCTTCTCTTTACAATCTCCAAGTTTAACCACATTGTACTGGCTAGTAATCACAAAAAATGAAGATGTTCGGTCTTTACTGGAGTCCGAAAAAGCGTTTCAAACTCTTATCTCTCCAGGCAGTTGCTGCAAAAACATCCAGTCTTTCCCTCACTTCGTATGAATTCACCAGTGTGATTCAACCATGTACCAAAACAGTCGACAAACACACCAGCAGGAGGCTAACCAGCTGACACGTCTTTGTTTTGTTGTTTTCATGGCTCGGCTCCAAAACTGGATTGTCTTTCTGGGAAAACTTCCTCATGAACGACTTTACTCTGGAGCGAACAGTTTTGTGTTTCCTCTTTTGTCTTTACTGTCTCCAGCTGAGCCCTGAAGGAGTTTTATTTATCAGGCATAAAACTGTGAGATCCTAAAAGTGTGTTTTTTTTTAGCTCTAACGCTGTGTTCCTGTGGGGGTTTTCTCTAGGTATAAAGACTACAGGGAGCCCCCCTGGTCTTCAGACGCGTACACGTTCTCCAAACAGTACTGGTGTGTCCTGGCTGCCAGGCTGGCTTTCGTCATTCTGTTCCAGGTATGAACTAGAATCTGCAAACACAGAATCCTAAATTATTCATGTGAAGAAAATGAAAACTGTTTCCTCTCCCCTCCAGAATCTGGTGATGTCCCTAAGCCTCGTGGTCGCCTGGGTGATTCCAGACGTCCCCAAAACCATCGTGGAGCAGCTCAAACGGGAGAAGAAGCTCCTGGTGGACCTTTTCTTGAAGGAGGAGAAGGAGAAATTCCAGCTCATCCAGAGCCTCTTCACCAAGGACGCCACCAAACAACCGGGCAGCCACGCCATCCGCCCGCGCCAGGGTCCCCAGCTCTCGGGTCGCTACAGCACGCTGCCTCCGGGTACGACGCAGGGCGGCGACGGCGGCGGTCCGAGAGTGAGGTGTAGAGCGGCCAGCTTCAGCCAGTTCAGCAGGAAGTTTCCTCCGTCGCCCGGAAGCGAGAATAAAAACTCGAAACACACAGCTGTGTGACATGCCCTCCACACACACAGACACAGACACACACACACTTACACACACACACTCTGATTTGGTCTGTGAATGTCTTGGACTGTGTCACTCGTTCTCCGGTGTGTGTGTGTGTGTGTGTGCGTGTGAGACGTAGTTGAACGGAGATTAATGGAACAGCATCATATTTTGATTTTTATGTCTCGGTGTGTTTGAATGTGAAAACGCTCGTGTTGTTTCTCCTCGCTTTGACTGTTGACCTGATAAAGTGTTATCAACATTTTTACTTTTTGGTAAAAATAAACCGTTTAGTGAGGCACACTCGCTTCATAGCGTAGACAAGCAATAAATACAGCAGTAGGCTGATCAGTCGAACACTACACACACGAACCCTGGAAAAGACCGGAGACCCAGAAAGGACAGACTCAGCGATGAACTCTTACAGACACTGACTCACGGTGTGACGGACATTGTGGCTCATAAATTGGGCTTTATGAACCGGATGATTCTCGCTTCTTTATGTGCTTTTGCTCCTCTTGTTTTTCTTGTTTTGAACAGAACTTTGTAGCAGCTACGACACTCCACACTTTCTGGACTTTTGGATCTATGAACTCACACGAGCCTCCCGGAGGAGCGACCCGTCTCCTTCCACCTCTGAGGGCGTTTCAGCAGATTTTCTCAGTAGAATTCAGGAATCACGTTGAATTATTTGACTGTATCGTCGTTGCTGCCAATGAGGCGCGCTGTTAAATGCCACTCATAGATTCTAGTCTAAGCTGTAGTTTTAGAAATAGACGATCTGTGACGCATTTTTCCTGTTAGACGTGGACTTTTATAGCTCTCTGTCAACACGGGTTGGGGTTCGGACTTCATCGAGAAAGCCAACACTCTTACAAACTGTGAACGGGAGTGAAGTAGAAGTTATCTCACTGTTTTTAATGTGAAGGGAACAAGTACTTTATTGGCAGTCTTTTATTATGAAATATCACTCTGTACATTCCTGCAGGCAATAAATCTGGTTCCTGCTGCCCGAATAGAAAAGCTGTTTGTCTCGTAAAAGACGTTTCTGGTGAGATCAGCAGATGTCATCTAGTGTAACTTTATCTGTTTTTACTGCAACTGATCCATCACAAACATCTGTTTTTTTTTAATGCTTAATTTACAGATATTATTAATCAAGTGTTGATCGGTGATCATTCAACAAAACAGACTCTAACACAGTGACAAACGATAGCAGGGAAAAAAACTGGTTTTTGTTCACCGGTCCTGGAAATTATCCTCCGTGAAAAGATTATTTCTATATTTTGCATTTCACAAGGAACATTTCGAATGAGTTGAAAAGGATGAGAACTAAATTAAGGAAAACTATCATATTTTCTTTACAAGAATAGATTTTCAGGAAAATCAGCCGTAGATAAAATCAAACAGAATTATAAGATAATCTTTATTTCATGCGAACAGAGTCGTAGCAAAATCTATTTATCTCTGAATAAAATTCGTAAAAACATTTTCTTACAATAAAATCATTTTCCAAGCAGAAAAAAAGTCATAAAATAATTCACTTTTCCCATGAGAATAAAGTCCTGAGAGAGTAAAGTCGTAGTAAAATAATTCTCCTTTCCCATGAGAATCGAATCCTGAGAGGGTAAAGTCATGGTAAATTTGTTCTCATTTCCCATGAGAATAAAGTCCTGAGAAAGTCTTTCCTGATAAGAGTAAAGTCGTAGTTAAATCACTTTCCCATGACAGTCATAGTAAAATTATTTTCTCAGGAGAAAAAGTCTTTTGTAAAGCGGTGGAAAAATAAAAAGTGGTAAGAGAGTCATTCACCTACAAAAATAAAGTCATGCTCTCAAGAGAATAAATGAGAATATATCACAAGAACGAAGTATAAGAAATCATTTTTCCAATCAGAATAATCAGAATTGTAAGAGAATCCTTATCACGTTAGAACAAAGTTGTAGCAAAATTGTTTTATCTCTAAAAAAAAAATGTAAAAACATTTTCTCACGATAAAATCATTCTCCGAGCGGAAAAAAAGTCGAAGTAAAATCATTCTCTTTTCCCATGAGAATAAAGTCCTGAGAGAGTAAAGTCATAGTTAAATCACTTTCTCATGACAATCATAGTAAAATGATTTTCTCTGTAAGGACAGGTCAGTGGTAGAAAAATAAAATGTAAGAAAGTCATGAACCTACAAAAATAAATTCACGCTCCAAAGAGAATAAATGAGAATATCTTACAAGAATCAAGTCTTAGAAATCATTTATTCCATGACAATAAAATCACGGTTAGAACGCTTTCTGAGAAAAAAGTTGTCAGTTTAGTCCATCGTCATTCATTTTGTCAAAGAAAAGCCACATAATGAAATGTATCTCAGTTTTTTGCACAATCTTGTCAGAGTCCTGATACCTGAAAATTAAGTACAACTTAACAAGATGCTTCAAGATCCTCATTTCAGCAAAAACAGCTGTCTGCTCAGAAGAAAACCACAAACCTCAATACAGATAAACGGATGGGACATTGTGTGAAACATGAATATAAACAGAAAACGATTATTTGCAAATCCTTTCCCACCTATTTTCAGTTAAATACACTTAAAAGACGAGATATTTGATGTTCAAACTGATACACTTGATTATTTTTGCAAATATTCACTTATTTTGAATTTGATGCAGTAACTCGTACAGACTGACAAACATCTCAATTGTCAGAGAGACAACAAGTTGAACATCTGTCATAATCTCAAACAAAGTAAATCATCCAACAATAATATCATAGATCTCCTCTTTACCTGAGGACTCCTGAACTGTATTCACCTTTTAACTTCTATTGCTAGGAGACTGATGAACTCAAACAAACTGTGTCTGGGCTTGCATGACGGCGTTTTGGCATAAACTGGATCTGGTTCTTTAAATTAGCGCTAATCTGTCAAAATCCTCCTCCTCATGTGTCAACCCATCTTGGCAACGGGTTCAAGATTCTTGCACGGATCGGCGTGGACGTCTGCTGCAAAGTCGGGTTACATGAAATTATCTAAATTAAAGAAAACTGAAATTGAAGGATGTTAAAGCGTATACTCAACACTCTTCCAGTGCACTACACCACACCGCTTTTGTGTTTGTGTGCGTTTGTTTGTGTGGTCATGCGTTGTTTAAGGACATCAGGTAGTTTTCCTCTCTGCAGAACCGAGCCAAATTGGCCTGAAACCACGACGCAACTGAGCGAAACCTCATCACAGAAAAATAGACGGTGGTTTGAACAAGCCTACCCCCGTTACGCACATGCACACACACACAGACAGTGAATGCTGCGTTTGTGTGTAGGAGTCATGCATCAACTCCTCCTGTCTCTCAAACTTTCCCTCCATCACAATTTGAATCGGCACTTTCAGACGACAGAAACAGTTTCGTTTCACCTCCACACTCGTGTCCAATCACAGTGAGACCCTGATCAACCCCAGCTGTGGAGTCGTGGGTGGTGGTGGAAACATTCATGCTAATCGCCATCCTGAATGTAACATTATGGGATTCACATTCCTGACATTTAACTGCTGTGCCCGTCTCACTGGTCTCACCGCAGCTTTTTGTTGAAGTGTGTTATAGCTGAAAAGTGGAGCCACAAAGCCGCCTTTCGCCGAGCGCTTGTTGAGCTCTAAAAGAAAAAGCTGCTGTGCTCCGCGGATGATGTAATAACCCGCCATTTAGTCCGACCAGGATGTGCAGCAGATTTTCTGTATTCATCAATCTGGTCTGTTTGATCTGAGTGTGTGTTGGTCTTTACAAAGAGGATTATGTAATGATGAGGACGACTGGAGTCTATACTCTCCATGATGAACCTGCACTTTGGTGGAGGTCTACAGACTTCAGAATGATTTTACAGATTCAGTTTTTCCTGCATTTGTAAAGAAAAACTGACTTTTATTCAGAATATGCAAATAGATAAGATAAAGCGGCAGACCTGGATCATAAAAGTCAAAGTCCAGACACAACGCAGATACCTGTTTTTCGAACTGAGCTCTAGATAAACTTGTTTTTACTCTAAAAATGAGCTTTTATGAATTGATGGTTTTCAGTTCTTTTGCAGCCAGCCTGAGGCAGGCGCTGCAGGTTTGAGCACCTCTGAATCAGCTTCATGGTAGAGGAAGGTCCCGCCTCCTTTGTCTCTGATTGGCTAGAAAAGCTGGAAACGTCGTCACATGCTCAAGCCAAACACGGAATGTACATGGCTCTGTACATCGAACAGAACATTATTGCACTTCTGAATCTCCTAATCCTAACCTTAACCCTAATCCTAATCCTAAACCCAACTCTAACCATAACCATAACTATAACCCAGCAGACGATGACGTTTCACAGCCAAAAAAAATAACCAATCAGAGCCCAGCACTCCTAGCCAATCAGCGGCGAAGCTGCCTACGAAAAATATTTGCAGACCGGAGGTTACTGCTTGACGTAAACATAAACTCAGATGACTCCAAGAAAACAAGATTATGGATCGAAGTTCTCTTGACCGTCTTTTATTGTAAACGATGATAAATAAACTCAGACTAGGACCAGAGTGAGGACGCAGAGTCCACAGATAGAGGCTGGAGCTCACCTGGGCCTCCCTGTCTGCATGTGCACCTGAGTCCAGCCTTTGTCTGATTTGGTAGGCTCTCCTAAATTTTGAAACATGTCAGAAATACTTTTGTTCTGTAACAGGTAGAAACCCAATGCAGTAGTAGTAGACGAAGAGAAATCATCATATCGAAGTGACAGTGTGCCGTTGAGTTGACATATGGGTTACGAATGGGCTACACTGAAATTGAGACCATGTGATGCTCTAAAAGAGGAGACTCTGTTACAACAAATATGGAGAAACAGCTGAGTCATGTTCTGTGGTGAGGAGATGGAGACACCGTCATCATGAAGTCAGACCTGGAGTCACCTCGCTCTTTTAATCTTTCATTCCTGCTCTCATGTTCAGATCTGAGGTCACTGCTGACTAATGTGCATGGTCGTGCACATACACGAGCGTGCACGTGTTGGTCATGCTTCAGATTTAGCATTTGACGGTGAATCAGTCCTGCTGTCGTGGTCTTTTTTAGGAAAATGTCTCAGCGACACACGGCAGATTTTCATGTCATTACTCATCTTTCCTCAGTGTTGCAGAACAATAAGAGAAGCAGGAAACTGATTTGATTGAATTCTGGAACCAAGTGGGGAGCAGATCAGTGTTTAATCACAAATAATGAGACCACAGTGAGGAAGAAACGAGATCAGAGTTTGAGAATAAAGATGTAAATATAACGAGAATAGATGGATAACAGGTTTTTACAGGTTATACTGTCATTGTGGATCAATCAATCAATTCACAACAAGTGGAGGAAGATGGTGCAGCTTCTTCTTCTTCTCCTTCTTCATCTTCCTCTCCTCCTCCTCCCCCTCTTCCTCCTTCTATTTCTTCCTTTCTTTTCCTTCTTCTTCTCCTCCTCCTTCTTCTTCTTCTCCTCTCTGCCTTCTTCTTCTTTGTCTCCTCCCTTTTCATCTTCTTCCTGTTCTCCTCCTCCTCTTTCTTCTCCTTCTTCTTCTCCTCCTTCTTCTCCTCCTTATCCTCCTCTTTGTCTTCTTCTTCTTCTTTGTCTCCTCCCTCTTCATCTTCTTCCTGTTCTCCTCCTCCTCCTCCTCTTCTTCTCCTTCTCCTCTTTCTTCTCTTCCTATTCTTTCTTCTCCTCCTTCTCCTTCTTCTCCTCTTCGTCTCATTCCTCTTCTTCTTCTTCTTCTCCTCCTCCTCCTCTAAGTCCTCTTCCTTCCTTCTTACCTGAACTCACACCGGAGCTTTCAGTAAAAACACCTTTCTTTTTTATGATATTAACTCAGGGTGACACTTTTACCATTTAAGCAAACTCAAAACTTGATTTAATGGTGAGTTTTATTTTCATTTCTTCAGTTAATCTCATATTTTCTGTTTACGTTGTGAGGCTCACCTTTCTGAGACCTCTCATCAGTTTCCTGCAGGTTCTCTGTAAATAAAGTCCTTTCGCCTTCGGTTGTCATGGTGCATTTCCAGCGTTTACATGTTTTTAAATGTGTTTTCCGCCTCTGGCTAATTCCTGTCCTGTCCTGATTTGTCTCCAATCTTCATTTTCTTTTCCTTCTCTATCATCTCACTCTCTCTCTCAGAAGTATTCATCACAAGGAAAAAGTTTAAATACTCAAATCTTTACAGCGTCAGTCATTATAAAAAGGAAAACTTTTTCAAATGTAGCTTTCAGACGTGATTGATAAAGTTTGATGAAAGAGGCAGACACAGAAAAAGCAGTGATGAAAGTTAATAACAGTGATCTTTGAGTTTGCAGCTGTCTCTTTGCTCTATTTTTAGGTGTTATTGCTGTCAGCAGTTTTCACTCGGTGTAAATCTGTCTTCAAAAGCTGCATTTATCTGCTCAGTTCAAACTTCACAATGACATTACACTTTGGGGTCTCGTCTCGTCTGTCGGGGGTTGAAGTTTTGATTCGAGGACTAAATGCATTTTCTTCACCACCTTTTCTGTTTTCTTTAATGATTTGCTCTTAAATATTGTTGATTTTGGAACCTCAGGGCTGCCGTACTAACGGGTGGTCTAATCAGGCAAAGTGGAAACACCTGTGCGACGAACAGCGATTGTGTTTGGGAGCTTGAACTGATTAATGAAAGCCGACCGATCTATTAAACGATCGAGAACGAGATCAAACAAAGGAAAATATTTAGCGAGCGTTGCTTTTTCTGTCTCTGAAAGAAAAACGGATGAAATTGTTGCCGGGGTGAGCGACGGCTCGGCCTTTTAAGCCGCTGAGTGACAGAGGCCGACGGCGAGTGAAATGAAATAGCGGCTAACTGCTTCAACAAAGAGGGGAACGAATCAACGTAACTGAAACACATGTTCAAATAATCAGCTTACACTGAGCTTCTGATGGAGTACGATTGAAGAAAGTGTTCCAGTCTGAGGGAGCGGAGAGTGAAAATCGACTCTGATAAAGACTTTTTTTAAAGGGTTAAAGAGAGAGCAGGATTTTCCCAATATGTCTCTGATGAATGCAAATGAGAATAAAGACAAGGTGAGCCAAACTTGAGTGCATACCTACAGAAGTTAACCACTCATTAACGATACATCAGCCCTGACTTATTCTGGAGCTTTTTGACCAAATAGAGAAAAGTATTTAACGTATATGTTACATATTTTCATGTTAAAATTCAGATTTTATATGAATCTGCGGATGTTTACAGATAAAATATATTCAATATTGGGCATGTTTTTTGGAGAGAATTAAGAATGAGAAGAACTTTATTAATCCCTGAAGGGAAATTAAAAAAAAATCCTCTGAATCTTTCTGTCCTGCAGCGAAGAGAGAGGAGCCGTCCACCACCATTGGCCCTTTGGTCCATCAAGCTGTTGTGAAGTGGGTGATCCATGTTCTTTAGAATAGTCTCCACCTTCCTCAGTGTAGATCTCTCCACCACATCCTCCACTGAGTCCAGCTTGAGTCCAACCACAGAGCCAGCCTTTTTCACCAGTTTGTTAAGACGTCTTGCATCTCAGACTGCAGCGTAGAACAGAACACTATAGATCTACACCACAGACTGATAAAACATCTGCAGCGTCTTACTATAGATGTCTTAAATTACAATTTAAAGTTTCTTAAATTCAGATTAAACTTTAATGAAGTGGTTCATATTTTTAAGATGAGTATCTCCTGAATCTGAAAACAGCAGAGATTTGTGGGGAAAATATCATCAGGAGGATGAAGGGAGGAGTACACTCAGAGAGGGAGAGTTCATGTTCCTGTATGTCTGTGACCTCAGGCCATACTACACCTTACACTGAAGTCATATACACTCAGAGACTCCTTTTCCTGATCCTTTTTCTTCCTGTTTTTCCGTATCTGACTGGAAAATCCTGTTCTTCTCCACCTCTCCTACCAGGCTCCCTCTCTCTCTCTCTCTCTCTCTTTCTCTCTCTGTCGGCAGCTTTTGTCCTTTAAAATGCAGCTGAAAGACTTCTATAGATCTCTGACATGGATTCTTTCATGTGTCACTCTGAAAAATAGCCCCTGGCCACTCCTTGTATGCTCACACACACTCTCTCACACACACACACACACAGCCAGCATGCATCTGTATCTGCATGCACTGACACACCGCAAGATCCCCAAAACACATTATGATATGCACCTGTATTTGCACACATACACTTAAACAAAAATGACAAAGAAATTATGCATCAAGTTTTTTTCTGCACACGTTTGATGATCCGTCACATGTGGAGAGGTGCACAGACAGCCATGCAGGAAATACTGATACCTTCATGGTGAAGCAGAGACACCAATCAGGACACACCCTGATCCGTCCAGCTGAAGAGTAAGAGGAGGGTGTTTTTGTTTGAACTCTGTACACTTCAAAAAGCACGTACATTCGGCTCATGTGTCCGGCTTAGCTCATCCAGACTTTACTTTTCAGCAAAAATCAAAATTAGAAAAAGTTTAAAAAGTGGGCCGAAGAAATGCACCGATAGATGCACAGATAAAGTGAGTGAGAGGAGAAAAACACGGATCTCTTATGAGCAGATTAATGCAGGTATTTTAAAGGGTCACTGCGATTGTCTCGGTGCATGTCCACTTATTGCATCTTTGTTCCGTAAGATTAGATTTCAGATTTTCTTTGATTCAAAAAACTACAAGGGAACAAAATCCTGGCAGCGAAAGTTGTGTTTACAGCACACAACCTCTGATACCAAACAATTCATCAAACTTTGACTGGACGTGATCTTTTCCCAAACAGGCAAATGACTGGTCCCTCTCTGGGCATTGTGGATTCTTTTTTTTTGTGAATCCAGCTCATTGACCTCGAAGCTTCTGGCCTCATATTTATATTCCTGTTACTGTCTATTTTCTGCCGTCTTCTTCTGCCCCAGCGTTTCCCATAGAAGGCCGCAGAGAACCGAACTCTCCAGGGCTCTTAAACCTTTAGATAGACTGACTGTCCTGCTGTTAGGAGGAGACACACAAGTGCACATTTCTGCATATGGACACGCACATTATGAGAGCACAGGCCTGTTTTCTCATCGGAAAACAGATCAACACAGAACATAAACTTTACGACTAACATAAAGATTAATTATAGGGTTAATTTTTCACCTGAGTCATTTCAACTACCAAGCTGTGACACCACAACATAATAACAGAGCTCTTAATTATAGTGCTTCACAGTCAGGAAATTAGGAACAGCTTCATTCTAACACAACGAGACCCGACTCTGAGCAGAGGGATTAAAAAACAGTTTGTTTCTTTTTTAGTATCTCCGACTTGACCTCGTTATTTAGACTGAAGCTCAGTCTACACCTTTTATTCACTTTCTGGCAGATTTAGACAATCACTGTGCCAATTTTAAAACCCTAAAGGTTTTTTAAAATATGTTTTTAATCAATAGTGTACAAGGTACTTATCAGAAGTAAGTTTAGCACCCATGGTTATTACAGGTCAGAGGGGCACTTAAAACTTTCTCGTCATAGTATAGTATGTCAAAAATTTCATATTTTAGAATTTTTGAAAAGTGATAAGATAGTTTGATACAAATGTCCTAGTATCGCATGATAAAAAATGTCATAGTATAGTAAGACAAAAATTTCATAGTATAGTATGTTTAACATTTCATATCTGAGTATGGAAAAAAAAGTAATAGTATAGTATGATAAAAATGTCATAGTATAGTATGTTTAAAATTTCATATTTTGATATGACAAAAAAGTCATAGTATAGTATGATAAAAATGTCATAGTATAGTATGTTTTAAATTTCATATTTGAGTATGGAAAAAAAGTCATAGTATAGTATGATAAAAATGTCATAGTATAGTATGTTTAAAAATTCATATTTTAATCTGACAAAAATGTCATGGTATAGTTAGACAAAAATGTCATAGAATAGTATGTTTAAAATTTCATATCTGAGAATCGAAAAAAAGTCATAGTTTAGTATGAAAAAAATGTCACTGTATAGTACGATTAAAAAAGTCATAGTATACTATGTTTAAAATTTCATATTTTATTATGAAAAAAAAATTTCATAGTATAGTATGTTATTAATGTCATAGTATAGTAAGACAAAAATGTCATAGTAAAGTATGTTATAAATGTCATATTTTTATATAAAGAAATGTCATTGTATAGTAAGAAAAAGATGACAAAGTGTAGAATGAAAAATGTCATAGTGTAGTATGATAAAATTTCATATTTTATCATGAGAGAAGTCACAGTATAGTATGATAAAAATGTTTAGTAAGTAATAGTAATGTATGTCCAAAATGTCATATTTTAGAAAAAAAAGCGATAAAATAGTTTAATTAAAATGTCATAGTAAAGTATGTTTAAAAATTCATATTTAAGTATAGAAAAAAAGTCATAGTATGGTATGTCAAAAGTTCCATCTTTTAAGAATGAAAAAAAAATTAAAATAGTATAGTATGATAAAAATTCTATAGTATAGTATGTTCAAAATTTCATATTTTAATATGAAAAAATGTCATAGTATAGTGAGACAAAAATGTCAGTAAAATATGAAAAAAAAAGTATTTGTTTGCTTTGCTCTTTCTTTATTGGTTTATTTCACAGGGACATTGCACCACTAATCAAAAGAGTTAAAAGAAAAACTGTAAGTGAGCCAGAGTTTACCAGCAAAGGCTAGTTTTCATCCGTTGTCCCTGGCCAGATGTTAAAGGAAACCTAAAAACCAAAAAGGGGGCAACAATGAAGTACTTTCAAACACAACTTTATATGACAATCTACCTGATAAAAGCTCATAATGACAAGTAAAACAGGTAAGAAGTCTGACATATGGCATAACAAAAGCTCATAAATAACTCTAGCATTCACACATAACATCTAGACAGGGAGAAAACCAGTGAGGGAGAGCAAGAGAGGAAACTACAGCTAGAAACACACACAAGAACTGTAGCACACAAAGCTAAGACATTAGCACAAACAATATCAGACATTACAAGGCAGGGCATAAAATGGCAAGCATTATGCAAAAAAGAAAAACAAACAAACAACAAAAACAAACAAACAAGCAAACATACAGGCAGAGATTTGCATACTTTATGAAATCATCCCAACTCAGAAGATCATGCTTTATTAAAATAAGGCAATGATGGTAGTAGCTGTGTTTTTGTATAATGTTTCAAGTGGTGTGAGAGTGGTTTTATTTGCTCATGCAACACACAGCAAACAGTATGTTAAATGTGAAACAATCATTGCATGTACATAAAGCTTTGCTGCAACCATGGTCATGGAGTTTCTGGTAAATCTTAAATTGGATGGACTAAATTTCCTCACATGGGATTTAAAGGGCAGCTGTTAGTCAATCAATATGCCAAGATATTTGTGCATATTTACACTTTTTTTCACCCCGTAGAGTTATTTCTGGATCTGGATTCTAAGTAGACTTTGATAAAAAAAAAATTGGATAGTATCTTCAAACTGTCATAGTATAGTACAGTAAAAATATCACAGTATTTTATGATAAAAATATCACATTATAGTATTAAAAAAAACATAGTTAAGTATGATAATACTTAAAATGATAATAAAAATGAAGAATGTTTTATATATATATACTATGATAATAAAGTTGAATAAAATTCCATAGTATAGTATGATAACATTATCATAGTATAGTACAGTAAGAATGTCATTGTATAATAATTTGAAAATATCACAGTATATTATAATAAAAATGACATTCTATAGTATGAGTATAGTATGATTAAAAAATCTTAATAAAATATTATAGAATGTAAAAGTATAGTATGTTAAAACTTTTATAGTACTGTATGATATAAATATCGTTGTATAGTATGAAAGAAAAATCACTGTGTAGTATGTTAAAAAATCATATTTCAATCTTTTATCAAAGTGTACTATAATATTTTTATCAAACAATACTATGAAATTTTTCGTATTATATGATGACATTTTAAAATACTATACAATGATATTTTTAACATACTATACTGTGACATTTTTATCATACTGTACTGTGACATTTTATAATACTATACTATAATATCTTTATCATACTATACTCTGACATTTAACAATACTTTGCTATGATTTATTTATTTTTTTTATCAACCTCTACTTCGATATTTTTATGATACTGTACAGTGACATTTTTATCATACAATACTCTGACATTTTTCCATACTATCTTATGATATTTTTCTCATACTTTACTCTGATATGTTTATCATACTATACTTTGACATTTAACATACAATACTTTAATATCTTTATCAAACTATACTTACATTTTGACCAGCAACAAGATTAGAAACTTCCCTGTCATCATTTTTATACCTGACAAAGGTAGGAGGGGGACGAATAGCCGAAGAAACAGCAGTGTGTTTATGTTTCAGAACAAAATGGAGCCTTATGAGAATCAATTATCAACAATTTTACTGCTGTCCTTGAGCAAAAGTCCCATCCTTTGGTAACAATTTCAGCCATTTAAGGACCAACTAAATTTATCTTATGTTTTGGGGAATTGGGGGAAATATAAAGATCCTCTTTGTTTCTTTTACCAAATCTAAAATCAATTTCTACCACTCCTAATCGCACCATATCTGTGACATTTCAGGTTTTCACCACTCCTGAACTGAGCAGAAAGACACAACTTCTGTTGTTTCACTGCTGCTTTAAAAATAGTCTTTATAAGATCGTATCGTCATGTGAAGCTAGTGAAATGATCATTTATTGATGTTTCGATTTAACATTTAGCACACTTTGGATGAGTCAGTTTCTCCTGTTGTGCACTACATCCTTGTGAGAAGCTGATTGGCTGTGAGGGTGGCGGTGCCGGCCTCCATCTCCGATTCCTCCATGAGCACCTTCCTCTGGAACTCCTGCAGGAAGGAGACAAAAATACCTTAAACTAGTCTCCAATAAAAACATATAAATATGGTGTAATAGATCAATTAAAAGGATTCACCATAGTTGTCTTTTTAATGAAAGGAAGTGTTGCTATTGGGCTATAAAGAGTAATACTTTGAGTTTATAGTCGTGGTCTTTCAGGGAAAAAACAAATGAACAGAAGCTGCTAGTGAGCTAGCAGTAGCATCATTCTAAAGGGATAATTCAGCATTTTTAAACACTGACATTCACAAGTTTTCACAGTCTGAGCTTTTAGGAAATATACTCTTTTCTATTTTCTTCTACTTAAAGCTCCTCTGATAATTTTTTTTAGCTAGTATTAAATTAATACTGTTGCTTCTTTATGAGCTATAAAAGCACATAAGATGAAAATATGCATTTTCTACAAGGTTATCTTAAAAGCCTGAAACTGTCAGAACAGTGTAGAAATGACAATTTTTTTTTTTGCATTTTACACAGCAAAGATTCTCATTAAGTGATTTGTTCGACTGTTTCATCTACAGGGTGTGCCAAGCTTCTTTTTATGTTATTTGGATGACAAATAACAAAAAAGCATTACATTACCTGATGGCATTTCTGATTTAAAAGCAGAAAAAGAAATGCATTAACTCATAATCTGTAAATGTAATTTAAGGGGTGAACATACATTTATTTGTCCGATTGTCCATATAACTCTGAAAAGTATGTGCATTTCTCTTTGTGGTGTTAAACTCTGGAACCGCCTGGATGTCACCGTAAAAATGTCCAATACCATAAAAATATTTAAATCAAACTATTAGAAGTATTTAATGATTCATAGAAGTAAACTGACAAAAATATGGTTTTATACTAGTTATACTTGATTGCATAAAAGTTTTATTAATTCTGAATATTATAACACTGATTATTATTATAATATGCAAGTAATTATAAGAAGTAACCTATTTATTGCTGAGCAGATATCCTTTTGTATAATATGTAGGCATTTATACACAAATTTGTAACTTATAAAAACAGATAAAAATTTTTTTTATTTATTATTTATTTTGACATACATATGTTGTGTAAATTTATCTTTGACATGTACAGTGGTTTGCTGTACATATGTATTATTTTGTTCTGTTTGTTTGTTTTTAGTTGTTTTGTTGTTGTTGTTCCTAAAGTTTGAGATAAATAAAGAATAACGTAAGGATTTACATGAACGGTGCTTAAAGTGAAGCTCGATTGACTGATTTAATTGAAGCTGAAAATCCCAGACTTAGAGCCGCGCTGACAGGCTTTAAACCATCGTCTGATCGATGACTCTAGACTGCAACAGCTCTGTAACTCAGTGATGAAGTCCAGGAGCGCACAGCAGCTAATAAACAGTTTATTTTTCATCTTTCAAAAGCTCTTAAACTCTGCAGGAGCTCTGAAGCTCTGAAGACATCAAACCGGGTGTTTAATCTCAGACTGTTAATGTCAGCTTTGTAAAAAAAAAAAACAGACACAGAGGAATGATCTGTTTGCTGTGTGTCTGACACAAAACCGCTACCATGCCAAAGATCAGGATGTCTGTATTTGTAAGTGTGTGTTTGTGTGTGTGAGTCTCACCCTGAATTTCCTGAGTCTCGCCAGTCTATCTTGCAGATTCTTCTCCTGAGAGGAGGTCAGGTTCGCCACATGGGTCCTCCACTGCTGCTCCTTCTCCTGGGAAAAGGAAACATGCGTTATAAAGGCCATAAATCCTGTTTCATCATCTATCTTATTCCAAATAGGAGTGTGATTTAATTTTATGAACTCATTCTTAGGATCTGGATGATGATGCTCAGACCTTCATGATGTGTCTGTTATCATCACTCTCCTCACACTATGACAGGATCGTGATATGTTCATAAATCTATCAGGGCCTTCTGGGCCGTCACAGTGTATCTGAGGTCAGGGGAAGCCTGCCATGGAGGAGCATCATCCATCATGTGTGTGAGGACTTTAGTTACTGCTATTAATCATATTAATCATGACTTTTGTCTGTAGCATGGCGAGACACACGTTGGCGAGACTTCAGATTGTGGTCAGGTTCATAGGAGGTTTGCAGCTCGCAGATATAAGCTGGAGTCTACGGTGGCTGACAAGGGCAAACAATGTGCAACAGCTTGACTAATCTTCGTAAGAAGGAATGTAGCCATGGTTACATGTGCAAAATTTCTTGATCCGATCATGATTACGTTAACTATAAGATTTATTCAGATTAGAAGCATTTGGATGTGCGCAGAGTAGTCTGATTTCACCAAAACAACTGCAGAAGAAGAAGAAGAAGAAGAGTTGCATTTACGCCTGTGCCGTCAACAAACCAACAAACATGGTAGTGGCTCACTTCATCCAATTCAGGAGTTTTGCTTGTTCCGCAATTATCCTCTCTACTTTTCTGAGTGTGGCCTGCCTAGCGGGGAAGCGGGGGCGGAGCTTGGATTTCTGATGTAAGAAATCTCACTGTGTCTGAACCTGCCATTTAGGTCTGCCAGAGATTCACAGCGATTTGACTGCAGAAATACTTAGTTTTCTCATGGTACGTCCTGTAGCATCAGAAAAATGCCGTATGAACACGTAGACAACAAGAAAAACAGGATTTTCATCGGAGTGGGTCTTTAAATGGATCCACTGAAAGTTTGAGGCTGGAGTCCCAGACATAGCTAACAACAAAATGCATAAAGTGCAGACGCTTGAAATAATGATGTGCATGAGGAGATCTTTGCAGGAGAAGCTGGGAGTTAAAGAGCGTGAATAAAATGGGTCATGTAGTTTTGATGGCTTCTGCATATTTTTGTTATCTTCTCCTCAGGGGTCATGAAGCCTAAAGACCTCACAGACCAGCATGCAACGTTTCAAAAATGTGCAGTATTATGTTGCAATGACAATATAATTCTTCATAGCAAAACAGAGCAGATAGCGGGGCTCTACTTTGCAGCTGCACACCAGCTATGTGCAGTAAAAGAGTTTGTTGACAAAGAAAACACCCACAATCCCTCACACCAAATCCTCTGTAATATCTTAAAGCTCTGTAGGATCATTGTGAGGGTTACAGCGTTCCTCTGGAGCGCTGATATAACAGTGCATACATTCTGTCAAGGCTGCACCTCTGAACCACAAGTAGGTGTGTGTGAATCATGAAAAGTGCGAGGGCCTGCTGGATGTGGATCCCTGACCTCAAAATTGGACTCAGATTTGGTTTCCTGCTGTGTGTTTGTGTGTGAAATCTTGTAGGTGTGTGTGCATATGTAAGAGTTTTCTACAGATGGGATACATGTGAACGGAGCGAGGCCCGGCGCTCTCTGTGGACAGCGGCTGTCATCAATTAACATTTCCGTCATGCTCTGTGTGCGTGTGTTGTGTGAAGGAAGTTGATGTTAGCGAGGGAGCGTTTGGTTTAATGTTCGTTTACAGAGGAGGACTGGCTGACATATGGAGTGAAGGTGAAAGCAGTTAAAGCGTTACCTCCCAAATTATGCACACACACACACACACACACACAAATACACACACATTTAGGCAAACAGTCGGGACATTCTTCCTAAAGGCCTTGAGTTGAAACCGACTGTTTGGACGTTTGAACGATGGCTTTTTTCATGCCCTGCACACTTGTCCGTCTTTCATGGTGTGTGAGGAGGGAGTTGCACAAATTGACTTTAATTGGCGATCACTGTCAAATTGACAAATTGCGCTAATGCTTCTTTTCCGCCTCTGATGCAGCAACAACATCATGGAGGCAATTAGCCATCTGGCCCGCGGTGCAGGTTTTGGAGTAAAGTGTGAGTGTGCAGAGCAGTCGGAGGGTCGGAACTTTGTAATCTGTCTGCAAAGGCGTGAAAAGGTCCCACCAGAGTCAAGGGCAGCATTCACTGAGACCCTCTGTGCCGAACCGTGGACAATCTTATATTCTGTATAGGTTTTAGTGGACATTTACAGTAGGGCCCAAACGATTTATCGGCGAGTCGATTAAATTGGACGATTTTAGCCTGTTTGAGACTAATCGGTGATCGGCCAAATCTCGACGATTTTCACCAATATTTTCAGAAATAAAATGCAGAGAATAAGATTCGGTTTCACTTTGAAAATGTTCCACCATTAGAAAAGTTCCCTGACTTATCCTGTAGATGGCGCAGCGTCCTCATGACAATCTTCATCCACTAACTACCTCACAGCACAGCTCAGGGACGCACGGAGGAGAGTGGTCCGCCTCAACGGGAAATAAACCAGTTTGTGAAATACACAATAAGTCAACAAGATTCAATTCAACCCACTTCAGGATGTTCCCCGCTGTGCTGGTCTCGGTCACGCCGGGTAAACGGTGAAGCACCATGTAATATGCAAGCTAAAGTTAGAGTTAGCCACCTGCTATTAGCCTTGCTACACTGTTAGCCGTGTCAGTAATGGTAGAATAAACAACAGTACACATTATGTGATCGAGACTTCTCTTACTGAGGCAGCTGCATGTCTCCAGATGAGACCGGACATGAGTGACGTGAGTTAAGACGCAGAGGCACCGATCGATCGGTGCAGGGGGTGTTGAAAACGCTGTTCTGGTCCGAGTTTGATCAGTCGGTCTTCCTGGCGGTGTAAAGAGCAGTAGCCTACAGTATATATATATTTTATAACTTCATAAAAAATTTAAAAAATCGTCCGATTAATCGGTAATCAGATTTTTTCCCCCCTAATAATCGGCATCAGCTCCAAAAAATCCATATCGGTCGGGCCCTAATTTACAGTCCCTTTTTTAAGACAGAAGACTGATTTGAAAGTCAGGTTAAGCAGCAGTTTGTTAAACTTGAATAAAGTGCAACTCAATGAATTCATCTTTTTCCAAAGTCAAAAACACAAAAACTGTGTCCCTCTCCTGCCAGAGGTCAATATTTTCTCAGGTTCGTGTCGCAGCATGCAGGGTGAAGAAACATGCACAATGAATTTCTGTTCAAACTGGGCCCTTGATATGTGATATTTTAGAAATCAAAACACAGTTTCACAGCTGGAGGAGGATCCGCACTTGAACAGACAATAGAGTACAATTATTTGGACATGATAATCAGGGTATCTGAGACTCTCACCAAAGTGAAAAACCTCCCTCACAGATGAGACAGAAAGAGATTCGGCCAAAACTGTTTGGTGGAGTTATTCCTGGAACCATGAGAAGTACTGTAAGCTAAATCAAATACAAACCCTAATTCAAACCCTAAATTGGGACTTTGTTTAAAGAGGAACAGAAATAGAACACAATGATTTACAAATGCTTTTGGACCCTGTTACACAAAGAAAAGATATTTAACATTCAAACTGACAAACTTTGCTGATGAATGTTTTGATGGTCGTGTTAAATTTTTAATGCTCTGTAAGTTGTTTTAATTTCAAAGCCTGACCAGAGACTAAAGCTGCAAATTTAACCACAGCTGGAAAACCTGTCTGCATGGCATCTGCACTGTAAAACAATATTTCCTGCAGTTACCTCATGCAGAGCAGCAGCGTGGGGCTTTTTCCTTAAGTACACTAAGGCCTGTGCGCTGCAGGAGCTGGGACTGAACAACTCTGACCTCTCATTCAGAGACCGCTGACTCTCCCACAGAGCTGCAGTGAGCCTCTAAAGCATCCAGACTTAGTATGAAGAACATCACAAATAAAATCTTGAGGATCTTCTTCTGGGTTCGGAGGAGAAAAGGTAACCCAGAGGATTTCTGCACAGTTTACAGCTTTGCTCGATGTCTCCAGTTACTCTTGGGAGCATGAAAGTGCATACATACATTTATCACAATGCACAACAAAAGTTGTGCTTGTTGTATTTCGTGTAAATAAAGGTGGTTATTTTGTAGTGAAAAAAGTGTGTTTATATCACAAAGGAGTTCATTCACAGTCTAATAAATCCAGTAAATGTCATTTACAGTACGGCTGTGCCAGCTGCTTCATGTCTTATTACATTAAGAAAAAGGAAGAGAAGTTGATGCCAGAGGTTTATGTAAGTCTCTAATCAAAGCAGTTACACAAAAATGCTTTTCCTGATTTTTTTTAATCACGTCTGTATTTGACGTTACATAACAAAACTCCTTAAAACGGTTCAGTTAGCCTCCATTAACATGTTTCCTGGATGCTTGTCTTAAGGACGGCTAAATTGGGAATGACATAAGAGTGCGTCTCGGTCATAAAATGAGTATTTCATAATAATTTGAGGAGAGTGGCCGGTCAGTCGTGTCTGAATGTGAGGTTAGAAACATTACGGAGAGTTTCTGGAATTCTTCTGGCTCAGATTCGGCGTTTTCAGCGGTGAGAGATTGTAGCTGTGGTAATTGTTATCCATAATGAGTCTGTGTGGGCTCATGCTTTTGGCTGCATTAGTTTGCATTTACAGTGTGTGTGTCTGCAGGGGTGAGTGGGTGCAGATCAGGGGGTCAGGTCTGTGCTCTGAGTTTGTGTGACTGAAGTCAAGTGAGAGTGAGAAAGAGAGAAGTTTGCAGACTGAGGTGAGAGTGGCTGTCCTCTCCATCAGGGTAAGTGTTGTCATGTACTTCCTGTCCTATGTGTGTGTATGTATGTGTGTGTATATGTGTGAGTGTGTGTGCAGCGTGCAGTGGAAACGGCAACAACTGCGGCCCACGTCCCTTTCTGACCTCACACACTCTTGTCAGAAACAGGGCGGCTGCCCAAAGCACCCACAGCTGTTTTCTCTATATGTGTGTGTGTGTGTGTGTGTGTGTGTGTGTACATTCCATGTAAGTGAGAATGTGCATCTGTTGCAGCAAGTGTGCGTTTGATAGTTTTTAATAAATCTGCCGTTTGAACACGCTTCATTTTAAAGGCCAGATGTGTGTGTGTGTGCGGAGGGGGGGAGTGTGTGTATTTGCATGTGTGCGCTCTGATAGGCCCCGCCCCCTTGACAGAGAGCCAAAGTTGTGCTTCTCTGTTCGTGGTTTTCCACAGAAGTGAATCTGATTTAGCCGTGAGCGATGAAGTGAACCTTGACGGTAAATTAACACTCATTGATCCTGCGTCTCTCTGCTGCTGGTCTTGCCTGATGGTTCAGCTCGCCGTTTCCATTTGCTGATTATAAAACCTGTTTTAATAAAACCCTAAAGCGTTAAAAGCTTTTCTAAAAGACGGTAAACACGGAACATTTGCTGCAGAGACATCACTTTTGACGCTTCAGGCACAAAAATCTCAACATTTCCTCAGGAATCCTTGAACAACACGAATAAAACAATTAGAAACCAAGCGCTGAAATCCAAAACCTGAAGTTAGTTTTCCTCGCAGTGTTGTTTTCATAAGGTAGGAGGATCTGTCATCAAATCAATCCGCTGCAGCCGCCACTTTATGTCTACGGGGTGCAGCGTGAGTGTGTTTGGGTGATGTGCACGCATGAGCACCCGGGGTAATCAAAGGAGGGCTGTCGAGGCCGATCTGGTGTCATTCAGTGTAATCCTGCGTGCCACGCCGACGGCAGCACACTTTAGTCTGACAGATACAGACATGTAGAGTGTGCATCATGTGACCGTGTGTGCATTCACCTTTCTGCTCTCCTCTATTTCTCGAAGTCTCTCTTTTTCTCTCCGCTCCCTCTCCTGACGCCAGCGGATCTAAAACAAACACACAAACACGTTCACGCTGATATTCTTGTTTTGTCAAATTAGCAGAGAGTGATCCACGCTCTTCTTCATCTCTCACCCTCTCCTCTTTTCTGTCTTTCCACTCGCCCTCCGAAGCTCCGGCCCCCTCCTCCTCTGTTCCTGTTCTGGTCTTTCCCGACATTCCCAGAAATGCATAGTCCTCCTCTTTACACAAACCTCTCATGGTCTGAAAGCAGAAAAACAGCCATTAATCAAATGTGATACTTGTTTACGTCCCCATTTTAGATTCAAACTGCCTCCAGCCTTTGTGCCGAACTCATATCATCCACACTCTCGGTGTTATTTCTGATTTTAATGAAACTACAGCATGAGTTTTATTCTTTTGTCAACTTGCTGCACATGTTCTTGGTTTTTCCTCCCGTACTGACACTTCAGGATGTGCAGGCTTGTAAAAGAGAAAACAGAAACAACTTTTGTGAGCTGTTTTTCTCCGATAAGACGGTCTTATCAGAGTAAAATATTAAAACAAAAAAACTTTTCCTGTGCCAGACTAATAACCATACAGCTGATTAGATTTATCCTGCAGGCCCAGTGGAAACAGATCCCAGCAAAGACATTTGCTCAAATCACAGATTGGGTATGGTGTTAGTCAAGCTGACGTGTGCATCCAAATGGTAAATATTGAAACTGTTGTTCTCACACATGGAGGGACAGGGAGCTATCAGAACAGAGGTTTAGTGAAAGTGGTCTTGACTGAAATGTTAAAGGGATATTCCAGCGTAAATCTAAGTTATGGTCAAACACACCGTAACACAGAGTTAGACATCCCCTCGAGGGATGAATGTTGCTGACCGCTTGCTTCTCTAGTTATACCAACTTTAGTAACGAGCGCAGGATAGCAATACACAGCGGTCTACGTCTCCACGCGCAAACCTCAGCTAAAACGCCACTCTATATCTACAAATAATGCTCAGAACAGCACCTAACTTCATCAACAGGACATATAGGGTCCCAGCCATAGCACTAGCCACCAAACATCTTTTTAACTTTGTCTGATTTCTTTAGCAAAGAGACTAAACACAACTCACCTACTCTCTTCCAGCGGCTGCTTGTTTGTGGGGGAGCCCTGACAAGTCGATCATCGAGTGCAGTGGAGTTTCGCAGCTCAAGGAAGAACATTTATGATAATTACTTCATGGGAATGCAATCAGTGTTCTTGTGTATCTTGTATGTACACTGCAGAAGCAGTAGTAATAATCATAAATGTTCTTCCTTGAGCTGCGAAACTCCTTTGCACATGGTGATTGACTCGTCAGGGCGCTCCCACAAACAAACGGCTGCTGGAGGAGAGTAGGTGAATTGTGTTTATTCTCTTTGCTAAAGAAATTAGGCAAAGCTAAATAGATGTTTGGTGGCTATGACCCTATATGTCCTGTTGATGAAGTTAGGTGCTGTTCTGAGCATTATTTGTTGCTATAGAGTAGCGTTTTAGTTGAGGTTTGCGCATGGAGACGTAGACAGCTGTGTATTGCCATCGTGCGGTCATTACTAAAGTTGGTATAACTAGAGAAGTAAGCAGTCGGCAACATTAATCTCTCAAGGGGGTGTCTGACTCTGTGTTACCCTATCTTAAATTTACACCGGAATATCCCTTTAAATATACTTTCTCATTCGTCTCTTGGTTGTTGCTGTTGAACTGTGGGTAAAGCGTTCAAACTACCACCTTCTGAAAGCTCTGAGTTCACTGCCTCTGTATGAAAACCTTCGACATGAAGAGAAACAGCCCAAATCACTCAACTGCCGAGCAAAAGTCAGAGGGTTAATACGAAAACAATAAGAGGCCGCTGAACATCCCCTGGAGGACAGTTAAATCAATCAGAAAGCAGCGAAAAAAGAGTCTGACACAGCTGGTAAATCTGTCCCGACTGTATATCATGCAATGAGGCCACTTTCTGAAGCAAAGGCCCCGGAAGGCCTGTGAGGAAATGACCGGAAAATATTGAATGACAAAGGGATGAAACACAAAGACGAATCTGTTCAGGGTCGGCTCGAACCTCTGACCTTGGGTGTCCTTAAAGTCAGAGGTCAAAGTGGGAACTTTGGGTGGATGTTTGCAAAAAAACGTTTGTTTCCAACCCTAATGAATGATAACAAGCTGAAAAAAAAGTGTTAAAAAGTTATTATAACTCTCCAACAGTGAACTTTACATCCTACCTACCAACGTGCAAGGTGCTGCTATTAAAGTTCTCAATTAATCACTTTTATATAGATTTAAAACCACTAAAACTTCCAAGTGGGTTAAATATTTTTAAAGACGCTGTCATGAAAATTAAAAAAAGAGGTCCGGCATTAATCAAGTGTCAAAGAAACACATTTGGGGTGTAACAAAATAGAGAGAATGGAAAAATCTGATGGCTATGCTATGGATTGAGATGACAATCACCCGATGTGCAGGGCACGAGGAGGTCATTAAAGAGTTTGATGGGTTTGAAAATCATGCGAATCATATGCCGCCACATGCAGTCACCAGACCCTACCCCAAATAACAAAGTATCGATGTGAATCAAGTCCGAAAGGGGGGAAAGTTGCTCTTTCCCTGCTGTTTACTGCGGTTCTCTGGAAAACGGGTTGGTTCCGCCGGATGATATTCAGGGAAGACATGTCCGGCGGGTTGATGCATAGCGATAAGAGATGAATACATGAAGGGACTTTCAAAACCGAGTTTTTTGTTCCGACAGTCACGTTGCATCCTCAAACCATTCAGCTCGTGACGTACCTTCGACATGGGAATCCCCTTAAACCTTTCCTCGTGAGCCATCTGAATCCACAACGGGCCCGCTGCTCTTAAAACAAACATGTACACATTAGCTGTAAATAGGTCAAGTTCGTAAAAAAAAAAAAAACGAGTCGTAATGAATGAAAAGTTACTTACCTTTAGATCAACGCTGTTCAGGGGTCCACAACTTAATAAACACTGAGTATATAGTGTGATCCTCCGATTTAATGTCTCATAATAAGTGTAGATGTGTCCGGTTTGCTCCTCGGACTTTGACTCCCGACAGATAGTTTCCGATCAGACTTATAAGGGTTCTTATACAGTGACAGTATGCTGCCTACATCCTGGCTATTTCCACAGCGCAGTGCCAGAAGTCCCACCGACCCACTAATAAAGAGTCCAGGAGCCAGAGGAGTAAGTACAACGAGTGGATCTGGAGTGTTTAATTAAAAACCGGTTTGAGGCCTCATGTCAGCGTATGTCATCCTCTATCAAAAGCGAGGTCACAGGGTCTGGGTTCGTGTCGCCTCGCTGTTGAGCTGCGTGGCCGAAAATAACAGTTTGCTTCTGGTGCTGCAATGAAATGGTAAATCGAAGCTTTGTTTTCTTTCTGAAAACTCTGTGAAACTGTACAAATTCAGATTAAAGCTAAAATGTCAAAGCTATTTGATTTGACAATAACCCGACTTATACTTTAGGATACGCGATTAGACGCTCCTGCGACTCTGGCGGTGCGAATGACGCGAATTGGGCGGGAGTTCTCACTTTCAGCAGATATCTGTGTCACGATAACTAATCGGCACGACGGTGGCTTGTTGACGTATGAAAACGGACGGTTGTTCACTGGTACCTAAAATCGAGGACAAACTGATCATGTTGGTGTGTTGGTGCCCCGAATTACATGGTACCTTTTCTTTCAATTACCGAAACCGGAATAAAATGGAGCTCGCCTGGAGAAAAGTGATCGAGGAGGTCGGATTACCTGGTAAATTGTAAGAAACCTTTGTCTATCACTTGATCCCGGTTGAATTGGCAGGGATTATCGATGAAATTACCGCTGATGCGCCAATGAAGCGGGTAAAGACCATTCATTCATGAGACTAGATTCGCGCGAATTAAGCGAGTGGATGATTTTAGTCGCACTAGGGTGACGATTGGACCAATCTGAGGAGTGCAGCACAAAAATCATGCACCAGTATCTGCACCTTTTCAAGCTCCAATTTGGAAAATGTATATTAAGTGTAAATATCCAAAAACTTTTACAGCTCTGTGCAGTTTGCTCTCAATCTTGTATGCAAATAGGTGTGTGCCACAGCCACACGGTCATTGGTGGGTTGGACTACGTCCTGGACAGTGATTGGTGGACACCTGCTTTATGAGGAACCAAGATGGCAGCCACCATGTGCAGAGGCCAGGCACTCCTCATCCTCCTCTTCTCCCAACTGGCCTCACTATTTGCTGTTTAAACCCTGGAGTATTTTGTAGTATTTTCTTTGAGTAGTAGGGGTGGACTGCCAGTTTTGTTAACCTTATTTTCTCCTGTGTATTTTAGTTAGGGAGGTAAGTCTTTTGTCATTTGTTTCCTTTGTTTGGTTAGGTTAGTACTTACTCCACAGACAGGATCATTTTGGTTGTTGTTTTGGCCTTGGTCCATCCTGAAGCCTAATCATTCAGCCTTAGTTATTTGTTTATATCTTTATGTTCATTTACTGATTTATGTAAATAAATCCTTGTCTTTAAATTTAACCGAATCTCTGTTGTTGTGGCTACTTGGGACTTGGGGAAGATGAGGCCTTCTCATGTTGTGCCCTAGGCACCCCTAGACTGGGGCGTAACACTCTTGTTTTGCGTCCGATCCATTAGCATCCCCACTCTCCGCACTGTGCGCTCTCACTCAGATGTTTCCCTCTACAGTCCCAAGGTTGAAACATTTAGCAATCTCAGTTTTACTCTAAAGCTGTGTGGCTTTAATTGTCCATATTTTTCATGGCATAGAAAATTGAATTGCTCATCTTATTGTATGCAGCAACATCTAAACAGTGTCTTGTTAACTCTGCAGCACAGTCCAGGAAGCTTTTAACTCTATTGTATCGTTTGCTCTCTGCGGGGAGTTGCTTCATTGCTCGCATCGTCAACCTGCAGCTGGAGTTTTATTAACCCGCTCCCAGCGACTACATTTCCTGTCTTTGATCGATACTGTTCATCATGTCCTCTTATCTTAATGAGAAGCACTTTTAACAGAAAAAACCTGCCGACCAGATCAGCGGCTGTAGAGATGGATAGGGAGGATGTTCTCAGAGCTCACGGTGAAAATCACTCCGTCAGTGGAAAACAGGTCAGGGACTGGATTAGATCACTTTGGACTGTGTCGTGCTTCTGTTTATGTGGCATTTGGATTTTTTTTTTCTTTTTTAAAGAGGGACGTGAACTCTGAAACCCACTTAAGTACTTCATGTAATTGTGGCATTTGCAATAATAGTTGAATCAGTGTGTGAAGATCTAATCTGTCGAGCATTTTGATGTTTTCGATGTCGTGCCTCCAAATGAAAAGTATATGTGAAATGTCAATTTAACAGGCCGAAGCAAAATCCCCTTCAGTGGCGTAAACATCATTTGTCCTGCTTAGTCTCAACACTTCATTATAGGCTTTAGTTTTTCTTCTAGACAGTCAAAATGCAAATGTACAACACGCTCTGTCAGCAAAGCTTCACTAGACTCCAACTTTAAAGTTTTGACGAGAGACTTTCTTCTTTTTCTGCTTTAAAAGAGAAGAAGTGAAGCTCCTGCTCTCTGAACTGAGGTATTTTTACCGCCGCCAAGGAGGTTATGTTTTCTGTAGCGTTGGTTTGTTTATCTGTTAGCAACTTTACGTAGAAATTTACAGATGGATTGACCTGAAATTTTTACCAGAGGTGCGTCTCAGCCCAGGGAGGATCCCGTTCAATTTTGGTGGTGATCCGGATCGCCTTCAGGATCCAGGAATTTTTTGAATTTTTGCATTTAACTCTATAAAAATGTCCAGAGTCTTTAGTAGAAAATGACACAAAAGGATCTCAATGAGTTTTATGAGGTGTCAAAGGTTGATCCTGATCCAGACACAATTCTGGATGCTGTGATCCAGAACACACAAAAATAAGGGTGTCGTTGGAATTTTGAATGCT